AGAAACCGTAGTGGTATAACTTCCAGTAGTGACTTTGGTATCATGTTCAATTCACTGGCATAACCACTTGCAAGGATGCGTTGAAGGTCATTGGCTGGGAGCGAAGGTTTGAAACTATCGGAAATTTCTCCTTTGTAAGCAGCTGAAGTATCCTGGTTGCGCTCATCACAGCCAGTATTGCCTTTCGAGAGATGCAATTTTCCATTCGAACTATCGACGAGATTTCGGGGCTGTTGCCCTTTTTTAATCATCGGAGAGCTTTCGGAAATAGGCTCAATTGTAGGCAAAATTGTTCCTGGAAGCTCAAAATGGGTGCTGATCTCGTATTCTTTGATACTCCACAGAGAAGTGATTGTACGGCGGAATCGCTTGGTTTGATTTGATCGGAGTAAAACAGAAAGCAAACTGATGTCACCGCGGGAAGAGAGAGTACTTTCCTCGTCATTTTCAACGAAGCCATCGCCTGGAACATCTCTTCTCTGCCTCTTTATGGATAATCCAAAGCCCAGATTTGGACAGTCAACAACTAGTTTAGCCTTTACGTGGCTCCCATCAGACTTCATCCGTAAGCTGGGAGACGACACATGACGGATCTTGTCAGCTTTCCCGACAAGACAACCTTTTGTATCGATTTTGTCTGAGTTGGCGAATTTCGGCGTGATCTCCGCAAGCTCCGGCAGCAGATGAAGATTTCGGTTCGTGCGCGCTCTTTCAGATGTAAGACAATCCTGCGAGTGATTGATAATGCTCAAGGGTGGAGAGTTCATTCTGCCGGACTGGGGCCTGGTATGCGTGGTTTTGTGTTGTGAAGGTCCAAAGAAAGAGGCTAAAGAGGGCTTTGATGGGCTCCGTTTTGTGATATTGTAGCCAGCTGGTGTTGGTGTGAAAGAGGGTCGGAGATTCCATGTTCTCATAAGCGGGGCTGGCCCCTGTCAGGTTTTCGCTTTGCATTTTTAGCTCAAGAGCAGGCAGACAGGCATGTGCATGTGGAAAAATAGTCCGCATGCTAATGCTTTGAACGTGACCCAATCCCCCGCGCCCCCATTCTTTGAAGTGGGGTCACTGATTCTTACGTACAGCCGGCTCGCGCCGCCCCGAAGGTAGTTCATTTAGTCTCACCCATGAAGATGTACTTTGGCCAATCGATTAATCTTAGAAAAGCTCATCAATTTGACACCATCAATTCCAATTACATGTCATCAGATATTATGTCGCGCCAACACTTTCAATCGCTTCTCGCTCTAGCACGAATCTAGGTCGATTAGGAAATGCCAAGACGCTACTATCTTAGTGCGTGCCAAAAGGCCCACTCACTAGTCTTGTAGTTGTTAGAGCACCTGTTTTGATGGTGTTGTTCTATTATCCTGATACGCACTACTTATATATTAGGGTTAACCTGCCTCCCCCCGAGCCCTCCGACATGATACTAGTTTAAACCAGAAACCGATCTCGGTCTACTAGGCCCGACACCGATCAATCGGAGCCTAGTAGTGATACCGAGTCTATTATCTCAGTACCCGATTAGTCCGGAGATGGAGATAACGGTGATCTGTCAGACGACCCCGACCGTATCATGCGTCACAATACGTATCTCTCGATGCTAGAAAACTAGCACTTAACCCTATGACAATTTAGCCTATACTAAGCCCAAATTATTCATAGACAAGGGGAAAGGACCCCTTAACAATTTATTTAGTAAGAAATAATCGGCTCTAAGGAGCAACCTAATCTATTCTAAGACCTAAGAGGTTATTAAGACTCTTAAGAAGGCGCTTCTAACACCTTTATATGGCAATATAACCTAAATCCGGGATCTAACGGCTATCAGACCCGCAATTCCTCCACGAATATCGTTTAATTCGGCTAACTAACCCTCTTGGAGCTTTTAAACCGCCTCAATTCTTTCGAAAATAAGGCTAAATTGAAGGCCTAACCCTTGAGAGGTGCAAAATAACTAGTGTAGTGGGGAAATCACGAGATTTGTATGATTACTGCCTCAGGCAGTGATATCCTCGAGGAAAGGATATGGGCAATCTACGACTGTAGAGAATGATGGACACAGTAACAACAATGCCACTCATTTCCTGATTCAAGATTTATGATCATTATGCTCCTTGATATAGCACCTGATTATCCCTGATAGGCGTCACCTGTCTAGAGCTCACAGATCTGACTTGTTGTTGGGTTTTCTTGCCACCATTTGTCGACCCGTCTGTTTTGACCAGACTGCCATCGAGCATCTCCCATTTCACTAGGCATTTATATGCACGGCCCGTAACGTATGCCAAGTTGGGTGTGCACTAGCAATCAGTACCGACCAACATGCAGAGATGTATCTAAATACGAATGACCTTTCATTTCCTATTTGACTTACGGTTTAGATCAGACGCCACTCTATTTAGTGTCTCAAGCTCAGAAATCGTGTACATTATAGAACCAGTCGTCCCATTTCGTGTGCCAAGAATAAACTGCATCCCTTGGCAGTTGGGATCTGCGGTTCACTGTGTTCACTGTGTTCGGCTACATTTTCAGCCCCCAAATTGCGCCTCTCGCCAGCTCGCAAGTTGCGTTTTCCGCCAACAAGCTCGCGATGGCTCCACTGAGATATATCCTGTATAAAGACTTGTAATGACGTATCATACGGCAAGAGGGGACGCGAAAGCTCAAGGGACGAACCAGTTAAGCGGGTTGCTAGAGGCGTCCTGTTTCGAAAATCTGTAACAAACATTCGCCCGAGAAAGAACTTTGATGTTCCTCCACGCGGTCAGGCTCCTACATGATTAGGGATCCGAAAGAAATATGATTATTCATGAATATTTGCTGTTGAAATAGGTAGTTGTAATGTTCTTCTTGAGGTTACTATCAAAAGTGGGAATCCCATCTACTTATATGTCCATCGCTAGTCCCGCCATAAGCTTTGACCACCGCGATACTCAACACTCCCACTCGATGGCAACCCATGACCAATGGTGTCAGCGACCCTATGATCGCGATTGCGACGGGCTCCATTAAAATCTTCAAAAACTTCATTTGGGAGGAAAGGAAGGAAGGGATGCCCTACGCCTTAATCTTGATCAGTATAGATAGGTATCGCAATCACTCGATGCTAAGCCCTCTCCGACACTACTCAAATCTTTCCCGGGCAAGGGGTTTAGTGAACCTATCAGCAATTTGTTCTGAGGTGGGGATATACTTGAGCTTGACTGTTCTGTTGTCCTAGACCTCTCCCTGCTACTTATGTTAGATCTCTATATGTTTTATGCGGTCGTGGTATTCTGGGTTCGAGGAGAGTGTAATGACTCCTTGGTTATCTCCGTAGATGATCGTGGCGTTAGTTCCCTAGTTTAGATTTAATTCGTTAACGAGCCTTCTCAACTAGACTCCTTTGGTAGCTTACGCCTACCCTAGAAATTCGGCTTCGTAGGTTAAGAGGGCAACGACTACCTAGCGTTTTGATTGTCAACTAATTGATCCACTTCCAATATTAAAGAGATACCCGGCGTTTAATCGTCTCGTGTCAAGATATCCTCCCTAATCTATATCCGTGAAGCCTTTCAATCTCTAAGGTTGACCCTTATACGCGAGTCTGAGACTCTTTGTTCCTTTAAGGTACCGCAGGATTCGTTGAGCGGCTTTGATGTGCTAGGGCCTAGGATTTACTAGAGTTCGACTCGCCAAAGAGACTGCGTACGCGATGTCCCCCCTGATTCCAAGCATAATATATATTAGGGATCCAACTATACGTTAGTAGGAGGTCCTGTGACCTAGAAAGCATGTGTAGTCTGTATCGTTCCTCAGAAGTGGGGAGGTTTCTATCACTGTACCGATGGGAGCGCAGTTCGTAATTCCAAATTGATGAGCAATCCTGTCAATATATGCTTCATGACTTAGAGACAGAGCGGTTTCGCTGGATGGACATTCCAAGGTAGTAGCTACTTAGGCCTAGGTCTGTCATCTGAAAAAGGTTCTTGAGGCTCCGCTTGATGTTCTTGATCCCCGTGATACTTGAACTCACGATCAGGATGTCATCAACAAAAACCGCGATGTACATATTGCTCCGAACGAAGATACCAAGATCGACGGGGATTGGCTCGAAGCCAAGATTGCGTAGACTCGCATATAAACCTACTATCTGTTTAACTTTCCATTGTGGCATCATGAATGTTATTCAGAAAATTATCTAAATCCTTCTCTATCATACTCGTATTGAAAATGCTATGAACGCCAGCACGAGCCTCGGGTAGTGAACGAGGCATGAAGGTTGCTGAACCGTGATTCATGATCGACCCATTGTATTTGCTGCTCATTGAGGAGATGAGACTTAATTATGAGTCAGAAAAATGAGAGAGAAGGCTGTGAACTTGATTGCAGCATCCCCTAGTCAAACATCCTGGCAACCACGGCCTAGAAAGGCATAGGCTGAAATGCGATCGTGGCGAATCATGGACTAGTAGGTGAGTTGGCCCCCAAAAAAAAGCGTTCCCGTAAACAGTACTAAGGAGTAAGCGAAGCTTAGCTTCAAAAATCATGTAGCCCCTGAGATAGAACTTGCTTGACCTGTTGAAGTCTCCGCACGTTTCCCTAAGACCGAGTGTCAATTCTGCGATCACGTTTCCTACTCACGACCTATCATTGGCATGCAACTCATCCGTGAATTGGAGACAAGCAAAAAGGTTTTCCAACACCGATTATGGACCAGGAAAAAGACAATTTGAAAGTGAAATGGCTCTCAGAAATCCCGCGTTGTGCTGTATGTCGCCTCCTATCTCCATGAGGCTGGTTCAGTCCGGCCGACATTTAAGAATTTTCACTGACGTTGCGAATCAAACTTCAACGATTATAGTTTCAATGCTTGTATCCCCCAGCTTTGGAGGGCGGTTGCGTATATGAAGATTTCAATTGTATATGCGCCGCGATCGCCGATCTCGTAAGAGATGCAGAGATCGAGGCTTGCCTCAACTCATGCCCGGTAAACCCAGATCAATTCTGTTCGTAGCCTCATGTCTTCTCTCATGCATTACTCTATGGTGACTGACTTTGATCGATTTGAAGGGGCCCCATCTCGAATCCTTGACTTTTGCGATCTGGTCGGCGAAAAGATTCAGCTACCAGATTATATGAATCAATACGCCAGATTACATCGGCGAAATCTTGTAGACGGTGGTGCCAGTTACACCGATTATGGCACCTTTTTTCCCGATTATAGCACTGCCGACAGTGATTCCAATTATTATTCCGACTATACCACTACTGCCACTACCGCCCTTGGTCTGTCTTATACAACAATAACGCTAACATCGACTACTTCGAGAACACCGCCTGTGACTACTGCGACAGGCTCAGCTTCTTCTAGTCTTTCGGTATCCTCTGATCTTTCGACCTCCTCTGGTCTTCCAAATTCCTCTGGTCTTCCGAATTCCTCAGGTCTTTCGACTGGAGCAAAGGCTGCCATTGGAGTGGCAGTTCCAATTGCTGTGATACTATTTGGGCTGTTTCTTTTTTGGTTCTTGCGCAAGCAAAGGACTAACGGAAGCAATGCTACCTCTAGAGCCGGCCATAGCAGTGATGTTCCTGAACTGCGTGAACAAATCCAGCCAAAAGAACCAGTGCCAATGTCAAGATATCTCCTTGCGGAAGCTGATAGCAACCCTGTTCATGAGTCGGACAGCAATTCTGTATTCGCAACAAAACGCCTGGCTGCTGGGACTCAGGGTCCTGCTGTTTACGAATTGAGTGATGACTACGCCGGTAAAGATCATCCTATACCGACAAATTCATCTACGGACAGACAAATTATTTTGCCAGAAAAGCAGACTGACTCATGCGTTGGTCAAGGAACAGCTCGGGAGGCAGTCAAATTGGCAGCCTCAACACCTATCTCTGAACCGAATGATCGCTTAAATTTGAATGCTTCCATCGGTGCTCTAGTCGATAATGATGCACATGCATGGTCGCAGAAGCCCAAAGAAAACTATCAGAAAGATACTGCGCCGCCGCCGCCTACAGATTTGGAACACACTGATGCGCCTTTATCACAGCTTGAGGCAGAAATGGCACTTATTGCGGAAGAAAGAGAGCGCTTGCAGCAATTGATGTCTCTGGCAGAGAGAGAGGCGGATCTCAGACGACAAATTAAGGCACGCAAGTCTGAAATGTAGCGGGCAGAGCCATGGCTAGTTCCCCAAGTATATCTTTGATCAAGGGAAACATACCTTCACAGGGTCTTACGAGAGGGATAATTGATAACCGTGCTTTGTAGTGTCCTGTGATTAGCTTCCGTAAGATTTATGCTTTTTAATTGAAATTTGGATTATTGTCTTCATTAGTCACAACTGATGTGCGTTGAACTAGGTATGTTGAGAATTATGGCTGTAGCACTAAATTGGCATTATGACCCAATGAACAGTCTGGCATGATTAATCATCATTCGAGGATCGAATCAGTTGTATGTACCATGTTTGCTTCTCGCCTGCACTAATTGCTCACTGCATGATCTATCGAATTCTTGCAGATTTTCTGGAACCCCGAGGAGTTTCAACCGGAAATTCTTGCAGATGAAAAACTGCATCTCACGAGAACCACTGACACTGCATGGCTTGTATCCCCAGGCGGGCGGTGGGATACCAGATTATACTCCACCGAACTCGGCTTGGATATCTACAATACTATCACTCGGCTGTGAAAAGTCGAGCAGGCCTTCGTTTTGGGACACCTGACAATTTTACCCTCTGACTCTACTAGGATTTCAATGCACTGACATCGATAGTCAAATCGTAGGCCGACAAAGAACAAATGCGTGAGAACTCCCACCGAGTCCACTTTGCTACAGTCCCCAAGCCACATGCGAGGGTATAAGAAGGCACGGGCCTACGCTTGTGGTGGAGAATCGTCTGTTCAAATCTCCAATCTCTTCAGATTTATACCATCCACCAATCTTGCACAATTTTCCAACATACGAACATTCAGCATTCACAGTACCTCCACCTGCTTTCTTCTCTGGCTAACATTTAGCGTATCTTGAATCACCATATCGATGGTAAAAACCCTATAGACTTGGCATCTATTTCTTATCATTTGACAGTGTTGCATTTGAGCAATTCGTGCAGTTGAGCCATAATGTGGTGCGTCAGTATTCATCTTGTTGAGGGGAGTTGATTGTGTGTTGTGTTGCCAAAAATACAAGTAAGTTGAGATATTGGTATACATGTGTGCACGTGATCCCAGCTTCATTGTTATCTCAGCAACTGGGATATTCCAACACATGTCCCAAGTGACCTGCCGGCGACGTTAAGTAATTCATAATAATAATTCCCAAACGTACATTAAGCAATTCGTGCATTTAAGCAATCCGTGCATTGAGTATCTTTCAAACGAAGCCAGACATAGCAAGGCAGAAGGTAGAATAGGTTGCAAGAGTGAAAACCTAGTGTGATCTCTTGAAAATATAGCATGTATGCCTCAGGTATATCATGACGTAAACTAACGTAATTCACATACGAGTCGGCCACACCGCCTCAGATCGCGTTCCGACGCATACTCTTCATCTTCAACCAACCACTATACCACCAAAGCGTACTCAATCCTCTCAAAACTCTGTCGAGCAGGAGGGCAGAGTGCTACTAGCTATGAAGGTTATTAAAAATGGGTCTACCGATTCTATACGCAAGATTGCAGCACGTTACAACATCCCTCGCTCAATATTACAAGACTGTATGAACGGCTATCAATTTCGTACAGAGATACGCGCCAACAACTATAAATTGACACAGACTGAGGATGATTCGCTTATAGAGTGGATACTCTTTATGGATTTACGTAGAGCAGCACCAAGGCCATCTACTGTACGATAAATGGCTAATATCCTACTTGCGGAGCGTAGATCTACCTTCTTATCTACAGTTAATGTGAACTAGCCAACAAACTTAGTCAAATGCCGCAAAGAACTTCGTACACGATATTTAAGGCGCTATGATTATCAACGTGCTTAAAATAAGGATCTACAGTCTCTACGAGAGTGGTTTAACACTGTTCAACGTATGATTGATAAGAATGGTATCCAACTAGAGGATATCTACAACTTTTATGAAACTGGCTTTGCGATGGGCCTTATTGAAACCGCTTAAGTAGTAACACGTACTGAATAATACGGTCGTTGAGCAATTTTTACCGCCTAGAAATCGTGAATAGATAACTACGATTAAAATAATTGGGGCAAGTGGTTTTATACTTACCCTGTGCTTTATATTAAAAGACAAAGTCTATATAAAAAACTGGTTTAATAACCTTCTAAGTGACTAGCGATTTGAGGTCTCTCAAAATAGCTAGACTACAAATGAGATTGGCTTACGATGGCTTAAAAAAATATTTATTCTGGCTACAACCACGTATACAAAAAGGAAATTTCGTCTTCTTATTCTGAATGGCGATAATGGCCACCTTATATCTCAATTCGATTGGATTTTTACTAAAAACTTGATTATACTACTTTGTATACCAGCATACTCATTTTACCTTCTTTAGCTACTTGATATTGGGTATTTTACTGTTCTTAAACGCTTGTATAGACGCTTAGTTGAAAGTCAAGCACGTATAAGATATAACTACATCAATAAGCTAGATTTTCTAGCAGCATATCCTAAAACATATATAGAAACCTTCAAAACAGAGACTATTTAAAATAGCTTCGTAGCAGCAGGTCTAATACCAATCAACACAGATCGTATGCTCTCAAAGCTTAATATATCACTACATAAACCTACACCTCCACCAAACCAGCGAAGCAGCAGATCATGAATCAGGAAATCAGTGGCATTGTTGTCTATGTCTAGCATCTCTACAGTCTTAGATTGCCCATATCCCTTCCTCGAAGATATCACCGCCTGAGGCAGTAACCATGCAAATGACGTGATTTCCCCACTACAATAAATAGTTTTTAAAGATTCGATTAAAAAATCGTTAATAAGACTTGAAGGAAGCTTAATCGAACGAGGGAAAAAGAAAACGGGGGAGGAATCACTGCCATTTTAAATAGCACGATTCTTCGGGAAATCATTTTTAGCGCCCTTAAAGACTGGAAGTTTTAGCAGATAGGGGGAGATAGTAAAGAAGGGGGGGTGGAGTAGATCAGGGCGCGAACCAACCCGCCCCGAAGGTGCGTGGGTGCAAATGCGAGGTGTATGGTAGAACGGCTGGCAAATGTGCGGCCAAAACGGCCTCCGAGGCGGCCATTTCTGGTCGTCTATTTGCCGTCATCTAGTTTTTAAAGAGCACTCATTCCATGCTTAAATAGACTCTGTCAAACTAATACTTCGAAGGCAAGACATAACCCCCAATACTAACAAAAAAACGCATAGCTCTACCCAAAAACTCAGCAACATCCTCCCCAAACCACTGCGGAAACAGCTTCGTCCGAGGACGCTCAAGCTCTCGCAGAAACCTACCAGCGACCTAATCAATGCCAATAAATTAGCTAAAAAAAACAACCCCCATAAATAGGATCCAAGGATTCAACAGAACATAATCATACCATAACACAGTCCCCTGCCCTCTCTCGATCCAACGCCACAAGCGCAATAGCCTCAGCAACCCTCTCAGGGGTATTCTTCTCCAACCCAGCCTCGTCCCATCTCTGCGCAAAGCCAGCAGTGATATGAGTTGGCGTCAAGAATGGTGCAATGGCATTAACTCGAACTCCGTATTTCTGTGCTGTCGTTTGACAACCGCGCAGAAGACCAAGAACGCCATGCTTGGAGGCTATATAGGCTGTAACGCCCGTCCCGCCGAAATAGCTTGATGTGGATGCGACGAGGAGGATCGATTTTGTGGTATTTGTGGATGTAGTTGTGGTTGTAGATGTGGGCATTTTCATATAGTGCAGACCCAGCCGAAGTGCTGCATCATGTTCAAGATGGACCAGCTAGTAAGCCTTGCAATTGAAATCCAGTCGTAGACATCTTTTGTGGGGATTTGTCCGATTGAGAACGAGAAGGGAGAAACATACTATTCAACGTCCCCTTCAAATTGACATCAATGACTCTCCCGGCCTCGTGATCATCAAGTAACCTTCCATTTTCATCGACATCCTCTACATTGAGAACAGGTCTGGACTCCATGATACCGGCATTAGCAACGACAACATCAAGACCGCCGAAACGGGCGATGCTGTTCTCGAAACAGTCTGTCAACTCTGTCCAGTCGACGATATTGGCGGGGAAAAAGACTGCGCGGTCTGGGTGTGCTAGTTGGGTGTTGATTGCTTCTTCTGCTTCGGTGCGGAACTGGGATAGGTCTGCTAGGATGACGTTTGCTCCTTTTTCGTTGACGAGTTTCGCTGTTGCTAAGCCGATGCCGTGGGCTGCGCCGGTTATTAGGATTGTCTTGTTCTTCGCTTCTGCGAAGAGGGCGTGGTTGAGGTTGACTTGGGACATTTTGGTTTTGGTTCTTTCTTGGAGTGGTTGGTAAAAGTTGGCTTTGTCGTGCTGTGATTTGGCTCCGGTGAGAAGGCCGAGATGGGTGAAGGGCTGTTTTATACATCTATAAGGCGGAGCAGGAAGATGCGGGGTATTGATTGCGACGTTTGCCTCGCTTATGCGTGCAATTCATGTATATTCATGTTCTCGTACTTAAAGATAGATGTAAGTATGATACAAATGAAACAATACTGACGCTGTCAGTATGTTCCAGCAGGGTAAAAATATGTACTTCAGATCTGACTTCCAATCATCATCACAAAGAATACCTCAATCGGTCTTGTCTCGATCACTTGGTTTTGCCCCAGTCATATCGCTCAAGTCTACCCTCGACCCTGCCCGCGAAGGCATGCGTGACTGAGCCATCGACTCGCTCGTACTGACAGCGTGGAAAGAAAAGTCTAACTCGCCGACAAGCCCTTTGACGTGCCTATAGGACGAAGAAGTCAGTAAATCGGATAGACGTAAGCGAAGGACATTATGAAATCATACCGGAGGAGTCTATCAACATCACCGACGATACATCTGGTCGAAATTTGCAAAACTGCAAATGCAGCGAAGCCCGGCTCGGCAATGTGTCTAAGGCTCAAGATATCTTTATCAAGTGCTTCCAAGCGCTTTGTGAAACTATAAGGCCGGGGGGCCTTGAGATATGGCGGCAAAGGCTGTCGGTTCGTGATACTAGCAGACAGAAGACAAAGCAGGGATGTGACCTCGTGGGTGGTGACCTTGGCTGTACCGACCAAACGTCGGAAATCAAGCATCCAGGCCGTATCGGTAACATCATCGCCATCACTGAGATGCATCAACGTATCAGACGCGTAACCTAGTAAACTGAGGTAGTTTACAATGCTGGAAGAGAGAAGACTTGTCAGTAATGAAAATCGAAAGAGAGGGTATTTGTTACATACTTTTCAACACACAGAATGATGGAGTCATACTGCTTCTTAGGAAACTGACCACCGATGGGTACCTCCCACCGCAGGAACTCCGAGTACGTCCGAAGACCAGCGAGCATAAGCATCTGCTTTGAGAACACCTTGTGTCGGGCTTTTTCAAGTTTCCGACCTGCAGAACTCTTGAGAAGGAAATCGCCCTCGTCACCGCGCATGCGGCCGGAGATAGTTTCGTGGATAATCGAATAGTAATTGGCCAGCAGATAGAGTGAGGCACCCAAGCTCTGTCGGAGCACCGAATGCTCCGAGATCGGATAAGGGAAGAATGTCCAAAAGAACGCGACAGCAATACCACCCGACACCGTAGCGAGCCGATATGGTGCCAGCAGGTAAATGGGATAGTAGGGCTGTCCGTTAGAAGTCGCGACCGCCTCTCCCACTTTGCGAACTTGGAGTTCATAGCCGATGATCATTGTTGTCGTGACAATGCTGATGATGCCCACGACCCTGAAACGGAACATTTTGATGGGGATGTAGAATGCCATTGAAACAAAGATGAAAAGGAACACAATGACACCCGGTGTTTTTTGATCCGGGATATACCAGATCAAAAGACTTGCAACCATTGCAATCGTCGTGCCTAGAATCCGCAACACAAAACTGAAGATACTCTGCCCAGATGTTGGAGACATGCTGAGGTTCACCATGATCATGGCCCACACCAACCGCTGTTCAGTGAAAAATGTCTGGGTATCATGCAGGAAAGCAATAATAGCAATGGTCATGGTAGCACAGGCAACGCGAAAGCCATATGTTGACTCGAAAGAGCGAAGGAACCACGGGAGAACTCGGATTTTGTCTCCAAACTTCTGCCACACAGTACTAGGTGGTAAGTGTTCAGGGTCCTTGCGAAGCCGATACGCCTCGCCAAGTTGGAGGATGTTGTTTTGGGTATGAATGTCACCCATGTTGTCATCTTCGTGAGATTCTTCAGGGTTCAAAACGGATTTGGCCCATTTCCACAATCTCTTACTGCCAGGAATGATCAGCCGAGTCTTCGACAACTTCCCCTTGGCGTTAACATGATCAGCATAGCGAACAAAGTCCAGAACGGTTTGACCAGTCGAGTACAACAATTGTTCCATCTAAAAGTTTGTTAGCTTGAGCAGAAGACTTCCACCCAGGGGCAGTCTTACATAGAGAAAAAGATACAATTGTCGTCGACTACGCTCTTTCTGCGTCGCTGAGGTATCCAAAAAGTCGGATTCCAGAATTTCGGGACTGGTAGGGTGATCAAAGAAATCGGGTGGTAGTTTGATTCCCTTCTCCTCCGCCCAAGTTTGCAGAGCAAGACGCTTTGCACTTCGGAACTCTCCTAGTTTCTTCTCAAAATGCTCCGTGAACGCTTTCTCGCCGGGCGCGGTATCCTGAGCCGTTGCTTCCACGTCTTTAGCTTCTTCGGTGGAATTGTCACTCGAGGTCGCTGCCTTGGCCTTCTGCTTTGGTGGCTTCGTCAACAGGAACACATAGGAAGTATGCAGCAGTCCCTCGTCGATAGTCTGGATCATCGTGGCAAATGGATCATGGACAGCTCTCATGATATCATTCCACTCATGCACAACGCGCTCTCGCACAGCCTCCGGAACTGAGTCTAGATTGGCATCGATGGGCTGATTCCATCTGTTATAATCCGACAGACGCTGGAAGATATCGACGACAAAGCTTAATCCGACGACCGGAATCATGATCTGGCGAAGATGACGGAAGATCGCCTGAAGATCATCCGGCCCCAGTTTCCCCAATGCGACTTCACGCTTCGCAAAGGTGAGATCGCCATGAAGTTTTGCATGAAGATCTGTGATCTGACGAATTGCACCGCGAATGGCTTCCGCCTCCGGACTATAGACCTTTCCTTTCTTGGTGAACTTCTCGCGGGCATCATCAAAGGTCTCAGTGCGACCGAACATATCATCCCTCTCCAAACTCTCAAAGTACACAGCATGAGCATTCAGAGCGGAGCGAAGTCCCCCAATGTACCCAGCCATTTGCTTCAAAACAGCCTGACGCGACGTCATCGGAAGGACCAAGAGAGACGTAACGGTGGCGATAGCGAGACCGGTCAGAGAAGACTCCAACAGTCGTTTCACCATAGAAATTGCAGCCGTCATATTCTGCATTTGCGGAGCGTATACGGAGGAAATGTTGCAAAAGATACCGTATATAATGACCGGGAATTGTAGCTGCGGGTACTTGGCCCGGAAGGTATGAACCATCCAGATCTGGAAAAACAGCCAGACACCACTAACCGCCGACGCAGACGAGTTGTAGGTGCCAATCGACGATGTGGCTGTGTGCTGCCGGGCCTTGACACTTGAATACATCGTCAAGAGCGCAAAGCAGGCCGCTAGGCAGACAGCCAAGACATCAAAAATCATCATCTGGATGAACTTTGCGCGCGGCATAATCGCAAACCCCAGAATCGAGATAATGGCCATTAAATAGCCTAGCGTAGTGAATTGGTGGGCGACTGTCATGGCTTGGTAACTGTGACCGGGATTAGAAACACGGGCTGGAAGACTCTCGGGTACATCACTCACATAGACACGGCAATAGTTGGCGGAAGTCCGCCCCTAGTACCATCGTTAGCAATTTATTTTCCCAAATAAAATCTCTTCCAAGAACCGGGGGCAACAGGCTACACGAAGACATACTTCATCATTAGCAGGACAGTCGGTCGATCCAGTCCTGTCTTTGCCCAAATCTTCTTGCAAACCCCAGCAAAAGTCTGCCTCTCTTTGGGCGTATCATCCTGCACATCTGAGTCAAACGAAGCTGACTGGCGCGACGTCGTCCGCGACGCCATCTTTACACGAGGTTGGCGCCGTGCAGGTCTTGGCTCCGATCTTCAGGAGGCACGAACACGTGATCTGAGCACGGGGCCCGAAATGCGATCCAAGGCCAGGTGCGCTGCGGACAGTTGCGACGGTTGCGACAGTTGCAACAGTTGCGCTGGACTTGGGACTTGGGCTCGGACTCGGACTCGGACTCAGGAGCTGGGGGGAGTGACTTCCCGCTTAAGGTTTGTGGACTGCGGAATCATTACCGCTGTGGAAACGGAAACGGGAGTTCTGCAGTTGACGTAACCCTGTATAGATCGGACAAAGTTGGACATAAAGTATAGGTTCCTGCTGTGTAGCCCGAGAATATTATGCAGGCACGAAGTACGGTGGTAAGATTGTACTTTTGTTCATTTATCTTAGCTCCATACAATCTCGATCATGTTTCGACAAAGGTCCCGTACTATTGAATGTCGTGGTCAGGGAAGGTGGACGAGTGCAAAGAATCGACATTGACCTAATTTTTGCATTGTAGATATGTTTGCTCATTGTGATGGTGTCAAATATGCCCTATGCCCTCGATGCCTTCGATGAAACCCACAACCCTCTATGGGCTTTCCTTCCTCCTCTTTTATATCCCCCGTTCTCTTCAGTTACTCCGTACAGGTGTAGTACTCGATATCCCTCTCATCCTACATTTGGTCTTTGATACTCCGACCATTGCTATATCTAGGACCTCGGTCTGGATATCAGGAACGGACAGAGACACATTGGATCCAAACAGACTTCCACGGGTTCTTCTAACAAGTTTCAACTTTCAGCCAACTCCTCAAGGAAAAGAATCACGATGTTTTCCCATATCAACACAATGTACATGACTATGATGGTCTCCCTCCTCGTTGGAGGCACCATCGCCATGCCCGCCATTGCTCCGGACGCAACCAAGTAAGTTGACGATATGGTGCAAGCTCACATGCATTTCACCTCTTACCCCCAATCACCCAATCACAAAAAAGACACGAATGAACAAAGCTGACCAAAGTCACAGCCTCACCATCCACAACAAGCTCACGACCGAAATCAGCGGTGGACCATACTCCGGCGACCTGACCTGGTTTGACACGGGCCTCGGCGCCTGTGGTGGCTGGAACGTCGGGACCGACTGGATAGCCGCCGTCTCCCACATTGTCTTTGACCGGAACGCGCGAGGCACGAACCCCAACAACAATGGCCTCTGTGGTCAGAAGATCCACATCCAGCGTGGTGGCCGTACCGTCGAGGCAACCGTTGTTGATCGCTGCGAGGGCTGCAAGGAGAATGATATTGATGTTACTCGCTCCCTCTTCCAGCAGTTTGATGACCTTGACCGTGGCCGTATTGGTATTGTTTGGTGGTGGAACTAGGTTCAGTGAGCGGACTGTCTTTTCCAACGGTCTTGTATGGTGGCAGCCTTTGGCTGGGATGAGGGGACTGCTTGGGATTTGTGAAGGTGCAATGATGATATGAGGGTATGATAGGAGATTGAAAATGCAGGAATCTCTGTATTTGCTTTGTGGCTTTCGCTTTTTCTTGAGTTCAATATCGAATGGCATGACACGTCAGTATTCAGGCCATTCTGAATCTACCTGTTCTTTCCATGATCGTAGACCACCACGGATATCACCAATAAACCGCTGTCCATTCTGATCTAGTCCTAGCTCTTTCATTTTCTTCACGACTATCTGCGAGTCATTGCCTAGACGGCAGACAACGTAGATCGGATTACTGGACTCGGAAGCGAGTTCAGATGGTAACCAAGAGGGCAGCTGGGGAGCTTCTTGCTCACCGACCGCTGGGGGTTTTGAATATCCAGAGGCAAGGATATCCGAGATAGGGATGTTGATACTATTTTCCAGGCTGCAGATTCCAAATTGGCCTTTATCGCGCACATCAATTACGGTGTGTGGCTGTGAAGCAGATGAGACACTAGGGTACTTCTCATGGTACTCCTGCGCGGAAATACGTTCCTCAGGACTAAGCAAGGACGGCAAACTCGCAGAGCCACAAAAGAACACATAGTCCGTTGATCCAGACTTGATCGTATCCAACGTGACCGTCGCTTCGGCAGAGCATACTGCACAATTTGCCCGGCGCGAACGAAGACGAATCGTGCGCACCAGGGGACTCGAATATGCAGAGAAGACATGCAGAGCTGGGGCTTCGCGAGGAACACTCGCAGCACCACCAACCACATCAACATCAGGCGCAGTAATGACCTTGATGGCCTCGAGGGCTTGCAGGACACCCATGGTGCCGACAACCGGGCCCAGGATACCACCATCCGCACAACTGACCACACTATCAGCCGGCGGCGGTCTGGGAAACACACAACGATAGCACGGTCCTCCACTTTTATCCCCGGGAGCCCGTGGTGGGTTATTCAAGACCATAAGCTGGCCCTCGGTCCGCAAAGCAGACGCAGAGACCAATGGTTTCCCAACCAGAACGGCAGTATCCGAGATCAAGTATCGCGTTGCCGGATTGTCCGTACAGTCGAGGATCAAGTCATAGTCCTGGAAGATGGCAGGCGCCTCATCGGGCGTGAGGTGTGTTCTGTGCGGAATGTACTTGGGATGCGGGTTCAGCCTAGCAATAGCAGGACATCGTCAGCGCAGAGTTCAAATCCACCCTCCCCAGAAATAGACTTACTCGCGCAGCGACTCAATCGCACTGTCCACCTTGTACTTCCCAACATTCTTTGTCCGGTGCAACACCTGGCGATGCAGATTCGACACCTCGACCGTATCCCCATCAATCAACCCAATAGTGCCAACGCCCGCACCGGCGAGATATTGCGCAGCAGGACATCCCAGTCCTCCAGCCCCGACGAGCAAAACCCTGGCCGATCGAAGTTTCAATTGACCTGCAGTTCAGAAGAGTGCAATTAGCCCACATGCCCGAGATCTCATCTCCTAACGCAGGTATCGAGTCGTCGCTTACCCGGGAGTCCAACTTGAGATACAATCATCTGTCGTCCATATCGCTTATATTCTTCCTGGAGCAGTGGCCACCTTCTTCCGTGGCCAGGCTCGTCATCGTGTTCGTTCTCCGCGGGGGTGGGCGTTGCGCTGTCGGATTGCGCTGCTTGTTCGGCGTTCGCGAGATCCCGTTTCAGTCCGGCGAGCTGTTCTTCTGTTGCTGTGATCTGGGCGCGCAGGGATGCGCATGTCTCTTCGAGGGATCCCATGGGGAATGTTGCGCGAAGAGGAATTTGACGCGAGGGGAGATCGGGAAGTTCCCCGCGGCTTTTTTTGTGGGTCCCGAAGTACAGAATCTGTTGATATGAAAGCTTTCAGCAATATTCTTATGCAGTATTCGCAGGGACTGGAGGTTTGAAGTATTTTTTTAAATACTGGCTTGGCTGCTCTTTTACTTTGGCCTTCTTGTTCTTTTCCAGTGTCTAAGCTGAAAAAAATTGAAATTATGACGATTGTTGTACTGTGTTATTACGCATATTCACGGATGAACCGCTACAGATCTAAGAATATAGGTATGCAAATGCAGTCGATATGTAAGAGATAGTCATTTCATTCAATTTCTGTTTATACCTGCCAAGTGTATGTGTATATTCTATCCCAAATTGTCATCTAGTCATAGTCATTCGATTCAATCCCTGCGTTCCGCAGTGGTAGTCGTGTCATCAGCGTTCTCCTCGTGCATAATCTGAGTCTTTTGCAAAGTATGCTCGACGTCAGCGCGTCGCTGCTGCTCATCAACAGCGCCGAAGATGAGATCCATCTCCTCAAGGGTGCGGCCCTTGGTCTCTTTGAAGAACACAATGACAAAAATGCCCATGGTGAAACAGAAGATGCCGAACATGAGGAAAGTCTTCCAACCGATTTTGTTGATGGCGCGAGGAGTAACCTCGGTAATGACAAAGTTGAACAGCCATTGGGTGGCTGCACCGAATCCGACACCGTAGGCACGGAGGCGAGTGGGGAAGATCTGGAAATGGTGTTAGTAATGTGTGGTTGGAAGTATGAAGAATAGAGCAAGCTTACCTCTCCGAGGTACACCCAAGGTGTTGGGCCCCACGATGCTGAGTATCCAATGACATAGAGATAGATCATGGCAACCATGGCGATTGACGCCGATGAGACTGAAGTGGCGTTCGCATTGGGGGGCTTAGTGGCCAGGACAGCTCCGATGATGAACATCATGCAAGCCATCCAAGCAGCACCACCGATCAAACTCTTCTTTCGACCCCAGCGATCGATACCGATGATCAGGAAGATGGCCGTTGCCACCACCTTGACGGTTCCGTAGATACCGGTAGCAAACAGGGAAGTGTCGGTCTTGCTCAGTCCAACACTAGCAAAGATTTGAGGGGCATAGTAACCAATACTGTTGGTTCCAGAGAACTGTTGCCAGAACATGAGAACAAACGCCAGGAAGAAACGGTATCTGTTGGTCGGCTTCAAGCATTCCTTCCAGGTCATACCCTCCGTAGCGATAGTTTCCTCCTGGATAGCAGCCGTAATCTCAGCAAACTCCTTGACAACCTCCTCGCTGGTCTCAGAATCATTCCGAATATAAGCCAGCGAGTTGAGCGCCTCCTCACTGCGGCCCTTCTTCATCAGCCAACGGGGAGACTCCTTGAGGAAGAACAATCCGATGAACATCAACCCACCGGGAACAAGCTGAATAGCAACGGGAATCCGCCATTGGCTTGTTCCCTCGGGAATATGAATCGACACACCATAGTCCAGCCAGTAGGCAAAGGTACTACCGATGACCAGGAACTCCTGGAAGAGACCCGCCACCCGACCACGGATCGCCGGGGGACAGTTCTCACTGACAAACACGGGGGTGATACTGGACATTCCACCGATTCCCAGACCAGCAATGACACGGCCACCATAGATCATTCCGATTTCATGATGGGCGCCGACCTGAACCGCTGCTCCGACCAGGAAAATCATACAGAAGATCATCAACGAGTATCGACGTCCGAGACGGTCATTGATGTAAGCTGCGAAGATGGAGCCGAAGAAACAGCCGGCTGTGAGGAGCGACACTACGTTCGAGGAGATCTGGGCATTTTTGTCGTCGCTGAAGCCGGATGAATCGACCGGCAGGCCAAAGTCCTTTTTGAAACTCGACAGCGCTAAGACTGAGCCCATCACACCCGTGTCATAACCTGCAGATCACAGGTTAGCCATTGTTGTCTCGCGGGCGGGTCAATGACTTACCGAACAGCAGTGAGCCCATATAGGCCACCGAAGTCAGGACATAGACCCGGTAGTTCTTGAAATTGACGAAGCCCATCTTGGAGATGAACGGGCTATATCCCGAGATTGAAAGTCACCAGAGACAAATTGGAAAGAAAAGACCCAGCAAGAGTCCGTAAAAGAAAGAAGAGAAAAAGAAGAGAGCAGTCGGGATCGGGTCACAAGCTTTATACTCAACGCCGAACAACGGGCCAATGCAACGCCATGATAGACCAAGCCCGACAAGCCAGACAAGCCATTTGCCTACTGGTCCCCAGAATCAAGCTAAAGGGTCTGGGGGGTTGCGGGTGTGGAGAGTTGGGGAACGAATTGGGGAAATTATGGCGGGGGGGCCCCGCAGTCTGGAGTCAAGGCGACAGTTTCTCCATCCATTCACGCTGGACTGGGCCGAGACTTAGGCTGGGGGAAAGATGTCTCTACGCCTTGCGGGGAACAGCCATTGGCGTTGGTGTGGACGGCATGGCTTGAGTGGAGACCGGTAAGGTGGTGATGCTGTTTCAGCCCTCCTGATTGATGGAAGATTTCGACGCCCTGTCCGGCATCCCCACGTCGAAAACCTGGGGTTGTGGCATGATATCGACAGTAAGTTAAGTATGAGATATGGACGGCTGAGATCTATGACGATGATAGTGCAGTGGTCCTGATGTGAGATTCAACTCAGTGATGGTTTCGTTCACTCATGGCTGAACGCCGGTTGTTCTTTCCACCCCTTGCTCAATTGCCGGCGTTCAATTGCCGATGCCCCGAGTCACAGTAGCAGATTGGCAGTAGATCACAAAAAGAGAAAACTAATTAGCAATGACAATTTGACGGCTTGTGTCGACTCGGCTCTATCGGCGTCGTTTGGCTTGGCTTCTGCTTACTCGGGTTTATGGCCAACCCCTGTCTTCTCATCACTTCGGCGTCGGAGTGGGTGTGGGATTGTGAAATATGCCGACACTCATCCCTGATCAACTGAGAGAGACTGTTCAGTCTCAAATGCCGAGCCAGTCGGGATCTGGCAAAATCGCATTGCCGCGATATTACAGGAACTGAACTACTCAAGCACTTTTATAACTTTGTGCATTCCATAATATGGCAGCGGACTGGGAATGCCAATTAATCTTATCTTCCCGATGAAGAGTTAGGGCCAGATGGCTTGGGACACGGACCTTGAGAGCGTAAGATAGGATGCCGGGCCTTCCCGACTGGTATGGACCTCACCGGAGTAGAGTATTTGGATAAGCATGGGCAAATAGGGAGAAGGGAACTACATGGCATGTTCATATCAACATCAGTACCACCTCAGAGTGCCCAGATGATGTCTCCTTATGTCTTTCGCATTTCGAGTTGGATGCGTTCAAATTCATGGTGAGGGACTATTCTATAGATTCATTTCAACAATAGACAGTAATGACATAGCTTGAGAATGTAAAATAGCCTCACCGAATGGTGTATACAGGCTATTTGAATGTGAATGTTTTTGCAGCGGGCACTCGACCCTCGGTCAATGCAGCAGAAGATGTGATTTCCAGTCTCGGTCTCTAGATTTACCTAGACCAGATAACCATGCAGTTCCAAATACCATAATGGGAGAGTCTAGTATTGTCGGCTACAAAACAGCGACAGATCCATGGCAGTGAATATAGCTTATATTCTCATGTCATCTGGTAAGATTATTATTAATTGAACCTTCGGAGTTTCATTGCTACGTATTGCTTATCAATCATCGTCATATTGGCCCGGGGATGGAGGAGCTTTGGCAGGCTTTGGAGTAGCTGAAGATTTAGCACACGATGAAAGTCCCAAGACGTTTGAAGCACAAGAATCAAGAGCATCTGTGAAGCAGGTTCTTTGATCTCAGTCCAGAGAAATGTCACTTAAATTCGAATCTGTCCATCTCAACATTATCTTGCTACGAAGGAAAAACCTCAAGTTGCACTTGAAGCTTCAATGGGGTTCAAAACTAGACGTCCAGAACTTTCCAGCCGTCAAAGCTATCTTTGAGTTTGACAGATGATAGGCTTGACATTGAAAATTTAGTATTATTCGATTAATCCGTCGTCTCATAAGATTCTTTATCAGCTTTCTGCTTCAACCACCGACGGTACGCAAACAACGCGATAATCCCTACTACGACCAAGAAAACGATGGCGAAGACAAGTACCACGCCGCGGTTCTTGTTTGCCCAATTATCTCGCGCAATCAGGAAGTTCAGGGATGGAGACGGCAATGGAGGGAGAGACTTGATGGCGGCCATTTTGTCAAGTTCAAATAGATGGGGATAATCTGTTGCAGATATAGATGTCAAATTTAATCATTTGCTTTGATTCCAGTAGCCAGCCGAGTCGACCGGTATCTTTAGAGATTGCTGCATAGGGTCATCTTACCGGATGTTTGTCCCACCGTGCGTTTCTAGTCACTCAAAAGATGTTGTGACTAAAGGAAGGCTAGTCAGCAAGTGTATTATCATCTTTTAAATGTAGATCTATCGGAACAAATGGTTTCCATCATGATAGGATTGCCTCTACTCAAAACCACCATGAAGAATGGACTTGTTCAAAGGATTGGGAATGATCATGCCGTAACACACCTTGAGCCCAGTGAAAGTGACCAAAGAAAACAACAACAAATAGAGGTATTCGGATTGTAACCTATGCTCACTGGTCCTTATAGTAGACTGTAGCTTCCGTGACAAAATCCAATTGTATTGGAATTTTGCTTGGATGGTGAGGATAAATAAATCAGAAAAAGAATCGGCACGCAACGGCTCTGTTTATTTGATGATGCTGACTGAATAGTGACCCTGTGTTGTGTTTATTTACCTTTTGCTACAAGGGAAACATGTTTTATTGGCTTCAGGGAATACTCGACCATGGCTTGGGCTCAGTAACCACAGCAAACTCTCATCCTTGCCAAATAAAATCATCCGCAAGGCTCCGTGATGATAACGGTTTATTTTCTCTAGTAGACATGAAACCGGGCCTAGATGAAGGTCCATTATGTTGACCGATTGCCATCCATGTGCATGGAAAGTCATCTCCAGCACGTTATATGTATTCCCTAGATACTCTGTGAGCAATATCAATGAGATAACAAATCGTTCTAATTGCTCTTACACGATACAATACGTCATCATATAATCATGCCTCCCGCGCAGCTTGTTGGATACGCGATCAGCCGATTTTTATGATCAGATCTGGGATGGCAGCTTCTATTATAGATTCATACATGTGCAATGACCGAACTAAACTCTCTATACAGTTCGTTGTTTGAACATGGGTCACCTATAATCGGAACTATCAAGCAATAAATCATTTCACCATTTTTATGCGTAGTCATCCTCTAACACACCCTGGAAACCAGGCCAAATCCTAAGCCAGGATCTGACAAATTTTATTATTTAACAGTACTTATTTCCTTTCATAACCAAAACAAGTACATACGACCACAGGGTGTGGAGAACAGGGCTTCCCGTCCGCTCAGCCGTACTTAAGCCCATTACTCTGCGCAGTCAATTTTCAAGGCGCCCTTAAAATTAGAATGGCCAAAAAAAAACTTAAGGTGAGTGTGGGTGATATAGGTGAGAATTCTGGAGACCGAGGTGACAGAGGTGAGAACGGGGTGAGAAGGGGTGAGAAGGTATCCCTTCTCCTATTTCCTCGTGCCAGTGTGATAAGTAATGACTAGATCCTTAATTCCGGGTTTTCGTAAAATTATTCTTTTCCCTAGCGGTTAACACTATGTTGCTTACACAGTCTAGAATGAAAGGAACGGTCTCCTGGTTTTGCGTGTCTTGCCACGATAGCGATTCTCATCGCATGAAGATCAAATTTATAGCACATTAGCCTGGATCCCATCTTGTTTGCTTTTGGTCACACTTACTCCCTGCCAAGCGGCGCATCAACATCAATACACTATGCGCAAATTGCCTAGAGGAAACAAATCTTCTATCATCGAAGGAACAGCAGGAATTCGTCTCTAAGAAAGATCAAATCATGTTTGAAAGAAGCGCTCCTTGGGCGAAACAGGAGTGGGACTTTTGGGTCACTTGTCGTGAATGTCAACCCATAAATGAATCTTTGCAACAGAATGACGGCATACATGTTGATCTCGTTGGTGGAGCTAGTATATCTTAAACTCTCGGTGCTTTGAATCCTTGGTTGTTAAGACTAGGCAGATCCCTTACAATACCATTTTTTTGTGAAATTCAATTTGTCATTTTAAAACTTTGACTTATCGTTCTGTCGCTCTTTGGGTAGAGTCCCTGCAATTTCAAAGGACAGGAAATTTGTCTTATCGCCTTTATCTAACAGTATTTATGACTGAATGTATAGAAGTTAATTTCACCTAGGGCAAGATTTGCACTTTCTGCTTTAAGATACATGTTTTTCAAATGGCTTCCTTCCTTGATCGGCAAACCGGAATAAAAAGCTTAAGTTCTGAAAGGATTTGGCACAAGAACCCTCCTGCGGGTCTAAGTTGGTAAGTTGTATGTTGTACAGTATGGGCAGACATGCTTGGACTGAAACGGAACAGTGGGGCGTGCCCATTCCATGCGGTCCTGTTCGCAAGATACGGAGCTGAGAGCAACCGCTATGTAGACACAAACTACTCATTCTAGCTGTTGCTGGCTTGCTTAAGCTCTTCATGCTATTTATGCTCCATTTCACAAGTACATAAACGTATCTGTTGTCCCCACTAAGGCTCTTTTCCATTCATAAATTCTTCTCAGTTCTCTGTATTGGTGTTGGATAATAAGCACCCTATCAAAGTAAGTATATGTGCTGATGTGATCCAAGCTTCTATTTGGTCTTTAGTCTGCGGGGTTGGTTGGACCCACCGCCTAACAGGCCGTGTTCAATTTGAGTACTTGGTTAAAACTACTAGTATAAAATGGCAATTCAAATAAAAGAAAACAGAGAGGGGTATGTATTCGTTATTGAAACTATCAAGGCCAATCTTTACATTTTAAAAGTATTGTGGCATATTCATTGGCCCTAACCACACATTCAACATCTCCTCAATCGTAACGTCCTGAAGATCCACCCAAGGAAAACCAGGATCAGGCTGAGGCTCTTCATAGATATTATTTTCTGAGATTCCAGTGGCGAAGACTCCCAGTGCACTATTATTCTCTCCAGCACTATCAGACTGCGCAAGACGATATTTCTCTTCAAACCATTCAGAAAGGAACCGCAGCCAATCTTGGTAGAAGAACATCTCATGTTGATCCCACTTCCCACCTTTACACTCCTGATCAAGCGTATTCATGCGCTTGACAGATTTCTGGATTTCATGCCGCATATTCAATGTCTCTCGCAACCCTCGGACTTGATCGTGATCTCGAACGGATGGCTCCAACGACGCGAGAACAAGTTTGCATGAAGCTGCAACGCTGAACCCGGTCATTATCCATTGGGTGTAACTAAACCTCTTTTCAATACCAGGTGGTAGACTGAAATAAAAGCTCATAAATTGTTTCGCAGCCGCTAGTCCGTGACAAAGGGCATCGATTCGCAAGAGGGCCATGGATTGGTCGAATGACACGGCGGAAGATGGATATACATCGAAAAAGGTAGTTTGATAGAGATGGATTTCGAAGGCGTAGGATGGAATGCCTTGAAATACTAATCAAGTGTTAGAATTCAGATCTGCAGTACAGATATGGCTTGGTTAACTCACCACCATGGTCAATAGGGACAGGAAGCCGGGCTTTGCAATCTTCAAAATCGCTTTGAAGAGAACTAATCATAACTTCTATATCCGCAGGAGTCTGATTCTCACCGAATCCCCGTGCAACTAGGGAGTCGATTCGTACAAGCATGTGTTGTACTTGAACCTGACCTAACAGATATCGATCGGTTGAGAATTCGCATTCCTGCGACAACTTCGCAGCGCATGATTCTATGAAGGGTGACCAAGGCATAGTTCCTATCCGCTGTAGTACTACGGAGTGACTAGTCATGTGAAAATAAAGTAAGCAAGACATAGTCTTTTCAGGTCTAGACCGGGCTGTGCAGGTGGTAAATCGAACTTACCACGCGTCAAGGAGAAAATATCCAACCAAAGCTCGCATTTCCTCGTTTCGCAGGGAGATCGATTCTTTCGGAGGATCCGTGTCCAACATGACGTCAATTCTTTGTCTTACAACTCGCAGCTTGGCTGGGTAATCCAGTCTGCAATCGTTGATAATACTTTGTGCGAGGTGCAGATATCCAGAAAACCGCACTATATGGAGTTTTTTCTTCGTTCTATCTTCCGTGTTAGCTTTTGTAAATCTAATGAAGAGAGACACTGTCTAGAACATACCCAGCTATAGTAACCAGCAATCCCTGTAGTATATCGAAGGGTTCTTGGCGATTGCCTTGCAAGACTTGTCCCCCAAGGTAAGACGTTGAAACCTCCTCGAGGGCCAGGTGCAGCGGGACATTTCGAAACGAGGAGACCAAAAGAATAGAGAGTAAGAGGAAGGGTTTCTCCGATCTGAGATCCTCGACAGTGGCGTTTCTCGGCAGCTGTACAAATGGGAAATACGTTATGGCATCACGAAAGCTCTCTATCAAACGATTTGCCTCTTCGTGGGTGATCAGCCCATTCCCGATCACATCGCACGGATTTCGAGGAGTTGGAGCACAACTTTCACTTTTCGGGGACAGTGGCAGTGGCAGTGGTGCCTGTTGCGGGCTTGAGTGAGTCTGATTGATTTGGCCTAATATTTGATCTACCTTGTCCTCGAGTGCACCTATTCGGCTAGATTAGATGCGGTCAGTTTGACAGATCGTATCGATACGAGGAGTGGGCAGATATACGTCTCCCTCTTCTTAGGAGTACGAGCTTTTGTTGGGCGGAAATAACAATCTTTGTTCAGACGGAGACAACTTCAAAGCGTGTTAGGTTTACATTGCTAAGTAGAAGAGAAGAGAAGTGGAAATAGAGGCTGGATGTTGCATACCGATCGCAGCCTTGGGTAGAGGTGCGCGAGCACCTAATTTTAGCACGCACACAGTTCTCGCAGGTCCTGACTCGGCCTAGACTGGTCGGCGCGGACATAGTAGGCAGCATTCAAAGAATTGTAGCTAAGACGGAGGCCGGACAGGAACAGGAGGCCTTAAGAGTCCGCGGACCGGCCCCCAGTTAATTCCCCTCCTAGTCCGCGGACTCGGAGTTGGCTTGGACTCCGTGTCTTGGCACGGCCCCATTGTCAGCCCTGGGAAGTATACTCGCGCCAATGATAGTCCTACGTAGGATCGGAGATAGTATAGCCGCGTGGCTGACTTTCAGGCCTCGTTATTTTTTCGGATTGTATAAAGAGTGTGTGTATTCGATGCTATTAGGAGGGGAATATCAACCTCAACCCATCTAGACTCGCATTCTACCTCTTCTTCTCCTCACTATCACAAAAAAGAACAAGAAAAAAGAGAGCAAAAGAGTAGAAATATCAGCACTGAAAATGTCGGAAATGAACATGGACGACTGCACCTTGGCAACTTGCCCAATTGACCTGGCCTATATCAATTACCAGCCTAACATCCCGGCAAATGTCCTCTTCCTCGCCATCTTCGGCCTTCTCCTCGCCGCACAAATCGCCCTAGGAACATGGTTCCGAACATGGACATACATGGGGGCCATGACCGCGGGGCTCATTCTTGAAATACTGGGATACATCGGGCGAGTCATGATGCACAGCAACCCATTCGACTTTAATGCATTCCTTCTGTACGTGACCTTTGAGACATACCTCTGAATAAAGCAAGCTAATCAGAAATTTGACTTTTAGATACCTCATTTGTCTCACGCTTGCCCCGGCCTTCTTCACCGCCGCCATTTACATCTGCCTGGGAAGAATTGTCATCGTCTACGGGGAGGATATCTCCAGGATTCGCCCGCGTACATACACCATCCTCTTCGTCACTTGCGATATCATCGCTCTAGTCCTACAAGCAGCCGGCGGCGCCATTACCTCCATCGCCGACTCAGACCAAAAAAGCCTCAGCGATACCGGTATCAATATCATGATTGCAGGATTGGCTTTCCAGGTCGCCTCGTTGACGCTGTTCATCGTGCTCGCTTCGGAATTCGCCCTGCGAGTGCGCCGCAGCTCAGAAGACATGAAGAATGTGTCTACAGCATCTGTTCGCAGTGGTTTGAAATGGAAGATGTTCCTTCTGGGTAAGTGTCACTAAATAATCCGCATTTATCAGCCTATGCTAACCCAATCAAAGGTCTTGCCATTGCCGTTTTAACGATCTTCACTCGATCGATCTTCCGTGTTGCGGAGCTGAAAGGTGGATTTAGCAGTGATCTGGCTAATGATGAAATTTCCCTGATGATTCTTGAGAGCACTATGATTGCCATTGCGTGCATTTGTATGACCGCCGCTCACCCAGCAGTTGCCATGGGCCGGCGATGGGCGGAACTCTCGGCGAAGCCGCGTCGTGGAGTCGTTTTGTCTAAGGTGTCGCAGGCTTCATCAGAAATTGAGATGATGAATGCTTAAGAATATATAGCAAAGCCCCTGATGGCTCGAAGTGTTCGGTTTCAAGAGATTGGGTATTAGACATTTCAGCGTTTGGATTGGTCTTGGTAATATCAGCGAGTTAGATCTGGAGTTAGATTTTATTTGAGCGATTTGAATCATAGCATTCTCACATTCCATTTTCTAATTCCCTCCAGTCATGCAAAAAGTTGAACCAGCTAGGGTCGGCGGAGTCGTATAGTTCCTAGGTTGCCCTTAGGTAGTGGATGAGGACCGATGAAGGACCAAAATCCTGAGGTGTCCGCGGAAAAAATGAATACTTTCCCTGACTCTCGAATTCCAATGCGTAGGCATACATCTGCGTCGCATTTATTGCTGTACTCGTGCGACTTTTTTTCTAGGGACATTTTGCGTCGATCTCTTTTCTGTCGCAATGACTTCTTGGTCACGCTGAAAACTTTCGACTGGCCGCTGGAGTTTCTGGTCATTGTGACCGAGTGGTGCGGGGATATTCGAAATCAGTTTTACCTCTAATCTCTCTGTCTTCATTTCCTGAGGCCCCGGTCGCGCGACCGTAAAGCGGCGCTCACCCATTTCTCACCCGGGCGACACCCACCCGACTATTGACTGCACATAAGCCATACGCCGGTAAGCTAGTAGTTAGGTAGGTGACCACTAGCGAATCCTTACTGTTGTATGTTTTTTTTTGGTTTGTTTTTTGCTTCATGGCCAATTTTCCAAGTGCCATAAACACTATCGTGACGAGGAATCCGTTTTGGGGTGGTTGAGTGTGGTCAAATGCCGAAGACTTATGGAGATGTGCGGGGGGTTTAATGGTCACAGTTGCTCTTCTGTTTACTTCAGTCACTTGAGTCTCTTGGAAGAAATGATATTCCCTTGAGAGTAGAATAATGGTTCAAATGCTTGCTTCATATCTAGAGGACTTCATAGATTGCGAATTGTTTAGACGTCGTTTCTTTCAAATAAAAGAAACAATCAAGAACAACTAGGGTTTCTTTCTAGCCATGGTATAGGAATACCCGCTTTAGTATTCTGTCGAATCATCTCTTTCATGATCAATCCCCTTCTAGAAAACGTGTAGAAAAGGTCCAAACTCGACCTGCCTCAGGCCACTAAATCCTAAATATTACCAAAAGAAGTAAATGGACACGCTTCATCCGCAGATATGACAGACACAAATTCACATGAGCTAACTAAAAACCCTATGTTTGGACCTCTTGCTGTCACAAATGAGTACCCTCCCAGACTAACCCTATAATGATCGCCCAGTGGGCCAGGGTTCCTTTGCGGAACAGGCCGCACAATAATGGATCATAGCCCTGACTTCTCCAGACAAAATACGAACTGGACTCCTATTGCCTAATCACCTTCTCAAATTTGCCAAGCATTCTCATGCCGAGGTTCTTGGCGATACGTTCCTGGTGTGTTGTACGATGGTGCATGGGGACTCAAACAAAGGATTGACTAAGCCGATAAAGTAAGTTAAGGTATATAATGCCTCTTTCCAAAATCATACTGACACAAGTACTTGCTTGAGATTTCTCGCAATGCTCTATAGGAGGTGAATATTGCTTAACTTTAAAAAGTTGCTAGTGGGCACCACCTCGTGTTCGGCACATGTGGACACAAACGGTTAAAGGGCTCTGTTTGAGGTTATGACCCAGACAGGGATGTGCGTGATACAATACATATCTCATGTATCCTATTTCTACTAATATCCAGGTACCAGGGGCTCAATTCATTGTCAACAGGTGTTTACCATATCTGACCCTGTGGTGGTGCAATTGGTGTAACTTCATTCGGTTCCATATGGCTTGTTTCCAAGGGCGCCCTTCAAGGAGCCTGACAGTCCTTCAAATTTCAACTCTACAACAGAGAACCCTTTACGAGTTCTAAAGGGACGCTAAAGATGGGTTCAATCTGCAGACAGAATAGTCTGTCGATCTAATGCCTCACCCAGTATAGATCATCAGCTGCGGTCACATCGAGGTCCACAGTGAAGGACTCTGAATGGCCCTAAAGTATGGGATTAACGTACCCCATTGGAGACAAGGCTCATCTGAATACGAGATCAATTCTACTGTAATTTCCCCTGCGCCCTAGACTAGTCGAGAGTATCCGCCGTTATATTACAAACATGATCCCCTCCCGCGCATCTTTTAAAGTCTAACGCCCAGGTCCAAACCCTCCACTCTATTGATCTGCTCTTGGTTTCGAAGAACCCAAGCTATCGCGGCACTATGTTAATGCTACCACTATACGCCCTCTCCCTCCTCCAACTAGCGAGCGCATGGACATTCCGCTACACCAACAAAACGGACGACACACTTATCCTACGCGGCAGCGATGACAAGAACTGCACTGTCATAAGTCTTGCCGAAGGAAAGCTTTTCACATATGACCCAGAAGGCTCTGATCTCTGCGTTTCGATATACTACGACGATGAATGTGACTCCCGAGCCGGATACTCGTGTACTTCCTGGCGCAAAAATGCCAGTGCCTCCTTCTTCGGAGTCGATATCGGCCCTGAGAGGCTAGCTACTTCTACCAGCACCACTGCGCTACCAACTTTCTCCAGTGCAGTATCTACCTCTACATCGAAACCTGCAAGCGTTTCCGAGGCTGTGACAAACACACCAACGTCAACCCCGACCACAACGCCCACTGACGCTTCCAAGAGTGACTCATCGTCTAGTTTGTCTGGTGGAGCGATTGCAGGTATCGTGATTGGCGTTGTAGCAGGTCTTGCTGTCCTCGCTGGTCTGATTTTCTTTGTGTGGAGGAATCGCAAGAATAATGCGCCTCCTTCTGTCCAGCCCGGTGGCTATGGGCCGCATGAAGCTGAGGCTACTGTTTCTTCTTTCAGTGGTGCTACAGAGAAGATGGATGATACTTCGAAGGGAGGGTCGTTGCGTCCTCAGACTGGCTCGGAGGTCGTTGAGCTTGCTGGCGATGTGACTTATGAGCTGCCTAATAGTCCAATTAATGAGATGGATGGAAATTCAACAACTAAACCGTCATATCGTGTTTGAAATGGCACTAAATGAGACGGAGCTTGTTTGAGTGAACTTGGTCTTCAAGATGTGGTGCTTAGTCTTACTTCTATATTGATAGCGTGTGATGATTTGCCATTTCAGACGCTGGCTATAATTAAATTGTAATTAAATAATTTTGTTCTTCTTCTCTGGGATAGATAGAATGTTTGTTACAAAAACTCGGAAATGTATAAAAAGATATGTTAATTTACAGTAATGGCGCCTTCGACCCATCTAACAGATCACTGGCACGACTAAATACATTACCATTAAGAAATTAACATGTCGCTAGAATGCGATGCACAGAAACCTATATCCAAACAAACTCCCTTCATCCCCTGGTCATATTTACAAAGACTTCACAGGGCGAGCATCACTTGGCTCCTGGCCCTTCTCAAGAGCCACGCGCTCGCCGGAAGAGGCAAAAGATCCAGCCTCGCCCTCATCAACATGCTGCATCTCCTCATCAGGGCGCCAGAAATCCTTCTTTCCATGAGCAGCACGGTTGACCCAGGGAGGCAAGAAACCACCCTTGAGCTTCCAAGACCAAGGATCGGACTCGTCCTTGTTAGGGGGCACGATACGGCCACCGCTGACCTTCTCGAGAATCCAAGCAATACCGTTGAGGGTGATGTAGCTGGTGATACCAGCAATCAGACCATAGGCAATACTGTAGGTGAAAGGCATGATGGCGATGGTGAGGAATGCGGGGATAGCATCGCCGTAGTAGCGCCAGTTGATCTCAGCGGCTGCCTTGGCCATCAATGCACCAACGATCACCAGCGTGCAGCCTGTGGCCCATGGTGGGATGGAGGCAAAGATAGGTGCGAAGAAGACGGAGATGAAGAATGCAAGGCCGGTCGTGCAGGATGTCAGACCGGTCTTGCCACCTTCGGAAATACCTGCACCGGACTCGACGAATGCTGTAACTGGAGGGCTGCCGAGCAGGGATCCAATGGAGATGGAGATCGCGTCGACCATGTAAGCGATGGCACTGCCCTCGAAATCTTGAGTCTCCTCGTCGATGGTACCAGCGAACCGGGCCATTGAGTACATGGTACCAGTAGTATCCAAAATATCGACATACTGTAACGTGTAAGTGTTGTTCTCTTAGTGTCAAAATGTGTGTCACATACCAAGAATGTAATGAAAGCCAATCCAAACTGGCCACCCTGGCCGGAGATATCCCAATTCTGAGCAGCAAGAATATGCTTGATCGGATGGAATGTCACCACCTTCTTGAAGAAGTCAAACTTGCTCGTGCCCAATTCCGTGTAAGGGAAGTAGGTAACGGGAGTAGTGCGAGGCCACGAGATGATCGACACCAAAAGGATTCCAATGATAACAGCACCCTTGATGCGGTACATCATCAACAAAGCAGTCAGAATTCCACCACAGAAGATACCAATCCACATGGTGGGATTGCGCATCTTCTCGCTGCTCATACATAATCCAGTCTCGGGGTCGAAGTACTGAGACGCACAACCAGCCAACTCAATTGGCGTGGATGAAGCACCCTGGATCAATCCAATACCGGCATCATACGTCAAACCAATCAAGGCGAGATAGAGACCGATACCGACACCGGTGGCGAGCTTAATCGAAGATGGAAGCGCACGCGCCAGCCACTGTCGCATACCAATCAGGGTCAAGCCAAAGAACACCCATCCTTCAACGAAGACTGCAGTGAGAGCTGTGGAGTAGGAAACCAAGCCAGTACCGCGCACACCGACGACAGTGTAAGCGAAATAGGCGTTCAGACCCATGCCGGGAGCGAGGGCAATAGGCAAGTTTGCAAATAGACCCATACAGAATGTAGACAGCGCGGCGATAGCTGCGGTAGCGGTGACGAGATCCCGGTTGACTTCCTGTGTACACAGCGCGTATTCGGCATTGGTGGCACAGGCATCTGCCAGACCCTCTTCAGGGCAGACGCAGGTTCCACCGGTGGCAGAGGTAATGGTACTGTTGACGGAGATAATATATGCCATCGCGAAGAAGGTGGCGAGACCGGCGCGAATTTCAGTGAAGAAGTAGCTTCCCTTCCTTTCCCTGGGCTATCACGGTGTCAGCTCCCATCGCGTGCTTTGTCTCTGACTCTCTAATATCACACGACACGCAGGATATAGAGCTTAGAGTATAGATCGTAGAATTGTAGAAATCCTTACATGACCAGAGCCCTCGAGACGGAACCATTTTCCCACAGGACTGCGGGCAACCCGCAAGTTGGTATTGTGAATCCAATTCTTGAAGACCATCGTGGGAGGCGTGAGAGGCGAAGTATCACGACCTGAACTGGATATAGGACAGAACCCGTCGCTAAGACGCAGTATTTAAAGACGTTCCTGCAGAAGCAGAAGAAGGAGAGAATATTACATCGAAGCGAGAAAAGAAGAATAACCAACCAACCACACCATGCTGATAAGCCAGGCAAAAAAAAAAAATCTCATTTCGGTCTGGTCCCTACTATCTCCGCCTCCATGGGCCTTGGCGGCTTGGCGGAGTCGCTTTCGCCCGTGAGAAGCCGGACTGAAGCCCTAATTGGCTGCACACTTGCCGACTGTGCTCTTTCTATGGGTCGATCCTCGGCAACCCGATGGGCCCGGGGAGGGAAAAAAAAGTGACAGGCGAACAGTTCTATGACTCTTACATTAGCTCTAAGAATCCGAATAGCTTCAATCGATTTTCCGATTGTTTAGCTTCATAATCCCATACATGCCTGAAACGCCAAGACTTCAGCGCGGCGCTCAGCCCTCTTGGGCTTTTATCTTATCATCCCATATTAGTCGTGGAGATGATGTGCAGGGTCCATGTCGATAAGACGGAGGAAGCCGAATGCACACGAACCACTTCGCCTCCATCGCTTCCCCAGTCCTTGCCTCGTGGCTCTGAGACGCCCGGGCTCTGGGGCTCTGAAACTATGAGACTCTGGGGTATTACGGATCGGTCGGTTCCGATCGTGTGTTATCACAAAGCTTGAACTCTGCGATCTGAATATATCGGACTTGCTCGGGGGCGGCTGACTTGAAAGAGATCCGCCGCTCGTCCCAGGGTAGTTTGCTGATTGTGATGCTCTGTATCTTTCGGACATGGAGCTGATTTGAGGCTAGACCCGCCGAAGCTATCTATACCGGTAGGTGGTCATGTTCGTGTGACATCGCATCATAACAAGCATTTGGATGATTACACAGATGCCTATGAAGCAGTTAGCATAAAGTTCTGGAGAAATCTGCAAGCTATCGATTACCTGAGGTCTTCTTGAGCTTCTCTTCCCCCTTCGTGTCCTCTCCCACCTCTCATACATCGTTCTTATGAAGATAAGCGACCTTGGATTCTTACTATAGAACAATAATTGACGCGTCATGTACAACAAATTTGTGTCTCTCTTATTGATTTGATCCAGAAATTTTCCATTTTGATTTGGTGCATGAATATGATTAAACAATTATTGGTTCACAAGAAACTTGGGGTTGAGTGCCGTATGGATGATAGCCCCAATCAAATAAAACGCAAACAACATACTGTAAAAATTAATTTTATATTACTTCAGACAGCTTCAACTCCCTCTTTCTCGGCATGTGTCATAGGTTTGGGCGCAAAGGTCGGGGCGAATTTCGATCTCTTCCGCAGCGAAGGTCCCCACTTGATGAAAGCGAGAGGAATAGGAACCATGATAAGTGCAAGGCACCCAAGAAGAGTACCAGCCCACTGCACACCCAAGTTGTTGAACATCTGCTTAGAGAACAAGGGGGAAAGCAGCGCCGACGGCTGATCGAATGATGGTATTAGCTGCAAAGACGGATGCAGCACTAGAAAAACCGTTAGCATAAGAAACCTGAATCCCAAAGACAAGTCAACATACAAGTTCAAGTATGAATCAATCAGGTAATTGAAACACTGGAGGAAGATCACGTAGATGCCGAATCCAGTCACTATTCCGCTGGCAGTAGGAGCCATCCAATGGATTGACTTTGTCCAACCTGTCCAACCGAAAAAGAAAAGACCGATACAGAAGGCAATACCGCCAACTATGGATGGGGGTAGTCGCCACTCGGGGACGGGAACGTTGTTGTTAGCAGCCAATTTCTTGCTGTAGGCTCGCTGGTCCCAGAGGATGTAAGCGCCAGCTAGGAACTCGCCAATAATGAGTGCAATAAAAGGGAGACTGCCAACTCCAAGGCTCATCCCGTGGATGCCTTGGAACACGACCGGGTAGGCGCCGAGGAGTGCGTACATCAGACCATATACGAAACTCATCCAGAGGGAGATCTAGGGAAAGTCAGTGCTAGTTCAATGAATGAATGGAGTGCGGAACATACCAGGAAGACAATTGGCTCAGTGAAGAGCATACGGAATGGACGACTGAAGTTGTTTGTAATAAGCTCATGCCAGTCGAGCTCAATCTCCTCTTGTCTAGCGCGAATGCCCCAATTGTGAGTCTGTCGCCGAAGAGTGGCTGCTTTCTCAACCAGGACGGCAGGTGCGTAAGTCTCCGGCAAGAATAGCAGACAAAGTCCAGTGGCCAACCAGCCCATAATGGAAGCAATGTACATTGTCCATCGCCAACCAAGATAGCTGGAAGTAATGAAGCCACCGACAAAGGGCGAGGCGAATGGTCCGACAAACACAGCCATGGCAAACATGGCAATGGCCACACCTCTTGTCTGGTTATTATACATGTCGGCAAAGACGGCCGGCACGATAGCGATAGGACTGGCCGAACAGAAGCCAGCAAAGAACCGAGTCAGCATCAAGGTCTGGACATCTTTGCTTGTTGCGGTTGCAATGGTAAAGATAGAGTACATGAACATTCCAACGCAAATCGGCCACCTTCTGCCGATGAGCTCACTGGCTGGCGCCCAAAGTGTTGGCCCAGACGCGAAACCCAGGACGTATAGAGTGACACCGAGGATAGCTACCTCTGTGCTGATATGGAAATGGGGGCTGATCTCGCCGATGGCGGAGGAGTAGATTGCACTGGCGAATGAGGATACAAAGGTTGTGTAGGCGAGAGCCACGGAGATGCCAATTTTCTTTGACAATGGCCAATTCTGGGGGTGAAGGGGATCATTTGCGTCCGTAAATTCGACGATATATTGTTCGGGGTCGGGGAGGGTGGGTGGAAAGGGCTTTCCAGCGCCAAGAGGGAGCCATTGTTCTCGTGGTGTTATGCCGATGCCTGAGCCAACTGTCGAGCGATGTTGTAATCGGTATGTTTCGATGCGCTCTAATTCGACACTGTCTAGATTGGTTTGACGGCGTTCGAGGTTTGGTTGGAGAACTTGATGTTCGGAAAAGGGACGATCGGGACTGGTCCTTATAGTACTGAGATCATCGCTTCCACTAGGGCTAGTATCATTCGGACCGTGAGAAGATGCACGAATAGGTTCCATGTTGGTGGACTGGTGTTGATACTCTGGAGCTTCAATATTCGGAAGGCACAGTCCCTATATATTGTACATCAACCCGGTAGATGAGTCGGTTGCTAAGAACTGAAGTTTTGTGATTTACTCTGGTCGAGCGCGTCATCGATTGGTTATTGCCCCCGGTGTTCCGTGATATTGCCTGATTGGGAAATACGCTCCGCATGGCACCCTATAAACTTTTGAGAGTTGCATACTTCCGATGCAGACTCAGCTTCGTCGGCACTGAACGATGGCAGGTATTACTTGTTCACACTTATGCTAGTGTTGGTACGGTAAGTTGTAGTTTCCACTTCCTCCTTCTCTTTCCCAATGATGTCATGGATCGGACACCTGAATAAAATTATGAAGATCTTGCACAACTCAAACCAGCCAATCAGGTGACTATCAACAGTACAGTACATACAGTACTGTACTTCTCCGACTGAGACGAGTTCAACATTTACCCACACCCCCGTATATCACTATTGGCCAGCAACAAGCTCCTTTTGCGGCAATTGATTCATCTTGTGGATGAGTCACTGTCCATAGCGTACAGTACTGTATACACGTGGTCTCGTCCAGCGCAGTCCCCGCAATTCGCCCTAACATGGAGCATTGCCAAGATCCCCATAAACATGCTGCCAGCAGAGGCTCACTGATCTGACATCAAACCATTTTGTTATTAATCCGCTCAACGATTTAACAACCGCGAACCCTACTACGTCCTACCCTTTTCTCTACCAAAAAAACCCCACCAAGAGCTCCACCATGACAGAAACACACGGCTCCTGCGACCCCGCATTCAACCGAATTCGCGATCTCCTCCAAGAACGACTAGCCTCAGGCGATGAACTCGGTGCATCCCTGTGCGTAAATATCGACGGAAAGAACGTTCTCGACATTTGGGGTGGGTATGCAGACGCCGCCAAGACACGTCCCTGGGAAAAGGACACCCTGACGGTAGTCTGGTCGTGCAGCAAGATTGTCTCAGCACTCGCAGCCCTTACACTAGTAGACCGTGGCCAGCTAGATGTCGAAGAGCGCGTCTCAACATACTGGCCCGAGTTCGCCGTCAATGGCAAAGAAGACGTGAGAGTCTGGCAAATTCTCAGCCATTCCTCCGGTCTAGCCTCATGGGATAACCCAGTCCCCATCGAGTTCGTCTACGATCTCAAGACTTCGACCGAACAGCTTGCACAGCAAGCGCCTTGGTGGACCCCTGGTGAGCACCATGGGTACCATATGATGACGCATGGTCATCTGATCGGCGAGCTGGTACAACGTATTAGCGGCAAGGGACTGAAGCAGTTCATCGATGAGGAGATTGCTGGACCGCTAGGTGCGGATTTCAGACTCGGTGTTCCCGAGGAGGATTGGGGCCGGACTGCTGATATCACTCCGCCTGCGCCCCCGGCTGGTATTGAATTCGCGGACCGTGAAAGTATCGCTTTCAAGGGATTGACGCATGTTCCTCCTGTTGCGGAGGCTTCCATGACTCCTGCGTTCAGAAAGGCTGAGCTTGGTTCGGCGAATGGGTTTAGCAATGCGCGTGCTCTGGCGAAGATCGGTGACATGGTTTCTTTGAAGGGCACTGTGGATGGGAGACAGTACCTCCAGCCTAGAACTGTTGACCAGATGGTTCAGGCGCGCGTGAGCGGCGTTGATCTGGTCCTCGGTTTGAATCTTCGGTTTGCTCTCGGTGTTGCCTTGGCGCCGGTGGAGCCAATTGCTTTTGTCCCCGAGGGCACTGTCTGCTTTTGGAGCGGATGGGGTGGTTCGATGGTCATTATGGACTTGGAGCGCCGGATGACTCTTTCTTATGCCATGAACAAGATGTCAGAGGGTACGGTTGGTAATGATAACACCGAGGCCTACTTCAAGGCGATTTATGAGATTGTGGAATCTCAGTCTTCCAAGTGATATATTCAGGCTGCCAGAAACTAAGGATTACTCAACGAAAGTTGAATCTCGTCTTCGACTAACCAACAAAGCCCTTTTCAATAGTTATTGTATATACAAAGCCTCAATAACACATCCTCAATATGATATGCCCGGAATCGCAAACTGGCTTTGCCGAGTTTGATTTCCTTGCCAAGTATTAGGTGGACTTCTTAGTCTTAGAAACCTGCTGCCTGGGGCCCCCAGTCTCGGAGAAAACGAGCTCATCCCGTTCCCAGACGAGCTCCACTGCAGTACCCGCAGGACCAACCAGAGCAGTCAAAAGAGTGACCTTGAACAAGAAACTACCCCAAGAAACAGCACTAAGTTGCCTATGAGCAACAGTATACAGCTGAATCGCCCAAAGCAAAATACCAGCCGAGCCAATCAAATAATCCCAACGCAAGAAAGCGTGAACACCATCACCAACATTATCAACAGTCAAACCCGACCAAGGAAGAGGAATAGCAAAGACATTCGCAGGATGAAGCTTCTCCAGAACAGAATCCGCAAACAGACTGGGCACGACGACCGTAGCCAAAGACACAATCCAAGAAACGAGATGCGAGAGCGACGCATTGATAAACGCAAAAGCGTAAACCCAGCGCAGACCGGACATGGATGCACGCTGGTTCTCGACAAGGAAAGGCGACAAAACAAAGTATGCGACTGTCGTCAGAATCGAAACGTAGCCGGGCCAGGGGTGCCACATCGCAATAGCGATTTGCTTCACGTCCACTGTAATCACAGCCGGGGCGGGTAGAACCATGATATTAGTTGGGACCATGAATCCGACTACGAAGATCAATGGCAGCGCGGCGAGCACCGCGCGTGGCACGCGGATGTTGTCTGCATGGGGACGGCGCGCGGTGATCGAGCTGCCCAGCTGCAGAGCGCAGAGTAACGGGGTTGCAAATGCAAATGTCAGGACCTGGGCTGCGAGGCCAAAGACCATTGGACTGGTATGGCGCGGTCAGCTATCGGTTCGTTGGTTGGTTCTGGTGGACGACCTACTAAGCGGCAATGGTGCCGATGTTACCTTTCCGCCATGACTCGAGGACGATTAGAGTCCATGCTGCCCCGAAGGTACCCGAGAAGCCAATGCTATGAAGCAAAAGACCAGGGTTTGAGCCATCGAGCGAGGGATAGAAGAATGTAGTCAATAATGTTAGGAGCTTATCGACAGGCTCGAAGCCAATGTATACGGATCGCAGGGGCGCATTGATGCTAGGGAGCTTGCCGGACTCCACGGCTTTCTTTCCCAACTCATCGAGGCCATTGATATAGGAAAAGTAGAAGATCGCGTAGAACACAAACGCGCTGAGGGAGAAGAGTACGTATCTCATGATGAATGCTAGGATGGACAAGGTTGAAATCTGGAGCTCTGCGAGCCATATTATATGGGTCCCGTGACTACGTGTGAGACCGAGGCAAAACAAAGTGTGTTTGATCGTCGATGTCAAACACATGCAGTGAGTGTGGGGAAATACGGCGGGCTATTGTGCCCCCATGTCAATGTTCGACACTTGACTATTTTCAGGATATGCTTATTCATATGTAACTTGTACCTGTGTTGACTAATAACTAGGCAGTCTATAGTGTCTTTATGTAGTAGACATATACGTGGTACTGGTATATGAACTATCCTGAATTGTTAAAAATAGGGGATAAAGAAGCATAGAGATAGCTATTTGACATGGTGGCCGCAATACTCTACTGCAGTCAGCTCTGCCGAACATCTTGCATACTCGAATAGGTTTAGGGTCATGTTAAAAACGCCCAAATTGACCAAAACACACCCTCCCCATATGCTGTAAGTTAATAGTGGATGTGACTTATAACACTGGCGTTAGGATTAGCGCATTTCCAGTATTATATTTCACTTCTTTTTTTACCTCCTTTTTGTCCTAAAAAATGCATCAAATTCTTGGCATTTGATTAAATCAGATCAATCATCAATCCTCGCCTAGCAGCCCACAAAGAAATTAATTTTTGCCAGGAGTGTAGGGTCAATACGCACCCAGGGTACCTGCATTTCCTAGGGATTCCCTGGTTCAATCATGTACCTTGGGTGTTCAAGATAACATGCGATAGAACTGTATGTAAACTGGTATGCTTTTTTGGGTTCTACCTCCTAGAGCCTAGGGACAAGAGATACCTCAATTTGCTATGCTGTCACATGTTAGTTAAAATGTGAACCGAATGCCCACCAAGTCCAAAATGTGTAAGCAAGAATTGATGATTCATCCGATTCATTGTTTAGGTGAAATATAAGGTAAAGTAAAATACTTAAAATGCGCTAATCCCAATGTTAATGTTAAATACCCAATTGTTGTATGGGGAGGCGTGTGTTTCGATCCATTTGTGGTGTGTTCTGAACATGACCCAAGGTTTAGAGGGTCCACCACTTTGCTCTTGGCACCTTCCACCATGGCCTGCTCACTGCCTCTCGAGGCTCTGCTGCACATCTTCTCTTTTCTAGAAGATGACTTAGTGGCTTGTGCTTGTGTTTGCCAACAGTGGCAAGTGGCAGTGGAAAGAACCACATTCTCTACTCTGCTCGCTAATTCTTCGAATCTTGAAGAGCTCCGTCACATTGTCGGGCGCACCAGCACCCCATGGCGACCCTCTTTCATCAAGAACCTGGATTTCAAGTGCATCATACCAGATTATGGTGTCGAAGCTCGAGGTCGCCTGGAGGATGATCATGATCGTTGTTCAAATAACAAAGCCTTCACACAAGCAATCACATCACTTTTCGAGATTCTAGGCTCATGGTCCAGTGATGACCACTGCGCAATCGAGCTTGTAATCTACGCCCGCTCCCCAGGGGATCTTGAATCCGAGCCTGAATGGACGAAACGGAAGATTCGAATACAGCAGAACAACGCTTTTCCAGAAGAGGACCTGTTGTGGGAGCGTTATGAAACCTCGTATCTGCAGCTAACGGAAGATACACATCTGCCAATTGTCAATTGTATCGAGAAGCTTCAAGTTCGTGGCCTCGTAGCCTATCGGGGACTGTCGCCCCGAGCTTTGTCCGACATCGTGTGCTGTCTCCCACGACTGCGAGCATTGTCCGTGGATCTTAACGACAACTATCGAAGAAATCCCACGATGCAAAACCATCTTCGCAGCGGTACGTTGAGCCTTTTGATCATCATGAGAGAAATCTTCTAATAGCGTTCGGGTAGAGTTCTCACAAGGAATCACCAATTGGCCTCCCTCTCTGACAGATCTACTGTTAAGGTATGAGGGATACCCTCCTTGGGACCAAAGCTTCCCCGCGGTCAAAAGATCCGAGCCAAGCGCAGATCCATTGAGCCTTGCGCTTCATCGCCTCACACAACAGCTCGAGACCGTCGACTTAGCGCCAATAATGATCGGCCCTGAGCTCTTTTGGCCGGCAGCCACAAAAAGCATCCCCTACTGGCCAAATCTTATCAATATCAGAGTGCGATTTTCGGCTGCAACCCCGTCCGGTAAATGGCTCTTTGAGAGAGATCCAAGATGGAGGGATGTGTCCCCTAGTCGCTACCCTGCTCCCGCATGGTTCGAAGGGGAACCCCCAAGCGAGAAGAGGATCAATCCATTTCGCACGATGCCTAATAAGGAGCTCAACGAGCTGTACATTGCCGCTGGACGTGCCGCTCAGCAAATGCCCAAGTTACAGAACATGACGCTCTGGGCTGAGATAATGAATTTCGGAGACGGACTCGAAGAGGTAATTGAACAAGCCTCCGATCACTGGTTTCAGTACACCTCAAGTTCGGCTAAAGCTACTTGGATTTGCACCTCGGAATTTCATGTTGCGCCTGAGGTACGACAGGTGTGGGATGCTGTGGCTAAAAGTCATCGTCGTAGCCACCTAACGATTGAGGTTTGTATCTACCCTTTCAGCATAATATCATTCGGGGGTTTGACTAACTATGGATGAATAAAAAGAATCTAGGATTCAAGGTTGGGGCTGACGAATTCGGTGGCCACAAGATGTTTTGCAATGATGATGGTGGTTTTGATGAGAAGCTGAAGAAAGAGTACGAGTGTTTCTCGTGGGATACTTAGGTCTTCGAACGGGGAAAGGCATCTGGTAGATACCTCTTGTACTCTTTAAGTGAAAGACCTTCCTGAATACTAAACGCTTCTAACTCATCAATACTGATCAACTCCTCTTCTCAATTTTTTCAAAATTGTATGTGTCGGTTATACAGCCAGGAGAACTACCTGAAAGCTTTCGCCCAAAAGTACCAGATACGCTGGAACACCACGGGACCATCACTCATTGCGGGTCTTGTCCCAGGCGCCGCGATAAACTTGTGCTATATCCTAGCAGTTTATGCCACACAGTATAGGAATATTTCGACGAGCCTCTCCAATTTCCTAGTGGCCTTGAGGCATGGGAAACAAACGGGTCGGTTTGGAGCGCATAGGCGAAAGGCCATCTCGTGGAGTGAGCAGTCCTTAAAAGAGACTAAGAACGAGACCTTCAATTCAACAGATGAATGCCTTCTCACTGGAGCACGCTCTGGTCCAGGTTGACTGGGCACTTTCAGATTTCGTGGACAGTCCTAACACTAGAGATGAAGCCTCCTACTCAACATTCACGCTTCCCTATGATCCGCCCCATATTTATGGCCCTCCCGCGCGGCTCGATTCCAATTCGCTTTGGCGAATTAGGCGAAGACGCTAGAGGATTCGGAAAGCGTGGGCGGGGATTGTTGAGAAGTATGGAAAGCGAGATAAGGGGTTTGTGGCTATTGATCGCGTCTTTGGTTTCGTCGACCTTCTCTGGGCGTTGAGGTGGTTAATTCCTCTGTGGTAAGTATCATCCATTTGGTATCCAATCCAATCTCTCAAAAACCAGAGAGCTAATGACCATGGTAATATGGCATGCCGAAGGCCAAGTAATTGAGTGTTTTGGGTTTATTGATTCCACTGGATCACTCTTGGGCATTGTGGAGGGGTACATGGAACTAGGCATGATCCTAGCTCTTTGAAATTGGGCACTTGCAAATCCCAGCACTTAGCATATGCAAAGGCAGGTAGTCATAGCACAGAGACTGAGAGAGATGTCAACCCGGCCATACAGGAAGCGGCACGTCACCTGATAGGCCTGACCGCCCAACTCGGCTTGACAAATAAATCGTTTCCCCACCATAACCAGGCCACCCCCATCTCACTTTGTTAAAGCGCTCCATCTTCTTCTTTAACCATTCCTCGATTGAATGGTGGTAGTCTGTAACAACTCTGCTAGGCTTGTGGGACAAGCACATGCTATCCCGGAATATCTGACAAGATGCTGAGGGATTCGGATATAGATTCGTTGAACCACCATTTATCATCTTTATCAACAGAGCAGCAAAAACAACATGACAATCTCCAGAGTCTGCTGGGGCAATTCCAGAGTTTGTTAGATGACTATAGCGCACTGAAAAGTGACTATGAGGAGGTGAAAGAAGGCCGTGAGAAATACAAAAGACAAGCCCGAGGCCAGGTACGAATTGGTAAACACCCAGCAAGCTCAAGTCAGAGATTAACAATTCTAATAGGAGCGCAATCCTTTTGTGCTTGTCCTCGTAGACGGTGATGGGTATCTCGTGAGTCTGCCTCGGGCAAGTCGGCGTCGCGTATTGACTAACAGACCACCTTCTAGTTCAAGGAGCACTTCTTGAAAAATGGCAGTGAAGGAGGCATCAACGCAGCTCGTGAGCTAAGCGATTCCATTAGGGAATTGATGCATTCCACAATGGGCATGCAAGCAGAGCAATGTCAGATCATGGTTCGTGTCTATGCAAACGTCCTCGGGTTATCGAAAGCTCTAGCCCGAGCTGGACATGTTGGCCACGAGGCTCGGTCCTTGTCACCCTTTACTTCTTCTTTTACACGTGCGCAGGCGCTATTTGATTTTGTCGATGCTGCAGAGAAGAAGGAGGGCAGTGATTACAAAATCAGAGGTATTGAGCTGTTTGAACCCTGCGCTTTTGTTGTTCTTTCACTAATTTTGTCCCCCAAATCAAGAAATGTTCCGTCTATTTGCAGAGCTAAATCAATGCCGCCACATCTATTTTGCTGGCTGTCACGACACTGGATACGGCTCCCTACTGACTCCCTATAGAGGCAGAAGTGACCGTATCACCCTCATCAAAGCTGCCGGGTTTCACCGGGAATTCGAAGCCCTGGACCTGCCTATCAAGGAACTTCCTACCGTATTCATGAACACCCCTCTACCTAACAGCAAGCCACCCACCGGCCCAGCCTCTAGCAAGGTTATCAACGGAAACCACGTCAATAGTATGAATGGCCCGAATGGCTTGAACGGCACACACAGCACAAATGGCACAAATGGCACATATGGAATTAAGACGGTCTGCAAGCACTTCCAAAAGGTGTGTATCATTGGAAAGCTCATCTCAAGGAACCAGACCACTAATAGGGAATTAGGGTATCTGCAAGTTCGGCAATAGTTGTAACAAGCAACACATCATGCCAAATCAGTCATTGAATCACACTCCCAACCCACCCTCATCTAAATACTCAGGTGATTCACCTAAACACGATTCACCGAAGCATTTGTGGGCCTCCCCCACAGTTGGCCGCACGGAAGAATTCTTTAGAACAGCACTTCCTCTGCCAAGCATCAAAACCGAGGAATTTATTCCCGTTACTAAGGATGGGCACCGTATCGACCCATATATCCCTCCCCCACCAGGAGAGGCTTTTGATGAATATCACTCTCGAGCAAAGGAAGCCAAGGTCTGCAACAGCTACCACCTGTCGGGAGAATGTGGTGATATGAGCTGCCCGTATGATCACAGCGATGTGTCTAACACGATCATTGAGGTACTGCGATTTATGCTCCTCCAGCACCCCTGCTCTAGAGCTGGCGCGTGCCGATCCATCAAATGTTATATGGGACATTTATGCCAGAAGCCCGGCTGCAAGGCCGTCAAGAGCTGGCAATGCCGCTTCAACCAGGCCGCACACACTCTTGATCTTAAAGTCGCTCGATGGGATGTGCCATCTGACCAGAGTGAAATTGATCAATGGTCCATCAGCGATGAGTCTCCCCGGGCGCCTTCTCCGAGATCTTTCTTCGCTGCTTAGAGTTGCGATGAAACCTTTTACCGAAGACGCAACTTTCTTTTTCTTATGCTCGCCTACTGACAACTAACCCCACATAGCCGGGGTGTCTCTGTATGTGAGAAACGTCGGATTAATACGACAGCGTGTGGATTTTTGGTGCTAAACAAAAGACGCATCTAAGAAGGTTATTGCAATGGGATAGAAACGGGTTGGAAACACAAATCTTCCAGGTTTGAAGACTATTTAGGATCTTCCGGGTCAGCAATATTGTTTCTGACCTATTTTTATTACCTTCGCCGTAGGTGCGGGTAATCTCAATGGTAAACGACAGAAAATCGTTCTAACACTGTCCTTTCAATTATTATTGTGCAGCTTCTCAATCAAAATGACTTGACTAAAATTCTCACTGCTTAGTAGCATGCAGCTAAGACTAATAGTAGCAGAGGCGTTCTGACGTGGTGTATATGTACGAATCAGAGATCTCCAATAGCTACCGGTAATATGTTACCAAGCTCCCTACTTCCTATCTATAAACGCTAGCTTATTAAATAACGATCGGTACGAAGAGGACTTACGGTACTCCTTATAGGATAACTTCCTATAGGACTCGGAGTCAGGAACCTTCTAAATCGGGTGAGTCTAAACATTTGAATAACGATTAACTTATTTACAGTATCCTGTAAAATAGGCGAAATTGAGGGCGCTAAGACGAATCCTGGACGCTGGCGGACCGGAGCCGAGCCGGTGGGGCAGCTCTTCCCTGATATACTAGACAAGAAAAGAGAGTAGCACCTAAGAGGTTATTAACATAATTGGTGATAGTCGTTTGAAAAATCATCAGGGTCTAAACAGAAGAACAATTCGATGTGAGGCATTTAGAATAAATTTCCTTCATACATCCTGGAGTAGCAAAAGAGCATTATTGCGCCCCACACATTTATCGATCGCCGTTCGAGCGCGTTCATGATCACCATGAAACTCCTCTCGTAAGCGCCGTGCATCGAGCTCAGACATAGGCCAGCAGTCCGTTTGATCCATGACGGAAAGTACCAGCTCTCGTGGCAAGCGCTTATCCAGATCCGATGCTTGCTCCGCCGCCGCGGCCCACCACTGATGCTGCTGGGGCGGAACATTCCGTGTGGAGCAAACCCGATAGTGAGGGTCCACCAGGCGAAGTTTGACAAGGGTCATATGGCCGGGCTGACTGGCATCCCTTAGTTGAAATGACTCTAGCTTCGACCGATAAGTATTAGGCCAGCTCAGAAGATGGCCCTCTGTAGTCCCGACAGATCCGAAAGTATGTAGTGCGCGAGGGGGCTCTTCGTAATTTGGCCAGGCTCCAACATCTAGAACAAGCGATAGCGCCTCCGGGACCTCGCATTGAAGCTCATCCGTATCGACTTGATCCTCGTGCTGGAACACCACGCGGGCCTGCGTTACATTCTTGCATTGCACCGCATATAAACTGGTGGCAACAATGTGGTCGTTGCGGAGGCCCTCGATGTGGAAGTGGCTTTCTCCAGAATACACAGGATTCTCGGGCGTGAGTTCAATGCGAGTAATTTCCACCACGACTTGGAGACCTTCGTGCCGAAATCGCTGCTCGAGTCTCACTGGAACATGGTGATGGTCTTGTGGATCCGGGTACTTTCCAACGCGCTGCGGATGGATCGCGCGTCCTGTACATTGACCTTGTCTCCATTGTTCGTAGGTGCATGAGACACCGGGCTCGGGATGGTCGAACCAAGCTTTTCGTCTTCTTTTCGAATTGAGAGCAATGCGCACGTGTTTTGGAATGTCCCACATCGCTTTGGTCATGTCTTCCCATCGAGCTCCGTAGCTCATGCAGGCCTGCTTCCATCTTGGTGGCTCGGGCCCTGCGAGGTATTCACGGGCAATATCGCAACGCTCCTGCCACTCTTCATAAGAAGCACACTGCACAGTCCAGGTGAGCCACCTGAATACCAAATTGAATACTTCGTGATCTTCGTCTCGGTTGTGGACCTCGCAGCCATATGTCAAGATACGTGGCGGACGGCGTCCACGGGTGTTACCGTAGAACAGAATGTCGTTCCAAGAAGGGACAGCACTTCCGATGAGGCGCTCAAGCTGTCTATACAGACCCTTATGGCGCTGCGGATGGAGATTGTTCACATAGGATGTAATCCGAACACTGGTGTCATTTAGCGGCTCGGGCTCGAACTGCACTTCGCAGGGAAGCCATTGAAACCGATTGGACCAGCAACTTTCGTAGTCGCCCCGTTTCATGTAGCGGGACTCCTCCAGCCCCGGTTCTATTCTGCTCAAGGGACGGCGGATCGGCAGATCCTTGGCAACCTGACCAGGTAACTTCCATAAGTTTTCTAAGGAAACCTCTCCACCCTGGACTAGTACATGTGAACGGTCGTACACTAGCGGAAATAGAGATGGATCGACAAGATGAGAACCATGATCTTGTTGCGACCCTAGCTGGGCAATCTCTGTCTGCAATTCTCCTGCCAATTTTGACAAATCGGCCTGACACAAAGCAGAGGAGCTGTCGAAAACCAAGAGATGGCCCGTTGTCTGCCACATCTCCGCTTTGTCGCGTAGTTCCGCGAGGCACCAATCCCATGTGACGGGACTGATAAGAAACCCTTCAGTTCCTTCCTTGGCGTCTTGGTACCACTGCGCTAATAGAGTCTCATCTGGATCCACTCAGGCTGCTCCGTGACATGTAACATGAGCCGGAGCATGGCCATCTCCCGCTTGGTCAGCCGATGCAAGTGGCGAAAGCCAATCAACCCATGGGCAAAGCGGGCCTCGAGGGGCAGTTGGAAATCCAGGGGGATGGAGTTGAATCCTGGAACCTGAAGCGGACCATGGCCGTCGTTGTTGAGCGGCGCCATTTGAAAAAGACAAATGTCCAAATAGTTCTCCACAGGTTCTGCAAAGAGCTAAGTGGGGAGATTTGATCTGCTCAATTTGAACGAGGTAGAGAGGAGAAGATGGATGAAATGGAAAATGAAATCAGCTTGACTTCCCCTGCGGGTTCCATAAGCGAGCCGCCATCCCGAGTCCTGACAAGTCTCGATAGTCCCTGCGATGCGACATTCTAATTTCGTATCTTAAGAGAGGCGAATTTTAAAAATTCAGGCAGGCTCTTTACAATTGTCGGTTCAGGGAATTTGAAATGTTCAAGGGGGTTTACCCTAGGGTAGTGCCCATTGTTTCCAAATCAATAACCCAACCAACTCTACGGAATACTTTACTATGATTGAGGGTCAATTTAAATTATATTTCCATACTGAAGTTGTCATTGGCTACTATGTATCCCAGACAGCCACAGGATGTAGTGAGCTGGCCTCAGTCTATTTCCTAAATACAGTACACAGGCTGCAAGCCTCGACAACGACACCGGCCACTTCATTTACATTCCTAAATTTTGAGACACCGGCAATTATATGGCCTTGCAGGCAGCCAGATTACCCAGCGAGTCAGACTGAGTGTGAACACTCTGCAAGATGCGGAGATGATTGCGCGTGCTATAGTGAGGAAGTCATGGTAGTAAGAGGGTTAGATTAGATTAGATCAGAGTTGCCACTCTAGCATATTGTCCCTACATGAAACCCACACAATGAAACCGCAGGCTCCTTCTATTTGATCTCTTCGCTCGGAAAAAGAAACCATGGACTGAAGCTTAAACTGCTATGTCGCAAGCCTATCTGTGATACCGTCATTATAACCATAGATTAGGCGTGAGCACCTACCTAGCTATGACCTATATATACGTAATGTTTACCAAGAGCCATAACCTGCAACAATTCTCACTTCTCCCCATTCAGCCGCTTGCAAAATCACAAAATGGCAAAGCCAGTCGATGGAATTCAGCCTACAGTTCACCCAGTCTTCGAGCCTACCACATGTTCATGGCAATATATAGTAGCCTGTCCAGAAACAAAAGAAGCAGCGATAATCGACCCAGTTCTGAACTTCGAGCCAACTCTGTTCACCATCACGTCCCAGGCCGCAGATGCTCTTATTGACTGCATCTTGAAAAACGGCTACACAGTCATAATGCTACTAGAGACACATGCCCACGGCGACCATCTCTCGGCATCCTACTACATCCAACAAACCCTCTGGGCGCACGGCCAACCCCACGCCCAGATCTGCATCCAAGAAAACATAACAGTAGTCCAAGCCTATTACGCCCACAAATACCGAATCCCCAAAGACGAAATCGACACGGCCTTCGACCACCTCTTCAAACCGGACGAGATATTCCACCTTGGAAATATGACCGGCATCGCTCTCCACCTGCCAGGCCACACGCCCGACCACGGAGGTTACAAGCTAGGAGATAATGTCTTTTCGGGAGACTGCATGTTCAATGCGGGCATCGGCAATGGGCGATGCGATTTCCCTGGTGGCAATCCCCAATCCCAATTTCATTCTATGCAGCGTCTTCTCTCGTTTCCGCCAGAGACCAAATTATATACTGGCCATGATTTTCCGCCTAAGCCGAGTAGCGAGCATCCGGCTCGTAATCCTTTGCCGTTTAGTACAATTGCTGAGCAGAAGGAGAAGAATCGGTATCTTGAGGATGACTCGTCAGAGGATGCTTTTATCAAGTGGAGGAAGAATCGGGATGAGACGCTTGGTGAGCCTAGGCTTATGCATCAAGCGTTGCAGATCAATATTCGTGGTGAAAGATGCCGAGTAGATCCTGTGATGGCAAGGCTTTTATGTTGTATACTTGTGATGTTCCGAGGGTTCTTTTGACCGGTTAGTTATGATCTTTTGGTTTCTTGTGTGAGTTCTCGTGTATGATATTACGGGATTGGTAGTACTTCAATCTAGAACCCGGAGTGTATCCCGAGGACGATAGTCGTTATGAAATTCCAGATATTCTATCAGTATACGTTTGATTTTGTTATTTTTGTGCATACACACTTTGGTCAACGCATCAAATACGGCTTTTGCATCAATTTCCTTTTTTCCCCCCTTGTAATTCATAGCTTCTAAACTGAGTTCTCCTCTCTGATCCTGAAGTAGGCTTCCTTCACCTCTTCCCGAGTCTGCATAAGAGCAAGCCATTTCTTTATCAAAGGATACTTGTCAAGAGAAAGACCAGCAAGCATATAACTATGCAACCAAGGCTCGAAATGATAATCAACGACAGACACACGGCCATTCAGAACACTTTCGCCACCAGTCTTCTTCAATTGACCTTCAAGCACATCATAGCAACGATAAGTCTGAGCAGTATATCTCTCCAACGCATTATCATTCTTCTCAGGGTTAAACTTCCTGCAAAAAGTCAATATACACAACTGACGTCAAACAACTCCAACCAACTTACTTGAACCAAGTCGTCTGCCCAGTCATAGGACCCAAAGTCGTCAACAAGAAGTACTCCCACTTTTCAAAATCAACCAGATCCTGCGCCAAGTCCCCACAAGGACCGATCATATTCCCCTTGTCATACACGCGTCGGATGTAATTCATGCAAGCGCCAGATTCCCATGCGATAACGCCGGTGTTGGGATCTTCAACGGCGGGCACGCGTCCGTTTTCGTTGATTTGGAGATATGCGGCGCCCTTCACGCCCTTTTCGGGATTGTCTCCGAAATCCCATTGTTTCACGGTGTACGGGATATGGAGTGCTTCGAGGGTGATTGCAACCTTGATTGGATTTGGGCCTGAAGCGTGGGCATGCAGGATGATAGGTTTTACGAGAGAACCCATTTTGAGATGGGAATTCGGAGGGTATTGGTTACTTTCATTTTGCGAATTTTCAAACGAGATCCCTGGAGTGGCTCTTACTTTGGATGGCAAATGAAGCAAGCATGATGTAAGTTGTTCGGAGAAACCTGGGGTAATTGAAGGAGCTTATTTAGCCTGGCTGGTGTCTAGCGCATTTTGGGAATACTCTTCTAGTAGAAGGTAAATTCCCCTTCAAGATTTGGTCTGAGAAAATGTGCAGGGCTGCATTTTGCCGTGTTGCCGGTTAAACAGCTAAAATTCCTTCAATCAGAATGCATATTGGTCCGGCTATGTCGATTAGGCAATGCGGAGTAGATATCAATGCGGGGTGATGGGGATTTTGATCAAGACAAAAATGGAAGCAAATCAGTTGTTACTGCAGGTCTGAATCTACCATTTCCTTATGCTGGGAGTATTTACGGTTGATGCACACTCTTAATTGAAGGAAACAGAACAGTGACATTTAGTAAAATGTTACTCACCAAAGCAAAATTCATCACTTCACTTTTAGTATCTGCGTCTCTGCTGCCCTGCTCCGGTGGCCTCAAGATTCGCGCTGAAAGCAATGAACTACAAAACCTAGTAGGCCGACTTCTGTCGCCCCTCATCCCATCCACGATCTGATACGTATATCATAGGTAACATGGGACCAACACTCAATCATAGTTCGAGGCGAGCGACTCATGCTCTTCTCCGGAGAGTTCCATCCCTTCCGCCTCCCAGTCCCAGGCCTCTGGCTTGATATATTCCAGAAAATCAAAAGCATGGGCTTCACAGGAGTGTCATTCTACACAGACTGGAGCCTCCTCGAAGGGAACCCGGGACAGGTCATCACAGACGGAATATGGAGTCTGGAGGAGTTCTTCAATGCTGCAACACAGACTGGCATATACCTCATCGCTCGACCAGGACCTTACATCAACGCGGAAACCACCGGTGGTGGGATACCCGGATGGGTTCTCCGACAGCAAGCAGTCATCCGATCTGATGAGCCTGAATATCTCAATGCGACAGAACGATATGTTTCCACCCTAGGTCAGATTATTGAACGCGCCCAGATAACCCATGGCGGACCGGTTATCATGGTTCAGCCCGAGAATGAGTATTCTACGTGGCCAGGTGTGACTGATTTTCCGAGCGAGATGAATAGCGAGTATATGGCCTATGTGGAAAGCCAACTACTTGATTTGGGTATTACTGTCCCTTTGATTGTCAATGATAATTTGGACCTGGGGTACTTCGCGCCGGGATCGAGTGTGGGAGAGGTGGACATTTACGGCATTGACTCTTACCCCATGCGTTATGACTGTTAGTATACATCATATAGCATGTGGTTCTATGGTTCAATACTGACATTTGGAATAGGCGCGCATCCTACCGTTTGGCCAACCTATAGGTTCCCTTATAACTGGCAAGTTTTACATGAACAATATAGTTCAACAACGCCTTTCGCTATTGCTGAATTCCAGGGTGGCTCTGGAGAAGGATGGTAAGCTCTAATCATCCACTTATCAAGATGAATGAACTAATTGAATTCCAGGGGAGGAGTAGACCAAGACATGTGTGGCCAGTTGGTGAACGAGGAGGCAGTTAGGGTGGTTTACAAGAACAACTACAGCTTCGGGGTGAAAATTCTCAACATTTATATGGTGAGCCTCTGTACTCTCTGACCAAGTACTTGCATATCTGACCCCATTCAAGACCTTCGGTGGCACCAACTGGGGCAACCTGGGATACATGGGCGGCGATACATCCTACGATTATGGAGCTGCCATCGCTGAAGACCGGACAGTTTTGCGCGAGAAATACAGTGAACAGAAACTTGAAGCAAATTTCCTCAAAGTATCACCAGCTTATTTGACAGCGACTTCCTATTTGGGAGTCAACGGGTCTTATGGTGCACCAGCTGAAATCGCTGTGACTTCTCTCATTGGCAATGGAACACAAACGAACTTTTATGTTGCTAGACATGCTGACTTCACCTCCACTGATAAAACTCAGTACACTCTCACTCTCACGACGAGTATTGGCAACATCACTATTCCTCAACTAGGAGGCCAGCTGACCCTCAACGGTCGCGATTCCAAATTCCACGTTACAGATTACGATGTCGGCGGCATCAACCTGATCTACTCCTCCGCAGAGATATTCACATGGGCGCGAGGAGCCGGATCGGCACGTGTGCTAATTCTCTACGGGGGCGCAGGAGAAACACACGAGTTTGCTGTGTCTAGCCATCTTGGAAAGCCGACTGTTACCGAAGGGAAAGACATCTCCATTGAACGACGCGGGGCTTCTTGGGTTTTACAGTGGCATGTTACCCCAGACCGACGCATCGTCCGAGTTGCTGACCTGGAGATTTACCTACTCTGGCGGAATGATGCATACAACTACTGGGTAATGGAGCTACCTGCTTCGAGCCCGGTTGGAAATTTCTCATCGCCCTCCAAGGACGTGATAATTCTCAAGGCCGGATATCTTATCCGTACAGCGGATCTGATAGACAAGCATCTTCGTTTGACCGGTGATGTGAATGCGACGACAGAGATCGAGATCATCTCCAGTCCAGCTAAGCATCTGCAAGGTATTACGTTCAATGGAGAAGAGCTGGAAACTTCTCAAGTATCCAATGGGAAGATCTCCGGGACTGTGAAATACAGCCCTCCTAAGCTTGACATTCCAGATTTGTCCAACCTCGAATGGAAGTTCCTTAATTCTCTCCCTGAGATTATCTCGTCGTACGACGACTCAGCTTGGACTTCGTGTATACTGAATTCGACTCACAATCCGCGGGCATTGAGCACCCCGACTAGTCTGTACTCCATGGACTATGGATATCACACTGGGTCTCTGTTTTATCGCGGTCATTTCAACGCCAACGGCCAGGAATCCAACGTGTGGCTGAATGTATCGGGTGGCATAGGCTTCGGGCATTCCATCTGGCTGAACAGCACATTCCTCGGCTCTTGGGCTGGGTCGAGCGCCAACTCCACAATCGTCCATAACGTATCATTGCCATCAGCTTTGTCACGAGACACCCCATACGTGCTATCCATTCTGATTGATCACATGGGCCAGGATGAGGAGGCACCTGGTACTGACGCAATTAAATTCCCGAGGGGTATTCTTAACTTTGGAATCTCGGGTCGCGACCAATCCGATGTCTCGTGGAAGCTGACAGGTAATCTTGGCGGAGAGCATTACCAGGATCTAGTCCGTGGTCCTCTCAATGAAGGTAGCATGTATGCCGAGAGACAAGGATACCATTATCCCAGTCCACCAGATTCAAAGTGGAAAAAGTCAAGCCCGGTGAAAGACGGCATGTCACATGCGGGCGTTGGCTTCTACACGGCATCTTTCCACCTCGATATCTCAAATGGATGGGATGTTCCGATGAGTATCGTGTTCCGTAATTCTTCCCAGGTCAGCTCGGAAGATGTTCAAAACAACTACAGATGTCAGCTTTTCATCAACGGGTACCAATTCGGGAAGTATAGTAAGTCCGCATCTGTTCATGGTTCCATGGTTTGAAATACCTAATCCACTAACCTTAATTTCGCAGTAAACAATCTCGGTCCGCAAAAGGCATTCCCTGTTCCTGAAGGAATCCTCAATCACCAGGGTGAGAATTTCATAGCTTTGACTCTTTGGGCACAGGACAGGCTAGGTGCAACGCTGGGAGGATTGAAATTAGTGCCCACATCCGTCATCAAATCCGGCTATAGTAGACCCCAGCCCGCACCCCAGCCTACGTGGGTACAGCGAGAAGGCGCTTACTAGAATAAAGATTGTCTTGAGAGATCAGAAATCGAAATTGGTATATAGGAGGACCCAAGAATCTATATGCATGCATCGAAACCACGGGACTTTTAGACCGAAAGAAGGGCAAAAAACGAAAAGAAAATAAGAGAAGAAATAAAAGCAAGCCGGCCACCTTGGCTAAACAAGATTAAGAGAGATGGCGGCAACCAGAGCATCGAGTGCCGAGCTATGTGTTGATGCGTCCACTGTCGCTTGGATGGGACCAGCCCAGTTGACACCGAGTCCACCCTTTTCGTCGCGATCATTCTGCCAGATGCTATTCGCGCTGTTTAGGATAACCTTTTTGTAAGTCTCATCCGGAGACGCTTTGTGCAACATTTGCAAGTTGCGAATGAATATCCCCTTGAATTGGGTTCCATCGGGGAGACACTGTGGCTCGCAGAATTCGTGGATGACCATGTTTGAGTCCGCCAGGGTTTTGATGGCTGCTTTGGCAATTCTGTTGGCAGCTGGCAGGAGCGTATTGTTTGGTGCAGCTCTGTTCAGCTCAACTAAGCCGCCGAGAACAACCCCTTGGTTGTAGGACCATCTGAAGAAAGGTTAGTCAAATTGCAAGCCAAGATCAGACTAGGGCACTTACACTGTAGCTCCGTTGTTTTGGCAGTTCTCCAATAGACCATCGTTGATGGTACCGTTCTCGCCGATGAAACCCTGGGCCCTGAACCAGTCCCATTCCTTTTGCGCCCAGCGCACGTAATATTCTTTTTGGTCTGGGACTCGGTTGGCTAGGTGTGCTGCGACGGAGAGGAATACCTCGTTCGTAATTGAGTTGACGTAGGTGCTTGTGGGGTTCCATGGGATACCACCACCACCACAGTTGGTGCCCCAGGCTGCGGCCTATAAACAGTCAGTGTAAGGCCCCTTCAAAAGTTGAGATGCGACATACCAAGCTCTCGAAAATTCCCTCGGCTAGCTCCAAATAGGTCTGCTCCTTCGTGACATCATAGGCAGCAATCCATGCCAGAGCCCACCATCCATCATCATCGTATGCTTGATCGAGCCACTGCGTGACATTGACACCGTCAGAACCCTGGCTATCGCGAGTGAAGACGGTCTTCTTCTCCGGACCGGGCGCTGGATTCGACACCGGTCCCACGTTGAATGTGTTGTTGAAGACATAAGTCGCTGTATCCATCACAGAGGGATCTAGAGCAGCCAAATCTGCGACAGTAGTCATACAGCTAGCCCCATCCCACCAGCCGCAGGTATCCCAGATACCGCTTTGGGGGTTATACCAGGTCTGGAGGGTCTTCAGCGCATCTTGAGCTCTCGATCGCGCATCGTCAGCAACAGCAGAGCCTGTCAAAAGCAGCGAGACTGCAAGAACGTTGCGAGAAAACAGCATTGTGTCAGGAAGTCAGCGCAGAAAACCCGATCCTATCGAGAATCCCTGACTGGCAGCACATCTTCGCTTTAAATAAGATAGCACCGATTTTCCAGTCAGGTTCCTGGATACATCATTGCATGCCCAAAACAAATGTGCATTCCTGTGTCTCGCGGTGCCTTGATTGGCGACAGGCTCCATGGTCCACTATTGCGCATCGTCCAACCCCTGATCTGCAATGATCGTCTTGCCGCTGTAAAACTGAACCTTGGGCAAATGGTAGGGCCGTCTTCCAAGAAACCAGCCTTGCAGAACATCCCGGACCCCGGCCAAGTTGCGAATGGCATTCATTCAAGGGGGTTTCGCTGCTGCGATCAATTTGATGCGTGGTGTATAGCTGCGATCGTTAGCGTCTCCACCCCTTGCAAGCTGATGGTCCCGCTATTTGTCTGCCTCTCCAGGGAACAGGGAAGCTGCGCATGAGTTGAGCATGATTTCGGAGCTATCTGGCGCCCGCTGGCAGTTCTTCGCTGCGGTTCGGTGGCCCTATCCTCCGAGTAAGTCCACTGGAGACGCTCCACGCGCTGGCATTTAAGCGATAACAGTCGTTCGATATCATTGGCCAGCTGTCAGTGATCATCTTCGGAAATAATTGAGCCCCGATCAGTTGATTTGGCTGCCGTTGGTCAAACCTCTCACCTTATGCAATGCACTTGACACCAAGTAATGTTACCGCATATTCACCTCTCTGCCCTTCATGCGCTCGGGTGCATTTCGCTTAGAAATTGTCCCAAGGCAATGACCACTTGAGACACACATTGTCTGAGATGCACGTGAAATCGGACTATTGCTTGACTGACGTCAGCAAGAAGCAGCTCAGTGTTCCAGGGCTCCATCGTCGTCCCCGTGGTAGCCAGGTGTCTCGATTCCTCCTCCATGTGCATGCAAGCCGCTGCTCTGCCAAAGGGAGAATTCAGTCCGCTGCATGATCAGTCCCACTCCTTCAACCCAGCTGTTGAGCTGTTGGCAGGGGAATGATAAAGTTTGTGTGTGTTCCAGCCATCCGATAGCACTGTTCGCTTCAGTCGATGAAACAGCATGTTGCGAGAGCCAAATTGACTTTTTGGTCATTCTTGATCACATCACTCGGCATATTCTCATCGTGTCTCGATGCATGATGAGAGCATGGAGAATCGGTCACCGCGTCGGGGTGATTAGCTGAGTTGGTTACGGGACTCGGCATCCCTTCCCTACTTTGAGGGATATTTCAACCTTGTCTCACTTACGGGGGAGCAGATTGAACTTATATTCTTCTACTTGAGATCACATGGGAATTGTCACATTCAGCTACGGTTGATTGACAAGTACAGGAGTCAACACTACGCTTTATTTCCCGACGGTGCGTCGAGTAGAACGATTTGCGCCAACTATGTCTTTACAATAGTATCACTTGTTGAGAAAATTGACATTTCTTACGGACTTCTTCTCGGAGTTTCTCATAGGCTAGGGATATGCTAAGAAAGAGCCGGGATTGTAGTACATCCTGGCATTGAGGTCACACTTCCCAAACTGCCATGTATAACAGATCCTTTCAAGTGACGTTGGATATGTCTAACAAACAACTGAGGTATACTTACATTTGATATGAAGTTAGGTATGGCTCTAGTGTTGACTTCTGCTGAGCTCTTGATGGCGCAGTAGGCATATTCGCCGACGTTGTGATCATCTGAATGGTATCATATCACGGTCATTATATTTACTCCGAACTGCTTCACAGGATTACTGAGTATTACGGATCACTCAGACTGAATAAATCACTTTTCAATAGAGGGCAGCTTTATCTTTCTTTCCAGCTCATGCAGCATGTGTTACCACTGAACGACTTGCGTGACTGACAGCGTGTGATATTCTCTCTGAACTTTTATCCCATGGCTGATGAGTTCTCTCCTGGACTGATGTTATGAGAGCTGATTATCGCGTCGTTGAATCGCATCGTCGACTCAATGGGACGTTCCTTCCTTTCTTGGAATTTGGAAATCGCATCATCGGCAACTCACTTTCTCATTCTTCTTTTTCTCTTCCTCTTCTTCCTACTCTCTTCCTTTTCAACCTTCTCTTTCGGTGAATTCGGATTCTTTTCTCTACTTCTTTCGTCGCACAAATGGAGCAGATTCATCCCCTCACGGGGGAAGAAGATAAAAACGCCTCTCAATTCATTAACGTCAATGCTATCCTGTCCGAGAAAGCGCCAGAGGTTACTCACAATGTGAGATACACGGAGTCGCTGACGGCGAATTCCGAGGAGACCAAGTTTATTGATGGCCATCCCGTCATCGAGACAGGTACTATCCATGAAGAGCACTGGTCCTTCGTCAACTAACTCATATTACAAGGAGTCCATGTCTCTCAGTACCTCATCTCCCTCCGTGACGACGAAGATCCACCTGTGACTTTTCGGTCCATCCTACTGGGTTCCATGTTTACAGCTCTCGCGAGTGTGATCCAGATGCTGTATCTGTTCAAGCCCGTTGGGGTTGACGTCTCTCAAGTCTTTCTGCAGCGTACGTCGGCTCCATACTTTATAGTCAATCCCTAACCTGATTTGATCCTTGATAGTTATGATTTTCATTTGTGGTGGAGCTTGGGCCGTGTTCACCCCCTCGCCCAGCCGATTGAAATGGAAGTGGCTACGATCAGTGCTGCAATTTCTCAATTTCGGGCAGCCGTTCACTATCAAAGAGCACGTCATCGCCTCGATGATTGCAGGGTCTGCAAATAATGGACTCAGTGGTGTTGAAGTCTATGCCGTGGAGCGGCTGCTCTACAACCGGACTGTCTCGGCCACCACTGCTATTTTTGCTACCTTTTCAATTGCTTTGTGTGGATTTACGATGGCGGGAATCATGCGGCCCCTCCTTGTCTATCCTTCTGAAATGGTGTATTGGGGGACTTTGCCACAGGTCATCCTCTTCCAGCAACTTCACTTTGACCGAGCTGTCAATCGGCAGCGTCTGACCAAGTTCGGCTGGACCTTGATGGGCTCTGCCATTTGGGAGATTTTTCCTTCTTATGTCGTCACATGGCTCACAGGTCTCTCGATCTTCTGTTTGGCATCAATGAAGGCCCCAGCAGATATCCGTTCACTCTTTACCAAACTCTTTGGTGGTGCCTCTTCAAACGAAGGGATGGGCTTCCTCAATTTTTCCCTTGACTGGCAATACATCGGAAGTGGTTCCATGGCATTACCGCTTAGGCAACAGCTCAACAGCTGGCTTGGTAACCTGATCTGGTATCCGGCTTGGCTTGGCTTGTGGTACAGCAATACCTGGAGTGCAAAGACCTTTCCTTTCATGTCAACCTCTCTTTTCAGGGAGAACGGTACGGTGCTTCATACCATGTCTATTCTGAACGAAGACGGTATCATAGATTCCAAAAAGCTTCAGGATACTAGTTTACCTTTCCTTTCATCCAGCGCGGTTTGGGTCTTCTTTTGTTCAAACATGGCCATCGGTGCTCTGATAATACATGTGTCCATCTTCCTCAGCAAAGACATGTTGATTGCTTGGATGCATGGGAGGACCAAAACTCAGCCTGATCCACATTATCAAGCCATGAAAAAATATAAGGAGACCCCAATGTGGTGGTATCTTATCCTTTTCGTGTTGTGCTTCGTTGCTGGGGTTGTGGCAAATGCGAAGGGTGAAACCACTCTGCCCGTCTGGGGGTTCATCGTCGCGCTTGCACTGGGTGCCTTCATTTGCCCATTCTCATTGTTCCTCTTTGCCTTTTACGGGAACGGAATTTCTACAAATCAAATTTCTAAGATGGTTGCAGGAGCAATTCATCCTGGTCGACCACTTGCCAACCTCTATTTTGCCAGCTGGTCTCACCAGGTGATCTCGATTGCTAATGCTGTGTCTACTTGGCTCAAAGTTGGGCAATATCTCAAAGTTCCGACTCGCAGCATGTTTTTTCTCCAAATCTATGGGTCTCTTCTCGGCGCTTGCATCAATTACGTTGTAATGACAACGATCGTGACCAGCAAACGAGAGATTCTTGTTGACCCAATCGGAAATAATATCTGGAGTGGAATTGCAATTCAAGGTCTGAATTCCCAAGCAGTTACATGGGCACTAGCAAAGGAGATGTACAGTATCAACGGCCGGTACTACATAGTGCCTTTGGGTCTGCTGATTGGTGCCTGCCTACCTGTTCTTCACTGGGGGATCAGCAGAGTATTTCCTCGAACCAAGAAGTGGCCAATCAACACAGCAATTATCATTGCCTCGGCTTCTGGTCAATTTGGAATTACTTCCAATGTCACTTCCAGCATAGTCGTCGGAATGATCGCGCAGCTCTGGATCCGGCCTCGCATTCCTCATATATTCAACAAATATAATTACCTGATCGGTGCGGCACTGGATGGAGGATCGCAGTTTATGACGTTTATTCTTGCTTTTGCGGTCTTTGGTGCAGCTGGGACACCTCGTCCTTTCCCTACTTGGTGGGGAAATCCCAAGGGTCCTCCTGACCACTGCCAATGATCTAACGGAATCCAACTCTGGTTGTTGTCTTATTCTGTATCTTTCAAAGCTTTGCGAACTGCAGCTTTTTTATCTTTTACCTATCTTAAATTTTTTCTTTTTCTATTGACATCCGCGATTGTTCTACGATTCTTCAGCTCATCAGCAAGATATTCTTAGGGTTGTCTTCTTGCTGGTCAATATTAATTCAGTTATCCATGGTATTGCAGTCAAGATGGCCAAATATCTCTCACTAGGCGTCGTTCGTGCATCCTCGCGTCTGGTCGTCCCCATACTAGGATCCGTCACGTTGTCCAATGAGTCTTCTTTCTCAGGTCATTTCTATCTTGTTATTGTTGCCGGGTCCTAATTTAGTTTCCTTGCTCATTATTCTACCCTTGCACAAGGTCCACCCTTCCACAAACCCCAAAGCTCATTCGTAGCGTCAAGATCCTTGTCCTAAATCTGAATGCCACTTGGCCCCAAACCCCGTATTCATGAAATCCCTCTTTTTGATGGGTTCTATAACTGATTTTCCACACTGAGCTTGATTAAACTGGTCAGCTGTCAATCTGGCAGATTTGGATGTGATTTAGCTTCAGAGTAACCGACAGAATGCTGCAGAATGCGAATCTTGAATATCCGTGCCTCCAAATTTTGATTATTATCTGTGTCACTAGAGCTCACCACGCTATTGATTCTAGACCTCAACACAGAAAGCAGGAATGGATTCTACTTGAGCACTGGACTTCCTGTAGTACAGCAATTGCCCCCATTAGTCTTGCTTACGACGCCTTTGTATAATTGACTTGGTCGAGTAAGTCATCACGTCACGAATCGTGTGTAGACACCTGGATTAAGGATGAGCTCTTGAAGCTGAATCTCCTTGTCCATGCAATATCTGCATAACTAATATACAAGGCTTAGTGACGAGCTTGTGTTTGTACCCCGTGTCAGGTCCTTAACGGGCTACTCCGCTTGGTACCTGTATACCATGTTGGGAACTCGACCACCGGAGTTATCAGGAATAGTTGGTTTTTTCTGATGACACCTCCCTTTTGTTATTCTGCTCTGGAGAAGTAAGAGGCTCTTGTATATAACAAGGTTTGGTAGACCAATCGTGTGCCGGCTGCACGTATAGCTTCGTTGGTTCATACAATCACAGCTCCTCCGATGATCCGGATTTTGTGTCCGGGTAGGGAATTGACAAATTGTTGATACTGATACTTTATATCAGAGGTAGTAATCTAGAGATATAAATTAAGCGCAGAGGGTCCTCCAATCTTCAAGATATCAACTTCTCAATTTTGAACTCTTCCAACTCATTCACTGGCCAGTATGCCTTCAAATGCTCACGAGATTGTCTTCAGTGTGTAGAATAGCATTCAGATCTACGTTCCCCCTTTTCCCATTGGCTGATTCTAATACTCTCCCCTAATCAGGGACATCCATTGCAGCCTGCAATTCCAACGACCACCTCCGCGTGTACATGCAAGATGTCCAAGGCCGAATCCGCGAGACCGTGTACGAGAGCGGCTGGAGCAATGGCACTGAGAAGAATACCATTGCCTCTGCTAAGACCTTCTCGCCCCTAGCCTGTACTTCGAAGCAGCTTGAAAAGGCAAGCCAGCATGTTACCATATCAGGGCCTGGTCAGGGTCGAGGTTCGGAAGAATACTAACAGCCCCCTTCTAGATCCAAGTTTTCTATCTTTCTAACGAGAACATCATCAATGAAATCGCTTATGATAGGTCTGGTGGGTGGGCTGAAGGGGAAATTGACAAGAAACGCTTCACCGCGGCCCCTTATTCAAAGCTTGCAGCTGCCCGTCTGAACAAGGGGTCTGATGTTGAGCTGCGGATCTATGTTCAGTTGCCGGATAATACCATCCAGGAGTTTGGCTTTGAAGGTTGGTCAGAAGAAGCTAGTTCCGTTGTCGAGTGTTCTCTCACCTCTTCTGTAGATGCAAGCTCCGGCTGGCAGAAGATGTCGAATCTCGGACATGCGATGCCGGGCACTGAAATCGCGTGCACTGCACTTAGACAACATGTTCGGTACGTGACAGACCCTTCAAACAACAATTGATACCGATATCTCTTTAGTGTTTACCTCCAGGATGTAGAACTCGGTCTCGTGGAGAAATGCTTCGACGCCAATCGCGGCTGGTATGATGGGTTTACGAAGTTTCCCAGGATGCAGCCCCGGGCGGCTATTGCTTGCACCAGTTTTGCGTCTGGGTCGGATGTTCAGGGTATTCATGTCTTCTATACTACTGCCACGAAGGTTCTGGAGATGGTCCATGACGGCAAGTCGTGGCGAGAGGGCAATTTCCAGGCTGATTGTATTCCTGGTACGGAGATAGCTTGTATTAGTTGGATGAGTGGCTCTAGCTCGGAGATTCGGGTCTACTTGCAGGCTGGTCGGGAGGTTTCTGCTATTTCGGAGTTTGTGAAGACTCATGGTGCTTGGAAGTCTGGGAAGACGGCTCTTCCTCCGGCTTGATTCTTTGGTTTGGGGGGTCTCTGGACACTGTTTCGAGGCTGGTTTCGAGGTAGGTTTCGAGGCAGATTTGGATGAAATGTGTCCATTTTGAGATCATAACATAAGTCACACAAAATGAATAATTTGTCCTACGTGGATGGTTTAGCCCAGGTAGAATCAAATGTTCCCGGGCCTCGTATCGTCAAGGGTAGCAGTGACTCATACAAAAACTGCAACATCCCCAGATTCTTCCAACTTGTTGCTTTTCTCTTTCAAATTAGCGTCCAATAAAACTACCTCTCTCTCCTGGGTCTTTCTTGCTATCTCGCTTTCAAACACCACCAATAAAGCTCACCTCCCACAATGGCCCGAAGCTCTGATTCTCAATCAAGCAGCACTCCCATTCTATACCAAGCCACTTTTGAAGACATACCCGCAATCAAATCAATGGTAAACTCTGCATACTCAAAATACATCCCACGTATCGGGAAGCCTCCAGCTCCCATGTCCGAAGACTGGGAGCAAGCGATGAGAGTACATGAAGTCATGATGCTCAAAGACAACGACCAATCTGTCGGCTCGATTGATTTTCTTGTGGATGATCAAACAAATTCTCTTAAAATCAACAATGTCGTTGTTGATGCGGGCGCGCAGGGTCGCGGCTATGGATATTGGATGATGAAATATGCAGAGACGGAGGCTCGGCAGCGTGGATTACCACGTGTTACTCTTTTTACAAATGTAAAGATGACTGAGAATGTTGGGTTCTATGGGAAACTGGGGTTTGTTGAGACAGAGAGGAAGTTGGAGGATGGGTTTGAACGTATATATTTCTGTAAGCGCTTGTGAATATAAAGTGGGTTTGGGGCGCTGTGATGGTATCGTCAATGTCTCTCTGAGTTGATCGTGAGACAATTTAGATCTACAAGGGGCTTCCTTCGGCGATAGAATTATATTCTTTCGTCTTGATGTATAGCTGATGCTGTTAGGAATAGGAAGATAACTGGCGTCAGATACTGTCATTAATATAATGAAGGAATAAGTAAAACTAAAATGCTATTATTTTCAACCATCTGACACTTTGGCCGAGTGGTTAAGGCGCTCGCCTGCTAAGCGAGTGGGTTCGCCCGCGTGTGTTCGAATCACACAGGTGTCGGTTATTTTTTTTTGCCTCAACAAAATTATCTCGATCTTTCTACTAGTACTGTTTCAACTAATTTCAAAGCCTTCATTTGACCTCATTACCTACACGTAGTGACTTATATCGCCAAATGGCAGCTATGATCCGATGAGCTGAAAAATGTAGAATTCGACTGGAACATCAAGATAGAAATACCCAGAGAGCTCTTCTCAATGACTTCGAATTCCCAAAGGCAAAATCAAGTGAACGGAAGCCTACAGTAGTCTCGTAAAACCCTCAACTGACCACGGAAGTATGAAAATCTAATTCTCTCAGAAGACAGAGTGAGCATTTTCAAATCGCGAGACAATCCTAAATAACACACGCCTGCAAATAGTTGACTGGCATACTCAAATACTGTAGACACAAGGCCACCCACTATCCAATTCCCAGATCAACATGATCGACAAACCTATTGATGGGCCTACTCAACCCCTATTAAGATATCCCTTACCCTGATCATCACTGAATCCCAAATTCCAAGTCTACCCTGCCTTGACCAATAGACGAAGATAGTCTTCTCACAGCAAGATACTAGGAGTAAAAAAAAAAAACTCAACTTCAAGTGACCTTTACTATAGCCACTTTCGGTTAATCGCATTTGCACATAAGCTTTTCCAGTGAGCCAGCCCAGCCCCGAACAAAAGTGTCAAGATCAGGGAATATTAAGCCGTCCAATAAAGCGATGCCATGGGGATACCCTCACTGTTGAGCTTGACCTAGTCCAGATCCAGACAACGTTAGGGCAAATCCAACGCACTCTTCTGCAAAGCGTTGTACTAAGCTATGTTACGCATTAGTGAGCAAACAAACAGTCCGACTAACGTTAGTCAAAGTCAAAGACTAGACCCTGCCAATAAGTCAACGAGATCGGCCCCTTACCCTACCTAGTACGAACACCCATGACGAAAGCAAAAGCATGTCTGTGGTGCCGCACGATGGCTCGGGATACCGATGCCCCATGCCCCACGGAAGTACGCCGAACCCGAGAACCTACAGCAGTGGCTCGGCTACTGTAGTCTCAAAACTCGATTTAGAACCCAGTGATTTGAAATGCAGCATACCGTAAGAACCTTAAAATTCTCCACGTTTCAAAGACAGCACCGGGGAGAAAGACTCAGAGCACGGCGTCTCCACGGAGAACCCCCCCCCAGCGATCAGCTACGGCAAGCGCATAGATTGCCAAAATTGAGAACGCACCCCATAAAGTGGCGCCGAGCATATCTAGCCGGAACTCAAATAGCATATGGAGCACAGCAATACAGAAACTCCAATTAAAAACGGCAAGGGTAACTACTGTACTGCACGGAGTATTCGAAGAAAGAAATAGTCCCAAACGCAAGGATCCAATGCAGATCCGGAACCACCCGATCTATTGCCCGAATAGGGAAAGCATCGATCTCGTTTCCCATTTTCATGGCCTCCACCGAAGGCTTTTGTAGATCGATATTTAAAAACTAAATCCACCCCCTGACCCAAGGAACAGGCGTTCGATACAGTAGATACAGTGGGCAGGGATCATATCTCCACTTTGCTGGGTTGGGTCGCTGGGTTGGGTTGCTGGAGCTCGCTCTCCACACGGCAAGAGCCCCATCCTTAGGGCATGGGTTGCTACGTGCGCACTACTGGACTGCAGATCGGGTTTTGTAATGCGTACTGTGCGGCTGATAATAGTACAGTACAGTCCAGTAGCGCTGCGCACTACGGCAGTGCGTGCAGAGCTCAGATGCCGTTTGTGTTCAGGAGTCGTTGTCCGAATCAGGCCCGAGATCTAACCTTGCCTTGCATTGTCGATTGCTTGATCGTCGCTTGCTGGAAACTATAGCCATGGGTCGAAGTTTTGAGCTGTGAAGATGATTCTGGTCTAGATTTGTTCGTGGACTTTGGGTATTGGCGGTTGGATCCGCTGCGGAATGTTGGGTTGAGAGGTTGATGCTGTTCTCGGTGCTGCCGAGTGAGGTTCTGCTATATTTGCTGTGTTGTGAGGATCTCGGCGTCGCCGAATTGATCGAATTAAGTAATGGGAATCCCCCAGGCGCCACTTCCGTCATGGAGACTGAACCTGAAACATCGGGCTTACTGCAGTTGTTGGTGCATCGTGGAGTGAGTGTTGGAAAGCATTCATTGATCTTAAATTCAATGCATTGAATGCACATGGGAATCACAGCGACCGTCGCGGAAGCGAGGACGCTCTTTTGAAGAATATATACAAAGTTCCGTCATCAAGAGAATAGAATATCAAGAGTAAGGTCGGAGACGTAGAAAAGGAGATCGGAGAAAAAGAGTAAAAGGGGACATGAAATAGGGAGTGGCAGTGTCGTGACTAGAAAGAAATATAGGTATAAAGAGGAAAGTCGAAAGGAAAGTATGTATCGAGGCCAGGAAGCCACCGCAAAATAGAAAAAAGGTGACAGGAAATCAAATGCCTCATGTGTCGTGAGAAAGTGTTCATCGCCTCCAGCCGTGACCCGAGACCTCACCGAAATCATCCTTGCTTGAGCGCGAGGCGCTTTCTCCCTCGTCTTCGGGGAAGGCGGGCTCGTGCGTGATTTCAATGGTCGTCTCTTGGTACACCTTTCCGATAGGGGCCATTTCGTGGTTGCTGGGCTGAACGATGTTGTCGGTTGAGCCGTCGCGGTGGTCCATGTCGTCGTTGATGGTGCCGCCCATGCCCTTGCGCTTCATGGGAGGGTCGGCAGTAATGGTAGTGAGGTGAGTATCGCCCTTGCGACCCTTGCTGCTGGCGAACTTGTTGTAGGAGCGGTCGTGACTGGGCTCGGAGTCGATGATCAGGTTGCGACGGGTGAGAGTGTACAGGACGACATCGACCAGGCCGGAACTGGTGATGATAGCACCGGCGCAACAGAAGAAGGTGATGTTCGGGGGGTCTCCGTTGGCAGTGGCCATACGACCGGCGGCGAGAGGGAGAGACAGAACGATGTAGACGATGGGGTAGATGGTCATGTATCCGACTACACGACGCAACCGCTTGAAACTCTCCAGCTGGCTGTTACCCAGGATAGAGGAGGCCTTGATCTGTCGGCGCAACTGGAAGAACATGACGGCGTAGAGGGCGACAGAGCCGAACTCGGCCAAGAAAATCCAGATATAGTGAGTCCATAGACGGACCGTCTCGTAGTCCTCGCTAATCCAGCACCACGCACCCGAGGGCGTGAACACGTCGCCGCCATACATAGCCAGTGGAATAATGACAATCAAGGCAATGAAGACCCAGATACCAACAACGAAGGAGACAAAGACCTTGTGGGACATTTTACGTCCCCATACGACCAAAAGGAAAGTGTGGAAAGCAATGGCAAGCACGAAAAGACCGGAACCAGGATCTCCAACCTGAAGCCAGAAGCCCTGTAAGAAACAGGCAGCCGTGCCAGACTCAATCTTGTTCGAAAGAATCCATCGTAGGTTGATGATGAAAGCGAGTGACTGTTGGAAATCGGCCAAGACCAAGTTATAGATGAGAATGACGTATTGGTTGTAACCGATGTATCGTTGGTAGCTTGAACGCCAGAAAATGAGTCGAAAAGTAATGAATCCGAGCAAAGTCGCAGTTGCAATGAGTGACAAGAAAGCCATGATCGAGATTGCGATCAAGCCTTGTCTTTGGATTCTTGGGAGAGGATCGATATCAAGTTCTGATGAGCTGGTCAATCGAGCCACCAGGTCTCCCTGCTGGCCTCTGGGCATTAAGCTCTCGAGGATGAGTGAATTCATGGTTGGATGCTTGGTAGATCGCCAAGTCGGGGTATCGTCGCCTAATTAAAAGAGCCAAGTGTTATGCAGTATTGGCTTCGTCGGAAGGGAGATGGAGGGGGCGCAGTTTTGTTGAATATAAGACCAAGTTTGAACACAAATGAGGGTATACACGGCTGAGCACCAATGCGAGCAGATCGAAACAAGACCGGGATCAAACGCTATAGCTCCCACATGTGGTAGCAGCAAAGAAAGAAGGACAAAGACGAGAGCCGAGGAGAAGAAGCCACACACGGGAGTATTAAAGGATCGAGGGCCAAGGGGATAAAAGAAGCAGCAGCCACACTACTGCCAGCTGATCGAACTTAAACTTTGATAGACAAGACAGAAGAATGAGAAAGAAATCATTCAGCCCTTTTTTGTGCAAATGATTGGGTGCTCCACGCTGATAAGTTCCAAGTTTTAACTATGTTTTTTCTTTTTTTTGCAATCATCTCCGGTGGGAAATGGAGACGACCCGGGAGAGCCAGTGATCTCCATAAGACTTTCTTCACAGCCCATAGCCAGAGCCCATAGCCATAGCCCATCTCATTGAACAGACTCCACTCTAGGCCACCTGTGCCCCTCCCAGAGTATCGGGCGAAGTGGGTAAGGGGGTTACAACTTTGCCACGAGTGATCGAATGAAAAGACGTCCACGTTTAGCTTAGATGGTCCTTACCCACCGAAACGGCCAAGAGCTACACTATTGTGTCTACAGAAGTACTAAGGGGATAGACTGTCCGCCTTGCATAGGAAGGATTTTGATTTCCCCATTTTTGAGGACAGTGGCGTAAAAATCCCATTACTGTATACCACGTTCTCCGTGTGTCTCCGCCATACAAACGGTCTTAGCGTGTGTTCATTGACAGGGGGTCCAAACTCTCGGACCGCTCGTACTGTTTCTCCGCTGCAGGGGAATGCTTCTGGAACACTAGCGGGGGAGGAAAGGCCAATGTACTGTAGGGAGAGAGGGTGGTGAATGTATGACCTTGGTTGCATCTTGGATGGGTCTAAGCGGATTGCCCCCAAAGCTGTTCGTCGGAAGACTTCCAGCGGGGCTAGATCTAGCATTATCATTCCCAGAGTCAATAGGACACGGCAAGAAGGGGGGGGAACCCTGGTTGGAGAAAGCATTCACCCCGCATGAATCCCTGAGTATCCAGTTACCGGCAGAGTAAAGCAAAAGAAAAAAAAAGAAAATAGGCTAGAAAAATCCCGGAACTGCCAAGGTAAAAAAAGACACTGAAGACTCCAGTGTCGATCACACGAGAAGAGGGTTATTTAGCAATAGTGGAAGTGACAGTCATGTATACGATTGGGCCAGTATAAGCTTCAATCCACTCTCCAGCAACCAACCAGGCCGATGGATGGCCCCCATTCCCCACAGAATGGAGTTTAAGCGGGAGGTCGAACACAGGTTTTCTCCCTTCCACAGGCCAGTTTCCAGATGTGGGCAATGCGCTAGAGCTTACCATGGAACAAAGGTGTAGCCATGTGGAAAGATGCAGGTGGACACTTTTGACGTTCGACATTTCTTTGTTGCCCCCTTTCTGGGAAAGGAGATGTGAACATCCACACTGCACACTGCAAGCGGAGTTTTGCCTCTCCCAAGTGGGTGCGATCGGCAAGGAGACAATGGAGAATGATTATGCGTGAGCACCACACACCGTCTGTTTGAGAGCCGCTAGTAGCGATCGTGGGGACTCGGCACAGTTGGAATGTACGCCCCGAGAGAGTGGGATTGTGAGAGAAGTTGTGTCTCGGATACTTGATCTCAGGGGAAATCGGGAGTCAACATGACAGTTGAAGTGAAGATCTTGAGTTCATCTGCACGATGACATATTACTGTACAGTACAGTTCACAGTTCACAGTTCCCACTACACACTACGCACTACTGTACATTCCACCATCCAACGTTCGACCATATGCACGACCATGCACGGCGTTAAACCATACAAACCCTAACGCCGTGTCTTACAACGGCGCAAGCCGCCTTGAGAGATCTCCCAGACCTGCCTCATTCTCCTTGACCCGCTCATGATCCACCGGCAATTTCCTTTACTGGTACTGTAGGGGGAAGTGTCCAACGTAGGCCAAGGCTCATACAATCAGCCTATGCATGACAATGATAAAGCTTATTCGGTACTGGGGTAAATTCAATAAGCAGTACGAAGTACACTGTCCATTTATCCCATGCCTATGAGCCTCAATACATCTACATCCTCACATCCTCACATCTCCATTTAGCCTGAGCTTTTCCTAACGGGACTGCCACCAAGCCCTGTACTAGTGCCACTCCAGCCTTGTCTAGACGGATGACAAATTCAACGATACAGCACTTGTCCCAGGCTTGTCCCAGGCTACGTGGTGTATAGTGAGACATCCACCAAACTTACATGTATTTTGAGCCTCGACTCGCCTGTTCCCAGTTTTCAAGGCCCCCAATATCAGCCCCAGCCATCGCCAAATGCCTCCGTGATCGCCATGATCGCGAGCATCGCGAGCCTCGCCAAGTAACCCGTCAACATAGTGTACCAAGCAACGCCTCCGGAACTTTCACCCGATCGTCATCCACTACTGTGCACTGGCTTGCCTAAATGCTCCTAGCTCTTTTTCTACCAGCCGCGCGCCCACGTACACACATACTGTACACACCATCACCTCATAATTGAGTGCTGACCTGGTGACGATACTGTAGGATGAACATGACGATCCGATAAGTGTCCTACATTTGCGAATAGAAATTGAATTAGAATTAGAAATCGAAATACGTGCAGAGAAAGACAAAGAATTGAGAAGAAAAAAAGGAAAAAACCCAACAGCCCAAATATCGCATCTGCCTAGCGAGCATACTGTATCAACCCTCCTGCAAAGGCCCAACTTAATATCAAGTTAACCTAATTACCTAGGTACAGTAGTCGGCACATCTTCTTACCTAAAATCCCACCCTGAGACTTCAATAATCACTAGCTCACAAGGCTTGTTTGGTCCCATCTTCAATCTTCACAAGCCAACACAGTCCCACGCACAAGCCACAGCTCCCGTGAACAATGATCTGCAAGCTGGGCCACGGAGATTTGCCATCGGAGCGGTAACGGCACGCAGCGACTATTGGATTGTGCCCCAGTCGATGCAACAGTGCTTGGGGGAGTTTTGTTTGATTTTTTTTTTCATTTCATTTCTGGCCCGTGTCCCATGTGATCGCCAATAGTCGCGTTTGTTTCTCCAGTGGATTTGCTGTGTTGCAAAGGTGCCGTACTGTATGGGGTAGCAGTTAGCAGTTAGCAGTTAAGGTAATAGTCAATAGTTAGAATACAGTAGAATCTACATATGCCCTTTTCGGCTGCATACCCACATGTAATGCGCGTGGCAGAGTTGCATATAGAGGAAAACGCTAAATGGCTGGCTTGTTGGTCTGTTCTTTTGCCCCTGGATCCATCCTGGATGTCGGAATCAGAAGCCGGTTTCTGGGACGGTCTACTGTAGCTGACACCCGGCTGGCCCTGGCGCTGGTCCTGGCCCCGGTAATTTACTGTACATGTTCAGTATTTGGTAAGGAGATCTTTTGCCCTTGGCAGCTGGGCCTTGATGAACATGAATATGGACGTGAACATGTACCCCACTAGGGCAGCATGAGAGGGTTGATCACATGCAGAAATACACGTCCATGCACGGGATGCCGGTTGACAGTAAAATACAGAGTACAGATGAACAGTTCCAGGCGGATGCCGTTGTGGGTGGATGAGATCAGCTACCGTACTGTGGGACTGGCAAGTTTCTCGGGTTCATGCATTGGACAGTGCTGACCGATGATTTGATTTCTTTTTTTGATACTGTATGTGGATCTGAAAAGGAGAGAGATGCAGAATCTGTGTTCTGTGTGTACAGTACTGTACAGTAGGTGCTGTGATAAACAGTTAACTTATATCTATGAACCCGCCCCGAATACCCCGGATGGTTTCTTGAAAGCTCTGCAATAGATTGGCCACTACAGAATGTCAGCACTGTAAATCTCTGCAGCCATAGTGCTGTACAGTACTGTACAGTACTACTGTATAGTGCCATGCTGGCTAGTTGCACCGAGCCTCGCTTTTGTGGGTCGAAGATATGCACGTTCATGGCAGCAGGGCGGCAGAGTACTGTAGCAGAGCATTGCATTGCATGTACAGTAGGAGAAAGACGTCAGACATCCATTGATGGTACTGGCTGTCTACTGCACTGTACTGTATAACAGGAGGGATTGCACACTGTCCTCAACTCAACACATCTTGACTGGAGCTCAGTTTTCAAGTTTAGCACTTGGCCTGGTTCGTGCTCGTTAGCTTCACAGCATGACTCGTCATCAAGCCCCCTATCGCATGGCCCCGGATTCAATCCTGTTAGAAATAACGATTATCGAGGCCACGGTGTGTATTCTTGATCTACGGACATCCCATCCCCATATAAGATGACACATCGAGCTGGTCGCTTGAAGAAAGCTGTTATAGTTGAAGTGATGATGGTACGGACATGCATTGAGTTAGTCTACAGTTCGGCGTCCGCGCGACCCTCAGCACTACAGTAGTAGCTCTGGCCTCCATGCTGGCAGTTTCCTCGGCAAATACTGCTTTCGTTGACGTGACTATTTCCTATCTACAGTATCGGCCGACTAAGGCATCGTCAGACTGGGTGGTTACGAATTGGTATACGAGAGACATGTCTCTGAGCGGGCCTGGCGAAAGGAGACAACCCCATTTGGAATCGTTTCGCTGTATGGAGTGTGGGCTGTGGGCTGTGGTGGATGTGTGAATTGCAATGGGTAGATTAAGGTCTACCCCATACGGCCCCCCTTCAATCTCCGCTATGACAACGGTGTTGCAGGAGGAGTAACAGTGACAGTAATGCTGTAGCAAGAGAGATGGTAGCTTTGTTCTGCGCTAGAATGTCCCTTCAGCCTCGTCATGCACTCCATCTCGTGAAGGATTATGGAAATTGGAAATGAGAAAAGAAGAATAGGGGGAAAAGAAATTGCAATGACCATCATGCATATTGTCATCGTCGATCTGTATTCCGTAGTACAGTACAACATATAGCAAACAAGATAAAAAAGAACCGCTGCATGATGCTAAATCAGTCTTGTATCATAGCCCACACCCATCAAGGCCGGGAAGCTTCATAGCATTCATCAATCGTGAAGAATCAAAGATAGAAGGGTGGACTAGTAAGTCCCCAGAGAAAGAGAAAGAAAGAGAGGGAAAAGGAGGACGAAAAAGCACACATCAACACGCAAGAATGCAGAAAAGCAAAAGTAGGAAAGATCCAGGATGACAAGGTGGGTATCATGAGTTCATCAAGCCATTGCACGCGACGACAAGAACATATCCAATCCCCATGCTATCCGAACAGGAACCCGCCAATGATTTTAATGCCGAACGTAAAGCAAAGCAGACCGAGCAGGAAAGCAAAAGGCATCTCTCAAGTGACTCAAGTGACTCAAATGAATGTCCTCTACCTCCGGCGCGAGGTGCGCGTATCCCGACGACCAACCATATCATCTTCCTCGTCCTCTTCCTCGACAGGCGCAGGCGTCCGCCGCTCGGTACGCCTCTTCGGTCGACGGCGACGGTTCGAGCTAATATTACTAGCCGAGTCGTCCGGCGCAAGAGACCGATCGTCATCAATGAAGAAATCATCCTCGCCGCCGCTTTCCCACGTGCCAACGCCCGAGAAGGGTGTTCCCAGACGTGCCTCGACGGTAGAGCCGCGGCGGCTTTGGTTCGCGACGGAGAGACCGGCACCTCGTTCACGCAGGGCGCGTCGCACCACTTCGGCTTTGTAGTGCAGGGCTTCGAAGGCGTCCTCTAGAGCTTCCATGCCAAGGAAGATGTCGCGTTCGACTTCGGCTAAGGCGGCGATTTCGGTTTCCTCGTCTAACGCGATGGGACCGCCGAATGAGGCGGGTGAGGTGGGCGCGCCGTTCGGTTGGCTCGATGATCGGAAGCTGCCGTCCATATAGCTTGGTGTTGGGCCTCTGGAGATTCCGCCGCCATTTAGTGGTGTGTTGGAGCGGCCCTGGGTGTTTCCGGAGGTATCTTCGGCGCCGCTGCGGAGGAACCCATCAAAGCGACCGGAAATCAGGATCTCCCATTCGTCGTCGCTGATGGCGGATAGAGTGGCGAGGATGTGGTGGAGGCTAGGATTATTTAACATATACATGGCGGTTTCTGGGTCGCGGGGCCGAGATGCCAGTCGGTACAGGCGCTGAATGGCCGAAGCTGATGAAATCAGCGCTGAGGGTTTTGGGCGCGGTTTCTCGTCGTCGGATCGGGGTACAGGCGTAGCTGAGTTGATGCCGAGCAATGAACAGAACAAGGAGCGCTGGTAAGATTCAAGATGTGTGAGCATGGCAAAGGTCAGAGTCTCGTCGTCGACCTCTTGCGGCGCACTTGTCACAGAGTCAGTCTGTTCAGACAGCCATTTGTCCACGGCGACTTTGGTCTTCCTAGATTGTCGGATGAAGTGATCGCGGTATTCTTCTGGGACATCCACATCAAGCTTTTGCATTGGAATGTGCTCGTCGCCTGGCGCAGTCTCCACAGCAGCCGGTGCCATCATGAACGGAGGCCACATTGGAAGCTCCCTGCGACCAGACACGAGTTCCAGAACCTCACCCCAGCTCACGCAATCGGGTCGATTGTCGGCGCCCGCTCTTTCGCAAATCTGGCAGCTACATGGCTCGGACGAGATATCGCGCGCGAAAACAGCCTCAAGCCGATCTAGCAATCGCCGGGCAACAGATCGATAACCCGTAGCCACAGCAAGAGACCCATTTTTGCTCATCACCTTTTGGTAATCATCCAGTAAACGGTTGTACGGATCGAAAATTTTACCAGCCACCAGCCGAGAATGCGTCTGCCCATGCGAGAACGGATCAGATTGACCGAGGCTAGCAAGTAGCGCTCTCGAGACTTTGTGTTCTAGTCCGCCGTTCTTGAGCAGGTAATCGACTCGAGGAATCGAGACCGGCATTTGCGGCGGAGGTGGAGGTGGCGGGGGTGCGCCGAATGCGCCTGGGGTCACTGGCTTCACATAATCAATCGACTCGTCGCTTGGGGAATGGCGATGAGACATGGCCGACCGGTTCTGTGTGCGAGAGGGCGGTTTCGTCGGTGGAGTCGAAGGCTTTCGCGGGGCCGAATACTGCTGGTTGGGGGCGATAGAGGTTGCATCTGAGACTGACTCGGCGTCGATATCTCGAACTGTTAGGTTGGACTGTGAGGCTGACAGTGTTGAGCGGCTGGAGCGTTTGGGCAGCTTGTTCTCGTCGGAGCTCTTCGTCTTGGACTTGTAACTTGACGACCGAGCCGGAGATTCCTTGTCATCCTTGTCCTTGGGTGTCGACGTTCTGGACTTGGAAGGGGTTTCTGTTCGGGACGTCTTGCTAGACTTGGATCTGACGGTGTCATCCTTCCTCGACCGTAGACTTGACGAGGATCTATTGACCTCCGTCCGAATTTTTATGTTTGTCTTTTTCGCCTTAGCCTTCTCTGCTTCCTTCTCGTCCTCGTTGACCACACTGCCCTTCCGTGAGGATTCCTGGTCGAGCCCCGTTAGCGGGGGACTGGGTGGCGCATGGTGGTTCTCGGTGCGGTGGTGCGTCTTCTCGTCATCGCGTTCGGTCAAATCGGTCGGGTCTGGCGTGGGTATATCGGCCTTGCGAACATCTTCTTTGCTATGAGCCTTGGAGAAATTGGGGTACGGCAGACTCGACCTCGATTCGAGAAACGAGGCAGCGCCCGACCGACTATCGAGGCCTGGCATGGAGGAGCGGCGTAGGGAGGAGCGGGCCGTATCGGAGTCACGACCCTTGGTTGATGGGCGGGTCAAGCCTTTCTTTGTTGTCGTCGTCTTCTTCCTATCGTCGCGGTTTAGTCTAACAGGAAACATGGCGGACTCGAAATTGTGTAGTGGAGCCTTCGTCCCGCTAGTTCGAGGTCGTTTACCTCTCCCTGGGGGGCTATTTTCGTCGCGCTTAAGCCTGCGGCTCTGACTGGTTTAATAGGTCTTATGATCAACGTATGTGACCGTTTCGGATTTCGGGCATTTTTGGAGAAGAATAAGCTTGTGCAGGTACGAAATGTAGGAATGGGAGAGGGGGAAAAAAGCGATGCGGTGAACAGACCGACAATCTCGGCCCCCCGCTCAACTGACGTGGTTGAATTGCATGGAAGCCTGATATAGCCAGCTGGGCAGGGAGCACAGCGCCTATTTCAGGTCTACAGGGATGTGGATAGTGCTGACATGGAACTTCACATTGGGGTATCTGGTACAAAGGGGACTATTCACAATGTAATCCATTCATCGCCTTGACAGGGGACGTCTCCAGCACCCAATTGCCATCTTGCTCATGAGCGACTCCTCCACTGTGAGCAGCTCTCATCATCTTGTCGCTGGCAGGGGTCAGATCGCCCGTGTTGTGGTCCCAGATCCAGCCTTCCTTGAGCCACATCCATGACAGGTATGCCCGTAGCTCTTTATCTTGGGGCAGGACACACTTCCACTCAGCCACAAATCCTATTTCTGTCGCACCAGTTCCCTGCCAGTCAGAGGCTTTGCCACGCAATTCGTCGCGGCAGAAAATACGCCAGCTGTCGAGTGAATAGGCTCCAACTCCAGGCAAATGTGCAACCTCCCAGGCAACTCGTAGGTCTTCTTCGTTGATGCATTCGTCACGCCCAACATCTCGGCCGTCCAGTCTGCGCGGATAGTGTAGTTTGCGATATCTTTTGTTTTTGTGTGGGGGGTTTGTAAGCCATAGTTGTGCGAGTGCAATACACTTCCTTGCGCGCTGGTTTTGGAATCCCAAGCAACGAATGATCGACACAAATTCAGACTCGTCTGCTGCGGCCATCTCCTCGATTGTTGGATAGCGGCCAAAGACCTTGAACAGCACGGGAAGTGCAACTCCACCCCGTGTGCGATTGAGAAAGATAGTGGCAATAAGTAACCGGAAAGGGTCATGTGCAAGTTGTTCTTGAATGAGCCCGAAGGAGGGTCCATCAATTGGCGGGAATGGCAGACAGGATTCAGCACCAGGTAATGATGCTGGGAAATAAGGAGACAGCTTTGGGGGTTTGATTCGAGGGGCTTTGTTTGACTCTGGGTTGAGATGGGGCGTACTTTTCACAGGAGTTTGGGGATTCTCGTTTGTGGGCAGTGAGATACATTGAAGACTTTTCGAGGGGCTCTTGGGGATCGTGGGAAATGATATGACAGGAATTGACGGTTTTAGATCAGGCTCATCCCAATCAAAATCGCTAGGAGCATCACTCAAAGAAGAATCTGACAAGAACTCCAGAGGCAAATTGAACTCCTCGAGCAGTTGCCGAGCTTCGGGGGGAATAGACATAGTGTACAGCGAAGTGGTCGTGTCCAGTTTACTTTCAGGAGCTGTGGCCCGGAAGAAATACCTAGACTTAACCTCATCACCAGCAGTCACAGCTGGCAAATCATTGGTCCTCAAAAATCCACATCCCACAGATTTGGGTCAGCGGGCAGAGGAGGATGAGGGCTTCGAATCTCTGTAGAACTCTGTTGAGAGCTTGACATCCGGGTAGGCGTATTCATTTGCGAGACTGGGCGTTCAGCGCTGATATCCGATTGATGTTCCCTCCGACGGCGGTTTTCACGCCTACGCTGTTTTCTCCGAAGGTTCTTTTTCCTGTTGCTTTCTTTTTTGGTCCTCTCTCGATCCAAATATTCCTTCGACTTGGCAGATTCAGAAGGAGGATTCTCGGAAACAGGAGGGGTTGTTGCACCTCGTGCATTGTCATGGGAAGGTCGGTTGCGCACTTTACCCTCACCGCTCCCGGCCAATTCAATCCCACGTTCATGTTGTCTTGGGTTGGGAGAATGGCACCTCTTGTGCTTCTTGACCTCTTTTTTTCAAGAAGTGTATCGTCACTACAAATTTCCACGAGATATTTGATTGCCTTGGTAGGAGTATTTGTTGCGCTCCGTAGGTGTCGGACATTCTCGGTCACAACCTGGCCGTGAGCATGGCCAGGATAAGCTGAGCTCTCAGAGTGACATCTCTTGCGCTTCTTAGATGCGACGACTTCAACGTTATCTTTGCCGCTAGAAACATCCAAGATCGCAGACGTCCCATGAACATGGCGCCCTGCAGTGTCTGAGTGACGCTTCTTGTGCTTCTTCGAAGGTAGGATACCGATATCGTCCCTTCCCCAGGAAATTTTTGCAAGTTCCTTTGCAATCAACATGTGTTCGTGGCAGAGGGTCGATTCCTTCACGTGAAAGTTGTCCAGAGGCTCTTTCGCTTCGTCGTCAATCTCATTGCCAAAGCTCGAACCATCATCATCTGCGGTCACAATGCTGCGCTCAGCAAGATAAGTCTTTCGAACAAGCTCCATCAAGGCATCGACAGATCCATTGTCCATTGTAGCCGCGAAAGCCACGTTTCGTACCGAGTCGACGAATTGGCGCCTGGCTGATCGTAGGACAGGCTGGGCTTCCGTGGTCATAAAAGTGTGAGATGCAATGAATTGAAGCACCGCCATCTGGCTCTCCGCACTCACTGAGGCGAAGATCTTATCCTCGGGCGACTCTTCGGTTTCTTGAACCACAGGCTGGTCGAGACCTTGTTCATTTTCATGTGTTGCTTTGTCTGGGTTCGTGACGTCTAGGTCTCGGTTCTGGTCCTTCTCAGAAAGTCTGCTGGAATCCTTCTTAGATTTCTTGTGCTCTTTCTTAGACTTCTTCTTGGATTCCTTCTTGGAGACTTTATTGATATCTTTGTCCAGATCCATGGTGGCAAGGATCTTCCGAATCTTCGGCGAGGCTTTCAGCTTCAGATCCTTGATTTCATGGGAGGGAGAAGTAGGCGCGACAGAAATAGGCGGGGGAGTAGGGAAACGCAAAGACTCAGTCTCGATGCTGCGAGCACGACTAAGAGGAAGAGCAAGTGAGTCGTGCAAGTCGCTATTCCCAAGCAAGCTGGATGAGTTGGAGGCACTAATGCCTTCATCTTTGTCACGGCCAATTTCGCGGGTTGCTTCTTCCGAGAGGATGTCATCGATGGTTCGGCCGAAGAAGTCGTCATGGTCAAAAGACTGGGAGGGGGTGGTATGAGGCGAGGGGGAGGGGACAACAACAGAGATATTGCTTAGCCTCGCCATGTTGTGGCAAGACTGAGTCAAACTCTTATTTGAGAAATCTGGCTAAGAAAGCAAGCTCTCAAAGTTTGAAGACATGTCGCGATGAAGGATGGATTGTGGGTGCTGAGCTCTCAAAGTTGTCAACGGGGGCTGTGAAGGATTGAAGAAGAATTGAGCAGCCTGCAAGACACTAAAGATCAAATGCGCGATGTTTTCTCAACTTGTCGCGAGTTGTTTGTCAAATGCGGAGACGCGGGGATTGAGTTTAGATAAGGACGCGACGTGAGCTGACAGAAAACATACTGGAACAGATATGGGTGAGCGATTGAAACGGATGAGAAGACTCTCACGCGAAAGGAAAGGCAAAGAAAAGAGAGTCAAAGCAAAATTGAGAACAAACGTAGACGTATCGCATGAGGAAAGGAAGCTGCAGGAGCACGGACCACCCAAGTGCGATCTATACAAAACTCGAGGCTGGAGACATTCCACACTGCATATTTGGAAACACTGGTCTCTGATAGCTGATATTGATTCATTGAGTCTATCTCACTCGATCCATAGGTATGTTTCACATATTATATATGACAATCTATAACCAAAATGTACAGTGAATAGCCGTCTAAACAGAGTATCCAGCCGAGTTCAGCTGTCTCGGCTCACCAGCTGCGTCAAAAGTACCATTAGGCAAGATGCGGATAAGTTGAGCGGTGCTCTGGCCGGGAGCAACCCAAGTGACATTGTGGCCACGGGCCTCCATGAAAGCAACCGTCTCGTTATTATAAGCGTACTCAAAGCTGACCTGGTTGGGCACCAGCTGATCATGCAAACGAGGCTTCGACAAAGATTCTGCGGCCGAGAGGCCTTGATCGATGGAGTGGATGATGTTCTGTACAGTCGCAGTGATGATACGGCTGCCTCCTGCGGATCCGGCAACCAGGAAAAGACTACCGTCAGGTCGAGTCACTATAGCTGGTGTGATGGAGGATAGAGGCCGTTTGCCGGGTCGGACGTAGTTTGCCACAGATGGGATATACCCAAATTGGTTGGATGATCCGGGGATGGAGAAGTCTGTAAATGGTTAGTTGGGATCATTCACCCAAACGTAGAGATTGACTTGCCGTTCATCTCGTCGTTCATAATGATACCCGTTTCAGGAACCATGACATGACTGCCAAACAAGAGGTTGATTGTGGTAATGACTGAGATTGCAAGACCAGTGTGATCTGCGGCAGCGATGTGAGAAGTCCCAGGTCTGAGGCAAGATATTAGCCAGTTGTGAGAGTATCATGAGCGAAAGTGGGACATACGTATCCAGACTTTCGAGTCCGGATGGGTCATAAGCGGAAACATTTTGGGTCCGGATATCTGAGATCTTTGATCTGATCTCGTCAATCGTAGACTGGGCAAGCATCTCCGTTTCATATTCAGCCATACCCTCGACGAACAAAGGATCGCCCAAGTTGGATCTCTGCACTCTCTATTAGTGACATTCAACCACCTCAGCGAGGACACAGAGACACTCACCTCTCCATACCCAAATCGCATCGCCTCATCCATTCGATGAGTGCTCAGATGAACATCCTCCTCAGTCGAGAAGAAATCCTTATATGTCCCCAGGATCTTCAGGATACTCATAGCAACAATGCCACTAGACGGGGCAGAAGTACTGGTAACCTTGTACCCGCGATAGTCAATCTGCGAAGTATTCCGAATAGCAACAGTATAATTGCTCAAATCATCCAGCGTCATAGTTCCATTCTCACTCTGCAACGCATTAATCATAGTCTCGGCAATAGGTCCCGTGTAGAATGCATCCGGGCCCCGCTCCGCGATGGCCTCGAGAGTATCGGCATACCGACGCCGAGTAATAGTATCGCCGAGCCCGAGCCTGGTTCCATTGGGCGCAAAGTCAATGGCCCATGTTGGGTTCTTGGTTAGGAAATCTTCCCCGTCACCGACGGCCGATTTCATGTATTTGACCAGGTCTGCTGTAACGGGGAAGCCTTCGCGCGCAGTACGGATTGCGGGTTGGATAACTGTCGACCATGGAAGGGAACCGTATCTCTTATGGAGGTGTTCGAGGCCTCGGACTTCACCTGGTACGCCACTGAAGTAGTTTTTAGCATCGCTGATATCCACGTCCATATATGCGCTTCTTACCTGGCTAGACCACCATAGATAGAAGCCTCTTCATTATTTTTATACATATCCTCAAAGGCTGCGGCTGGGGCTGTCTCTCGGAAATCGATAAATTCATAGGTGCCATTTGGGGCCTTGACAAGCATGAAACCCCCGCCGCCAATCCCACTATGATACATTCCTGCAGTCGTTAGCTATGTATCTTGGGCAGCAGCTAGTAAGTTAAACTGTTGCGACTTACCAATAACGCCGATGCAAAATTCCGTTGCAACCAACTACCCAAGTTATCAGCAATGGCCCAAACAATCACGGGCCCAGATTGAGCCGCCTCGGCATGGACATCCTTAACTCACAGCATCGGCCGCATTTCCTCCCATCTTCAAAATATCAGTCCCATGCTTGGAACATATCGAGCTCTCACTAGCAACCGCTCCCAGCTTCCCGGGAGCAATATGGCCATGGGATCCATCGCTGCTTGAATCTCTCTCAGAAAGTTCCAGCGGAGATGTAAATGCTCTGGGTAAATGCGTCACAACTAATAGCAGCGACAGAATTGCCAGAAAGCCTAATCTCATCGGCTGCAACATATTCACTGGAATGCTTAACCGATTTCTCTGCTGAACAGGATACGGCGCGACAGTTATTTTCGCGGACACGGCTGGCGAGACCAGCAAAGGCTGCGGCAAAGTCCCGTCAATATATAAGTTTCTTTGACAATGAGGGGAAATGCAGCTTTGAGAGGGGAAAAGAGAGCTATTCACCTGTTTCTCCACATCTTGCCCGCTGATCTCGCAGGGGTGTTGCATGTCAGTCTCGGAGAAGACCCAGATTCGTTCAAGCGCGTGTAGAACCAGTCCCAGATCAAGCTACAAGACAAAATGGAAATGGAGTTTGAACACCGGTCTCAAGGTTGGCGGTGTGACCTGCTGGCAAGGGATATCTACACCAAACCCCGCTGATAAGCGGGCTGGAGATAGACTTTCTTGATTGTTAATGACTCCACGCCTCTTATCTTGGCTGAACTTGCAAGTTACAATATAAGTGACTACAGTGACTACAGTGACTACGCGTTTGGTTTCGGGAACCAGCCTTCCGGGTGGCTTTTTGCTGCCTGCACTGCAGTCTTGTAATATATGGCAGGGTTTCGTCCCTGGGATCCACGGCTTAGATACGGAAGGATCTCGGGATATCATGACTCAGCACTCTGAGCCGCCTTCTTAATCCACGCGATAGTATCATTCCACTCTTGCGGAATTTCGTCCAACGCTTCCAGAGTGGCCATGACCAGCCGGCGGCCCCAGTCGCGCACGTACCACCGATTGCACAAAAGATGCATAGCGAGTCCGTAATGAAGAAACAAAATGCGAGCCATCCACTCGTCATTCTGAAGAAGGGAGCAGAACTCGTCGCTCAGGAATAGAGGCCATGCTATGATACCGCCATGTGGTCCAATCTTGGGCCATGGCTCGATGGCTTGATATAGAAGCTGCCACGTGCCTCGATAAGTGTCCTTGTTCAAGTCTTCTTTTGCATCGATCGTAGATCCTAGCTGGTCGAGCGATGTAACGATGTCTCTGGTGTGAAAGTCAGCTATTCATATCCTGCAGACTGTGTACTATTCAAACATACTCATGAAGACGGAAGAGTTTCTGATGATCTTCTGGAGGGGCACTGTCACTGTACCATGTTAGCTTCACATCTTTTCAGGTCGATGCCAACGAAAAAAGATATCTTACTTGGAATGCTTCCCACCCTGCAGACTTTCCTGTGTCTCAGTAACACACAGCAATCCTGCCAGCTGGTCACTACCACCAGCGGCGTGGATTCGATTGAAAATCATAGCCGGTCCAGATATCAAGTTTCGAACTTCGAGTATTACTGACACCGGGTTCTGGGGTTGATTATCGAGGGAGATGGCCTTGAATCCCAAGGCGAGGAGGAGAATGAAGATTGAAGCCACGAATGCGGGCTCAAAGTCTGGCTGTGAGAGGTCTGTGACAACTTTCCCTAGCCCAGAGCATGCCTGGCCTTGGTAATTGAGGGCAGTGTCCAGCCACGAAGCTCGGTTTTCTTCTTCAACAGAGGCAAGATGTAAGGCGGAGAGGGCAAGAAGGCTATCGAGAAGATATGGACATGATGAAGCCATGCGGGGAATACTCATCGACAGATGGTATGCAGAAAGGCCATCCTGAGATAACGTGTGATATGTTGAAGTGAGATATTGATGGAACAATCTTGTCTCCATCATGCGCGTTGGCAATGGGCGATCTTCCACTGATGTTGGACCTCCACCTTCCGACCCATCCGGAGCTTGAGGACTGTCACCCTCACTACCAGAGGGAGGATAGCTGCACTCCAATTTGCGTCTTCTGCACAGAGTGCATTTTGGAACACCTTCATCGCACTGCAGATGATGTCAGACTTGAGATTTGGAGAATCAACGCGTGCCCAAGCAGACAATTGAACAGCATCTCGACATTGGAGCGATACAGTTGGGATATCATCAATGATCGTGGGTCTAGCTGGTTTAGGAGAGTAAGTCTATTGCGGTACCGACCTTAACGTGTCTCCTTTTGCATTCCAGGCACCCCTTCCTGGATTTTTTGTGACTCCGACGGGATGGCATTGATGGCATCTGCCATTCAGGGACAGAGTCAATCCAGATATGGAAAAAGATGAAGCGGCTCGAGAAATCCACACTGCCGACCTCGGCCCTGCTTTTCTGGGGGATCTGCTGCATCTGATCGCGTGTGATTGGTCCGGGCTGCCTCGCTGCTTATGTAAACGACGCGCTATCCAAATCTGGAAAAAGAGTGAACGAGCCACAATAAACACATGAAAGAATACTTCATGAGCTGGAGTTATTCTCAATCTTCTAATACTAAGATTCATGATAAAGAGGCGTCTTGCTTAAATCATCACGAGCAACCAAAACTTCGACAGACATACAATAAATAAATTATAAGCAAAGAAGCTTTCGTTAAATGCAATTTTCAAAGCAGCAGTATACTACTTATATAATCCTAAAATAAGCGCCATGTCTATTTTCTCAATCCATCCAACCCCATCGTAATCAAAACTCCACTTGGAACCGTTTACTGGTTCTTATACGCTCACCATACAGCCAAAAGATGACAGGCAGCCCGCAAAGCAGCAGAGCAATAAAACCAAGTAACGAGTTCCCCCAGCCCAGTCCGAGTGTTTGGTACATTTTCGGGCCAGCAAGGGGGAGCATTGCACCGGCCAGTGAACGGAACACCGTATTGGCAGCCATAGCGGAGGCAGCATAGAGCGTGAATGCGTCGACTAGGTAGGTACTGACAGTCATCTGTAGACAGAGATTAGCAACAAGCACCACAAGACAAATTGAAAATTCTCCAAAAAGGGCATGGACCAGGAAAGCAACGTACGAAGGAAATCAGCATGCCAACTCCGAGAAATGAAGTCCCAATGATAGGTACAATCCAATGCGTATGATAATACGCCGACCAGCCATACATGAAAAGCGACGCGGGGACAAACAAGGACCCCGGGATCATCGGCGGGAGACGGTATTCTGGTTTTCTGACGCCGCTCTTGGCTGATAGGTAATTGAGTAGACGGTCAGAGGTAAGTCCCAAGACTACAAGGCCGACGATTGACCCGATTCCAATTCCTAGGTAGGTTAGACCGACGATTCCCTGGGAAAATCCATAGTTCTCTTCGAATACTGGTGTAATGGTTGTGAATAGGAGATAGAGATATCCGTAGATCACGCCGACGTAGAGAGAGAGCAGGAAGACGATGGGCGACATGAAGAGCATTTTCGTTGGGCGAATGATTGAAAAAAGGAACAGTTCTCGAGGTGGGCGATCACTTTCTAGAGCCGAGCGTAGGTTCATATTTCCTGTTTCTTTTTGGAGTCTTTTTGTCTTCTTGGCTAGGATTGTTGGGGCGTAGGACTCGCGAATGGTGAATATCGATATGATTGAGACTGCACCGCTCTAAAGAAGAGTCAGACAAGATCCATCATCACCTTTAAATCTGGTAATCCTGATTGTATCAACTTACAGCCATAGCCAAAACCCAAAAAGTCCACCTCCAGCCTTTAGCCTGTGCCAAGAAAGCTCCAGCTTCACAAAGTCAGCATTTCATTCCGGGTAATCCCCCATCGTTTGTCTATATGTGAAGGTGGAACATACCAATAGGACCAATCACAGGCCCAATTAACGGCCCAATGGCCCAAGCCGCCATAGCACCACCCCTTTTCTCCTGCGGAAACATATCGGCAATAGAACCAGCCCCAATAGTCAGTGGACAACTACCCGCAAAGCCAGCAAAGAACCGAAACACAACGAGACTGCCAATCTCCGGCGCAACAGCACACGCAATCGTCCAAATCACATAGAGAACATTGCAGCCGTGGTAGATGTACTGTCGACCATACATCTCAGACAAAGGTGCCAGCAGTAGAGGTCCGAAACAATAACCCAGCAAATACACTGACACCACAAAAGCTGATAATTCGGTACTCGTGACGCCGAAGTCTTTGATTAGTCGTGGGACGCCTGGTGCGAACATCGAGGAGCCGAGAGGTCTATAAGTTGTATGATGAATATGGTAAGTCTATGAGCTATACGAGGACCGTTTGGGGAGGACAGTACGTGAGTAAGGTAATCAAGGCAATCGATAATGTCGCTCTCAGCTTTTTCTTCGATGTCCAGTTGAGTGGGTTCTCGGGGTCATCTGGTCCATCCCAGGTGACGATGTTAGGGTCAAGGTCTGTCTTTTCTTCGCTGGCAACTTGTATAGGCGGCCCTTTCTCCAGGTCGGAGTCTTGTTTCGTCTCGTCTAGTGCGATCTGTTTTTCATCGTCGCGGTGGATTTCCCGAGAGCTGGCTCTTGGTGTCGACCCGTCGACGGAGGAGGTATCTGCTCGGCAATATTTAGTTCTTGTTGATATTCTGGGGCTTTGCGCTGGTCCATTCGCCAATATCGCTTGTTTCATGCCGAGACATGAGTGAAAGGAAACAGAAATTCAGCCTTACTCGCGCTATTCATATTGAAGAAAACGTCGCAGTCCCAATAATTGGACTCGATCCGCGCTTTTCACACAGATATTCGAATGCACTTGGTTTGCTTCTATTGTCAGGAGTCCAATGCGCTCTTGGGTTATAGGTGGACAAAATGTCGAATCTGCGGACCTCAAAAAAAACACCCCCGAGACGGAGTCTTATATGGGAAGAGGGGTCTAAGCCACCGAAGCAGACAACCATGAAGCGCACTAGCTTCGGAGTTTAGCCCGCCGGTGCATGCATATGCATAAAACCCCCGGGATCGATGAAACGGTCTACAACTTTCAGCCCGAGTGTCCGCTGGCGATTTGGGCTATTCTAGGATACGCTACTACCTCGCATTGTTCAATCTATAGCTTACAGTGAAAGGAACACAAGAGCCCGACTCTTGTATAGAAAGGGGGAAGACAACATGATCGATTCCGGTTAGGGACATCAGGGGGTTCGTTGAAGAGGCCCGAGCCTTGCATAATTTTTCATACTGTTAGATGCGTATGTTGTTTTTGATATCGGCTGAGCTTATCTTCGAGATACAGACGATCTTGAACAAATAGACACTACAGATAAGTTATATTGTATAGTCCTGGGTCTCCATTATTCCGATTTGTGGGGAGAGCTGGAGTTATCCCCGCCCTCGGCATTCGGCTCACGGTTATTTCCGGTGCAAGTGTATACACATCTGCATAACAGTAATGGGCGTCTTACTGCTTACTTCCAAGCCTCGTGATTATCTCTTGGTACTGCAGCCAAGGTTGGTAAGGCCACAATTCAAGCCTCAAAGTTAGTTATTCACCTATGATTGGTCGATTCGTTTGATTTCGGCACGGAAAGGCCGACTTGGTGGTTCGACTCAGGTTGTAAGTTAAGTCTAGGGCTACTTACTATTCTAGGTAGTTCTTCTGAATGTCTCGGCGCCGTTTAATAATCGTATATGGCATACATCTATATACATTAAACATCACAACGAAAAAGAAACACCATGACTGTCAGCACAGGCATTACCTGCTTCGTTAGTAAACATATCGAAAACTCCGAAATCAAGATCTAAATCCGCATCTCGTGCCCCATTCCACGTGGAAGGATCATGACTATACTCCTGTCCAGCAGTCATAGCCATAGTCGCAGTCGCAGTCTCCAAACTCCGAGCAATACTAACAAGAGGATGAACAGGTTGATTCATCACTGGCGACAAACGCAGAATCCGAACCAGTCGATGGAGATAACCGGGGATATCCTCGCCTTGCATATCACACGCCATAGGTGTCTGCTGACGTGACACTTTTACCAGGCAGACACAGGCGAATGCAATCATTGTCCCGATGTATGGCGGGAGTTTCTCAAGCCATGATTCTTTGCTATTGGTGGTGTCAGTGTCGGTGTCATCCACTATACAGCAAATGATGGCAAGCGCACTTTTCATTGCGCTGTTGACGAATGTGTTCACATTCGTAGCAGGTCCGGTAGTTTGTTTGATTCCATGCGACGGAGACACCAATTGCGACGATGATCCCCGGAAAACATGCGAGAATAGATATAACTTTGCAGAATGGAAATAGAGGTCGAAGGCACGACGTGAGAATCCTGCTGGCTTCGGGAAAGAGAGCATACTGAGCCACTCCTCGCGCCATCCGTCATAGCTTATATTCAACCGAGACAATTCATCTGGTCGTTGGGAAATGACGTGGCATTCGATGTCTGCGCCGAACATGTCGAAGACACGGCTGCTTATGGACCATAATTCCACCTGACTGATCATGTTCAGGTCAGATGGGGATGTGAAATAACTCTGTAGGAAATCGCGGGGTCGGCGCAGTGACTTGAAATCTCGCGTTAGGGGTGGTCGACCGTGGATGAGGGAGCAGTGGTGGTCGCATATATAGACGAGCCAGTAGAGTCTGGTGCGGTCGTAGCAAGCACGTTTTGTATGCGGCATTTTAGTTATGCATCTGTGTAGGTCTAGTTCTGTGGCTATTCGGACAGCTTTTGGTCTTGGGTGTGAGATGCGAACTATGTGAATTTGGGGTAGATAGATACTCACCTAGACTGTTCAGTGCGGTTGATATCTCGTTGAGCCACAGGGCTCCGATGCATAGTGCTCGTACATCGTCGAATGAATGATTCGCTGAGAACATCCTTGCCGAGACTTGGCTTTTGAATATCTCCAGGAGAGCATTGTATTCTTTAGAGCTGTTGCAGAAGGCAGCCACAGTGGTGATTGCTGTTGTGAGGATAGGAGACCGAGTGCGGATTGTGCTCAAGGTGTCATTCTCATCGATGATATGATGTATGCAGGGATCAAGATTAATTTTATAGTATGCGAACATACTCTCTGCTGTTTCTTGTGATATAGCTCCGCGAGAAATCGGATCTGGGGTTTGACCGGAGCTTGTCGTCATGTCGCTGAGTGTGAAACTGACCATTGACGATGCTGGGAATGCTCCAAGACTGCATGACAAATTCAATGTCACTGTGCCAGGTATATCGCTTTGTGGGTTAGGCTGTGCGTTCACACGCTCTGTTTCGGTGGTTTCAATGCTCAAGAGCTGCTGCCCCGAAATGCCATTCCCGGCAGATATCTTCGGAGTTTTATTTGCGCTTTGGATGAAAGACTGCTCAAGTCTGCTCATCCTGCCTTCCATCTTCTCTTTCCATCTAGATGTCTTCATTAAAATCTTTAGATATAAGGTGGGTGTCAAGCAAGACAACATACGAAACATCACTTTCCAATAACATCTGCAAACTCTTATTGACAGTACATGCTAATCCCCGTATTTTGCAGCGATTGCAAGGCGGTTTGTCATTACTCATGTGGCATTTGATCTGGATTCTTAGGATGCGGACGCAACATTTTGCACAAGGCGAATTGGCTCACCTTAAGTTTGCGACACAGGACACATGCCGTGATCTTTCGTGAGATATCAGGTATTTTTCGGTCCCCAAATGAGTCGCGGAGACTCATGGCTGCAGAGGGCGACATGTTTCATATAATACGCAATCAAAAGTTGAAGAAAGAAGAAGGCAAAGGTGAGAAGAGGTATATGACTCTTTAGTGGCGGGTTTGGCACGGCCCCACCGCGGTCTTCTTGCCGTGGTGGATTAGCCAGTTGGTTTCTAATGGTATGGGGAAAGTAATATTCTTCTGGGTTAGGAATTGGCATCGCCTGAACAGTTCTTTGGAATGAATAGATGAATTTTTAAATATATACCGTAGATTGATCTACGCTCAATAAGTAATTACAACAGAGGTAGTCGAAGTAGGACATCTCTCTGCACCGCAGAGAACCCAGAAAGATTCCGAAGAAATAAAAGACATAGCTTTCCCACCCATTGGGGTGTACTGTGCAATGGAAGGCTCCCCTCAAAATATCATTTGACCCTTGTTCTGCTTTATGTTCACATTGTAGTTCTTCCAAACCATAATGCAAGGGAAAGCGAGAACCAGGATGCAAGTCGACGCAATGCAGTTCATGCGTTGGGCATAGCCCCAAGTATATGCAACTGCAGTGTGAAGAGGTGAGCCCCAGGGATAAGTTGTCTGAACATTGATGCCATCAAAGTAAATCTGAGTGGCATTGCCCTTCAGGTTATCAGGCAATTGGGAAGCCAAGGTATCAACAAAGACGTTGTTGTAAATGGCGGCACCGACAGCCAAACCGATCGCACCACCGATGTTGGAGAAGAGACCAATCAGTGCCAGCATCATCGGCGTGCCTTCACGACCACCTGCCACCATGACGGCCATGTCTTCGCCAATCACTAGGGTGCCACCGGCGAAGGCAATAAAGAGTTGACACATAACAACGTATCCAATGCCGTGCTCTGAGCCACGGAAATAGATCATCAGGCCGGACCCGAGGATCATCAGTGGTGCGCCGAAGAACAGACAGATATACTTGAACCGCGCAGTCGCCCAGATAATGGCTCCAATAATGGGAGAGAAGAAGCACGACCCGACATTATAGATCTGGAGCATATATCCTGCTTGAACTGCTGGGATGTTATAGGACATCAGGATAAAGTTGTAGAAGTACTGATCCCAGAGTTCAAAGCTGAAGAAGAGCACGGCGGATAGAAGGCATGCGCCGAGGATAGTTGGTCGCTTGATCAACTCATAGCGGATAAAGTGTGTTCGTGCACCCCATTTCTCCCATGCGGCGAAAACGAAAAACATAAAGAACCCGATGATGATGAGAGCAATGAAGCTTGCGCTTGAATACTGGGAGCGTCCATACTGCGCCAGACTGAATGGCAGGAGGAACAAGACCCAAGCAATCATTAGAAGGAGTGCACCAATCACTGTAGATTTAGTTGTTAGCGCAGGCAATCAGAGATTGTTGCAAGGGATCATACCATCAAACTCATGGAAGTAGTGGAGAACAGACTGCATCGTAGTGCGACCACTAGGCTGGCGACGAAAGAGACCCTGCTTCCTTGCTTTCTTTTCATAAAACTTGAACACCACAGCCAGAGGCAAGAACACGAACGGCATCACAATACAGAAGATACCGTATCCCCATCGCCATCCGTACTTGGTATAGACCGAATTTGCCGCTAGGGAGCCGGTGAACGCAGTCACAATGAACGGTGTCTGGATGAACCCGAAAGCGAAGGCTCGGTTTCGCAGACCCGATGTATCGGCAATGAAGATATCCAGAATCAAATAGATGCAATAGTACCCAATCCAGTATAGCACGTAGCCCGCTGCGTATCCATTGGGTCCATTGCAGGCAGTCAAAACAATCATACCGAGAACATAGATACCCGTTGACACCACTAGAGCCTCAGCACGACCCCATAGATTCAAGGTTTTACCCATTGGCAGTTTCATAATGCCACCGACAATATTTGCCAAAATGTATGCTGTTGAAACCTGCGGTGCGGATTGGAAACTTCCCATAACGTAGTTGATCAAGAAGGTACTCATGGCGGAGTGGAACGCCAACATGAAAAAGCAGATCCAGATCCTAGAGAGAGTAATCATTGTCAGATATCATCGGTACACCGGTCAGATCTCATCCAACTCACCAAGCATAGATTCCAACCAACGCCGGCCAGCTCCAGACAAGAGCTGCTGCTTCAGCCTTCTGTTGGCCCAGCTCGGCTCCCTCTGTGACCTGATCGGGGTGTTGTGCCAATTCCTTCTCATCGTCGTTCACATCGCCTGCGTGAAAACCGCTGGGGCTGGGTGCATCGGTGTCCGATGACGACGCTTCTTGGCCGGCATCGAGACTTGCTTTTTCATTTGCATCGTGTGCATGCGATCCGTATGATTCGTCGGCAATTATAGTCCTGGCAATGGCACCACCATCATCACGACCCCGAACAGTCTCGAGGACGCCCATTCTCAATCCCGTGAATGGAGCACGAGATGCTCAAATCGAATGCGATCCTCAGTCGCGAATGCTGTGTGAGGCTGGAGGGAGTGGGATGAAGGACTAAGAAAGAAAAATGAGGGGTCCATATGATCTGGAGGCCCGAGAGCTCGCCATATCCGAGTTTCCCGTAACGCAACCCCAATTTTTTCCCTCGAAACGGAGACTCCGAAGATCAGATAATCGTAGGGGATTAAGAACCATGTTAAGAATTGCAGCCAATCAGATATTGTTGTGGCGGGAAGTGATCGCCCATTGGCTGACTTGTGGGTCCCTTACAACAACGTTGATTGGTTGAGACTGACAGGGCATCCCAAAGTAGTCTAGCGTTCCCACCTGATCCCAGAGTTACAGTTTCCCTTTGTGACCCTGAGCCGTTTGCGTCTCCAATATCACTTCATGTTCTTCTACTGACAAAAGTCGTGGTGTCATTTTTCTCACTTGGTTTCCCCCCTTACCACCTGGGCGCAGGGCTAGACTTTTCCCCTTACGTCTCCACGCGACGCCCCGTCGAAGGGAGAAAAAGCAACCAAAACTTCGATCCTTTTCAGCCCCAAAGGTACAAGCAATCACAGCGGGTTGTGGTCTCAGATACCACCCGTCCTTAATATACAGTGATTGAGTACAGTACAGTACACAATGTCAAACAGGCATCAGCTTTCTTCAGCAACGCCGTGAATGCAATCCCGCAACTTTGACTTTCCAATTTTGTTATCTGATCCAGATCAGATACCATCAACCAGAAAAACACCCCCGATGACGCCTACAATTCAAGCTTCAAAGACCCTTGGCATCTTCACAAGCCAGTCAAGCCTTTCCCGCCTCTAAAGGGTCTGTGGGACGCACAGACTGGGGTACAGATTGTGGCCCAACCCGAGTGGAGCCCCCGTTCGTCGTCATTTGGTCGCGCTTGAGGCGCTTTGCCCGGCCATCAATTCTACAGTACTTTCCATGCCAGACTTGCTTTGATCCCTCCTCTAGGCACCTGTCGGATTTTGCAATAGATGATTGGTCTTTGTTGGCTTCTTGTCTCGTGAATTGTAAGGCTATTCGATAATCTTCTTCGGTTTGGTGTGCAAGTTGGAGACCTTGCAGTACGGTACACACCTATCGGAATCCCCGGGGGCTGGATGGAACACAGGTTCTTGCAGTTTGGTACAGTAGTATCAATCTTTCGTCTCATCTCATCTAATCTGATTCTTTGCCACAAAACTAACGGAAACTCTGAAGACGGCTGTCCGAGACGCTGCTTGACATGCTGTGGGCCCTTAGCAAGCAAGCCTTGGATCTCTCAGAGGCTAAACTTGTTTTTGGTTGCTTGCACTCAGACACGCTGCTTCATTCGCCGTGTGGCCTGGTGGGAACTCGCGGGCCAAGACAGTAATCCGCGCAACAGCAAGGACTGCGAATTCTGTAGAACGTAAGAATAAGAATAAGAAGTTACACGGATACACAAACCACGAGCAAGTAATATTGCGTTCTATAGTATCATTAAGCGTGAAAACCATTGCACCTAGCACAATGCACCCTATTCTAGAGCTCAAGACAGCAAATCATCAAACGAGCAAGGAGCGAACCTGCATACAGTACACAGGGAGGTGACTGTTTGGCTTGTTTGGCTTGTTTGGGAAAATATAGGTCACGTGGCCACTTAGCTTCTATATATACCCACTGCTCCCGCCACTCTTCCTCTTCTTTTCTTTCTTCTTTAGCTCTCTTTGCCTATTGGCTTAGATCAAGTGTAGTATCTGTTCTTTTCAGTTTAATCTCTGAAAGTTTCCTCTTGGAAACACTTTGATTATTCTCATTTTTGGAATCCGCAACTTGGCCTCTGTGCTTGCGCACGCCTTGTTGCATTGTGTCATCGGGCTTACACTACCCCCGATCGACGCGAATCCTTTTTCATCACCTGTTTCGACTTGTTCGAGCACTTGAAGAAGAAGTTTATGTCCGTGGGCAGCCTTGCGCGTCTTGTTTACTTGAACGTGTCGCTATCTCAAGGACCACACCTTTGTTTACTTTTCGCTCGCGTCATCGCCACTGTGCATCTTCATTTCCTCTCCGCTCGGTCAGAATACCTTTGATCACGTCCCTAGTTCTACTGTAGTCTGTTGGGTGGTCTACACCAGTTGCTGACGATGCCTTGCTCTCGCCCCTCAGGCAACACATAACAATTTGTGCTTCAAGTTCAATTGAATTTCATTCACATATTTTTATGATCTCTGATATCTAACTTAATATTCAACATTTAATGACCAACCATAGCCTGGTGGGCAGGAGCATATCTGTTGCCGTGCGGCTTCGCCGCATCAATAATCCTCCGCATCTCCTGCCTCTCCTCCTCAGAGAAATCGACATCTCTCGAAGCCCAGTTGTTCTTAAGACGAGCAGCCTTGGTCGTTCCAGGAATAGGGATCATGCCTTGAGCAGCGACCCAAGCAAGAGCAATCTGGCTAATGTTGCAGCCCTTCTTAGCAGCAAGCTTCTTAATTTCCTCGACGATTGCACGGTTCTTGTAGAAGTTCTCGCCTTGGAATTTGGGCGCTAGAAACGAAACAATGACCTGGTTAGTGATCTCCTCCACAATAAGATTTGAAAGCCAGGGACCGCGGTCTTGTACTCACAGTTACGGCGGAAGTCATCGGGAGCAAAGTCGTCTGGGCTGTTGTACTGGAAGTCATCGACCAGCCAGCCGTGTCCTAGAGGGCTGTAGGCGACGTATGCGACACCAAGTTCCTTGGCTGTGTCGATGAGACCGTCTGTCTCGTGCACGGTCTCGAACGCTGAGTACTCGGCTTGGATGGCGTCGATCTTGGCAACTGTTCACTCTGTTAGCATGCAGGCTTGGAGGGTGTCCTGGGCTCCAACATACTGGAGTTGGCTTTGCGCAGAGTCGCGGCAGAGCACTCGGAAAGTCCAATGTACTTGGTCTTTCCGGCCTTGCGGATCTCATCCAGAGCAGGGATGGACTCGGTCAGAGGTGTGTCTATTGGGAATCAGCGAGGGGATCTCAATTTGGCGGGATTTGACATACTAGGGTCAATGCGGTGCAGGTAGTAGAGGTCGGGAGCGAAGCCCAATCTTTCAATGGTGCCATCAATGTACTCCTTGATATGCGCGGCGGAGTTGGTGACTGAGAACCCGGCGCCAAAGACGTCAAAGCCACACTTGGAGGCAACTGCAGAAGACAGTTAGCTTGGGCGTCGTGTGAGCGAAGAAGTATCACTTACTGAACACCTTGTCGCGAACATTGTGCTTGCGGATGAAGTCACCAAGGAGCTTCTCGTTAACGCCGGCTTGGTAGACAACCTGTGCGATTTGTTGTTAGACTCCGGGATTGTTCCTTGTGGCGATGGATGAGCGACTTACGGCGGTATCCCAGAATGTGCAACCAAGCTCAATAGCCTTGAGCAGAACAGGCTCGGCCTGCTCGAGGCTCAGGTTGGAACCTAGGCCGAAGCTCAGGCCCATTGCACCGAAACCTGGTGTTGGGACCTGGATGCTGCCGAAGGGAAGTGTCTTGACCATTTTGAGTATTGGTGGGTGGTTCGTTTGTCAGAAATTATCTTATTGCAATGGCAGACAAGAAGTTGCAGATGTCTCTTTATATGTTCTGATCCGATCCGGAATTAAGAATGATCGATTACACCTGGTGGGTCCATTCTTGCTTGCCGCTGCTTAACTCCGGTGGCAATCATGTCCTGTGAATCTGGAGTTGCGAAAAGAACAACATACAATACTGAGGAATTCTGATAAATTAGGCTAAATATATGACTTAAAAGGTATGATCAAGATCTTCCCCTTCAAAATAATAGATATCATTTTCAGCATACATATCAACTGTCTTTTTAACATATCAACTCACTTCAACGAAATGAAACCATCCATTCATATCCTCTCGTGCCAGTAAACTGACAGCTACGTGTGCAAAATCTGCAATATTCACATGGTCCAACGAGGAAGTTCTCCCTTCGCTTTCCCCGTAGCCGTCCCTTTACTCATGGCAACAAGATGTTCATCAGCATGAATCTTGGCCTTGTCAATATCAGGGGATGCACCTGTTTCCCCCACCAGGAAGCTGCCGCCCTACGTGACGAAGGAAATGATGTCATGAGAAGTTTGGCCCCGGTGTTGTGTGGGGTTTCGGTAGATGCTCTGATTACTTTTTGGGCTCGTCGCGATCTATGGCGTAGACATCTCCGGATGGTCCCAGTGAAAGAGTTTAGACATTGCTAGCTTCTAGGGCTGCAGAAGGAGGTCTGGTCTGCTGCAAATATGACACAGGTCGGTTTGACAGTCTATGTCTTTATGTCTCTCAAGTCCATCGCCTGTGTGTCAATCGTCCCAGGCTGATTGATTGTACTTCTAGAGGACTTGGCTTTTGATGAATACTACGAATAATACTGGTACCCCTCCATGGTAAAGAAATCTTTAGGCTGTTCATATATTGATCAATTCTGCGATTGCTTCCAAACACGAGCGCATGTTCGCCAGTTATTTTTCTTTCTTGATGTAGCTCATGAGGTGGTGAGGATAGGACCAAGAGGACGATGATAAGGAAATGATTTGGTTGATTCTACTCAAGTATGCACTTAGAGTGCCTCAATGACCCATTGTCTTTTTCTACTGCAAAGTAGTAGTGGGGGGATTAGGTGCTTATGCTTAACTCCGGACATTTCTAAGGTGGAGTGTCATCAACCCCACCGCACAACGCCACCGTAAAAAGATGGCGCTAAACCCAAGGCTTCTGTTGCGAACCACTTCGTCTGGCTCGATTCTTCTTGGTTTGTGTTTGCTGGATTGGATCAGTATCAAAGCTACTCACGATGATTATGATGAAGACTGAGCCCCAGAATGCATGACGCTCGCCAAATGTGAACATGTTTTCTATTCTAATTTTCATAAATATTTTTCCCCATCATTCCCAGATCGCATAAACAAAGCCAATGAAGTCCTCACTAAAACTGCAAACTGGTTTCTTGGCGCACCATAGTACCGAGAATTGAAGAACAAGCCGGAATGCAATCTCTGGTTGGAGTTGATTAGACTTCCACGCCAAGTACGAAGTATACTCAGTGGCCCTAGTGAGATGTGTGACGACAGTGAATGGGTAAGTAGTACTTACTGGCTTGTATATAGTGAATGCACACTCATATGCCCTTTAGGTTGACCGCAAGATGTATTGATACCATGAAAATATCAGAAATCCATTATTATCATAGCAAACATCACCGATACAGCGTTGAATTCAGCAGGCTCCGAGACTATTTGACTACTCAATTGGTCGGCATTATGATGTCCCACGACAGAAATGCGTTTAATGAGGGCCGCTCTTTGTAGAGACTTCTTCTTATACGAACTTCTACTTGAAATGGGGCACATATTCCAGAGAGTCTGGGAAACTGTCTTTCAAAGTGAGTTATCATAGAGAGCGGGCTGGTCATATCGTGTATTTGAAATGTTCTACAAATGATAACTTTGCGACAGTATACCGAGACAGAGCAAGAGCATTGACTTCAAGATACACCAACCCCGCACACCCCTGGCATCCAACACTAACACAAGTTAGGTCATGAATTGCAAAAAACAATGTGACGTTGCAGTGAATAGTTCAAAGTCTCCTTGCAGAATGCATTTGTTTTTTTCTTCTACACTCATCCCACCCGTCCCAAACCCAACGCGTCATTGCGCGTGGTTCAAACAAGCACATTCCACGCCATGGCAATCGTGCCGAAAACCTTCTCGTACAGCGTACTCCTGCAGTTTGTCTTGGGGACACTGGCCACACAAGATGACCTGAAATACGTTAACCCCTTGATTGGGTCAACCAATGGCGGCAACGTCTTCGCAGGTGCAAGCCTGCCCTACGGCCTCGCGAAGCCCGTCGCAGACGTTGACGGCCAAAATACCGGTGGCTTCTCTACCGATGGAAGCAATGTCACTGGCTTCTCGCACATGCATGACAGTGGGACTGGCGGGAATCCGTCTATGGGGCATTTCCCGTTGTTCCCTCAGTACTGTGCCGACAATTTGGTGGATAATTGTAAATTTCCAAAGACTGCACGCGCCATTCATTACAGGAATGACACGGTTGTTGCGAAGCCGGGCTATTTTGCGCTGACGCTTGAGAGTGGTGTTCAGGCTGAAATGACTGCTGCACGGCGCACTGCGTTGTATCGGTTTACTTTTCCTGAGTCGAAGTTGCCGGATGGAAGTGATTCCAATCCGTTGATTTCACTGGATCTGACGGACTTGTGGGATAGTCGACAAAATGCGTCTATCAGTATCGATGCAGATAATGGCCGGATGAAGGGCAATGGGACTTTCTTGCCGAGTTTCGGGGCTGGTTCGTACCAGTCATACTTCTGTGCTGATTTCAGCGGCGATATTATCGATGGTGGGATCTGGGTTAATGATCGAGCTGGATCAGTAAAAGAACTATTTGTTACTCGTGGTTTCAACAATTTCTACCTCCAAGCTGGAGGCTATTTGACCTTTGATCGACCAAGCGATGGGGTCATTACTGTGAGAGTGGGTGTCAGCTTCATGAACACCGATCAGGCTTGTCAAAATGCGGTGAGTGAGGTATCTGATCCAAATATTGGCTTTGATAGTCTGCGCCAACATGCAGAAGACGCCTGGAAAGAGAAACTCAGTCCTATCAAAGTCACTCCTGGAGGTGCCAATGACGACATGTTGAGTAGCTTCTGGAGTGGCATCTATCGTACAATGTTGTCGCCTCAAGATCTCACTGGCGAGAACCCACTATGGAACAGTGACGAACCTTACTTTGACAGCTTCTACTGTCTGTGGGATGCATTCCGCGCACAGCATCCGTTCTTGACAATCATTGACCCTCAAGCACAGTCAAGAATGGTCCGAAGTTTGCTTGATACCTTCAAGCATGAAGGATGGCTCCCCGACTGCCGCATGAGTCTCTGCAAAGGCTGGACACAAGGCGGGTCCAACGCCGATGTTGTTCTGGCAGATGCCTACGTTAAGAATCTGACGGGAATTGACTGGGAGCTGGCCTACAAGGCGATGGTCAATGATGCGGAGAACGAGCCACTGGAATGGTCATATGAAGGACGAGGCGGCCTTCAGAGCTGGAAACACCTCCACTATATTCCGTACCTGGATTTCGACTATATCGGCTTCGGTACCAATTCACGAAGTATTTCGCGGACTTTGGAGTATGCCTATAACGACTACAGTGTGGCCGTCGTTGGCAAAGGTCTTGGCAAGAAAGACTATACGACATACTTGGCTCGGTCTGGAAATTGGCAAAACTTGTATAAAAGCAACCAGACATCACTCCTGGAGAATGGAACTGACACTGGCTTCACTGGCTTCTTCCAGCCCCGGTATCTGAACGGTACATGGGGTTATCAGGATCCGATTGCCTGTAGTGCTCTGGCATCCTGGTGCTCACTCACCTCAAACCCTTCAGAAACTTTCGAGTCCAGCATCTGGGAATATTTATTGTAAGTCACCCATCAAACTCTCTCCCGGGTCCATCACTAACCCTGCATAGCTTCGTCCCCCATGACATGGCAAAACTGATCAAACTAGTCGGAGGCCCAGACTCCTTCATATCCCGACTAGATTACTTCCACACCTCTGGCCTAGCAGACATGGGCAACGAGCCCGTTTTCTTGACAGTTTATGACTATCATTACGCCGGAAGACCAGGTCTCTCTGCCCGTCGAGCCCACACCTACATCCCATCCTCATTCAATGCCACACACAACGGTCTACCCGGAAACGACGACTCGGGAGCTATGGGCTCATTCCTCGCATGGAGCATGATGGGACTTTTCCCGAACCCCGGTCAAAATGTCTACCTCATTATTCCTCCATTCTTCGAAGCCATTGAAGTGACACACCCGGAGACAAACAAGACAGCCACCATTCAAAATTTCAATTTTGATAGTAGTTATCAGAACATCTATATCCAGAGTGCTAAGCTCAATGGACAGCCTTATACCAAGAGCTGGGTTCCGCATGAGTTCTTTACTCAGGGTATGACACTGGAGCTGACGCTCGGTGATCACGAGAGCGATTGGGGTACGCGCAAGGGTGACTTGCCACCGAGTTTGAGTGACTCACTTGCTGGGATTGATGCGAATGGCATGTAAATGGACGTTTCGGTGCTTTGATCAAGATAATTTAGGAATATCATGCCTTCGTGCCAATGGATCGAATAAGAAGACCAGTTTAGTAGTGCATATCATATTCTTTCGTTTACCGAAATAGAAGTGTAAGCTTCACCATGTATATCGAAACAAGCTCTAGCCCAAGCACTGCAATTCCTGCAAGTTCTACAGTATAACGTATCGGCGGATCGCTCCACCTGGCCTGGGCACGGCGATCATATGACTAAGCATACGACTCCGGGGGACACGAATCCCTTTTTCTCCAAAGAACAAGCAGAGCAGAGCTTTGCTATAATCAATATCTTCACTATCTTTCCGGGCTCTCCGGAAACTCTCCATCAAGTCACAGGTGCTCACGCGATCGCCTGGCGACACTGGTCCTTGACCCCAACCACCATGGCAAGCCGGCAAATCACACGGCGCATTATCAGCAGCGCAGCGATCGCATTATGTCTCGTCTTCTTCCTCTTCATTCGACCGCAAGGGCCACCCAGCCCCGCCATCCGCGCCCCGGGCCACATCGATCATTCCGCACCCGTGACCGCGCCGGGGATAAGCATCCAAGATAGCACATTGAAGGGGGCGGTGGTGATGCCCAAGCTGGGCAATGAAACTGTCAAGTAAGCTTTTTTTGGCTGGGACTGACGAACCATGTGGTACATGGCATATATCGGGGACAATGACTGACCGAGGATTGGTGGGATTCTAGAGCTGAGCTAGGTCGTGCAACTTGGAAATACTTCCACACGGTAATGGCGCGATACCCTGAAACGCCCACGGAAGACCAGCAGGAGGCGCTGCGCTCTTACATCTACCTATTTGCCCGGTTGTATCCATGGTAAGAACCCTCCACGCACCCACGTCCCTCCTGCTCCTGCTCTTGCCCTTGCCCCGGCTGTTCTTTGCATTCTTGGAACGAATGCAGAGCTAAATCCTAGAATTGTGCTGACGGACTGGATATAGCGGAGAATGCGCCTCGCATTTCCAGCAGCATCTCAGCAAATATCCACCCCAGGTGTCCTCGCGCAATGCTGCTGCGGGCTGGGCCTGCTTCATCCATAATGAGGTCAATGCGATGCTCGATAAGCCTGAATTTGATTGCGCCAATCTAGGCGATTTCTATGATTGTGGCTGTAATGGTGATGAAGAAGGTGGGGAGGGCAAGCCGGGATCTGCTACTTCGCGGTCTGACACCGGGAAGGATGGCACGAGGCATGATGGGCCGGCGGTCGAGATTTCCAAGGAAGAGTTAGTTGCTTCTTGGTATTGCTGTTTTCAGTATATATGATTGCTAACTGTTTTTAGGACTACCCGCGGTTGACGGTTTGAATCTGGTCTCTATGTTCAGGTCTAGGTCTTGTTTTCCCATCCTGTTTGATTTGCATTTTACCTTCTCTGGGTACTAGGCTCGTGTTGGTTCTTCATATGGAGCTGGTCTCCCTTGTACAGTAATAGATCGTCGAAAATATCAATATACCCTTTATGTTCTGCATGTGGCTTTCGAAGGTTGCAGAGGAGGGGTAGATCCCTTGCGCTATTATATTATAGTATATCTGTGCGTATAGACTCTGACCTTGGAAGGTATAAACTTCAGTTGAAAGCACAGAAGCGTACATTCGAAGACTCTTAGTTGGATGGCTTAACTTTGCCATTATGCTTATTGAACCCTGGTAGCGACATTGCAATGGGCACCGCAGTAGAGCAGCTAGAAACAGCCAGGCCATATTATCAGCCAAGAAGACAAGGGTACAAGCTCACATCCGAGCAAGATCATCCTATCCGGTGATCAAGCACAAGCGCGCATGACCCAACAAGCCCAGTATATCCCTGGCCGACAACCACACTACAAGCGCATACCGTCGTACATGCTATATCTCTCAGCAGCACCGAATAAACTTTTCCTCTCACAGAGAAGAAGCGCAAAGATGATACCATCCTGTCGCACCCTCGTGATACTAATAGGTCTCTAGTGTACTCCAGTCTCATCTAGTGCAGTCGCATGTGCTATCATGACAAAATGCCCCCAACTGGCCCCAAATGCCGCCAATCCCAGTGGGTATAGCTGCGCATTAGCGTAGGATATCAAATGCACAACAAGAAGGAATCTTATCTAGGTTGGGTTTCAGCCAAAAATAGAGCCGGGGAGGGGGCTGAGAAAGCCGTGAGGACCATTCTCGGATCATCGACAAATGAACGCTTGGGGTCTCCTGACAGGCCTGGCTGATCTTAGGATGTTGATCGGCCATCAGCCGGTGCTTTTTAGTCCGTCCCAGTTCACATGAAATGAGAAATAGCCCGTATCTGATATTAGAAGAATACATTTCCCTATCCCTAGGAGTATATCCCCAAAACAACAATCTCTTCGACAACTTCCCCGAACAAGAAAAGACAAAACGTCCGACGCGCCGCTATACTACCCAAAGCAGCCTAGCGTGGTCCAATCCCGACTAGCGTCGATTTGCGCGCCAAATTTCGACGCGCAAAAAAACGCTGAAAAAAACCCAGAAACAAAAAAAACACCAAGAAACCAAAGGTTTTGAGTTTTTAAGCGCTGGACCTGTCAGACTCGCAGTATATTGCGACTTATCTGGGCTTCTTGCAAGGGATACCGCCCCTCCTTCGTCGCAAAACATTGCGTCGCATTCATCTCCCGACAACAAATTGAGTCGCATTTCCAACTGTGCCTCAATCTGGAATCGCAGTCTTCCGACACACAATCGTTCGGTTGTCACTTTCTATAACATCTGTTTGTACCAACGCCTGCTCGGTGGGGTGATATTCAGTCAACATGGTGTCTTTCTCTTGCGAAGTAAGCCAAACGATTCCGATCTTGCGCCTGAGAGACAAACTCGTCTTCTCAATTATGAAATGGCTACTGACATATGTGTGGCAGGCATGTGGTGATATTCTCACAAAGAAGAAGCTCGACCCTCATCGCAACCAATGTCGCGGCGCCACTTTCACCTGCATTGACTGCATGGTGCACTTCTACGGAACCGAATACAGAGCGCACACGGTACGTTAGGACATCATTGCATTGTCGCATGGTCTCGAGGCTGCTAGCTCGGAGTTGACCCACAACAAGGGGGTGCAACTGCTAACGACTTCATACAGTCCTGCATGAGCGAAGCGCAAAAGTACCAGGGAGCTCTCTACAAAGAGAAGCCAGGCAAGGGCCAAAAGAAGGGACCGAACACCGCGAAGAACCCCCAGAGCCAGAAGCAGAACCAGAACCCCAACACTCACCACCAGCAACCCCGTGTTGAGGATGGCTCCGACGGCGAGGGTCTCAAGAATGCTCCTCCTCCCCCTGCTCCTACTCCCCCGCCAGTTGGTGAGGTGAAGACTCCTTCTGCCAAGGCCGATAGCAACAAGCCTGTCAATGTGTTTGACTACCTCGTTGCCGACGAAACCCCCAACGCGTCCAAGGTCTCTCTTACACCCAAGGAGCAGATGAAGATGAAGTCGAACGCCAAGTCCGTCTTCGAGCCCAGCGAGTCCCTGGCCAAATTCGAAGCCAACCCCACTACCGATGACGAGGCCAAGAACTACGATGTCGCCTACAAGCAGAACGGCTTTTCATATGGCGCTGGCAACATCCCTCAATCGAACTCGCCCCCGAATGTCTCAACCGAGTTCGTCACTCCCGCACCCAAGGAGAAAAAGAAGAAGAGCAAGGAAGAGAAGCAATCCGGCACTGCCAGCGAGAAGAAGCGCAAGCGTGGCCAACCCGAGATCCTCAGCACCCCCGGCGAAGTCGACACCGACATGATGGACGCCCCCTCAAGCATCATCAACAACGCCGGCACGCCGATGCTCGCCCACTCTGGTCTGACCGGTGGTCTCAACCGCATGATGCGATCCGCCTCTCCAGACGATAGCCCGGATGCCCGTCGCGGCGCCTACCAAGATACATCGTCCCCGATCAAGCGCACACGCCGCAACGGCAAGGAAGCCAACGGAAACGGCGACCCAGGTCTCGGAATCTCGATGCGAAACCGCGCCGAGCGCCTCGTCTCCTCAATGTTCGGCGGTTCATCCGTCTCCAGCGTTAACGGTGCGAATACCGAGGCCAACTCCAAGGCCGATGGCCGCACCCGCCGCGGCAGCGCCTCCAGCAACGATGACCAGCTCGAAGTCCGCAAGAGCAAGAAATCCCACCGTTCCCGTGACGGTCACGCCGAGAGCCGTGACAGCCGCAAGTCCAAGCGCAAGAGCAGCAACCCCACTGATGGGGACCGTCCTTCCCGCCGTCTGAAGCAGGTTGATGAGCGTCGTTCCCACTCGCCTCAGGGTCGTCAGGTTGAGGTCTACAAGCAGGCCAAGCCTCCTGCGCGCATCGATGAAAACCTGCAGCGCGAGCTGGCTCATCATTTCCTCTCGCTGGTTTCGAGTGGTAGTGAGCGTGGTTGCTCAGTTAACAAGACTCTTAAGCGTTTCCATCGCAATCTGTCTGATGATTATGATGATGAGGAATATCAGGATCGCCATTTCGATGATGAGAAGGATCTGTTTAGGGCTTTGAGGCTTCGTCGCAATGATCGCGGTGAGATCGTTGTGTTTACTATTTAGGTTCGGCGTTGAAAATGATCGATGATCTATGCTTGATGGTGATCTTGGTCTTTGTTATGAGCTGACGAGGCTGGGTTTGTTTTGCATAGCGCTATGCCTCTTTTTAAGTTTTGATGTGTGAGGCTTCATTGTTATATTTTGTTCATATTAATTCGGCTCGGGACTAAATTGCATTGATAATGTGTACTCTGACTTGATTTATTGATTTTTCATCCGTAGAGTGGCTTCACTTATTCTTTACCGGTGGTGCATATACAAGCATGCTTTGCATCTTCTCCAACCAGTTAGTTAACCTCAGATCGTATCCAATGTGACTCAATTGGATGCAACTGCAGGTTTTATAGATCGCCAAGATCCACTCGAGACATAATGAGTCATGTGGTATAGTTCTTGACTCACATCCATTGGCCACTACGTCACCGCCCTGGGCACGCCGCCTTATACTGCCGAAGAGAGCTTTTATCGCCTTCTAGATAATTCGTTCTGTTACCATTCCTCTCAGAGGGCTATTGCCTTTTGCTTACCATTTTATACTACTGCTAAGCATTTGGATCACGTTCCTTTATCCATATATTGGTCTGTGAGCTTCCTTCTAAAGCGATTATCCATCGACCACCACTTATTAAACTCTTTCAAACACATCGAGAAAATCAACCGACCTCGTATGAGCATATTGGACGTAACCAGTCAAGTTTCAGGTGTGCCTTTGGCTATGTCAGCCCCTCAAACAGAAGCTTCGATCCCCTCTGGGTCGCGACCCCCGCGTGCTCCTAGATCCAGGCGCAGAGGGCGGGGTTCTGGAACCCGTGAAGGTCAACAACAGCGACCTGCTGCTGGAGGCGAAGGTCCAGCGACGACACAGACGCAACCTCCTCCCCCTACCTCGCAACCGGCTCCAGTCACTCAACAGCCCGTCAATTCAAACGATACGTCTCGCCCGCGGAGAGGAAATAGAGAAGGCGGAGGGCGGAGAAACCGGGGTAATGCGCCTCCACGAGGACAGGGTCAAAATGCTAGACAGGAGGTCCATGAATCACGGGCGCCTGCTAGAAGTCGCGGCATGAGAGCGCGCGGCTTTGAAGCTCAATTGACGCGACCTGGTCCGGCCTCGGATGACGGTGCGGGGCATTTCAATGATCAGTCACTTAGAGCTGACGTGCCGGATTTCGTACCTGGTATGCCGACGGCACCATCCGGACAACCATCAAGACAGTCGAATAAGGGAAAGGGAAGAGCTAGAGCGCCGCCCCCACCGAAGGTCACCACCAAATCAACGGCCGACGATCTCGCCACACGAATCCACGAAGACGTCTCTCACAATCTGTATGAATGTCCTATTTGTTGCAGCGAGTTGGGCCGCAGATCCAAGGTCTGGTCTTGTGAGCTATGTTGGACGGTTTTCCACTTGACCTGCGTCAAGAAATGGTCTAAAAACGAGGGTGCAGCTGCCCAGAGGGCTTCTGGTCTAGAAGATGGACAGGAAAGTGTTACACCTCGTGCTTGGCGTTGTCCTGGCTGCAATCTTTCGCATCAGAATTTCCCTTCCAATTACACCTGTTGGTGCGAGAAGGAAGTTGATCCCAGGCCACTTCCCGGTCTGCCCCCACACTCTTGTGGCCAGACCTGCTCTCGACCTCGCAAAGGCTGTCCTCACCCCTGTGATTCGACTTGTCATGCTGGTCCTTGTACGCCTTGCACCGCCATGGGCCCGACACAGGACTGTTTCTGTGGTTTGAACTCGACGAAGAAGCGATGCCAGGATACTGATTATGAAAATGGTTGGAGCTGTGGTGAGATCTGTGGTGACTTACTGCCATGTGGAGAACACACATGTCCTCTGCCGTGTCATGAGGGCCTTTGTGGTCGTTGTGAAGTCGATATCGAGGGCCGTTGTTATTGCGGCAAGCTGCAGACGGAAATGCTGTGCAGTTCTAAGGATGATGAGAAAGACAGTCGAATCGTTCGTGAAGATGGTACTGAGGACGAATGGACTGGCTGCTTTGGTTGTGGAGATACTTGTGGTCGTCCATTCGATTGTGGTGTACATTCATGCCAGAAAGGCTGCCATCCACAGGACTCACATCCTGCCCATTGCCCACGGTCACCAGATGTCGTTGACCGTTGCGCTTGTGGTAAAACGCCACTTTCCGAGATTTCAGGGTACACACCTCGAACCTCTTGTGAAGATCCGATTTTGAATTGCGACAAACCATGCGGCAAGATCCTGCCGTGTGGTCATGCTTGCCAGCAGCTGTGCCATATCGGACCCTGTCGCGCTTGCATGCTCCGTGTGAACATCAAGTGTCAGTGCGGCCGTACTGATAACATGAGTATATGCCACCAAGGTGTCATTGAACCTCCCCAGTGTCCACGCCAATGCAAGGCGACGCTACATTGTGGTCGCCATACTTGCACTGAAAGATGCTGTCCAGGAGAGCAGAAGGCAATTGAACGTCAAGCGGCGCGTCGCAAGCTTAGGTCACACCTTCGCCCTGCTGAAGAGGACATTGAGGCTGAACATATATGTACCCGCATCTGTGGTCGCACGCTGAAATGCGGACGACACACTTGTCCAGAACTTTGTCACAAGGGTGCATGCAATACCTGTAGAGAGGCCATCTTTGAAGAGATTGCGTGTAACTGCGGAAGATCTGTTCTGTATCCACCACAGCCATGTGGCGCGAAGCCGCCGCCTTGTCACTATCCTTGTGAACGTCCAAAGACTTGTGGACATCCCCAGGCTGCGCATAATTGCCATACCGATGAGGAGAACTGTCCCAAGTGTCCATTCTTGACTGAAAAGGCTTGCCTCTGTGGCAAGCAGGTTCTGAAGAACATTCCCTGTTGGTTGGCAGATGCCCGCTGTGGCCAGGTCTGTAAGCAGCCGCTCAAGTGTGGCTCTCACTTCTGTCGAAAGGACTGTCACCGTCCCGGTGATTGCGAAGATGCTACCAAGCCTTGCACCCAAGCTTGTGGTAAGACCAAAACCATTTGTGGACACCCTTGCCTCGATACATGTCATGCACCTTACGCATGCCCTGAGAAGACGCCATGCTCGGCCATGCTCACAATAACATGTGGTTGTGGACGACTTCGGCAGCAAAGACGTTGTGGTGCTGCAAAGGCTGTCACATCTAAGGGCCAGATACAGTCTCCTCAACGCCAGCCAGAGCTTACACCTCTGTCCTGCGACGACGAATGCACCCGTCTTGAACGGAACCGCACTTTGGCTTCCGCTCTAGGCGTCGATATCAACCAACAAACCACAGCACAAACCATCACTGCGGAAAACCTCCCCTACTCAGAGGAGACTCTCAATCAGTACATCAAGCTTGCCTCTTCGTCGCCGCTCGCAACTCTTCAAACTATTGAATCAAACCTTCACTCCTTGGCTGTAGCCGACAAATCAACTCGATCATTCCGCTTCCAGCCTGCCAAACCCACCCTCCGTGCATTCTCACACTCCCTCGCCACAGACTGGGGCTTCGTGACAGAAAGCCACGACCCAGAACCCCACCGACATGTTTTCGTCCTTAAGCCAGTAGCCTGGACACCTCCCCTGTTCGGCATGGGAAGCAGCTCCACAATCGGTATCGGCGGCATGAGTGTACGCGAATGCGTCAAGCTTCGCGAGCGAGAGCGTACTAAGGAGCAAGAGGCTCGACGAGTCGCCGCTCTCGAAGCAAAGGCAGCTCGTGAATCCATCAAAGCACAGGCGAACGCTGGAGATGGTTGGGCTCAAGTTGCTTCGAGGAGCAAGAGTGGCAGCGGTGCTAGCACGAGGAGCAGCACACCTCTTCAGAACTCATTCGTGAGCAAGTCTATTTTCTCTGCTCTTGATGGTGATGGGGGTGCTAAGAAGGAACGTCTGGTTCTTCGCTCTGGTGTTGGTACTGGCAAGTCCCTGCGTGCTAAGCAGCCTACTCCGGAAGTTGTTGATAATTGGGAAGATGCTGAGGAGGCGGCGGAGGAGAAAGATGAACTAGCGGAGGAGGGACGGGAGCGGGAAACAGTTGCTCATGAGGACCCTCAGGGCGAGCCCGAAGCCGGGGCCGGGGTCGAATCCGATGCTCCTAAGGAAGATGACCCGACTCCAGCTCCAGCTCCAGCTGAGGAAGCCCCATCTACTACAGATGTTGCTATTTAATTCCTCGAATTGATGAACAAAAACACGCATCAACGCATCATTACATTACGAAAAGCATCACTATCTATATGTGAGTTTTCATGATATTACGCCGGGCATCATATGGAGTCCGGAAGCATTGAGCAACGAATTTTGATATTTCTGTACAAACAAAAACAAAGAGCTACACTCAAAATACCAAAAAAAATTACGAATCATTATCAAAATGGATTCCCCACAAGATCATCTATAGTAAACCGTATGTAGGTACATATCCCACCCACATCAAGCCCCCAAAATCAATCCATGATCTACTTCGCATCCGACACAGGCACGACCTTCACAAACTGCAAGCACCCCTCCTCGGAAGCTCGATATGGACCATGCTTCATGCCCGGGAATCGGTAAGCATAAGAACCAATACCCCACGCCTTGCCAAGCGTAACATCCTGCAGCCCACCTCGCAATGTGCAAACCTCTTCGATGTAAGTATGAGTTATAGGCTCGGTCTGTGCCGAGACGGCGTTTGGTTCCCACCACTGCAATGCGGCTTTATGTTCTGCGTCTCCATTTAGGAGGAATTCCCAGACTCCGGGTGCTATTGAGTACCAGGGGAGTGCTGATTCGGCATGTTGGGGTGTGCCCGCCGGTGGATGGGGTGGTGGAGTGCTGAATTCTTTTTGGGCGAAAGTCATTTTTGGAATTGTAGGGTGTTTATTTAGTTTGTGTGGTGATTCATGTAAAGTCAGGGATATCAATTGAGGGATGTTGTTGATGCTAGGTTTGTGTTTGGGGTTTTAAGTTATACTTTGCATGGCACTTTGGGGAAGTGCTGACAAATGAGTAAATATCTTTGTCGTGTCGATCTTCTGGGATTATCGAGCTAGTAGCATGGATTCTAGTTGTAAGATAGGGGGTGATATTCTATTCTAGATAGCGGATACAGTATGACTTGCATCTAAAAACGCAGCTCCAAGCTCGAAGTATACAAGTTGGGACGGCGAGGGACTGCTTACGTCAGAAGATATTATGTCATCCCATCCATAGTTCGGGCATTTCTTTTGGAGATTCGGAGACATTCTAAATTGTACTTCACACTGGTCATAATGGCATCTTTCCAACTGAGGAGTTTCCAGTCTGCTTTCCGTGGTAGCACTCACTTGCTGCGCCACCAGCAGCGTCGATGGGCTCAGGTCCACGACGTCCGCTTCCTCGCCTCTCACCATGATCCCAAATATGTCCAGGACAAGTATCGCGCCAAGCTGGACCAGAAGGCCAAGGAGTAAGTTTATTTCAGCTGCAGTTACAGCTTCAGTGCTGATCTTCTGAATCTAGAGAGGGCCACGACTCAGTCGAATCATTGAAGGAAGCCTACAGCGAAAAGATCACCGACCTCCGTCGCAAAGCATCCACCGCCGCAACCCCAGAGGCCGGCTCCCCCATCTCCACCACCGCAGTCCCAGGCACACCCCCAGCCTTCCACCCACCTCCACCTCCAGGCCAGGAATCATCCACCGCAAAGGCCGCACGCCGCGTGTCAAGCGGCGACTCGAGCCCCGTCAAGCCTCTGAGCACATACCTCGACGTCGAGAAGATCCGCGAGCTCCCAGCCAAGGAAATCGAAGCCCTTTGGCGCCTCCGTCACGCAGAGAACTCGCACTCGATCTCCGCTGTCATCTCATTGGACACATACAAGCGCATTGCTGAAGCAGCGCGCCAGAACCCTCAATTTGTGCTTCCTCTCCCGCGTGCAGAGATTCCCGCCGAGGAAGCCGATGCCCAGAACCTCGATGGAGCAGGAGCTGCTGCTGAGATTCACTTCCTGCAGTGGGCTTTCCACCCGCCTGCGGAGGGCTCCATGCCGTCCCCTTCTAACAATCACACCTCCACTGTGATCTTTACTAACCTTGGTGCGTACAAGATGCATGGCTCTTTTGCTCAGCCTCATACTACTGTTACCCACCATCTTGACTTGGCGGATGAAAAGGGTTTGGTCCTTATGCATGGACAGGTTGTGCCGGATCGTGGTGTTAACACTACTGAGGCTACTTTCCTTGTCAGCTGTCTGCAACGGTTCTATGACTTTGACGGTCAGGCTAATGGTCGCAAGGGTGAGCTTGTTCGTATGTTTACTCGGGGCGACGTGGAGAACTTCAAGATTGAGGAGCTTTTGGAGGAGTCTGAGAGACTCCAGTAAACTGCTCTCTTTCCCTATTTGATTGGGCTTGTATTATATATCCTTCTTTTCTGCCTTTTTTATTGGTTAGATAGATATTGGAGGTTGAATTGATGTCATCATATGTACATTCAGACTATAAAATGTTCTTTTCAGAGTGATCGTATTTCCAAGGGTTGACCAGTACATGAATTAGCGCTTGCCTACGTACAGTCAGGTTTTGGATCTTGTGTCCAGAAGTTGATGTGATTATCACATGACAGCCCGGGTGGTCTAGTGGTATGATTCGCGCTTAGGGTATTCAAACACCTAAGCTTAAATGCGCGAGGTCCCGCGTTCAATCCGCGGCTCGGGCCTGTTATCTTTTTTTGTTTCATTTTTCATTGCCTTCTTACTGTATGTATGCATATGTACGCTGGCTGGTCTTTTTTTATTTGCCTGTCTATCTGTTTCTCTCTCTGTCCATTCATTAAGCTCATTGCTGACTGACGTGACTTGCTTAACTCCTTGTCAACAGACAACAGAAACCTTACACATGCATCATGACTATATATATATCACTACCTCAGGACACAACTGAACAGACAAAGATAAAAAAAAAAAGATCTCGCTCAATGTCGAAATAAGACTTGAATATAGAAGGCACATGATAGAAACACTCTAATTAAGTCACCTGGAAGTGTAAGCCTCATGCCATTGTCGACTTGGCCAGATTGACAAGTAGGTGTGAATTGATAGGAAAACCCTATGCCTGTCTATCTGAGTTTCGACCTTGGTCTTTGCAGACATGGCGGGAATGGTTTGTATCCGAGAGAGACAGGAAAGAAGATGGGCTGTACCGTTTTCGACTGTCGGAAGAGTTTATGTAGTTCTTAGGGCTGTCAAAGGAGGTGATCGAGAATTGATTGATACCAGTCTACTTGGGGTCCGAATAGTGTGTTTCGTTGTTTTCCTAGGGTGTCCATGGGGTTGCCGCCGCCGCAGCCGCAATAGCCAATAGCTGGGCTGTCCAAGTTTGTTCGATTTTGTAACAGAAAGGTTCGTCTTTCGGTTATTGGGAACAGCACCGGCGACGGTGTGATGTGTGAGCCGCTGGGGACTCACTGTAAACAAAGACAACAGACCATTCAGTCGAGAACAATAAAGGATGGTGTGCAATTCCACAAGCAGAGAGAATCGGTCGAATAATCAGCGTATATAACCTGACCTGACGTTCATATACGACGCGCCATGGTCTAATAGACCGAGGGTTGAACAGAGCTGTTCTGACATTGATATGGATTTCAAAGGGTTCTCTCTCAGTATTTGCACAGAAAAAAGTAATTGACATAGCTCGAAAGCAGAAAGGCTAAACGAAAAAGGGGACAAAAGTACATGTACCACGCTATACATCGGACCGATAGTGTAAACACCCAAAGTAAGCTGACGACGGTAAAGCACAAAAACGAAGTAAAACAAGAATAAATAGGATCAAAAATGAGAAAATTTACTCTCATAGGAAAGAGGACGGTCAATGGGTAAAAGCCTGATCATTGGATGAATGCAATGTAAAATTCGTGTCTTGGTTGCGTGGTTGGGGGTATCATGGTCATGATTGACTGTGCCAGTCAATTGAGTCTTGGGTATTGAGGACCGAAACCAGAAACTGATGTTGGCTGTTTCATTGGTAGCCGATTATTAAAGTAGAGGTCAAAAAGAAGACGTGAAATATGGCCGAGAGAAGCAAGTTGTAGACGTTAGGGTTCACTCCTTGTTGGCCAGCACTTCCTCGGTGATGAAGGAATGAATGTGATCAAAGTATCCAGGCTCCGCAACGGAATCGTTATGACCACCGTTTGGAAGTGTGCGCCAGACTTTAGTCTCGGAGTTGCAAACAGCGAATAATTGAGTCATATTTGATGGTCTAGAACATGTCAGTAACGGGAAGCTAGTCAAGTACAGAGAAACATACGGAACAAGCTCATCTTTGAGACCACTCAAGAAGAGAATGGGTGTATGGGTGATTTTAGGCAGGACCTCTTCACTGTTCCAGAATTGATGACAGAAACGTGCGAGATATCGCGCAGGAGGGAAAGACACTGGATCAAAGTTAGCATCAGAGTGCTGCATGAACTGAGCCCATTCTAACTCACTTTGGAATCAGCTTGCGGATACTCAGGAAGGTATTTTCCAGAATCAATCCTCCGATATCACCGGGCTCCTGGTTGCTGGCAACTAGGTTGATAGCCACGGCACCTCCAAGACTTTGTCCGTAGACAACAATCTTGGAATCTCTAGTCTCTGGGCGATTTCGTATGTAGTCTAGGCCGGTCTGCGCATCGATTTTGAGACCTCCTTCATCAGGCACGCCTGTTGACATTCCATATCCTCGATATTCCAACAAAAACACGTTACACTGGAGAGTGTCCTGCACAGCCTTGGCGATGGGTACACGATGGCCGATATTGCCCGCATTTCCGTGGAACATCAAAACAGTCAGATTGCGAGAGAAACGACCGGGTCGTTGGCGCAGGAAGAGAGCATGCAACGACTCTCCATCGGGGGTGGGGATCTGAAGGTCCTCAAAGTCGGTGATACCGAATTGGCGAGGACTGGGAACATTGGTTCGCGCATCCACAGGGACATTTCGAGGGTAAATCAGTTCACTGGACACAGTGTTAGCTTCGGAGATCATAGTCTAGATGCCAATCGCGCACTTCTGCTTGAAATAGAGGAGTCCGCTTGCCACCACCGCTAGACCAGATGATGCCAGGACAGGAAGTCGCATGAACTGCGCAGCACTGCTGGCCATGTTGCCGATGCTCCACGAAGGAGGCGGAGGTGATTCGGACATGGTGAAGATTGGGAGAGGAGAGGGGATTAGAGAGTGGGAATCCAGCAGGATGAAGAGGAGGTTGTGGTATTGGAAATAATCAACTAGCAGAGGCCAATGCGACCAAAGAAGAGTACAGGAAGTAGGGACAAGCCCAGGGAGAAAATTAATCTGAGGTCTCAGGAGTCTCGCGCGGAGAAGATGATAAGTCAATCAGCAGGGGTTGGGACTCACCGCCCTGCCGCGTGAGCTTCTGCCTGTGTTCATGATAGCATCACCTCTCCACGTCTCCCTTACCTTTCAACTCCCTGCCTTGCTGTTCTATCTTCAAGCCCTTTTCACTTATTTACTCTTGACAGCAGCACAAAATGGTCGCCCCTCACGGAACATCAGGAATGCTTGGTGAAGGTGAGCAGAGCTATCGTCATCCGCCGAGCCAAGCTAACAGGTCCAGATGGTATTCACGTTGACATGAACCACCTCAAGTCCGGTGAGGTCAAGTACGATAGTCCCTTGATGATTGTTTTGTTTTTGAGCTCTTGAACATATTCTAACATATTCCTCTTCTTCTAGCCTTGGAACCTCGATGTGAGTTAAGCTGGAGCTCCCGAACCTCACCATCCCGAAACATCCCATTAACAATCTAACAGCATGGCGATCAACTTCAAAGACGGTGTTATCCTGGGTGCTGACAGTCGAACAACTACCGGTGCTTACATTGCCAACCGAGTCACCGACAAATTGACACAGGTGCATGACACCATCTGGTGTTGCCGCTCTGGTTCAGCCGCAGACACCCAGGCTGTGGCAGACATTGTCTCCTACCACCTCAACATGTACGGCGTATCGAACAACGAGGATCCCACCACACAAGTCGCTGCGTCGCTCTTCCAGGAATTGTGCTATGAGAACAAGGATGCGCTGAGGTTAGTCGCTGGGTTCTCTACGGGTCTCTGAATCCCTGCTAATAGACCACAGTGCCGGTATCATCATTGCCGGATACGATCCACGACACGGCGGTCAGGTGTACTCGATACCCCTGGGAGGATCCCTTCACAAGCAGTCGTTCGCCATCGGCGGTTCGGGCTCGACCTACATTTACGGTTATACCGATGCCCATTGGCGGGAACAGATGACGGAGGCTGAGGGCATCGACTTTGTGCGAAATGCACTGCAGGAGGCCATCAAGTGGGACGGTAGCTCTGGTGGTGTCATTCGTCTCGTGGTCCTAACCAAGGCCGGCGCCGTCAGACATCTCTATCTGCCGGACAACGGCTACACTGGGCCGGGCGTGACGAATTAATAAATGTTCTAATATCGCGTCAATCGAATGAAATGGTTTCATGATCCCAGTCAAGTTTCAATATTGGGGGAGATCTTTTGGGGGAGATACTGCCACCAGACTCTATTGCATTGGCCCCCTAGGTCAATAATGTACCGAAGGATCCAAAGAGAAGTCGGAACAGCTCGGTCAGGGGATCTCTTGAGGGTTTAAATGCCGACTGGAATGGACCAGGGGGGTACACTTGGCTATCCCGGTTCATTACATCATTCGACGAAGTTGAGCTATCCCAGTAGACACAACCCTGTGACAGATCCAATATTGAAAAGAATAGATAGCATCTCACATCTGCATGCTGCGATGTTTCCCAGAACGGAAATAGGCAGTCTTATATCGGGAAATATTCAGACCAGTCTTCGTTGTATACGGGTAAATGGCGCTCAGACAGGAATCACCGGTGTCAATGGCACCACGGGCGTTCAGATCGAACTATTATTCGCCCGATATAAAGCCCCTCCCCCCAAAGTACACCGTCTTTTATACTCCAAACAGTAGGGTCCAGAGACAAGCTCGATAGATACGAGCGAAAGGGAGAAAGAGCGAGAGATATATATCTTTCCCCAAATAGATGAAGTAATCTGGACAATCTGGACTTGTTTCATCTCCACAGCCACCTTCACCACTTTCCACCTCTTCAATGGATTCGATCGACATTCGCTGATCCTGTCCCCTCCCTGTGAAGTGTGTTTCTGGAGATTATCCTGATTTGTTCCTTGTCCCGTAAGCAACCCCTCTCTTTCTCTCTCTCTCTCTCCCGACTCTAGACCTAACGGAAAAAACAGGAATAGCCTCGAGATGAGCTTCGTGGAACACGACATGGGTGCATATTCACGCGCCTCCACGACCCCCACCTCTACTGCCCCGCCAGTAGGCTCTGCTCGGCCGCAGAATGATATACCGGCTTACCTCAACTCCTCTTCACGCGCCGACCCTCCGTTTTCCTCTCGACCTGCCTCAATGACGTCCCATCCGAATGCCTTCGCCCCCGACTCACAATCCACACCCTCCTACCGCCATCCGGACCCGATGGCGACCGATCCACAATCCGCGCCGGATTCTCCACGATTACAACCTACAAATCAATCAATGCAGTCCGTGCCGGGATCCGAAGTCAATTCTCCGAGTCGCATTCGAGTCCAGAGCTTGTCTCACATCCAGAGTCTCGCCAATGAAGACCTCGTAGGTTCGCGAGGTTCGCAACCGTCCGGGCCTAGGTGGCAGCGACAGTACGAGATCAGCTCCATGCCGGTCACGGAGATCATCGAGATGGTCGCTGGACTCCTCACAAAGATCACCACCTCGAACGATTTGCACCACGAACATGTCCATCGCCACATCCCGCCACCGGATGGCACCTCAAACCTCAGTCCACAGGCCACCAGCGTCCTCGCATTCCACGGCAAAAACGTTCCCAGCATCACCATCCTCAGTTACCTGACTCGTATACACAAATACTGCCCAACAACCTATGAGGTGTTTCTGAGCTTGTTGGTTTACTTTGACCGCATGACAGAGCTGGTCAACAGAGGGAAACTCGACCACCTGCAGCATCGCTGGGACCCTTTAGAGGATTCAGATCCTTCTTCTGCATCACCTACATCTCAACACATGCACGACTCGCCTATGGTGACCCCTCCATCTTCAACTGGCTTAGCTGCGCAGGATTCGCAGGGGCCGAACTCCTCCATTTCGCCAGGCCTCTCCCCCCAGTCTGATGCCGAGACTCTTTCACATTTCTTCGTCGTTGATAGTTTTAATATCCATCGACTGGTCATCGCAGGTGTGACTTGCGCCAGCAAGTTCTTCTCTGACGTGTTCTACACCAATTCACGTTATGCAAAGGTGGGTGCCTCCCCCCCTCGAGTCGTTAGTATCAAAAGGTAATTAACAATCGTTGAATGTATAGGTTGGAGGTCTGCCTTTAGTAGAGCTCAATCACCTGGAACTGCAGTTTCTTCTCTTGAACGATTTCCGACTCGCTATCACCGTCGAAGAGCTTGAGGCATACGGAACAATGCTCGTTGAATTCTATGCACGCGAGGTCGTGACGCAACAACAGCAGCACCAGATGAGCTTACCACGACCCATCGACCCGGCCCGTGATCCAAATTCAGATGCAATGTACATGCGATCCCGCGACAAGCACCGCAACCATCCAGAAGTCGGCCAGACCCCGACCCCACCATAATCTGGTCTGGTATCATAGTTGATATTGAACAGTATTTCCATTTCTTGGGCTGTAAGCCCCATGAACTCCACTTACTGCCTGCCATCCTTGATTGAGCGTCGTTTTGTCGCCTATCTGTCCCCCCGCTCTGCCTCCCATCCTCATCTGCCTTGCACATCAACCATACATGTGCCCACATTCCGACACTCAACATCACATATGTCATATACCATCACACCTCGGGCACACCAAACCACAGCTCATACCATCTCCTACATCTTTCTCAGGATCTCTTTCAGCGCGCTCACACGACACGACTTGTATAGACTTTGGTTCTCAGCTGGCCGGGCTTATCGGGTTGTTTCCTTCCAGCTATTCCCCTTCTGCGCAGTGTCTTCTTTCTTTCTTCATACATGGAATCATCTACTGGATCTTCTCCATTGAGGTTGCTGTTGTTTTGTATCTTCTCTTTCGTTGGTTTGTTTCTATTTATCTGCGTCATGGGTTGGCGTTTTGCTGGTGCTTTCTTGCATCGCGAGTCTTTAGGGTGTAACGTTTTCCTCCTTTCTGGGTAGCTTTTAGCCATTCTTTTAATTTGATTACTCGACTTCGTGCATTGTTTTCCCGATACCTGGCTCGTTGTAGTTACATGACCTTGTGGTCATGGATATGCTCCATGCAATGTCAAACTTTTCTATAGTCGACGTTTGAAGCCTCACCACCCACATATCCATGGCAATATCGCAGGTATTTGACGAAATGAGAGTTTGTTACATACAGGAAAGCTTTTAATCCAGTTGGCTGTTGCATTCCACAAAAGGCCTGGACACAGTAACGTAAACGTATGGCTGGTGACAGTTTCTGCTTGGTCTTTCTAAACCTACTGTGATCCTTTGATCTGATATAAATCCTACCTGGCATGATCCTGTACACTTGAGACCGAGGAGCAGAATTAGATAAAACATCAAAGAACAGGAAGATCAAGCAACCAACAGCATGCAGACGCAGTAGTCCCACGAAGCTGTGGACCTTGCGGCTGATCCACAGAGCTATCAAAGTATTTCAGTCAGTCTCCGAATTGCTGTGTCTACTCTCTGGGCTTTACTGAGCCCGAATACCCTGTTCGTTTACTCGATCAGATGCTCCCTAGCCGCTTATCAGATCTGGTGTGGCTACTCATCATGATATCCGTTTAGTTACCCATCCGGTATTTGGTCAGATACTTGGTTAGATGCTGCTCATATCACATATCTCTTCATGTAAATCGATCTCATTCTCCCCATGTGTATCCTGCGTCTCTCGCTGGCTTTTTATCATAACATTTGCTCATATGATGTGAGTCCTAACGCCGCTGCCTAGCAACCACACCAGCACCTTCCTTCTTGTGGTGGCTCGTAGTGTATAACCTCACTTGTAACTCAGTCGCTCCTTCCTCGTAGTCGTCCATTGTTGACGTTATTCTCAGTTGTTGCCATGGTGCCACAGCCCACCTATTTATTGACTCTTCCTGTTGTTTTCTTTTCTCTTCTTCTTTCTCCCCATGCTACTGGCTTTTGAACTCGCACTGCTTGTTCATAACATAAAAAGTTCCCTTGCTCTTGCTCTTGATTTGCTTTTAAGCTATCAAGATGTCCTCTCTTCGAGTTTCCTTTTCCCCCTCTTCTTCTCCGACGGCCCTGGCCAAACCCACCATTGGAGCTGGCTCCCCTGGTGTGGCGCGGTGGATTCCCCCTAATTCTCTCAGTGCTCCTCTTGTTCCCTCCCCCCTTTGTCATGTTAGCTTTTCTTCCTTTCCGACGGCCCTGGCCAACCCGTCCACTGGAACTTGCTCCTCTGGTTCGGCGCGGTGGATTCCCCCTGCTTCTTCTTCCCGCCCCGCTGTCGTCAAGTCAGTTCACTTGGCTCCACAGGATGACAGGCCTCGCCCTGCCTCCCCTCCTCGGCTTCGGTCCATCCTCAAGACCCGACCAGCCGTTCCTGTGAGCCCTGAGTCGACCTCTGACGCACTCATCTCCGCCAAACCTCGCAAGACGGTTACCTGGCGAACATGTCTCACTCGCACCAAGATCATTCCGAATCGGTATCAAAAGGACATCAAGTCCTACCGGGAAGTTCTCGAGATGAGACGCTCTCGACACGCCGCCACTCTTTTCGGCTACTCGAGAACACAGGCTAACAGACCTCCTTCTGTCACCATTCGCTCACTAGCGTCTGCCAAAGACGAGCTCTTCGGCCCTGCTAAGTGCTTGAATAACTCTCTTGAGTTTTCTAAGCACCGGCCAGTCACTGCCCGCCTCCAGCCTGAGGTTGTGTACCGTTACCTTCCCGTCCCTTCCCCCAGCCTCACGGCTTGGGCTCGTTCTACCGTCACTGGTTGGTTCGATGCCATCTGCACCAAGGTGGTGGAATTCTTGGGACTTTGAGTTCTCGACTCATATAAAACGAGTCCGGTCACTACAGTCCTTACATCTGCCACATCTTATTCTTATTTGGCTCAGGACTCTCGGCTTTGGTTCAGATGCTACTTTCCTTTTGTTGTACTATTTTCATGTCTTGCTACCATCATGTACTACTGTTTTCATGTCTTGCTCTCATCATGTAATACTAACCCCAGGATACGACAATCATCTTCGCTGGCATCCCCCTGTGAGAATGCGGAGGGCAGGGGGTGTGGCCCCATTATACGACTACCGAGGTAAGTGTTCTGTTACTTCTCACTAAACACTTCTGACTTCTAGTTTGGAATACAGCACACGACAATCATCTTCGATGGCATCCCCCTGTGAGAACGCGGAGGGCAGGGGAGTGTGGGCCCATTATACGACAACCAAGGTAAGCTTTCTGTTACTTATCACTGAACACTTCTGACTTCTGCTTAGCACACAGCACACGACAATCATCTTCGATGGCATCCCCCTGTGAGAACGCGGAGGGCAGGGGAGTGTGGGCCCATTATACGACAACCAAGGTAAGCTTTCTGTTACTTATCACTGAACACTTCTGACTTCTGCTTAGCACACAGCACACGACAATCATCTTCGATGGCATCCCCCTGTGAAAACGCGGAGGGCAGGGGGGTGTGGCCCAATTATACGACAACCGAGGTAAGCATTCTGTTACTTCTTACTGAGCACTTCTGACTTCTGCTTAGCATACAATAACCGCATTCGACGGCGTCCCCCTGTGAACATGCGGAAGGCAGGGGGATGTGGTTCAATCATACGACAATGAAGGTAAGCTTTTTGCTACTCCTCGAAGACTTTGCTAACTTTTGCTTATTACTAGTGTTATATGGCACCATTTCATCCTCCCTCCTTTTTTTCATCGTGTGTTTTCGCAAAGCGAGGGACATGGAGAAGAGAACTAGAAGAGGAAGTGGGAAGAAGGTAAATTAAGGTTGTGGTCTGTGCATACCCGCATTGAGTCTCAGTACAACCACATCATTGTTTGCATGGTATGACAAAGCACTGAATATTCTATATTGGGAACGCCACTTCAAGAGTAAAGATTTTAATGTATTGTATTTGCTTCACTTCAATCACTTAATCAAACAAATCATAAGTAATCCCCTTTACAGTCTGGTCAGGATATTCATGGGGCTTTGTTCCAGTTGCCGCAAGAGCTTAGATTCAGTATTCTTGGTCATATCCCTGAAGAGAATTGCAAGCTCTTATGAGAAAGAGGTAAGGAGACTCATCTGATTCGGTTCAAGTTCAAATTTCAAGTGGAAAGACGTAAAGATCTCGGTTATGCGTGGGGTAAGATGAAAGGATAGCCGCAGTCCCTCTGTGTAAGTAATTTCTACAGTTTGAAACAGGCCTGGTAAGTCCTGATGCTTTTATTGATATTAAGATAAATGTTCATAACAGAAATCCTTACTTTACACCAAGCTACGGCTGTCTGATATTGCTATCGACTCAAAAGATCTGTGCAAATCAGTTTCGATGCCGCCTTTCTTACCGTTCCTTATGCTTCTGTATTCACAAACCCAAGGGCGGAGCACCACATGAACGGAGGGAAGTTGGTTAAATTCTATTTTATACCCGAAAGACATCAAAAAAGTTGTTAAAAAAGACGTCAAAAATCCCCAACGTCTATTGCTAACTCCAATCATACTCTACCTAGAAGCTGATACACAGCCATCGCCGTGAGCCATGAGCCAAGAACCATGAGTCTACGTCCAACACAATCATTCCGATCGGACGTCAGCTTCAGTCGATCATTACAACTTGACACTCATTCGAGCCAAGCCTCGCCAATACCTCCCGGTGTCTACATCGACGAACACAGTGCGCGGCGCCACGCCAAACAAGAAGGCTGAAAGAATCAAACGGCGATGTTCGGATCGATCTGTCTATAACCGTTCATCCTCGTGGGAAGATCACCATCGAACTGTGGGAGAAGGGGAACATATCCACACAATCACCAGTGATAGCTTATGCTACCCAGAAAATGGAAATTGATCGTTCACCAGCGCCCAATTGTGCCCAAATCCAGGGAGGTCTGAATTTGGATTCCTCAGACGTCTTTCAGAGAAAGAGAGAAAAGGACGAAAGCAATTACATCCTTCCACACGCCACTCTTTAGAGTATAGCAGATCGAGTGTGGAATGTGCAGTTCGGCTGGAGAGCTGGGGCCTGTCCATCCTATAGGTAGCGGTTGATTTGGAGGAAGGCTTGCAAGACAGACAATTTCGCGATCCTTAACCTTAACTGATTCACTATTTTGTCATTCTATAGTCTTCCTACCCTAAGTAAAAAAGCTCGATTTACACCCCTTCGAGGTATTTCCTTTGTCAAATGCTTTACAAGTGGCACCGTTAACTGTGAGACGCAGTTCAATTCATAGTAATAATCGCTCAAGACCGTCTCCACCGCGCCTGTCATAATGATACATGCAATTCGCCTAAGTCAATCATAAAAATCACGAGAACATAGCAGGACGTGTAGTCTGTTGAATTTCTTGCTCCTCAGCCTATGATATGGTATGTTAGTTACGATGAAGCATAACGAATCCATAGGGACTTTCTTACCTCAGTGAAGCCAGTGCCAGAAACCAAAGCCATGAAAGTTTTGTTCAGATCCCGTAAAGTGTGTTGATGTTCATTGGAAGTGATGCCAATTTTGGCAGACCGTTTGAAAATGCCCACCATGCAAGCTCGGTTCTCAGCCAGGAATCTATGAGCCTGTTGTATGATTTGGTGGTTTTGTATTCCACGAGAACAGACAGCAGACACAATGACGCGCATCAAGGACAAAAGAAGGTCGTAATACTTTTGAAGGGCATCGGGATTATCGATATCTGAAAGTACCAATCAGTAAGGCAGCATACAGGGGTAGGAGATAGACTTACCAATGCCAATGTCTGGATCAGCTGCGAAAAGCTGCGAATCACGAACCGTTTGGAAGAGTCCCGCATCAAGGACATATGTGGCTCCTTTCTTGGTCTGAGCAAGCCGCTGTAGTAGCGAAAGTAGTGATTCGTAGTAAGCTATGAGTGCAGGAGTATCTAAGGATCAATCAACAATGATGCCACAGCCGGTGAGAAAAAGGGAACAAAAAAACCTACCAGTTTCCTGGGCTTGGCGGAGCTCAATGGGAAGAGATCTCAAAGAGTCTAAGAAGAGACTTAGACAGTTCGCCTCTGAGATGTGCTTTGCCAAAACACAATCAGTCTGGCTATCTAGAACGGCCAAGCCGTTTAAGAGCAAGAGAGCAGACGAACGGCACGAGTCCTGGCCATTCAAGGCATCATCGCAGATTGTCTCAACAAGGGTGGGGCAGCATTTTGTAATGGCTTGTTGGCTCTCACGTCGCAGGCTTTTATTGGTATCAGATGTTGTGATGCGTGTGACGTAGTGAGAACAGATCATGTAGTATGTCTCTCTTAAAAGGACATCCCCTGGTGCCAGATTGATGCCTTGGATGCAGATTTGGAAAAGATGGTAGAGTTTCTCATTGATGGCATCTCCACTGCCAGAAATCAAAGTTTCTGCCAATTTTGCCAGTTCTAGAGCCCAAGGAAGATCGTCATCAGTGGCAGCCTCAAGCTGAGGAAGTATCAACTGGAGACAGTGCTGAATGAAAGCTGGGGAGACTCCGTCATCGTCGGCACAAGCAATCATAGTAGAAATGAGCTCTGTCCAAGACTTGAAAGCTGCATAATGACATTTTCGGATCCGATGACGATGATTCGTCGCATTGATGAATTGCTCGAGAATGCATGCTTCCCCTCTGAATCGTTGTTGCTCAGCGGCGGACAAATCTGCGTCTCGCATTCGGACCAGTGCTTGGAACTCATCCAGGTTGTATTCTTCCGTCCTACCGTCCTTGGGGTTATACTTCACTTGAACAGATATGTCGTCAAGCAAAGACAGCATAGGCTTCTCGAAATTCCGCAAAACGCCGAGATCCGCGAAGTCGAATAGATCAAACACAGATCGACTTTGAATGGGCTGACCGTTCTCCAAAACAGTGTTTCCAAGCAAGACCGCCATTGTTTGGGAATGTAGAGTCTGTGATCCCATCTTAGCCGTCGCACGAATTTCTGCGGCTGCATATTCGAACAAAAAGCTGCGGTATTGCAGGAATTCTGTCATAGAGACAGCACCGTCCGCAAGCCAAAATTCATCCATGTCGGCAGTGAAGCCACTCCAGATTGTATGCGCATCAATAATGGGCTGTTTAGCAAACATAACCTGAAGTAGATTCATAGATCGCATTTCACTCAATGTTTCGAAGCCTGCCAGCTTTGATGACCATAAATGCTTCATCACTTCAAAAGCCAGGCGTTTAAGAATCACAACCCACGACACGATGGGACCATCAAGATGCTCGGGATATTCTTTCAAAAATTCCACAATTGCATGCAGAAGAGAACTCTTTTCCGCAAATATTCCTTCGCTAGAGGTTTCAAGGTTCGGTCCCACACACTTGAAGCCAAGGAGAAGATGAGCTACCGTAGGACGATCTGTGATTGTTCCTAGACATCGCCTCAGAAGGGTAAGAATGTGTTCTCGAATGACGTAGCTGGGTGCCTCGGGGCCATAATCGAATTCTCTGATGTCAGGAGTCATATGGAGCACCAAAGGTTTCGATACACTATCCACATCAAGTTCGGATGCAAGCACCTCAACAATCTTGTTCGAGGACCGCCATTGAGCGGATTCCAAGGATGACATTTTGTTGAGTTTGCGAGAGCTGGTAAGCCTTTCCAGCAAATTCATGGACTCGATCGCAAGATCGAGATGTCCTGCACTACAATAGAGACAGAGCAATGGTATGAGGGAAAGATTGCTCAGTACACTGTCTTCAAATGAGGCAAGTGAAGAATTTGCCACATTTGTTCTGTGAGGCGCAACCTGGGAGGTGACGATCGGTTTGACGACATTTAAGTATGTCGATTGAAGATCTAGAAGAAGGACCATTACCTCCAGGCTCCGGAGCAAAGTCAGGACAATGACAGAATCAGGTAATGCCACACAAACCTCTGCCGTGTCTTGTCGAGAGGCCGCAAACAATGACTTGAGAACATCCTCATTGAACAGCCACTCAACCACGCGAGCAAAGGGATGGGCAATAACATACGAGGATATCAACGAAGCAACCACCGTGTGATCAGTCCCAGATGGCTCGCTCAAAGCCAAGACCAGATTTTCCTTAAATGACTTCAAGCTTGTAACCACAAAGCCGAGGCAGTTGTAGGTCAAAAGACGGGACTGGTGGTCGTTGAGATCCTGAATTTTCCTTGAAAAGGCATGGCCTAGGATAAAGTCGATGTAGGGACCAACCCCAGGCATCCGATAAGATCCTCCTAGATTTCCTGGGAAAGGTAGCGACATGCCATCATCGACCTGGTCAGAGGGAGGAGCAAAGAGTGCATTGATAAGAGTAACAAACGCGTTTGTTTGGTCAAAACTCTCTCCAATCTTTTTGAAGGCCTGTTGCTGATGCCATACAGGAAGGTTGGAAACCAGCGGCACTTTAACATTGCCGGATGCACTCATAGACCCACCGGACAACCATTCATCAATTGCCATCCACATTTGATGTCCAGCAGCAGAAGACTTGTTAGTCATCAGAGCTGCAAGTGTCGTAAAGGCAGTTGCTCGGAGATGTGACGGAATGGGACCGCTGGACAGAGTCAACAATGTACTGACTACATTGAAGGACTGGTTCTGTAGCATCCAATCTCGAACAAGCTCACTCTGACTGCATAGATGCCCCATGAGCCGTAAGTAGCATGTGAGCATAACGGGGCTTTCAGGCTCGTTCATTTCCACCGGCTCCGGTTTCCGTGAAAAGAACATTCCGAGGTAGCCTTGCGAGGGAGTTGAGTTCGGTTTCTCTGTAACTCGAGACGCATAAAGTTGAAGTTCAGCAAACATTTGAGACCAATTCATAGTGGTGGATCTCTTAAATTTGGAAGACATGAACTTGTCTTCCTCCGTAAGGAATTGGTGTGCCGCAGCTGCATTTTCGGGGCCTTCGGAAATTGAGCAAAGCATTTCACAGAAAGCACTAACACGAGGAACAGTCTGTCGCTTAGAAGACCATTGAAGGAAGCCATAGAGGTTACTTTCAGGGTCAGCCCAGAATTCTTGAGCTGCTTCGGCGCGGCACTCGAAGGCAAATGAGATGATCATGAGGAATGACTCGAGGTAAGTTCGCACCTCTACTAAGCCTCGATGAAGACTAGAAGTGAGACCGTCTCTGAGGGCAGTGATTTGGTCCAGTCTTTGAGAGTCCTCTTCCGACTTCAAATGCCGGACGGCGTCGGGCATGTTTGCGACACAAGATTCAATAAATACCTCAAAGTTTTCCATCAAAAGTTCCTTCATGAAGTCAGAGCAAGCAGCAGATTGCGGCAATGAGACAACACTCTCCTTGAGCAGCAAGGCCAAAAATTCACTTCGAGCGGGATCGGCCCACTCTTTATTGTTGACAGCCGCACAGATGGACAACATGAAGTCAAGCGCTCCATCATCAAGAGAAGACCTGAACATCTTTGTTCGCTCTTTTGATTCCTTCTCCACATCGATATTGAGATCGACGCTTGAGGGCAGGGCACCGTCAAAGTACCATCCGCTGTAGACTGAAAGCCACAGAGCAGTGACAGCCGCGTGGAAGTGTGGCAGTTTCCAGCCTTGGGGATCATTGGTTGCAGTGATGAACTGGTTTAGCTCTCGCGCTTCTCTCTCAACGGCCCCTGGGCCATCTGGAGAACCATATTGGAAAAAAGCCGCTATTATGGCGGGAATGTAGTGGATCAGGAGCCCGTCAAAGCGATCTTCCTTCTTTATTTGCTGAACAAGGAAACGTACATCCTCGCTGCTCGTGAAAGATCCCTTGAACATGTAGCAAACGATCGCTCCCAGAGACTCATGCTGTTCATTCAAGCATGATTGCTGGTATTCAATAGCTTCCATAATATCTCGATCAAGTTCCTGATCAAGTGTGGTGGCCTTTTGAAGCTGCTGTCCGAGAAGACTTATCCATTCCTCAATGTCAATCATGGATTTCAAAGCTTTTCGAACAAATTCCGATGCATGCCGTAAAGGGTTATTGATATCCCCAAGTATGTGTGTCAGAGTTGTTTGCATGACAGGCTGGAGAGTTGGAATTTCATAGTCGAGTGATAGTTTGAAAATGAGACGCAGGCAGTTCAGGGTATTTGAGCGGTGTTCGTGAAATATCATTAGGGCAGCGATCAGAGGGGACCGGCCCATCAAGTATCCATCATGTTGAGCTTTTAAAAATTTGAATGCCGCTTCAATTTCATCGATGTTCAAAGCGTCGGCGAGTTGGAGGGCGCCTTGTTGGAAGTCCGAGTTGATTTCGTATTCGTCGCCTTCAGAGCTGATCTTCCCTAGAACATTGCAAGCAAAATTAGAAACGTGTCCAGGCTTGACATAACAGAGGCGACTCGAAGAGTCCCTGTAAGGCTCAATTACCTGTGAGGACAGTCTGACGACTGGCATTGTTCTTCGGTGTTTTGTCGAGGAGCTTTCGGAAATCTGGAAGATGCGCCTCTAATTCGAAGCAGAGTCGTTCGAGATTGACAGAGGGACGCTGCTTGATGGCACATAGATCGGTGTACAGGCCACCAAGGCCACCGATGTCCTCGGTGTCTTTGGACTCCATCATGGTTGGTGGAATGAGAAGCTGTGGAAAGAGAGCTCGAGCTGGCAGAAAGGTGGAGCGCGATCAAAATCTCGGGCGGTAACGCGAGCAAATACTGCCGTTTTTTCAGGCACAACACCCGCCTTGGGTCACCGCCTTATTCACCGTCAATCCCACCGCCTTTCAGACTATACATCGATCTCTTGAACTTACCTTGATTGGTGGCTAAATCTTAATTATTATCAATTGCAGAGGGCACAAAGCGCATATGCAGCAGAATAGAGCATGAGTTTAATCTCAATAACACAGCCACATCCCACTATTCTTCTTGTATAGTCATTACAAACATCCTGGTTAAAAGTTGACTGTTGACATTTTGCCGGACAAACACGCTTCAAGGCTTGGGTGGGCGGTCATGACCTATTACATGCACTCCACAAGTCGCGCTTATCAACCCTGATCTCGCAGAATGACGGATTGATTCGGGATGCTTCCTGGATTTGGTGAATGAAGCGTAGATCTTCAGATTGACTGGCTCCCTACTGCTGTAACGCGATGGCGGAGATATTTCTCGACAAAACGATCAGCTCGCTGTCATCCGACAAGCAAAAGGCGCGCTCAGATGGCTTAGCAGGTGAGTCTCCTCTTGAAAACGCATACAGAAATTCAAGTACTAAGTCATCGCCCCACGTAGACTTGAAACACATTCTTCAACAGAACAAGAAGAGCTCCAAGCTGTACGCCGCCTCGAGATCCCCCCTCCCCCGGGATGACAAGACAACTAACAGTGATCTTATGAAATAGGCAAACCCTCAACGATAAAGCCTGTCATAAGATTTTTGAGTCCCTTTTCCGGTTCGTTGCAACAGAAAGGTTGACATTCAATCGCGCGCCGAATTTCAAAAGCGCTTCCGCATCTCGACTCTCAACATGTGCCTCTGTGCTCCGATTAGCAGTCGATCTCTTTTTGAAAAATGTGAGGATTAAAACGGTCCGAGCCATCGTTGATCACATCACTGAAACCATTCCATCCCCCGGAGAAGGTATATGGGATCATCTGAGTGCGGACTACACCAAGTGTTTAGCGTCGCTTCTCCGATATCGCCCACATGCAGAGCATCTTGATGGAGAGGACTGGGAAAACATTTTAAGCTTTTGCCTTGCTGGAATACGTGTAAAGGAGAATGACAATCAGCTAAGCATTCGAAGCGGTTATCGATCTACCCCCGAAGATCCCGATGCCAGCGACAGTCGTTCGACTCCTTCGCGAATGACCCCTGCCCCAATCAGCAGAGAAAATCAGGGCAGTAGCAGAAATGTTCACGAAGCACTCGTGCTTTGTATCCAACTTCTGACATCAGTGCCTAACCCTCCTGTCCAAAACACAGCGAATACCATCCTTCATGGACTGATTGATTTTGTCAAATCGCCTTCAATTGTAGCTGGGAATACGCACCAGCTCGCCTTTAGTAGCATCAATGCAGTCATTACCAAAATCATGTTTGATCAGACCGAGCTTGCCCGCTCATCTCTGTTGAGCCTGGTTCCAGTAATTCGACAATTGTGGTCGTCCACCAAGCTACAGGCCCTCAAGGACGAATTGATTGTCACTTTAATGTTTTCCATGATCATACTGGTGGACACGGCTCGACGAGACCCCTCCGAGTATTTGGCGCATGAAGTGGAAGGATTAGCAATTACACTCCACTCAGAATATGTGAGGCGTTCTGAAAGAGAGGCCCTTCAGGTCGACGATATTATCTTTTACCAAAATTCAACTGCAGACCACAGCCGACCGATATATGGGCCTCGTTTTGGAAGTGCAAAATCGGAATTCAACTGGACCCTCATCTGGATCATCGCGGAGCTATTGAAGCTCTCGGAGGATATTAATACTGTTAATAACCCTGAGTCACAACGTGTTGGTTCAAATAAAAGGCAGCGCTTCAGCTCTCATCTTCAGGATATTCTTCGCGACTCGATCTCTTCAACAAGCACCCGACGAATCTGTGCATTGCAGCTTGTACCTTTTATTGAGACTAATCTTGACGCAGAAACTAAAATTTCCATTTTCAAGCGGCTCGTTCTAAGCATCACCGATGACCATGCTTCTGTGTCGTACTGGACAATGGTTGCTCTGGCAAGGTATGTTCCTCTCATTTCTGTATCCACCGTTTCGAGCTAATTATGCGACAAACAGCATTGCGAGCGGAGCAACTGCAAAGTCGCCGGAGCTCAAAAGCCAATGGCCAAGGGTAGTCGACTTGACTGCACGCGCGTTCTCTTCGCCACTCACATCAAGAGCTGCGTGTAACCTGATGAACGTTGTGCTTCAGTCCGGGTTATTGGAATATTCGGAGGCAATGGAAACGACACGTTCGATTCTGTCTTCTGCTAATTTGAATGGACCAGCGGCCATATCAGACTCATCTCTAAGACTCTGGGCGTTTATTGCGCAGTCGAGGACACAGCTGGATCCTGGATCGTCTCAAAAGGCATCTATGCAGATTTGCGGCTGGTTAAGGGACGTTTGGGCTATTGGCTCTGTGACAGATCGCATTCAAACGGCTCGAATTGCTCTATATGCTCGGCCTCTGGATTTGCTGGCCGTTCTCTCTTCGTGTACTAATCGACCTTTGTCTATTTCACCACGTCAATCGGACAAACCCACGGAACTTCCGAGAAGCTTTTCAGAAGGCCCAACTGGCCTAATAATTCGGAAGTGGTTGTTTTTCCATGAGAATCGCGAATTATTGGAATATGCTTTCCATGCAGAGTCATCCACTGCCACCAACTATGCCAATCCATGGGCCTCGCAGGAATCATGGTACTTGGACCAATCCCCTCGGCAGGATCCTGACGATACAGTGATCTTGGATTTGCTTCGTGTGAGATGTGAGACTTTCTCGCAAGCATGGCGCGCTATGAATGAGGACAGATCAATTATATCCCCAGAAAATTTACAGATCCTGGCTTCCTTCTGTATTGTGACTTCGCTTTTCACAGCGTGCCTGCCCCAGTCGGCTCAGGCTCAATCGCAAGATTTGCAGCAAAATTATCGGGCCCTATGGGATGCTATATGCAATTTCCTAGCGATACATGAAACAAGGTTCATCCATTCATGTTTGGAATTGCTTTCTCCTCTTCTTGGCCCTTTGTTGAGCTCTGATACTTCTTCCGCCATCCGGGGTAGCCTCAAGGAGCTCTTAACCCCACTTTCAAATGTACTTGAACAGCTTCGTCAAAGCTCGAAATCTCAATCTTCCGAAGATTATGATCCTATGGATCTGGATGATCGACTTATGAGTGATCAGGCTCAGATGACGATCGATGAGACAATACTATCCACGAATCGTGACGCTTCATCGTTGTTCCTAGATCCGATCACTTACCAACTATGTGTGACCATTCAAATATCCATCTTTTTGAGAACCGATGCAGACCCAAGTTCCGGTCAACTACGGGCATCAGAACTCGTTGACTACCTGACAAGCCTCGACGAAGCTGATCTCATGTCCGCCCAAAACTTGCTACCTGAGATCTATCGGCGGTGCTCGGACTTGGCGCCTTCTGAATTGTTGTCCATGTTAGAAAACTTGGGTGAAATATGCTTACAGTCATACGAAATGGAACGATGTGAAGCTTCCCACTGCCTCTGCATTCGTATGATGGCCAGTTTTGTCAATTCCTGGGCCAACGGCCCCGATGAGAACTTGAGAGATTCAGCCATGGACTTGTATTCCTGGTTCATTGAAGTCCTTTTGGTTCGAAAGAGAGCTTCTCCAAAATCATACATTGCATTGGCCGAGCTCATCCGGGGTGTTATTGACACGTCCCCCTCATACGGCAACGAGCAGTCTCTGCAGTCCCCCAGAACAAGCCTTTTCACCATCCTGCGAGAAGGAGACGTTCAGGTTAAATTCACCGTTGCCAAATTCATCCCAACACTGTTTGAGCGCTTCCTTCTCAAAGATCATGACGCTATCTTCGATGACGTTCTAGAAAGCTTGCCTCGTGACCCGGAATGGATCGAAGGTATAGCTGTTCGTCTTTTTGTGCTTTCCCAGTTGGCTTCGCGGTGGCATACGTTGCTTCGTAGAAGCATATATCATCTATTCGAAACTCCGGCTCAAGTTTCTTCTTCTCTGTGGTACGCTGAAAGATGCATTGTTTCTGTTTCTCATAGCCTAGGCCTCCGGGATGCAAAGGAACTCTTCCGACTTTTCTCGTCTCAAATACTGTACACTTGGGCTGAGACGCAAAGCATAATGACAATGCCTTTCAGTATATTTGGATACGATAGCCTCGGGGAGATGCTGGTTGATGTTAAAGACGAAATCGTTGGGCAGATGATGATGCGCGCAAGGGAACAGGAGACAATTGAACTGGCGGAACATCTTGATGTGCCACACGTCGAACTTCTAGTTGGCTCTTTCTATAAGGCAGAGGCATACAGCATTGCGCGAGATATCAGTACCCCTCCAGGGCAAGGCAGTCAGCCCAAAGGAGTCGAGATTCGGCTCAGAAAATTGCTAGGTGCAGACCAATTCATGACACAGGTTGAAAGCCAGTTTCCGTCCATTGTTGCAACCTTTTTCAAGTCCCTCGACTACTATGACCAAATTGAAAGGGCGTTTTCCAAGCGTGCAAGCTTTGGCTACGCCCACGACATTCAGATGCAAATTATCAGCAAAAGTGCATCTCAAAATGTGCTGCCTGCGAATCAACAGCCCTCATTCCGAGCTCGATATCTGTTAGACGAGCTCGAGTTCCTTTGCAAACGCACTGGATTTGACCTTGAATCAATATGGACACCATCACTGGTCTCTTTCACCTGTCGCTCACTCCTTGAATCGATACACCCTGCCCTTGGCTCGCTTCATGCTTGCTCCGTCATCCGTAAAATACGGATTCTTGTATGCGTGGCTGGTCCCGTATTTCTGAAAGACTATCCGCTTGAAATGGCGCTTAACTCCCTTCGACCCTTCCTTTGGGACATTCATTGTTCTGAAGATGTCCTTGGGATAGTCTGGTATCTGCTCGAGAATGGAAAGCCATACCTCCGAGAAAATCCAGGATTTGCTGCTGGGACTGCTGTCTCAACGCTTATTACTCTCCGCAAAATTTTCCTATCTTCTCCGGAGAATACGACCCAGGAAATTCAGTTTAAAAAGGTGCAATCAAGCACCCGAAAGTTCCATCAGTGGCTCATAGGACTCTTTGGAGACTTGCTTTCCGCAGAATGGGACACAAAAACCAAGCAATCCTTTGATAAGCTAGTGAGCCTCGCCGAGCAATTCTCAACGTCCAAAGCTTCCTCAGATGGTCACATCGGGAAAGGCTTGGTCTTTGAGGTGCTCAAAGACCGCGATTCTGCAACATCATTGCTCAGCAGGCCTGTAGCCGATACGGTTTTGTCGCTCTTATGTCCGGAGTTTGGGGCTTCGGATGCTGATGATAGGTCCCTGAACGATGATGTGGACCCTGCTTCACATGTTGTCTCGCTGTGGCATACACTGCACAACTTTAATGGCGGACCCCAGTATCGACTATGGGCTGCCAGGGTTATTGGTCGATCATTTGCTGCAACTGGAAAGATCAATCAACTTCTTCTGCGTGAGCAGGATCTTTCATTATTTGAGGATACTGAGCCTTGCTTATCATCCGACATTCTCTGTCACTCCAAAGCTAGGATTCTTCGCGTCCTTTGTGACATGCTGCACAATCAAAATCATCTCGAAGCTGGTTTGGTTGAGCGGACATTGCAGCTTATTGTCAGCAGTATCGCAGACTTTCCAGATTACCAAGGCTGTGGTGATGTGATCCCTGAATCTTTGATGAAAGCACTCATCTGGAACCCATACAAGTGCCCTACCATCGAACTATCAATTCTGGAGGAGAAAAGATGCAAGAAGACGCCACCAGACATAGATGGTATCTCGGTTGCTGAATGGGCTCGCGATGTTTCTCTATTTTTGTCGACTGCTGCCTTGGAAGATCCTGTTATCGGATCTCTTCGCAAGATTCTCAACGCTGCCTCTGACCTAGCGGTACAGCTGTTGCCGTATGTAGTCCACGATGTCTTGCTGTCTGAGCGAGACACAAAAGGCGAAAAGGGAGTAATTCGAGAGGCCATTTCAGCCATATTCAAGAAGGTATTGTGTGAGGTGTCGGAGGATACGTTACCTCATGCTCAGCTTGTGATCAGTTGCATTCTCTACCTTCACAACCAACCGGTGCCGGATGAATCAACCATTGTCCAACGTGATAAATGGCTTGATATCGATTTTGGAGAGGCGTCTTCTGCTGCTCATCGTTGCGGGCTGCAGAAATCTTCATTGTTGTTCCTTGAAATTCAAGCCTCCAAGGTAGTTGCAGGGTCCCGTCGGTCATCTGTCCTCAAATATGAGCTACCAACTGCTTTACTCCATGATGTGTACAAGAACATAGATGACCCAGATTTGTTCTATGGCATCCAGCAAAGTTCATCGCTGACAAGTGTGATGGAACGACTGGAGTACGAAGGCTCTGGGTTCAAGAATCTCTTGTTTCAGAGCGCGCAATACGACAGTGGGATACAGATGTCAGACAGTGCGGACTCTTATGGGGTTCTAAATGCGCTGAATGCAACGAATCTCCAGGGAATCGCCAACACAATGCTCTCCGCTTCCAGTGGTATAAAGGATTCCCCTGTGGCAATTGAGAGCATGTTGCAAGCAGCCACCAGTCTTCAAAAGTGGGATATCCCAGTCTCACCTTTGGATACATCGCCATCAGCAACCGTCTTCCGAGCCTTCCAGAGTCTCAACAGCTCTGGTTCTTTGCCTGAAGTCACCACCTCAATTGAAACCGGTCTGTTGACTACCCTTGACTCTCTTATAGACAACGGTCGTTCCGCCATCCAGTTGCGCACCTCGATGCGAGCTCTGGGTATCATGACTGAGATCAGTGACACGCTGCACACCTCGAGTCCAGAAGATATGGACGCCGAATGGAAGAAGATAATGGCGAGAAGCAACTGGCTGAAAACCGAAAGGTACGTATCTCAAACCCATGCGGCTATTCAATACATGCTAACCTTGGTAGTTATCATGAGGTTGGCGAAGTCTTATCATGGCATGAGGCATTATTCTCGTCGGTCAGGAAAAACGATGTCCTGAGATCACCATCACGGCTGAGTCTCGACAATTCACGCTTGCTGGAAGCGAAAGTCATAAGGCAGTCCTTGGAAGTAACCAGAAGTCACGGCATCTCCCAAGCATCGTTGAAATCTGCAATGAACCTTTCAAAGCTGTCAGAACCCTGTGCAGCTCTGGGTATGGACATTGAAGCAGCCGCAAAGTTTGACCTCGCCAATGTTCTTTGGGATCAAGGCGAGATGACAGCGTCGATTCGCATGCTTCAACATTTGAAAGGTCAAGACGATCTTCACAACCAAGCAATTCCACTCAGTCGGGCTGAGCTGCTTGTAACTTTGGTAACTTTGGACTTATCTCGAGGAATCTATTTTCAATAACTAATTCTTTTTTCTTTGATTTAGGGACATCATGTCGCAGAGGCACGACTGGAAAAGCCCGATTCCATTCTTCAAGACTATCTTTACCCTGCGGTCAAAGAACTCAAGGGAAACTCTGACGGGGAAGAAGCTGGACGAGTCTATCATGGATTCGCAACATTCTGTGATCAGCAGCTTTTGAATCCCGATGGACTAGAAGACTTCAAGCGAGTGGAGCAACTCCGGGACCGCAAGGAGAAAGAAGTCATTGGCCTCGAGGAAATGATGAATGCTGCCACTGGCAAAGAACGGGAGTATTTGAAGAATTACCGTGCTAAAGCGAAACAATGGTTCGACCTCGACGACCGTGAGTATCAAAGATTGCTGCGAAGCCGAGAGGCTTTCCTCCAGCAATGTCTCGAAAATTACCTTCTCTGTCTGCGAGAAAGTGATACCTACAACAATGATGCTCTACGGTTCTGCGCACTCTGGCTCGACAAGTCAGACATCAAAACAGCAAACGTAGCTGTCTCCCGATACCTTAGCGAGGTACCCAGTCGCAAATTTGCACCTTTAATGAATCAACTGTCTTCTCGCTTGCTTGATGTCTCTGATGATTTCCAATCACTTCTCACGCAATTGATTTTCAGGATCTGTGTCGAGCACCCCTTCCACGGAATGTATCAAATCTTCGCCAGCAGCAAGTCCAAGGGAGGTAAAGACCAGTCCTCCGTCTCACGTTTCCGTGCTGCAAATCAGCTTGTGGACCGCCTCAAAAGTGACAGCCAAATCGGTCCCACTTGGGTTGCTGTGCATAATGTGAACATCAGCTATGTGCGGTTTGCAGTCGACAGGCCTGACAGCAAGTACAAAAGTGGTGCTAAAGTTCCATTGAAAAGTCTCACTACTGGGCAGCGCCTCGGACAAGATGCCATCACTTACAAACTGCCACCACCTACAATGAAGATCGACCTCCGCGTTGATTGTGACTATAGTCAAGTTCCGACAGTTTCCAAATTCTCCCCTGACTTCACCATTGCGTCCGGTGTCAGTGCGCCGAAGATTGTCACTGCCGTTGCCTCTAATGGCGAGCGCTATAAACAGCTGGTATGTATTTCCCCTATAGCCCAACGCCTTTCGGCAGCATTCCATGCTTGTAGAAACTTAGTTGACCAAAATAACAGTACAAGGGAGGCAATGATGATCTACGACAAGATGCTATCATGGAACAAGTTTTCGAGCAAGTGAGCAGTCTCTTGAAAGATCATCAACCTACGCGTCAACGGAAGTTAGGTATTCGGACCTACAAAGTCCTTCCATTGACCTCCAATGCGGGAATCATTGAATTCGTACCCAACACCATTCCCTTACACGACTACCTGATGCCAGCACATCAGAAATACTTCCCCAAGGACATGAAGCCCAATTCCTGCCGTAAGCACATTGCCGACGTTCAAACCAGATCCTTCGAGCAGCGAGTCAGAACCTACCGACAAGTGACGGAGCACTTCCATCCTGTGATGAAATACTTCTTCATGGAGAAATTCAACAACCCAGATGATTGGTTCAGCAAGCGAATCTCCTACACTAGGAGTACAGCCGCGATTTCAATCCTCGGCCACGTCCTGGGTCTTGGTGACAGGCACGGACACAATATCCTACTTGATGAAAAGACCGGCGAAGTCGTGCACATTGATCTCGGTGTTGCATTTGAACAGGGCCGCATTCTGCCTGTTCCTGAAGTGGTCCCCTTCCGTTTGACACGCGACCTCGTCGATGGTTTTGGTATTACCAAGACCGAAGGTGTCTTCCGGCGCTGCTGTGAGTTTACCCTCGAGGCACTTCGCCAAGAGTCGTACAGCATCATGACCATCCTTGATGTCTTGCGCTACGATCCCTTGTATAGCTGGACTGTCTCGCCCCTGCGCATGAAAAAGATGCAGGATAATCAAGAAGCTGGCGATGGGCCTCCTCTACTGCCTGGTGCGGGTGTGGCCGATCATTCTTCGAGGAATGAGCCCAGTGAGGCTGATCGAGCCTTGACTGTCGTGGCTAAGAAGCTGAGCAAGACACTCAGTGTCACTGCTACCGTCAATGAATTGATTCAACAAGCGACTGATGAGAGGAATCTTGCTGTGCTATACTGTGGTTGGGCATCTTATGCCTGAACTGGTGTAAATAGATCTACTTCGTTGATGCGATGAAACATACATAGTCTTTGCATATATTACGTGAATTTATTTACTGGACATCTTTATTGGCATTTATTGTAAAGAAAGGTTGAAAGGCCGAAATTACCTTGCTCATCGATATTGAGTGCTCGGCCAGCCTCGGTTCGGGAGTCCGAGAGCCTCACATATGTCCACAGGTGCCTATATTCTTGACTTAATCGGCCTCTATGAAACACCGTCGAATCCAGGAACCAATAATTCGAGATTTCCTGCTATGGAATAGTGTACTGCCGGGATGAATACCTACATGTAGGTATACGCCATGTAGGTATTCACCCTGTAGGTATTCGCCCTGTAGGTGAATCCCTGTAGGTAACTCCCCTGTAGGTATAAGCCGGTAACGTATAATGCGATCACTTCTATTGGTAAAGTTTCCATTCTCATAGGATATCCTAGCATCTTGGCAACCTTGACTCGATTGTATTCAGTGGGGGGATTTGAAATCAGAATAGACTTGTCTCATAATTCGCTGAATGTCTTGCTTGGTCTATCCTAACGGTACCATATTCGACTTCTTTGTCTTATTTTGATTGTTTAAACATCTCTACTGTATGCAATTTGAATTGAAGTCGATTCCAGACACTGCATTTCTCTGGAAATGTCGTAAGCTAGGTCTCGGCAAACCGTAGTCAAGAGTCCAAAATCACCTTGGCCTCCAAATTTAGCTATCTGATCTCTCCTAATTAGTCTCAAATTGGACAGGAGCCCCTATTATGTGGATATCGGTTTAATTCTTGTAATTTAGAAAATGGATCCTTCCAAACAGACAGCTCGCTTGGTTGCTTTCGCATCGGGGTTTCCCTACATATCATCGAAACTGGACATTCATGTAATCACCTGACTCCATTGTATAAAAGAAAGCGTAAGGGACAAATATCTTTCCTCTAGAGCCTGTTGTGCATATCTTCTCTCTCAACCCACCCACTATGGCTATCAAGCAGAGAATTCCTCATGATGCCACCCCGACCAAGGACAGCCAGGAGAATGGATCAACTACAGCAAAGAAGTTCACCGATGGCGCCTCAGATGAGTTTGAGTTTGGCGGTTCGCTCGGTGTGACGTTGTTGATGATTGGATTTCCTCTAGTGATGTGGTATATGTGGATTGGAGCCACATACTACGACGGCATGCTTCCTATGCCCGAGTCCAACCAGACATGGACTGAATTCGGCCGTCACCTGTGCCATTTAGTCTACGAAGGCGCCTATCCATCCGCAAAAGCCTGGGCCATCTTTTGGACATTCTTCATCGTTGAGGCTCTCATGTACTGCTACATGCCTGGAGTTTCAGACTTCGGCCGACCATTACGGCACGAAGGTGGCAAGAGACTTCCCTACTACTGCTCTGCGTACTGCAGCTTCTACGCAACGCTCGCTATTGCTGCTGTCTTGCATGTCACTCGTGTGTTCCCGCTGTACACCCTGATTGATGAGTTTGGTCCTATCATGAGTGTCGCTATCTTGTCGGGCTTCCTCAACAGCTTCATCGTCTATGTCCAAGCTATTGTCCGTGGAAGGACCCACAGACTATCCGGTTCTCCCATCTATGACTTCTTTATGGGGGCTGAACTGAATCCTCGTATTGGCATTTTGGATTTCAAAATGTTCTACGAGGTCCGCATTCCGTGGTTCATTCTGTTCCTCATCACTTGCTCCGTGGCTGCTCGGCAATACGAAAGATATGGCTATGTCTCTGCCGAGGTGATTTTCTTGGCTGGCGCACATTACTTGTACGCCAACGCTTGTGCCAAAGCGGAGCAGATGATCATTACCAGCTGGTGAGTCACTCACTATCATTGAAGGTCAAGTTCGGTGAACCCTAACTTACACAAAACAGGGACATGTACTTTGAAAACCTGGGATTCTTGCTCACGTTCTGGAACTTGGCCGGTGTGCCCTTCACCTATTGCCATTGCGCTCTTTACTTGGCCAACCACCACCCGTCGGAATATCAGTGGAGCCGCCCTGCCCTCGCTGTATTCTCTGTTCTGTATCTCTTCTTTTATTGGATGTGGGACAGCGCCAATGGCCAGAAGAACGCATTCCGTCACCGGGCAAGAGGTCAACTCATTAAGCGGAACACGTTCCCCCAGGTCCCATGGCAGGCTATTGAAAACCCCAAAACCATCAAGACTGATGTTGGCGACGATCTCATGGTTGATGGCTGGTTTGCAATTATCCGCAAGCCGAACTATGTCCCTGACATGTTCTTCTCTATGTCGTGGGGTCTGATCACTGGTTTCAAGTAAGTTTTCTTGTTCTCTGTGCCGAAGCTGCCATAGGCACTGAGCTGATTTTCTCTTACAGGAGCCCCTTCCCTTGGTTCTATTTCGTCTTTTTCATGATCATGATCATCCACCGCACCAACAGAGATACCAACAGATGTCGCAGGAAGTACGGCGAGGCCTGGAAGCGTTATGAGCAAGAGGTTCCCTACTTATTCATCCCAGTGAGTTCGCCATGTCGACCCGGTGTAATGAGCCTTGCTGACAATCCCAGTATGTGATTTGATTGACACAAAAGCTCGATATTGATTGTTTTCTTTTCTGATGGTTAACGGGATCTGGTTCTTGACGCTTCTGTTACAATGCAGAGAGATCTTCGACCGAAGCTTGCTGGGCGTTTTGGATAAGTCGCGCTCATTTTTTTCATCTCTGCATGTATCAACATCCCAGCTTCATCTGCGGTCTTTTGTAATGGCATACCTCATAGATAATAGGGTGATCCGAGATGCATTGGTTTTGATTGCCAGTCATTATTTTAAAGGAACTATGTGCTTTCCACCAAGTGGGATTCAATTTCACTTTGATTACCCATACCTTTGCGCACTTCGAATACCAATGCTGCAGTGCATAATGCATAATGCATAAGACATACGTTAGAGCACAGAACATGCATAGCAACCTCGGTCTTGACTCCACATCCCCGCATGATGCAACGTTCCTCCCGAGGTTTGGCGCAGGTGGACGCCAATCATCCGGGGTTCTGCTCTCTCCACAGTCTGATCTCCCCGCTTTCACCTGCGTCTGCACTTGTACTTCTCTCGCAATTCCCTCACGAATTGCACTCAGTCACATTAACCCTCATTTCTAGTATATCCCAATCACAATGACACTAACCAACCTTGCCGTCGATATCCCCGTGAAGCAAAAGGCTGTGATCTTCGATAAGCCTGGCACGGTCTCGACTCAGGTCGTAGAGATCGATGTGCCCGAACCCGGTGATGGCCAGGTTCTTATTAACCTGTTTGTCTCCTGCCTTCGTACCAATACTAGATCAGAACTTACAGGCTTCCTCACAGAACACACTCGGGCGTGTGCCACTCTGACCTCGGCATAATGACCAACACCGTGAGCACCGAACCCCATCCTGGAACAAACACAAGTCCAAACTAACCCTCGCCAGTGGAGCATGCTCCCATACCCAACCCAGCCCGGCCAAGTAGGCGGCCACGAAGGCGTAGGCAAGATCGTCAAGCTGGGCCCGGGCACCGAATCCTCAAACCTGAAGATCGGCGACCGAGTCGGAGTCAAATGGGTATCCAGCGCATGCGGTCATTGTCGTACGTTGACCGTCCCTTGAAAAGAATACCCCCAATCTCTCCTAACATCCATCCCAACCAGAGCCCTGCCAGGCAGGATCAGACGGCCTCTGCTTCAACGGCAAAGTATCAGGCTATTACACACCAGGCACCTTCCAGCAATACACCCTAGGACCAGCAAACTACGTAACCCCCATCCCCGACGGTCTCGACTCAGCCGAAGCAGCGCCAATGCTGTGCGCCGGCGTGACCGTCTACTCCGCCCTCAAGCGCAGCCACGCACGCCCGGGCCAGTGGGTGATCATCTCCGGCGCAGGCGGCGGACTCGGCCACATCGCCGTGCAACTCGCCAGCAGGGGAATGGGCCTGCGCGTCATCGGAATCGACCACGGGAGCAAGCAAGACCTCGTGGTGGAATCCGGCGCGGAGCATTTCGTCGATATCACGCAGTTCCCGAGGGACGATCAGGGCGAGGCGTTGACCAAGCATGTTCAGTCGTTGACTGGTGGGCTGGGGGCGCATGCTGCCGTGGTGTGTACGGCTGCGAATGCGGCTTATGCGCAGGCTTTACCGTTGTTGCGGTTTAATGGGACGCTGGTATGTGTGGGCATCCCGGAGAATGAGCCTGTGGCTATTGGGACCGCGTTTCCTTCTACGTTCATTAATAAGCATGCGACTATTACTGGGTCTGCGGTGGGGAATCGCACTGAGGCTGTTGAGACTATGGAGTTTGCTGCGAGGGGTGTTATTAAGGCGCATTATCGGATTGAGAAGATGGATGCTTTGACTGAGGTCTTTAAGGAGATGGAGGAGGGCAAGTTGCAGGGTCGGGTTGTTCTTGATCTTTCGGGGTAGGTGATGTGTGTTTATTTGCACTGTATATGTTAATTTCCCCTTGGTCCCGTTTATGAACCTAGTTATGTCTCCTGTATGAATTTATCTTGCCACGTTGTTTATATTGTGGAGGGATGGACTATACACCTCATGTATATATCTCCTGCAACCCGAAACATGCATCTTGAAATTTACTATGTTGATTTTTATCACTCAAAAAGCACCATTGGGTCTCTGCTGAATATGGTTCAACATAAAATATTAAGTTTTACTTGTTACCATACGACAAAAAGACCAAAAGAGGTTGTTCTTGATTCCAGATGAATGGAAGAAAAACAAAAAAGAATTGACCGACGCAGGGGTCGAACCTGCAATCTCTTGATTCGTAGTCAAGCGCCTTGCCATTGGGCCAGCCGGCCTACTTGTTGAAGAAAGCGGGCAGGAATGGCAATATGAACCAAAACAGTCCGACGAGATCTGTGCGCCACCTAATTATATCCAAACCGATGCTCAGTCAGAACTATGTACATGAACAAACCCAAATTAATTTATGTATTCTCAGACCCGCCAATAAAGAATTCATGTTCTGAGCGCAATGACTCAGCATTGTTCAGCTCGAACCCGAAATTCCACAGCTTTTCCACGTCCGAAAGTTCGCCTTTGTTTCGATGCCTCAGCGGGACGTGAGAGTCATGGCTCACACTCTTTGAGCTTCTCCGCCCGGCATGCTGCATGATAATTGGAGTCACCGCCCAGCGGATCTCATTGTTTGCATTGGCAAATTCCTCGGTGATCGTATCCACATACCCGATGTGCTTTGACTGATACAGATCCACGAGATCTGGGACCCTCGAACGTGGAAAGACGAACGCCTGCGAACAGCAGCCAAAGTGTGACATCTGATGCACACCCTGCTGGACGGGGATCATCGATACACGGCCAGCAGCAAAGAATAGTCCGATCAAGAGAGGCGTGCAGACACCGCTGAATAAGAAGATGGATCCGGTTGAGAGTCGGGAGTGGAGGCGAGGCTGACACTGCCGTGTGCCTAAGCATGCGCATGCAACGAGACAAACGGCAAGAATAGAATAAGAGAGGAAGATCGGCCAGTCTTCGGAGTTCCAGCCGAAGAATTCCTCTGTATAGAACAGACGGAGATATAGCCCTGTCTACGGTTAGTCACAATGCCCATGGCTCAGAGCTACCGATGAGCCCAGAGAGTGGACATCAAACGGGCCAAAAACTCACATTTGGAAGCACCTAGGGCCCTGGTCTGCTGTTCAGCCGATACCAAAGCACCGATGGTTCGGTGATACCAGCCATCCATCGCCACAACATCATCCTCGAGAATCATGGTATAGGGAGCATTCACAGCTTCGCATGCTTTCAGCAGATAAGTATAATCAAAAAGAGCCTTCTCACGCCCGAAAGCCTTTGCGGCGTCAGTCTCGAGTGACCGAACATGATCAATATCGACTTCCGTGGGATCATACAGCAGCACCTGATCCGCCAGCCCATGCAGCCAAGGCTCTCCATAAGATGGATGCTCAGAAGGGTCCGTATGCGCAATGAAGAGAATCAGATGAATGTCAGCCCGTTCGGCGTCGCTCAGCCCCTCCAAGACCGTGCCGACGGTGCTCTGGAAATAGCCAACCCCATGTCTGGCGACCGATGCGATTCCCACGCACAGCCCAGGCTCAGATGAAGACTTTGTAATCGCAGTAGTCTCATTGTCGTAGGATTCAATGTACGAGTCTCCTTGGCCAATTCTCACGGTTGAATAAGAGAGGTCGTAGGCCGTCCAAGGGTCGAAGAATGCTGAGCCCGGGTCGCGAAAGCATCGCACACGTGCGTAGAAGACGAGCAGAACATAGAATGCTAGAAATGAGAGGAAGAGCCGTGGTGTGTTGGACGCGGTTCTTGGCTCTATTGGCCCAGGGACTTTCTTGCCATGGTCAGGCATCATATTGCATAGTGCGAGATGGGAAATGGATTTCCCTGAGGGATGATCTCGAGTCCCCAGGGGAAGTCACATTTGGTCTGCCCTTCATTTTCCAAGGTTGTGCTGGATGGAGAATCTGAAATGTTCATAGGGAAGGGGCCATCCCTGCGACTCCCTACGGGCCTTTGGCGTATGCCCTGTCGATCTTCACTCGGGCGGGATCTGATGGAAATTAATTGTGATAGATCAGGATGTTTTGAATGTGAAGTGCATTGTGTATAGCACAGATATTGGAGAGTGTGCATAAAAGGGGCTTAGTGTCATGAAGAGATTCGTTGGATTGCAGTGTTATCGCGTTACATCCTTAAGAGAATGCATAAAGGTTCATTCCTCCACACGTCAGAAAACAGCCCTGGAATCTTGGCGCCAGTGTCGGGCCTAGATCAAGGTCTGTGGTTCCTTGTTCCTTGTTTTGTATAGGGACAGTGGCAAGTACAGGAGATGTTGAACATGCCCGAGTTCCTTCTGACTTTTTTTTTTCTCAATTGTTGATACTATCATAGCCTACAGTTTTTAATGATGTATCTGGGAAGATCATGCAGCCCGTAAGGCCCAAGCAGATCATGCATAGTATTCCAAATATAGATTGTCACATCTGTTCTTTCAAATCTTACCCTAAGAACGCGAAGATCAAGGTAGTTCCATCTTCACAATATGGAAAAGCAATAAACTTAAACAACAGTGAGTCCCGGAGTGATATAACTAACCGGTCACCCCGGTAAATAAGTTATGTTGATGGAACGAGGCTATTGGCAATGGGTTCCAAACTCGGGAGATGTATCTCAGTAGCGCTAGCTACCTACTTATCTTGAGTCGTGAATGACCATCTTTTTTGACTTTTTTCTCGAAATTGTTCCTCTGCCTTTCAATGGTGGTTATGTGTGTGCACAACCTGCTGGCATATCAACCGATTCGCGATAATCCCGAGCTGGTCCTCCCATTATATGAATTATAGCAACGTGTTGAGGCTCCTTATTTCACTTTTAGAGACAACATTTACAAGGTTGTCTATCATAACGATTTGAGATGTTCACTCTCAACCTATTCCAACGAAGCCCAGGAATAAGACAGCCATAAAGTGGGGTTGAGCATTAGAGCTATACAAACCAGAATGAACATCACTATACTTGCCATCCAAAGAAACCTTGACATCTTCTTTAATGAATTAAACAGTAAATACCCAGCAATCGAGTGAAACCCCCTGGATTATAAACATATATTTAAGATTGGACATCAGGTCGTCACATTGATGTTCATATAGTCGACAACGATAAGTCCATTACCTGCTAACAGAATATTCAAGACCCAATTGTCAACTGTACTCAGCCTTCTACTCCAAGAAACAAAACCAAGAATACTAGCCGTCTATCCCAATGTCCAACCCATGACAGCACACAATACAGTAAACATCTCCAGCCCGGCAATCCGGCAATTTGATATAGCCCAACTATAAACTCCTCGCCCATCTCAGCCCAGCCCCACAGACCATTCCCAAGACCAAACCCACCGATCAAACACCACGCCCATCTACAGCAACTTCACCATCCACGTACCATCCAACCGATCAACAACACCCTGAAACCCACCACGCAAGCAAACCCCGACACACAAAACCACCACCTGTAAACTCCCTCGAAGCCACCTCCCTCCCCACCCGCCTCCCCACCCACCAAGCTAACAAGCACTAACACGACTAGCCCCAAGCCAAACAAACGACCACCGCGAAACAAGCAGCCGTGTGCACGGATCACAACGCAGCCCAAACAATCCCATTGACTTTCCCACCGGCCCAAGCTCGGCTGGGATCCGACACCCATAGTGTATCCCAGCCACACTTCAGGCGGCCACGTTTTTGCCCTGTTCTCCGTCCAGTATTCCAAATTCTCGCTCGGGCCGCTAAATCGCATAGCGTCTACCGGGGGCTCCACGCACACGCGGCAAATACTGGACTGTACGGCGGCATTGGACGGACTCCATCCGCGCTGAACGGTAGTGGTATACAGGAGTTGGTTGTGGGACACGTTAGTGAATTAGTGAACTTTCGCGACTCGTGTACAGTATCGGTGATGATGGTACGATACTTTAATTTCAACTTTGAAGCTAATTGCCAACAGGCTTCTGTCCGTTACAGCCAAGCCAGAGTCAAAGATAAAGCCAAAGCCAAAGCCAAAGCCAAAGCCAAAGCCAAAGCCAAAGCCAAAGCTACTGTACTGTATACTGTATGGCTCAAATGCCGAACCCGAGCATCTCCGCGAGATACCCGAGATCCGGGTCCATGAATTTGCATTCAATGGATGGCTGTGCTATCTTGGCGGGTGTGGTCCTTGGGTTTTTCGAATTATTGGTGTGATCTTCAGATCGGGAGTATGGGTTTCAGGGAAGGATTACATTGTTTCTTCTTAAATTTCAAAACAAGGATTGCGCGAATATTGAGGTCCCCCTTGTGTGGGTGATCCACTTTAGAGGGTGCGTTCCATGGCTTGGATGGTCAAATCGGGCTAAAGTACCCTTGAACGGGCAGTGACATGCCCGGCTCGATTTTCCGGACCATGGATGCGGGCTCCCAAGACTGCGGTTTCGGGTATGGGGTGACGACATACCTCATGGCACGATATGATCATGAGATCTGATGTTTCCGGGGTATAGTGAACTTTGTGTGTTATAGTTTGCTATGTACCATTGGAAATGTGGGGGGATAAGTATGTAATAGCTATGTAATAGCGGCGTGTGATGGTGGCTATGGCAAATACCATGATCACGGTGTATCAAACCCAACGGAATGACATTGAACGATATGCAAAACGGACTGCAAGGATGTCGCTGATATGTGAAACGATACAGGGGGTATTGCAATGAATGAACACGATGACCTCCCAGAATATGAAACAAACGTAGAAAGAAAATAGAGTGAAACCGAATCATCGCGTTCGTTTCGAGTAGCCTCCTGAATTGCCATTGCCGGCGGGCCGCTTCTGTCCTCCGCTGGTGGTATCGGGGACGTAGGATTCAGCGATGCGAACTAGCGATTCTAGATGAAGGCGGAAGAGCTTCGGTGCACGTCGCTCAGGACCGATCTTGTTGAGGATGCCGCGCAGTGGCCCGGCGACGGGGTGGAGGTCGGACGGCGGCAATTCATCAAGCGCGCTGAGAACAAAGTGCCGCGCGTCTGGATCCGATTCAAGTTCGTCCGACCCGATGAGCAAATGGAACAGATTGCGCTGGTCCTCATCCTCGCCGTTGAAAGTGTCCCGTCCCATCCGATTTGGCGAAAGAGGATCATAATCGCGACTTGCGACTTGGTCGAGGATCAAAACGAGGGCTTCGACGGCGGTTGCGGAGCTGTGCGGAGCGCGTGCGGACATGTTAGTTAGAATGCGGGATACTAAACGCTGCAGCTGTGAGACAATCTCGTGAGGTTCGTAAAGGCCCAGACTTGGGCTGACAGGCTCTGTGGGCAACTCGCCTGTTTGGCAGTATCGATCAAAGTCGTCGAGTAGCCGTCGCGAGTGGTCCTTCGCCTTGTCGAAGTATATGGCGGCACAGGCCTCAACAGGCATCGCTTTGCACAGACTGTTGAAAACCCCGTCATCGTGGACTCCCAACCGGAACATTGTTGCCTCGAAATCACCCTGTACCACGCAAGCTTCTGACGTCCGTGCTTGCTCAGTCGTCTCCGTCAAGTCCCGGCGGAAATCCTCTGGAAGAGTCTTCTTGCTAAAAGCAGAGAGCAGATCCCGCACTTTTTCAGTTCGCGTCATTCCTCTTCCTGTGCTGTCGCCCTCATCCCGCAAGTACTGCCACTTGAGATGCTTGGCAACAGCCTCCAGGTTACCCTTGAGAAGACTTTCAATGGGCGGCAGGTTGTGTGGACGCCCGTCTGGACCCAATGGAACCTCCGTCGACTCAGGCTCTTTGAGGAAGCTGCCGTGCAGTTGATCGAGGAGCCACTGTTCAGGGGGTAAGAGGCAGTATCAGCAGCAATTCCCGAGTTTCCAAACCTAGTGGGTTCCTAGACTGTCACACTCACAAATATGTGCTGGCACGGCTCCTCTGGGTGATCCTTGAAGACAGAGCAAGTGCAAGTCGTTGCCTCCGAGCCAACGTGCACCTGTGAGCGATCCAACAGCTGGAGATCATGTCCGGTGGGAGTTACCCGACAATTGACCTCGAACTGACTGGTCAAGCCCACCAAGGCCCTGGCTTGAGACTCGGATTCTAGTTCGCTCAGATCGTAGGTAATCCCAGACGGTGCGCGGACGGCCTCGTGAATTGATTCGGATGCGTCTTCAGCACTACTCTCATCCTCCTCTTCCCTGTCCTTCCCTTCTTCGCCGGAGCTCTCCTCCGAGGAAGCTTCGCTGCTCTGGTCACTGTCGTCGGAAGGGTCCGGCGGCCCCGCGCGAGGTCTGACTTGGACCGTATCTGGCATATTGTGACCGATGCACAACTTGTTAAATTGTCGAGTTGGGGCAGACATGACCAGAGGCGAAAAAGGGGGACCCTTCCAAATCGCCAGAACTCAAAGGGAGAAGGCGAACTGATGTGTTTTGTGGACTCTCGTAGACTCACAGAGTTCTTCCGACCCATGGACGGAAGCGGGTACTCTGAACCATGGAACGGGATTCCCTGGCGCCCGCTTTAAATAATTAGTCACGTATGATTTTCATGAACAACGTCGCGATCTGCTTGGAGGCTTTGATGGGGACTTTTTTTTCGTCTTGTCCCAACAGCGCTTAGTGGCAAAAGGCGAAGAGAGAGAGAGAGGGGCTCAATAGGCTGAGGGTTCTAGCAAGGCCGCGCCGTTTTATTCTTGCCCGATATCAACTGATCAGCATCCAGCGCACAGACACTAAAGGGATCTGGTGGGAGGAAAGATCTGGGGTCTTGGTGGTAGGGGCCCCCGGGCACAGATTGTCGGTGGCTCCGAGCATGGCTAAAACGGGACTATGACACAGAGCATTGCTCAAAGACACGGTGCGCAGCATGCATATCACGGCCAAAGAATGCCACTAAAAATTCACCCACCCCAAAGATCGTTAACAGCGGTATGATGATCTGCGAGGCCCCGTATTGACCGGCTTTACAGGGAGCCCACGTAAGGTTTGAATAGCGTATTCTGTAGTAGACGCTGTTGGCATTGATACTAATCTCCACCGTCTAGAGTGACGGGGATCAAACGCCGCAAGCGCAGGAAATAGAAGTGACAGCCAGTCAAACCCAGAGGCTGGAATGCTGCCCCGATCCGAGGAGATGCAGGCGTAGTAGAAGCCCAGCAGAGCGATCGCCGCCCGAGCAACCGAATGCGAATTCGAAACTGTCTGGAAGCTCCAGAACAAAGGCATCTGGACCCGCCATTTGGTCGATGCTCCTTGGCCAAGATTGCACCCTGGTCTGTCCATAGTGGAGAACTCAGAAGCTGTGAGTTTCGGATAGGTCGGGGGATCCGAGGCTCTTTCTAATTTCACTGAACCATTGCCGACCACGCGACAACTGCATCAAAGAAAAAACAACAACAAAGATCTAGGGCTCTCCCTAGACCCCCCAGTCCTTGTCAATACACGTGGTCGAATGTGACGTACGTTGACCGCGATGCCCATTGCCCAGACTGCTTGACCAAGAAAAAAATAATCTGGAGAGCCAGGGATGGCGAGCGCAGCCGACAAGAAAAGCCATAAACGCCGCAATGCCTGGGTAACACTATCGAAGAACCGTTGGTGATGACAAGATCCTACCTTGCATATTGCGCAGCGCAATTGGCAGTGAATCACCGAAGGGTAGCCGAAGCGGCCCCCCAGAAAGACGACATGTCATGTCCTCGCCCCAGAGAATCCTGCGCAGACTGCAGCACCGTGATTCGACCGCAGAGCTTCGGCTAAAGGGGCGATATCATTGTATAGGGCAGGGGCCGGCGGATCCGAGGACTGCGAGCTGGGAGCTGTGCACAGCACGACCCGCTAGATTGGGTATTGGATCTAAAGGTAATCCTCGATCCCTGCAAGTAAGTGCGGTCCAAGCACTCGGCTGCACTCAAATCAAGCTGTTGAACTGCGGCAGATACTTCTGACTACGCAACTGCTGATCGACAGTAACAGGCGTCTAGGTTTCGGGGCTTGGCTATCGTCTGCCAATCGCCATCCGTGGGCGCCTAAAAGTGTGCCTTGCCTTGCTCTGCGCATCAGATCGGGCTCAGGGCGTAGGAGGTCACTTCCTTTTCGGGTTTGGGGGTCTGGATGAGGGATCGGTGATATTGTCTGTGCGCTTTGTTCTTCCTGCACGTTGAACCTCTTGGACTCTGGCCCCCATCGTGCAGCCACAGTGGAAGGATTAGGTCTACGGAAGACAGGGAGGCTTCCATGAGGGATTAAAGGCGAGTCAAGGGTCCGAGAGTGGTGAAGTTGAAGGGCGTCCATAGGATGAATAGGATTAGGAGAATGCAGAATCTTTGTAGCGTGGGGAAAAAGACTCCGAAGTAACCCAGGGCTGGCATGCAAGCTGGGCGTGCGGTTCAGAATGTTTGATCTTTCGAACCATCAAATCACCTGTTAATTTCTAAACAGATCTATTTAAACTATTACTAGGACCCTTTGCACATGCTAGTTGTTGTGGGCGTGGGAAAATAGGGAAAATAGGAAAATAGTCCTTTCACCCTAGTCTTCATTCAACTAGTTCTGCAGAAAGTGGGTATCAACCATGGACGTATCTGTCAGACGAAACACAAAGGATCATAAACTGAAAAAACAACAACAGAAGGGTATACTAAATACTAAAGAAATCGTGGCTTCATGAATGTGCCCACCCGAGTTGTTTTTCATATCTTAGATAGACACAATCTAGAGAAATCAATGGCCTTTGCTGGCATTACGCTTCTTGGCTTCTTCCAACGCTCTGCGAAGTCTTTCTTTGTGCTCTGAGTCTTCATCTGTGTCTTGAACCACCACCTTGGGAGTCAGTGCAGAAGCAGGAACGACAGTGGAAGGGCGCAGACTTGGAGGCACGGGTACGTCCGCAATTGGGGTCGTTGAGGCAGAGTGACGCTCAATTGGAGAGGCCGGAGCCGCTGGAGGAGCATTCTTCAGGTCAAGAAGAAGGCGCTCGATCGTGGACTCAATGCGCACAGGCCCCTTTTGGATGCTCTGCAACTTCGAGTCTAGATCTTTCTGGAGAGTATCATCCTCCTTCTTTTTCTCATCGGCAAGCCGACGGAAGATATCCGGGTCGGAGTTGGCATACCGTGCCTCGGCGACGGAGACCCCGTAATCGGCGTCGTTCAGGGCCATGTCCGCAACCCCAGAGCTGCGAAGAATTGCCTCCGAGTCGGCGCGTAGCGACGCTGCCAAGGCAGCTGCGGACTTGAGAATCTGTTCAATTTCCGAATCAGGTAGACCGGAGGCACGGAGAGCGGCGAGATCTAGCTGGGCTGCTTTCGAAGCAACCTGGTCTAGGAGGCTCTGATTTATACCTAGCCCATGTAGAATCGCATCGTCGAAGGAATCCATGAGTCGGTTGGCTCGGTCGTCCCGGTCCTTGCATGCCTCTAACATGTTCCGTTGCTCCATTTGGTCGAATTCTCCGTCTAGTTTTCGCAGGCTAGCCATATCACCCATGAAAACCAGTGGTCGCCGCTCAGCCTTTTTGCGCCGCCGCTCGCAATCAAGTGCGATTTCAAGGCGCTTCTGGAACCGGATCTCGAGTTTATTGTGAATGTCATTGACCAGGTTCATGGTCGCAGATGCGCTAGATTCCTCTACTGGCGAGCCATTAGCTTTCTGATCACGATCAAGCTGACTGAGAGCAGAGTCGTATAGTTTCCGAAGAGCCGAAATCGCCTCTTTTAGACCCTCGTCCAAAGGATTGAAGACGTGCTTTGTGAAATCTTCGACTTCGTGTCGTTCCTCTTCCAGTTGAGCCCGAGCTTCTGTCTGACGGAAATCTTCTTCCAAGGTGTTGATATCTGCATAACCGATTTCCTTTCCATTGAAGAGATCATCAATATGTTCCTCTGACTCCTCTTGACGACGTATACGCTCTTGATCCAGTTCATTTCGTCGGACTTTTGCAGTTGCTTCCCACCGATCGATTGTGCGCTGGATGAGGGTGAAATCATCAGGGAACTTGTCAAGTCCGTCGCGCGTTGTGATATGCCATGAGCTTTCAGATTGCTTGTCCTTTGGCGTCCTGACCATTGTGCGTAGCTCTTCTAAAAGTACTGTTTGCCGGGCCTTTTGCACAGACTCTGGCAGCGTCTGAGGAGGCGCAGAGCTTCGACCAGATGAATTAGAATACGCAGTGCTTTTATGACGGATCAGGCCGAGGAAAGTTTCGTCGCGATCATTTTGAAATGAAGAAGGGGTGAAGGCTCTCGGATGAGACGTAGAAGTCGGCACATTTGACATGACCCGTCCACTCACGGCAGATGCTTGCCGTAAATCGGAATATGCCTCGTGAGCTGGGCGATCAAACTTGAGGTTGTCTGATCCTCGCTGAGGACCTTCTGTGTACTGGAACGGCGTATAGATAGGCCGTGGAGGATTGCTGTGTAGAGGCTCCAAAGGTTGCTTCTGTACATCGGAAGAAAGAGAAAACGTTGAAAGTCGCTTATCGGCTAGCTCTGAGCCCGAGGAGAGTGCAGGCAGCTTTGACTGGGACTGTGAGCCCCTTCGGGCCTGCTTAGCAACCTTGGGTCGTCCGCCTGCACTATACTCACTGCCGACATCTTCAGCGTCAATGTCATCACATTCCTCTGCCGCCGCTGTCGCTAAGGGAGGTGGAATTTCTTCCGATGAGACGGGTATCAAGCCTGTCTCAAAGGCGGGCCCATCTTCATCAACTCTTGGTAATGGTGATCGCGATACAGAACTAGAAGCCCTACGAGGTTCTGGGGAGCTTTCAGGCTCATCATGCTCGATATTATAGAGAATCTCTCGGAGTTTTGTCTCCTTGGCCATGAATGCTGTGAAGATTTTGTATCTTTCTTCGTCCAAGTCTGCCACTGCTTCCTTGCGTAGCATGGCAACATAGCGCTCCAGAGAAGATTTCGACCATGGGTCCAGATCCTCGAAGGGGTCTGGTTGTTTGGATGCAGCTTCAGTTACAGGTAGTTGAACATGTGGTACAGGAGCCGTTGAGTTTGGCACCACATGCTCAGTAGGCGGTGCAATAGATGACACAACATTCTGTGTCGAATCAGGCTCCTTGGCTGGAATAGTTTGTTCAAATTGAGAGACAACCTGCAGCTGTGATGTCGGGACCTGGAACGCAGGTTGAACTGGTTGAGAGGGAGGTGACAATGGTCGGACCCACGCATCTATCACATTATCAATACTTTCCGAGCGTCCATCACCCGAGACAACAGAGTTGTCGCTATCCACACGAGTCGGTGGAGGGGGTGTTTGCATGCCATGGGTTGTACATGGACTGATGGGAGAATCCGAACTACCAGCTCCCGACCCATGGACTCCAGAGCTGAAACTTGGAACCGTCTCATTTGTATCAGTTCTCGGATGGGTATACTGCGAGTGCTCATTTACTGCGGATATGTTGGGCATGCCGCCCGAGATGCTAGAAGGTGGTGGAGCGACATCGTGAGGCGGAGAAGTTTGTCTTGGTGGAAACCAAGCCGCATCATCGAAATCTCCGGGAGTAGGACCTAGATGCTCCCAGTCTGAGGGTGTGCCCGGGCCCAAGGCCGATGCGCTCGTGGATGGCGCATTTGTGTTGATTACAGACGCAGGCCGGAAAACATAAGACCCAGTCATCGCAGCTGGCCCCGAGCCTTGAGCAAGGAGCGGTGGCCGCTCTGGGCGGCCACTTTGTTGAGCTGGCGCATGCTGAGGGATCTTTGGCGGCGGCGGAGGGACGCCGCTTGGAAGATTAGGAGTGTATGGAGGCGGAGAGGGGTGAGCGGCGGGGGGCTGATATCCGTAGTGAAAACCGGTATTCACTGCGGGAGGCTGCGACTGTGGCTGCGACTGAACATGGGAGTATGGCTGCTCATTTGTGCTGGACGGCCGAGGCTATGCGACTGTCAGTTTTGTCTGACACCATGAACCGTAGAACTCACCGGCAACGGTGGAGCTTGGTTCTGGTTGAACCGCACTCCCCAGCTGGTTTTATCCGCACCCGAACCTGTGGGTGTCACTCCGTGGATCTGGGGATTTGAGATCGGGCCATATGTCGCCGGTGTGTAAGCTGCCGCAGGCGGAGGAGGGGGAGGGGAGGACCCCCCGAAGGACGCGAAACTCGCCATTCAGGCTGCGATGGAGGATCCGGGCGATTCGACTGGCCGTACATGATCGCTCATAGTCAAATAAAGGGGAAGCCAGAAGATATAAAAGCTTCTCGAAGGAATCGGGGGGGCAAGTCAGCACGGTCCCACACTCCACTTGAGACATCAACTTTCCTCTTTTGGACTGCGACAACTGACAAAGCAAGGTCTATACAACCTTGGAAGTCAGGCACTCGAGTCCCATGGCCTTGTCTGTTTTGTTGGTTTTGTTCCTTGGCCTTTGCTAAATTTGGGACTAGACGGAGTACTCCGTACACTCCTATCCCACGGCTAATATCAAAGTGGATTCAATGGAGCTCAAGGCTAACCCGAAGCTCTAAAGACCCCTTTGTTGAGAGCTATCGTGGCTTGGCCCTATCTGCTTTTGGTTCACATATGGACCCTATCTTTATACGAATACTAGAGTAAATTAGTTAGGGACTGGACCCAAAAGTCACCCTTAATTAACGCATCTTAATTCTTTTGGTCTGTAATGTATGCCGGATACTACGTGACCTGGATTAGTTCTCCCGCTATCCGATGCCCCCGTCACACTACACACTACAGTAGGCTGGTGACACTGAGGCGGAACATACTTGCATGTGATCTATGATCTTGCATCTGACGCTGGTGACAGAAACAGACATTGGAATACTATGTGCCCTTCAGCCTGTCAATAAACCGACTAGCGTAGTAGATTCTGCTTCACAGTGTATATGTGCCCAGCAGATATGATTGACACCAGGTCGCTCCAAAGCCAACTCAGCGACATGCAGCTTAACTAGCCTAGAACATTACCGCTCTAAAAAGCAGCGAATTAGACAAAACTCGAGTAAAGAGTAAAGAGTAAAGAGTAAGAAGAAACGCTAGTAAATGTTGGAGCTATAGCTGGATACTCACCAATTCCGAACCTCGTAGATGGAAGTATTCAACGCCTGATAGAAGAAGAAAAACGGACATAACGGAAACCCCAAAACCGACTGCACCGGACTTACAGGACATAAGACGACGCTTGGTAATTGTACCCTGGCCGATGTGATCTCATTTCCCCGCAGGAGCACTCTATAAAGAGCCCTCGATTTCGATCGGAGCATCCAACCTCCCCATTCAATCCACGCAAAATCCAAGGAACTAAAAATGTTTGCCCCAGCTGCAACCCCCAAATCTCACCTTGGCCGCTATCGCCTACTGGCTCCTACAGCTGCAGTCAAGGTGAGCCCTCTATGCCTAGGAGCGATGAATTTCGGCGAAGGATGGTATGTGCAATGCAATAAATCAATTGAAAGAAAAAGAACCCCTCTAAAAATCCAACAGGAAAGCAAGACTCGGCGAATGCGACAAGGAAACCTCCTTCAAGATCCTAGACACATACTACGACAACGGAGGCAACTTCATCGACACGTAAATAGCCACCCTCTTCTAAAAATCCAAAGTCAACCCCAAAGAAGAACGCTAACAACCAACCAATCCAGAGCCAACAACTACCAATCCGAAGACTCAGAGAAATGGCTCGGCGAATGGATGGAAGCCCGCGGCGTACGCGACCAGATCGTCCTAGCAACGAAGTATACAACTGGTTTCCGCAGCCACATCTCATCAGAGATCCAGGCGAACTTCGTTGGCAATAATGCCAAGAGCATGAAGCTGTCTGTCGAGGCTAGTTTGAAGAAGTTGCGGACGGACTATATTGACTTGGTGCGTATAGTCTTTAGTTTGAAAGAAACCAATCCGGCCATGATCAGTACTAACCAACAGCATGAATGTACAGCTCTACGTGCACTGGTGGGACTTCGCCACCTCCATCGAAGAAGTAATGACATCCCTCAACCAACTGGTCGTTTCCGGGAAGGTTTTATATCTCGGTATTAGTGACACGCCAGCGTGGGTTGTCACCAAAGCAAACCAATGTAAGTGACGTGTGGGACAGCCAACGCCCAGCCCGACAGACCAAGCGATGAAGACTAACATAGCGAACCTGATAAGACGCCCGCGACCACGCCCTCCGCCCCTTCTCAGTCTATCAAGGAAAATGGAACGCAGCAACACGCGATTTCGAACGCGACATTATCCCCATGGCCGCGTCGGAAGGAATGGGTTTGGCACCATGGGGATCCCTCGGTGGTGGCGCCTTCAAAACCGAAGCCCAGCGCGAAGAGCTCGCCAAGTCAGGTAATCCTGGTCGACAGGTCCCGCCCAGCGCAAACGATATCGCTGTCTCGAAGGTCCTGGAGGGTATTGCAACGCGGCATGGGACGGCCATCACCAGCGTGGCGCTTGCGTATGTGATGCGCAAGGCTCCGTATGTGGTTCCTATTGTTGGAGGCCGGAAGGTTGAGCACTTGTTGGGCAATATTGAGGCTTTGGGTCTTGCTCTTTCTGATGAGGATGTTGCCGAGATCGAGGGGGCTTATGAGTTTGATATTGGGTTCCCCATGAATTTCTTGTTTAGAGGGGCGGTTAAGGAGGCGCATCCTTCTAACGCTACTTTTGTTAATAGTGTTGTTAAGCTGGATCATCCGGATTTGGTAAGAGCTGTTGGATCCAAGAAGTTGGAAGACTGAGTGAATAGTGATACGTCGAGATCGATTTGAGCAAGTCCAATGGGATTATGCAAGATTCAAGCCTTGGGCTCGGGATGTTAGATCAAAGAGGAAATTTTTTTCAAAACGAATCCATTATATGCATACAGACACGAGGACCAAGTGAGATTTGTAAAGTACAGGGAGGAAGAACAAAGAAAAGCCCAACATTTGATATATAGGCCGTATCTCTAGAGCATATTCAGAGCCGGAGATAAAACATGAGAAGAAATACAACATTCGCTTAAGCAGATGCAGCGGGAGAAGCAGAAACAGGAGCAGTGGCGCGAACCTGACGGCCGAGCTTCTCCAGCTCGCCGATGATACCGCCACCAGACAAGCTCCACTTCTCGCTCACCCATGTGTCGTTGACTGACTCACGGAGAAGACCGCTGCGAGCGAAGTACTCCATGAAGCCACGTGCTTCTTCGCGGGTCAGGCCAGTGAGGGTCTGCAGCTCGACTGAGCTTTGGACCTTGGAGAACATGTCCAAGACACGAGGGTCGGTGACGGTGTAGGCTGCCGGTTGGGGGTACTCGGGAGATGATGGCTTGATACCTGTCTGGCGGGCCTGCAGCTGGTCCAGGGCGATGTTGAAATCCTTGGGGTTAGGGTTGTTGGAGGAGGATGTGGCGTAGAGGAGGATACCACCGTTCTTCAGAGAATCACCCTCCTTTAACAGGGAGAGGAAGTGGTTCACAAAGATGAGGTCGTGGGCGTGGATGGGCTTGTAGTCAACATCGCGGTAAGCGCTGTCGGTCATCCAGTGGGCGAGGCCATCCACGGCAACGAGCATAGGAGGGCGAGACTTGAAGCCCTTCTCAAATCCTGCGGCTGGGGCCGTGGCGGTGAGTTCCTTCCAGAGGGCCTGGAAAACGGCCCAGGACACAGCAGGATCATTGAATCCGAGTTGAGCCAGCTCCTCGAGGGACGACTTTGGTGTCAAGGACTTGAATTCTGGGTGCTGTTGGGAGATTTTGAGGCTGGAGAGGAGCTCAGAGTTGGCAGCGACAATACGGGTCAAGATAGCGGAAGCCGCACCAGGCTGGACGTATTGTGTCGGGTTGGTGCCTTCAATGGCGGCGTAAGCGGTATCACCGGAAACGAGTTCTCGAGCTAAAGTCCTGAGTTAGCAGCTATTCAATTGCACGAGTATTCATGTAGATCGTCCACAGCTTACCATCGGGAACGGTGATAACAGCCCAATCCTTCAAGAAGCCCATGGTCATAGCCTGGAGCAGATGAACGGTCTTTCCGGATCCCTTCGTTCCGGTGATGATTTTCTTCACCACCTGGCCCTTTCCCTCTGCAGAGATCTTCTCAACCAAGCGACCCATTTCAAGGGTATCGCGACGGAGGACAGTTCCAGGGCGACGGAACAACGACCAGCCCTGCTTGGGCTTGAATGCTTGCACGGCTCTCAGTTGGTCGATCACAGAGGCAGGGAGGCCAAGAACACTACCACGGAGACGGGAATCAACCATAGTCTCGGGAGAAAGGTCCTGCATTCCCTCGATCTCAAGAGCATTGGGGTTGCTAAGGACAATACGTTTCCGCAAGGCCTTGCGCTCTCCGACGGCGGGTGGACGTGCCGTAGCAGTGACCTTCTTCTTCTTTCTCCGCAAGCTAGTCGACTGTCTGTGCTTCATAACAGTCAGACTGTTACCCTTCTTCTTGGCCGGCTGAGCATATCGCAACGCAGTCGAGTGGAAGGAGGCGGTCGAAATCCGGGGCGTCGGAGGGAGGAGTGCTTGCGGCGGTTGGCGAAGCCTCGAGAGGCAGTTCCAGCACCACGAGGAGGCCATAATGGTTGTCAGCTACGCACCAGCACAGCTAGTGAGTGGACAACCAGAGCAGGAATTGAGGACGTTGATGGGAATTGAGTGCAGTGAGCAGCGACAGTCCGTGATAATTTGATGCGAAATCCGCTTGTCCCAACAGGGAAAGGCGGTCTACATCCTTAGTCATGGCAGAAAAGTAAAGCGGCTCTGGAACTGATAACCAACTTTTTTTTCTCTGATAATACTGCCTTTCCCATTCACCACCGAAACTTGTCAACCAGTTTCGCAATGACTGACGTTGAGATGGCCGATACCGTTGTGGCTGCGTCCACCAAGGGCGAGAGACTGTATGACCCCCTCACCCTCAAACATGATATCCGACCAAACATCGGACCCGGAAAAAAAACCTCAAACAGCCAAGCTAACCAAATAACAGCCCCATCACTGTCTCCAAGCCCAGTCCCTACACATTCGACCTAGGACACCTCCTAGCCGACGACCCCAACCCCCTCGAACTCCCCACAACCCAAACCCTAAACGCAAGCCTGAAAGCCACAGCCCGCGACGGCACCCAATGCCTCCTCAACCAGCTCCTGACAGCCTGCCCAATCACCACAAACGTGAAGGACGGCGTTCTTCTCAGCCTCCCAGCCCCAAACATCATGCTTCCCCGGCACAAGCCCCTGCCAACACCCAAGCCCCCCACGAAATGGGAGTTGTTCGCACGCAAGAAGGGTATTGGCAAATACAACCAGAAGCCCGGTGCCGCCGGTAGAGACAAGGAGCGCCGCCAGAAGCTACAGTACGATGAGGAGAGTGGCGAGTGGGTCCCGCGCTGGGGATACAAGGGCAAGAACAAGGACAGCGAGAACCAGTGGCTTGTTGAGGTTGACGAGAAGAAATGGAAGAAGGAGGAGGATGCCGCTGCCAAGGGTGGTTCTATCCGTGGCATGTCGCGCACTGAGCGGAAGGAGAGGATTAAGCGTAATGATCGCAAGATGCGGTCTAACGAGTCGAGAGCCAATAAGAAATAAGTGCGTATTGAGCGATATCGATACCTCTTATTCTTGTTTACTTATGTTGCATTGCATTACATCGCTAGCTCTGCTGTATCTGTGGACTATGCTGTGCTTTGCTATTGTTCTACTCTGGATCTGATCTCTGGCGTTGGGGTTGGGAGTCGATGTTTTATTTTCTTCATGTATTGTGGACATACACCGTGATTCATTAAAAGCACTTTAACATTGCATCTGTCGACATTTGCCATTGTCTATTCCCAAGTATCCAGCCCTGTTCCTCTTCTACGTACATGGCCGTGCAGATATATTGTACGTTGAAAAGTTCTTCGATGATTGAACCGAAAAGTGCCTGCCCACTTCCACTATTGTACAAAAGTCCTGTCATGGAAACGCCGAATGCGTACTATAGCAAAAATCAAGATAATGAAATCAACAAAGGAAGAACAAACCAGATCAATCAGACAAGGTACGAAACAAGTAGCAAAGATAGAAAGAGCCAACCGCAGAGGGGAATCTGTAGATGTCGCAACATCAAAGCACAAGCACAAAAGAATTATTGCGCTTCCAAAGAGGTGAAGAGGAAACAAAAAAATGAAGGGAGTCGAAACAAAGAATCACCCAATCAGAGCTAGATCAATCAGAAAAACAAGCTGACAAGACAAAACGCACATATAGCCAAAACCGCCGACCATTCGCCAAGGTCAGAATAGATACCAAGAGAAAACAAGATGTACATATGGAAGAAGAAAATGAAAATGAGAATGTGGGAACCGCGATCCCGATACGCCAGGATATGCATTCCGACGATGCTGGGTTGAGATCAAATCACGATGAGAATGCCAAGCTGTGAGGTCGAAGGTATACGAGAGAGGGAAATGATAGAGAGATGAGAGGTCAATACAGGAGCAGAGCTTGTTCCGTCCTATCTGATCCTGCAGATATGATACAAGTCTGACCAGCCAGAAGGGAAGACCAAGGCCCTAGTTGGGATGTAAAGGCCTGTGGTCCAAGTGTCGTTGAGGGAAGACTTTTAGATTTTGATGGGAGAGAGTGGAGGACCGAGTTCGGGGAGCTGGGATACGCTGCGTGTGTGCGATGTCTGAATGTCCTTTGGTCGAGACTTTCGGCTTCGAGACGTTGGCGGACGAGGTGGCTCATCTCCAGCGCTGCTGGAGGATGAGATGGCCCGCTCATGGCTGATGTTGGAGATGACCTCCGCTTTGGCCTGGGCAGCTTCCTGCTCCTCTGATGCACGCTGTTCCCGCTCGTCCATCAGTTTTTCTTTCTCAAGATACTCCTTTTCGGTCCAGCATCCTTGCCAGCAGTTCTTCCAGTCACAGACCAAGAATTGGAAGCAGAATGCATCGATTTTCATGCAGGGCTGGAAACAGATGCATAGATTGCGGTAGTCCATCTTGTTCTGTTCAACATAAGAGTGGAGAAGGTTGAGATGACAGGTTATAGCGAAAAGAAGGTAGTAGTGGTAGGGTGGGAGTTTGGAAAGTTCGTCTTTCAATAGCTGCGGTGCAGTTGTAGCGCCTTCGCACTTTTGGGCGATCATAGCTTGTGTCGACTTGGGGAGGAGTTCATCTGGCAGTTCACGAAGCCAAGCCTTGAAGAGTGATCCAATAGTATTGATGTCGTAAAGGTCAGGTACTTCGAAAAGGTCAATGTCGAATTCTGTATCGAAACGACGTTGCCAATGCTTCACTTCTCTGCCGCTGCCAGGAACACGGTAAAGTCCCTCTTCTTCGCACCCCTTGAAATTCAGATAATCGATAGAGCGATACGGCAAGGCGGGCATCCAGAATTCAGTCTTGTCCCGGCAGTCCTCAAGCTTCTTGGCAATGCGAGTCTTTCTCGCCTGCTCAATGAGTGGAAGGTTGATGGCTGAGCATATGTATGCATCGTCGGTGATCATTTCGCGCTCGTTGGTGCTACCACTGCGAGTAATCTTGCCAAAGAAACCCTTTCCTGCTTTCCCAATACGATCTGCTGCCCCACTGGAAGTCTGCTTGAGGTTACTGAAGAGAGTCGCCGAGGCGCCAGAGACTTGGCTCAACGAGCCAGAGGCAACCATGTTCCCGTGACTCCTCTCCTTGCGCAAAGAGATCATGTCTGCCTGGCGCTCAGGCGGTTGCAGACCTCCTCGACTGGGTCGTTCAATGCGTGCAGTAGCTGTGCGGGGTGGGTTTGCCGTCTCGTTTTGGTTGAACTCTTCCAGCTTGGCCAATCCCGTTGACGGGCGTCGACCAGGCGCTCTGTTTCCAGCGGACTCGTCAACTCGAATAGAGCGAGAGCGGGTCAAAAGGTTCGCGAAGCGCTGCTTTTGCTTCTTCGGTGCGCCCGACTCCAAATCTGTACCAGGCTTCTTCATCTCTGTTGGTTGTGAACTCTTGGTTGTAGATGGCCCGTCTAGTAGAGCATGGTTGGTCAATGATCTCCGTAAACGCGTGCAGGGGACCTTACTTGTCTTTTCTGTGCCATTCGCACGAGCCAGTGTGCCTGGGAGATCCGGCGTTGACTCGTATGACTTCGCAGTCACCTGCGTCTTGCGATCTCTGGAACTTCCTCTGCTTTTAGGGTGCTCAGTCGAGTTCGAGTTCTCAGAGCTGTCAGACCGTTGCGCCCTGTGTGACGATTTCGGTGCTTTGAGGTTGCCGAAGAAAGATTTCGATGCATCGCGCGAATGTTTCGAGTCTTTGGGAGAGGGGAAATATTGAGGAATGGCCGTCAGACCAGGTGTTGTAGGCTCGGCGGGGGCTGTGCCCGGGGAAACGGACAGCGTAGGGCTGGTTGCCTTGCCTGAATCTTGCGTCACAGGGCGAATCGTGGCACCTTTAAATAACGGTGAACTCGATGCTGACTTGGGCGAACGGGGTGTCACCGGACTCAGTCCATCTGAGCTCTGGTCACCGGGTGTGAGAGGCGAAGAGATCTTCTCATTCTTTCGCTCTGTCTTGAAGGAGCTCAAGTCGAGGTTGGGCACGGTGGAATGTCGGTTTGGCATATCGGGCGATCGCAGGAGCCTGTCCCGAATGGATGCGAAGGTTGATGGGCAAGGTTTTTGGTCAGATCTAGGCCTTGTGAGAACCCAGGTATCACTGGTCAGCGCTGAGAGCCAGTGTGCGGCTGAGAAAGAGCTGTACCTGTATCAATGCGGATGGTCGAGTGATTGCGGTGCGGTGTGAGATTGGGCTTGTCGAGGCGAAAAGGTCACAGTCGTATATGGGGGAGGGTGTTATCGAGGGAGCGGGATCTGAAGCGCCAATTATACAGTCAGAATCACCGGTACATGTGAAAGAGCAGCCAAAAAAAGCAGTGAGACCGCATGTGTGGTGACATGCAGAGTTAAACCAAGCCACGCCTTTGTTGACAGACAAGGCCAGGGACCAGATCGCAAAGACAATGGGGTTTGGCCTCACACAGTCAAGCTGTCACTCACCATATTATGGTTTTTTTGAGGTTGTCAGAGTCGAAGTTGCTTTCCCCCTCTTTTGGGCGCTTCGTTCGGTGATCGGCAGGGCGGAAGGGGGGGCGAGATAGGAGTGTGGACCAAGACGTGTCAAACAAATCCAGAGTGTAACAGCAGACAATAGACGAACAGAGACACACAGCACAGCGACCGAGAACTGAGAATGAAGTTGAAGAGAAGAAAGAAACTCCTGTACACCAGTTTAGCGGTACACTAGTCCGAGCACTGGAGAGCCACAATACGAAAATTAAGAAATCGTGCAGAAATATCAACCTCCCATATCATGTTAAATGGTATCTACTATCTTTTGGTTGGAGATTGGGAGTTTTTAATTAAATCCATTCATACATTCCATAACATTTCGTGTGGACTAATCCGGCTTCATTTCCGTTGCATATCTGATTCCTTTTTCAGGGGGGGGGGAAAGAAAACAGACGTCACATACAGTATCCCAGGGACTGTGGTTGGATCGACCGGAAATCCGCGCAATCTACAGTAGAGCATAGGGCATAACATTACCACACAACGTGAATAGCAATGGAAATTATAGTTCCGGGTTGTTTTACATTTGCAAACTCACATTGGCTCGCGTCACCTCCAGCTCGGACAATGGATCCCTACGGGACTGCACAGGTTAAAGAAAGGTGAACGGAGTCCTTTGTGATCAGAGGCCCTCTCCACTTTAACCACTGGGTCTGGCAGCTGGAGCCACGGGCGGGATGATGTGCGTGCCTTACGTTGCTCTTGCTGTGGCTTCCAATTGGCTGAGGGAGGGAGCTGTCGAGGTTATTTCCGTCTTTTTCTGTCTACCATGGTTGTGGACAGATATCGCGATCAGAACCTATGGATAGGGAAATCATGCAGGATTCAGTAATCAAACAATAGGCAGTCATATTATACAGTCTTTTCTACATCCAATGGTACGGTGGACTAGGACTAACAACGGATCAGGGGCAGTTCCCACGTTCCCACAGAAGCGTTTTGAGACCCTCCACTTTTTTTTTTCTAAATTAATTTAGCCGGGGTTTCGGTGCCTTGTTCTATATCGCTTGACCATGGATGCCTGGTGGAGTTCCCTTTTTTAGAAACAGCCTTCTTCTGTTGCTATTGGGATCACGGTGTGTCAAGATATGGGAACGGTGGCTTGTATGACCTCAATACAAACACATGATAGCTATCGAGGATGCTGATCTCCAATGTCTAAGAAACCACCGGGCTTAATCTATAATTATATTGCGAGTAACACACCTCCGAGGTTCCATCCTATCTGAAACATGGCTGCGAGACGTCAAAACTAGTTTATGTAATTACCGCTAGTCCCAAAGAAGACCCCTGCACGTGAGGGGGTGACTAACCAGCACGACAAGCCACAAATTCCCTGCATCCGTGTGCAAGCCACCGGGCTAACTGTAAACCATCTAGCCTGGATGACCTCACCGCCCTATCGTCTCCAGGCTCGCAGATCTACTAACCCCCTCTCCTCCAATCATCATCTTCCTTGCTAAACTTCAGCCCCCATCAACATGGCTTTGGTATCGGGCCCCGGGAGGGCTGGGGGAGCCCCGCAGACACAGAACTGCATAACATGAAACATGTGACTTACATTAAGAATCTGGACACTGTGCGTGCGTCTTGAAAAGAACATTAACACGGGCGCGTCTGACGGATCATAGAGGAAGGATGAACTAGAATACTGGCTGACCGAGCACCTTCGACTAAATGGTGTGTACTGGGGGTTGACGGCCTTGCATATCTTAGGTCAACCAGATGTCTTGCCTCGGGACCAGACCATCGACTTTGTGCTATCATGTCAGAGTGAAAATGGAGGCTTCGGCGCAGCACCAGGCCATGATGCCCACATGCTCTACACCGTCTCGGCTGTCCAGATCCTCGTCACCATTAATGCTGTGGATGAACTGGAGAAGCGAGGCCGAGGCGGCAAAGAGAAAGTCGGGTCTTGTACGGCTCTCTCCTCTAAACTTGATTAACAGTCCAGGACACTGACCCATTACAGTCATTGCAAATCTGCAGAACACAGATGGCTCCTTCAAGGGAGATCAGTGGGGTGAAACCGATACCCGATTCCTATATGGTGCTCTTAACGCGCTATCACTATTACATCTTTTGGATCTAGTCGATGTTCCCAAGGCTGTTGCTCACATTCAAAGCTGTGAGAACTTGGATGGTGGTTATGGCATCAGCCCCGGCGCCGAGTCTCATGCTGGTCAGGTATTCACTTGCATCGGTGCGCTGGCCATAGCTGGCCGTCTGGATTTGGTGAACAAGGATCGACTTGGAGCTTGGCTTAGTGAAAGACAGATTGAGAGTGGCGGCTTCAATGGTCGACCGGAGAAGCTGGCAGATGCATGCTATAGTTGGTGGGTTGGATCAAGTCTTGCCATGATTGACCGTCTGCACTGGATTGATGGAAAGAAGCTTGCTTCATTTGTATTACAATGTCAGGTAAGTTCACCCTTTCGAAATGATATGCTACAGTGCTGACCTCATCCAGGATCCCGATGCTGGAGGCTTCGCAGATCGACCAGGCAACATGGTTGATGTTTATCATACACACTTTAGCCTTGCAGGGCTAAGTCTGTTGAAGTTTGAAGGTCTGGCAGAGATCGACCCTGTGTAGTAAGTTCGCCTTGCAGTTGATATGAATTGATGTTGACCTCGTCCAGTTGTATGCCCAAATCCATCACCAAAGGTCTGACACCAAATGTCTGAGATGAAACACATGTTTGCAAGTACAAATGCCTGAGATGAAATGATTTGAATCTTATCTACTTCCCTCCCGCAATCTAATAACCTGTGAATGTTCTCTTCCCGTGGACCATGGGATACAATGCGGGAGGAGATCAACTCCACTTTGACTTATTCCGCTTCATATCCCCCCACAATGGCCTAAGGCTGCTAAGACATCGTGGTACATATAAACTAGGATAGGGAATTAAATCGCCATTGATAGACATTATCATTCGTCCAAATCGATCTTGAATAATGTTGATTGTGAACCGGTGATTTCTGTGGACCCTAAACTCTCGTGACCGGCACCTTCCAAAACGCAGATGCTCAAGAAGAGCAGGCACGACCAGTCCACAGTCACGTTTCCTTTGTTTACCTCTTCCATCGTTCCTTCGTCATTCGTACTATTCACTGCACATTCTTGGTGTTACTATCCCTTCCTGTTGCGTCTGATCTTTGTGCCCTTGGAGCAATGGATACTTCCCTCCAATGCATCATCTGCCCTGGGCAGCCTCGATTCTGTGATAGCTCCCATTTGTTGACCCACGTGGGCTCCAAGGCCCATTTGTCCCATTCATTCAATCTCACAGTCCGCAGCCACGATGAGACCGAAGCCTCTGAACTTCTCGAGGAGTATGAACTCTGGTCCAAAGAAAATGACATTCCCCGGCAGTTGGCTGAACGCATGTCCAACAAACAAGCCCGCAACAAGAAGAGAAATTCGGACGACAACATCAACGAACCTCCAAAGAAACGTGCCAGTGACGCCTCCGTTTCAACACTTCCAGCTAATTCAATTTCTGAGTGCATTGATCCTCGCCTGACTGATCCATTCTTTGTCGAGCCTGAAGACACAAAGCATGCTGTATTTACACCAATCAATACCCCAAAGGGATCGAATACCATTGCCATGAGTGCACAATCTTCCACTGGACCTTTCCTTCGCTCCGGTCGCTCTTCGAACGATTGGCAATCCATGAGCACATCACTCCTAGAGAACAGCGACTACCCTGCCCTGCCCATGACACCAACTCAGCCCCGAAACCGACGAAAGCCTGAAGTTGCTTGGACCTCCATTGGAGACACTTCTGAGCATCTTGTGGAATCTCTTCCTCACACATCTGGTGGCGTTGTGGACAAGGCTCGTGCTGACGAAATCGCAAGGCTGAAGGGCGTTCTCTGGCCTGGCATGGATATTTTTGACTCTGCTACTCTCAAGATGAAGCTCAAGCGCAACCAGAAGAAGGACGGTTCCTCGCTCATGCGAATGGAATTGAGTTCACGGAATGTGGCACCAGTTGAAATGGTATTTTCACCATCTGGTGCCCTTCGAAAGCTCCGTGAGATTACGGGCAATGTTGAGTTGCACAGCCCAATGAAAGGAGAGAGTCCGATTCCGCGTCGTCACATCAAATACCCCAGAAATCCCGCACCCAGAAATCCCACATTGGAACGAGCTGACCCCAACGTGCCCCGTGCCATGGACAGGAAACGCGCGAAAATAACTGCACAAAAAGTTGTCAAGAATGCTTATGAACCCTCTAAGAAATCACGCAAACCCCCTCGTCGATCTCAACGCCCCGTAAACCGCGTTTCATCCTGCACCGGTGAGGATGGTGAAATGAGCCTTGCTGCCCACGCATTTGGAAAGAGATCACAGGGTGGCTTTAGCATTTTCACAGATGAAGATGATCATAAATACTCCACCAAGGACGAAGAGCAACACTATGCTACATATCTTGATACACTGACTCCCAAGCGTCTTGTTTTGGACGGAAAGTCAAACGCCTTTGGCATGCATGGCTCGAAGATTGGGATGGAGACAACTACACTTGACAAAGAGAATATTGAGCCTATTTTGAACCCCCATGGCCGCATTGGTCCTCGCGACTGGCACTCCCCATTTTCCAAGCCCACAACCATCAACAAAGGTGACATCTCCCCCGGATTTTTCTTTGATGAGTCAGTGCTTGACACATACTATGACTTCAACAAGAACGGATACAATGCAAACCCCCTGCTCGCCCCTGCTCAAGGCCCCAGCAATGATTCATATGACCAGAGCCACATTAACCAGACCAACTGGCAATCAATGGGCCACCCTGTCTCATCCGAGGAGACCATCTCCGAGGGAGATCAAAACGACTTCTCTCTCATCTATCTCCCCAACAACACTGACTAGATCAAGGACCTCAAACATGTCATGTTATGCGTACTTTTGAATGATTATGAAGAAGAAAAGGAACGAAAATTGATAATGCCTGACTCAATGGCTGTGGTAACTTTACCATTCCCGCATGACCTGGGAACTATACATTTCTTCACACCCACACTTTGTTATGGTTTCTTCGTGGGTGTCAGTTTGTATTTTTTTCTCATCGGAGAAGGCTGTGTATTACCCTGTACACTAGCATGCTTAACGTTTGTATGAATATGAGCACTGTGTTGATTCTAATTTCGCTTACTTGGCGTAGATTTTCTAACAGTCATTAGTCATTTCCCAACATGGTATGTTAACATTCAGAAGACTTGGATATTATCAAACCCTACAGACACGCGGTGTCGCAAAGATTTGGTCTATGTTCAGTGTATACTAGACCATCCCGTCCCGCACCCCATCTAGGTGGATTATATATCTGGACCTGACATTTCCAAGCCATCGAACACAACAAGGAAAGTGCTCATTATCTCGTCAGTATTATATCTGCTCTGCACCTCTGACATACTCCCTGGTCAGCCTTTGACTAATTATTTCCCTCGGAGTCAATGAAGCAAAAGTGCATCTTGGCCAACATCGACATACTGTAGTTATTACATCATTCTGATATGACACCCCCCAGAACCAGGGATACAAGCTCTTTTCTTACAACAAAACCGGAATAAACTCTTCCAAAACGATGTTCACAATTGGCTAATGAGAAATCCAAGTTCCGAAATAGACTGACTCCCTGTCATAGAAAGATCCACGTCGATGGAAGGCAACCAGTCACCGACTCATCGCCTGCGCAATGAATAAACCTACGTCCAGAACAAGAAAGTTCTTATCAGAACAGGTTTTAGGTTCCGCCAAAATTCATACTTGCTGAGTGTCGTAAAGGTCTTGCTATCCCATATATAAGCCCACGTCAATTACATTCATGTCACCAAAATATATCCCAACTCGACAACGTCTTCCCGCTCTTTGTTTGAAGATCCCGCAGAGATCAATACTGCAATCAATTTATACGCAAAGTATCTATCCCTGTATATTCACACGAAAATTCGTGACTTCACCTACACGAAAGTCCTCAGTTGCAAAGCAGACCAAAATGGAAGCCCAACAAAACAACCAAAGCTTCAAGCTCGAAAACCTATTTAATGTCAAAAACAAAGGTAAATCTCACTCCGACAGTTCAAAATAAAACCAAGCATGATCTAATAAGAATCACAAAAGTGGCCCTGATAACCGGCGGCGGCTCAGGCATAGGCCTAATGGCAACGCAAGCGCTTGCCGTAAACGGCGCCAAAGTCTACATAACAGGCCGCACCCAAGAAAAGCTCGACCGTGTAGTAGAGCTATACAGCAAAAATATCACGGGCTCAATCATCCCTCTCACAGCCGACATAACGAGAAAGGACGAGATCGACAACCTAAGCAAGGAAATCTCGTCCCGCGAAGGCCACCTCTCAATCTTAATCAACAACGCTGGCATCGCCAACGAATCCCAAGAAACAGAACACGAAGACGCAGGCAGACTTCGGGAATCGCTGTTTGAAGATTCGAACGCGACCTTTGCGCAGTGGGATGATGTTTTCCGGACGAATGTCTCGCAGCTCTTCTTCATGACATCTGCGTTCCTCCCTCTTCTTCAGAAAGGCTCTGAGATGGATCATGGGTGGTCCAGTACGGTGATCAATACGACGTCCATTTCGGGACTTGTGAAGGTGTCGCAGCATCATTTTGCGTACAATGCGTCCAAGGCGGCGGCTATTCATTTGACTAAGATGCTTGCGCATGAGGTTCAGAGTTCGAATCTGAAGATCCGTGTTAATCATATCGCGCCTGGTGTTTTCCCTAGTGAGATGACTGCTGGGGCTAGTGATGAGAAACAGAAGAATTTCATTCCGGCTGAAAAGTACCAGGAGAAGGTTCCTGCTGCTCGCCCTGGAAAGGATGAGGATATGGCTAGTGCGATGCTCTTTGCTGTTACGAATCAGTACTTGAATGGGCAGAGTGTCGTTGTCGACGGGGGCTATGTCCTTCGTGCTGGGTCTTTATAAAATATTGATGTTTTATTTTAAATGAAATTGATTTCTTGTGCTGTTTAGAAGTTTGCTTTCGCTGTGTGTAGTTCATTCTTCCAGCTTTCAGTTGTAACGCTCAATGATACACATAACGAAAACCTCACAGCTTGGACTTGGCAGCCAAGGCTTCGCTGACTGGGGCGACTTCCACCATCATCTTGCCAGTGTTGACACCAGCGTAAAGATCAATCAGGGCCTTGGGCGCCGCTTCAAGACCTCCAGGAACGATGTGCTCCTTGCGCTTGAGCTTACCCTGTGACAACCAGGAGGCCAGCTCCTTCAGGGCAGTAGGATACTTCTTCGCATAGTCAAAGACAATAAAGCCCTTGATAGTGATACGTTGCGACTGCCAACAATTAGCCAAAGTCCCATCAAACCCCGAGAAAACCAAGAATAAAGCAAGGAACTCACAATGACAGTCATGAAACTAGCCGGACCCTGCGGCTTAGCAGAGTTATACTGACTGATAGCTCCACAAATAACAAAGCGCGAATCCCGCGCAGCTCTCGCAAGACAAGCATCAAGAATCTCACCACCAGTGTTGTCAAAGAAGACATCAATATACTCCGGCGTAGCCTCCTTTAGCTGCTTCTTCCAATCGGCGTCCTTATAATTGACCGCAGCATCAAAGCCCAGTTCCTTCACCAAAAACTCACACTTCTCCTTACTCCCCGCCAACCCAACAACCCTCTTGGCACCCTTGATGCGTGCAATCTGACCAGCAACCATGCCAGTCGCACCCGCAGCTCCAGACACAACAACCGTATCCCCAGCCTTGGGCTGTCCAACCTCCAGCATACCAAAGTACGCCGTCAGGCCCGTCATACCGAGGACGGACATGGCATCCGTGGGACGGCCACCGGCCGGAACGGTGACTTTCTCGGCTTCTTTGGCGCCTACCAGCGCGTATTCTTGCCAGCCTGAATAGGCAACTACCCAGTCGCCGGCTTTGTATTGGCTGCTCAGGTCGCTGCCGACAGAAACGACTTGGGCGATGCTCTGGCCGCGCATCACGGCGCCTTGCTCGACTGGTGCGATGTAGGAGCGTTTGGCTGTTAGCCATTGGCGCATGGCTGGATCGAGGGAGAGGTAGTGCACGCGCACGAGGATCTTGTCTGTGGGCACATTCTGGGGTTTGGGTGTTGTGTTCACTCGGAAGGTTCCTGTTGTCAGGGAAGGATCGATGGCCGGGGCTGGCGGGGTGGTATAGATGATTTGTTTGTAGGACATGTTTGGGATTTAGATGGATTGATGGAGATAGAGAGAGAAAGAGGTGTGTTTGCACAGATTTCTTGAGAGAAAATGGGGAGGGAGGGCGTTGCAGAAAAGGGAGTCTGGGGTATCGGAGAGGCTCCCAGATTAGGAAAACTGCTCCTGGACCTCGGCTCGGATATGATTATTGATGTTTTTTATGCAGGGTTCATGTTGAAGGATGCATTGGGGTATAATTGATGCAGTACAACCCCAGAACCCTAGACTTACAGAATTGCAACTCTATAGATATCATATAGATCATATACTCGGTAGATCTGGAGATCGACTCTTCGCTCATCCTGACGTCATTGACAAGTATAAATCAAGTCCAACGCCCACGGGCGTCTTCGTTTCCCTGTAAAACGTCTACACTGTATATACACTTTGTACATTACTCTTCTATATCCATCAATATGAATAACGAAACCTATGAACCAAACCAGCGAACCCACACCAATGTCGCGGGCGGTTCTTCAACAGGCTCTGCCGGCATTCCGACAGGCTTGAACGACTCCAGATCAACCTACGACCCTTCAACAAAGGGCTATAACCCTGCGACGGGAGGAAGCTATGAGAAGCCGCCAGTACCCCCACGTACAAACCATGCGACAGAGCATACAGGGACATACGACCAACCCGCCACTACTACGACTGATAAGAGCGGTATGGCGGGGTCCAAGGCCGGCGATAACCTCGGTCGCGGAGTTATGGGAGCTGCAGCTTCTGTTCATGTAAGTTGACCGTTTTCAAACTAGCTACGCAATTGTTGATCTAACTGTGTTTGCGTAGGGTGCCGGAGAATCCCTGCGCGGAGCCCTCAATACCGCCGTCGATCGGGCCTTTGGGTCCAATGAGGGGGCGGAGCGGAATGCTGAAATCGCCCGCAAAGGCGAGGAGGAGATCCGGTCGGGACAGTTTAAGGGGCGGAGTTAGTCAGACTGCTGACAGACTGCTGAGCTAGTATAGACCTAGACCTGTATGATGCGTTGTCCCATCACGTTGAATGTTGAAATGTCCTTAAAATCTGATGTCAGATGCCATCATGGCGCCGATCTAGTAGGAATTAGAGTCTCGGTTGTGTAGACTCAAGGTCAATGTGCTGAGAACAGGATTAAAACAGTGGACCAGCACTGGAACAGGATTTCAGAAGCATTGTACATACTGTCCTCCGTAGGATCGCCGTTGACAATGCCCCGTCGGGGGTTGGGAAATTAGGGCATCGATCTCCCGACTCAACCATGGGGTTGCGTAGATCACGGAGAAGAACACAGCAAAGATGCATCAACACGAGGCTAAGCATTTGCCCAGATATCTTTATCTCCAACCTCCGAGGCACAAAACACCGGACTTTGCCTTCCGGGCGACCCGAGAAGGCTGTGCTGGTGGAACCCACTGTTTCCGGCCAAATTTATAAGAAAAGAAAACTTACGACCTTCACCTACGCAGTTGAGTACTGAATTCTGAACACTGCATATTGCATACTGCATACTATACTGGAATCTGCATCAGCGCCCAAGATCAAGCCCTGAAGCTTTGCGTGTTGATACCCGGACGATTACATCACAGTCGCACACACGTAAATGTACGACCTCATGCCCTGAGAGCTTAATCTTCCACATGTCTTCTTCAATCGGCAATTCGCCAGAGGCACTGGCGCCGCCGCCAAAACACCAGGCCTTATATTCGTCCGAATCGTCCCCGAACATCGCCGACTCAGATTCCCCCTCACGCTACTCGTCCTTCTCGAGCTCCGACAGCGATGACCCAGCCCAGCTGTCCGTCGCAGACGCCGACGAAGATGCGGCTGGAGATGTGGTTGGAGTCAGCATTGGCCGCCAGCAAAGCCGCATGAAAGCTCGCGCAACGCCGCTCGAAGAGAAGAACCGCGTGCTAGAACAACATGGGGAATATTTCGTGACGATCCCGGACACAGTCGGCGAAGACGGTCTCTTCGCATCACAAATTACCGCCGAGCCGGAGTCCGTAGAACCCGAGATCAAACCCGAAGTCCAGCGAAAAGAACGCTTGAGTCCGCCTCTTCAGCCACAGCGCCGTGTCCCACATGGTCCCCGCAGTGATCTTTTTGCTCCCGGCGCGGGCAAACCCCCGGCTACGGAGTCAAAGGATACAACTGTGAGCCACAGATCTAGTTTTGTGGGCAATTTGTTGAAAACGACATTGCCTCGTCGGCCGCGCGCTTGGTCTGGGGAGCTGAAGAAGTTCTTGCCGGACTTGGCGTCGCTGAGGAAACGGCCGTCGCTCTCGTTCCGCGGCCCGAATGGGCAGAATCGGTCACGCAGTCAGACTGTCGCGCCTGCAATCAAGAAGAATTTGGAGCAGAAGAGAACATCTTCGCTAGATCGGCGCTCTCCGCCGTCCCCGCGGGGGTCGAGAGGATCGAATGGATTTGGCCATGACGAGGATTCAGAGGCAAATCAGGCCCTTTCGGAGCTGCGATCGCCTGATAGGACCTCGGCGGCGAAGCACTCTTTTGCGAGACGGCCCAGCACTGCTATGCCAGGCCGGCCGCCGAGTTTGCGGAGGTCATCCTCCGACCAGTCGCTATACCTGCGTGCCTCGTCCACGGCATCGTCCTTGGAACAGAGACCCCTATACGAGAATGTGCACTCCCAGGTGAACAGCAGGTTCAAGGCCATCAAGGATAGTCTCCAAGATTCGAGTAGCAGGCTTCTCAGCATCCCTAACCTCCACGATATTCGCACGGATTGGGGTTCTCGTCAATTTCTTCCAGAGCTTGGTAATAGCTCACATTCCACTTTCAATGGCTGTGACAATAAAGAAACGTCCCAACGGACTGCGAGCCCGCCACCTCCTCCGCGGAACAATACCAATTCAACACACCCCATTTTGGAGGAAGCTATGGCTGAGCTCACGGGTGATGTTGTCATCCTGGGAGGATACCGAGGTTCAATCCTGCGCTCAGCAAAACCGCCTCAACGACAACTCTGGGTTCCGATGAAGGTTGGCCTAAATTTGCGAAAGGTGGATTTAGAAGTTGGTTTGGAGCCAGAGGATGAAGAGCGCATGGAAGAGACAATCATCCCATCGGGTGTTCTCTCCCATGTTGGTCCCGTGGACGTCTGCCGACGATTGATGAAGCGACTGCGCAAGAGCGACAATGCCCAGCGTGGAGATCTTCGGGTTCACGATTACGGCTATGACTGGCGATTGAGCCCTGAGCTTCTTTCCCGCAGACTCATCGCCTTCCTGGAGAGTTTACCCTGCAACCAGCCCCAAGAAGGTTCAGAGACCCCCCGTGGAGCGACAGTCATCGCCCACAGTCTGGGAGGTCTCATAACCCGACACGCAGTCAACGAACGACCAGACCTCTTCGCAGGTGTCGTCTACGCAGGCGTGCCACAGCACTGCGTGAACATCCTCGGACCCCTCCGCAACGGTGACGACGTTCTCCTCAGCTCGCGCGTCCTGACAGCCCAAGTGAACTTCACCTTCCGCACCAGCTTTGCCCTCCTCCCAGAAGACGGCCACTGCTTCATCGACAAGCAAAGCAAAGAAGAATTCCGCATCGACTTCTTCAATGCCAACACCTGGGAGGAACACCGCCTCTCGCCATGCATGGGCCCAGCCCTCCCAGTAAACGGTAGCCTTACAAACCGCGGCCTCAAAGACCTGCCTCTAATCGGCAAGCGCTTCTCCATGCCCCCGCGCGATGATTCCGACGAATCCCTCGCCCAGGAATCCAGCAACCTCTCAGACACCCAACAAACCCCCGTCTCATCATCAGAAAAAGACACAACAGCCCGCAATTCTCCTCACCCATCCGCCTACCACGCGCCCATCCACTCAAACACAACCCCCACCCCATCCTCGGTGGCAGCCTACGCATCGGAAAAGGCCCACGGCGCAGCACACAACGCCCACGGTGTCTCGCACTCCCCAGCAGACGGACTAGTCGGCCCAGTGCAGCACCCCCGCGGCAGCTCAGCAACAACAAAAGCAGCAACAACAAGCACAATCCCCCGAGCTGCAGCAACGGAATATCTCCAACGCACGCTGTTTGAAACAAAGCGCTTTAAATCAAACCTCGATTTCCGCCCTGCCCATCACTCGGAGAACAAGTACCCACCTGCTGCAGTTATATACGGTAAATCCGTACCGACGGTGTACGGTGCGCGGGTCGTCTCCCGCGAGAGTATCAAGCAGGTTGATGCGTATGATGATCTTGCCTTTGCGGCGGGTGATGGTGTTTGTCTTGCTTCGGCTGCTATGCTCCCGCCTGGCTATCGGATTATCAAGGATGGGTTGGTTAAGAGCGATCGTGGGCATGTTGGGCTGCTTGGAGATCTTGAAGGTGTTGGGCAGTGTCTCAGGGCTCTGATCCGGGGACGGAGGGAGGGAGTTGGGCTTGGTGAGAAGGAGTTGTGATTTTGGACTGGATTTTGCTTCCATTTGTTGATTTGTTGATTTACGCTTGATGATACCAATGCCTTGCGCTTATGATTTCTAGATTGATGTGGATGGGGTGGAAATTCGAACCGGGGTGAAGTATATACGATTGTTTAGTCCTTGTACATGGACAAGAGAAATATATTCCCCATGTAAATAGAAATACAAGTTGAATATGACATTCAAAAATTAAGACGAAAAGATCTTTTTGGTCACCCAATGCCCTTTTATGTATGTATCTGCGTTCGAAACAGTCCAAATGCTTTTTTCCATCTTCGGTCCAAATGTCATCGGAGCAGAAGAGTAACTCCCACAGAAGAAAAAGAAAAGAGAAGAACAAGATCCCCGATTCATCGAAAATATAAATGTACGAAGAAGACAAAAACCAATCGTGAGAGAAATGCTATAAAGTACCAACAAAAAAACAAGTCATCAAAAGTCTTTAATCCGTGCGCGAGTTGGCAATGTTCATGACCAAGATGTCAGTCGCGCCGACCTTGATTAGCTCATCCATTACCGTAGCAATCTTCTTCTTCTCGACCATCGAGCTGACAGCAACCCAGTTCTCCTCCTCCAGAGCGGTGATAGTGGGTGCGCGCTTGCCGGGGGTGATCTTGGAGGCAGTGGCGAGCTGAGCACGGGGAATGTTGTACTGGCAGAGAACGAACTTCTGGGCGGTGATGACACCGCGAATACGGGAAGTAAGAAGGTTGAGCATGTCGCTGTTAGACTCGCGGGCCTTGACAAGCACGGCGGTACTGGAGACGACGGTGTCAATGGCCTTGAGACCGGCGGCCTTCATGGTCTCACCGGATTCTGGTAAACGTATCAGCATATTTCCTAGAGAACCAACGCCGAAGAGGAAGAATACATACCAACAAGATCGACAATACCATCCGCAACACCAAGAGCGCAAGCAGCCTCGACACTGCCGCCAACATACTTGATCTTAGTGCTGAGCTTCTCGCCCGCACCAACGCCCTCAAGCTGGCGGAAGAACTGCTCAGTGAGCGCAGTGAAACTGGTCACGACGTTACGGCCGACAAGCTCCTTGGCCTCGGTCATTTCTCCCTTCTCGGGGACTTGGACCTGCAGCTTGCAGCCACCGAAGCCGAGATCGAGGATCTCCTCCACGCCAGAGACCTCACCGGCGGGAAGGGTGGCATCGTGCTCAGCGACTTGGTCACGGCCAGTGATACCAAGGTCAACGCGGCCCTCGCCGACGAATGTCGGGATATCGGCGGCGGGAAGGAAGATCAGCGCAATGGGCAGGTTCTTGACCAGCGCGATGTCGAGACGGGTTTCACGGCGGAATTGGACATCGGAACCGGCCAGGAGGTCTAGAGTTGCTTGTTGCAGACGTCCTTCTGTAAGTGGGAGGTTTCGTCAGCATGCTGTTCTTGTTCTTGGATCTTTTTTTCCTTTGTGCTTTGTTTCTGCTTGCTGGGAGTGTCGCATAGACTCTATGAGTCACTATCAAGACTTGGGGAGACTTGCTCTTGGGGACGGCGAACAGGAGACGGCCTTCGAGGCTGATCGGGGCCATTCAGTCAGCATATTGCGCGATGCCGATTTTCACTTGGAATTGACTCACTGGTTAACGAGATCCATTGCGATTGAGTTGTTGCACGGAGATTCTGCCTTGAGGAATTGAGAGGAAGTATGAATTTATATATGTTGAAATGTGAAAAGAACGTTGAAGAGGGTCAATTGCTCAGGTGAATGAGATAAGAGTCAGAGGCACACCGGAGCTCAGAAATTGGAGGGGCAGATCCGAACTAACGGCGGGACCGGCGATTGTACGGGAAGACAGGGAAGAGAGGACTGGCCCACGTGATTCTCACAGCCAATTGCTTCATTTTCTATACTTTATTTATTTGGGAGGCTCAATCCAATTCCAAGGTTAGCGCACCCAGTCAGAATGCGCCTGTATACGTAAAAGAAATAAGGTCTGCCTGAAGTGGGATGATCGGCCTGAGGCGTATATTAATGCCATATCCCTCAGGTGTCAAAATGTCAGGTGTCCAGATCGCTGACTCATCTTCTGCCTGACGGCTCAGGTGTCCAGCCCTGAGCCCTCGCGTAATTTGCACGAACCCACACAAGGCAAATTCATCTTCAACATTCCCTTACACCCGTCCAACCAACTCCAACCCTCGAGCTCAACGCCCACTCCCTACAAGATGGATTCCAGCAAGCAGCCCGTTAAGCTCGTCAAGGTGACCCGTGTCCTCGGCCGCACCGGTATGTGCCATTCCTGAGTTTTCGAAGCTCAAAATCCACATTTCGATATCCGCGGGGTTCTGCCCATGCGCCCCCCGAATCGCCCGTCAAAAAAACATCAAAGCCAGAATTTTGGGAGGACAACAATGGCTAATTGGATTTCTTATAGGATCCCGTGGTGGTGTCACCCAGGTCCGCGTCGAGTTCATGGACGACACCTCCCGTTCCATCATCCGTAACGTCAAGGGCCCAGGTATGCGATATTGATTCCTTCCGATCGTTTCGATTATGCACACAGAAAGAGGAGGAATGAACATGGTCCTCAAGCACAATTGAAGTGACCCAATGTTGGAACATGAAATTTCGGGGATCGACACACAAAATTATACGAACCACAAACTGACCTCTCAACCAGTCCGCGTTGACGACATCCTGTGCCTCCTCGAGTCCGAGCGCGAGGCCCGCCGTCTCCGTTAAAAACCGCCAAAACGAAATTTCGCTCGCGTCTATTTTGCCTCTTTTCTTCTCTCGCATATCCCTCACGACCGGGTTTTCATGATCACTCTTCGGCCAAAAACGTGTCCTCCGCTTTCCTTCTTTGCCGTACCTTCAACCTCCCCAACTTCCCAGCCCTAAACTGCCGCGCTGCTCATCTTCTCGCCTAACGACCGTCGCTTTTTTCCCGATGTATCGAATGGATGTGAATGTATGGGTGGATTGACTTTTTGGTGTTAAATTTTTTCTCCAAAAGTCCCGGAAGGTCGATTATGGAGATCCGAACGCGAGAGAGAGGAGGAGAGAGTCACAAAATTCAAGATTTAGAAAGCCTTTTTTCCCAAATATTATTGATATGAGAAACGAAATCAGGTTCTTTCCGCGAGGGCTGGTTTGTGGACTTTGTGGTAACTGTCTTGTCTGGTTTCGATCTGGTGTTTTACTACATTCACACGTCCTTTTGACGTGTTTGCATGGGCTCAATGCGACAAACGAGGTTGTGATGTTGTTTCCCCTTTTCCCTTTGTGCTGGCTTTGCTGGTGCTGTAAAAGATATGCCATTTTTGAACTGGACCTGATCGACAAAAAGAACAATGGAATCCCCCAAGCAAAACATTCAAAAAATGCCGGTTCCGTCTGTGTCGAGAGGGCGTTTGTAGTGCCCGGTTAGCGTCAATTGTAACTTAGTAGTCTTCGACCATGATTGATTGATTGATTGATACATGGCGAAGTATGCCTTGTCACTGCTCAAGTACCTTATGTGTATAACGTTACACCAAGTCTACACCATGTCCTACAAGTATTGATATCAATTAAGTTAACGTTATTTGATATGAATTCGATCTGTGGTAAATCAGGAACCCATGCATATATGTAAACCTGTACAAAACCGAGAATGCCTAGTACGCCTGTTCATGCCACATAGGTAAGTAAACCTACAACTGCTCAGCACTAGCCACAAGCCTTTCAAGCAGCCGATCACCAGCAGAATCCCCATCCCCGTCCTTGCCATCAAGAACACGCCCAACAGCACTAACAAGCCCAGCCAACCGTTTCCGACGAATAGACTCCTCAAGCTGAGCGCTCTTCTGGCGAGCAACATCAATAACCGCCGAGGGCAAGTTAGCCAACCGAGCCACATTCAATCCGTAACTGCGATGCGCAACGCCTTCGGTGACTTCATACAGGAATGTAATCTGCTCGTCGCCCTCCTTCTCGCCCGTCTCTGTGAACTTCATGTGCACATTACGGAGGGCATTATCTGGGAAGGATTGCACCATCCGTGAGAGGTGTTGGTAGTGCGTGATGAAGAGTGTGAGGGATTGAATGGAGCGGACCATGTAATCGAGCACGGCCTGCGCGATGGCAACACCGTCGTGCGTCGATGTCCCGCGGCCCAGTTCGTCGAGGATTACCAGGGACCGTGGCGTTGCTTGCTTGAGGATGTCTGCTGTTTCGGAGAGCTCGACCATGAATGTTGACTCGCCGGCGAGCATGTTGTCGAACGCTCCCATGCGAGTGAAGACTGCATCCAGGAGACCGAGCTTGGCGGAGGCTGCTGGGACGTAGGAGCCGATTTGGCCCATGATTGCGATGAGCGCTACTTGTCGTACGTAGCTGGATTTACCGCCCATGTTTGGGCCAGTGACGAGGAGTGCCCGTGTGTTGTCGTGATGCAGGGTTGTGTCGTTGGGTACGTACGTGTTGGTGAGGAGGTGTTCGACCATTGGGTGTCGGCCTTGTTCGATGTGGAGGCCTGCTTCGTCTGTGTATTCTGGCTTGACGTAGCCCGGTTGTTGGGCAATTGTTGCTAGGGATAGCAGGCAGTCCAATGTTGCGAGAGATTGGACGCAATCGCGGAAGGACTGGTACTGCGCTGCGATGTCCGCTAGTAGGGCTGAGAATGCTTGGTCGCATGCTGCGGCCAGGGCTTCTTTTTGCTGGTCACGCTCTCGGATCATTTGGACGACTTCTGGTGTGTGAAAGCGTGATACTCGTTTTGTGCCACTTACTTTGATCCATGATGCTGGGACGCGCTTCAGTGCTGGTGAGTTGTTTTCGATTTCGATTAGGTACTCGATGCCAGATACTGTTGAGTATTCAACTTTGCCTCTTCCAATTGTTGAAGCTGCCTCTTTCCGATGTTCAGAGAGATTGTGCTCAATGCTTCCGATCTGGAGCTTGTGATCACCGATAGCTTCTGTCTCTTGTGATTCACGGAAAAAAGAGTATTTGTCGTCGGTTCGAGCAGCGTGCAGATTTATCTTGTCCAGAAACTTGACGACTTCTGCTCGGATGGTGGGCAGAGCGGCGATTGCTTCGCTCACTAGTGTTGAGTCAAAGCCAGTCTGAGCGGGCGTTTTGATATCTGCGAATTCCATCGCAATCATTTGCATAGCTTGCAGCACATTTAAAAGTTCAGGGCGCGTGCACTTTGCCAATATCAGCACCGGTGAAGATTATCGAAACGGAAAGTCACTTACCTTTCCATAGTAAATGCGAATCAAGCTCTTCTCGAGGTCACTCTTGACCTTGCTGAGCAAACTTCGCACTCTTTCCACAGAGGCCACCCGCGCAGAAGCCGTCAGCTCCTCAACAGCATTGGTCCTTTCCTCCAGACGGACCTTGTCAAGCAAAGGCCGTCCAACCCATTGCCGCAGCATACGTTGTCCGAAGCGAGTCTGCGTCCGATCCAGGGTCCAGAACAGACTACCCTTGGCCGAATGATCCGTTTGGTTCTGATAAATCTCCAAACTGACCAAGGTATTTCCATTTAAGAGCATGTGTGAACGAGCCGAGAAAGGTTGGAAGTATTTTGTCAGGTCAAAGACATGCTCCAGACCATACTCAGTCATGTGCTCGATCATAGCGGACAGACACATAGTAACCTGCTCCGGTAATTCAAGAACATTTTGAAGCAACTTTGCAGCCTGAGCGTCCTCTTGAGTACTGGTAGCTTTCATTTTGCCAGCGTAGAAACCTGATACATGACTGTGAGCCTCAGCAGCAGATGTCTTCTTCTTCTGAGCCCGTTCCAGTCGCACGGCATCTCCGAAAACATTCATTTTGCTTCCGGACAAATGCTGAACAAGCTTCTCGCTAGCACGGGACATTTCGCCAACTATCAAAATCTCACAGGGAGCAATGTGTAGGAGTCGTGTCTCGATCTCGCTTCGCATAAAGCCATCCTCAAAATCGTCGTAGATGATATCACCTGTAGCTGGCTGAACTGCAATGATTCCGACATGCACCCGCTCATCGTTACCCGGGCCCTTGGCGTTATTTTCCGTCATACAGAGCATGTAGCCCGTAGCAGGTGAAGTGCCTCCCGCTGCCGGAGCAGGACCTTCGAGACCTTCGGCATCATCGATGTAGGTACCTTTGGTGTAGAGATTTGTCAATTTGCGAACAAAGGGCGCATTGCGGTTATCACCCGCAGCCTTGAGTGCAGCTGTCTCAATCTGTCGCACTACGCCGACTTTGTGGCCTGCTGTGACGAGTCGTTTTACATGGACATGAAGTCGGTGCACAGGAATGCTGGCTGAAGCAAATCGGTCAAGATGTGCCTCTGAGGGATCTGGAATTCCATTCATTAGTAACCTTCAGTACGGTATCATGGCGATACACTTACGTTCATCAAATCTGAACTTTCCTGGGATGCACACAATGCCCAACTCCTTCGCGGCAATACGTGCATCCTCTCCAAAGAAGCGGAACTTGTAACCGACTTCAATTACGAGTACAGTGTTCATGTGCTTGCGCTTAATCTCCACAACCTGCTTTTCCATGGGTGTGAGTTTGCTTCCACCCTTTTTGGCACCCTTGCCCTTGGTTGGAGGAGGAGGAGGTTCATCATCATCCTCAGCTTCGGCAGGCTCATCTGCTCCGGCGGCGGAGTCGTTTACAGCAGTCCTGCCAATTCCAATCAAGCAATCGGCCCCACCGAGCTTCTTGACAAATTTCTGGTGCAGCTTCTCCTTTTCCTTCTTCCGTTGTTCCTGTTCTGGGTCCACTTTCTCTGTGGAATCTGTAGCAGGTGGTCCAGTAGCAATGGCAGGAGAGCTTTGGAACTTGAAAATATCAGTGCGTTGGCTGCTGCTCGGCTGCGAATTATGTTCGAATGGTACGCTCGCAGCAACTCGAATAGGCTCTTCTGCGCTTGACTCGGTGATCCTGGCTCGTTTTGGAGCTGGCGCAACGATGTCCCCGTCGTCATCCTCTCCCACCGGTTCGGCTCGTTTAGACTCGTTGATTTTCTCCGCTGGCGAGGCCTGTGTTTTCTTGCGTCCCTTGGTCGGAGTCGATTCGGATTCTTTTGGTGAAGAGCTGGATGAGGGTTTCTGGGTGAAGAAGCTAGAAATGCTTGGCTGCTTTCGTTTGAGAGACGGTGAAGGTGCGGACTGCGATGATTGAGGTGCCATCCTGAGCGTGGTTGGTCTGCTCCCACCGCAAATATCCGGGGTAGCAGTGGGATAGGACGGGTAGTGACGAAGTGGAGATGGTAGATTGGTATTTGAGCGAAGGTTTCTCTCAGATCAGTCAGATTGTCGGGACCAGGAATGTTTCAATGGCCATGCGAGTTTGCGCTCCGCATTTCCCTGAAGCTTGACGCGTACGAGACGCGTGAAGGCGTAACTAAAGTGGCTGAGTCAGCGTTTTGTATCGCCGTGTATGAACTCTTGAGCCTCACTTCTACAGCTTGGTAAGAGTCCGCTTTGTCACATTTCTTGAGAGATTAAACCGGAAAGGATATTTTTTTATCCTCAAAATCTGCATATGAAAGCGTAGTTGTAGCTCTAAAGTCAGGTTCAAAGTTGTTTCTTGTTGATTACGTCATTCAACGGCCGAACTTTTTGGAAGTCTGCCTTCACAACTATCTCATATCAAAGCCAATAAAAATATTCTCATAGCCTCATCGAAGTCCGAGAGAGTAGACTCATGTATAGTTCTGTTTTGTCTATTTGATCATCTGATCACACGCGGCCCCAGATCTTCAATGATGTCGACTACTGACAGAAAACGTGTCTCTAATGCGTGCACATCATGTCGAAAAAGAAAACGCAGAGTAAGCAATGTGGTCATTGTAAGTCAAACAGTATGGAGCTGACCACATATACTACCAGTGTGATGGTCAAAAACCTATATGTGGATTGTGCGAGAGGGAGAGCCGTCAGTGCGAGTATACTTATCATCTCGAGAAGCGAAAGTTGGTCGATCCTATGGTTATCTGCATACACCAGGAAATGCTAATTGTAACAGGCCTCCAACAAAATGTTATGTCCACGCACTTCATGCTAGAATTGCACTCCTGGAAGATCAACTCGCAGTATCTCGACACAATGCGAATGACAAGCCAATGCCATCACACATTTTGGAAGACCCAAACTCACCACAGGCAGGAACGCGCAATTCTCCTCCATTTTTGGATTCTAAATCGCGACCCTCTAGTGCATATGGTCACTTAGGGCTGTCCTACAAATTTCATGACGGGTCGGAAACGTCTCATGAAGAAAAGCTCACTATAAATGATGAGGTGCTACTCGTAGAAAAATGTCCATTTTTCCTTGAGCCTGGCCTTCAAGTTCAACTCCTGGAGGAGTTTTGGACTTGGCAAAACAACTGGCCGCTCTTAATTCATGAATCTCTCTTTCGAACAGACCTCTTTGACAACGGTGCCAACGACTACTGCACACCTACGCTACTGGATATCCCAGCTTGGATTCCCCGCTTTTGACTTACATACATCAAGAAAATCACTTCTTGAACATGCAAAATCAGCAGTTCTTGAGCAAGTCGAATTCCCAGGCCTGTCCCTTGTCCTATCAGCAGCCCTTATCGCGCAAACAGAGTTGTTGATGGAACATATAGCTTCAGCCTCTCAATATATTGGTAAGTAATCTGGACCAAGTTCTTGTGCTTTTCTGATCCGTATAGGCATTGCCATTCGACATGCGATGACTCTCGGGTTTCACATACAAAGCCCAAATATCAATGGCTCATCCCTCGACTCACAAAATGTAATCCAGGCTCGTTCAATTGCATGGGCGGGAGTTTGGATGCTGGAAAAGTATTTCTTCCTCTCCCAAAGGTACCTCTCGTAAGCTTATATTCACACCTGCAGACACATAACTCGGGTTCTTGGCCAACCAAGTGCTATTCGAGAATCTGACATAGAGCCAATAACTGTCCCAATACTTCCAAGTGTGGAATATTGTCTTTGGCCTGTTTCAGAAACTTCCAAGATACCGAGGTTGACCTCTCACTGTATGTCGACTTTTCAAGTCTCGTGTGATCTGCTTCGCTTAGTTACGCCAGCATTGGACAAAATGTGAGTTTCACCCCCCAAAAGAGGGAAATTCGGACACTAAGTTTATTCAAGTAAGCTATGCAATATCGAACTCCATTTCTCTTGACGAAAAGGAGGATCAAGTGACAAAAACTCACGTTGCTATGTCTGAATTCTATAACAACCTTCCCAGTCCTCTCAGGGTGCCATCCGCCGCCACCAAGCAGGTACCACCACATGTTTACCAGTTCAAGTGCGTAGTAAACACCAAAGGGGAACCAAAATGACCTAGCTAATGCTTTATACAGCTTATTGTATCAAGCTTTGAAGATCATGCTTCATCGTCCATTTATTCATGATACCCCTTCAATGGAAGCTTTAAACAGTCTGCAGAATCCACACCTAGTCCATCTTCAATCTGCCACATTCTCAGCCATTCGAGTGTCCTATGTTATCAATTCTTTCAGAAACTTTTACCCTCTGGTAAGAGGTTTCCGTTCCCTTGACTCGACAATTCTCCGTTCTGATGCTAAGCCCAACGCAGCACCGTTTGTCTCCCATGGCTGTCGAAGGCATAGTAATGGCCTCACATATTCATCTTTTCAACTCGAAATCTCACGACGAAAAGCTGGCTCGACGATCAAACAACCTTTACAGCTTGAATATACATATCCTTAGACTGATGATTCCACCTGGAGAGGAAAGCAGCCGGGCAATTGAAGTACTGACATCTATTGCCCAAGAATGCGGAATACCCACAACGTCTGTCACCGAGGAGCGCGTACCAAGCAGTATGGCCGAGCCTCAAATTCAAGACTCTTCGGGATCACCACACTATATGTAGATTGTTTCGCCTATCATCAAAGACTCGGGCACAGCCATGGAACCCGAAGAGCCAAGCTCTCTGTTCGATGAGTTATCTCATGCAAATTCGTATTTCGACTGACTTGATCTTCCATTGAGTGATCAGCTCTTTGATGGTGCTTTCCCCGATGCGTTATGCAATGATCCTTGTGACCAGGGCCACGAGTATTGTGGGATAATAAGCAGTACTTTCTGATTCGACCACCGTTCTCTCGTGATTCTCATTATCAATAAACTATTTATTGCTCTTCATGATCCGACCATAATAAAGTTTAATGCGTCATCTAATTCGGTACCTTTCTAATTATGAAGCCTCTCATCCCGCCTGGCATTCCATTCCCGATCAAACCGAGTAAGTGATCTCTGAGCAGTGGGAACACAATCGAGAGCCTTGATAGAAACCCTCCCAGAGCGACTCAGCATATACCAAATTGCATCGGCAAGATCCTCAAACACAAGCGGTTCATAACCATAGAAAAACTCATCCATGGCATCCTTGTCATACTTAACCCTCTGAAGATGGAAGTTAGTAGCAGCACAACCTGGCCGCAGGGTCAATACTCGAATATCCGAGCCAGCTGTCTCCGAGCGCAGACTATTGGAAAAGCCCTCAATGCAAGCTTTGTTTGCGTGGTAGACGGCTTCTCCGTCAAATGGTGGACATTCCAGACCAGTCACGGATGAAACGTTGATAATCGTTCCCCGTTTTGCAGGCCACATGCTCCTGTTAAGTACCGAGTGGGTTGTATACATGACACCGGCGATATTGGTGCCATTCATTTGGGCAATCAGATCCACCGGAAGCTCCCAGAATCTGGAGGGTGCACCAAGTGCAAGGCCGGCCTTGGGAAGGTCAGATAAAGATAGAGCGGGATATTTGAGCACCAGATAGACTTACATTGTTGATCAAAACCTCAATCTTGCCTAGCTCCGCGATGGTCTTTGCTACCGCTGTATCAACCTCGGCATGATTTTGGATATCAACAGGGTATGCGTGGACCTTGGTGGATGGATATTTATGTTGAATCTGAGCCCGCACATTCTCCAGTTTGTCCTTTGACAGGTGCTGTTGGCACAGCTGATATGGTGAGTGCATAGTGATATGGGGTTCTTACTTGACTTCTCGCCAACAGGGCGACATTCATTCCCTTCTCAGCTAGAATGAGTGCAATGGCCTCACCAATGCCCATCGAGGCACCAGTCTTTGACTTGGTTAGCATAATTCCTTTGCGACCCGCAAACAGCTACTCACGATGAGAGCAGTCTTTCCTTGAAGCGAAGCCATGGCTGAATAGTTCAATGTATAGATATGCAAAATTCTCAACTTGTAGAATGACAAAAGCTGCATGGATTTTCTCTCGCTCTGTTAAAATATTAGGGTTTGAGGGCTATGACGCACTGGCGGGTAATGCCAATCCGCTGTGGAGTGCGGCTAATGCTCATCCGCAGACCTTGTCCTCCACATACTATGGCAACCCTAGTCAAGTAAAGTATCGAAATAAGGGATTTTTTTGAAAGAACACCACAAGCTCAGTACCCTGACTCGCCGGCATCGCAAATGACCACACCATCCATCCACTCCGAGCGCAGCATATTATTCGATGTGATCCGCTTCCAGGGATTGGGGTGTAGCATTGCATAAATGGCATTGCACCGTCTCTGTAGACCACATTTCAGCAAGGCGTACCATTACAAAGCAAGATGATTTGTTGGCAAGATGATACATACCGGTCCAAGCGCCTCAATGGGCGCATATCCATCGTCTTCATGGCGACTATGCAAGTACTCCAAGTACCGCCCATCTTCACGACGTGGTCGAGCACTGCGCCAAAGCAGCCGACCGCTTATGAGGATCATGTACACAATAGCGGTGGCCCATATATCTGCTGGACGATGATCGATTTCTTCTTTTTTGTTGCCATTATGAGCGTATGGAGGATGGGGGTGTTCGAATGCCTCTGGTGGGATGTATGGGAGGCTCATACTGGCGAAGGAGGCGGTGGATGGTTTCATGGTCGTAGGGGTACTGTTGCGGATTGATGGGGCAGACGAGGTTTGACGAGTAAGTGATGATAGTGACCATGGAAGGAAGAAGGACCAAGCTGGATGTGGCTGATGTTGCTGCTGTGTTGGAGGAAGTGGCTCTTCCTCACCTTCTGCTGGTGAAGTGTGGATCGAACACTCTTCCCATATTCGTTTGACGTGTCCATCGCCAAAGCCAGCTAGCTTGATTCCTCCGCTTGATGTCAAAAGAATAGTTTCTAGACGGATATCGCGGTGGGCTGTTTCGTGCTCGTGGAGAAAGCAGAGTGCCCGTAGGATTTGTTTTATGATACAGTCAGCTTCGTGGGCTGGAAGTGTACCATTGCGAGATACTAGAGTATGGAGATCACCACCGGCGCAGTATGGCATAACAAGGCACAGTTCGGAGCGTTCATTGTGAAGGAGGTCGACGATGGGGAGGATATTTGGATGTTGGGGGTGAACGGCCGCGCTGGTTGGAGCAAGACAGGTGGTAATACGGGATTGGTAGGTAGATGAGAGTGTCGTTTTCAGGATGTTGCGTCGGTACACTTTGATTGCGAGAAGTTGTTGACCCCTTGATTCGTGAAGGCGGGTTGTACTGTTCGCACCGTAGTGGATTATTTGCTGGCAACGACCGTATTTTTCCGTAAAGGGTAGACTGTTCGTTGAGAGCTGTATAGAATTGGAGGTTGAGACTGCACAGTCCCCTATCAAAGGGAGTCGGTCGGTGGAGACGCTCGTCAAGAGAGGTAGATGCTCATGCTTCAAGGCCGACCAACCGCGACTTCCCATTTTCTGGACGGTATCACTCAGGGAGCCTGTGCCTTTGACTTCTGTAGATCCCTCGGGCAGTGTTCTTCGATTGGCATAATCATGGTCGTTATCATTATGTGGAGGGCGCATGCTGTTGTTCGTCAGATTGTCAGATGACAATGTATGTTTTGTTTTGATGGATACGCAATGAAGCTTGAGGAGAAAAAGTCAAAAATATTCAATTAAAAACCAAGGATACACGAGAGCTGTGCATCCTGGTTCTGTCCTTATATAGACCGGCACACTGGCGGTGTATATCGCTCCCCCTCGGTCACATTTGAAGAACAACAAGCATAAAAGAGAAAGTTGGCAATGGAAAAAGACACCGTCTACTATCGTCGCACAATTGCCGTCATCGTTACTATGGGACAGGAATGAATAGAATAAATCTCTCGCTGGTCTCTAGTTAGCTGGAAACATCCGCGATTGGACACGTCAAACTGCTCATGATAGTCCCATCAAAATAGCCTGAGAGTGAGCGATTTATTTCAGCTACCACTGGAGCTATTGGAGCGGCTCGCGTAAATTGAAAAGCGGGAGAAGAAAAAAAAATTGAAATGGGGGAGCCTTTCGTGGTAGATGAGAGGTGGTAACGTCTGAATTGAGTAATTGGCAGTCAAATCTGTGGCGAGGAAAAATCCCTCATGGCGGAGCCGGAGAATAAACCACGCTTTTGTGGCTGTGACCTTTGACGGGAAACAGCTAATGTTACGAGATCTGCGGCATTTGTCTCTTTTTTTTTTGGCTGCTTCTGACCTGAAAGATTTTCTGGTCGTAAATTCCCACGGAATCTGAACGTGGGTGACCAAGGAAAGATAGGGCTGAGCACGTTTGGTATTGTCAGGGATGGCAATATACGGTTAATGATTGGTCGATGACCTACCATCTGGTAATATTACAGCACAGGGTGTACGGGCCAGTATCATAGTTCACTGACAGCTGTCATCGTGGCTGGCGCCTAGTTTTAGGAGTAGTAGATGGTATAACATGTTTAAACTAATGGTGCGGTACTACTTCATTCTCTCTTCAGAGAGGGACATGGACACACAGGGGACAGGGGTATTGGACAAGCTGATATCATCCGTATAGACCAAAGCAAAGTGGAAATCAAGCTAGAAAGACCCTGGGACTGTATGCACTGGCTATCACTTTATATCTCGCGTGACTGTACGATGACACGCAGGAACTGGCTTGAACCTTCCCATTTCGGCATACTCGAATCTGGCCTAGTCACACTACAAACATATAAGAGGACCTTCCCTGTCCACTCTTCCTCCCTCATCTCTTTATCTCACCCTTCACCTTTCACTCGGCTTGTGCTGCTCTCCTGGGAATCGGACTGTCTTCCTTCTTTACTCTCCTTGTAACCCCCAGACGTCCACCATGCCTTCCCACGATAGCACCACCGACGTCGATGTCGAGTCGGAGGGTGATCGGATCAAGGATGAAACTGATCGTGCTGAACGTTCTGGAAGAATCACCTTTGAAGAGGCAGCAGCCGCAGAGGGCTTTCGATCGATCTACCAACCAGCGCAATTCACCCGAACTCGCTCCGTGAGCCGGGATACAATTCGCAGCAACAGAAGCAGCCAGACTGCAGCAACAGCTGGCCTGCCCATCGAATTCCGAACCCTCTCTTTCCATATCTCCGAGTCCCAGAATGTCCCCAAAGAAAAGGAAGTCGTCTTCGATCCCGAATCCGCGAAGAAAGAAAAGCCACTCCACCAAGACTACTTCGAGAACCTCGAATTCCATACTGTGACCACCGAGCGTCTTTGTCAAGAGTTCAATGTCGATCAGCGGACTGGACTCAGCTCTTCTTCTGCAGCTACTCGTCTTCAACGAGATGGAAAGAATATTATTGCTCACCATGGAGAGAACTATTTCAAAAAGATTTTCTTCTATATCTTCGGTGGATTCTGCTCTGTGCTTTGGGTTGGAGTGATCATTTTCTTCATCTGCTGGAAGCCACTCAGCAACCCGCCCTCCGCCCAGAACCTCGCTTTGGCTGTGCTTATTCTCATCGTCATTGCTCTGCAAGCAAGCTTTTCGGCCTTCCAAGACTGGTCCACTAAGCGTGTCATGAATTCAATCCTGGACCTCTTACCTGCAGAAGCTATGGTCTTGCGAGACGAGAAGCTCATCCGTCTCCCTGCTACTGAGCTAGTTGCAGGCGATATCGTACATATTGGGATGGGAAACAAAGTGCCTGCCGATATGCGTCTGCTACAGAGCTCGGGTGATGTCCGCTTTGATCGGGCTATCTTGACCGGCGAGTCGGATGAGGTTGAAGGCGCCATTGAATGCACAGAACCAAACTTCTTGGAGACTCGCAATATTGCTCTCATGGGAACAGGTGTTACCAACGGCAATGCGATCGGTATCGTTGTCTTAACCGGTTCTCGCTCTGTTATGGGTCGCATTGCTTCTATGACAGCCGGTGTCAAACAAAAGGCAACCCTGATCCAGCAAGAGATTAACCGATTTGTGATTATCATCGTTGCGCTTACAATTTTCCTCGCTCTGTTGATTCTGTTTACTTGGCTCGGATGGCTGCACAAGGATCATCCCTCCTACATGTCTGTTGTGGCCATGCTGAACAATGTCATGGGCTGTGTGGTTGCTTTCATTCCAGAGGGAATGCCTGTTGCTGTTGCCCTCACTCTCATGACGATTGCGAAACGGATGAAGAAGACCAATATCTTGCCAAAGGGACTTTCCACAGTTGAGACTCTGGGTTGCGTGAACGTCTTGTGCTCTGATAAGACTGGAACTCTTACCCAGAATCGCATGTTTGTCAAGTCTCTCGGAATGCTTGACTGGGAATACGACGTGGAAGACCTCGCTCCCCGTGAGCTTGAGACTGCTCAAATTCCTGAGGGCCTGCGCAATACTCTTCGGGCCTCTGTTCTGTGTAATGATGCATCATTTGATCCGACCACAATGAACAAACCCATCCATGAACGTCTTGTCAATGGAAATGCCACAGATGCCGCGGTTCTCCGATTTGCTGACAGCGTCGGCATGACATCGCCAACAGCTTTGGCTCCATATGAACGCGTGCACCAGATTCCATTTAACTCGAAGAACAAGTGGATGCTTACACTTCATCGTGATCCAAATTCCACCAACGAGTTCCTTCTCTATGTCAAGGGAGCTCCCGATGTGCTACTCAATCATTGCTCTACTTACTGGTCTGCCATTCACAATGCAATCCGCCCTCTGGATTTGGAGGCTCGGGAAAAGCTTTCGAACTTCCAGGCTAAGCTATCACGACGGGCAGAGCGTGTTATTATCATCTGCCAGCGCCGCTACACTCCCCGTGCTACACCTGGTACAAATGACTTCAGCGACGAAATACTCGAGTCTGGTGTGAACGACTTGACCGTCCTTGGTATCTTCGGTATCATTGATCCACCACGTGAGGAGACTGCCGCTACAGTCTCGGCTTGCCGAAAGGCAGGTATTCGTTTCTTCATGGTGACTGGTGATTTTGGCCTGACAGCGGCCGCTATCGCTCGTGATATTGGTATCTACGATGGACAAGCCGAGCCAGATAGTGTGGATGACTTGAACGACGGTCTTGATTCCAAGCTGGAAGTTAAAGTGCCCAAGTCACGACACAGTCTGCTCCTTGAAGGCCCCAATCTTTCTTCATTGACTTCCGAGAATTGGGAGACGATCTGTGGCTACGATGAGATTGTCTTCGCTCGCACCACTCCCGAACAAAAGCTGCGCATCGTGACAGAGCTACAGGCCCGTGACTACGTCGTAGCAGTCACAGGTGATGGCGTCAATGATGCCCCAGCTCTACGTGCAGCAGACGTCGGCATCGCAGTCGGATCAGGTAGCGACGTGGCAATTGAGGCAGCAGACCTGGTCCTCCTGGAGCGCTTCGACTCTATTATCGAAGCCATTCGCCTTGGTCGACTCGTCTTCCAGAACCTCCAAAAAGTGATCGCCTACCTTCTCCCAGCAGGAAGTTGGTCTGAGATCTGGCCAGTCATTATGAACGTCTTCTTCGGCTGCCCATCGCCCCTCAGCACTTTCCTAATGATCATCATTTGTGTTTTCACGGATCTATTCGTATCCCTCTCCCTGATCATGGAACAAGAAGAATTCGATCTCCTCAGCCTCCCACCCCGCCGCCCAAAGAAAGACCATCTCATCAACCTCCGCATCTACGGCCAAGCTTACCTCTTCGTCGGTGTAATGGAAGCCTTCAGCGCCCACGCAATGTTCTTCCTCTACATGTGGCGCCACGCCGGAATCCCCTTCTCTGATCTCATCTTCTCCTTCGAGAGCTTTACAGATGGGTTTCACGGATACACCCAAGACCAACTGAACCATTTCACGAGCGTGGGCCAATGCTGCTATTTCGTCGCGCTGGTCATCATGCAATGGGGCAATGTTCTCTCAGTCCGCAGCAAACGCATGTCTCTACTGCAAGCCGATCCTATCCGTCCTGCTCGACGGAACCCCTGGTTATTCTTGGGTATTCTCATTTCTCTGGTCATTGCAATCTTCGTCACAGAGGTTCCGGGCTTGCAGAACTTGTTCAGTACTGCTTCCGTTCCCATTGAGTTCTGGCTGATTCCGCTCGGCCTTGCCATGGGCATTCTGTGCATGGATGAGCTGCGCAAGGCCATTGTGCGCCTTTTCCCCAAGGGACCTGTTGCTTGGGTTTCATGGTAATGATTGATGAGGTATTGATAGATGGGGGGGGGGGCTGTTTTTCTTTCTTTCTTTCTTACATACATCATCTCTTATGTATTCTAGAGGCTGGCTATTCCTTTCCCCATCTCTGGGGTTTATTGGTATTTTCAAAAATCAAGCATGACTTCCTACGTCGCCACGAAGCTATGATAGAGCGAGAACAGATTCGAATATTTGAGTATGCGCCAGATGAACAACAACTCATCCTAAATATGCCAATCCGTGCTCTCTTTGTTGCCCAGGGATTGATCTTCAGATATTTGACATGGCAAATGATAAAGGTCGGAATGAAAGATGACGACTGGATGCTTCTTAATGGAGGCGAATTCAAAATTGAAAACGGATATACTGTCGAACCAGACCTGGCCCTCTATTCAATGGTAGGTGAAAAAAGGCCACCATTGTTTCCGCATATCGTCTTTGAGATTGGAATTTCCCAGTCAGTCGAAGAGTTAAGAAGCCGTGGAAACGATTATATCCGGTATTATAAAGGGAAGATCAACGCAGTAATTTGTTTACATGCACCACAAGAACCAAAGTCACATCAGCTGGGTAGTGTACAAGGCGTTTAGACAACCTGATCAGGGCCAGGCTTTTGAGTCGGTGATTTGGGGTCGTGGTTTAATCACGTTCGATAAAGACGATCACAGTGGGCAGCACGGTCTACCCGCCAACATTACCTCCACGGGGCCAATGAACATTCCTATTGGAAAGCTTCCTCCGGGTACCCCAGATGAACTCGAGTTGATTGAAGAAAGCCTGGTCAAAATCACTGAAAGTTTTATTTTGAGGCGCTGGCAGGGGCGACTAAAGATTGGACCCTCTCTTCAAGCTTCCTTCGGATATCCTCGAGAAGTATCTTCGTTGGAATGGCTGCGATGTGGGGAATTGAAAAAGGATGATAGACTAGATGTAGTTACATATTCCCCTGGGCTCTGCTGAGTGAAAGTAGGAGTGAGGTGGAGTGTCTGTCCACCTCGGGATGAGAGTTCCCACCTCTCTCGCCCTAGTCTCAAATTGGATCCCCAGATATCCAATTATCAGCTAGTGGTGTCGTTCAAGAATCGAGTTGCACTAATATTTTATTTAAGCCGAACCCTATCAAGACAGGCGTTGTCATTTTGGGAGTTGCCGAAGTAGCTGGAAATTTCCGGCTACAACAGATCAGATGGACTAGAAATTTATGTACATTGAGCGTGGCAAAATAGAGGCAGCTATCGAAGCGATATAGAAAATAGCATTTTACGTATCAAGTACATCGATCAACAAGATATGAATCTGTGATACATCTCAGCTCACTGCTTTTTTCTGTTCCTATCAATGGCAAGCATGCCTTGGGAGTCAAGGATGACTACCAAAGTCAAAGAAGTTCAAGCAGCGTGCGTGCTCAAGCGGTGATAAATCAAGAATACATATTATAACTTCTTTCTGATCGAACCGCCTGGTGTCCTTCGACTGTGTTAGATTCAAACAAGAAGAATTGAAAGAAGAAATGATAAATCGTCTTCAGTCTCCCTGATAAATTCCACCGTATTTATACCGCACTCACTATCAGAAACCCGGGTCGTGTAACATATTGGCTTATAGAAACAGTCTATAGATATCTTCCTCACGTGTTAATTGGTACATACGACCACAGGGTGTGGAGAACAGGGCTTCCCGTCCGCTCAGCCGTACTTAAGCCACACGCCGGTAAGTTAGTAGTTAGGTGGGTGACCACTAGCGAATCCTTACTGTTGTATGTTTTTTTTCCCTCTTATGGTATTTAGTTAGTAGGTAGGAACTAGGGTTTTTTTATTCCAGTGACAGTAAGTAGCGCTTTGTGTGGCAGCCCACCGACATATTTTCAAGCTTGTTAAAAGGTATCATATCTTAGAGAAATGATGATGACTATACGACTATACTAGAAATGAATCAGAGAACAATTCCATTTATTTAAACCTAGGAAATCTCTTTTATATAAGAAATCCCTTCTATACTATAAAAACTGTACTTACGCTAGTCCGAATCCGAATTCTAACGAATGATCAATTATAATAGTCGAATAAATAGCTTATATATAGTATATTCTATAATTGACTACTAAAATAGGGATGGCACGATAGCAGTCTAGTCGTAATGGACGGGCTGATAACTAGGAGTAAAACCTAATAATAGGTCGGGTATAGGAGCTATAGGTAGGTGACGCCTACTATAGATAATCTAATACTATATTAAGGAGCATAATCTTTATAATTTAAGAATTAAGAAATAAGTGGAATAGTTACTTATTACTATCTCTCTAACTACTAAGGATACTATATCTCCTAATAGGATATTGTAGCCCAAGGCCGTAATCTTTATATGTCTCGTGATTCACCACTACACTAGCTAGAAGAAGCTATATCCCCTAAAGAGGGATATTGCTGCCTTAAGGCAATAATCTCATATGTCGCATATTTTACCACTACAATAAGTAATTTTGATTTTTTAGTTGAAAAAATTGGCTAGAAAAAAAAGTGTAGGGAGACTTTTGACACGGTATATAACCTCGCCTATCTACTTGCATACGCACAGAGACATCTCCTATAAGTGGAGGAGCGGGATTCTCTTAGAAGAACCAGCGTTTAAACAGAGTATCATCATACCCATATTAGGCACGTTTCACATTCTTCACTCCTATCCATATTGTACTAATAAACTCCCTAGGGGGCTGCCCGTTACACTATTCTGCTCCACATGATCATGGTAATCAATACAGTCCCCTTGAAATTGCGGAAACCATAAAACCCACTGCGAGAGTAACAAATAAGGGCACAGTCGCTACCTACATTCATGTATACCTAGAAGCTACAAAGTGTATTTTACACATATATGTTGGCTATCAATCTTCTGTGCTTTAGGAAGGCGCTAAGTCAGGGAGCCCACGCCAAGCTCTACCAATTCAGATTCCAAACTCGACAGTTCTGGGCAAAAAAGATTAAACTCCGGCGTGGGAATGAAGAATGGCTCAGGAAGCTGGGTGTCGAAAGTCGCATACTGTGAGCTCTGTTCATTGATCAACTCGACATTCTGTGGAATGCTGGAAGAGCGTGTTGGTTGTCGCAGACCATAGATGTTTGAAGCCTCACGGGGTGTAATTCCCCCCAGAGCAGAGCGCTGCCTGCTGGAAACCCACATACGTTTGAGAAGAGTTGCAAAACGACTAGCAATGTGGCAATCACTGATAGCAGCTTCCTCGAGTGTCTGAATAAACAGCCGCACTAGGTCGGCAATTTCGGCATACTCTGTGCTCACGAGAGCCCCGAAGACGTCCGCTTTATATAGGAAAACAGCGGAGTAGACGGCGTATCTAAAGGAAGATTAGCCAATTTGTCCAAAACGCGCTGAAATACGTTGCTGGATCACGAAACGTACACGTAAAAGCGAAATGGCATATAGCAAATCTGTGCTTCAGTGCCCGTTTGGACAGCTATCGTCAGAATCTTCCGAGCGGCCTCTATTGACTCCAGAATATAGGAGCCCTCTGCAGTGGACATGATACCGCGTGGGAATAGCGACGTGATGCCGTCTCTCCCAGGCGCGATCGGAACTCGCTTCCCCTGCACAGCCTTGGAAAGAAATGACTGGAAAGAGAAAGCACTAGCATACAAACGGACATATTCCTTGAATATGTGCATTGTGCAGTTCAGCTTTGGGGATGCCTGAAGACTACCCCAAGTGCTTTCCCAAGCAGAGATGGAATGTCGAAAATCGTCTAGATAACGATTGTAATCTCCCCGTCGGACCATCTGAACTCTTCGCTCTTTGGACGCGTATAATGTGTCGTGCACGTTGTGAAGAATTTGAGTGAGCTCAATAGTAGCTTGTAATACGTGTGCGTATTTGTGCACTGCGTCTGCTCTGAGTCCTAGACTTGGGAAGTCGTTCGCTGTGAAGTTTGTGGAGAGAGACGGCCCGCGCGACCAGAAAGACTGTCCCATTCGGACGGAGATTTGGCGGTCAGATATATAAACAACTGCCAGATGAGATTAGTCGCTAGGTAGTCCAGCAGAGGTCCAGGGGTCATTAATCGTACATATCCATGCTAGAAGCTTTCGGTTCTCTAGTTCCTGAGCATCCCCCATCGCAGTCTCCCGAAAAGATGTCTTGTCTAGACGGAGAAGAAAGGAATGTCTCACTGCTTGTCCAATCAGTGACCAGGCCATATTATCCTCAACGGCACTCAAGTTCATGGGGAACATGTTGGGATAAGAACATGTTTCCAGCTGCATGTAAGGAACCCACTCCGCGAGAAGCAGAAGACCCTCGACCGTGCCGACTCTTAGAGTCGATGGCGTAGCTAGTAGTACATCTAGCAAATGTCGCTTTAAATAGTTCCAGCAATGTTGGTGGACCTCTCTGTATGCGATTTCGTCTCTAGACGCGATTGTCAAAATGACCGTCAAGAGGAAGGGCTCTTCTACTGCTGTTTTACGGGGATCTGTTGTTGCTATAACTTTTCTGGGCGCGAGGGGGCAGAAAGTGTGATAGTTCGATGCGTAACTAAATTGGTCAGATGTAATGCATTCACTTGGAATGAATGTTTCATACTGGTGGACTAGACCATTCACAGTATCTGTGCCTAACACGCCGATCACCAGTGTCTCCGTTTCAGAGAGTATCGACCGCAACATCGGAGGCTGTATGATATTTGCCGGATCACTCCTTGCGGAGGACGTCCCTATTCGTGCTCCATCTGATGAGCAGGCGCGTGTGTAGGAATCCTGGGCCGTGGAGTTGGCCAGGTCATTAGGGATTCGGGTGTCACTCGCAGCAAGTCTGGCAAGAATCTGGAGTGCATCGCCGGGATTATCTAATTCGGCGTAAATAGGGTCTTCATCTCTGTCCATCGGGTCTGTACTTTCGTGATTGTTTGGTGCGTGCTCCATTTCAGCTTCACTAAGAGACGGTGCAGCGTGTTGCTTTTGTCGCGACCGTCGAAATCTAGAAAAGTCGCCACCGCGCCGCGATCCGGCAAGAATGCATTCACCACCAGCACGGATACACTGCAGGCATGAGGATGACGTGCTATCCCTCAGGTTTTGCCTCGGGGATGTTAGCGAGAAGGTGCCTCTATTGGAGTATGAGCTCACTGATCACATTTCAGCTTCCGCTGGCGACACCGCTGGCATGCACGGTAGACACGAAGATTTTGACTGCGAGTCATGGTAGATATATGAGCGTAGATGAGGCACTGGGTCAATTATCTCAGAGGAACCAAAGGAAAGGAAGTCTGGGGAAGGGCAATTTCCCCAGAGAATCTTTTCGGCTATAGACGGGTGCGGTATGCGGAGTAGGTACAGTGTGGGGGTATGGGTGTCCCTCCTGTCTAGGCTCTGTCGAACCTGCAGGATGAAGATTCCCTGTATATGCAAGTCATGTGGAAGATCCGAGAGGATGTACGGAAACATCACGGAAGTGCTTTGTATTGGATGCTAGAAACTGGGCAGAGAAGAGAGAGGAGAGAAAGGGGAGCGGTGGGATATTGAGCCTGAGAAATTGGGCAGGAGTAGAAACGAATGTAATTGGGCAAATGGATGGCCATCATTGAACCGAGCTATCTATCTCGTGTCATTTGAAGATGTGCACGACCTGAGTGTTGCAGTACTGAAGGAACCCCGTCGAGCCCCATTCGCCCCCAAGTCCGCTCTCCTTGTGTCCCGACAACATCGCCCGCGGCGTAGTTTTCGCCCCGGAATTCACGAACACACTTCCAGCCTGCATGAGCCGACCAACACACTCCGCTCGAGCAATATCGGCACTCCAAACAGAAGCTCCAAGTCCGGAGTTCGTTCCGTTCGCACAGGCGATGACATCCGCCTCATCACCCCACTTGAGAACTGGCACAATTGGACCTAATTTCAGTAAGAAAATGCCTTTGATTCAATTCAGTGGGTAATACGGACCAAATTGCTCCTCGAGAACGATGCGAGAGTTAGGAGGTGGGTTGTCGACGATGCTGGGTGAGATGTAGAATCCCTTACCAGAGCCGATGGTTTGGGGCGGAAGAGCAAACTTGTAGCCTTGCGCTTCGCTGTCGGCGATTAATTCCTTGACCTTCTCGTACTGCATTTGGTTTTGCATGGGACCCATTGTAGTACTGGCATTTCCCGCTTGGCCAACCACCATCCGAGAAGCTGCATTTACCATGGCTTCCAGGAAAGGATTATAAATGCTCTCGTGCACATAAACTCTCTTCGTGGCCACACAGACCTGACCGGAGAAAACGAAGCAGCTTTGGACAACTTCCGGGGCTGTCTTTGCGATATCCACATCGGGGTATATGATCGCTGGGTCATTGCCTCCTCTGCGGATTAAATGGTATGAGTTGGAAATTTCTTTGTTGATTTCTGAGAAATCTAGACTCACAGTTCCAGAGTAACACGCTTCAATGTCCCAGCAGCCGAGGCCAAAATCCTTTTACCAGTCGCACTGGAACCCGTGAACGAGATCTTGTTGACATTGGGGTGGCTGACCAGTGTCGGACCAATAGATTCACTGCCACCAATAGCCTGCACCACACCCCGGGGGAATATTTGCTGTGCCTGCTCGACCATCTTGAGTGCCGAGTAAGGCGTAAATGGAGATGGCTTGACGATGATAGTACATCCAGTCAACAAGGCCGGCAAGATCTTTCCGACCGAAAGCACAAGAGGGAAGTTCCAGGGGCAAATAGCAGCAACGACTCCGACAGGAACATAGCGAGTCGTCTGGATGCGTGTATCGTCCTCAATCCGCTCCTCCGGCATTCGAAGTTGCAGGTTGTGGTCAAAGAGAGCTAAGATCTCGTTCGCCTCGCCGGACGCCACAGCATGCGGCTTTCCGCACTCTGCCATGAGCAACTTGGTGAAGTCCTCAATCGAGGTCTTGTAGATCTCTCTCCACTGGGATAGCTGGTTCACTCTTTCTTCAAAAGAAGTGACGGACCATGTCTTGAAGGCTTTGTTTGCAGATCGGACAGCATCTTCCACGTCTTGGGCAGATGCCACGGGCACATCCCATAGCTTGGATTCCGTTGAAGGATCAATGCTGAATGTGGTTTTGCTGGAGTCTCGACAATCACCATCAATGACGTTGTAAAACTTCCCAAAGCTCAGAGCGCTTCGTGTCATGGTGAGATATTTCTTGATTTTGCAGGAACGTATGTTCGACAAGTTTTCAAATTGAAAAAGAAAAATCGCGACGAGTAGCCTCCATAAATGCTTCGGAGGTAATGAAACTTACACTTGAATCTCTGCATCTATAGCCGGCCGGACGTCTGTAGCTATGGATAGCGGTGGATGTGGGATCCGACCGTTTGGATGCGGCTGTAGATGGAAGTAGATGAGCCACCAACCCCGACCTCGGGCCAAGTTTGCACCCGCTTTCCATATTCGTGAAGAGATGCAGGACTTGTTGTACGTTCTCAGTGTCATATAAATAGGAATAAATCTAATCGGAAGCATCAATTACTTTGCTATCTTTTTGCAACGACCGAGATTGGAATTTCTCCATCTCTTCCTCTTTTCAAAATGCAGACCGCCAAAACCCACAAAGCCCTGGTTTATGACAGGCCCGGCGAGATCTCCACTAAGGTCGTGGATATTGACACTCCCAGTCCAGGACCTGGTCAAATTCTGATCAAGATGTAAGTCTTGCTTCTCGGTGCCTGGCAACAGCAGCACTGATATCACAACAGGACCCATTCTGGAGTATGCCATTCCGACCTCAGTCTCATGACCAAAACCGTAAGCACTTAATTCTTGTGTTTGAAAAGCAAAGCACTGCAATGACCTGTACTAAAATTAAGTTTGCAGTGGAGTTGGCTTCAGGAGCCCGTCAAACCTGGACAAGTTGGTGGCCACGAGGGTGTCGGTATCGTCGCCAAGTTGGGACCGTCATCGGAGACTTCAAGTGTCAAAGTTGGCGACCGGGTGGGAATCAAGTGGATTTCCTATGCATGTGGCAACTGCATGCCTTGCTTGGCCGGTGCTGACGGTATATGCGTGAACGCTGAAGTATCTGGCTATACATGCCCTGGTACATTCCAGGAATACGCCTTGGCTCCCGCTCACTATGTGACGCCAATCCCTGATGGACTAGCCAGTGATATTGCGGCACCCCTTCTTTGTGGCGGTGTTACTGTTTATTCAGCCCTCAAGAAGAGCAAAGCTCAAGCTGGCGATTGGGTTGTCATCGCTGGAGCCGGTGGTGGACTGGGCCATCTTGGGGTCCAGTTGGGAGGCCGAGGAATGGGATTCAGAATTATCGGGGTGGACCTAGGATCTAAGGAGACTTTTGTCAAGGAATGCGGCGCTGAAGCTTATGTCGACATCTCCAAGTATCCTATGGCTGATGGTAAGAGCGCTGCTGATCAGATTTTGGAAATCACCGGTGGCAGTGGTGCTACGGCGGCCGTCATTTGCAGCGCCAGTAATGCTGCATACGGTGAAGCACTCTCCTATTTGCGATTCAATGGCACACTCGTCTGTGTGGGGGTTCCATATGATTCAAAGCCAATCGCCAACGCCTACCCCCATTTGATGGTTGGGAAGCAGTTGAGAATCGTTGGAAGTACCGTGGGCAATCGTTCGGAGGCCATTGAAACTCTTGCTATGGCCAAGCGGGTGGTAACGACTCCTTTCCGTCTCGAGAAGATCGAGAACATCAATGCTGTGTTCAAGGAAATGAAAGAGGGGAATTTGCAGGGCCGAGTGGTGTTGGACCTACAGTTTTGTACTTAGTCCATGGGTGTATTGCAACAATGAAAATAAATCGCTTTTTTCCTTTGAAGCACGCCTACTGTACAACTCAACAGTACTCCGATTTTAGTATGTAAAAAAAGTTTTTATTCTCGAGCTGTTATTTTATCCACTCTAGACCTTACGTATAGGGTCAAGTTTGTTGATTCAGAAATTTAATTTGCCATAGAAAAGTGGCAGAACTTTTAAGTGAAGAGCATTTGTTAAATCTCAAGTTCTACTTAGAAAAGACAGCTTGGTAATTAAACTTTAGATACAATCAAATCCCTCTAGGGATCTAAGGCTGTGGGGCTTAAACATATATAGAGAACGATATAGAGAGTGTGAAGATACCCCGACCTCGGGAGGTCCTGACGGAAAACCCTTCCAAGGAGATATTATACCTAGGTATAAAATTCTAAAAGTCCCTAGTAGAAGGAAGCAACATCCATAGATTGGAAGAGGTTAAACACAAATAAAAAGCCAAATTGAATTCTCGTCTACCTAAGATTTCAACCTTTCAAGGTCCCAAAGTTGGTGCCCAGGTGGTTCAGGGAAGACCTTGTCGCACATCGGTATGCTCATTCAAGCCCCAAGCCGTTGAGCTTGAATCGTGAACAGTAGTGCGCCTCATATCACGCCTGTACTTTCTTAGAAAGGGTCCCCCAACAGCCCTATGCATCGTGCAGGTATTATCCCAGATGACCAGATCACCCACATTCTGCCACTCAATCTCGACGGTGTTCTCATCGCGAGTGGAGTATTTGTACAACTTGTCAAACAATTTTTGGGACTCGTCGGGAGCCAGGCCCTCGATATGATGAACATGGGCTGCAATGTAGATATTCATGCGATCGGAGGCCTCGTGACGCTGCACCAGTCTGTGCCGTCCCATAGGATGATCGAGCGGCTTGAGATCAGCGAAAGTTTCAGGCGCAGCCAGCTTGCGAGAGTGGTACATGGAGTGACACGCCACATATTCTTTGGCTAACAGATCTTTTTGGAGATCCAAAGAAAGGGTGTCGAATGCTGTCCTGGTGTCCGCAAATGCTGTGTGGCCGCCCATCCCGCTGGGAGGAAGCTCGTGGGCGAGGAGCAACGAGTATCCGGCACGACGTGGGTTGAAGCTTGAGTCGACGTGAAAAAGATCGTTGCCCTGTTTACCCACGTTGTTAGTAAGAGACCTCGTCTGGGAATTCGTTACCGAGTACCTTGTTTGCTTGTCCGCGGGCGCTCTCGGGGTTAAGAATAGTTCCATCGGTTTCAACGTTGCTGACATCAAAAAGCTCGACGTATTTGAGACGGTGCTTCCTCCCCATACCGACATATGGGGTCACATCATCTAGCTCTCCAAATTTTCGGGAGAACGCGATGTGACCTTCATCGGTGAGGCCAGTGCTACGGAAGACCACCACACCATACTACAATGCGGCCACTCAGTTAGTTCGATTGTCGGCTGTGAGCAATAAGGAAGGGCAAAGATCTGAGTGTTACCTTTGTCACAGCTCGATGTATCTCCGCAAACACTTCATCGCTCAAAGTTGCCAAGAGATCCACACCACTAATCTCAGCAGCGAAAGTCGAGTGAAGAGGTTTGACGGAGATGTGAGAGAAGGGCGTGTCGTTGGCGGTCTTTGAAACAGTGGCGGACATGCTGAACTTCGTCTTTCTCTGTTTTTGACAAGAGGTACGATTCTATGCACTAAGCTCTTGGCCTTCCATCGCCGTGGGTAGCTTGCTTCACCCCCTATATATAGGTATAGAGCCCCCCCCCCCCAGTCATCATGATTCATACAGCGAGATGAACAAGTCAAAGCAACATTGGAAGACTGATGATGAGCTAGCTATGCCGTCCGTCTGTTGCCGACTGGCGCGATGTTGCCGGTATTTCCAGGTTCCCATGTTCCCAATGTTGAATGTTAGATTTTGGGGTGACAAATATGATCCATAGCCATCTGTAGCCGACTTCGGGAGGTTCCAATGCTAAGAACGACCGAAAGGGGACAGCAGAGGTATGAATTTAGAGGATCATCTTCTAGGGAACTCACTACTTTGAACGTTTAATGAAAATGGAACATCAATATGACATTACCTCCTTTTATGTTTCCCTTTCAAACATTCGAAAAAAGATATCGGCCGAGTCACTTCTAGCCACTCCGGGAGATTGCCTCGACCTTATCCGCACTTCCCACTCACCTATACAAATTATTGATATCACGGGAGAAGAGGACCGACAGAGCAATGAATTGATGTTTCAAAGTCAGTCGGAGCCCCCAAAAAGACATAAAAAAATAAATGAAGCAGCTTGATTGACCACCACTAACCCCATTCAAGCAGGCATTTTAAAGAATATGAATTCATCTTATATCCGACTTCTTCAAGATCAATCGCTCTTTGAGCTTCTGTTCAGTGGTAGTCAATGTACTTCTTACCTGAGGGAATCCTTGTTCCGCAGGCATATTGTCTGGTCTCTCACAGCGTCAATGCCAGATCATACTCCTGGCGAATTCAGAAGGAAATTTGACATGCAATACCACCACCTCACTGCATTGCATTATTGTACAGCGCGCAATCACTGCCCTCTCATGTTTAGTTTGTGGTATCTAACGAATGATTTTGAGAGGCATGCTAGAGCTTAGGGAGATGCTGGATTTGTCATTGCGAGGATCACCTATGGACCTTATAAGATGCATGATTAAGGGAGGTCTCTTAGTTGATTTGCTCCTATGCCTAAAAGATATCAGTTGTCAAAATGATAGCAAACCTTGTCGAACATGATGCTTAAGATATCTATTAGAAAGCATGCTATATTGTGTATAATACTGTGTTGTGAGTTATTGGACTTCTCGAAGGTTTGTCTCCAAGGTTTGTCTCTGTTGAGAATCTAGGCAGTTGATGTATGGCTTATGCCATGAATTAGCCATAAATTCAACAGCAGAGATTAATCAGCATTTGGCATCGGATATGACAGGTCTAAAGAAGAAATTTTAGGGTGTATAAGGGGTTTTTCGCACAAATGAGAATCCTCAGACTTAAACAATCTCATCTATTCTCTGGTACGTTTTTTCCGTACGCGGCGCAGTCGTCATTCTCCATTACAGACATTGTAGTATTTCAACAGTCTCCGAGGTTTGTTTCCAAGCCCTGGATTTTCTATCTAGGCTGAATCTTAGGAATACATATCAAAGGATAAATTCAAAGTTTTAAAAGTTAATAGAAGTCATACATCTTCTATAGAGAATCGATAGACAGGTACTATGTTCGGGTACGATCTGAACATAGAGCACCTGGGCAGCCAATTGAAATAATTATCATCCATTGATTCAGCCTCCTGCTACCATCTTCAGGTTTCAAAGCCCAAGGGTGGTCTCTATGCGAGTTGGTAGCCAATGAGTATATCTCCAGGGATTGACACTGAACGACAAATTTCTAGATGGAAATCAGGGAATCCTCTAGATGGATAACTTCTCCTTGTTCCTTTTGTCCAGACTCGTGGTTGAACCTTCCTTCTTCATCCTCATTTTTGCCTTCTCCCATTCTCCAGGCTAGCTTGACGCCCTTGAATGCATCTTCAACTTCTTCCAATGTTCTTCCTGATGTCTCAGGGAAAACGAAAAAGACATGAAGAGTCATGGTGAAGGCGAACACGGCAAAGATGACATAGGTCTTCCAAGTTATGTTGACGAAAGCGGGCGGGATGAAATAGCTCAAAGCAAAATTGAACGCCCAATTGCTGGCTGTAGATAATGCAGCCGCTTTGCCTCGCAGACGAAGGGGAAATAGTTCCGATGGATACACCCACTCAATAGGGCCCCATGTCGGGGCAAAAGAAGCCACAATGAGATAGGAGCAAGCAATCACAAGTTTTGCGGGAGCTCCTGTAATCAACCAACTCTGTTCGGGAATATGGTCCAATCCCCCTGGGGGAGCTGGGGCACCATATCCCCCCATTAGACCTGCACATATGGTCCACCAGATAACAAGAGAAATGCTTCCTCCAATGAGTAATGGACGACGCCCGATCCGATCCATGAATAGCAGCGCGGGTATGGTCATCACCACGTTGATCACAGAGGCGATAGATGAAGCCACCAGGTTGGAACTGCCACTGAGGCCTGCCATTCCGAAGATGTATGTGATATCTGGAGGTGTCAGTGACAGATCCGCCATGCTAGATAGAGTGGGGCTTACAATACAGAATGGCGTTAATACCAGTTAGCTGACACCATACCTGGATGAAGACGACGATATGGGTTCGCCAAATCATATGCGGCCGGAAAAGATCAAAATAAGTGTTATCGGTCTTGTCGCGCTCCAACTCACAGGCATCTTTCAGCTGCTGGATCTCCATCTGGATAAACTCATCATCGAGGTTGTTGTTGGAATGGATCGAAGAAAGAATGTGGCAGCATTCGTCCCAGCGATCTTTCTTTGCCAACCATCGCGGAGACTCGGGGGTAAACAACAACCCAAAGAAGAGGAATATTGCGGGAATCATCTGTAGACCCCAAGGCAGCCGAAAGGCGACAGAGCCTGCGAGGAAGGAAGAGCCATATGATACATAGAACATGATCAAAACACCCCATGTGATGGCCCATTGCTGAGCACCCATTACCAAGCCTCTAAGATGAGGAGGCGCAAGCTCTCCAACATAAACGGGAACTTGCGCAGAGCATATTCCGACACACAGGCCGTTGATAAATCGACCCACGATTAACATAGCGACGTTCTGGGAAGCGGAGCAGATCGTGCTTCCAATAATCCTGTCCCGTCATGCATTGCGTTAGCTGCTTTCAAATCACCAATATATAGACTAAACAACCTTGTCTAGAGCGGATCCTAGGTAGTAATTAATACATGACTAACCATATGATAGATCCTATCTGAATAGCAGATTTTCGTCCGAATTTATCAGTCACGACGCCTGAGATCAATGCCCCAATGAGAGAGCCTCCAGACATAGACGCCGTGATACCACCTTGCAATGTAGAGCCCGGGCCTGAACAGTGGACTGCATCATTGAAAGGGGGACCGTTTGGCCCTTGATTGAAATAGCATCTATATTGTTGGGTGGGAAGGCTGCACTGGTCAGCCTGAGAAAGTGCTTGTTTTCTCCGAAGAAGCACTTACATGGCAGACATTGAGGACAGATCAAACCCAAAAAGCGAGCCTCCGATCACAGCAATAGCTGTGATGACATAAATGTTGGTAATCATCATTGTAGCCCTGGGAGCGATGAAGGGGTTTACGAAAATCGCGGTACATCTGCCTGAGGACAAGAGAGATCTTCTATAGCATCATGGAATCTCCCTGAAACTTTGTTGTCCATAGTCTGTGCTACGTTGGCCACCTAAAATCACCTTTAGCCATCTACTGCCTTCAAGGTTTGTATGGGTTGAGTCACTTTGGTTCTTGGGGAATGCTCCCCAATTTGAGAGATCCGCGGATCAACTTCCGTCCCAGATGAATCTAGTCAGCGAGAGGCTAAGCAAGTTATAGTATTCCTGTACAAGTGACGCCTATCCGTCCATCATTTTACCTGGGCGTGGCTGTATAGTTAAGTTTTGGAATGGAAGACTATAGAGATCCCAGTTCGGTCCTGCGGAAGCCATCGTGTCTCCGAGGCAGCGAATGAAGACCAGCTTCACCGGCTATAGATGGCCCAAGTCGGAACTTGCCCGCTGATCATGAGAGATCATGCAGTCGTTCCGTCTTCTCGATTCTTACATGGGCGTAGAGGCAATTTTACATTAAATCATCCATCTGTAGCCGCCGACCCTATCACATGATACTCATCGCCTTTCCCCCATTCCGTCCTCCCGGCCAAAGAAAGGCTTCAACCTTTTCACTTTGTAGAGTTAAATGATTGCGTATTTCCAGCCGATTGGATAGCAGCAGTTCTATGAGTGGTATCTGTCAACTGATATAGATGCCATTTTCTCACTGATACCAACAAGTGATAATACTATAATGCTACCCTTGGTGGGCTCAGGGGTAATTACACGAGCGCTGGCATAGCCCGTATCGACGCAGTGAGACTTTCGGTCGTGGGCGGGTTCTACCTAAAGATATTACCGATAGACGATCGATATCTAATCTATTCTAAGTATATATCCGAGTAAGTATATGTTACGACCCACTAGGAGAGCTTAACAGTTCGCACACTGAACCAAAAGGTTACTATGACTGCCGTCAGGCAGTCAGCTCTCCCACCACTTTAAGTAGCGCACTCCGTCTGGCTACACACGTGACCGTAACAGCGGCCACTACGTCCCGTTGCGGTCGCAGTCTCCCTGTCAAACCAGACATATCCATTTGACATCCCATCAAACTATGCTGGTTCTGACAGAAAGTCTATAAAAATATGGCTAATGGTATATAAAAAAATATTTCTATACTATAGCCGAGCATAGATATCCTCTCTCTACTTTCTTAAGTTGAGCATCGTCTTACTACTTTTGACTATGTATAGCCTCCTTGACTTTCTTGTTATATAGTTTTTAACTCGCTTAGCTTCTCTTAATATTGCCTCTTCAATTTATTCTCTCACTATATTTAATTGCTATTTTAAACCTTATCTCGGTATACCTTATTATATTTCCCGTTCACTATACCAATCGCTTACCTCGGTATAAGTTATAGCTAGACCGCTTCTTTATTAGTTTTAAGGATACTTAAGGATATATTATATTACAAACTTCTTCTCACTTTTCCCCCTCTTAGCATTAAGTGTATTACGTTGATCAGAGTCCTAAAAAAAAGCTGAAAGTGCTTATATATAGTAAATGATAAAAGCGTAAACTGCGGCGGAAGGAGATCCGGGAACGTTGAAAAATGATAGAAGGATTTAAGCGTGCGATTGTATTTAGGATGTTTGACTATGAATAAGATTATTTAATAGAATATGTGATCTTCAAGGAGCTCTAGGCCTGAGTATAGGCCATTCCCTACTTATGCCGTCTGAATATAAAGAAAGATGACGACACCGCCCCCCCCCTTCCTGACGCGCTTGCGTGAGCCACCGGGGAGTAGGGAAGCACCGGGGAGTAGGGAAGCCATCATGATACCCTACAGGCCCTTCCCGATATCAATTCGAATATCAGAAAGAAATGATAATGACAAATATTCTAATTTTACACAATAAGCCACCACAAATCTAGTTCTCAGCCAACGGGCCAAGTAAGCCACAACCTTAATCTTTACTTTCAGTCTCCTGAAAAATGAGCTTGATTGCTTGATTACCAGTAAAAAATATACCACAAAACAAAGAAAACGCAATGCATCAAAGGGGCATGAGTAAAGGGCTAAAAATACAGGATGGAGAGAAAGTGGTCAAGAGCAATGGAAACAAGCAAACAAGACAAGACGAAAAAAAGAGAATAGGGAATCGAGGAGGAACGACCGGGTTGTGTGGTATCTGGCGGGCCATACAGGATAAGATGGTAAGCAAGGAAATGGGTGTCAGCGAGCGAGGGTGTAGACGAGAGCCAATAGACAGCAGGCGAAGAGTAATCGTAATGTGAAAAAAAAGATTTCCATTTGTATTATTCATGCCGTGATGTCAATGTTGAATAGGGCTCTTTTCTCCGGGGTGATTGTTGTAGTGGTAGTTGTAGTAGTGGTAGTAATAGTAGCGAGAGGATATCAGAACTGATAAAGACAGCTGTATGAACAAGAATAGTCGAAAGTCAAAATCGAAACCCGAAAGCTGGAAAGAAAAAGGCTCCACCGAAATAAAGCGCAGTCAAACACCCCAGACAAGAAGACAGGAAAGTCAAGCATATCAATTGCGAACTTTTCCAGCCTCTCTGACAGCATTCATGAATCCATCCTCAGTGCCAGCAGAAGAAAGAATCCAATAATCAGCGACACCCGGGTTCTCAATGGACCCACCGCCAAAGCCAGAGGCAGCAGGAGCACTATGGCGATCCTTTGGGGTTTGAGTACTAGCGCCACGCGAGCGGGGACCCCAGCCGATAAGATCTCGGACGGCGAGGCGAGACTCGTCGTCGGACTGGTTGAAGGAAAACAGTTGGGTCTGGAGACAGCCTAGGACTGCGACAGCAGAGCGGATCATAATGCGATCACCCTCGAAGACCCAACAATCCCAGACGCGGGAGAGGCGCTCGAGATCAAGGCCGTTTGTCAGGAGGGAGCGGAAGATTGGTTCCCAGATTTCTTCGTCGGAGAGGTGGTGGGTTTCGGTGAGATGGGCGAGGAGGCGGGGGAATTTGTAGCGCAGGGTATCCGTCGCCAGGGTGTAAGAGCGGGCCATGGCACCGCGGTCCCAGGTGAGGAATGCGACTGGGAGGGGCCTGTTTAGGGCGTTGGCCATGGCGAGAAAGGCGGATGCCGGGGTGGGGAATTGGAGGACGAGGAGGGCGGCGATGGTGTGGAGGCCGTAGATATAGCCTACGTCGCTGCGGTACATGCAGTATGCCTGAAGGACGTCGATGAGGGTCTCCCGTAGCGGACCACCTTCTTGGAAGAGGTTTAGATCTGAAAAGGCTTTCGGGACGTCTGTTTTGATCGCTTCAAAGCAGTCCAGCAATCGCTTGTTGTTCTCGCTGTCTGCGTCCTTTTTGCGTTCCAGATCCTTGGCTCTTTGGAGCGCTTTGGTGAAGGTCTCTTCATTCAAAGAAAGTTCATTACCGAGAGCGGTTTTCCAGATATTACCTCTGTTGCGAGGTGGGATTCCGCGCCACCAGAGTTCCCGAATGCGAGGCTCACGGAGAGCGCGGTCCCAATTAGGGTAAACATATTCATCCCAGATGTTTTGCAGCGTTACTCGGGTGCTATCCTTCTCGCACTGCGCGGAGGCATCCCGGGCAGCTTTGCGTTTCTCTGTACGGCGAATTAGAAAATGACCACAAGTTCGCCTATAATCGACACTTACCAGTCTCCCGAGACTGGGCCATCATCTGCTGATACTGCTTTAAATGCTTCTTCTCTTCCTTCTGGTCCTTGGGCGGAAGCCAACTGGGGCGTGTTCGTGTGAGGACCTTTTCTTTCTCTTTGCTAATTGGTAATGGGTCGATCATGATATTGCTCTTCTGTAGAGGGGGCAGTGCAATAGCATCGCGAGAAGCTCGATGCGAATCTTCACTCGATTTTCGTGTGGCTCCAGTTTGCACATTCTCCTCGCGCTGGCGATCTCTATCATCTGCATGCAGCTCAAGGGCCTCGGTAATGATCTTAGCCTCTTCAGACAAATCCGACATGTAACTATTATAGGAGTAGGCGCGAGGATTGCGAGGTGAGATCTGACCGCGCTCAGGGCCTGCAGAGCTCGATCGTTGTATCCGCTTCATGCGGGATGCCTTGGCTGTATTCTCGGGTGCAGGTACGTGCGTTTCGGAGATTTCATGCGAAAAGGGCAATGGGCGCCGGCCGGGGCTGCGACCACCATTGGGACTGCTAGGTCTTGACAGGGTGCGATCCTGCTGAGGGCGTGGGGAGATTGGAATGTTCCACAAGCTTGCATCATCCGGTAGTTCATCGTCCGAATCATGGTATTCCTCCTCCAGGTCTTTCAAAGACTTGCGATTCGGGTGCCAGTTTTGTTTCTGAGTCGGTGTGCGTGCGGACAGCGGAGATAACGCTAAGCTGGTGCTCGAGGCGGAGCGACTGGACGTGGGTCGGAGTGGTGAAATTGAGCGCGATCGATGAGGCTGCGATGGAGCCAACCCTGGGGAATGGAGTGTATTACTCGAGTCTCTTCGATTGCCAGGCCTGGCAGAAAGAGAGCCTGTCGATTGGGGATTCTTGGTTGGTCCATTGGCCTGCATGGGAGGTAACGGGCTTCGCTTTCGGTTTTTCGGTGTACTGGTCAGGTCGCGTGTGGAAGCCGCAGGGGTCTTGCTCATTCTGGCAGCGGGCGACCGTGCCATGGCTCCAGCGCGGCCATAGGAGCTCGCTGGGTTCACGTAGGAGATTGCGGCATCATCCTCCAAGCCAATTTCTTCGAAGTTTGAGATATCTGTGAAGATACTGTCCGGGTCGTCCAGGTGGGACGACGAGTGAAACGAGGAGGATTTGGAGGATTTGGACTCGGAAAGCTCGGGGGGAGAATTCGGCGTTGGACCAACGGTGGTCATGGTATCATACGAGGGTGTTCAAGGTCTGTTGACCCCCACAAATTGCCCTAGCCAAGAAAAAAAGGAAAACACAGGAGGAACCGACGGGATGGCCGGAAGTGATCGAGATCGGACACGAGGATCGGGGGGTTTTTTGGAGAAGTCGAATTTGAGCACGATCGACGAGCAGACACTTCAAACAAAGATAACCAAGAAGACAATTCACGAGTAACGAGTAACGAGAAACGAGTAAATAAATTGCAGGCTCAGCCGCAGTCTGATGAAAGCCAGATCAGGTGTTGTAAAGAGGGACAGGAGAGGGTCGACACGAGATGAGTCCACGAATACGTTCCGAGAAGAAAAGAAGAAGAGAAAGACCAACTGAAGACAAAGACAGAAACGAAGGAAGGTAAAAGAGAAGAAGAAGGTGGGAGAATTCGCGATGCAAGCGGGCCTCAGGCCGCACTCGGTCTGGCCGAGAACAGGGGTCAATTTCCCGCTTCGAACGGACTCCATACTTGATGCAGATCGGTCTGCCAGAGAACGGCATTGCTTGTTTCTCTTTCTCGCATGTCCGAGCACTCCAACTCAAGCCGGCCTTCCATTCTAGCACTCTTGGGCGATCAATGTCTATCTGCTGGGTAGTATGGTATGGGCTAACGTTACTAGCGATCGAGCGGATACAGTATATGCCCCCATCTCCCACCGTTTGATGGCGATCCTCCCACTAGGAGGAACTGTGTTAGATAAAGCGATCGTAGCATCATCGTGGGCTTTTGGCAGCGATTATCCATATCATTTTGTACGTTTGCCTGTATTTCTAACTCCTAGAGCCTAGGGACATGAGATACCTCAATTTGCTCTACTGCCACATAATTAAAATGCGTACCGAATGCCCACCAAGTCCAAAATGTGTGTAGGTGAGAATTGATGATTTATCTGAATCATTTTTTTTAGGTAAAATATGAGGTGAAATATTATACTAAAAATGCGCCAACCATAACGCTCATGTTATACCTCCACTATGATATGGGGCAAGCCACGGGGTTACTTAAACCAAATGGAAGACATAAGAGATACGAGTCACTTTGACGTGCTATGAGTGTACCGGATAACTATGAACTCATTCGGGTTCATCTCAAACCCCCTGAACCACAATTCCTCTCGCCAATCGGGCCGTGATCCAATGGTAATGAATCCGTGGCGCGAGTAGATACGGTTGGTACAGTGGACATCTCATTGGACAACAGACAAAGTACAGTAGAGATAAATTTCCACCTAAAACCGCCATTGCTCAAAACTGGCATTACTCTTCTTAATAACCTGCATCATTCGGAATGCCTCAGCGTCAGACTTGGGCCGGGAGTGCTTGATTTTCTCCTCCAGCCAGTCCAACAGATCCCGATACCGGGTTTGCTTTCGCTTCAAAACAAACCGAAAGGCGGTAGCAGCCAGGAAGATAATATGCGATTGCTGCACGAAACACGAAAATGAAGACTGGGAGGTTGCCGCACGTCGGGCCTGGATCATACCCTGTGTCTGGATTATGAGAGCGTGGATCGTTTGGCTGACAGTGGCAAATCCTAGCTGTGCGCGGCCATGCAGTGATTTCATGTAGCGGTACATTTTCATGGCGCATGTGACAAAGCCTGAGTAGAGGTTTGCCAGTATGACTGCGCGGGAATTATGTCCGTTGTCAAGGTACATAGGGTGCAATTGCAGACGGAACGAGGAGAGCATTTTGCGCTGGAAGGTGTGACCTGGGAGGCGGGTGGATTCGACTGTCAGGGAGTCGGAGAGAGTCACAGCGGCTGACTCGCCGCCTTCGACGATGCGGTCTTGATCGCGGTGGATTTCTAGGGTGTGCGTGTCGATGAGTTTACCCAGGTATGGAAATAGGGGTGATCCTTCCAGTCGAGGCGGCAGGACTCCGTCAACTGCTGCACTGAAGTTTGTCATGCTCTTGGCTGGGTTGACTTGGACACCGTAGGTGGGTTGACCGCGGATCATTACTTCCAGAAACTGTGTTGCTAGATTCGCATCGGGGGTGATGAGGAGGAAATCGTCCACGAGTCGCATGAGGAGGGCATTCTCGGGTGTAATGAAATTCAGCACCTCTCGCTCTAGCTCGGCATAGAAGAAATTGCATAGGATGCTGGAAAGAACAGAGCCTTGGGGAATACCATTGCGCTGGCGATAGTACTTCTGGCTTATCTTGACAAGATTGTTTCGCACGTGCTCATTAAGCAGGTCCAGAAGATCTTCAGCTCTGTGGCTTTTTTGAGTTATTGTGTCAACAAAGACAGTATTGGCCTTTCGGCCTGCGGGTTCATTATTAAAGTAGTCTGGGAGGGGCTGTGGTTTCATTGTTGGGGCAGCACGGCCGATATACTTCCGCGCAGGCTTCCGTTGCTGAGCAGAAACTTGAAGTTCCACATGCTTGGAGATATGATAGCCCTCTTCAGAGACCAGCTCTGTTATCAGACCGAGTAATTTCTTTTGTGGGATTGTATCAAAGCAAGCTTGGATATCAAGCTTGACAAAACACAGGGGCGGAAGATTTGTTATCCGAACTTTAGGATCTGAAGACAATCGATTGATTAATTGCGCTTTGAATATCTTTAGTCGGTGATGCATATCCGTCACAGACGCCATTGACGAGCCTAGCTTGGCGGGCGCTTGCTGTCGTTCATAAGTCAACATGTTGTAAATCGGCGTGATACTTGAATTGATACTGGGAGCAAGAAACGTGCGCCGTTTCCCGCCCCAAAACGACTCTTTCATGACTCGTTTGCGAAGATTCAAAATGGGCCGGAGGCCAGTAGCCTTCGGGAGCAAACGGAGTGCACCAAACCCAAGAGGGCGCCGCGCCAGTACACGCCGGGCCCGATCTGGCTCAAGCTCTTCAAACATAGTGGTCTTTAGTTCACCGAAAGGCTGCTCGATCAATTTTTGCCAAACATCATGCCGGAAATAGAAGAGTCGATTTCGATGTGTTTGAGACTCGGTGACGTAGAAGTGCGAGCGAATTAGAGGAATAAGAATCGAGTCAAAGATCCAAAAAATAATTTCGTGAAGCAATTCCATGCGTTTGTTCAAATCGGACAAAGCGATCTTCGATCTTGTCTCAGATGCTAGATTCTGGACCTGGGGTGGCTCCAGCCAAGCAATGCTTGAGATCTAGAGTGTCGATCAGTATGGAGTCTGTCTCAGAACGCACAGGGCAACCAACCTTGATGCCTTTGCAAACTTCATGCAAACTGAGATTCTCGAATCGGCGCAATTTCATGAAACGGTCGACATTTCGGAGAATTAGTCGTAGATTGTGAGCGCCGCCTGGTCCGACTCCAAATAATTGACGGGGTATCAATTTCTGGAGTACCGACCGACAAAACGCGGAAACCGAAGATGTGGGAGTGGCATAATCAGTTAGACAGCTTCGAGGTTTCTTGATTGCAGACTTCTTTTTGATTTCAAATCCACTACATTTGTCTGCTGTGTGGCTCGTTGAGGTGGCATCGGACAACGTCGGCGCCGAACATATACTTGATGATGGCGGACCAAGTTGTACCTGCGTTACTAAATTTGACAGGAGAGATGAATTGGGCTCGCTTTGATTGGTGTCCGACTCGATATTTGAGGCGAAGGCGCCAAGTTCTTGGGGACCGGTCTCCTGCAAGATGTCAGTTACTTTCCGCCCGAAAGCGATAAAAATGTCTCACATCAGTTGGACAATAGTATCGCAGCAACTTCAAGTAGCAACAGCGTGAATTACGAGTCCGCAGTTTCCGGATAAGCTCAATCGCACTTCCACGAAGCCTTTTGGGAACTTTCGTATTTCCAATGCCTCCATCTGACGCGTCGCGCCCATTGTGGGCCCGCCCCGGTTTCTGTTCTTCACGAGCAGATATTTCGTTTTCTCGGAACATGAAGCGCTTGGGGTCATCGATACTGTTGTGGCCATCCGGGTCAACTGTAAACGCATTCAGCAGGCCAAATTGCCGAGGAAAGACATATTTCAGCACATGGACAGTTTGCGCTGCTGAATCAAGCGACGAGAAGCGGTTGAGGACATCTATGGCAAATCCAGTAAGTTCAGCAAATTCAGGTTTTGAGACAGTGTTCAAACGGTGGTAGACCTACGTGTCTTTCCCAACCCGGATGGTGTTCTCACGTTGGACTCGGCTCGTCCATAAAGCATGCGCCGGCGTAGAAATATGATGCTGTTTGGACCACGAACAGATTTATCAGAGACCCGTTTGCGGTCGCCATGCTCTTTGTGGAGCTTTCGGGCACCGACAGCTGGTGTTGGTGCCTTTGTCTTGGCGGGCTCTTCGGGGTTGATACCATCATTGAACGGCTCAAGCATTGACAGCGGTGGTCCTGTTGTAATAGAACTTCATAAGCACTCTGTTTAATCATTCAATTAGCGGAACCTACCACTTAGTTGGTAGTAAATGCCTTTTCGGGCATTGATGGCCACAAAGACTCCACAATCGAATAGCATTTGCATCATAATCTCCTCTCCATTACTACCAAGCAGCCCCAAGACCTCTGCCCATGCATCCTCCTTGAGAGTACGGACATTTTGGTTGGGAAATTGAGAGACAATTCCCGGAATACTCGTTTCCACGGCATTCAATCCCATTGCCGGGCGTTGGAACCCATGAGCCAGCAAGTGCTGGGGTTTTGCGTATGAACCATGATTGAAAAGTTTCCAAATAACAAAATCAACCACCTGCAGCCAGGGTCAGTGGTTTCAATGGAGAGATTACTCGGCAGCCACGGACGCACCTCGGATTGCGGACAAGTCGGACCCGTATCTGTGCTGACGAGAATCGAGCGCGACTGAGACTGCGTAAAAGACAGATATTCCTTTTGGCGTTCGGAGTTGAGGGTCGGTGAAGACTCCTTCAGCACACCCACCAGAGTGGAGTCTAACAGATGCGCCAGTGTTTGGGATGTTTCCGATGCTAGCTCGCCGGCTTGTGAACCTGTCAGGATACGGCGCCGACGCGACTTGGATGTCACGGGGAGTTGCAGCAGGAGGTACTCTCGCAGGGTCACCACCTGTCGGTAGTACAGGGAGATAACAGGATGGTTTATTGTTCCAGTGGATGGAGCCGGGTTTCTGAAACGGCGGGGAGAAGTGATACTCGGGTGAGACGAAGGCGGACCCCGACCCTTGATGGGTCTCTTCCTTTTTTTGCCCATGTTGTGAAGCGCGTGCTTGAGAGTCTGTGGGGATGGTCGTGGATACTTTTTTTTTTTGGTGCAAAGAGAACAAATTGCTCCCGGAGCTATTGACTTGAGACCATACGTAACCTTGGGGGGAAAGTTAGCCAGTTAACTTCAAAATTACAACTTTGAAGTTAGTCAACTATAACGTTAGTTAACTAGTCCACACTATTCAGACCTCTCACGTGAAACAGGCAAATGACCAATCAGCGGCTCTAATTAAACAATGGATTGAACCATGGAACGCACGAGTCTAGAAAGGCCGAACTCCAGGGGGAACGCGCAGTACCTGAACAGTACCTGGAATTATTCGAGGTGAAGTTACTGTAGATCGCGAACGCATAGTCGATGGAATCATGGTCTCTATGATGTAATATAATCTATTCTCTTCTCTATTATATTACCTGAGACCCAGAGTGAGGAACACGCAAATTAAACCTTGGATTTGGGGTTGTTTCGCCAATTTGATCGTGAACCACCGACTCCTCTCGCCTCACTTCTCTTTCTCTTTCTTCTCGTTGACCCGATTTTCCTCTTTTTCCTTCTTCCTCCAACTTTCTCACTCTCTCCTCTCTCTTCCACCACCCAGTGATCGACAGTAGGTGATCACTATCTGCCCCTACGCACGGCTTGGTCCGGAGAGCTAATAAACCGGCCCACCAGGATTCTGTTCCCCTCCCCAGATCGCCTATCAGCGCCCACTGGAGAACAAACGTCAGTTCGTCTACGCTACGATCCTCCCATTCGTCTACTTCCTGGCCTCCTCCTGGTCTCGGCCTCCTAAGGCGATCTTCTTCTTCTCCTTCTCGACATTACCTGAAATCTCCGATTCGAGTCTCCTCTTCATCCTCCCCACACTTTTGGATTCGAAGGGGATTTCCCCTCGGCATCAGGTTGAGGTTTGTGTGTCTCAAATATGAATGCTGAATGGGTGTGCGCCACCCGAGAATATTGCTTTGTAGCCTGAACCGACTCACCTGCGACATCCTCGTTGGGCGTTCATTCCGGAACAACGCATCAGTTTCTCAAGCCAGTCCACGTCGATCGGCCTGAAGCATGCAAAATGTCTGGCGGTGACGAACAAGGTTTTGGTGTCCGGGATCATGAGCCGCTTCCGTTTGGGCGACAATCCTTTGGCCACTCTTTAGACTCGCCGACCGTACCTTTCAACCCCGACCCTTCGACCACGTATTCTCCGACCTTCACTCTCCCTCCTTCCTCCAATCATTTGACCGAATCGCACAGAGGGCAATCTCCAGACCCTGCCGACTATTATCGCCGTGGAGCCCTATCAACATCCAATGTTAGTGAAGGGCTTGGAGATGTGACAACAGGCATGGCTCCGGCCGACTATTCCCAAAGTGGTGACAAAGTGTCACCGCTGCCAACAAATGGATTGGAGTCATCCCGTGCCCAGCGACCGACATATCGCTCAGTATCCGACTCCTCAAGCTTGGGTCCATCCAACATAGCTTCACGACCAGGTCCACGATCCCGCCAGGCTTCATTCAAAGACTTGATCAACAAGTTCAACAATACCTCCGACCAGGTTCCTCCCCGACCCTCTGCATCTCGTTCCGCCTCGAGAGCAGCGAGTCCTTCTGGTAGTGTGGAAGACACGGACCGACCTCGTCTCCTGCCTCGCCATCGTCACGTTCGCGATTCTCCACCCGTCTCTATCACCAGCCATCCGCGCACTTTAGATTCCATACCCTCATCACCGGAAATTGAGAAGCTTGAGCCGTCACCGGCACCTCCCCACGGGAACACCATCCCGCCGCCTTTGTTTCAACAGATACAAGAGGCACATCCTCGAAGACCTTTGTTCGGTGAAGTGTTGTCGATCAACACTCAGGTCAACGGCATCGGCCTTGGAATCCCATCTCACTTGCGACGCCGTGGGTCTGATGGAAGTATCCCAAGCCCAAACCCAGCGTTCATTGATCAAGCCGAATACTCTGCAAAATCTCCATTGACTCCTACCGCATGGTATCTTGGACACACAACATCTTTAGAAGCAGTCCAAGGCGGAGTGAATGGTGGAAAACATCGCAGAGTACGAAGTGACCTGGACCAAAATCCTTCCCGAGAGCCCCTTGCCGAGCCGTGGGAACCTGATATGGCGATCCGCGCGCCCTTGCAGCGGGCGAAGACCGGTGAGAGCCCGCCGGAAAGTCCAAATTCCAAGTCTCGCATTCCTGTCTCCTCGCACCGTCTTCTCACTGCTTCCGGCCCGGACGCCCTATCGCCGACTTCCAATCCGACATTCAGCAGCCGATCTGCTGCTATTATTGTACCATCCAAAGGCACCAGCCGCCTTCCTATTGCGTCACCAAAACAGAGCCCATCCCGCATGCCACAGGATGATCCTGCCTCGTTTACAATAGCCTCGCGTGGCAGACGTGACCCGGCAGCTGGCCGAACCCGCAATCAATTATCCGAATCCAGTCGACGACTTCAGGCATACATCGCTGCCCCACCGCCGAAAAAGTCACCCCAGTTGCGTAGCTCGCGACCCCGACAACCTGTCTCAGTCTCACATGGTACCTCGGTCTCACCACGCTCCAAAGTTGGTGACACACTTTCGTCATTACAAAAGCGAGTCGAGCACAACGACCCGCGTTCTCGGCCTCGGCAACGCAGAATTCCCGAATTTGGTAATGTTGATCTGGAAACTCGCCGCCAACGTATCCAACAAGCTTTCAACAAAACGGTTCAAGAGAATGAGCGAAAGGAAGAGGCTGCAGCAGAGCTTCGACGCCGTACTTTGGTACTCGACCAACAGGCAAATGAGCCTTTCAATGCGCCAATCGATGAATCTCTAATCACGCCCATTCCGCCTGTGGCTGATACTCCAGTACCCGAAGATATGACCACTGTAGTCGAAGAATCGACCACTCCGGTCGCCTACAAGAAGAATGGTATAGAAGGAGTTCCGAAGCTGCATCTCAATACTACTCTCCCAACATCAGACGCGGCGGCACCACACACCACAATGGACTCTCCGACTCTTGGTATCCCACAAGGAGTAAGCCAAAAAACGTCCATGAACGAGACACAACCATCTGAGGATACAGCTCCATGCTCGGCTGTAACAACGGATTCCAACGACACCCATGTTACCGCTTTTGACCCGGAGCCGCAGTCTGGGCTCCTCCAAAGGAACCCCAGCTTATCCAGCCGGACTATTTTGAACCAGATCATGCAAATCCGTGAATCTAGCCCGAGTGATGATTCATGTGATGAACCAGATTGCAGCATGTCTGAAGCGGACGATAAAGAGTCTATTCAAATTATGCTCGGAGATACAAAGAGCTACTTCAATTCTTCAAATAGCACTGACACCCGGGGGGCTCAGAATCCATCGATGCAGGAGACATCGGCCGCGAATCAGCCTCATCACAGATGGAGTATGAGTTCATGGTCCTCATCTGTACAAAATCAAACCTGCGACGAGCAGTATGACGAAAGCTGCGATGATAGTATCATCGCAGGCCGCGACACAGAGCCCCCAACCGAGACTTGCTCGGTTGTCTCGACCAGGCCAGCCTCTATCGCCGACGACGAATATTCCTCGCCTCTTCAAGATTATGGTGTAACAGGGCCTAGCACTCTTCAGGCGTCGGAGTCGCAACCTTTCGGCAATTCATTTTCCACGCCACCCACCTTGGCTCGACTTGGTGGATGGGATTCAAAACGTGTTACTCAGCTCTACTTTGAAGAGTTGACTCGCGGTAGGAATCACAATATGCCTATTCCTGCGGTCCACATCTCACCCGAACCTCGATCTCACCCAATGGATACACGTGCTGACGGGCGAGCCAACAGTCTCACTGATGATCCGGTCGTCGTTCCAGGTTTCCAAGACGTCCCTGCTCCGGATAGACTGTCTCATGGCGCCAGTCTAGTTGGGCGTGATGACTGGGAGCATGCCTCTCCGTCCATCATGGACTGGATGCAAATCGCTGCTGAGGATGAACATGCTACGCCTGCTGGAAATGGACCTGGAAGTCCCAATACAGAAGACGTTCTTACACCAAGATTGTTGCCTTCGACGTTGGACACTGGTGTTTCAGACAACTCGAACGATGACTCTAAGGCCAGTAATACCAATGTTTCCAGGGAGCAGACATCTCAAATCAACCTCCCGAATCCTTCAATGGATCCATCAACGATGTTGCAACACGTCAAGTCTGCGGAAATGCCAGCAAGCGAACTACCGGCTGGTCCTCTGAGCAACTTGAAAGCCGAAGTCAACCAATCTGCTCCTGCTATCATGAGGCACAGCCCGGGAAGTAGCGAGGACTCTTCGTTGCGTCACCATGAGGCCGAATCCATTCGCGCTGCCGACTCATCAGCAACGTCTCTTGCTCCATCGTCAGAGAACCCTTTACGTCCTGAGACCAGCAAGTCTCCTTCACCTGAAGAGCGCCGTCTCAAGAAGCGTCGTTATATCATCAAAGAAATCATCGACACAGAATACGATTTCGGTAATGACATGAAAATCGTTGAGGATATCTACAAAGGAACATCCACCTCTTTGTTGGATCTCTCTGCTGAGGATGTCAAGGTTCTATTCGGTAATATTGGGGAAGTGGCAGACTTTTCTGATGCCTTCTTAATTGATCTTAAGCAGGCAGTCAAGAAGCTTTACGTCATTCCACTTTCTCAGCGCTGGAGCAGCAGGCGCAATCGCAAAAATGGTCTCGCAATCGACCGGCCCCCCTCTACAATCAATGAAAATGCTGAAGGTGACAAACTTTCAGACCTTGAAAAGGACCGTGGTACAGCTATTGGTCGGGTCTTCGTTGCCCACATGACTAAAATGGAGAAGGTGTACACTGAATACCTGATGAACCATGAAGCAGCCACCAAGAAACTCCACTTCCTATCGAAGAATCCAAAGGTTGTCATCTGGCTGGAGGAGTGCCACCGTTTTGCAGGAGATATTACGAGAGCGTGGAACCTCGACGCTTTGCTAGTCAAGCCTGTGCAAAGAATTACAAAGTTCCCGCTCCTGTTAGGCCAACTTCTGGAATCCACGCCAAATGATCACCCGGATAAAGCTGCCATTGCCACGGCATTGGAACAAACCGCGAGTATTGCCGATCGTATCAACGAGCTCAAGAAGCGTGTGGAAATTGTTGGAACTATCGGCCGGAAGCGCAACCAGTCAGATGTACGTGCTGGTCTATCAAAGGCATTTGGTCGTCGCACGGAAAAGTTCAGACAACAAGTCGGACTTTCTGATTTGTTTGAAGACAAAACATATGATGCCTTGGCACAGAAACTCGGTGACGGGTACTTCCAATTGCAGGTGGTCATGCGAGATGCGGAGAGTTACACCAAGGACATTCAACAGTACATGGAGCAGTTTAGCGATTATGCTGGTGCCATTGTTAGCATGACATCCATGGAGCAGTCTAGTTATCCGGAGTTGGAAAGCAAGTGGCATCTGTTCAAGCTGACTGTTCAAGAAATCATGACGGAGGCCTTGCCAGCACACGTAAGTTTGGACCTGTCTTTATATTGAAACATCCTAACCTTTAACAGATTGAGGTTGTCCGGAAATCGGTCATAGACCCGATGATCCAATTACTTCAAATTTACGAGGGCCCACAGCGGATTATGAGGAAGCGAGACAAGCGGCTACCGGAATATGCACGCTACAAGGCCATCAATGACCGTGGTGACAAGCCAGACAAGAAGACCACCGAACAGGGAGAGCAGTTTGTCGCTTTAAATGAGACACTCAAAGACGAGTTGCCCAAGCTCTACGCCTTGACTTCAAAACTCATGGAAGCCTGTCTCAAAAACTTCATCCAGATCCAGTCCACTTGGTTTGGTGTTTTGCAGAAAAAGATTGGAGCCCACGTTGAAGCATTCCCCAATGATCTTAATAAGCTCATCACCGACTTCCACTCTGACCACACCCTGATGGAAGCTCGAGTCTCCGAGCTGAGTTCTTGCAATGGGTCCATACTAGCCTCGTCAGTTGATCTGGTGCCTATGTCGCCCTTCAATGAAGGCATCACATCCCCTCGCCGACCTTCAACAATCAACAGCTCGACCAGGCCCGGCTCCATGACAGATGATTCACCCAAGGTGTCTCGCGACTTCAGCATCGGAAGTCACCCATTCCAGTCACCTCAAATGGAGAGCCATTCAGTCCGCACCGGTCGCTACCGGGCCGATTCCACTTTGTCTGGTCGTGTCGTATCAGACGGCCCCAGCAAAATGCTGCAGCAAGTCACTGGCTCCAGCACCCCGGCACGAACATCCGAAACAGAGCCTTTCCCAACCCTGCCACAGCTTAGCCTGGACGCGCCTTTCCTGGCAGATGTGATTAACAGCTCGCACTCAACCCATGCTCCACCTTCGCCTACCGGCGGCCGGTACTCTGGATTCTTCTCGTCCGCCATGCCCATGTCCGATACCCCCAACGAGCCCCCAGCGGTTCCTATCAGCATCACCAGTTCCCCTGCAGCGCCTGCTGTTCTCTTCTGTGCAGCCAGCTTGTACAATTTTGATATCGACGCCCGCAGCGAGGGTGGATATTCCTACCTGACATACGTCTCCGGCGACGTATTCGATGTCATTGGCGAAAAAGGCGAGCTCTGGCTTGCCCGTAACCAGGACGATGCTACTCACACGGTTGGATGGATCTGGAACAAACATTTTGCCAGAATTCGAGACTAGATCAGCCACCACTGACAAATGACCGACGACCAACCACTGGACCATTGTTCTTGATATGCCGAAACAAAATAACAAAAACATACGACGAAGACCCAGGAAACAGGGCCAAAAAGGATTACAAAAAAAAAGTTTTTGGCTCTCCAACATGGTCTACGATATCATGTTCCAGCCTTGTTTCTTTTCTCTCATGATGTTTTCATATTGCCATAATACCCCCTGATGGATGACCAGGGCAAAAATTACAGCAGTGGCACATCCGCATGCATACTTTTTGCTTTCCTATCTGGCTTTCATACCTGCCGCTTTTTAGCTTGTTTTTTTTTTTTCTTTGTCTGGGGCCAATTCATGCTCGTTGCTTAGCAGTTCATATCCTTGTCTTTTTCTTTACCTTTGCCTTTTTCTCTCTACGGTTCCTGGATGTCTTTGGCCTTCCAGGGCTATGGGACATGTGTTAAGATACCCCCTCTTTCTCTTTAGTCCATGAAACATTCGGTTTACATCCAGATTTGCTTTTATTGTAATGTATGTTCACTGTTCGGTACACTTTAATATAACGTTATATCCATGTTTGGTACGGGGTATAGAACAATCGAAGTTAACGCTATCCATGGATCTTCTTATATACCCTTGTATCAATAATCCAAGCCTTGCAATATACTTCCTCTCTTTGATCAGAACCATCAAATATCACGAATCACTGAAAGAAAGACATGACAGCTCCTTCACGATTAGATCATGTGACCCCGCATGTGACGCAAGTGCCCAACTAGGTATCGGAGGGAGCATTCCTAGCCAGGCGTCAGAGTCAGTCCTTGTGAGGATTCACTCAAACCCTCCAACCTCGACCTGCTAACCCAACAAAACAATCTAGCCTCGGCATAAGACACGCGGGGGCGAACGTCAGTTGACCCTCTACCCTACCCAGCTCCTAAACCAACCCGACACCCCGCTCCAAGCCCACACCCCAGAGGAGAATGCGCAATTGAAAGCACATCGCCCCTCTCTACAGCCATCCAGCCCGTTTCGATCCCACCGTCTCCGACAACCCCGTAAGGCTGACGGCCTCATCCTCCGAGGAACCGTCCAATCCCGACCCAGAACCCGCCCCGGGTCCCACTTCCATTTCTCTGCAGAACTGGGGGGCATATCGCAGCCTAGCCGGAGTCCTTGCCGTTGCCGAATCCTGTTCGCCTCTTGCCACTGTGCTCGCTGTTCATATCCCAGGTCCTGGCATCTTTTGGACCGTGCTCTTGGATTAAGACTGCGCTGAGGATCGTCAGCACTGAATACTGTGGAGTCGGGCTATATTAGGTGTCGGTCCGTGTTGCGCGTTTGAGACCGTGGCGCAGTGCGGTACAGTACATATCTCGCGGTTTCTGGATATATCTCTTCCTTTCTCGTGAACTGTTGCGCATATTGGCACCATGAATAAGTTGCTGAAAGTACGGGGGAGATTTGGTGATACAGTCAGTCTGGATCGATGTTGAGAATTGGTGCAGCTGCTAACTCACGCAGTTGAACCCCGAGGATGCATACTTGAGTTGTGAGTCTACGGAAGATAAGCCCGGATCTTGCGATTGCCAAGTGATATACTTACAAATAGCCATCGGGTGCTCTCAGACTATGACGTGCGATGTATGACCCAATCCAACTGCTCGAGTGAGCAAAGCAATAGTTGGACTGGTAGCTGACATGAAAACAGTGACAAGAGAGGACATGCAAACCCTCAAGAACGACTGGCTCACAGACAATGTGGGTTTGGCGAGACAATCCAATTTTCCTGGCTGGACACCTGAGCTAATCCTATAACAGATCATTTCATTCTGGGAGGAGTAAGTCCAGGAAACCCTCGAATCGGACGCGCCAGTACCGAATCAAGTAACTGATTGCGCCTGTGGTCTAGATACCTCGAACACGAATTCCTCACCCGTTACAAATCATCCAATATCATCCTCCTCCGCCCAAGCATGTGCTTCATGATCCTGCAAACGCCAGACCCCCGAACTCTCCGCGAAGCCCTGCCCGATTTCAGTCGCGCAACGCACGTCTTCCTTCCCATAAACGACTGCCGCAACGTCAACGAAGCAGAAGGAGGCACGCATTGGTCCCTGCTCTTGATCTCTGTCGTCGACCGCATCGCTTTCCACTATGACTCGCTTTACCAAGGAAATGTCTGGGAAGCAGACACGGTTACTCGGAAATTCGGATATCTCCTCAACATGCCAATTCGATTTATGCATTTAAGCGATTCACCCCAGCAAGACGGGGGAAGTGATTGTGGCGTTTTCGTCTGCATGAACATGCGCCATCTTCTCATGAAGCGCTTGCTGCAGGCCAGCGCGCATGAGAAAGTTAGCATGAGTCTTGGTGGGAGGAAGGTTGATGCTCGTGCTTCTAGAAAGGAGATGGCTAAGATTATTGAAGGGTTCAGGAAGGAGGGCGAACGCCGGAGATCGTGAGTTTTCTGCACATACCTAGCTTATTACAATTGACATAAGAAGCTAATGTCTCATCTACAGAACGAGCGCAAGTCCTTTGGGCAAGAAATCGAGAAGTCCCCCTCGTGTCGATTAATGGGATTTGGTCAGTGATTGGTACATGATGAGTTTACGCCCTGTTTATGGTTCTTGTTTTATGCACACATATTCTGTTTTTTCTTTTTCTTCCTCTTCCCTTTGACCAATCGACATCGCAATACGAAACAACGAAGCAAACCAGAACAAGACCAGTGTGGACAAATACCTTTATGATTTTGTATTCATCAGCGTTGCATGACTTTTCACTACGATAGACACTATGACAATTTTCACTGGCTTGTAAACTATGACGGGTATGTGAAGAGAATGGAGAGGCGTAGAGATGAAGTGGATTATACAGCTCAAACTGACTGGTCAAAAAGCGGCAAGTGGTGACACTATCATTTCGGTGATAACTTAACTTGTAAGCTGCAAGACCTCTGTAGATACTCAAGACCAACGCAGAATAAACTAAATCAGATTAAAAACGCAGCCTATGATCTCCAAAGCACAACATGGCTATATACTCCGTAGTCCCAAACGGAGAATCCGCCTAAACCTGTCGAGCTCTATCTTATCGTCTGCATCCCCTCAACCTTCCCCGATCCCCATCTCGATCCACCATTCATCATCCCCGTCGGGCCAAATCGGGTAGATGCAGCAAAACTCAGAGAGCGGTAAGCGCCACGGCAAGAGAAAGCTCTCCGCATCACCGCAACGAAGCATCTCCGACCTCCTCTCCTCCAAGCGGCCTCGCCGCTCTCCATCTCCATCTCCAACGCGCAAACCCACCCATCCAACCCCGACCCCGAACCAGCACCACACCCACCAGAATCAGATGTATCAGTTTTCCGGATCACCGCATAGAGGCGGCGCTCCGCTTCGGGGCGCGTCGTCGGGGCCGGGCCCGGGCTCGAATAACGTCAGCGTTGGCGGTGGTGTCGGCGTGCCAGGTCGACCGCAATCTTTGAATGTCGGTGCTCGCCAGAGTAACTTCTCCCCACATACGGGCGCGAAGAAGCTTGTTGTCAAGAACCTGAGACTTGGGCCGCGGCTGAACCAGGAGTCTTATTTCGATAAGGTTTGGTCGCAGCTTGATGCGGCGCTTACAGCTGTCTTTGATGGCCGGAAGCCGGAGTCTTCGCTTGAGGAGCTTTACAAGGGTGGGGAGAATATTTGTCGACAGGAGCGTGCTGCTATGCTGGCACAGCGGCTTCAGGATCGATGTCGGGATTATGTCGATGGGAAGATGAGGGAGGCTCTTGTTGCTAGGGCTGGGGGGAGTGCTGATGTTGATACTCTACGGGCCGTTCTCGAGACGTGGTCTGCGTGGCATTCGAAGCTTGTATGTGATTCTGAACTGTGTCTGGGATCGTTGTGGTTGGGGAATTGAGGCTGATTGTTTTTACAGGTTACTGTTCGTTGGATCTTCTATTATCTCGACCAGTCGTTCCTCTTACATTCGAAAGATCAGCCCGTGATTCGTGAAATGGGTCTGATTCACTTCCGGTCTTATATTTTCAACGACTCCAGTTTGAAGCCGAAGATCTTGAAGGGTGCATACAATTTGATTGCTGCGGATCGAGGCGCTGATGTCAGAGCATTGGCGGACTCGTCCCTGCTCAGAGAGGCCATGGATTTGTTCCACAATCTCGACGTTTACAGCAGTGACTTTGAACCTTTGTTAATGTCCGAGTCTGAAAAGTTTGTTACGTCATGGTGTCAACGGGAAGTTGCAGGAAACCTGGCTACGTACGTCGATAATACTCGTCATTTGATTGAGCGTGAAGTGGAACGCTGTAATTTGTTTTCGTTTGCCCGAAGTACGAGGTTGAAGCTATCAGAGCTCTTGGATGAGACTCTTGTCGTGAAGCAAACCGACCTGTTGACTAACGACAATGACGTGCTTACTTTGATGCGAGCTGGAAACAACGATGCCCTTAAACAACTCTACGACCTACTTGCTCGGCGGGATTTGACTCTCAAACTGAAGGGTGCCTTCAAGAAATACATCGTCGAAGAGGGTGAAGCCATCGTTTTCGACCAGGAGAATGAAGCAAGTATGGTTGTTAACCTTCTCCAATTTAAGCGCAAGGCCGATGATATTTGGAGCTCCGCCTTCAAATCCAATGACGAATTGGGCCATACCCTCCGGGAGGCATTTGGCACTTTTATAAACCGTGGAAAGAAGATGGAATCCACTGGTGGCACCGACAACCCCAAGGCTGGTGAGATGATTGCCAAGTATGTGGATAGGCTACTCAAGGGTGGTCTCAAGGTCTCGTCCCAAGGACAGCAAACTCTCATTGACGAGGACGCTGAACTCGATCGACAAATGGATCAAGTACTTGATCTTTTCCGATTTGTGCACGGCAAGGCTGTCTTCGAGGCATTTTACAAGAACGATCTCGCACGACGTCTGTTAATGGGACGAAGTGCGAGTAGCGAGGCGGAGAAGAGCATGTTGGCTCGTCTGAAAAATGAGTGTGGCTCAAACTTTACACACAATCTTGAGTCCATGTTCAATGATATGGACACCGCCAAGGCTGAAATGGTAGCCTTCGACGCACTACAGAAGCAGAGGTCGCATAAGGAGCGCACCCCAGTTTCTCTACATGTCAGTGTTCTCTCCGCTGCCTCTTGGCCATCATATCCCGACGTCCCCGTGCGGATTCCATCCAAGATTGCCAAGTCAATCAATAATTTCGAGGCATTCTATGAGACCAAACATAAAGGACGAAAACTCGACTGGAAGCATCAACTATCACATTGTCAACTGAATGCGTACTTCCCGAAAGCAAACGGCAAGGGCAATAATATGAAGAACCTGGTAGTCAGCTCGTTCCAAGCCATCGTCTTGCTCCTCTTCAACGACGTCCCAGATGGCGAAAGCCTAGATTATACCCAGATCCAAGAAGCGACCGGACTGTGTAAGTTTACCAGCCCCCAGCCAACGATCAGCTCCACTAACACGGCACAGCGGACCCAGAATTAAAGCGAACGCTGCAGTCAGTCGCCTGCGCCAAATACAAAGTCCTAGTCAAGAGCCCCAAAGGCAAGGACGTAACATCAACGGACAAGTTCTGGTTCAACGCCGACTTCACCGACCCACAAACCCGCATTAAGATCAACCAGATTCAACTCAAGGAAACGAAAGAAGAAAATAAGACGACGCACGAGCGTATCTCGGCCGATCGACATCTCGAGACGCAGGCTGCCATCGTGCGTCTTATGAAGAGTCGCAAGGTCCTTGGTCATGCCGAGTTGATCTCGGATGTTCTCAATGCCACGAAGAGTCGAGGTGCGCTGCAGCCTGCGGAGATCAAGGGCGAGATTGAAAAGTACGTATTCTGTTCCCTCTGTGTGGGTCATGGTTTTTGTGTCTTTGCTAACAACTACTTCCTTTCCAGACTCATCGAGAAAGATTATATGGAGCGCAAAGAAGATACCAATGCATACAGTTACGTGGCATAGATCACGTTTCTTCTTTTCTCGTTGGACAGTCCCTGTCTCCACATTCTGTATTATTCACGCACGCATCTGGATCTGGTTCGGAGTATGGAATACGGAATTGATTTTACCTCTTCTCTTGTCATGTATGTTGACCAGCGCTCCTGATTACTTGTTTCAGACGTACACCCTGGGCAGCTCTGGGGATATTGTGGGGCTACCGTACCGTAAGACAGAGCAGTGGTCCCACCATTTAATAGCCAATACCAAATAGCAGAGGAGTTGGGATGTTTAAGTGATTTACTGTACCGCCCCGAAAGAATTCCTAACCGAGCCCTCTACATCTGGGTTGTTGGTCATTCATCCCGTTACCCCATATTCCAGCCATCCAGACAACCTTGGCCCGAGGAATCGGAGCAACTCCCGACCTCATAATGGACCTCACCAGTCCTCTGATTGGAACTGTACTTATGTGCCGAGTTCGACGGCCAGTTCCGATGGCGCTAAAGTGCACTAAGTCCGGAGCTCGTATAGACGAATCAGGTATGCCGGGCCGGGGTAGAAGGACTCGAAGAAGCCATGTATGCACAGTACATGTACAGTACAGTAGAAAGCAATCATGATCAGCTACCGATTCCTTATGCAATCGAATTAATTAACCATAAAACATAATTACCAATCACCTCGGCAGGGAAGCACAGGAACACCCCATGACCAAACCATATGCACGTCACCCCACACCCCCCTGGACCTGACAGTTACTCCCCAACCCTGGGATCTGCTGTGGACTTGCGGTATCCCTGTCGACTGTGGCAACGGTGGCAATGGTGGCAACGATGTAAATTGTCAATTGGGTCGCACCATGAATGATTCAGCAATTCAACCGTCCACAGTCAATAGTCCACGTCCACAGCCCAACGGATAACGATCCTCTCTGTCTTCATCATCCCATCCAAGTATGTCATGTGCACCGGCAAACCTACCCAAACCTATCCAAAGCATTGTGCATCGCATATACAGGAACCCGCAGTCACCACTCGGACGAGAGAGATGGGCCAAATATCCATTAGGGCTTGACTTTTCAGGATGCGGTGAACTCTCGAATGTGCCTGGCGGGATTCCCGCAGAGGGTAAGCCGAAGCGCTGCATCCAGACCCTGCTCATGTGAACAGGCAAAAATATCCCTTTGCTTTGAACGAGCGATTGTTGGGGATGGGCTGGTTTAAAGAGGGACTGGATTCTGTTGGGTTTACTGTCTTCTATTCTCTATTCTATTCTCTATTCTCAATTCTCACTATAAGTATAAGTTACCTCGATCTATACATAGTGAGGGCTGGTCAAGACGGTTAACAAGCAAAGGCCTCTCCACTTTCCCCATCTGTTCTCCAAGTTTCCAAGTTTAGAGACCATTTGGACACGAAGCTGTACAACCTCGTGCTATATAAATACGAGCTTGTCCCTCCAAGTCCAAGTCCAAATCCAACTCCAACTCCAACTTCAAACAATCTCAGATCCGTGACTGTGGTCACATCCACTGATCAACAATGCAGAGTATCACCCCAGATCTTCCCCCCACATTACTCCATACTCCCCAACACCAACACTAACACCAAATAGCCAAACACTTCTTCACCGACCCAAACCACCTCGTCCAAACAGCCCTCCACTCCCTAACCCTAACAAACCCCTCTCTAGCCCTCGACCAAGAAAACAAAATCGTCTTCCGGCGCCCCGACGCCCCCCGCAGCGCAACCAAAGTCTCAATCGTCACAGGCGGCGGCTCAGGCCACGAACCCGCCTTTGCAGGTTTCGTCGGCAAAGGACTATGCGATGCCTCGGTCGCAGGAACCATCTTCGCCTCCCCGTCCGCCGAGCAGATCCGGCGCGCCGTCATCGATCGCGTGCCGACCGAGAACGGCGTGCTGATTCTGCCCATGAATTACACCGGGGACGTGTTGAATTTCGGGATGGCAGCGGAGAAATCCCGCGCCGCGGGCATTCGCACTGAGTTTTTTGCTATTAATGATGATGTGGGCGTTGGGAGGGTTAAGGGCGGGAAGGTTGGGAGACGGGGCATTGGGGGTGGTGTTTTGATTTTGAAGATGGTTGGGGCGTTGGCTGAGGCTGGGTATGTTTTCTTTGCAATTTCTTTTTGTTCTCTTATTTTATATGCTTCGTGGGGGGTTGAGCTGCGGACGAAAGGCTAACTGCTGGACTGTTCCCTCGCAGTGCTTCGCTGGATGACGTCTATGCTTTGGCCCAATTGGCAAATGCCAACCTCGTCTCCCTGGGCTCGTCACTAGAACACGTCCATGTGCCCGGTCGTGGTCTGCCAGAGGATACAATCCCAGATGGCGAAGTCGAAGTAGGAATGGGAATCCACAATGAACCAGGCTCGCACCGCGTCAAGTTCAACCTCGTCGAGCTGGTCGAGGGTATGCTCCTCCAACTGCTCGACCACAACGACCCAGACCGCTGCTATGTGACCCGCAAGCCGGACGACAAGTTCGTCCTCCTGATCAACAACCTCGGCGGTGTGAGTCCGCTCGAGCTGGCCGGTATCACCGATGAAGTATACCGCCAACTGGAACGCGACTACCAGGTGACCATGGCGCGCGTCATCTCGGGCACATTCCTGACCAGTCTGAACGGACTCGGATTCAGCATATCCCTCATGAAGCTCGTAGACCCCGGCTTCGGCGCAGGAAAGTCCATGCTGGAATTGCTGGATGCCCCCGCCGAAGCCATTGGCTGGTCGGCGCCCGTCAACACGGAAACCTGGACAAACAGGATCGACACACCAGTCGATCTAAAGACCACAGTTCAAGTGGAAGATATCCCCAGCAACTTGACCCGTAAGTTCCCTCCAAACCCCCCACAGCCAACAACCAGCCCGCCTGGCAAACTAACACCCCCAAGTCGACCCAACAACCGTCCGGAACGTCCTGTCATCCGGCCTCCGCCGCGTAATAGCAGCTGAAAGCGAAGTCACACGCTACGACACGATCGTCGGCGACGGCGACTGCGGCATCGGGCTCAAGCGCGGCGCAGAAGCAATCCAAGCCCTCCTCGACACCGCAACCCCACCCTTATCAACAGACATAGTGGTCACGCTGAACCGAATCGTCACGGTTGTCGAGAACGTAATGGATGGCACGTCCGGCGCGCTCTATGCCATTTTCCTGAATTCCTTGGCGCACGGCCTGCGGGCCCAGGACACTGGGTCGTCGGCGCCGGCTACGACGGAAATCTGGGCTAAGGCTTTGCAGATGTCGTTGCAGGCACTAGGCAGGTATACGCCTGCTCAGGTTGGGGACCGGACGCTTGTTGATGCTCTTACGCCGTTTATTGAGACGCTTGGGGAGTCCGGGGATTTGGCATTGGCGGCGGAGGCGGCTGGTCGGGGGACGGAGTCGACGAAGGGGATGAGGGCTTCGCTTGGGAGGAGTGTTTATGTGGGTGGGGAGGAGGAGTGGGTTGGGAAGATTCCTGATCCTGGGGCTTTTGGGTTGTCTGAGTTTTTGAGGGGGCTTGCTGAGGGGGTTTGAGATGGGGTTGTTTTGGGATTGAGGAGATGAAGATGCGATTGGGGTTGGGTTTGGTGTTTGGGTTGTATAGTGGCTGGTAATTAGGATATTCTTTTTCTACGGGTGTGATTAATACGAATATGAGTGTTAGTATGATGCTTGTTAATTTGATGATGGTTCGGATTGTCAGTATGCTGTTCAGCGGGTCAGAGTTAGGGCTAGCCAAGTCTAGAGTTTGGGCTCATACTCAACCTTCCGGACAGCCTTTTCGCTTCAGCTATCACTTAACAAGCAAGATAGTTTATATCTATCTAGAGCTAGGAAAGATGGAATTCGAAGCTACACGGTTGCGCTGGCTGGAATAATGTAAAGAGGCGGGATGATTTGGTTGCAGGCCATGATGTATTAGAAAAGGCTGGAGAAACTGACAGACAACTGTGCCCCACGCTTCTAAATCACTCATATTTACAGTATCACTTCTTATATACAGGCAGTTCAGTAGGGTTACAGTCGCAACCTAGATTAGCACACAAGAATTACGTCAAGAATTGCACCTTGCTACAGTTACCAAAATAGAATCATTCCAAAACATGCATTGCTAACCGGCCCTGCTCCAGGACGCCGACCGACGGTCCCTCTACAAAAAAACAATGGGCCAAGTCGCCCGCAAAAGAAACGCCGAAAACAAAGTTTTTTTGTAGTCCACCCCTGGGAAAAACAAGAAAGATCAACCAGATGTTTCACCTGCACGCAGTGGTAACTTCAAAAGACATGTGTTTCTGTTTCTGAAGGGAGGGGTCGAACACAGCAATGGTAGTATCAGGCCAATAGCTCCGGCGGGGCTAGAAGCAAGGGAGAAAAGGCGGAGTAGGGAAGTGGAAGTGAAAAAAGGGTATCGAGATCGATTACATGATGACTCGGTGACTGGTTTGTAGGCCCGAGGTGCTGTGCAAGTGGCAGGATAGTAGCCTTCCCGCGGATGTAGATCTAGATACTGGATCTGGAAACCTGGCGGGATGGCGGAAGGGGGGATTGTGGAATTGAGCGCTCAGCTCAGCAAGACGAGGATGACAGAGTCGCCGCGAAGGAACCTATAGAGACAAAGGTCAGGAAATGTCGGAAAAGATGAGGAAGATGAGAAACAAGGAAGATCTAGAAGACCCCCGCGGTCTGCGGCCTGAACTCGGTCACGGTCACATACATCTTGGAAATGAAACGGTCCTTGTTCACACCCTTGCCCTTGCCGCCCTTGGGCTTCTCGGTCCACATCTCCTTGACGTTCTCCAGAACCATGTTGCAGTGTCGGTCAAAGGCCTTGACACGGGCCAAGAGCTTGCGGTTGTTTCGGCAGGAGATCAGGACCTGAGTATGCGTGCGGGTGGCGGTCTGCAGGAGGGAGAGCGGGCCAGCGGTCAGCTCATGCTCTTCGACGAGAGCGACCTCATATTCCCTGTTAATGCGAGATTAGTTTTTTCGCCCCTGCTGTATGTGTCTTGCGCATGCATAAAGAATGTGAAATGTGATGGGAGATAGCGGTCGCAAAAGTTTCCGAAATGCGGGCGTCGTGGACAGCCCCGCTGATCTGAGATCAGGCAGAAATCGAGGGGAAATGCGATTACTCAGAAATCGAGGAAGGGATATCGAATGTCAAAGCAGAGGGTACATACGTGAGCTCGCTCTTCGGCTTGTTGAGCAGGTCTCTGGGGGGGATGTTAGCTTGGCGTACACAATGAGTCATCAATGTTGTACATACTGAATCTTGGGATCGGGAGCTGTAGACATGGTGGGTATAAAGAGGGCGCGAAGGTCAGAGGTGTGATGTCGCAGTGTCTGAAGTTGAAGTTGGAGCTTGTGTCACGTGAACACGTACTTTGACACCTTATCAATCAGGCAGCCTTCCCAGCCATTTTGCCGTTTCGTGATTGGACGCGGTCACGTCGCGTCACGTCTGTTTGGAGATCTTCGAGATAGCTTAACCCGCGCATGCAAGGCTTCTCTTCTTTAACTCTCTCCCTTCCATTCCCCTCTCACTATTATTCTTCATGCAGAGCTAGTGGAGCTCCTACCTTTTATCTATTCCAATCCAAGGTCTTTCCAGGTAAGAAGCGGTCTATCCTTTCCGTTTGCTTCCAGGTCTAACATTCCAGCCCTGCAGAAAAGGCCCCTCCACTACCTCCTGCATATCCTACCAATTCTCCCGGTCGACCAGATACTAAGGATGCAGTGCTGATCAATCAGCTCGCTAATCCCTCCTTTTTGTACATTCCACACACTCCACTCGAATCGACAATTTCTTCCTTCGATCTTTTCTTTCTTCTGCCGCCTTTCAGCAACTTGGATCCTCGACTTCCATACCCGGTCGACATCCTCTCCTTTCTGGAGCGTTCATCTTGTCCCTTTCGCCCTTCGTCTTATGTGGGCGTAGAGAAAATCTGATGAAATGGAACCTCAGGATGGCATCGATGTCCGCCCTATGAGGCGTATGTTTCTAATGCCGCTCAAATGAAGCTGTTTCAGTACTAACCATGTTCTACAAACAGTGAAGGTTCTTTACACATTTGACAGTGAGAACAAAACGAATTGTCTCGCCAGATGGCCTCACGTCCTCGACATTCAGACTGCATACCTTGACGAAACCACTCCAATCGGTGTGATCGAGTTGAAAACATGTATCCAGGCAATTGTCTCTGCCAGGTGAGAATTCTACCCCGCCCTACGTCCCCTTGTACAGTGGTATACTTACACATGTTAGCCCCGAGCTTGTGGCTCAGCTTGGAAAAGATTACACAGTCTATGCTTATGACTACTCAGAGTACGAAACCCCTCTTGTTGGTCAAGGCATGCTGTCATGGGTATTGTCATCTGCCTCGCCAACCGAAGCTCAATCGAAAACCATGGTCACTGGACGAGTCTGCAAGAACACCCTTGGCCTCTTCTCCAAAGGTGCCGCTCAAGAGACGCTGGAAGTCAAGTTGCGGCTGGTGCCTGTCCCAACTGTGATGCAGAGTGAGTACCTCGATAGCATACAAAAGTACCGCGATCTGAGCAACTTCCGTCCAGGTGACTTTGATGCACAATCATGGTCCAACTTTGTCCGCCAGAATCCTGCATTGGGAGAATCTTCAAGAGCCCAAAGCCACGCCGGCTCGCCGATGCACCACTCTGGTATCGAAAGATTTCACCAGCTGTTGAGTGAAGGGTCGACACCAAGAGAGTTTTCTAACTTTCCACCTAACGAATCTGTCCGCTCGGTCTCGCCTTCACATTCATATGCTCCTAGCAGAGTTTCCACGCCTGGCGGTCGAACACCAGCCCATCATCAATCTTACAAACACAGCAACCCCCACAGTGATATGATTCGCCCTTCATCAAGTGCTTCTATGCGGGACAATGACTTCCAGAGCCAAGTTTCATATCACCAACGCCGAGGCTCCATGCAATCCGGATATGGCAGTGGTGAGGAGGAATCCACCGATCCCCAGCCCCGCAAGAGAGCCAAAGTATACCAAGCAAGCTGGCCCGGAAAGTCAGCTCTGAACATCGAAAGGCAACCCAGCTCGCTGCGGGTTGCAGCGAGTACCGCAGCTTCAGTTCGGATCCACCGCCCAACTCCTGTGAACCCTGCTATTGCCGCCGAGCAATCCTTCGAGGACCCCGTCCGTCCACCCACTCCTATGTCTCGACCATCGGATTTCAATCGCCGGTCTCGACCTACAGGTAGTTTGTTGCGAGAATCATCCATTGCAAGCATTGCATCGTGTCCCGCTACATACAATTCTCCCTATTGCCAGAGTGACGACATGCCAGGTGCAGACCAGACTTCGCCTGACGATACCCGGTACCAGGGTCTCTTTGAGCCGTCCTTCAGCATGCCATCATCACCCCCCGTGTTCGATGGCCGCCTGCTGAACAGGTCAAGCCCTGTCTTACCACCCATCGCTCTGGATACTGACTCTGGCTTTATGAGTGCCGGACTGGAGGATCTTCTCGATGAGGAAACCACCACGCCCCAAGATGACCGCAGAAGAGCAGAGTCCCATGAAATTACCCAGGAAAAACGCCCTGTACGATCTACAGTACAAGCAAGCTCCCCAGCTAGTACCATTGGCGCTCACCAAGGAACCTCCAATGATCCACTCCCTGTCGACGAGATGAGTGCGGATCAGCTTTTAGCCAAGGCACCACCTGTGATGTCTCGTCCTGCCACCTCGACTGGGTCAAGACCCTCTTCAAGTGCCGGCCCGCAGCGCTTGGCACCTAAACCCTTGCTTCCAGGCCCGATTGCTCCGATTGCTCCCCAGAACCAGTGTCACCCATTGATGCGTGCCATTCCCGCCAGTGACCCCGTTGTGCCTTCTCGCCCCGTGGACGTCAAATTCATGCCTCTCGAGACCAAGAACAATGCCAAGGGAAAGCGTACAAAGCAGGCAATTAACATGCAGGCACGCTTGGAGCAGGCGATTGCCAAAGGCGAAGTTCCTCCATATTGCGAAAACTGTGGCTCAATTGAGACTCCTAGCTGGCGTCGAGCATGGGCAAAAGAAGTTGAAGGAAATGACAAGCTTGCAGAGGAGATGATGCAGCAGCCTCTCATGTTATTTTGGGATGTCTTGGATCGGAACGCCGAGGGTGAAGTCCAGAAATTCTTGATCTACAAGAAGGAGAACGAAGACCATTGGAAGCAAATGACTTACTGCAACCCATGTGGTTTGTGGCTTCACAAGTTCAAGGAAATGCGTCCCCAGCATAAATGGTCCAAAGGTCCAGCAGCCAAGAAAAGAAAGCGTCCTGCTCGAATCACTAATGGCAAGCCTTCCAACTCTTGCCCTGCCACCAGAACCCGGAGTAAGGCTACCCCCGGTAAGCCAGCAGCTTCTTCTCCAGCAGCCACTGAAGCCTCTTCTGTGCCCGCTGAAGGCGAGACTCCTCAAATGGATGACGATGAGGGACTTTCTCCCAACAAACGCTCCCGAGAAAACAGCACCGAACCTCAGCACTTGAGTGAGTTAGCTACCAACTGGAACAAGCAAGATGCGAGAGAAGCCATGCGCCGTGCCATTCGGTCCAGCCCTGCCAGACGCACGCAACCCCGTCCCACCTCATCGGGGGGCAGCACCGCTTCGACTCCCAAGCCTCTGAGAAGATCGCTTTTCCCGAACGAAGGCCCGTTGAAGGAAATTGATGCCTCCATGGTAAATAGCTGTTCCCCTCGTCGCAGCCCGCGCATTGCGTCGACAAAGGATGACAAGGGAGCTCAGAAGGAGAACCACATTCCCACTCCGGCCGACGATCTTGACAATCTTTTCGAGAGTCCCTCCATCGATTTTGATCACACTGGAAGTCCGACTCCTCGTCGACGCAACGCGCGAGTCAACGCCGCAACCGAGAAACGCCCGATGAATTCACCAAGTGCCAATCGGCGCAAGGAGTTGAGCTCAGTCATGACTCCAACCCGGTTGTCAGCCGAGCGCCTGCAACGTATCCAAGCAAGCCAACACAACCCACGTCAAAACAAGTCGCCAAACAAGCAACAGCCTTTTGCCCCTCTGACCACCGACGAGAGCATCCACTCCGAGGCCTTCGAGTCTCTCGACGGCATGATTCTCGACATCTTTGACGATGCAGACCAGCCCAACCACTTCTTCCTCCAGAACGCCAAGTTCGACGGCGACAACTGGGCCGACTGGCTCCCAGAAGATTACGTCTCTCCCAACGGATCTTCTGACGAACCTGCCGAGGACCTGATCAACTCCCTCTTCTCCAACTCCGAAGTCAACAAAGACAACCTCAACTCCGAATTCCTCCCCTTCAACTTCGACGAATCCGTCATCCCTGACTCCGGTTTCTTCAGCTCCGACGCTCTCCAAACCGACCCAATCCGCCTGGCTCCCAAGACCCAGTCTGCAAGCCACTCCCACGATACCCAACAAGCAAACTCTTCTGCATAATTCAATTCAATACCGAGGCCACATCCACCACCCACCCACTGACGTCCTCCCTTTCCCCCAAACCATGTCTGTGTTTTTCTCTTCAGTGTTTTTTTAGCGACGGCGTCTGGTTCTTTTTCTTCATGTATGGGTGGCCATCTTGTGATGGTCATACAGGCAGCCGGCACTTGTGATCTTGCCCTGCCCTGTTTTCATTTTATTTGTTCAAAGTGATGACCCGAAGTACACCTTGATGGGTACTTCTTTACCATGTTCGCTGTGGTTCCCATGTGAGGGTTATTCCCCCTGGAACGCAGACGATGAGCTTTTTTTGTAGCTGGGATACCTGTTTGGATCCCACAAAGCTTTTACGATAGAACGACTACCTCAATCAAAATTACTCATAATCATTATTTTATTTTCCTCGTTGTGGATCTATTAATCAAATCGGGCGTAAGGTCTGTAAATCGTCGAGTAGTTTGACTGTATACTGAATGTCAATAATCTAAGGACATGCAGGGTACATTGGACCCCTAGATAGATAGACACAAACACCTCAATTGATGGTACTTTATACTATCTTCTTCAGTAGTCAAGAACAAAAATGCTGTTTCCCTATTTTTCACCAAATTTGTGACAAGAAACCGTGTCAAACTAGTATAAGGTACGACTGATATGACTAAAGTCACCCATAGACCTCGGGACCCAGCCCTAGGTGACATGCGGCTCTTTGGAGATTGAAATTAAATCTGCTAAGCAGATCAGTAGTACATGTATTAAGTAGTATAGTTAATCTAGATCTTCAGATCTCTTTTATCGCCCCCCTCCTTCCAAGAAGCTTGTTTTGGGGGTCTCTATGTTACGTCTTTCGTGGTGAAGAAAGTCAATTATGGGCTCCTTCCTTTTTAGAATGGCACCTCTAGACATTATCGCAATCACAAAACTTCAGTCAGAAAATCGCATTGAATTGGCCCTCGTCCATACCTATTTATACATAAGATTCTCCTGCGGAAATACTCGAACAATTGGTAATTATTGCTTTAGCATCTGGACGTGGATTGTACTTAGTGTTTCACTTTAAACAACAAAAAGTGATAACTCAACCTAACACCAATAGATAGCAAAGAGATAGCAGAAAAACAATAGAAAGGACCTGTATTGCTATGGGTATGGTAGAAAATGATACACAAGCAGCAGCTGTGCGTGAATTCAAAGTGAGAGTCTAGACCAGGGAGTAAAACGTCTTCCAGTCCAGCTTTGAAGTTGATACGTTTGAGAACCTTGAGCACTCTCCTTAGCCCCTTTGAACTAGGAAGAGCACCTCTCCAGACGGCAGGCTGAAATGCCGGGAACTCTGTGTTCCTTAGGCATACTGAGATTGCCAAAAGTTCTCAACATACAGCATGGAACATTCCATGTGTAAGTTCGTAGTCGTGATCAATCCACCACACTCTTTGCAAAAGTGCACCTCAGCCATGTGTTTGTCCGTATCCTCTGCAGTAGTGAAATCCAGACGGCATACCTCACAGGGGAATTCTCTCTCGGAATGGACATCGGTCTCATGCTTGGTTGCTGGCAGCGGAGGAGGATGTGTTGCCCTGTGCTGCTTCAATCGGCCTCGAGTGCGGAACTCAAGACCACAGATGTCACAATCAAATGCATTCAAATGGCCCTTGGCAGCCATGTGCTGATTGACTGCGTCCTCGGTGCCAAAGGCACGCTTGCAAGTGTCGCATGTGAAAGAAATGACAGGCTCTACCAGGCATGCAAATTTCGGGGGCTTGATTCCTTCATCTTTGTGGGTGCATGTAGTGGGGTTCGGTTTGGCTCTGATGCTCGTGTTCTCCTGAGGGCGTTGCTGATCTTGCGGTTTGGACCAGTGCTGCTTGACGTCCATGTGCTGGTTAGCACCTTGTGGAGTGCTGAAGCTGCGCTCACACGTCTCGCAGGTAGATATGCCCGTGTTTTCAAAGTCTGCTTTGTTAACTATCATACTACATATAATCACATAGGGGTATTGGCCTGTACCTGATTCTGGGTATTGATTCTTCGGGTCGAAGAAATTATGAGTAAGATCACGCTGCAAGTCGGGCATAGCAGACCAAGGCCCATCAGGCGTTGATTTTTGTTTTGGAGCAACAATCTTCATATACTGGAGGCCAGCTGCAGTGGACTGTGAATGGTTCCAGTGCCCCATCACGTCCATATGCTGGTTGGCACCCATCAGGGACGTGAACCTTCGCTCGCACACCAAACAACCAAATTCCCTGGCCTGTCCGCTCTTTCTGTCCCTGATCAGCTTGGCGAGATGGCAGCTGTCGACACTTCCGTTCAGGCCCGTTGCTTGGTTGTGTCTTCTCAAGTTAGAATGCTTGCAGTAAGCATTCTGAGCCTGAGAGAATTGGGCGAGTCTTCCAGGGGGAGGGACATATCTCTGAAGTTGCTCGTCCGAGAGCCTATTGTCGGTCAGTCCCCGAGGAAACTCGAGGATCGTCTCGATGCTGGAGGGTGTTCTGTGGCGTTTCAGATCCATGTGCGATTCACAGTCCTCTCGAAGAGTAAAGCACATGAAGCAGCTATTGCATTTGTGGAACATGTTGGACGTAGAGGAATAGAATGCAAGAAAGGAAAACGTGACGATGCGTGAAAGTGACGGTTGTTGTCAGGGACATGGACATGTGCCTTCTCGTTTTGGACGGTTTTGCTTGAGCCCGAGAGCAGACAGCTGCGAAAGAACAAATCTCCCGGTGATTAAGTTACCTACTGTTCGTCTTCTCGAGCTCGACTTCGATTTCTGATACTCGCGAGTCTTCGACCTCGCGTTATTTGTTCGTTACTTCTCCGTGAACCTACTCTACAATCTCGCTTGATATTCGGGTTTCAGCGAGCCCGGCTGGCTCTATGATAGGTAAAGTTTTGATCATAACCTCGTTTGTAAAATGAAAATGTCGGGGAATCACAAAGGAATACCGCAGTGACGGTTTCAACACCTCAAGACCAGTATCGAGTCCGTCCTCGCCCTAAGACTGTCCAATCCATTGCAAGCCCGACAGGTTTCGAATTGGGCTTGCTGTCTTGCAATCTTATTTCGAACAATGCTTTATTTTTGGGAAGTCCACGGTAAAGAAGCACAACCCATATGCTTGAAATCCTGACACGCCAATCCTTTACTCAACGTTGTAAAAGATATTTGTGAAGCGATGCGTGGCATTGACTACCTGCTCGTAGATCTTGTAATCTGTAGTTCGTATTAGTGTCTATGCCAAAGTAAAGAGGAAAGGGAGGATACATACCGCAATCAGCAGGGTCACCCCACTCCGTAGAGCCCAGAACACGAAGTCCGTATCCCTAAAGGCAATCAACATTAGTTTATCCCGTCAACGTAGAAACCGGAGCGATGCTACAGATATTCAAGGCCTGGAAGTCCAATGAAAGAGTTATCAACATACCGTACCACCCTCAAGATCAGCCACTTTTCCAACAACCTCTACCAACTTTCCGACTTGCAGACGCGCATCAGACTTCAAGATCAATGTGACATCGCCATTGTTTCCACAGGTGAGAGTTCCCGTGCTGCCGTGCAGCGCGGTGACAGTGCCGAGTAAACGCACGGTGTATGTGGTGTGCGAGCCAGCGCTAGAGGGGTGGAAGGCGTGGAGGTGGGAGGGAAGAATGCGGGGGGTTTGAAGAGACATATTGGCTGATTGGTATGCTCAGTCTTGCTGATTTGTGTTCGTGTAAACTGCTGTAGGGATGGAGATTTGACGCCTCTGGGTGTTTAAGAGAACGTGGAGTTGATCGACGCGCGAGTCGCGGGTCGCGTAGTCACGTGGTGATTAATTAGTATGCGATGAGCTTGACTGTGTATGGTGCCACAGTATTGGGAGAAACGAGGTCTCCCAAGCTTCAATTGAACACAGTATTGTAATTTAAATCTTGATATCAGACCAGACACCGAGATTCAGCTAGTGACACGATCAAGTTCAGCTCTTCGTGGCTCGCAGCATTGATATCATCACGTGATCAGTATCATTTCCGCAAAAGCTTCAGCCCGATACGTCGTTTGGCTAGATCCACGTCTCAGCACCTTCCACACTGCCGCTATACTTGGGCGCTGGAGAGCTCAATCAGGAGGCCCAAATATTTCTACATCTTCCTTTCGAGCCCCATATCCCATCCTAGACATCCTTCCACCGACAATGCCTCCTCCACTTCCCTCCTCCCACCGGGGGATGACAGCAAACCCTATCAAACCCAGTCGCTACCGTCCCGGAAAGGCAGTTCCTGAAGATCCCTCCTCATCAGAAGAGGAAGAAGAGGAAGAGGATGTCGAGGCGCAAAGAGAACAAGAACGGCGCAGACAAGCCGAGGCGCAGCGCCGCAGACAGCAACCCAAAGCCAGCTCATTCCCTGCAGCCGCAGCTGTACAAAAGCCCGAGGAAGATGACGACGAAGAAGGATTCGTCACAGAAGACGAAGACGACGAGGCCGCTCCGGCACCAAAAGCTGTACCGCAAACTACGACCAATGACATAAAACCTACAGTGGCTAAGCCCGTTTCCGCACCCACAGCAGACAGCAGCGAAGGAGAAGAGGAGGAGGAAGAAGAAGAAGAGGAAGAGGAAAGCTCCGAAGAAGAAAGTAGTTCGGAAGACGAAGCTCCAAGACGCATGCTCATACGACCAACATTTATTAAAAAGGACAAGCGCGCCACCCAAGAGTCTGCCGGCCAGACCCAGAACAAAAGTGCAGCAGACCGCGAAGCCGAAGCGGAAGCGCATCGCGCAGCCCAGCGCAAAGAAAAAGCAGACATTCTTATCCGCGACCAACTCGAAAAAGAAGCAATCGCGCGCTCCACAGCCAACAGAGCTTGGGACGACGACGATCTCGTCGAAGCAGACGATGAAGAAGCAATCGATGACAAAGACGATATTGATCCCGAAGCCGAGCGCGCAGCTTGGAAACTGCGTGAATTAAAGCGCGTCAAGCGGTCCCGGGAAGCAATCGAAGAGGCCGAGAAAGAGCGCGAGGAGATTGAGCGTCGGCGCAATCTCACCGCGGAAGAGCGGGACCGGGAAGACAGCGAGTTCATCGCGAAGCAAAAGGAAGATCGCGAGGCTACGCGTGGTCAGACAGGCTTTATGCAGCGCTATTTCCACAAGGGTGCTTTCTTCCGTGGCGACCAGGAAGCGGAGGGTCTTGATCAGCGGAATGTCATGGGTGCGAGGTTTGAGGATGATGTCAATCGGGACACATTGCCTCAATACATGCAAGTGCGCGATATGACGAAGCTGGGCAAGAAGGGCAGAACTCGGTATCGTGACTTGAAGACTGAGGATACGGGTCGATTTGGGGATGGGCTTGAGAATCGGAGGAGGAGGGATGGGCCGCCTGAGGGTGTGACTGATGAGCGGTTCATGCCTGACCGTGGTGATGACCGCGACCGGGATCGCGGGCCTACTGGTGCTAATGCTAGTGTTGTCAGGTCGCGGTGGAGGTCGAGGTCTAGGTCTGGCTCGCCGCGGCGGGACCGGGACAGGCGTGAAAGGGATTCAGGGAGGTATGATCGGAGTCGATCTAGGGAGAGACGGAAGCGAAGCCCATCGCCTTATGAGGACCGGGAGAAGAGGCGGCGCGTGGATCCATGATCACATCAGATACCTGATATCCTTTTTTTTTATTGGCGTTGGCTTCTGAAAAGTGCATGCGTGGATCGGATTTGATATGTGCATTAAGAGCAACGTGCAGGCTTGGAATAATCACTATGTTGCATGTAGTATAGCATGTCCTCTCCTGGAGGAATTGTATTGTGATATCAGGCCATCAAGGACTTTTGTACATAGATTCCCCCATTCAACCACACACAACGGACTCCTAGGCCCGGAAAACAGCCTGTACGTTCCATGAAGGCCTCAGGGAACGCCAGCACAGAATCATGGACTCTAGATGTCAACCAACGAGCGCCTGACCACCCAACAAGATGCCATAGAATAGCCCCCAAACGCCATTGATCTATCAGGCTAGCAAACAATGCACATATCAAAGTCAAAGGCATATATCCATATCCCACCCTTAAACCCAGTCCATACTGAAAACTTATTTAACGCCAGAGCGCTCCAAAACCTTCTCCCTCTCCATCACACTATCCCCAAACTTAACCAAAAACACAGTCCGACTAGGCCACATCTCGGTAGGCTGATTATGCGCCGAGACCTTAGTCTCAAAGCCACACCCATCACAAACACCCTCAATGATGCCAGCGACATAGGCGGCACAGTTAAGCATGCTCATTTCACGGGGTACGCTGATGTATGTGTTGACTAGCGGGTCGTTGTCTGTGATCATATACTCATTAGGGGTGTCTGGGGAGACAGAGTGCTCTAGTGCATCCGCAGAGCGGCCGAAGAGGAGGCGCCAGAGGGGGCCGTGGATTAGATGTAGGAGGGTGATGATGCGCAGGGGACGGTTTGGCGGTGAGGAGGATGTTGAGGAGCTTGAGAGAGCTGAAGAGGAGGTTGATGTTGAACGGTAAAAGAGAAGGTCTAGGAGACGGAGGCCGAGGGGGTAGCCTTGTTCGTTTAGCCTGGAGGGTTGTTAGTATCGTGATTGTCCCCGAATTGGATGACCATGTTGTTGGGCTCGACACGGTACATTAAGGACTTGGTTTAGGGGTGTTGCGTACCGTTTCTCCAAGTCTTGGATACCTGTTACCCTCCGCTGAGCGTATGTGACCATCTCTCCGAATAGGTAGGCGAAGCTTGCCCGGCTGAGCTCTGCATTGCGGCTGCGGTTCAAGTGTCGGTCATAGATTGTCTTGCGATTGGATGGTACTCGGAGACCCGAGGATTGTGGTAATGTCTGAACTTGTTGCTGTGTCTGTTTGTCGTTTGGCCCTGATTGCGGCGTCCCGCCATTGCTGATGGACAGCATCGTGGAGTGCCGGGGAGGCGCAGCCATGCTTGTGTTGAGTATCGAAGGTTATTGGTATTCCAGGGAATTGATGTCAAGTTAGGAGCTCATGGATTGTGCTTTGGTCATGACATCTATAGGGGAGGTTGAGGGTTGGCGAACATGTAGTGGATGCGATAGCTACGGCGGAGCACACCTCCCGCATGTGCAATCTTGCAGAATTTCCGCCTAGAACGACAAGACGCCTACGAGAGATATTACTTGCATATTACGAATTATAGAATAAAAGGGTTTCAGCAAAAAAGTGCCATGTAATATTCATGCTAGACTAAGATCCACCACACCAACACAGAGACTCAGCAGTGCTTCATACGAAGATCATGAATGGCGACGGCCGAGCAAGAGCTGCGGCGACAGCAACTAGAAACAACGCGGGAAGCAAGCTGGGTATATGTGCATGCGTGGATAGTATTGATATCCCAAATAGAGGTAGAAAAGATCCTGTTCTGAAGACACAATTAGCGCCAGTTCGACTGTAAAAAATTCGATTGAAAATAATTTCAAAGAACAGCCAAATAGTTCTCAGACATCCAAGGAAGATATTCCGCCCATTGCCGCCTTGATTGGGTTCAAGCGACGGCTAGCGTGGAAACTGCGAATGTAGGAAGTTTTTCATCTTCGAACGGCGTAGCCGTTGGCTGGTGGTGCAAAGGGGAATAAAGAAAAAAAAAAAGTCTGCGACTTACCAAGTCAGTAAAAGAAGTACATGGCGATAATGTACTTCAAGTGGTTTTTTGTTCTCGTAGAAGCCAACATAAAACTTCGTAGTCGCAGGGGACTGAGAGAGGAAGATGAAGAAGAAAAAAGTTTTCGGGCCGGCGAAGGCCTTTTATAGGGCCGAGCGGAGCTGCCCCGGAAACCAGCTGGTTGACCCATACGAAGCTTCTAGCGAAAAAAAAAAAAAAAAAAAGTCCACCCGGTGAGGAAAATAATAGGCAGTACAGACAACTATTGTATTAATGTCTTAAAGATCAGTATTATGTGAATAATAAAAGCTACGTGTTGAGATTATGTGTGTCCAAGGTTGTCAATATCCAGTGAAGTTTTTCTCATTAGATTTGTTAGCCAAAGCCCAGCGCCCAATCAGGCAAAAGCTGGCCTGGGATACAACAAAATTTTCATATGTACGCCGTAACTGAGCCACCCAGTGGCTGTCTGAAAGAGCAAACCAAAAACTCAGCCAAAAATGCGTTAACGTTAAAATGGTCAAATAAATCATGACGCGATGTGTTACTTGAAACTCTTTTGTTTTTGTCGCGAGTTCCAATTCAATGTTTTGGAAATACTATGCACCCAGTCTTCACCCTGTCCGCCGTGAGGTAGGACATTGGCGAAAGGGTACCTTGACGCTGATACTGTCACGTAGTCACCGGGGTGTAGCTCAACCCTATAATAGATGGTCAGTCAGGCATGAAATTTGAACATAGTACATGTGTGCAGTAAACATACCTCTCGCGTCCATCGAAACTAGCCCACGAGCTCGTCCGCGCATCATAAGGTACACCCATTCGTAAGACAATGGTATCCGGTAGGATGATCGGTCGGAATGATAGCGTATGAGCACAGATCGCGGTAACAAGAATGACAGGGTTCTCTGGGTGAGAAAGAGATCCTCCAGCAGCGAGATTGTAAGCCGTCGAGCCGGTTGGAGTAGCGATGCAAATTCCATCTGCAAGCAGAGTTGTGAAATGCTCGTCATCTCCGAAAAGTTCAATTTGAGACATGGCTAAAGAGTAAATGGTTAGCTGTCACTGCTGGCGAATCTCATATTGAGTATCAAAACGGAAGAGAAATGGCATACTTGGGTTTGGCCCGCGATCGAGAACGACATCGTTCAAAATCTCATAAACTCGATCCGGAGTATGCGTCAATGTATCTTCCCCTTCCTCTCCAATCAGTTCCTCGACCAGATCTCGACTTGATAGTGTTCGCGCATCCGGGTCTTTAGCACGCGCTTTACTGCGCATGATGGTACATTCAAACCGTAATCGAAGACTGACGACCACGCCCTCTCGGAATGCAGTCTCGAGTGTCTTTTGGTAATCCGCAAAGTCGAACTTGGTCAAGAAGCCTAATGAGCCCAGCGCGAAAGAAAGCACCGGAGGCACGATACGCTGGAACAGCCAGCTGGTATATAGAACAGTACCATCTCCGCCGAGTGTGATCACAAAATCGAACAGATGGGGCTGCTCATGTGCAAGTTTGGGATCCCAGTACTTGAGCCGGTCCGCCGCAGAGGGTTCGTCTTCGACTAATTGGATCGCTCCAAAATCCGGATGCGTCTGTAGTCGACGCTCAACGAAAACCACGTAGAGAGTGTCGCGGTCTTTGGAGAGTAGCCACCTCGTCACTTTCCGAGTCAAGCTGACCAATGACTCGTCCTGCGCCTTGCATACCACGAAGACGTTCTTGACTGTGAGCTTGAGCCTGATGCTGCCGAGCTTCTTGGATAGTTTGCGCACATTCCAGGCCATGTCTGAAAGCTGCCGCTTTGTCAAATGTCGGGATTGGATGATTGACGGCGATGGCTTAATGTTGCCGTCGGTCCCGTCGTCCACTATTGATAACAGACTTTCTGGCTGGGGAGCTTTGGGCTTGACCGCGGGCCCATCATCTTCATTCAATGTTCGAAGTGCATCTTCTTCTGTCTCCTTGGGGTGTTTCGGGGGAGTTGCCCATTCGCTTGCGATGAGATTGTGGACGTAGCAAGCGGTGGTCAGATCATTATGGGCGAGGTGCGGTGGCACATTGGGTTTGTCCATCGTAACCAGGGAGGACTTGCGGCGATGGTTGGAGTCGGGGAAGAAAACGACCTGAGTGCAAGTTAGTAGCTGTCTGGTAGCTATCGAGGAGCTGTGGGCATGTACCTCCAGATGATTCTGTGCCTCATTGTCGCTTGATCCTCCGTGGCTCTGGCACTGATCAGTCCCCGGATATATCATGCCAATGACGACCACTTACATCATCCACAGTCACCTTGTCCATCGCGATAATACTAGAGTTGCCTGTTTACTACTTTTGCATTGTGGTGGTGAGTCAACCTAGGGAGCGGTGGGTTGGCGTTTGGTGGGTGGGTATGACGTCTGCTTTTGAACTGCACATTGTGTCGGGGTTTGTTTGTCCGAACTGCTGGGATGAATTGTGGTTTTTTTCTCCCTCAAGAAAACATCTACAGATATCAAGTTTAATTGCTTTTTTTAAGCTTGGCAGGTCACTCTGGTCGCGACAAAGCTAAAAATATCCCTTCGCAAGAATCTATCCGAACGGGGACAGTGATGTGATCTACATGTACACCTTCAATTCACGCTAAATAAAATGTGATACTTTATGAGTTGTTCTTCATCTCTCGCAATGCGGCCATGACATCCACTGGGTCGGTCTTGCCAGTAACCTTTTGGATCTCGGGGTCCTAAAGGAATCAAATCAGCACCAGCGAATGGAAGAGCAAAGGACATAAAACTTACATTGACGCGCATGAACACATTGTGGAGCTATTTGCCTGTCAGCTTCGATGGAGAAAAATGAGTTGCCAATCGCCCTTACCTTCTCGTCGCCAATGGTGAATTTCCCTTGTGTCTGCTGGTTTGCCTCGGCAAAGGCCTGGAGCTTCTTGATCGGCTCCGTCTGAGAGACCGCAATGCAGAACTTGACATTCGCCTTGGTGTACTCGTGGCCGGGCTAAGAAGTATCAGCATATAACTCGAAATACATAAGAGGGCCAACCTACATAAACCTTGGTATCATCTGGGAGTGCTGCAAGCGTCTCGTTCAATGCCTTGTGCATCTCTTTGGCATTACCTTCGAAGAACCGGCCGCATCCTGGTTGGAAGGTCAGTATCCGGAACCATTGATAGATTGAACAATCATGGAACAGGGGAAACGAGCAGACATACCACCAATGAACAGAGTATCGCCTGTGAACACAACGCGCTGGTCTCCATCTTGCATGTAATAGCAGATGCTATCTTGAGTGTGGCAGGGGGTGTGCAATGCCTTGACAGAGATACGTTCTCCAATTTTGAACTCGTCCCCGTGTCCGGGGGTCTTGGTGACAGACTCACAGTCCTTGCCCCCGATGACCTGGAGTCCCTTGAATTGCTTCAGCTGGGGGTTGGTTAGTGGCGAAAACATCAGAATTGGCTTGGATGATCATGCATACAATATCATTGTTACCGCCAGCATGATCCCAGTGACTATAGATGAATTGTCAGTCAATCTGGACTCTATCCATTGAAATCGGCTCAACATACTGGTGGGTGTTGACAATGGCGGTCAGATCAATCTTGCCAGCATCAATCTGAGACTTCAGCTCCGGTGCAACCCTGTTTAAAGAATTCAATCAGTATCTAGGTAGTGCATGAATCACAACCTCAATCTGTCGGGCACCTACTCGGGCGGGTTGGCAGGATCAATAATAACCGACTTCTTCGTCTGCTCATCGGTCACGAGGTAGGCATAGTTGTTGCCTTTCCCCGTCCCTACAAATCACAGTCAAAGTAAGCAATCACAATTCCAATGTTAGGTGATATATATGACGCGGGTTCTTGAAGATCTGGAGCTCCACATACACATGGGAATCGATTGGATATGCATGGCTCTGAACTGAGATCTGAAGATAGGCGATATATGTCCTGACAATCGAGTCCTTAGGAAGTTCATCACAAACAATCAGAGTGTGGGGGAAGCTTTAGTTATCAGACATGTACATTTCAGTCTGGGCATTTATCTAGCGGCACGTGACATCACGAATCCCCTCTATAAGTCGAACCCTGGTGTTGAGTTTGTAGTTACACTAAGCACTTCCTAGGTGAGTGAAACAACCTGGGAAGACTACAGATCTGAATTAACTTCTAGCACATGGAATTCCAATCTACAGTGCTTTTAAATTTCTGTATGATACTTGGATATCGATTCTGGACATCGATCAGAAAAAGGTACAGCCTTGGGGTAACAATTAGGCATAATGTAGATCCCTTCAGAGCTCTCAAAAGATACTTGGTTGTTGAAATATATAGATCCCAATGAACTAATGCTCGAACAGACTCTACAAGCAGTGTTTTTTTTTTTTTTTTTCATAATAGCTCAATCAAACGACATCGACCTGTTCGATGGAAAGAACAGATATAGCGTATTACATTCTATTGAGGTCTACTCAGCAGCAAATCAGAAAAGACCAATTTGCTTAGCAATGCCAGCTCAGCCAGCTGAGGGGCGTGCTCAGATATACGCCGCCAAAACCGGCAGCTTCCGGATTTCCAACGTCATCCGGATGAATTGTTCTTCCTACGCAGCTTCTCCTAGGAGTCAAAAACAGCCAATCGTTGTTTTGATTTGCTGCCAGCAGCATATTCGTCATATTCTTTTACAGTCCCTTGCTAGCTACTAGAAACAATACCGAGAGGTCGATTATCCCACTTCTCCACATATCCCCAACCATGCTGCTGCAGCTTCTCCGAAAGCTGTGACGCAGCACCCGATGTACCATGGCTGCTATAATTGCTCTTTGAAACACGATTCTTTGAAGCAGACTGAGAGCCAGGAGACTTCTTGGTCTCAATAGCCTGCTTTCTTACATGTCGACTCAACAGTTTTGTAAAGTGGTGTGGACTCTCATCGCAAGCTTGTAGAACATAGCTCTGCGGACATGACTGCCTGTGGAATTCCCAGAAAGAATGTGTGAGGATATGAGACAGCCACAGGTAAATGGCTTCAGAGGAAGGGCTCTCGGCTGCATCTTCAGGATTCTTAAACGCGAGGTCGTTGGCCATATCTTCGACCAAATGCCTTAGGAATGCCGGATGGCTCTCTGAAATCCTCTGCAGGACAGGGTCCCATTCCCGGAATGTGTCATTCAGAGACTCTCCAAGTCTAGTCATAGTAGTCAGCACATGATTATTTCCAAGAAACAACCAACAAGAACATGAACTCACTTCCTCTCATCCGGAACCAAAACCCCCCTCTCAAGCAAAACCTCAGCCAAGACTCTCACTGCACCAGCAGAAACATTGCAAATAGACACGATCTGCATAGCAACCGAAACACCAAAATCACGTTTCCGCTTCTTAGAAACAGCCTGCCCATCCATATCAACGCCAGAGAGTAGAGGCTGCAGCACATCTTCCAGAGTAGCCTTGACAGAACCACCATCGTCGTGGTCCAACACAGGCGCGTAATTTGCATCAGCAATGTCAGCCCAGTAGTTATCCCAAAGCCACTCTAGCGAGCGCTGCGCAGCCTTGCGCAGGACGACCAGGGACGGTGGCTCGCGGTGGGTTGCTTCGTGGCGGAGCTCCACGAAAGAGGCCGGTAAGCCTAGATCCATGGCGCGTTGGAACATTGTTCGACGGACACCGTGAATCTTGGTATCCACCAACCCAGTGACGAAGCTGTGGTTTTGTTAGCTTATACATTGCTACATGTTACGTAGGAACAAATGCCCACGAGCATGATCGGAATTGCACGAGCACGAGCTAGAGCAAATCCTGATACTGATGAACACTCACCGACAGAAAGCAGCGGAGTAAGTTGCCCGAATAGAGAAGATGGAATTGCTCTGCGCATCATCATGGAGAATGGCATCCGTTAACAAGGCTGTAGCCTCAACGTGATGCGGCACATTGCCTCGTAGCTTCCATGCTTCGACCTGGTAAACATGTAGCATCAGTATATATGCTCTGTTTAACGATGATCATTTATACATACCACTGCACAGCCATGAGCGCGCAAATCGGGCCCTTCAAACGAAGATGTGGGATAGAACTCGTTCCGCACGTCCAGTAGTTCAGACTTGGACTTCCAAGCTGTGAAAATGACCTTGGCCATTTTTTCCGAACCAGACCAAATAGCTAAATTTGAGGTTGTCTGATATCAGCTATGCATGCACGACTTTTCGAGCTTGATTCATTTCGCTGCGAAATATTTTCGGCGGATGGTTTTTCCTTTGGGGAGGTTTTGCCGATGTTTGGGTATGTATTTCCGGCCAATCAGAGGGAGAGATTTTATACTTCGGCTGTCAACCAAGTTGGTTTGTGTGTATTATACGCCAGTACGAGGGAAGGGAATTATGTGAGATGTAGTGTAATAGATATTCTGAGCGAGCGTGTATGCCAGGTCGTTTATAGGTACATTGATAACTAACAAACAAAACTGTAAATGGGAGTCATCTCGTCCCAGGGTATCCATGTATCCAACGCCACAAAATAATAGTAATAAACTCCACGCTATGCCGCTGTTCAAGCTGAAAGATGTGATTAAAAGCAAACAAAAAGGGTGATTCGAGCGACCGGCTCAGATCCACCCGTAGCCGTAACTCATGCAGGGTTGGTTCAAGGCGGCGAATGGCTGGGCAGTCATGGACTGCTGATCCGCATCATCGTGGTCGAAAAAGAAAGACCGATGCAACAGGTTCAAAGCTTGCTTGGACTGCTGCTTGGGGATGAAAGTTGACTGGTGGACCGGGGCAGGTGCATCTGAGACAACTGGTTGCTGGGGCGATTGGTGCCCGACGCTGTCGTTCTCGGCCTCTGCGTCCGCGTCTGTGTCCGCCTCGTCATCCTTGTCTTCGTCTGAAGGCGTGAATGTTTCCTCGAGTTTGAGGCCCTCGCCCGACTTGGACTGTGGGGCACGGGCTAAGGTTCCGTTGGGTTGGTTGTAGAGACCCATACCGACCAATTCTTCTTCCGGCTTGCCGGCTTTCTTTGGCTCCGCGGTCGGCTGGAACGGATCTTCGAATTGTTGGATCGGGAGAAAGTCGGGCGTTGATGGTCCGCTCATTTCGCCCGGCGATGGGACGCTGACATAGCTTGGGCAAGTTGTTTCCGGTGGGGGAATATTACTTCCCATGGAGAGCATATCCAAGGTCCAGTTGTCGGAAGCTGGCTGCGACATGGCAGTCATATCCCATGGCATCGGCTCGACCTGCGAGCCCGTCATGGAGAGTGTCGTGTGCTGTTGCGGAAGTGGCAACTCCTCTTGCATGTCTGAGTAGACTGGGAAGTAACTGGTTGGCGAGAAGGATGGATCCTCCGTCATGGGATATGACATGAAGTTGTCGCCGTAGACTGCAGAGTTCAAGTACTGATCAGGGAAGGGACTCATGCCGGCATAGTTGTCCGAGGTGTAATCGGGCATGCATTGCGGGTTAGAAAGACCCCGGTTTCTTGCTGACGATGGGTGCCAGCTGATCGGGCGAGATTTCCGAACCGCGGAGGCAAGGAGAGCTTCTTCCAAGGAGGATTGATATTGAGCTGGCATGCCGTGCATCACATTCTGACTGACAGTTGAGCGTCGTCTATTCATTGCCGAAGGACTGTTGCCAGCACTACGAGGCTTCATGACCCGAGTGTGTCTCGGCCGAGGGAAGGCACGGACCAGGTCCTGCATGGTTTGGCTATAAGTTGCATCTGGAAACCATTGTGAGCCTGTCGAAGAGGGCTGTGGTGGACAATAGTAATTGGCCATATAAAGAGAAGTTTCAAAAGTGCGGAGTGCAGATCAACAACTGAGGGGGGAGGCAAAGTCAATATATAGGGTCAGTATGAGGGGGTGGGAACAGCTTACGTGGGAAGTATAGGGTAAATAATAAAGGGTGGGACGTGAAAGGCCGATGTTCCTTCAGGAACAGTGAGAGAGAGTGAGGTATGAAGATCCGGCAAGGCAGGGCTTATAAAAAGGAATCCAGGGAGCCTGATCTACGATCCCACCGCACATGCTAAGATGACACGACGTTGACACTAAAGGAGCCTAGACACAAATAAAGGGCAACCTGGAACCGAATCCATGAATCAGGGCAGTTCCACCGTTTCGACCAGGGCCAGGGAATACTCCGGAGTGCAGCAAATAGGGAGTATGAAGTGGGGAGGGATCGGACCTGTGGGAACATGGAACATGCTTTTTTGAGGCGAACATGGGGAAGATTCATACATTAGCTCGTACATTGATTACATTCAATACTTGAATACAGACCCTCACACACGGGAGTAGCCCCAGACTAGGCCCGTGTTCCTTTGTTTTTTGGTTTTTTTTCCCTCTTCTATTTATTAGTTCTAAGTTATAGTCCGCATAGTACGTACTGGGCCCCTCTTTGAGACTAATCAGGACTAACAAGGACTAACAAGGACTAGTTTCTCTGGTCGCTTCTACAGGAAGAAAGAAAAAAACAAAAAAGGATAATTCAATAGAACCTACGTTAAGCTGTACCTTGGCTCTAACCGCCCGTGGAATGCTCGATGTATGATTCGGGCCGATCACCAATATCCAAGGCTGACTATAAGAATGTGACTACTTTATTACCCCTACTGGACTCGTTACGCAAGGGTTACAATGTGATGGGCTGTCTACAGGGGGGAGGAAGTGGAGAGAAGTAAATCGACCGTCATACTCTTTGTCGGACCCCTTCCTAAAGTTTACAATACTACTTTACTACTGTACTGTACGCATACCCGGCTCTTCTCATGCACACATTCTCCCTATCCGGAGTACATGTACATATACATGATGCAGGAGATGCATCATTGCCACCCGAAGGTGAGCAATCTTATTCTGCATAGTTACAGTGTAGAACATATTATATATGTGCTGTTGTGTCTGTGTAGATAATGCGGCTACTACTGTATACAGAATCAGATATGGGCGTCCAATTGGTACATGCGCCAGGACCAGGCAAGTCCCCCCCAAAATAGACATCATCCAATCGTCACCAAGCTGAAAAGAGAAACTTCGGCCATAGTGTGTTTTAGGCTACCTGCATTCTTTTTTTTTCCTGTCGGGATCAGCGAGGTCATTCTTGAGTATCACCTGAGAAAAAGAGGGGTGGGCGCCAACATGTAGCTAATAGTAGCGTATCGATCCGAGTGCCTCAACGTTTTGTGGACCTGTTTCATCGGACCATGAAAGGGCGCCACCAAAACCAGAACATGCGTGTCTCTGAGCGGGAAGCTCGGCTATCCCAAGCGTTGAACCCGCGTGGAGCTAAGGTACGCCGTACGGAGTTTTCATGTTGACGTTTCAGTGGAGATGTGACCAGTCTACTATATTCTCGGCAAGATTGACGCCAATTTCCAATCCAATGAAACGAGATTAGAGCCCACTCTTGTGTCACTGATCAGGAAACGAGCGGTTGAGCCACCATTCACAACGTGGCCAGGTGGATCTGATCGAGCTTAGGGCTCAAAGCCAAGAACTGGCCATTTCAGGGGTCTTGGTTCGTTGATGTGGCTTTCTTTAGAATGGGCACGGTACAATTGAATACTGTATACCGGATCCTGGATACTGGACACTGTCCAGTACTGTAGGACCAGATCAGGATTCGGAGGGTCAATCGCAACCTGCTCTGTAAGGTCATCTTACACGTCATTGCTACCTGTACGAATCACAGCTGATCTCGATATGCCTGCAAAACACATCCACACGGCAACCGGAACACATTTGCAGGCCCACTTCCTGCACAGGGGAAAGAAAAACCACAAAAAAAATGGTCCAAAAAGAAAAGTGGAACAAATGAGAAAGAAAAAAATAAAAAACGAAAAAAACTTGGCATAGGCAAAAGATTGGCACCAATATACAGTACAGTAACAATTTCCAACAGACCAGGGGGGCTGAATCAATAATAGTCAGAGTTCTCCTGGTGGAACCGCTGACACCACTCGAAAATGCCGATCTCTGGAGTATGGCACACCGTAACAATCTAAGACATTGATCACCCCTTGGGAACACACTTGTCCACAGGATTTGGGTGTGTGATTCTGACCTCCAAATCAGCTCTCATGATTGCTCTCTCTCCCTCTCTTTCTCGCCCTCTCCCTTCTGCCTCATATCAGGTAAGATCCGACCTCTGGCGGTCACTGTCCGAGACCACGCTAGATCGGGCGTTGATCAACTTGAGTGTGTCCCCACCAGAGTAACCTCCGAAAAGGGCGTGAGTAGAATACTGTGGGTATCATTTATGGCATGAACTCCATTGCACTCCTTAGCCCCCACTGATGGGGCAAGGGGGGCCGATCCCAGCTTCCTTCGTCCTTCCAGACGTTCCAGTCAGGGTTTCTGATTGCCCGTTTCTTAGAAATGCAGCGGGAGGGAGCTGCGGGTCTAAGTTAATTTGGCTTGCTTTAGCGCCATGTCATCCGCTCCTTACGGTGTAGCATCGGATGAGAATGTTCGGGTCACTCAGATAGCCGTGCGTTCAAATGAATTTAATTAGTGCTTTCCTGCCTCGGCTCTTTCTCCTTGTTCATCTCACCTATGAGTTCTTAGCTCCTAGCTCCTAGGTCTTGGTTGTGACGATCACAGTATGCTCCGACATGGTACTCCGTACAGTACAAATGATCCAGGGGAGGGGGAGGGGGCAGTACAGGACCGACAATACTGGGCGATGTCTCTAGTTGAAACTGACCATGCTCCCGAGAGATGACAACGAATAATCAGCTGTTCACAATTCGACCAGAAGCCAAAAGGCCTGCCAGTCCAGACCCCTAGATAGCTGTGCTTGCAGGGCCCTGTGACACAGCGCCTCGCCGGGTCTGAGATATATAGAGAACATCTCCAACTGCGGGTATTTCGTCATCGACTCCTAGCTGAACTATATTCCCAAAGTCAACGCTTCGGGTGTTCTGACGCCTGCGGCGTGACGCCACACAAGGTCCAGGTGCAGGTGGATCGATTCTTATCACAGTCAACAAACCGAGTGGCGGAGTAAAAGCCCAAGGGCAGAAATTGGGGGCTATACAGTAGTGTACAGTACCGTAGACACGTTGTCACCTGTAAGCCCAATCACTCCCCCGTCCTAATCTACGCCAATTTCACCCAATTCTGTGGCCTTATACAACCAACCACCGCCCCCAGCTTTAACCTCGGTGCTTAACGCGTTGGGATCCACACACCATTCTTGGCCAATGCTCCCTCCTTTTTGCTTACGATCTGCCAGGAATGCCGATCTTGTTCCAAAAGAGGCAAACTCAAAAGATCACAAATTGAGTCTCCATGCAGGGGCCGATCCCTCGTATGTGTGGACTGGCACTGACACTCTGGCACTTGAATCTGCACTTGGGGCTCCGTGTCTATACGAAGCACGAAACCGACTATTGTTTTCACTTTTTGTTTTAATTTTAATTTTTCTTCTTCTTCTTTTTCTTGTTTGGATTCCCAGAAACCTTTTTCGACTAACGTACGGGAACTACGGTTCCAGTTCCAAGGTTGACCTCCACATGCGCATTCTCCGCGGTGACTCAACACCTCTCTGCGGGTGTTGCCAGAAGAAGATCAATGCAGCTGATCACAGGGGTTATCTGCATTGTACGAACAGCTGCTGTGAGGTGGCACACCTCCGTGCAGTGCAACTATTTAGTAGATAGATAGGGCGTGATTTGATTCCTTACAGTGTATTACATATGTACATGTATACCAAGTTAGATGCTCGGCAGTTAATGTGATGGAGATGAGACTCTGATCCAATGTACGGGGCACCTTTGACCCAATTTACAGGGGTATGTCGGAGGGTTTTGATTAGTTGGCTTTTAGTGCAGTGCACGCACCTGAGGTTGTTATTGACGGGCGTTGGTTGGCTGCCTAAACGGCAAAAGAAGGCCTTTCATTCCCTGCTAGCACAAAGAGTCTCCATAATTTTTCTTTGCTTTTTTTTCTCTTTCTTTGTGTCTGCTTACGAGATAAGAGAGGGGCTCGAGGCCCTTTTCCAGTCGGTTTGTTCTCCATAGCTCCTTCGCGCTCACTAACCCTCTTGGGGGGGATGTTTAATGTGTCTAGTACTGTAGTGTGGCATCAGACCTGGCACATACTTTCAGCTAAAAGCTCCATTTTTGATTGTTCCAGTCGCTTGGATGTAGTTTCGCTTTCTTCACCGTCTTCTCCTCTCCACCGAGCCACCCTTTTTTCATTCCTACGGGTGTTCCACCGGGTATGTATGCCGTGGCACACAGATGTGATATACAGTGCCTCCACCCTTTCATTCTTCTGCATTCTGCGTCTAGTCTAGACACGACTGCTCAGACCCGTTCCCCATCCTTGTTTTGTCTCAGGCCCTTCTCCGTATGATTACGATTCAATCTATTGAGGCGGAGGCACACCGAGCCTACGTATGTCTGACTGCAACATGTACTGTACTGCCTTCCGTCCACATTTGCACTGGCACTGGCACTTGCACACTGGCACACTTGCAGTACAGCCCCCCCTCTCTCTCCATCCCCCTACATCAAAAGATCCAAATGATTAGCGGTGGACTCAACCCGAGCCCCAGTCTCCTCACCAAACGCCCCACGCTTCGTGCATCCTTTCCCGATCGGACCATTCTTCCAACGGGGTTCGTCGTCCGCTTCAAGTCCGCCCCAGGCCCGTTATACAATATGCGCAAACTATGCCATGTCCAGCCGGGAGGGTCCGGCCGTGTATGCCGCATTATTGATTTTGGGCACGGGTCTGAGCAGAGGATTATTTACACTTTTGAGCATCTTGTAGACTTTCATTGTCACCGGTGGGGTAACAGTAAATTATAAGTTAGTACAGTAAGTTACTAACTTACTGTACAGTATACTGTAGGGCTCATTAGTGTTAGTGTTGGGTTTTTTCCGCGCTAACTACACGCTCAGTGGTGGCCCCTTCCATAATGGCAAGTGAAGAATCTGCCTTTTTATTTCCCGTTTCCGTCTGGGTTGAACGGATCAAGTGTAATGGAGATCTGCCGATCAGGCAGATCAGCGTCAATCTCGTATCTGGTCTTCTAGCTAGTTGATGTCGGTCTGGGATTTTGGAAAGCCTCGCGCCCGGGCTCTTTCTACTAGTAAATATTGGCGATGGCAATTGCCGTTAGCTTGGGATCTTAGTTGCAGCTCCGTTCCTCTTTTTGGGTCATGCTCATCTGGCGAGGTTACGTCGGGCTTGAACCCAAGATTGAATCCCGAGATCTTCAATGGTAGAACGCCGGCGGTCTATTCGCGACTGTCGTCTGGCTAGTCTCATCTGAGGCGCCAGAGAAATGGAGAAACTATTGAGGTGTTTGGGTCGGGGCGGAACAAAGTTCTAGTGTTTATCTTGGCTTAGTGGTCGCGGACTCTACTATATCCGAAATTACGCTAAACTATGCTAGACTATGCACTACTCTGGAGGGATCAATTGTATGGTTTGGGCATTGTCAAGAGCATGACCAACGGAAATGAAACGCCACAGAAATTTTCTTCATTGTTCTGAAGGTCACAAGGCAAACCACCTAAATTAGTGTGAAGCGATCCACTTTATCCTATCCGGAATATATATCAGCGCAATTTTTGCCCACGGAAATTTAGACAGCCCGACGGTAGCGAAAACGCCTAGTCATTGCAAAAGCCGAAAAGGTTCACCAGCGGTGAAAAACGCACTACTTTTGATTGAGTCGTGTAGATTTCTCTGAAAGCTGATTTTAGCCCAACGGTGTCCGGTAGTCTCCAGGCCGTATATCCGGTTTAATGGATCCAGCAGCCTGTCCAGAAGTCAACGTAGTCCTTGGCTTGCTGAATTCAAAATATAGTTGCAGGCCAGTCACATCAGTATCTTTGAACATGTGGTGAGATCTGTTCTAGTGTTTATGTCGACAGCATTGCCTAGTAGCACTGCGAGAAGAAGGACGAGTTGGGCAATATACTAAGGCATTACGGGGTGCAACAGTAGAGGGATATGGAGCAACCGGCAGACATTAGAGAGCTGTTTATCTTATTCACATGGCCCCTTTTGGCTCATAGAAACGATATCAATATCTAGAAGGTTAGTACATGTTCTTTTTGCAACTGCTTTCCACGAATACCCAAATTGGCGGTGACCCGGATGATATGTTGTCTCTATTATAAATGACTAGCATGAGTTCCAGCAACTGATCAGCATATTCGGACTAGCAGTCATATTGTAATGTTCAGAGCCGTGACTGTGACGATGTGAACAGAAAAGGACAGGGAAAGCTTTAGTCCACCGTGGTATATGTTACGTAGAAGATATAGCGACACAGCGGCAACAGGCCCTCAGTCGGTCGATTTGCATTTTAAGTGTATCAAACAACTGATGTCATATATATATTACCACAGAGCAAGAAGACAAAGACGTCAACAAAAATAGGCCGTGAAAGGAAACACCTAGCGAGTCGTATACACATGCGGTGTTACTAGATCATATATCCTACAGAATAAGTACAAAGCTTCCAATAAGAAAAGAACACTATCTCAATAATAACGTTCTTTCCTGTTGTTCTTGGTTCGAAACTGCTCATACTTCGTGTTGCTCATTTGGTATCACGAACCGAACTTGCAGTCAGTCGAGTTGAGTTCATTCCTTGATTTGACTTTGTACAATGAAAATAAAGCTGTTGCTGGCTAGTGTGAGTAGAGAATGCTTGATGCAGCCCAGTGAGTACGAAAGAATGGTAGAAGCATGGAGTCTTTCAATGACCTGATACGTTGAAGAATAAATTATAGAGCAGCCTCCCCGAAATTGACATTGTACAAGGAGGCAGCAATCAAGTAAGACCAGAGAATATATCAGTCTTATATAAGAGCAATGATTGCTTATGTGTTCCCCGGGGTGATCTCGGTTCATTTCGTGAAATTATATGACCTGAGAACAACAAAGTCTCATAACTGGATGCTGTTACCCTCAGTTTGATGGTCTGAAGGCCACCGCAGTGACTACATTGATACATAGCGCATTACTGAAACTGGCTGGTCCAACAAATGCTTATTGCTTGTCCAGAAGCTCACATCTGAGAACCCATCCTGCATCTTTTCTTCTCTTCCCCAACGCCAATGCCTTTTGATTTCTACACCAAAGTCACTTGGAAACCGACAGACGCTCTTCCGCTCTGTACTAGGCCCAAAGGCCAGGAGGTAAGATTATATCGCACAATACTGATCCCCCTACCTTGCTCACGAGAGTTCCCCGCTGTCTGGCCGCATGTTTAAGCTAACGACGAAGTCGAAAAGACCGACGAGTCAAAAAGTCACCTCAGATCGACTTGGACTTTGGTATCTGATCAACTACCCAAGCAAGCATCGATCTGATTTGCATGGGTTGGCCATCGTCTAATATCATCAACATCACCAAACATCACCGACCCACCAATGTCATTAGCTGAAGCCCAACAACTTTCCCTAACAGTTGCAAAGCTCAGCCTGAGCACCACTGACTATAATTCCTGGGTCAGCGGATTAGAACAAGGCATCTCCAGCATCAACCCTAAGTACTGGTCAATCCTCGCAGGTGATGTTGACTATCCAGCCGAGCCAGAATGCATCTACTACACCAGGGAAGAGGCCTACTTTGCCGTTGCAATGACCGAATATTCAAGAGTAGGATTTGCGACTGACGCTCAACCCATCTCCGAAAAGGTGAACCAATTCATCTCCTCCAATCGTGACCACAACAAGCTCCTCCTCGCACAATACAAAGTTCGACTCAGAGAATTCGAAGAGCTAAATTACAAGGCGCGGATACTCCTTGAAGTAACCCTCGAGAGGGATCAGTCTGCCATGATCTCATGCATCTTCGGAGCACGCTCTGCATTCTTGGTACTGGATGGCTACAAAGACAGGTAGATTCTGAGTGGAATAGAGGAGTGTGCACAGAGAAGTCCAATGAGCAAATACAAGATACTTTGAAACTGCTCCCAAAATGTCAAGTATGAAAGGGCCATATTGACCCGGGTTCACTAATGCAGACTGTTCCATTCATATATGCAAATTGTCCGACTCCCCGGGACACAATCATCGTGACGTCAAGTTGGCAATCCAATCTACAAAAGCAAAGAAATCAATCCAGGAATTGAAGCACATGGAATATTCATTCATATTATAAACCATTGCAAAGAGTTGACCATCTAGTGTGCAGAACCCCAGTGAGGCATAATCTGAACGAAAGCCTCCATCAACAGTCCAGGCCAACCTTGACGTGATAAACAACGCCAACATGTCAGCATGCGCAAGAAACCTCGACGATACAGGTGGAATCCCCGGCGAGCCCCGGACAGCCAAGAGTAAAGTGCTCGAAACCGGAGCTTCAATGATCCAAGACTTCACGCCGGTGAAACAGATCTGCGCACACCTCAATGCATTCCACGTTTACGCCAACGATCCAACCCGATGCATCGAAGCAAATCATTACTGCACCCATCTAACAGAAGGTATGCACCATAGCTACGGCCATCATACAGCATAACCCAAGCCCTATCTACCGTCCCTGAATGCGAGAACCCAAACTTATCTATACTATCTTCCAAACCCCAGACGTGCGCCAATGCCTAATCTACGACTCCCCAAAAACAAATGCCCGCCTCATCGGCGTAGAATACATGGTCTCACCCCGGATCTTCGAGACCCTCCCAACAGAAGAACGCAAGCTCTGGCACACGCACGAGTTCGAAGTGAAGAGCGGCATGCTGATCATGCCCGCGCCAACTGGTGTCCCCACGTCTGTCTGGGAGGCAGCCGAAACGGCTGAGATGCAGGATGTTGCGCCTATCTATGGGAAGACGTATCACTTCTGGCAGGTCGATCGTGGGGATATTGTACCTATGGGACCGCCGCAGTTGATGGGAAGTTTTACTTCAGATGAGAGCGTGAAAGCTGCGAAGCCTGGGGGGTTGGATGAGTTGCTGGGCGAGCGGGATGCGAGGTTTGGCGTTGATTATCGACAGAAGGCTCAAAAAAGGGAGGGCATTGAGGCGGTCGAGAAGCATTCCGGTATGTGTTGCACGCATCCTTTGGTTCAATACGGCCAGGGTCGTTTTTGAGTGTTGACAGAGGACTGACAAGAAGTTTTATAGATGCTGATACCATGTGGGCGTCGAGCTAAGGAATCGAGCTACGTTACGTGCAGAAATATTGGTTCGAGTGAATATCCAATTGAATTGAAATGGAATAATAGTATATACAGAGATGTCTCCCCGCTGCGCATGACTCAAAGACCCAGTCCCATAATGAAATGGGGTCAAATAGAGGCACACTGGGGGACAGCCAAAAGAAGATAGGCTGGTTGTGTTCATCTTGCTTCATTGTCCACACTTGCTCGTCCTGGTGCTGAATTTCGGCGACGGCAAGCTCTAGCATTTGGAGAAGCGAACTCCCGGATGGGAGATGGGTGATGGGGAAAAGGGAAAGTGACTACGGGGAAGTGAGGGCATGAAATCAAATGAGAAGTCCAAGCAGTCGTCTCTAGTAGAGAACCTTGCGCAGGAACGTCAAGACCGAGAAAAATACAACCCCAGCGCTCACAACATTAAATGAGCAGCTGAGATAGCATAGATGATCCTAGGATCTCACAATCAGAAGCAGCAGAAATATCTGCTGCCTCGAAAGTGCAGGGTGACATGTCGACTGTGGATGAAGAGAGAAAAGACGGGAGCGCCGCAAATCCGAGATTTTTAAAGGCCCCGTCGAGTCACATGACCCAATCGGGGACCGAAGTGAAGCTCAATCCGAGGGAACCAACAAGCTCTCAATTGACCACACATGGAGCACTTATACCGAAAATTACTGCGGAACGCCAACCTGCGCACCGTTGGCCGGCTTGCGCTAAATGGTGCGGGCACTTTCTGCGGTTGTGCGCTGATCTGGGAGCACCTGATCACCATCCAGGCCAGCGCCGGGCCTTCTATGTACCCGACCTTCGACGTGCGAGGAGACTGGCTTCTGATCTCACGGACGCACCGGAATGGGAAAGGGATTGAGGTCGGCGACGTTGTGCGATTTGGTCATCCCAACTTCCAGGGCGTTCATGTTGCGAAGCGGGTTGTTGGAATGCCTGGGGACTTTGTCTGTCAGGACAAGCCACTCAGTACGGAGATTGGAAAGGATCAGAATATTATCCAGGTAGGTCCTGCCTTGTGCCCCGGGGAATCGAATTCAATTGCTGACTGGTATTTGTTGTGAAGGTCCCCGAGGGCCATGTCTTCCTGGCTGGCGACAATCTTCCCTGGTCGAGGGATTCGCGAAACTACGGACCGGTTCCTATGGGCTTGATAAATGGAAAGATTGTTGCAAGGGTATGGCCACCGTCGAAGATGGAGTGGGTGCGTAATCCGTTGCGACCTGCACAATTGGATTAAACCGGACAGTGCGGCATGCATCTGGACATGCCGATGAGTGTATTACTTGGGATTCTGTTAAGCATATGCATGGAGTTTGGTTGGAAGGGAATTGTTAAAGCAGTGTGCATATTCATACATATCAAATTGTACAATACAAATCTATACTCAATCGCCGATATAGGAAACGAAGTATACAAGACAAAATTAGCGGAATGACGAGGGGTTACGTCTCTTATATGGCAGAGGCTCGACTCGTGCACGGCGCAGCTCCACGCTGGCACCGTCGAATCCGATCTCCTTCATGACCTCCAGGGTCGTATCGTCCCACTGGGTACGGAAAAGTTGAGCACCAATGGCCTTGAGGTGGTAGCTAGCCTGAAGGGTGCGGAGGGTGACAGCGCGGCTAGTCTCCTTGGCTTTGATGGCTTCAAAGTTGAGAGGGCGAGAGTTCTTCTGCTCCATGATGAAGACAGAAAGACGGTGGTAAGGACTACCCTTCTGAGCGACAGGCGGCAGCCAGGGAAGAACCACCTGAGAGTCTTCCAAAAGCTGGGAGAGATCGACCTTGGTGGAGGTGGCTGAAATAGGCACGTTCACGGCCAGGAAGTGCGTCTTATAATCGAAGCTGTTGGCCTCAACGTTCGGGATATCAGGATCCACGATTGCGATGGTGACGAGCTTTTCACCACCCTCGTAGATCTGAATGTCCAATTTTGGTGCAACTGTGCTAGCTCTTGCCTCGACGAACTCACCAGCTTGAACCTGGCGCTTGCCGAAGTACATCTTGGTGTCCACGACGGGGTCGCAGTGAGCCAAGACATCGGGAATGACATTCATCTGGGTAATACGCTGGACGAGAATCTTACGGCGGTACTCGCGCCATTTGCGGTCGGCCAAGAAGCGGTAGATGGGCTTGGACATGTCGCCTGTAATAGTGATAGGGTAAGTCTAGGCCCTAACCATCCAAATGAATTGTCAGTCTTACCTTCGCCATCCTCGAAATTGCGCTTCACCAAAGGATCGTTAATATCAGCCAGGATCTTGAGGCGTTCCAGGTGTATTTGCATCGCCGTTACACGGGACTTCTTCGCCTTCTCTCCGCCGGCCTCCTCAACAGACAAACCCTCCTGTCGTGCAAGGCGCTGTCTCATTGTCTCGATTTCCTTCAATTTCTCTTCACGATCGGCGAGGAGAAGCTTCCGGGCTTCCTGGAAACATTGGTAGGGCAGTTGTTCAAAAGGAATGTTGGCGGAGTCTTGGAGCGCAGCACGGCGACGGCGAGATCCAATGGGGGCGGTACCCTGTCGCAGCAAACGTCTCTCTAACCGGGGGCTTGAAACAAGAGAAGGATCGGGTGCCTTGTGGAAGGGTTGGCTCGGTGTGTCAGCTTCGGGCTCTCTGACGCTGGCCGTAGACTGGAAGGCTCGCGTCTGGAGTTGGGTCCCAGCAATGCTTCGCGAGTAGGTGTTGCGAAGGCATTGAAGCAGGGGCTTTGAAGCCCGCTCGCAGTGAGCCATGATTCGAGGAATTGGGGGAAGTGATGGTGTTGGCCTTGAGGATCGGATGTTGTTGTCTTTCCGGGGTGACTTTTTCTGTTCGCAGGCCAAGATTCTGCCAGTATCCACCGCCCGGGATCAACTTTTGCTCTCCCGTTCAAGACACCAGACATCATCAACTTATAGGCCTTGTCCACCGCAGTGGTCTTACACAATGCCTAGTCACGATGTCTTTCGCTCGCTGCGGCTGCTGTCACGCAGTTCCAGCGGGATCTTGTCCGGCCCGATGCAAGTGACCGTGAGTAACTCCATGAATTGTTGATCCGTGTGTTGGACGCAGTTACTTACAAGCCGCTCGACTCTACAGCAGCGATGCCTCACACGATCAATGGCAACAGAGGCCAAGCCTACAACACCCCTCGAGACACAAAATGCCACCGAGGCCCCTCAAGCAGAACGATTCGGAGGTCAAGCTCCTGTTTCCGTTGTGACCTACCGCTTCCCCGATATGAAACCCGAACACATGATTCACTACTCCCGGAGACTCCTTCAAATGCCCATTCGTCACGATATCCTCCACCGCGCCGTTGTCTACGAGGGTGACGGCACTCGGCAAGGTACAGCCAGCACCAAGTGGAGGGACGATGTGCACGGCAGCCACAGGAAGTTGTACGCACAAAAGGGCTCCGGTCGTGCCCGTGCAGGTGACAAGCAATCGCCAGTTCGCCGTGGTGGTGGTGTGGCCCACGGACCTCATCCTCGCGATTTCTCGACCGATCTGCCACGAAAGGTCTACGCCCAAGCCTGGCGCACTGCCCTCAGCTACCGACACGCACGCGGCGAATTGATCGTTGTGGAAAACTCGATCACTCTCCCAGATGAGGCCACTCCCTTCTTCGTTAGGAGGTTCGCCGCAGCCCATGGCTGGGACCAGAAGAAGGGTCGGGTAACACTCATTACACGTAAGGCCGATGAGAGATTGGCTGAAGCAGCCGAGAAGTTCCCCAAGCACGTCAAGTATCTCGAACTTTCGGATGTGGATGTGAAGGATATGTTGGAGACAGGGAGAATCGTCATTGAGAAGAGGGCATTGCACCAACTCCTGCGCAACAACTCTACGGACTTGACCAGTGCGGACAGAGTCTGGTCGCCTTCACTAGACGGACAAAAGATACTCGGGCTAGGCCAAGCTCGCTTTTGATTGTGCCTGTTATATTGTTTGCATTATCTAGCTATGTACAAATAGATCTATACTTTTATTATTTGATTCTGGAACTGTGCAGTCCAACCCCTATCAAGTTTAGAAAATTTAAAGAATTCATAAACTACAATGTTTCCATTCATTTCAAACATCAGCTTTTTTAATTCTTGACATCAAACAGCATCAAAGGTGATGTCAAGCAGTGTCGGTTATGGGCGGAGAGTCGGAGCGGAAAGCAAATCCAGCGAAAAAAACTCCCGAGGTCAAGAAAGCGGAGAAACATCTGATTGTCACCATACCCCTTCCCTCGATTCTTCCTTTTCTTCGTTCTAATGTTACTTCGACACTCTTTCTCCCGCCTACCCTCGCCGAGCTGGATCTCGCGCGTATCCCCAATGCCTCTACGCGCAAAGGTGACCAACCCTGCCTTCATGGCAACAGCTTCGGTATGCACACCTCGGATCGAGCACCGACATCAGAGCTAACCATTAATAGATGTCGACAAATATCCCCAAAGAACTTCCCACCGATGAACCCGATGATGTTCTATTCAACTCGATTTACGGTATCCGCAGCGTCGAGCTCAACCGCCCCAAGAAGCTCAATTCCTTGAACGGCTCTATGGCACGGAAGATCTTCCCTCGACTTAAGGAATGGGAGAAGTCCAACCTCGCAAACATGATCCTCATCTCCGGAGCTGGCGAGAAGGCTCTTTGTGCAGGCGGCGATGTTGCCGCTTTGGCTCAACAGAACGCAGAGGGACCTGAGGGACAACAAGCGTCGACAAGCTTCTTTGGACTGGAATACTCCCTCGATCATCTGATTGCCACATACTCGAAACCCGTTATCTCTTTCATGGATGGAATTACCATGGGTGGTGGTGTCGGCCTTAGCATGCACGCTCCTTTCCGTATTGCGACTGAGCGCACTGTCTTTGCCATGCCAGAGACAACCATCGGCTTCTTCCCTGATGTTGGTGGCTCGTTCTTTTTGCCCCGCCTTGATGGCGAGACCGGAACCTACCTTGCTCTGACCTCGGAGCGCCTGAAGGGTGTGCAGGCTCTGTACGCCGGCATTGCTACCCACTACCTGCACTCCAGCGTTCTGGCCAATGTCACCCAGCGTCTCTCTGAGTTGACCTTCGCTGATCACGTCGAGCTCCCCGAACGCCTCCATACCGTAAACAAGACCATGGCAGAGTTCTCACTTGGGCTTCCCTCTCTTGAGGAGGAGCCCATGCTTCTGGCTGGTAACCTGCGTGCTGCCATTGACCGCTGCTTCGCATTCAACACCGTCGAGGAGATTTTCCAGGCTCTAGAGCAGGAGACTCAGCACAAGGAGTGGGCACAGAAGACACTGCAGACCCTTTCAAGCCGCTCTCCTACTTCTCTGAAGGTCACCCTTCGCCAGCTGCGCCTGGGTAAGGATTGGACCATCGCAGAGACTTTCCAGCGTGAACACGCGATCTCTGGTCACTTCATGCGTCACCCCGACTTCGTTGAGGGTGTCAACGCCCGTCTTGTATCGAAGCCTCCCCGCCAGGCTGAATGGCAGCCTGCGACTCTTCAGGAAGTCTCCGACGAGGCCGTGGAGGAGTTCTTCAAGATCCCCGAGGGCGAGGAGCGCCTGTCCCTCTTCAGCGAAGTCGATTACAAGAAATACCCTCACGCCCACTTCGCGCTTCCTTCCGAGAACGAGATTGAGGAAGTTGTGCGTCAAGGACACGGATCACGGAGACCCGTGGTGGAGTACTTCCTTGAGAAGTACGCTCACCGTGAGGGTGTCCGCCGAAAGGTTGTCGAGGTGATTACCCGGAAGACGTCGAAGACCGCCGAGGGAGGATTCAAGTGGAACTAAGAGGGATACCACCTACATGTAATTTTTTTGTTGTTCTGTATTAGAATTTATTGAATATTGGGCCTATGTACTTGTTTCGTCTGCCACTTATTGGTCTTTTCTGTTTGGAGCAATCCGACGACAACATCGGTATCTCCAGTTCATTGTAGATTAATTATATGAACCCCCAGAGGGTTTTTTTGAGGCTGCATGGCCTGCTAATTGGTCGCGATACACCCATTCGAGTTCGGTATACCTATAGCCTGGCTCTGCGTTAGTTAAAACGGAAGCTCCTTGTTCTGAAAACGACTCTTGAAAAGTGCCTATTGAAACGAAGAACGTTATCAGGGGAAATACAACTCATTTCCTATAGCTCGAGTTCCTATAAAACAAGAATCCAGTAAACCCCAAGCAAATCCTCCCACTGGTCCCACCGTCCTCAGCCCACCCGCAAAACCGCAGATCCGCCAAACCCCGACTCATTAACCCTCAAATGGCAAATCTACAACCCCTGTATAACCAGCAAATTTACAATGGACATAGCGAGCAGTCCATCGGCGTCGAGGCAACCCTCATATGAAAACTGTCGCACCGCACAGACAGTCCAACCAACCTCTGACCCGATTTCACAGATGGATATCACTTCAGCACCAGAAGCTCGCTCCGTGCTAACACGCCTATACATCTCACATACGCTGTCAGCATGGAACTCACGTATGTTCGAGTTTGGCGCAGTGCTGTTTCTGGCCTCCATTTTCCCAGATACGCTGCTCTATGTGTCGATCTATGCACTCGTCCGGGCCTTATCAGCTGTTGCGTTTTCTCCTTGGCTGGGTGCGTGGGTTGATCGGTCTGATCGGCTTGTTGCTTTGAGGTACTCTATCGGTATGTATTTCTTTCATTCCCTCTGTGTTCTGATTCGAGAAAGATCGAATGCATATTGATTGAGCAATTAGTTTGGCAGCGAATCCCGGTTGCTGTGTCGTGTCTGTGCTTTGTGGTGCTTTTGACTACAGAATCTCGGACGATCACTCTTCTTCTATTTGGTGTACAGGGACTTTTGGCCTGTTTGGAGAAAGTAGCTGCTACAGCTAATACCGTGGCTGTCGAGCGAGATTGGGTATGTTCTCAGCACTTGCTTGAGTCGTATTATCTTCATTGCTGGCTATCTGATGCAAGTCCACTAATTATTACATGAAATTATAGGCAATTGTGATATCGGACAACATCAATGTCCCTCGACAAAGTAAGAACATCCAATGTCAAGAGTTAGAAGAGAGAAAATGAGAATCTCTAACGACCACAGAATTAAACGCTTCAATGCGACGAATCGACCTCTTCTGCAAACTGCTAGCCCCAGTCTTCATCTCCCTAGTTGACAGTCTCAAAACGAAATACGCCATCTGGACAGTCTTCGGTCTGAACTGCGCATCCGTGGCGGTCGAATACATGGCAATCGCCCAAGTCTACCGAGCAGTGCCAGCTCTGAAAAAGCAAATTACAGCTTCTAACACGCTGGATGCTGATGATCAATCTCATGAGAGTAACCAAAATATTGGCACCAGCCCATCTACTAATCACCACAAATCTTCCTTGAAGGAATACACCACAAGCCCGGTCTTCCTCCCCTCCGTCGCTCTAAGCCTCCTCTACCTAACTGTCCTCTCGTTCGGCGCCACAATGGTCACATATCTCCTCAGCACGGGCTTCAGTTCCTTGCAGGTTAGCTATATGCGCATTGGCTCGGTAGCGGCTGAATTGTCTGGTACTTGGACGGCCCCGATGATCATGAACAAAATTGGCCCAATCCGGTCCGGACTGTGGTTCTTGAATTGGCAATTTGTCTGCGTGACTGCAGCAGCCGCAGCTTTTGTTGTGTGGGATTCTGATTCCAGCGTTGTTGCTTGGACGCTCATTGTTGGTGTTGCTATGAGTCGGATTGGGCTTTGGGGATTTGATTTATCTGTTCAGTTTCTTGTCCAGGAGGTGAGTTCACTGGTCCATGGGCTTTGTTGTGGCTGTGTTGATGCTTATTCTTATCCTTTTTTTGCATTTATAGACTATCGAGGAACATGCACGCGCTCGTTTCTCTGCTACCGAGATGGCACTGCAGAATGTTTTCGAGATGCTTTCGTTCGCTTCGACTATTGCATTCCCGCTCCCTGCGCAATTCCAATATCCAGTGCTAATCAGTTCTGGTGCTGTAACCGTAGCGGCTATCTGCTTTGCAGCGTATGTTCGCAAGGAACGCGGTCATCTGTTGCACCGATCACGGTGTATGGGAGGAGACAAGATTGTATATCGAGCACTCGAATCGGGGACAGTGTAAAGCCACCGACTTCTATTTGATTATAAAAAACATAGCGTTCGTGCAGGATACCTGAATACACAAGAGAGAGCCATTGTGAAAAACTTCACAGAAAAGCAAACAGCCACCAATGAGACCGAGCTCACTACCAAGTAATTAAAATCCATACATACAACCAAACCGAGCCCGTATCTCGAGCAAACGCCTCAATTCAAATCACCACAAAGAAATCCGAAAACAACTCCCTCCTCACACACTTCGAATCAGCCCACGTTCTCGAAGCATCCTGCCGCCTCGTCATCTCCTCAAGCAACAAGAGAACCTTATCAGCAGCCGGATGGCGCGAAAGCGAAGTAACAGCATCAGTCGCCGGAACAGACGCCATGCGATGCATTTCCTGAACAATCCACTGCCGCTGGTCACTCGACCCCTCCAAGCCTGCCACAAATAACGGCCACATAAAACTAACCGGAAGATGACCCGGCGCCGCCGATTCAACAGTAGCGAGCTGGATAATCTGATCCACGGCGCCATTGACCCGGTCTGTACGAGGATAGATGGCAAAAGCCACGCGGTGCAGGTAAATAAAGTTAGCCAGGAAACTGGCAATGTACTGCCGGAATGTGCGGCAGACTTCCATTGCGACGGGCGCGCATAGTGTATCGGCTAGTGCCTCCGGGCGTCCATAGACGTCTATTACAGCGGGCCGTTTGTGCCATAGTGTTTCGAGATCGGCGCCTACTTTATGGGCTATTTGGAGAACTTCGAATTCGTCGCTGAGAGTTCCGCGGCTGCGGTGGTGGAGGTCTATGCAGACGATTCTGCGCACGATTTGTTGCGCTTGGAAGAAGAATTGGAAAGCGGGGCCTACGATTGACTCGTAGACTAGATAGCTGGGGCTGCGGAAGGGGTCTGCGTTGATTTCCTCTTCTTTTGCGTTGTCGTTTGGAGTTGCTGTGCGTGGTGTTGGGAATGTTTGAGGTTCTATTGACTTTAAGGATATGTCGTGTTCGGGGAGATTTCCTAGTTCTGTTAGAGGATCGCCTTCGCGCCCTGCTATTAGGGATTTGACGTCTAGAAGGGAAACCCATGAGACTAGGAGGTGGCCTAAACCTGTCCATGTTCGTGTGCGGTCGTGGAAGCGTTGGAGGATGAGGTAGCCGGATTTGAGAAATGAGGTTCCGGCGCATATTTCGTGCGATGAGAGAAGCTGAGATGAGTGTCAGTTAAGATGACTCGAGTGAGGATCGGGTAGATCATACCTCGGATAACATTAAAAGAAAAATAGTGGCATAGATCTTGACAAGCGTGGATTCGCCCACGTCGCCAAGAAGACAAGCCTGGATCTCCGAGCTGGAAACTTTGTAATATGTAGGCGCCCAGCGCCAGCGTTTCCCGTCTACCATCGCTTTATGAATATCGGTGTAACAGTATAAAGCATTCAAAAGCGGACCATAGCTCCGCGAATGAGCCAGCAACGCCGGCCGCACATACTTCCACTCCATATTAAGCGGTCCAAATGGAGCTGCCGGCGGACCAATAGCTAGGAAATGCTGTATAAGCTGATCCTCGTACGAGGTACCGCCTGCATCAGACCAGCTCCCCCGCGGCGTCGTCCGATCTGAGCCACCTCCAACAGACGTCTCGTCCAAAACCGAAGAAGGCTCATCTGGGCTGATCGGTGTACGACGGTCCGCAAATTGGCCCTCCATGGTTGGCAGCACCCCGGGAAGCGACTGCGCTGGACTGGCGGTGAAAGTAGCATCAAGGCCAGTCGTCAAATCCAGGTGTTTTTGTTCCAGCTCCGATGTGATGCCGCCCATAAACCCAAGCATATCGAATTCGGAGGGGTATGGGTCCCCCGCGGGGAGATGTCGGAGGGTTGGTATGGAATGATCATCGGATCGGAGGACTGTGTTGAAGAAGTTGATGTCGGGAGAGCGCGATGCCGATGCCGATGCTGATGCTGATACAGACGCAGAGACAGATGCAGAGGCAGCTGTACCTACTGAGCCGGGTGGGCTGGTTGGCACTGAGAGTGTCGCAGGGTTTGGCGCATGGGAACGAGATGGAGATGACCCCCACGTGAGCGCGATGGGAGGTTTATAGATGCATCGGAGTCGTAGTCGGTCGCAGTTTGAGCAACTGGGTTTGGACTCGTCGCAGCGCACTTTGCGCGCTCTACATGTCAGGCAACCTGTTCGTCGGCGCGGTCCTGATCTGCCCGCTCCCCGGGCTTTTGGCACCTGGTTTTTTGTTAGTTGACGACGGCCTGAGAGTCTCATATACCTTACCTCCATGATGCAACAGGCCTATAGCCAGAGACAGACATGAAGCCTGAGAAAGTTGCATCGGAAGTGGCTGGTTTCCCCGCAACGAATTGTGGAGTTCGATGACGAGATTCTGGTTGATTTTTAGGCTATAATTGCCTGAGAGGACGACGGGCCTCTTTTTATATGAACCCAAGCATGTATGCACTAACATGCACTATGGCAATCGACAAGATCTGCACTATAGAACTTAGCTCAGACTTCAGGCACAGGCACATGCGGCTCGGAACCCCTGATTCTGTAGGACTTTGCAATGTGGGGAATCCCCAGTGCTTTGGAGGCTGTTTGGTCACTATTTCTCTATACCAGACTGTATCTGTTCCATGAATATTTCCTACGTGGTGACAGAAATTGGCGAATTGCAGCTGAATGGGTAAGTTATGTGTTAGTACAGTGAGTAAACAAGACTATCAACTACTCTAGTGTCTGGCGCACATGTAGTGTAATTCGATAAACATTGCACATGTAGCTAGATTCATGACATATGCCTGTAAAGCAGTCCCATAAGCCCATATTCTATAGTAGATAGCTGTTAATGTTCACTCCTCTTCATCCGCTACCTTTCTTTTTCATCTTCTACCCTATACTGATTCCTTAATGCCTGAAACCAAGACTGCGGATTGTCCACGGGACATCCGCGGAGAACTTCCATTTAAAGTAAATTCCCTCGGATCTCCCGCGGATTTAAGCCTCAATATATATTTGGAGTTACAGTCAGACTTATAAAAGAGACAGTCCATCTCTATAAATAATAATTATAAACCCAAAGTTCTTTCTCCATTCTTCAAGAGAAACAGAAAAGCACCATGTCTCAAAAAATCGCCCTGGTCGTCTGCAGCACCAGAGAGCCTCGACTGAACCCGTTCATCGCTCGCTACGTCCTGGAAATCATCTCACGCCAGAGCTGCGAGGAAACTCTCGAATTACTCGATATCAGCGAGCAAGGCCTCCCTCTATACAACGAGCCCGCTATTCCATCGTTCCTTCCGGAGGCCGATCCCACGCCCCATTATATCCACCAACACACGCAAGCTTGGTCCGCCAAGGTTCGCCAGTATAGCGCGTTCATCTTTATCACGCCTCAGTATAACTGGAGCATTCCAGCCAGTTTGAAGAATGCATTGGATTATTTGTACTATGAATGGAAAGGCAAGCCTGCTGCTATTGTGACCTACGGGGGTAGAGGAGGTGGCAAGGCGGCTGATCATTTGAGTGGGATTCTTCAAGGATTGCATATGAATGCAGTCTCAGCGACTCCTGGGCTTACTGTGAAGTCGTCGACTATGGAGTCTTTGGAAGGAGATCAGATTGGTGCTGAAGATAAGGGGAGGTGGAGGGCAAGTGGCGCTGAAGAGCAGATCTCTTCTATGTTTTCGGAGTTGTTAGAGAAGGTTCATGGCAATTAGAATGTTATCCGTCAATTAGAATATATTTTATTTCACCATCTGGCTTAGTTATAAAGTGATTCTGATACACATTCAGCGTACGATAAGCAGTAGATGGTCCATTCAATACACAGGACTTTATCGGAATCAAGGTACAACTTGACTTTGTACACAGCTTCAAATATAATGGACGAGCCTATATATCAGAAAAAGAAAATTGTTCTTGCTCATGTTCTTCTCTAAATAGTCAATCATCAACCATCTTGTTCATCTTTTTCCGTACAAATTCCTCCATATCACGTCTTTCCTCCATAGTCAACAATGCGACCCGATCCTCCAGAGTGCCCTCTCCGAAAAACCTCCTATCAATCCGAGCCCAGTAAACAACATCAAAAGCCCAGCTCCGTCTAGCCGCATAACTAACCCAGAAATCCCCACTTCCCCAACTCTCTCGCATAAACCCAGAGAGCCGATTCGCTTCCCCAATCACACCGCGCGCAATATCAGCATCCTCCCGTATAACCATCGCTTCTAGCCAGACCTCCAGCTGCTGCTCATATAACCGCGCCCAGTCGTTCAAACCTTTATCCCAGTACTCCGGCCGTTCAAGAAGTAACCAACAAGGCGGGGCATAGACAAAGTCCGCAGGCGCGGCGTATGAGAACTCCCAATCAATCGCACCACAGATCTTATAATCAAAATTGGAGTTAGCAAGAATATTTGCAGGCCGGAGATCATCACAGTATAGCTTAAAAGGCCCACCCTCAAACCGACAGAGTCGTTTTTCGCGCGCAAGCTTCCGGAACAAACAGCGTGCAATATATTTCATCCGACAATCCTCTGCCGAGTCCACAGCATCGTGTTCCTGCGATGATAGATGCACCATATGCAGTTCAGCGAGAGCGAGGAAATATTCCGACCCGCTTGTGAATGTCCGTTGAGGTAGATCTGCCCGCGCGACGCCCCCCACCTGAACGAGTTCGTTCATATTGATGCTGAGCGGCCGATGCTTGACAACCCACTCGTTATCAAGGTCATTGGTCTCATTATTAGAAATGCATCCGATAGCATTGAATGAAAACTTTGCAACTTGCAACATCAATCCCGCCATATCACTGTACACGGATCGAAGCCTGGGCGGCGAAATATCCGGATCTAGAATTGGTCGATCTTCAAGAAGCAGACCGGGTGTATTCAGCGCATCTACCAAATCGGCGTTATTTTCAATGTACTCCATGATGATGAATGGGCCGAGTTGGCCGGGACTTTGGTCGGTCATGCCATAATGCAGGATATGCGGGACGCGAATGTCAGTGTGCCGTTCGAGAAAGCGCATGACCGACACTTCGCGCTGGACCTTTTCTTCGGGGAAGACTGAATATCCGGGTATTGGGAGGCGGATGACTGTAGATGCGCCGTCGACGAAGCGAAGCCGGATGACCATGTTGAAGGCACCCTTTTGGGGTGGGAAGAGCTGATGTGCGATGCCTTCGCGATGCTGCTGGATCAAGTTTATCACTTCATTTATTGTGGCTTGGTTGAAAAGCTTGCTTTTCCAGGATGCTAGTAATTCGTCGCCTTTGTCCCAGAGGACTTCGTCGAAGAACATTAGCTTGCCCTTGTAGATCGGGGGTAACGAGGTTGGTCGCATTCTTGTGGACTGCAAGGAAAGGGGAAAGAGATGAAAATTTCCCCGCGATGTGCAAGGATTTGGCCGCTCAGACGAGAATATTCAAGTGTTGCCTGGGTTAATGCCCAAGTCCTGAGGTGTCTGTTTTAAGCTTAGCTTTAGTCTTGTGGGGCCGTGAGGGGCACTGGACTGTATACTCGTCTGTGGATTTGGCATTGATCTGCTCTATAGGCCTTGACAATACCCCTTGCGACACTGTATATGCTTTGTGATGGTCTGAATTAGGCTAGCAATGTATTTAGTCAAGTATGTGATTGAAGTGTTTCTCATGAATGGAAATATACGGCCTCCACACATCTGCACCAGCAAGTCTTTATTCAGAACCAGAACCAGGGAGATTCGAGAGGCTGCAAGAAAGAGAATAGTGACCAAGATTCTCGCTGGATTTGTATTCAAGGTTTTATCCCTACTTTTTCTTTAGCCCATCTTACAATCTCATCTGACTCCTCATTCTTTACAATGCACTCAGAGAGATTCATCACGATAGTCTGTCCAGCCACCCTCGCCCACCACATCTCTTCAAGACGGCCAAACAGAGCCCCCCAGCATATATAGACAAGCAATGCCAACGGCTCTTCCTTTTCGACTTGTTCCACAAATCTTTCGCCAGCCATAACAATCCAAGGAACAACCATGCCTTCCGCCATAGCACATCGCTCTAGCATCTCAACAGCGTGAATATAAATATCTTGCAAGACCGACGGCTCATCATGACAGAGCTTCTTCAATGTTGAAGGAAGGATCACTTCAGATGTCGAAGAATACATCTGTTCGATGCCCAAGTACGGCGTGATAACAAGCTTGAATGGCCCCGAATCAAGAGAAGGGCGAGCTTGGTCAATGACAGAGTGAATGCCTTTCACAAACTGAAAAAGGGAGGATAAATCAGTGGGCACTTTTCTCCCACTACTCGCACCACCACGGGAATGAGTTTCAAGTGACGGAAAAACAACCGTGCAAGCCATCATTAGCACAGAGCATGCGAAAAGCGCGTCACAGTTGGCCGCTGAGATGTCTTCAAGCGCGGTACGGAAGGCTGGCACTGCGCTGCTTTGATATTGTAGTGCATCGCTGAGGTGGATTATTTTTTCTTCATTGGCGGCTGAAAGCTCAGTGGCCAGATGTAGGGATGTGAGGGCTAGCAATGCATCCATTAAAAATTCATGCTGTAACGCTTGTTGCACCACATATGTCTGAAAAGTTTCACTCAATAGTTGCGAGAAACTATGACATGTTTTCAAAGTCCAGTGATGCATCAGCTGCAATTCTCTATTTCGTTTTGTTGGAGTGAAAGGACTTTTTGGTTTCTCGTCAACATGTTCGGCATTAGTGATTTCAGAGGGAATTTCAACCATAGGTGTTATAGACTTCCTTTTGGATGAGGACTCTTTCTCTTCATATCGCATAGTCCAACGGGACTGTCGAAAGATATTATGGGCATATTCACATTCTGCATTTCGTGCCTTGCAAGTCCCACAGGGGGGACCCTTTTCATCACATCTTATTCGTCGTCTCTTGCATCTTTTACACCCATCCCGAGATTTAGTGTGAGGACGTCTTTGGGGCATATCAGACGACAATAAATTATGAGCATAAAGTTGCAGATGAAGGAAGTTAGTGATATAGCCAAGGAGTGTTGTTAATGACAACCCACAAGCGGGCGGTGAAGTTGCCGAATTGATATCCATCCCATAGGGATCTCTTACTGGTTACAAATGTAAGGCAACTTTCCCACCCATTTTCCCTCAATAGCCTCATTAAATACCCATCTTGCAACACTAGATCTACTGATCCAAGTCTTATCTAGTCCACTCCCGAGATGAGTCGCCTCAACCGGCGCCTCTTCACCATTAGTAAGTCCACCAACCCGGAACAATCCCCACTGGATATCTTCACTCGAGGTAGAAATAGTCTTTCCAATAGCAATCATCTCTTGATATTGACCCGCACTGAAGAGCTTCATGAACCAGCCCCCACAGCGCCATTTGAATGTCTCAATGTCCGACTTATCTCGAAAAGATGGCGTGCAAAGGATGAGAACGCGGTTGATGTTCTGCGAGGCAAGTTTCGGGACGAGGATCTTGTATCCGTCTGCAAGAGGCTACGAAGTAAGGATTCAGTAAATAAGAACGTTGAGAGGATTGGTGATTACTCACTGTCCCACTCGCTCCGACTGCTGGACCAGCAAAAGAGACAAACATGTCTGCGCCGCATTTTGCAATATTGTCAAGGTCGGATTCGACTTCAAGTGAACCTTCAATTACTTGTGTCGCTTTGTTGCGGATGCTCTCCGGAGCCCTTGAGGCATTTCGGAGGAAAAGCGTAAGTTCATGACCTTCATTCAGAGCGAGATCACAAAATTGGCGGCCAATGGCACCTATCCAGGTTAGACACTTTCACGTAAACCTGAGTGAAAACAATCATACCTGAAGCTCCCAGAACGAGAAAATGCATGAGAGTCTGAATGAAAGATTTGAAACTGAACTTTGCGGACGTCTCGAATCTATAAGAAAGACGCTTGATCGCCAAGCATGGGACCCACCCGAATACGCTTTGTGTCCCAAAAGGGTAATTTGTACGCAGCTGATCTTTACTCGTCAGGACTGTCCAAGTATACGGGGTTGTAACTCTTGAATGCAAGCTGTATACTATGTAGAGCCAGCGCTCACATCGGGAACCCACCCAATCTCTTCTATGGCCCATCTTATCCACAGCCGATGCTCTCCATCCAAAAGCATATAAATCCCCTTTATCAGGTGAACTGCCCATCCTTCTATCCACCAATGCTTCTCAAGGTCTTTCACCAAAATGGCATAGAAAGCAAGCACACACAATGCCCCGTTATCTCCCCTCTTCAGAAGCCCCAGGTACGCATCGCTAATCTCGAAAAGCCATTCATAGAATCCGCGCAATTTATCCTGATCCTTGAAATTCCGACCAAAGAAGAATGAGTAACTTCGACTTAATGCCACAACTGTCTCCTGCAGAGTGGCTTGCTGTTCTAAATTATTCGGAATCTCCGCACATATCCTGTCCTTCAACTCCGTGAGAACCGGGGATTCGTCGGGAGTATGCGTCTTCCAATAATCCAAGCTTCCCCATGTACTTCGAAATATCAAAGATACAGGCGAAGAGAAGACGGAAGCCTCCGCCATTACAACTGTATCGATGCCTCGAATGAGATATAACCATTCCGGAATGGCGCCGTTGCCGAAAATCAGTGCATCCTCTTCTTGAATTGGTCGCGCCAGGCTGTAATAGAGTGTTAAGACCCCGAAGACGAAGAGTGGTGTGCAGTTTTGTGGCGTCACCATGGATATCAACGGTAAGGCTTTTGATAATGATGCCGAATGCCGTTCAATGGCGTAAGCGAGCAGAGAATGTCTCCGCCCGGTGTTGTAGCGCGCGATGTGGAGGGCTGCGAGGGCGAAAATCCCGTCCAGTATGTAATCTGTAGTAAATCCCATTTGGGGAATCATTACACGCCATAGTTCTCGGATATTGGGATCCGGAGATAATGTGGCGAAGGTTGAAACTGTGAAGTGGTGGAGGAGCTCGAGCTTTAAGGTCTCTGAGTGAGGGACTATCGATGTCGGAGTTTCTGTCTGCAGGAAACTACAATGCAGTCCCTTCTTCATACAATGAAGGCATGAGGGATGTTTCTCATCACACTAAAGACCGTTTAGTCTGCGGTTAAGGGTGGTATACGTATACCAGAGGAGTGGGCGAATACCTTGATCTTGCGAGAACGGCATGTTTGACAGCCGGTGCGGGATTTACTGTGGTATTTCCGGCTACCGGTAGGTCTGGACGACATTTTTAGGAAGAGATTAATCTGTTTTGCGCATATCCCGTTTCACCGAAGATGTCCAAGAGATGTAAACGAAAAGAACGAGGGAGCGAGGAAGAGCGAGAGGATTTGATTGGCTGAGACCCACACCACACGAGACATCAGTCTGATCGGATGTCTGGATTTTTGGAACAATGAGCCAGCGCCGAGGAATCATAGGTTCTTTCAGCCTGGCTTTTGCTTGAAATCATGCTTCACTATCATGTAATTGGCTCAGGGCATGTGGGTGTTCTGAGCAAACTAACCGAGCTGACCGAACTAAACGAAAAGGCCGAATGTATTACCCCTGGACAGCGCCGTCGACCTTTAAATAGAGATTTCTGGCTTGAATTCAGACCAGAAACGACTATTGCTTCTCAGAGCCAATTCCGCGTATCCGAGAAACACGATGTCTCAAGGCACGGAGTTCATTCGCTTCGCAAGTAAGACAATTCTTTCTTTGGTTATAGATCTCAATGCTAAAGCCCGTCAGGCAAAAACGAAAGAAGATATATTATGCGACATGCCCTCGGATTCTACAATGCCTTAACACTGACTGGTCTCTACACGCTATCCGACGCGGGCTCGTTCGATGCAAACAATCTCAACAACTTCATCCCAGCCTTGAAACATTGCATTGCCACGCATCCCATTCTGAGTGCAGCAATTGAAGGGCAAAATACCGAGAATCCAAGTTTCATTCGGCCTGACTACCTGGATCTTCGAAACCACTTGCACCTCCTTGATACGCTCGCAACTTCAACATCCTCTTCGGCCAAGCACAAGGATGACCAAGAGTTGCATTTGATCACACAAGTGACAAAGCAGATACACGATCAACCTTTTCTTCAAGTGAATCAGAAACCTCCTTGGAAAGTCTTCATTGTGCCTCTTGTCGATGAATCCACACTGGTTCACCGAGTCTACATCATCTTTGCATATTCCCACTCTCACGGTGATGGAAGGTCAGGTCTGGAATTCCATAGAACCCTCTTAGAGGGTCTCAAAACCGCGCAGGAGTTATACGACTTGGAATATCTCTATCAAACCTCAACCTCTGCAATGTCTCTTCCACCGCCATTAGAGGAAGCAGCCAACCTGACCATCACCTGGCGATACCTCTTCCTCAATGTCTTTGGCGATTACATCCCCAACGCCCTCAACAACCTTCTTAATCTCCAATCTCCCGTGAACAAACCCCACGCCGCCAATGCGTGGACAGGAAAGGCAATGAGCTACGACAAATTCAACTTCCACACCGGGTCTGAACTACTCTTAGTCAAGAACGATCAACTAAATGCGATCTTGAGCATGTGCCGACAAAAGGGAGTGAAATTTACTGGCTTTTTCAACCATCTCGTCGTGCACATCTTGCAGAGTCTCCTTCCACACGTTGGAAATGGAAACGTACCTACTCAAACTCTTCTTGGCCAGATCGTCGTCGATCTTCGACCCCTGCTTCCGGCTTATACTGCAAACGAGAATCAAATGATAAACAGCGTTACGGCGCTGTACGTCTCTGCACCGTCCACCTCATCGGACTGGAACACGGCGTTCAATCTCAAACATGACCCTGCATTCTGGGAGGATGCGCGCAGGACCACGGATCAACTTGCCGAATGCGCAAGTACCCTTGTCGACCAACCGATCGGGCTTCTGAGATACCTGGGCTCATTTCGGGATTGGTTCCTCGGGAAAGTGGGTATGAGTCGGGATTCCTCGTATGAGATTAGCAATGCGGTTGTGTTTGATCCGCATGCGCGATCTATTGATTTGTCCACTACCACGGACCCGAGGAAGTGGGATATTGAGCGCGTGTTGTTTTCGCAGCCGGCTAATGTAACGGGAAGCCCTTTGAACTTTCAGATAGTTACGAGGAGAGGTGGTGATATGGTTATTACTCTGAATTGGCAGCTGGGTGTTCTCGGTGTCTCTGACGAAGCGGTGCTTGCCCGGAAGATTCTAGACAAGGCTCGTGATTTGATGTCTGAGATTTGCTGTGGTTGCCCTGCGTCCTGCATTCATTGTGATCGATAGAATTAAATAGAGGGGGGTGATGGGCGACTAAATAACGAATAGTATAGTGTGAAAGCTGAATTTCAATATACACATGTTCAGTTCCCTTGTGTATGACACATTCTCAAACAAGTGGTTCATCCCAACCAGCTAGTTACTATAAAGAATAGAGGTATATGAGATCTCCTCACTAAATCAGTAATAATATTGCGTCTATTATGTCCCATTCTAAAATTAGAATAACACGCATTCCAAGAGGGCTTTTGCGGTTCGCCCTAAAATGATCTATACTCCTTTTTGGTAGAACTACAGCACTTCCTACTAGCTACATAGCCCCGGATATAAGTTGCATACGATCTGGAGTGGTGTAGAGCTCTTCATTCGGATAGGGCGGGGTTAGCCCGGTGGTTCCCTTAGACGCAAGACTACTGTATACCCTGTTTCAGCTGGTTGGCCTTCTACTTGCCACGCGAGATATAAGCTTGCAATACCGGCGCTAAAACTGCCGAGTATCATCTAGTGCTTATTTGCAACCACGAACCGGGGAGACTGGAAGTATTTTTCAAACGCCTACCTCTGTCCATGTTTCAGCATGACCCGGGCGCCCACTGCGGCAGATGATATTTATTCTCTCTAACCAGTGTCCAGTAGAAATCGATAGCGTCTCGTCTGAAAAGCAATATTGGTGAAATGGAATATTTTTATACTGGGCGCGTAAGATGAAACTTAGCGTGAAGCAACCAGGGGGGAGGGTTTGACCCCCATTCAGCCTCGCGAGACTTGAAAGTACATAGTGACTCCGGTTCCTTTATCAGGAGATGGTTATAAAATCCCATAGATCCAGGACAACTGCAATAGTCAACATGCAATTCATGAATCTTCTCGACTTTGTCTTTCCCAAATCGATATACTATCACATCTTTCTGGCCTTTCGGGGCGGATTGAAACAATCAACTTAAATTCGGTTTTGCAACTTGCTCTCTTCGCCATTCAAAGATGACGGGTCATCATCACCACTCAAGGCATCAGCCAAGTCGCCACCCGAGACATCACTCGAGGCATCACTCGAGACATCAACCGACCCATCAATCAAAACATCATCCAAGACCGTCAGCCCCCACAAAACCTTCCATATATGATCAACCCAGGAACATAAGTCTAAGTTACCAGGAAATGTACGCAATCTCCATACCCAGGCGCAAAATCAATCTCGAACTCTGCACGTTGACTAACCTGCCACCTCGAAGCCATGTTGAGAATCGTTATGTTAGGACACCCCAGCTAGCATATCAGCCCCAACGCAGTCACAGAGGGTACGACCACAGCGACCATTCTAATCACAGACATCATCGTGATCACAACTCGCATCATGGTAGAACTAGAGCAGCTGTGGCAGGTGGAGTGGCTGGAGCAGGGGCGTATGGGGGATATGAAGCGTATAAGTCATATAACTCTCAGCCATCTGATGACGACTGTTGTGACAGTTGTTGTGATTCAGGCGATGGGTGTTGTGGATGTTGTGAGTGTTGTGATTGTTGTGGTGGCTGGTGTTGTTGAAATGCTGAGATGGAAGGATGGACCTTTCATACCTACCAAGGAGTAATATTTAACTGTTCATTTAGTTATCCGGTGGCATATCTACCGGTTGTTTCAGTCTGGTGCTCCTCTTTTTGTCCTATATCATTAGCTCTTTGCCTTCATATTTCTCAATCCGCCATAGTTTCGTTTGGTCATCTCTATTGAGTCCTCAGAAATCATGACTGGCCTGTTTCTAGAGACACTAAGACTTCGGGGGATGTCGTGTGATAGACCAGAACCCTGTAGAGATGAAATTGCTTCTCTCTCTTTCTTTCTCTCCTTAGTTCTTTCTTATCCGCAATATCATTACATACATTGCGTCTTCTCTTGCCCTGCTATCTAGAGCATGCAATGACCAACGACACATGGCTGTAAGTTGAGTCAAATCCACGAAACACTCATCGAGATAAAAAGGAACTGCATTCTATGTAATATTTCACTTAGGTATCATAACACGAACCTAGAGTCCCCCGTCATCAAGCAATCTAATCCAATACAGCACCAGGCATCACCTAGAACGGCTGAACGGTACGCTGAAACCTAGGCGGCTGCCTAGAAAACTTCTCCGGCTCATCTCTAGCACCCTGCTTCCAATAATCAAACTCCATCCAAGCATTCTCAGGCATCTGTGCCTCAGTAGCCTCCAAGAAATCACCGAGATCAGGGCAAAGCGGGACGACGCCCGTTTCAAGAACATACTGATCCCAGAGCTTGAGGAGCTGTTTCAGTTTATCCGGGTTTGATTCTGACAAGTCGTGGATTTCACCGGGATCGTTGACGAGGTTGTACAGCTGCCATTTCTCTGGGCCCTTGGGCTTGGGGATGAAGACGATTTTCCAATCTGCGCAGCGGAGAGCGGCTCTGCCGCATGTTTCCCAGCCTTGGATGAAATCTTTGGGGTGGATGCGTTCTGCTTGGCCGATCGCCCAGGGGTGGAAACTTTTTCCGCGCATCTCGACTACTTCGCGGCCTTGGTAGGTTGGGGCTGGGTGTTTCAGGCCTGCCATGTCGAGGATTGAGGGGGCTAGGTCCATGACAGTTGCAAATTGGTCGGTTATGCCGCCCTTGCCGGTTGCTACATCGACTGGGTTGATGTTGAAGTTTTGAGGGAAGCGGCAGGTGAATGGGACGCGGACCCCGCCTTCGGTTGTGTAGGCTTTGTATAAGCGTGATGGGGCTGTGGCAGCCTGGGCCCAGCGTGGACCATACCAGATGAATGAGTTGCCGTTGCCAAGATTGTCGAGGCTGTTGTCGTAGTATTTCTGGAGGTGGGGCATGACGCCGTTTTGAACCATTGGGTAGGCTTCGTAGGCTGCGCCTTCAGCTCCGTTGTCGGACATGAAGCAAACGAATGTGTTGTCTAGCTCGTCGATGGAGCGGAGGTACTCCACTACCTTGCCCACGTTGGAATCAATGCATTCAACCATACCAGCGAAGACCTCCATGGCTACTGCGGACTTCTTCTTCTCTTCGGCTGAGTACTCTTCCCAGGGCTTGACTTCCTCAGCCTGAACGGGGTGTGGCTCAACATCATCGCGGATCATCCCAAGCTCTTTCAGGCGCTGTAGACGCTTCTGGCGGAGAACATCTGGACCCTCATCATAGACACCCCGGTAGTGATCGATGTACTCGCGCGGGGCCTGGAGCGGCCAGTGCGGCGCTGTGAAGGGGAGGTATCCGAAGAAGGGACGGTCTCCATTGCCATCAGGGCCATCACTTCCACCGCTCTCCTTCCATTCCTTCAGATAATCCACCATTTTATCACCATAGCCATCAGAGGAGTACCACCCTTCAGGAAGTTTGCGCACATACTCGCCGTCCTCCATATGCAGAGCAATGTAACTGGCTTCGATAAAAGTAGGGATCTGATCTTTATCCTTCAATTCAGGCTCATAAGCATAATGGTTTGAGCAAGCAGGTAAATGGGCGAATGATCGCTCAAACCCGCGCTTGGACGGTGAACGCTCTGGCGTCAGACCCAAGTGCCATTTCCCCGACATAATTGTATGGTATCCACCATCACGCAGCATCTCGGGGAGTGCCACGACCCGCTCATTGAGGTATCCTTCGTAACCGGGCATACCACGCTGTGGGGCGGTGCTCATGGCCGAACCCTTGGGTCCGTTTTGACCAGAGATGTTGGTCCATTCAATTAGGTTGCCCAGGCCTGCAATATGGTGGTCTGTTCCTGTCATGATCATGGCACGTGTTGGACTAAATTGTCAGTCCGCGGTCAGTCTTGCTTGGGTAGCTAATGCTTACGAGCATGCAGCAGCAGCATGGAAGTCTGTAAATCGTAGACCTTCCTCGGCGATCTTGTCAATGTTTGGAGTGCGAATTTCGCCGCCGAAGCAGCCCACATCAGAGAAGCCTAGATCATCGGCGACAATCACCAAGAAATTGGGACGTTTGGGAGCCATTGTCAAGACGTGAGGCAAGGAGAGAAATCGAGAGAGCAAGAAAAGAATGAGGGGTCACACCAGACATGAGGGGCATGCACGACTATATTCACATCGGCAAAAACAAAGCAGCCGAAGCTCCCCAGCATCAACACTGCCTGTCGGCCATCGGCAAAGAATGTGGGGGAAGGTCCACATCTGATAAGAAATCCAATGGAAGTCGGCCAACTCCACAATCGAAGCTCTGATGCAAAACGTTGCATCGATGGCACAATCTCCACGTGAGCTGGTCGGCAATCGGCAGTCATGACATAATCAGTTGCAGATCCGGAGAGCTTCATCTCCTACGCATATACTCAAGCCAAGTATTCAAGGTTTATATATATATATATTCATGTTACTACAATGCCTCCATTAATAGCTCCCTTTCCTTCCTCCTCAGCTCCTCCATCCATCTCAACCCAGTATTCAACCTGGTACTCAAACCTCTACACTCGGTGGATCCCAACCTCCATAACCAAACGACGCTATAGCAAGCTCCCCCAATACCCAGATCAAGCCCAATCTCCACAACCAAGCACATCCTCACTCTCCAACCCCACAATGAAAGCAACTCGCTTCTCAAAAGCCCGATGGCGAACCTACTGGCTAGCCCTAGTCCTCTGCTGCGGCGGAGCTCTATTTGGTTATGATTCCGGAGTAATAGGTTAGTACTACCCAATCACCATACACCCATCATCCATCCCAATACTAACCAGAGTTCCCAGGCGGGGTGCTCACATTCCCATCCTTCGAAGCAAGCTTCAACATAACCAAGTCCCAAAAAACAAGCATAAGCGCCATAGCAGTGGGAATCCAACAAGCCGGCGCCTTCGCCGGCTGCTTTCTCATCTGGCCAATAACAAACAGGCTCGGCAGACGCTCTGCAATGATGATTTGCTCGGCTGTCTTTTGCATAGGTGTTGTTCTCGAAGTCATCGACACCCACTCGCTATCGGCCTTTTATGTCGGCAGGGTAATCTGTGGCTTGGGCGTTGGTGGGTCTGCGACTGTGATACCCATCTACATGTCAGAAATGAGTCCCAAGGAGATCCGGGGGCAGTTGGGGAGTTGTTATCAGCTTACTTATACTATTGGCATTCTTGTAAGTTATTGGATTGATTATGGGGTGAAGGAGATGGAGTCTACGGCGAGACAGTGGCAATTGCCTATCGGGCTGCAGCTTGTTCCTGGTTTCTTGATGGGTGTTGGGGTGTTGAGTCTGGGTGAGAGTGTGCGGTGGTTGCTGGCTGCAGGTCGGGAGGAGGAGGCTTGGAGGAGTCTTGTTTGGATTCGGGCTGGAGAGGGGGAGGATGTTGTTGGGGAGTTTGAGGATATGAGACGCGGTCTGGAAGAGGAAAGACATGCTACTGCTGGGTTCAGGCTGAGGGAGTTGCTTGAGTGGAACAATTTGCATCGGTTGCTTATTGGTGGTGGGCTGTTCCTTGCGCAGCAGTCGACTGGATCGACTGCGTTGGCGTATTTCGGGCCTCAGTTTTTCGCTATCCTTGTTGGAGATGGGGATCGTACGCTCTTACTGACTGGCATCTTTGGTGCGGTCAAGGTTGTTGCTTGTTCAATCTTTGTGGTCTTCTTGTCTGATCGCTTTGGAAGAAGGCCGCTACTAATTAACGGTGCTGCCTTTATGGCTATTTGCATGATCGCTACTGCTGCGGTCATCAAGGCTTATCCGCAGCCTGGGAATGGGACTGTCACATCTTCGGGAATTGCGACTGTTGCTTTGATATACCTGGACATCATCGCTTACAACTTCAGCTGGGGGCCGCTGCCTTGGCCGTGCACAAGTGAGATCTTTCCCACGCGCATTCGGGAGCCGGGGGTTGCATTCGGCGTGGGATCGCAGTGGCTGTTCAACTTTGTTTGGAGTTTCTCGACGCCATATATCCAAGCGGGCCTTGGATGGGGCACATTCCTGCTGTTTGGTTTGTTAGATGCGTTCATTGCCATTGGAACATTCTTCTTCCTGAAAGAGACTGCTGGCAAGTCCCTGGAAGAGATCAACGACATGTTTGATGGAATTGATCCCGATGCCGAGCATGGATGGAAAGGAGTCACAGTCGAGGGCTCTGCCCTTGATAATGCTGATACATACCAAGATGCGCAGACTGGTATCGATACCAAGTCGATTCAATCCAAAAGTCGGTCTAGACATGTCGAATAGGCCGCTGGACAGCCTTGATTTCACACTTGTGATATATGCACTATTCGTTCATACCCTGCTCAAGAATATCAGGATACCACACCAAGGGAACATTCCCATCGAACGGTCATGTTATTCATAGAAGATATGTATTCTCAGGCTCAAGGCTAACAAAGCCCAGCCATCACGAATAAACAGCTAGAAACGAAGGAACAGAACAAAGCATAGCTCCAAATCCAAAACGTCATCCACACAAGCGAATGTAAGGGAAAACTCCAGACACCCTCCAGCCAGCACACTGGATCGCAATACAACTAAACCCACGTCAAGCCAATAATTCCAAGAAAACCAAGCTACAACGCCCTCCATTCCATCCACACTCCATCCCATCCATAATCCAAGTACCCGCATTACCTCCACATAAAAGTCATACCCATAGACAAATTAACAAAGCACCCCCCTAAACATTAACATTAATCAAATCATCAAAGCTCTCCTCAGCCGAAAAGGCAAACGACCCCTCAGAAACAAGCGAAGCCTCCGAATCTCTCCGCATCTGCTGCTCAAAAGCCTCCGCGGCCGCCTGAGCAGCAGGCTCCAACTGCAAAGGATCATCAAAGCCAAACGACAACGCCGCCTGCCCAGACTGCGCCGCAGAAACCGGCACCGCAATGGCCGCCGCAATAGCCGCCGTAGTCGTCGCCGCCGCAACAACCGGCTCAAGCGACGACACGGACGAAGTCTCCGGCAAGGCCAGCGCCGAGTCGGGCAGCGTAGCGGCAGCAGCGACGGCGGCCGTGGAGGGCTCTTTATCGCCTTCGGTGATCTTCTTCAGCATGTGCGCGAGATGCATCTTGATGGGTTCGTCGCCGCACTGGGAGTGTTTCAGGACTTCGTTTTTCAGCCCTAGGATCTCGGAGCGCAGGCGCGCGATCTCGGTCATCAGCGCTTGGTGTTTCTCGCTTTGGTGCTTGTAGCGGTATTCCAGTTGCTGGGTGTGTTCTTTCTTCTTTTGTCGGCATTTGCTTGCGGCTAGACGGTTGCGCTCGAGGAATTTGGCGCGTTTGGCGCTGTCCATTGGTTCGCCGTCGTCTAGATCTAGTTCAGGGCTCAGACTTGCGGCTGCCGCTGTGTATTCGCGGACTCGGCGGCGCTTGGAGGCGCAGACGCTGGCGCTGCCATCCAGACTCATGCTCATCGTCATGTCTAGGACGGAGAGGGAGTGGGGGAGGTGATGGGTGGATTGGTGTTCGTCGTATGGTGGGGGGGTTGGTTGGCCATTGCGGACTTGGGCGTTTTTGAGATCGCGCTCCAATGCAGAGTGGGCAAAGGCTGCCGACTCGACTTTGCTTGGGTCCCAGGTTGCGTGTGTTACTGGCGAAACGGAGCCGAGGCCCCAGAGCTGTTCCTCGTCGGGGGCTGGCAGTAGCAGGTCGCCCGCAAAAGGGAGGGCTAGATGGGTATCCGTGAGGCCTATGAGATTCGACATGATGGTGATGAAGAGTAAAGAGGAACGAGATTGGGTTTCTTGCCCTAGAAGCGAATAACCCTAAACCAGCAACCGAGTTGGTCTCTTCCACGTCCGGTGCCTGAAGCTGTAGAAGAATCCGCGGTTGACTTGGAAGGAGCCACGGTCGGACAAGAATTCCGGCCAGCAGATCCGAAGTGGGACAAAGAAAGGATGAGAAGAGAGAGGAAGTTCCATTCTAACAAATACAAGAGGAATAATCAACTAACAGCTAACGAATGGAAGGTCCAACGGGATCTCATGCCGGTCCCCATCTCACCGAAGTATAACAATTCCGGGAGCTTCTAGAATACATAGTTCACCAACCCTGTGTCCCATGTCTTCTGTTTTCTGTCTTTTGTCTTGCGATTAATGTTGGTGACGCTCTCCCTTGGCCCACTCTCGCAACAGGCGATTCACATAATACCAATGATCCATCAACAGTTTGGCCACCCGCTGTTCCTCGATCTCCTGTTCCACGATATGCACTGGCACGCCGTCTTGGTTCTCTTGCCCCTTGGCTCCGAGGAGCAGCGGTCCAAACACCCGCTCTAGACCAAGATCCGTCGCCACTGTCCGGACCTCAGTCCCGGGTTTAGGCTCCGGCACACGAGTCAGCTTGGTGAGTAACCCAAACACGGCGCAGATTAGCTCACGCTCCATCTCATCAGTCAACGCAATCACCGCAAGAGCAATCAGCTGTACCCGGATCGCAGTACGGGGACCCAGCATGGACAGACAGTCCGGCACATGAAGATTATCAACGGGTTGTGGGATGGTTGCAAGGTTGATGTGGCTCAAAGTCTGGTACAGTCGGACGCTCCCGAGGATCCCGTAGTGCAGACCCGCCAACAAAGCTTTCAGGGTCCAGGCCACACTCAACACCGGCGCAGAATCATGATTCAGATGAGGCATCGACACTATGCGCATGGTCATGGAGATCTTGGCCTCCTCCTTCTCAGCAGACAGCACCTGGGAAGCAAAATTGTCATATAGGCGAGTGGCAGCCTTCACATCACCTGCGTTGGTGAAAATGCCCGGCATATTTGCACCTGCAGGAACCCGTTAGCTCAGTCATGACGTAGAAGAGCACGTCACAAACCATATTTATGCAGAAACATCACTGGGGCTACAATGCAGGCAGGCAGCTGCAAAGGAAACGGAGCCAAATCAGCCAACATGAGAAATGAATGACCACCGAGACGGGCCAAAGTTTCCACCGATCGACCATACAAGGAAGTCATGGGAACGGGGCGACGGAGCACGGCAAAGGTCTTCACTCGTCGCAGTTTGCGCTCCTGGGGGCCTGCATCAGCTACCAGACCGGAGCGGACCTTGCGAACCCGATTCATCAATCGGAAACCACGTCGACCGTTGCCTGATCCCTCATTAAGAGGAATTTCAGCTATCGAATGAGTTAGTGGCAGCTCATACCAAAGCAAGAAAACAACATACGCAAACCACCCTCAGGTTCCGGAAGCACCTTGGGCATAGGGATATCAAAGCGAACGATCAACTTGTTCAAGATGACAGCGGCTTTCGACGGCTCAAACTGACAAGGCTCTCTCATCCAGGTCAAATTGTTGATCATGGGGCCAAAGCCAGGTCTCTGAGGAATTGGAGCAGGCGCAATCTTGTCATGTTCCTCAAGAATAGGATCAAGGGAGCTTTCAGAGGCTTTCGAATGCTCCCGACTCCGATCATGGCGCTTGGAAGACGATGGCTGTCCCAGCTGAGGCTCAGTACTCTTTCCATCCGAGAACGGGTTGGATCCCTCCCGAATATGAGTACCATCCTCGGGGTGGTACATGAGTCCTGACCATGACCACTCATCTGAAGAAACCGTGGTCGGAGTTGGAATAAGGTCAGGGCCGGTAGTGTGTCGACAAATGGTGTCTTCGGTTTGGCTCGATTCCTGCGACTCAGTGCTCTGGGTGCTGACCTTCCGCTCGCCCTCTCCGACAACTTGAGGGTTATCATCAAAACGAACTAACTTTGGAGGGCTTTCCTGAGCTAGAGAGACTTGTGCTTGCTCCAGAGGATTGGAAGCTGGGTCTGCGTTGCCCGAAACACTGGGTTCAGTGCTGTCAGGTACAATGGGCTCGGTGTTGTCAGTTTGGACTCCAACAGACTGGAATGGGCCCTCGGCAGGATCCTCGTCATGCGAATGGCTCGAACGAAATCTTGCAACAATCCTCTTCAATCGCTTTGTGCCATACTTGGGCCGCAGGGGAGTATGCTCAGGCTCCAGAGGAGCCGGCGGAGAGTCATCAGTCCGTTCACCGACAGAAGTAACGGAAGTGGCTGGAGGGGGCTTCGATCCACTAGTCAGAACATTCAAGTCTTTGACTGGGGATTCATCGGGGCGAGTTTCCTGTGAAAGGGTCTCAGGCTTGGGCTTCAGCGGATCGTTATCAGAGGTTCGGCGCTGCGCACGCGAGCGATTGTCTGGGTTATCAGATCGAGATGACCTGAACACAGTACGAAAACGACGCATGATTAGGCAACGAACAAAAGGTAAACGATACGAGAGACGGGAACAAGATGAAGTAAGTCGGGGGAAGAGCCCTGGAAAGCACCGGGGCAGGTTGCGTTAGGGTCTGCGTCGAGGAAGGCGCACGTTGGGAAGTTACGTTGACTACAAGCATTCACAGAGTTCAAATCGTCAAGTCTATATTCCGACAAACATTTTAGAGACCATGTCATTACCTCTCTGTACATTCGTAACGCCCAAAATCAAAACATGGCCTCGCCGGGCCTGTTTGAGGGAAGCTCAACAAAGAAAACGCCGGATCCATGCAAGGCTGATGTCTAGATCATGCTTCTTCATTCTCTCCTTCTAGGAGAATGTAGTGCAGGATATCGCTCAGGGTCAGCACACCCTTGAGCTTGAAGTGCTCATCAACAACGACCAGACGGTGGACGCGGGACTTGCGAATAGTATCGAAAATAGTATCCAGTCCATCGTTTAGAGAGCAAGTGTAAATGCCAGGGAAGCCCTGCTTATAGTCAGTATCAATGGACATATCAAATTGTGTATACCACTTACCGGAGAACGTTTCTTCAGTGCTTCTCCCACAGTCAGACTCAAATCGTCATAAACACCACCCTTAATCAAGGTAATAACATCAACCGACTCGAAGACATTGTACACCACACCCTCTGAGTTTACAATTGGCACGCTGGATATACTGCGCTCGACCAGGATGTGGATGACATCAATGACGGGTGTATCCATCGAAGCCGTAGCAACATTATCATACGAACCAAGCAGCAGTTCCCCCAACGGCCGGCGTAGCTGCTGAGTATCAGGCACGTTAACAGCAACAAACTTCAAGATACGATATTGCGTGATGACACTGAGAACGTGGGGCCGCTCGGTCTGACTATCGCTGGTGACTAGAGGGATACGACGGGCGCGCGACTCAAGCATGCGCCGGCACGCTTCGTACAGCGGACGCTCGGGGTCGATTGAAATGGTTTCTGGGGGTGCAACGCCGAGTGCCTTTTCAACTTCTGTTGGGTCTTGTTAGCTGCGGGGGTTCTAACGAGGGGTAGACTGGCACTCGGACTGAACCGTGCTGGGACTGGCGCTGGGACTGGCACTGGCACTGGTATTGGAGTTGAAGATCTACGTACCTCGCAGACTGTCCAGGCGGAATTGATCGATTTGGTTCAGCGCCGCCGGGTTCTGGAAATAGTATTGGATCACATTGATGTAGTCGGAGGTGGTTAGGAGTCCGGCGAACTTGGACGCCTTCGAGTCCCACAATGGTGCTGAGACAATGCCTGTGTCGCCCGAGTCCGGGTCCAGGTTAGCTAGGGGATTCGGTCATTGCGCGGATGGAATTCTGGAGGGGAATCTCGAGAATCGAGAGGGGATGCAGTGACGTGGAGGTAGTGACGTGGAGAGGGAAGGGTTTCGAGGTTGAAGACGTGCCATTTTGAATCAAAATGTTGAGACTCTCTTTCACCGAGAGCGAGGTATCGAAGATGATGAGTCGGAAACTGAGGGGCAGCACATCGTAACTATTGCGGGCTTTGAGGAAGTCGCGAATGGCACGCTGAAAGGTTGAAAGGTATTAGTCGGGGAAAAAGCAAGGTTAAGAATGAGACACTGACCAGGCCCTGTCGCTCTTCCCGGTCGATTGCTCTCTCAGAGGCCATTGGAGGTTGTGTACGAGGTTGGCTGCACGAAAAGGCGCGTGACCAGAGAGGTGAAGGTGGTGTCCGCCTTGGGTGGGGGAACCATCCAAGTTATAGCTTCCTCTCTACTCCCCCCCATATCACTTTCTATATTTCCTGCATTGCCTGCATTTCTACCGGTCTCATTTGTCTCTTCTTTGCAGGTCCCTGCGCTGCATGGATACGAACTAGGAAGTTGGTTTTCTCATCTACTCACCGTCATCCCTGCTGACCTCGATGGCTGCCCACCGCCATAGGTCGACTATGCTATGGTGCATGATCTACGGGTTGACACCTATAGACACAGGCACTCATGGCCGGACATACCCCGATGGAATTCTTTCTTTTGCATCTCAACTGAATCTGTCGCAAGCCGCCGACTTCCGAATATAAACTGCAATATCCGAGAACAGCGTCGTATCCGGCCCAAACTCGTGAATATCATACTCCTCGAGCATCTTTCTCACCCGAGGCGAGTCAGGATCAGTTCTATTCACAAAGAAAAAAAAAGTTAGAAAAGAAAAAAAAAAAAAAACATGCACAGCAGACAATACTCACAAGCTCCCCTCCTCCTTGGTGATATAATTCTTCTCGGTAACTCGACACCAAATAAAAATCGCTGGCCGAGCAAGGTCCGCAAGGATCTCCTTGACCGGTACATTCGGCGCAATAGAAAGCACCACAGACTGCTCATCGACTTCTAACCATGCGCGCGGATCATCAATGACTTCAAGTCCAGCTTTCGTTAATATCCCCTTGTCAATGGCAGTGTACCACGGGTCCTGCACATAGGATGCAATGCCTCCACTCCCACTCCCACTCCCAGCAGACCCCCTGTTTCGTTCAAACAACCAATCCTTGATAGTAAGTTGGAGCGCATGCTGCGACGCACTCCGCCTGCAATGGTAGGTCTTCTCATCGCCCTGGCCTTTATCCAGGTAGGACATCGAGCCAAGCGCAAAGCCCACAATCTTGTCGATCTGATGGTCTTTCGCGAAGGTCGACAGCAGCTTCCGAAAGTCATAGCACGTCTGACTATCTTTCCATTCTTGCATGCATTGCTCGAAATGCTGCGCTGAAACCTCCGGCTCGACGGTCGGGTATGGAGGGAGCAGTTCCTTCGTCTCTGGGTGGATGAGGTGTGTCCGCTGGCAGACCTGGAGGGAACAGTAGATCTGGGAATTCGTGTGCTCGCTCCATCGGAGACAGCTCAGCATTCCTGCGCGCGTTTCGTATCTGATTTCGAGTTCTTTGCTGGAGGTACGTATACGTAGTTAGTTGGGACAGGTAGGATATACTGGATGGCATTGAATTGAATCGCCTTACTATACATAGAAACATCTCTCATCGTTCTTGTCGAAATGGTGTTTGATTTGTCCAGTGTAAGCCTCGAGCTCGACTTCGTCGCCGTTGAGATCTATAGTGGTGATTTTATCGCCGTATTCCGAGTTTCGTTGGCACTGCGCCCAAAGGTCACGGATGGCCTTTTTCGTGAAGAAAAGCTTTCCCGAATCATAGAGTTTGTGGATATGCGCTTCTGCTTCTTCGAGTGTTGGTCTCTCGCGAGGTTTGACCCATTCAGCATGGAGCATTTGAACATGTGGTCCTTTCTGCGTAATGGGCATTGTGAACAGCGTATGAGGAGAAGCGATTATAGCAAACTCAAAACTGTTACTGTTGCAAGATAACTTATAGCCATGTTGGAACTAAATCTTAAGCTATCCAAAGGTACCTTGCCGCGGTGACAGTCACACAGCCTCGGTCTGGTTGGCCCCCAACCTGCATGTATGTGCTGGCACAAAGTCCAAGGCGGCTACGAAGGGAGGGAGATATTGGTTGGAAGAGCGCTGCGCTCGTGCTGGGCTTGCATAAAATCATGGCTATCATATGATATGGACTCCAAGCGATAAATAAAGAAGTACAAATAAAAGAAGCACTAAACCAGGAAGAAGAAAACACCGAAAACACCACCGCAGCCATGCAAGGTATCATCGCAAAGCACATTTTTCAAATTCCGGATGGGTAGAAAGAGCCAGTCGTCGCTTTGGAGGGACTAAAAGAGCAAGAGTTGTAAGGATGATAATCCCAATTGAAACAAATTGTGCGCTGGGTTTATTGGTGGCCGTGTAACTTGAATCGGTAGAGGCAGGTATGGTCTGCCCCCCAATTGGAAGCTATACGAAACACAATCTTGTCCACGCGGATGCCTTGAATGTCGATGACTGTCTGGATGGGGAATGCCTGGGTATATGCGTCATTGTGTATGTCGTATTTCATTTTGCCAATGCGATAGAAATTTGGTCCAAGCACAGAGTCATCGGAGTAAGCGCTGGGGTGTTCTTTGGGATCGCCCCGGCCAATAGATTCCATCAGCAATTCGTGGAGTGAGCCGAGTCCTGAAAGACCCAAGCTTCCTACGCTTTGATCCCGGGAGTTTGGAGGCTCGGTCGGAATCGGTGGCAATGGTCCATTCGAAGGGGCCATAGCCCAAAAACGAGGAAGCATCCCGGTAGCTTGAGGCATTGGTTCCATAATTGGAGGCCTGGCAGGGCTTACTTCATATCGAGCCCATACCTCTATCTCCCGGGGTGCAGCCTTGATGTCGAGAGAAGCGCCCGCGGGTATGTGTTCAACGACAAGTGACTCTGGAACGATTTTGTGACCAAGTAAAACAGACAATTGGGTTCCATTCTGAATGGGACTGCACCAGCAGTCACCCGCGTCTTCCCACGCTGAGAGGGCAGCTCTTGGTGGTTGTGGTGTTCGGAGTTCTGCATGGACTGGAGTGAATGACTTGACCCAGTTCCATGACCGCATAGCCCAGTGCGCCCTATTACCAAAGGTTGGGGAAGTATTGAACGGGTCGATGAGGGTTCCAGTTGATAGTGCCAAAAAGTTCACTTGGTGAACGGGGTTTCGATGCGGGCCAGAGTCCGTGATGTATGTAGGAGCGGCGTTGCGATATTTAGAATTCTCTGACTTGACAGAGCTCATCTCACTTGATAACGAGGACATATCAGAATTCATCCTGGAGATCTGGTGGCGAAGGCCATTAAGGAGTGTAGGGTCCGACATATTGCCAGAGTAGTCCAGGAGGTCGTCCGCTGGAAACAAGCGTGATTGAAGCTTGCCTGGGAGACCGCTGGAGAAAGCAAGCACAAGGCCCACGGCAAAAAGCAAAATAGACATTGCTCGGTTCCAATTGATTCGGTATCCCGCAAGGCTCTCAAAGTAACTTCGCCATCGACGTAGCAAACCTTCCCTAAGTTCAACAAAGGATTGAGTACTCGCAACAGACACTGAGCGAATATATCCAGGAATTACTGTTCGCGCGGGAGCAGTGAAGCCATCAGCGCCAGAATTAAACGACGCGGCCACAGACGCACGCTCCGATGGATCCTCGTCTTCCTCCGGAACAATATACAGACCAGAGGGGCGTCGAGGCGGAGCTGTAATATTATTTCCACGGTGTCCTGGTCTCGTCCTTTGAAGTTCATCCTCATTGATATCACGTTCCAGATTCCAAGACCGCTCAGAAGCATTGTCAACTGAGCTGTGACGGTCAAGCGAGCTACGCGTCACATTATCACGATTAGGAGACCCAGCCCGGTGCATCGGTGATGGATAGAGCGGAGAATTCGGGTTTGATAGCTGAGATAGACGGCGCTGTGTTGGAGGTTCAACATCGGGACTGGGCTCTGAAGAGACGGCACGTTTAACTGGAGGTGTGGGGGTCTTGTCCGAGCCTGTAGGTGACATTGTGGCATGCTGGAGGGCGTCCTGAAGCTGTGTTTGATCGGGTGTTGGCGCACGCTTTGGGGCAGCCTTCGGGCGCGGAGTCGCCTTCGGTTTTGGTGTCTCCTTTGGTTTCGGAGCAGCTTTTGTGGTCTTTGCAGCGGCCTTTTTGGCGCGCACCTGGGCCTTCTCAACATTGGCATCAACTGCTGCGGCCAGATCCTTGATGCCTATATTGGCTTGCACCACGTTATGCCGAGGCATGCTTGTTGTAGTAGGAGCGCCATAATTCCATGATTGTCCGACTGGAATACTAGGTAGGTATTGCTCAGGTGCTGTATCGAGGTATGCCTCTGGAAACTCGGGGACGCGCCGCTGAGGGGCCCCATCAGCCTTGCGCGTGGCGCGTTTCGGTGTCATTTGCTCATGTAACTGTAATCCGATTCGAAAGGTGGGGTTCGTTCCTGGGTCGCGCTCGTCTAGTATCTGTCGAGGTATGTTAGCTCATGCCGAGGAGCAAGCAAGGACGAAGTATCAGCGAGAGGTTCCAATCTGTCGAGTAGACAGACTGCGGGGAAGAGGCAAGTAAAACAGGGCAATGGAGGCTGGAGTATTGGTTCAATTGGATGTGGTAGAAGAGTTTCCATCTATTGGGTATCTCATCTAGTGTTTGATCTCGGAGAGAGAAGGTAGACTCAAATCAGCGCATCGATGCCTGTCGACAAATACGACACGAAGAGGTAATCGCACCAGGGCCAATGGTTGCAGGGGGACCAAAGCAGAGCAGAGTAACAAAGCAGGCAATTGTCCTCACTTACCGGAATCCAGGCATAGACAGTGGAATCTCAAGTCCGCGCAGTGTAGAAGTCGGAGGGTTGTAGATCGCGGGTCCGCAAGACGCGCAGACGCGACAGAACGTGAATCGCAACCGAGCAGATCCTACGAGCTCAGGCAGCTGTTACGATGTAACAGACAGCTTCGCAAGCTAGCTCAAAGTTCTGCAGGGAGGAGTTGATATCGAAATCCGGGGAGGGAGCGAGGAGTGGAAGAAAATGGTAGTAGGGGTGGAGCGTGAAAGATCGCCGATGAAGAATCCCCAACTCAATACCAACCTGGAAGTAATGTATTGCAACACATCTGCCAGAATGGATCATGTTCTCCCTTTGTATCTAAAACTGTTCTTTAATTAGATATACTGGCAGGCAGGGGTTCGTTTCCTCTTTGTGATATAGCTCTTTGTTACTCGAGAGACACCTCGAACTACATTGAAGGGTCTGGTACTGACTTATATCATGACCCTACAGTCTAGAACAAGCCGTTGATTACTGAAATCGGGGGTTCAGATATGAAAGAAGTACATGAAAATTTTCATGCTGTATACAGAACAACCAATGTCATGGTCCTGCCACTCCAGATATGCCCCCATCGCTACTAAGACACAAGGGGATGGATACTATACAACGGGTGCGAGGGGAAAGGGGCGAAAGCAAGTGCAAGGAAGAGGAAGCCCCAGGCATTTATGCGGCCTCTATATGGCATACATCGCATCTAGCAAGTCCAGGCAGCCATGGTGCCGTCTTTGCGGCCCTCCACGAGGTAGCCGTCCTTAAGGCGAACCCGCTCGACGGTTGCGGGGAATGGTCCTTCATCGTCGATGCCAACACCTGGACCGCAGTCCCAGTGGTTGCCATCGGCCTTGTCGTAGACCTTGACCACGTTCTCTCCGGCGGCAGCCACGATGCGTTTTGAGTCGAACATCATGCTGGTAACAGGCTTGTCGTAGGCATAAGCATCGTAGATGGATCCCATACGCAGATCCCAAATCTATGAGCCAGTTAGAACAGATGTATAAGAAAGTCTTCGGTACTATGGAAACTTACCCGAATACTGCGGTCAAGACTGCCCGTGATCAGATGCATATCGTCAAATTGCAGGCAAGTCACTGGTCCGGTATGGCCTACAAGACTGCGGTGAACGTGTCCACTGCGCAAATCCCAAAGGCGAACCATTCCATCGGCTGTACCGCATGCCAGCGCAGCGTCAAAGCACTGTACTGCACCGACAAAGTCTGCAGAGGCATCGGGCATACGGCCCGATGGTCGCCAGTCAGACTCGCCCGATATCGTCGAGGATGCCTGGGCCGCTGCCCACAGAACATCCAATGTTTGCACGCAACGTCCTTTGACCAGGTCCCATTGTCGGAGGGTTTTATCTGCGGAACCCGAAATGAGGGTATTACCGCGGAAGTGAAGTGCAGTCACCTCGTCCACGTGTGCCTCTAACGAGAAGACGTTGCAATCCTCGAGGTTAGAGGATGGCGGTGCCGTCATGTTTTCTTCTTGGTCACGCTCGTGCTTGTTGAGACGTCCGTCCCGTGTCGCGGGTCGAGCACGGCTCAGATCCCACAGTTTGACTGACGCATCCATCGATCCCGTTGCCACGATGTTGTCCTCTACCTGTAAGCATCGAACCGAGGCGTGGTGACCTTCCAAGAAACCAGAGCATCGACCGACGTTCATATCCCAAACTCGGACCGTGTCATCTAGTGCGGCGCTGACCATTGTGCCGAAAGGATAGTCAAAGTCGATGGCCGTAACCATATCTGTATGCGCTTCTATCTCCTTGATTAAAGACCCTGGAGCAAAGTGTTCGTGTAGAATGGGCATGGACCGTTTCCCTGGGATCTGTCAGCTACAGTTCGCGCCAAAACGTAGATTAGTTGCATACTTTGTGAACGGTGCCGTAAGCTCTTTGGTGAAGGTGAGGGCAATTTTTCATATATCGACTCTGACATGAACGAAGCCTCCATAGCTGGATCGCCTGATGACCCGGTCGATTCATCCTGCTCTTCAGACTGCGGTGTCGCTGCAACTGGTGTGTCCTGGGAATCCTCGTCTTGGAAATCCTCGAGCTTCACATCGATTTCGGTCACTATTCCGAGTCAGCTCCATCGCCCATACAAACATCCTGAAGGAGACCCACGTTCATGCTCCAATGCGGCCTCGTCCATTTCTAAGCCGGCCAAACGATCCAAAACAATTTTGCGCATCTTGTGCAAATTGGCAACCTTGTTATCGATTTCATGAATCTCCGCGCTGCACATGTTCTTGCGAATACCCATCAAGTCCAACTTGCGACTCAGCGATTTCCGCTGGTCCTTCAACCCGGCCGGGCCAGCTGACAAGGACCCGCCTCTTTCGCTGTCCTTGAGCATTTTGGAGCTCCGCCTCCGGTGTCGTTTCTTCCCAGGTTCATCTTCGGGGACAGAGGCCTTAAAGCCTTGGAAAAGGGAATAGGAGCTGCTGTCTTCTGGAATGTTGGCGAGAAGATCGTCTGGGAGGGAGGAGAGGGCACGCGACTGAATCTCAGTAGTCGAAAGCTTCGATCGCATAAGGTCGGTCGCGGTTGTTTGAGTTAGCGAGAACACCTTGCGCTGCGCCGCCGGTCGCTGCAGCTCGCGGTGGATGTCGGTCATGGCATTGTGAAAGTGAGTGTTGTTCTGTTCACCCGGTCCCATCAAGTGGCCTGCCGTTGTGGTGACCTTTCGTCCGAATGCTTCAAGATGACGAGTCTGCAATGGCAGATCCAAACCAGTCAGCTGGCAGCCTTGGTGTGGGGGATGTCATTGAAGCGCAGGGAAAAAGCCTACCGTCACGCCGGTGCCCAGAATGCCATCGCCCTCGACAATGTCTGACAGGCCCGATGGGGAGTCGTCTCGGCGCTGGTTTTCCATGTAGTGAGTGGGCTCCAAGACCCATGCGATTTGGCAGAGAGAAGTTTGGGGGGGTTGGTGATGAGCAGGAGACTTGGGAAGCTCGAGTTACCGCGTTCGCCGGGTATTGCCGTATGGTACTTTTACGCTCTGAAACCAGCCTTGATTTCAACTTCACCAACACAACGGATGAGTGGCACTATTAGAATCTCTGCAAGGATCTTTAGCTCAAGTCTATTCGGCCTTGGCTCGCCCTTTGTGTACTTATGGCGATATGCCCCTCATACTAGTAACCAGATGGAATAGATCTACCAGATACATCGAACTCGGAACTATAACGTTTTTCTTTAAGTTACATGGTTTTCTTTGGTCACCTGTTCTCTAAAACCCTACAGGATGCAAACTAAGCAGGTTGCACAATCAGGCTTCAGCTCGATCTGGGTTACAAGGCGAATTATCTAAGGGGGCTGAACGAGTGGACTCCGTACTAAACTTCGCAGTCCCGCAGATCGACTCTCTCCTTTTACAACGCCGCAAAACCCAGCCATGGATACCGCCATTGATCTCTCCGATGCCTCCAAGGCATTGGACCTTGCCAACATTCGCTTCCAGCTGATGTGAGCTCCCCCTTCCATCGCTTCATCGGAATTCAAGCCTCCTCAGATCTTCCCCGCGCCCCACCCTGCAGAAACCGATCCCTGCAATATATATGAGTTACCACGGAGCAGTCTGCTAATACACCGGTTTCTAGCCGCCTGGAGGACACAATCACTTTCCATCTGATCGAGCGAGTTCAATTCCCCGTCAACAAGACCGTCTACGTCTCCGGCGGCGTGAAGATCCCCAACAGCGAGTTCAGTCTGCTGGACTACCTGCTCCGCGAACAGGAACGGATACAATCCCGCGTCCGCCGCTTCCAATCCCCAGACGAATATGCCTTCTTCCCCGACGTGCTGGAAGAACCCATCTTGCAGCCCCTGAAGTACCCCCACATCCTGCACGAGAACGACGTTTGCGTCAACGACATCATTAAGAAGCGCTACATCGACGAGATCCTACCAGCTGTCTGCCCCAAATACTGCCGTGAGGACCGCGGTGAGACGCAGGAGAACTACGGCTCGGCTGCTACCTGTGATGTTTCCTGTTTGCAGGCGTTGTCGCGTCGGATTCATTTTGGAAAGTTCGTTGCTGAGTCCAAGTTCCAGAAGGATCCCGAGACTTTTGTGCGTCTGATTAAGGCAGAGGATCGCGCTGGTATTGATGCTGCTATTACCAATGCTGCTGTTGAGTTGAAGGTTCTTGAGCGTCTTGCGCTTAAAGCTAAGACTTACGGCACTGATCCCGCTTTCCCCGATGAGAAGGATCAGAAGATCAACAGTGACGCTGTAGTTGCTATGTACAAGGTGAGAGATTTCTCTAGTCCCCTTTGCATGGATGAATTGCTGACTTATGCTTCTACAGGAATGTGTCATCCCCTTGACCAAGGTTGTGGAGGTCGAGTACCTCATGCAGCGTCTCAAGGGAACACAATGGGAGTAACTTAACGAGGAACTGGTCATGAAGTTACGATGCCAATATTTGCCTTAGATTTTCCATAGTTACGAAGATTATGTGGCGGGTAAAACGCCAGCCAGAGCCAATATAGACAACGTAAAAGCGCAAGATAAATCTAGCACCAAATATGTTTTCATAAGCTGGACATAAAATTTTATGACACTAACGGTCATGGTATAAGGTAGTCTAAGACAGGTACTCAGTAACAGCCTTGACCATAGGCTCGAACTTGGCCGCCTCAATGAGCATCAAGCTACCATTGGTGCGGATACCAAGCTCCTGGAATGCACGCTTGGAGTCGGCATGTCCATCGTCAGACTTGTGGGTGTACTCCACGGAGCCGGAGCAGAGAGCATGACGCTCCAGGATCTCGTCCTCGGGGTGGAAGAAGAAGCGCTCGGACTTCTCGCCATCCTTCTTCTTCTTCTTTTGCGGCCGGGACTCCTCTTGGTCAAGCTTAGACTCAATCTCCTGGTAGTTCTTGGAGAGAATCAGGTAGTGTGAGAACGAGTAAGGCTCCTTGTCCTCAATCGCCCAGGCGATCTCTTCCTGGAGCATGTTGTACATGGGCGGGACGGTCTCGGAAGGCATGTTGATCAGGCGCTCGGTGAGAATGAGGCCGATAGGAGGGATTGGGTTCTGGGAGAGGAGCTCATTGGCTGCTGACAGAGAGGGATTGGCAGCAGTCTTGGTCTTAAGGTACTTGATGATGTCTTGGATGACGGGTTTATCCTGTAATTGTAAGTAGGCATAAGGTTGCGGGAGAAAGACAATTCACATACCTTGTGTTCCTGGAGATTAAGAATTGACAGGAAGGCATAGGGATCGGACTCGTTTCCATCGACCTTGACCGTCGATCCGAGTGTAGGCTGCGAGAGGATCAAATCCGCTAGCTCAGACATATTGAAAATCTGGGCGTCATTGTCAAACAACTGGCGCAAGAGGTTCTTCAGGCCGTGGAAATCGACAGCTGGCTGCGGGTCGAACCATTCGAAGTCAACATTGACCATGTCAATGTCCTGTTGTCGTCATTCTTGTTAGCAATGCTCGAAGTCTAGTGGGATCTAGACTGGCTGACCTCGTCCGAACCGTCATCCTCTGGCTCAGTACCTCCCATAGGGACATCGCCGAGATCCTTCCGTTTGACCATATTGAATATTGTTGAGTAGTTGAGTAAAGGTGAGGTTCGAAGTCGCCCCGCGCTCGGCCGCTTGCGAACTTTTTTCCTTATCGGCTCTTATCAGCCACAACCCTAATTGCTTGTATATCAGAGCTTGGCTGTGAAGCTTTCTGTTCAAAGACGTTCGGAAATGGCTTCAAAGAAGGCTTATGCTCTTGATATCATTGGTTTAGCTCAGTCTAGTTTAATCCAACAAATCTTTCTTCACGCAACCACCCTGCCTGTTGTACACTGTACGTCATCTAAGATGGATGTGAGCGAATTACATTACTTAGTTAGCCTTATAATCACTTTAGATAACCGATGTCTAGGTCTAGGTCAAATATGCTATCAGATATATTGCACTTATCTCGTTTTGACAAAATGAACATGAGCTTTTAGTATAAGTTGAAGTCTCTCACACTAAGTCCCCTCGCAGGCTGCTCCCCGATTTGACAGCCCGTTCACCTGTCAGTTAGTAACCAGCAGGCCCTGTCTAGGGGTGTAACTAACATCAGCAGTGCGCAGTCCATGTCAAAGGCTGTTCACTGACGTGGTGAGGGGCATCGCCCGACAAACCCTGTCGAGGATCTTGAGCCATCCACCCCTCCCAGCGTACTAATATGCCGCTTACTCATGCCATTATTGACCAGCACTTGGACGGTCTGGCTGATGATCAAACCGCGACTGAGGCAGCTCCCATAATTTCCACCCATGTCTATTGCCTGACCTATTGATGGATTGTTTTCATGCTCTCTTCATGCGGTATCGACCTGTCTGTTACATCATGCTGCCATCGCAATGCTCCCATTTCATATTTTACCCTTGTAGCTCATTCAGTTTCCAGGTAAACACAGTGTGGGGGTAGTTCAAGAATTCCAAGTACCGGGGTTGTTGAAGCTTTACACAGCTCATCTCTTGAGATACATCAAATCTATAAAGAATGAAGTCCCCTTTGACCGCACGGCCACATCCGAGAAAATCTAGATCTAATTAAAGGCAACCTAAACATCATATTCAACAGCATCAACAGTGGGCACCTTATGAAGCTTGACATCAAAGAACTGTGCAACAAGCTGCACACAATCCCAAATAACCTCAACCTCCTCCTTTGGCACACCAATCCGTCGAGTCCCACGAATATGCCAATGCGTCTCCTTGGGCAGATTCTGACTCATGATACCCGGAAGAACAACCAGCTGCGTATCCATATCGTCAAGAATTATCCGATCCGACAAAAACAGCCCGTACGTAATCTCTTTCGACAGCCAAGAGAAGTCCCGATGAGCACTGAACAGATCTAGTGTGCCGGTCGTATTCCGCGCATACAGCTTCTGCATCCAGCCTGTGCCACGCTCGTGGTTTGCCTGGTCGCATTGCCAGCCTTCACGCGTGAAGGTATAATCCTTATCTTCGTCACGCTCGATCTCGGCAATGGAAAGAATTGCCTCGATGGGCTTACATACTCCAACGATTGGTACGCATTTGACGAGAGCCTCGCGCAGTCGCCGGATCAAGGCTTGTCGGGCTGCAGAGGTGGTGTATTGCTCTTGCTGGGTGAGATGGAGGTACAGCTGGTCTGCGCGCTCTGGATCAGGGCTTGCGGCCAGGGTAGAAATGGCTAGGATGTACCACTTGTCGCTGCCAAGCTTGGTCGTTTTGAAGCGGTTCTCGAGCTCGGTGAAGAGCGCGGAGAAGCGGGGTTGCACTTCTGTTGGGCTTGTTGGTGCTGCTGGGGTAGTTGAGGTGCTCATGGTGGCTATTTTGGGTGGCTGGTAGTTTTGTGGGATTGTGTATATCGAATGTCTTAGCGTTCGACTCGCTCGGAGTGGAATACGCGTGAACATTGTTTGGGGGGTTGATATTCACTCAATCGCATTTCTCTCCGATCACGGAGTGGGTCGTTACACATACGTTCTCAGCGCATGTTTGATGACGCAGCCGTTTATAGTGCTTGGGGTTTCTGCTTTTCAGGCACTGAGCGATATGGCTACAGTACTCTACAAAATGAAGCATTCAAGGGTTTTCAAATTGCGGCTACGTCAGGCATCTCCGGTTCACCGCTCTGAAATCATGTAAATAAGATGCGGTTTCCACTTTCAGTATCAAGTAGATAATTTATAATTGGTATTAACGGGCACATCTAGAGGACAGTTGCACATAGTTTTACCGAAAATCACTTTCTAAGATTCCAATGCGGCTAGTTTCATACTGTGAACGTTAGCATTCTAGTCAACACGGAGCTTGTCCCTAATTGACATAGCTAGACCGACCAGCATCCGTGAGGTACGAGCTAATCTCCTCATTTATCTTCCAAATCATGCTTTGACACACTGAGATGACACAGTGGACTCAAATACCCAGGTTTCAATCCCTTCAATATCAATCAACTGGCTGATACCTGTTCCAATGTATAAGTCCTTTGTCCTTCAGTCCAAGGACCTGTTTATAGAGCCTTTGGGGATATGTACACAAGCCGCAGCATGAGCAATATTCTAAATAGCATGCACGATCATTACTGGCCCCTCATTATAGTCTCAGTGATGCAGGCGGGCCAGGTCTGATAGAAAGTATCAAAGGGATAGTAGTAATCCAATTGAAGCATCCAGTTTCTATAAACACTGATAGCATTTCTGTGATAGCTCAAGACAATCTTTGTGGTCTTATTGAAAGGAACAAAGACTGAGGGTTGAAGGATGGGTCAGCGGTTCTTTGAAGTCTATTGAAGAGGTCAATCTTAACTTCCAATGTGCTCGAATTCAATAACCTGCGAGGCCTAATAAGATGTGAGCCTGACGCCTTAAGCAGTGTTGCTTTTTGATTGAATGCTAAAAACGTTCTTCGTTCAAGGAGACCGAATTGTCTTCATGTATCATTGCCACGTTGATTTATATATCTCAACTAAATTTTTTGGCTGATGCACACGATCAGCATCCAAAGACGTCAAAGTCCACCAGTTAGATGAAATTATACTATCTGAAATGTGTAAAATGTCTTTTCATACATTTACGCCAGCGGTTTAGAGATGGTGTCCATGCCATATCGTAGCCTTGGACGAACTGGGACCGGCCAAACAATTATCCGAGGTATGAACGAATCTTCGCGCCTTTGAATGCGAACGGACATGTTACCTACCGTGGGGCCTAAAATTTGACGTAGAGTCTGGTCCCTGATAAGACAGAAAGGATATAATTATACAATGTAGACATGCACCAAGGCTCATTACAGTGCCTGCAAGCAGAATAGTACAGTATGCAGGACCATCGTGACTGAACTCCCGGTCGAAAGTGCAAGTAAGAAACCACAGTGGCATTGAGTACCAATTAGCTCATTGAATTAGATCAACTTTACAGTATACTACAGTGCAAGCAATAATTCAACAACACACCAGATTGCCAGGTACATGTACATCAACGTCAGAAGAAGCCTCAGAAGACTAGGAAGTGGATACCTAACACGGTCCACAACTCAACGATGTCACCGATCACTTCCTTGATTACCAGTGATGCAAAGAAGAAAAGTAAAGAAGGGTCCAGAGCACACGCGATCAGAAAACTCGCAGGGTTAAAATTGTTGTCGCCATCTAACCTGGTCAACGCCCCACTATGATCTCAGTGACTCCAGCATGACATCACAAGAAATATCTCAACTATAAGATCCTGGGTTGAGCTCAAGTTTTTCATTCTCATCAATCACTCCCAAACAACTTCAATCACTCTTCTCTACAAACCACCAACTTTCTCCCCTCCTCTACCAACCACCACATATCAAAATGTCAGGCCAATCTTCCGTCGGAAACCGCGCCATCTACGAAGCCGGTGACCAGCGCAACCCCCCTGTCTCTGAGCTCCAGGAGCGTGCCCGCTACGCCGAGGGCCAGACACACTCTCACAAGAACCTTGATTCCAAGGATGGCCGCTCCATCGCCAACAAGCTTGCTTCCCAGGAGAACAAGTCGGATCCCTCGCACCACCACAACGGTGTCCAGAACGAGGAGGCTGAGCTGAGCAAGCAGGACCCTACCAAGCCTGTAAGTTAAATGATTCCATCTATTCTTCAGCCAAGTCAAGTGCAGTTGCTAACAGTCTCTCAGGCCAAGCTCCACGGCAACGCTCCCTCCAAGGGCGCTCAGATCGACGCTGAGCTCCAGGCTGAGGATGAGCAGCGCCTTCGCGAGAAGGGCATCAAGAAATAAATCATGTTATGATGTTATGATATAATAAAATACCAATCCGACTGGCTGGCCAGCTGGCTGGGTTGGTGGGGATGACTTTGTTGCATGATGTACGATATAATGATATCTGGTTATAACGTCTCTCAATGAATGAGTGACTATCGAATGAACACATTGAAAAAATAATTATTGAGTTTTTTGCGTAAATGCCTGTAGAGAAAGCTAGGACATGCTGGGAATATTTGTGCAGTGGGGGAAAAAAACATAAGTACTGTACATGGCTCAAACAACGTCATATTCTGCATTATCTGGTGAGATTTGGCACCACATGCGAAAATTCGTGATATCTCCACTAGATCACTGATATCTCCACTAGGTCACGTGTCAAACAATTTTGTTGATTCTCATGAGACTAGTGATCGGGAGTCAGTCTAGGTGTCACTCATGGCTTGTTTCTCCGATGGAGGCGAGGTGACGTGTGATGCAGGACAGTGTCCAGCCTAATCCCGACACCGGGTCGAGGAAAAAGATGAACAGACCAGGAAGCGGCCCGAAGCGTAGAATGCGGCACAATTGACTAGCGTTCAGCCATCAAGGGTGAACTTGGGATCGTCGTCATGCGGTCCAGCAAAGACATGGCCCCAATATTCCTCCACTCTCTCGCACAGGCCCAGTTTGTTCTCCCATGTCTTGAAGGCTGTCTCCAAATTACAGCTGACCCATTTGATCTCCTCCCAGTAGGCCTTTTCGACATCGTATCCGAACCTAGCAACGGTGTCCGGCGGTGCGGTCCAGGCTCGTCCATCTGAGCCATCTTCTTTTAGCGTGGGTGTTGTTTCCCATCCCATACCGAAGATCCGGTCTCCGGGGTTGAACTTGGGGTAGTTTGCGTGGATCCAGAAGATGTGTGGTGCAGGGGCCACTGCTTGGTCTTTTACACGCCACTTATCTTGTTGCGTCAGGGTAAAGTCCTCGCGGGGATCTGACTGAGCCATTGCTGATCCAGACAAGCCATCAGCAGTGGCGTGTCCGATGGCCTGCACCCTCTCGCTGACAGTATAGAAAGGTGCGCCAAGCGCCGAGGCAGCTTGGATAAAAGTTTCCTTGTCGCCCTCACCAGGACCACCTTGAGTTAATAGGCGGAAGTAGTGTGACGGCCCGTAGAAATTGTAATAGGCAGCCAATAGGAGTGGCAGCAAATGTGTTTTCTTCGAGACCAAGAAAGCCCCTGTTTCTGACGACTGGCGGACAGCCATGGATGGCGCCTCCTGTCGTGAGATCCTGTAGTATAGCGGGGATGCGGAGGAGGCCCAAAAGTCGGGCCAGGTCACTAAACCGTTAGTTTTGAATGGCTCGGAGTCGAGTAAGTCCTCTGGTTTGCCAAGGGGGAAACAGTCGGCGTCCATCCAGACAATCTCCTCAAAGGATGAGAACAGCACCGCAAAGATCTTGAGTTGATAGTGCTCGATGATGTTCTTGCCCACAACATCCGCCAATACCAAGCATCGCGCATCCAGGGTTGGCAGCACTTCGTTGCAAACGCGTTTCTCGTGCTCGCTGGCATCCTTCATATAGAGTTCGACTGGAAGTGTGGATCCCGCGCGGCGAAGCATTCGCAGCGAGGACACAAACACGGGGAGGTATGTCGCACCAGCAGTAGATACCAACCCTCGCTTTCCTGGGGTATGAATAGGCTTCAATTCCTTGTCGGAGGTTTTGATATCTTGAATGAAGCTCGCATGAGCTTCTTCCATCTTCCGCTCATCTTCCTCGCTCAGAGCCGTCAGGTCGGGCCTTTTTAATTCCTTTTCTGGCTCGAAATGCTGTGCCTGCACATCGCCAAGTTTATCCGGAGAAGGGCAGTTAGGGTTGTGTCGTTCGAAAATCGGCCGAAGCACTTTCCAAAAGTCTTTTTGGCGTTCCGTGAGGGGGACCTCGAAGGCTGTATTCGGAACTAGGGAGACGGTAGAGGATGCGGTGGTCGGGGTCCAATAGAAGTAAACCGTACAGACCAGGATCACTGATAGCATGGCCAGGACGAGGGACCTTGCCCTCCCAGGGCGGAACGCACCCATTGTCAATGACGCCAATGTTCGACTCGGAAAGTTTGCGCTTTGGTCCAGGGGGGGGGGGGGGGGGTTCAGGAGCGGCGCACGGCCACAGTCAAGACCACGATACTGTTGGGTTGTCAACGGGTGGAAACTGGGTACAGACCGTATAGACTAGAGCTATACAGAGTACCTGACGCACAAAGACCGGGAGGTTGTTGGAGAGTGTGGCGTTCTCCGAGAGCGGGAGAGGATTGGTCCACAGGCTTGGCGGGTCATATTTAGTTTACGAAGATTCTATGGATGATCGCAATAGAAGATCGAACGTGGAAGATCGAACATAGCACATAGCACATCGCAACAGTCAGTTCTATCAGATCAGTAACAACAAATGACCGAACCATATCAGACAAGACTCTGAAACATCATAGCCGAGGCAAGCGTGCAGGGGCCAATAATTGAGATGCGCGATTAATTCATGATCACCGAGTGGAACCAAACAGGAGAGAAATCATTTGCGAACGCCCTGGTCTTGCTAGAGGCGCGGATCATCCTCCACCGGGCAGATCCCATATCCACCAACCCCCAGCACTCTTCTTTTCTTCTTCAGTTCTTCTTTTCTCCCCCCCCCAGATTCTCATTCCACTACCATTTGGACCCCCGACCCCGACCTTACAAATCTCCGTTTCATCGACCGCCCCCCGCAACTTTGAAGCGCCCTCAATTTTCGATCGGGCCTTCGCGGTCTCAACAGATGGACCCCCGTGCGGGCAACCAGATCTTCCGTTCACGATGCCCTCCGATAATCCAGATTCTCGGCCTCGAGAACCGGCACCCAAGAGCAAAGCTCGCAAGACCGATCCGAATGCCCCCGTCCGAAAGCGCCGCAAGAGAACCGTCGTAAGCGGGGCCCCCGACGACTGCTTCGCCTGCTCCAAACGAGGAGCCCGATGTGATCGACGCAGACCATACTGTTCTCAGTGTCTCGAACTGGGTCGCGAATGTTCCGGGTACAAGACGACGTTGACATGGGGCGTGGGAGTCGCAAGCCGAGGCAAGCTCCGCGGACAGAAGCTGCCGGTGATGGAATCGGAAGAGCAAGTGAGACCGGCAAAACCTCAATCCAAGGCCTCAAATAGCAGTGGTCCGTCTTCTTCACTACGGGCTCCTTTTAATCCTTCTGTTCCGGTGCCTCCGGTCACTGGTCCGGGACTTTCATCCTTCGACGCTGGGTCCACCAATGTCAAATTGGAAAGTCCGCCGCCCATGATACCGGGATTTGATATGCCATGGACGATGGATATGCCAGATCCTCAGTCGTGGTCTAATACGGCTGCTTCGACGCCCAAGATTTCAGGACTTCCATTACCATCCCGGCCTTTGGTGCCAAATACTACCCAATGCATGACCCCAGATTCAACATTGCAGTATGCTCCTATATTGAGCCCAACTGCCAGCTTTAATTCACCAGTATGGCCTACTGCAATGCCATTATCATATCAGCCCGTCACTCCGCCATACTCGCAAGACGCTGACGAAGAGGATGTCAAAAGAGATCCTAATTACCATATGCTTTGGAATGCCGCACATTCCCCGTCACTGTCTCACCTCCTTTTGGCGCGATCCGTGGGGAAGACACCTCGTCTTCGTTATCTTATCAGCTACTATGCGGAAGTTATTGCTCCCATGATTGTTGCTTTTGACAGCCCATCAAACCCCTTTCGCACACATGTCATCCGATTGGCCGTAGAGAGTGAAGCTTTACAAGAAGCAATTGCAACGCTGGCTACAAGTAACTTGCGACAACGGCGAGAGCATAACCATCGTTCCACCGAGAGAACATTACCGGCACGAATGGCATCGATGGCTCACCGTGCCCTCACCGACGAAGACTTTCAAGATCGCTATGGGATCTCGGTTCCGGAAGGATATCAGAGGGAAGAAAATCACCATCGAGGGATGGCTGTCAAGGCTTTGAACGCCGATTTGGCTGACCCTCGTCGAAGACTGTCAGATTCAGTGCTAGCCACGCTTTTGATGCTCTGTTTGTTCCACGGTTGTGATACTGGCGTTGCTGAATTCCGAACGCAATTTGCAGGAGTAACAAGACTCTTAGCGATCCGGATGCGCCATTCGCGCGTATTATCAGATGATCTCAAATGGTTCATCCGCATGTTCTCATGGTTCGACACACTTACTGCTACCACGAATGACCGTGATGTACAGCTTCGCGGTACATGCTTGGATATTAGTTCGCAGACTGATGGAGAATGGGGCTTGGAGAATCTGGCTGGTTGTGATGGTCGTCTATTCAAATTGATCTCTCAGCTGGGTCGCTTGAATCTTCTCAGCCAAGATCAAACTCCTAACCTGTCCCGTCCAAATGATGCTACTGTCTCCACTGCCTCGCTTCCTCCTTCTATGCTATACCCAGGGTGGGAAACGGTCACACCAGATCCTATAACTGGCTCCATGTCGCTTCCTGACTGCGGATTCTCCCTCCCTACCCCGCCGCAGAGCAGCGAACAGTCCCGTCGGCCATCTTCTCCAGAATTCTGGACCGAATGGTATTCACTTCGACAGCGACTTGAATCCTGGCGATTCGACCCACCCGCTGAACCATCTGGTTTCCCTTCACCCACGCTGTCTGCAGCGAACATGTCATGGACCTCTACACACTACCCCATGCCACGGACCTCCACATCTATGTACCAAGTGGCGCCCGAGAATCTCCAAGATGTCTTCCAGATCTCGGAGTGTTTCCGCCACGCCGCGCTTCTATACTGTGAACGCCTAGCAGAGCCAACTCTCCCATCACGGCATGGACGTATCCAGCACCTCGTCCAACTGGCCATGCACTGTCTTTATACCGTGCAGTCCGATGTATACCTTCTCTGGCCATTATTTATTGTGGGATCGGAGTGTGTCGAGGAGACTCACCGCTCGATCATCCGAAATCGCTGCAAGGATATCTCCAAAGATTCCGGCTTCGTCAACAATCTATCATGCCTAGAACTCTTAGAACGGATCTGGGCTGAGTATTCTGATGAATCCTCGTATCCTGTTTATCCAAGCGACTTCGGACCCCCACCTCCGCTGGCTGGAGGTCGGGCACCTACTTCGCAAGCCTTCCGATGGTCCCAGGTCATGCAGGCCAAGCGGGGCGGCGGAGAATACATGGTGGCATAGATCCCTTTTGCTTTTTTCCATCTCTTTTTCTATATTAATCCAACCCGGGCTATACGGTAAGCTCGCGGTCTCTAGCTGTTCAGCATCCAGGAGTCGCTTTCTTTATTTTCCCAGGACCAGCGATTTGGGTTTCATTGATACCATTCACATACTGGCTCTCTTTTGTCGATATCTTATAGATCGCTTGTATATAACGCAGACAAGCAGCCAATATAGAACTGCTTTTTCATTTGATACCATTCCACCGTGTACTCCGTACTGTAATCTATTAAACCAACAAACATCCTGCGACTAGCAACCAACAACCAGCAACTAATGCAAGCTAACCCCCTCATCAACACCCACTTCCTTGAATCCTTTCCCTAAGCACAAGACCATATTCCAACCCAAACCCCACGAACATCCACACTGCGGAATCTCATCCAGTCGGGGAATTCCACCCCGAGTCTATCTTCCATATACATACGCCCAAAAAGCACACCAACCAATGAATTCCTCTATCGCAATCCCATCCAACGCCCCCAAAATACCAAAAGTACTCCCTAACCCCAAACCAGCCACAGGCCCGTAGGGCACAGGGCAAGGGCAAGATTCCCAACCCTACATGGGCATGTGATCAGCACGCACAAAGCAAGCACACCCCCCCCCCAAGAATTCCCAGACAGGAAAGCGAAATACAGCCTCAATTCCCTAAACAATTACAATATTGAGAGGAAAAAGAAAGAGTAAAAAAAGAAAAAAACTCAATTTTCATACCGCTTCCTGCCAAGGCCAAGGGAGACCGATATTTCACACCGGTCCAGAATACCAATAGAATCAAGTTAAATTAAGACGGATGTTTTGTTTTGATTTCATTTTCTTCCGCGGCTTAGATCCTGATATCCGCTCGTGCAAGGGGTTCGTTAGCTGGTTTTGTACATGAAGATAGGAGGTAGAGCTGCGGGTGGTAAGCTAATGTGACGGAGCGTACGGAGTAGAGCGAGCGTGCGCCAATCTCTCGGCTCTGTACTGAACAGTGGATGGTGCACTAGACAGCCAGTTGACTTGATTGAATCGATTTTCATATCGGTTACTTTCGAGGCTGGGTCTGTGCCTTGTTTCATGGGGTTCCTGGTTAGTGGTTTTTCTATTTGCATTGTGGCGGTTCAATAATGAACGGGGTGATTGTATTGGATCTCCATATTAAATCTCAAATATCGGTCTCCGGGCTAGGTTGCAGGATTATTGTTTCGGAGTTGTGTTCGGAGTACGAGGCGGAGTAAGCAAAGTGCTGGAGGATGCTATGTGCACGGCTTCATACTCATACTGATACCGATACCGAGACCGAGATGTGAGCAAATGCGACCTGTATTGTACACTAATCCTCGTCAAGAAAGCATCAAGAAAAAGAAGAATAGCCATGCATGTCATTCTCAGCTTACTAGAAAGTTGCACCAAGACCCTGGCACAGCACATATAAAAATGAAGTTTGGAGGCACCAGTACTGTAGCGCCCGTGCGTTCAAGGTTATGTTCCTACATGTCCAGCCGAGCCTGAATCTACTGCCGGCTCTCAACCCTGCAGCCCTGGATTAGCCCAGCCCGTTATTGGTGTAGGTTTGCCTGTAGCCTCTAAACCTTGTTCCAGAAACTCGGTCCTGGGCTTAGCCGAGTATTACGCATCATTACGCATTGTTCCTTGTTTCCATTGGGGGGTTTATTTTTTTTATTATTTTTTTTTCGGACTCCGTAGATCCCCCATGGCATGTGGCAGCTGAAGGTAGCTTGGATGAGAGTGGCAAATAGACTGGGTCGTCGAATGGGAGGTCATATCTTGTGGGTGTGCGAAATAGGCAGACACATCGAACCTTGTTGATATGATATGATCGGTTTTATGCTTGCCTTGCATGTGAGATCTATCCTGTCTGCACGATCAGAAAAATGTTAGTGGGCTGTAATTCCTTTTTTTTCCCTGTCTTTTTTTGGGGTAATCAAACGCCATGTGCAACCCTAGATGATCGGCAGTGCAGGGTGTGTTGTGATTTGTGAGTGGATGAGTAAAACAGGGGCAGGATTTCTCGAAGGGACTTGACTCATCTCGAGAAAAACAAAACCCTCGAATCAGGGATCGGCTTTGAATTCTTTGCGTGCGCAGCAAGGACGTGCGGAAATTCCGTCCATTTCATCCCTTTCCTGGGTGCGTGAGCGTAGCAGCAGTGGTATTGTTGGTATCGGTGGCTGTGGTAAATTGCGGTGGCCCTGAACCCATTTGGAGTACTAGGCAGATTTTTACTTCGGTTTCTAAGTGTGGTGTAGGGTAGTGTACTGTTCACTGGTGGTGAGATTTGGGATCCAACTGCAGTATCACTGCCAGGCATGCTGCATACATCAGCCCTAGTGGTAGTGCTAACCTCTCGAAGAAGACAGATTAGGGCTTGAATGCGGTCACAGCGAGTCGTCTATGGCTCAAAGCCCCACGCTGAAACAAACTGTGGGCAGCCAATTGTTCATGAATGACAGCCGTTGATCCAGAACCTCTGACTTCATGATGCGTTGGTCTTTAGAATAAGGCTCCATCTTGCTTCCCAACTTCGACACAGCCGGGCATTTTTGTACACCTAGCGCCAATCCTCTTCTCTATTTTTGCTAGCTGAAGTTTCTACCCGTCTGGTGACGGTATCCAGTGGAGGAGTAAGTTGCGGTCTGCGAAAATCTCTATATTTTGGCCCAAAGTAGTCGGTTGCTGCCCAGCGACGCAGCGGTAAAGCCCATGCATGGTCCGTGAGATTGCCCAACAAGGACAAGTGAAAGATGTGTAAATACAAAGACCATGATGGGGCTCGTTAGTTCTTGCCATGGCAACGTGTATCTGTAACGATGTTCGGAGAATATCCATAGTGGAGTCGTGAACAGGTGAACCGCTGGACGAGACGGGATGAGCCGTGAAATCGCGATCGAGTTGCGAGCCAACCATGGAACCGGCTTTTAGTTGGGACTACATCTACTGTACATGTGCAGATACACACACATACGAAACACTCACATGTACTTTTGTAGGTGTCTTCGTATTCGCTGTAGATACTCGCCAGGCTGACCAACTTTAGTCTCCCCATTGCTAAACCTCCTGGCAAACTCTTTCATGGCGTTCATGCAAAAGTGGCCCGTGGAATCTGTACCCTACTTCTGGAAGACACATGGCTTTGCGCTCATCCAACCCAACCATGACACGCCATCCGCTAGAGGGTGCCTAGATTACGTCTATAGATACAAGGCAGCCAGTGAGATCTTTGATCAAGCTCACCCTGCGCCTACTTTTGCCCTACTTCACCTTACTTGACCTGGGTGCTCAATCCAAGTGAGTCAGAGTGGCATAGTTGGGCGACATATAGTTGCCTTACAGGAGAATGCAGATGTCCGAGTCAACTGAGGGGCTGTTTGCAAGCGCTTTGCATATCGAGTGCAGTCTCCATCTGGACTAGTTAGACTAGTCTGAGGGGTAGACAGTGTACTTTGGAGAAGAGTCAGCTCGAAAGTGGTAGGTGACTCGAGAAGAATCGCCACTGTGAGTCACAACCGACAGTGTTAGGTATAAAACTAGAGAACTAGAAAGAGAATCTCCTCTGCTCTAGGGATAAATCAAGGATTTAATTCTAAAATCGAAATCTATCTTATAAATAGAGAAAGAAGAGAATAGAATACCCCGTATGTGTATTACCAAACGCCACAGCCCACGCCAGCTCACACACACTTGATTGGCGCCAATATCACTTTCTCCTTTCATCCTTTCGAATTTTTTCCCTCTCCACCTCTCTCTCTTCCTAACCTCTTTGTGGGAGACTTTCTCTTTGTTAATACTCTTGGGCTCCCCCATCAGGAGTAATTCTCTTATCATTCTGCCCATCCGGTAGCTGGTAGAGCTTCCTCCCCCCTATTCGCACTCTCCCTTCTTCAGTGGATCGAGACCGAACGTTCAAATGCCCTCTCAGCACATTCAGTTTCAACCCTCCTCTCTTCGATCGGAAACCGTACCGCGGTGACGGTCTTAACCCCAAAAAATCCTATCTGGCCTGCAGTTTTGAATCAGCGTCGATTTCTGTTTGGGTGCACGATATCCTGTATAATATACTTGGTGTTCTTTTTTCTCGTCTCTTGTCTCTTTGCCATTGCATTTCTTACAATCTGAACTGCTCTATGCTCGTTCGATAATGTATCATTACTCCAGTCCACCACCCGGGTGGTCCACCTACGACTACTCGCAGTCTCCTCCAACCTCACCTCACTACGCCTACTACGCCTCTCAGTTCGCCAACACATACACCTCACCCCGGGGCACTTCGCGACGACACAACCGCAAGGCCAGCTACACAGCCACCAAAGAAACGGGGGGATGGTATTCGACCTCGGGCTACCCGCACGGCTACTACGAAGCCACGCCAGACTATGGCATTCCATCGCGAAAGCACGATCATGTAAGTGCTTCTTTTGCGGACATGCCCAAACACCGTCGATACCACTCCTCGGCTGGTCATCCTACGGGGGATGGCCTCGGCACTGGCTATTGCTGCGACTATGGCTGTAGCCCCGGCTACAGCTACGGATTCGACCCGTCGCAAACGCAGACGCGACCCATCTTCGTCGATGTGGTCGATGATGCATGCGACGTCCCGCGCACAACTCGAGAGCCCCGTTCCAGTCGCCCAGGCCATCCCCCGGCCTCATCGAATCCCAGGCGCGACGGCTCCCGTCGCGCATCGACATCTTACCGCAAATCAAATCCAGCTGATTCTCACTTTTACTTCAACCAGGCTCCTAATACCGAGGATATCGATGCTGCCCGACGCTCCCGCGCAAGGCGCCAGTCCACTTCCACGCGCACCCCCAACAAACCCAAACCCGCTCCCGCCGCCAAACCCCCTCCCACCGCTACTGAAGACGACGCCGAGCAAGCTGGCATCCCGGCAGGCTATTCGATCAAGAACTGGGATCCGACCGAGGCGCCGATCATTCTCCTCGGTAGCGTGTTTGATGCGAATTCTCTCGGAAAGTGGATCTACGACTGGACCGTTTTCCACCACGGCGCCTCGACGCCCATGGCCGATGTCGCTGGCGACTTGTGGCTTTTGTTGATCAAGCTGGCGGGCAAGGTTAAGAGAGCTGACGAATGTCTCCCTCGCATTCAGAGCGTGGAGGCACAGGAAGTCGTCGAGGATTTCCTAGAAAGTGGCGAGCGCCTCTGGTCTCGTTTCAAGAAGCTCCTTAAGGGATGCGAACTTTACATGTGGAAGGCTGCCAAGCGCGAAGGCGGCGGCAAGCCTGTTTCTATGGGTCGCAACGCGGGTTGTGAATTCGTCGAATCCATTTTCGGTCGCGATCGTGAGCTTGAGAATACCGAGAAGCTTATGAACAGTATTCGGCTCTGGAACATGCGATTCGATGCCAACTGCGAAGACATTTTGCGCCGTCCTTCGGCCATGTAAATGTCACCCCACGACACCACACCACACTACGCTACACACCACAACAAAACAAAACACCCCACACCCCTTATTGAGATTGATATCTATGATATCACAGAGAATTTTCTTTTCCGTTTTCATCTTTACCCTGGGCGCAATTGACACTTGTTGAATTGCATTTGGAGCGCATTGGTTTGGCTCCGGCTAGCTTTGCACATTGCATTTACCCTGACTCTGTTTCTCGATCTGATCGGCAGATATCGTCCAAAGGAATGGACGACCAAAAAAGATTGCTCTTTTTGCTTTTGGTTCCGGCGCCTCGCTTTTGATCTCGTTTCCTTCATGGGGCGGCGTCTTCTTTTGATCTTTTCTATTCCATCATTGGCGTCCTCTGTTTAATCTTTGCCTTTTTGTGTCTTTCTTTTCTGGCCGTCAACTCTGTTTCCTGTTTGTCGTTGATGTTCGTCTCACTCTGCTTTGATGATACCATCTTGCGATTTGTTATACACCAGCAAGCCTTTCTTGCGTCTTTTTCAACCTCTTTGTGTGTTGTTTTTGTTTTTGTTTTTGTTTCTGCTTTGCTTTTTCTATTGCTTCTGCTTCTGCTTCTGCTTCTGTTCGCTTTGATGTTGGGCTCGAGGAGGAATCCGGGTTGTACATAGAACCACGACCTCAACATCCGATAGACCAACCTTGACACTCTTTACACTTTCTCCATCAGGCCATGTTCCACTCTCTAGTAGCTTGCAGTAACTTACATTATAGTATACATGTACCTCCCGACCATACACAATCCCCCGAACCTACCCTGTATCCATCCTATTTCCACGTAGCCCAAGCCCCCCACTAAGCTAACTTAGATTGTGATATGTGATAGCGAAGCTTACCCCAGCGCTTCGCGGCACTGGCGCAGAGTACAGTGCAGCAAAAGTGACCGACATGCAGTGTGGATCACTACCCCGCCCTAACCTGCGTCCGCGTACAGTACTGTACATGTACTCCGTACATTCCCCCTACCTAACATTACGCTGTGTGCGCTGTACGAAGAGTACGGAGCAGTCAATCGAACCCCTCCATCTCCACCTTTCACAGCCCACCGCAATACCCACAGTACTAACTTAGTGCCTACATGCTGAACTGTACTGTGTCCTCGCCTCTGGTTGGCTGCCTGCCAATTCATAGTTTCAGGTCCAATCCTCTCAAAAGCAGGTACTGTGTTGTGTCATGACGGGTTCTGATGTCACTGGCAATATAAGGGTAGGTCTTAGCGTTTTGACGTTTTGTTGCGTTGGGTTTGGGTTATGCTTTAGTGTATGTAGGTTGGGGGTGGTTGGACGGTATTGGTTGGGGGGATTGAGGGTGGCGAGCCTATGGGCTTGGTGGGGGGTTTTACAGTATGCAATACACTGTATGTGTACATGTATGCGGGGTTGGGTGGGCTGCATGGGTTGCATTTCTTTGGTTCTTTTGGGATTTTTGTAATTGGTTGGAATATAGTGTTTGGGGGGGGGGGGTTGGTTTTGGGTTGGGAGGGTGTTTGTGGAATGGGTCTGTGTTGGTGTTGGTGTATACAGTATACAGTAGGTGTATTGCGTTATGGGTACTGGCTGCTGAGGACGACGTCGAGGCTCGGATCTTGCTGACTAGTTGCCTTCAGAGTCAAAGTGGCTTTGTGAGGTGTGAGATGTTGTCTCGGAATGTTGGATGTTGGGTTCAAGAAGGTGTATGGAGCCGACGTGGGTTTGTGCGAACTAGATTGCGGACACTGGCCTAGAAATGAGAGGAGATACCGATACCAACAGTAGTACTCCGTATATGAAAATGATGAGTCGCACTTCCGGGATTCTGTCTGTCAGATTCGATAGAAACGGATGGACCATGTGGCATGCATGCTTATTTGTCTGGATAGCACTAGCTAGTATGCATGTCGCCATATCGGGTGTCTATCTCAACGACCTCACCGGGAATATAGTTCCTTCTTCACTGCTCGCAGATCTGTCCATCATACGAAGTAGTGATGAGAAAAGCCGTGGAATGATTTGCTGACAGAATAATGATGACGCACGTGGGAGAGTCACGGGACCCAGGTCAAAGCTAGACCTTGACATCATGTACAGCGTGATCCTCTTCAATGCTCGAGTCGAAGATGTGTTCTTGTTCATAAATGTCCAGTTGGACACATCCAGGGAGTAAAGAGAAAAGGCTACAGATAACATCTACGGTCCCACTCCATCCGCGCGCACCTGATGCAATCTCGCCCTATAAGAACCATATCAGGACGCGATCCTGGACGGTACCCCACAGCTGCTTAACTCAAATCTACTTCCTTGAAATTTAGTCAACCTCTCCATCCTCGGCTTTCCGACCATTCCCCGTTTGGTCTGGCCCATAGATATGCAAGAGCGATGCAGCATGGGTCTACGACGGTCGAGATACCCACGGATGACGGGTCCGCCGGGCTCTCACTGTGGGAACGGTTCAAGGGTCAATTTAATATGAGGCCTGCTGAAGATGATGAGCCGCAGTCGTGGTGGATTGCATCTACGGCTATCCCGCTCGTAGCGGCTGCCACGGGGCCACTGGCTAATGTCATGTCGATTGTTGCTTTGGTCCAGCCCTGGCGCAATGATATTATTTCCAAGACGGATGGCCCTGCGGGAAACTGGCAGGAGGAAGGGTATCCGGATCCTCGTTGGTAAGTGGAGGCTGGATCGTGTGGTTATGGTTACGGTGAACTCTCTAATGCTGCCTAGGACCACTGCTTTGAATGCTGTTTCGCTTGTCTGTGGTATTGTGGGAAATGTATTTTTGCTTTTCAACTTTACCCATGTCATTCGATACATTATTGCTCTACCAGTTACAATTATTCTATGGTTTATAGCCACAGGAATTGTGAGTAAGCGCATCTATCTGGCGTTGGTCTCGGTGCTGATACGTATGGTAGCTATGTGGGATAACAGCAGCCATGGGTGTTTATGCCCCCCCAGTTCCCCCGGAGCATGTGTACTCACAAGCATTTTGGAGTGCCGTGATTGCAGCCTCTCTCTACTTCCTCTTAAGTGGAACCCTGATGATCAACATGCTAGGCTACTTCCTTGGAAGATACCCACAGCACTTCGCCCTGACCGACGAGCAACGAACATTGATTCTTCAAATGACAGCGTTCGTCATGTGGCTATTAATTGGAGCGGCCATCTTCCAGCGTGTACTGGGCATTTCGTTCGCCGATGCATTATACTTCTGCGATGTCACCGTTCTGACCTTGGGGTTCGGCGACATCACAGCGGTCACCCCTGTTGCTAGAGGTCTTGTCTGGCCATATGCAGTAATTGGAATCATCATGTTGGGTTTGGTTGTTGGAAGCATCCATAAATTTGCTCGTGAAGTCCACTATGACAACGTGATCCGGAAGCATATCGAGCAGAAACGGAAATCAACATTCAATCGCTCGGTCAGCTTTGATGAATTCGCAGCTTCTGAAGGGAAACTTCCCATTCGCGACAAAGAAATTACACCTCCAGGTTCTACTCGACAAAAGAACAAAGACTTCCACCATCACCACCACCATCGACCAATTCAACACACGATTGCTGCCATGACCACTGCCCGTCGACCCAGACTACTTATCATGCGCGAAGAAAAGGATCGATTTGACGCCATGCGCCGCATTCAGTACGATACAATTCGATTCCGTCGTTGGAACGACCTGATAATCAGCATAGTGGCATTCGGGATTGTATGGACATGCGGAGCAATAGTATTCTGGCAACTCGAACAAATGTCATACTACGAATCCCTCTATTTCTGCTTCTGTTCCCTGCTAACAATCGGCTACGGCGATATCACACCCCAGTCAAATGCAGGAAGACCCTTCTTCGTGCTGTGGTCATTGGTCGCCATTCCGACAATGACAATGCTCATCTCCCAAATGAGCGACACCGTCGTTGCAAGCTTCAAGCGTGGAACTGACAAAGTGGCCGACTATCTTGTCCTCCCTCAATCAGGCATCTACAATTCCTCTCTGAGCAAGATACCCGGCGTGACCAAGTTCCTCGCGCGTCGACAGGAAAAAAGGCGACTGAAACGCGGATTCGCGCTTGAAGGTGGCGGGGATGGCGACGCCGGAGACAGACGCACTTCAGATGATGTCGAGAGACCTACCCATCTCGACAAGGTTGCCGGTGAACATCCACACCGAACCCTCGAGGAACTAGTCCGTGACCCATCCCCCCTTGAACTAGCACAGCAACTCGCTTTTGCCGTGCGACGTGCGACACAGCATGCACGTGAGGGCACAAGGAAACGATATTGCTATGAGGAATGGGTTGAATTCACGCGGTTGATTCAATTTACTGATCCGCGGAGACCGTCCTCTTCGGGTCAGTCGCCTGGTGCGCAGGATTCTGTCAACATGGACGAAGACGAGTACGGGCTTCTCAATTGGGATTGGATTGGCGAAAATAGTCCCATGTTGGCTACACAGACGGAGCCGGAGTGGGTTCTTGATCGATTGTGTGAGAGCTTAATTCGGTACGTTTCGACTCAGGAGAGTCGTGCTGCTGCTGATGGTAATGGCGGTGCTGCTGATTTGGAGGAGGTGACTCTCAAGAAGGAGAGGGATATTGGATTGGATGATGAATGAATGAGTTGTGTTATTGCGTATACCCGAGGAGCTTTTGCCTTTGCTCTTGCCCTTCTACTGTTTAATTGTTGTGGACTTGCATTACCACACTGGCTCCTTGGATCATGTACTGTACATACGTATGTTCTTTTTCATGACTTTCAATTCGAAGATTCATGGAAAAAGCAGTGGCAAAATGAGTCACAAGGCAGCAAAATAAACAGAGATCAACAATATACTTGAAGCCTCCAAAATAAAATTCGCATATTAGAGCCTCATCCGGCCCCGTATCAAAACTAAGCTGCCTCAAACACTGCCAGCAACAAGAACTCTATAAATTGACCACATCCTAAATAGAAAACACAATTTCCCCCAAAGGCCCATTCAACAACTCAATCCAATCCAATCCAATCCAACCCCATCCAAAATGACAACCAACCTCCCCGAAATCCTCCTCCTATGCATGGACACCGACTTCATAGAATCCTACAACACGGCCCTCAAAACCCACTGGCCAACCCACGACCCAACAACCCTAAAGATAACCCCGATAAACGAACGCCTAAACTCCCTCCCAGCTGACACAACCTTCGACCTAATCGTAAGCCCAGCCAACAGCTACGGCCGCCTCGACGGCGCCTTCGACGCCGCAATTTCCAGAACCTTCAGTCCGCGTCATGACTACCACGCCCTGACGCGCGCTGCGCAGACCGTCCTCTACGAGAAGTGGCGGGGATTTGCCCCGCCGGGGACTTGTACGCTTGTTCCGTTTCCTGGGGAGCTTAAGGGGAATGCGTTTGCGTGTGAGTGGGTGGCGCTTTGTCCTACGATGCGTGAGCCGGGGCCGGCGGGGTGGGATCGTGAGGTTGTTTATGAGTGTGTTTGGAGTTTGGTGGGGCAGGTTGAGGGGTGGAATCGGGGGTTGGAGGGGAGTGGGAAGGGGAAGGGGAAGAGGATTGAGAGGATTCTTATGACGCCTTTGGCGGCTGGTGTTGGGAGGGTTAGTAAGGAGAGGTGGGCGGCGCAGACGGTGCTTGCTTTGAAGCATTTTGTTGATGCGTTGGAGAGGCCTGAGAGGTAGGGGAATTTGTCTTGGAGGGATATTGAGGAGGATTGTGTTGAGGTTGAGGGGACTTGGAAGGAGAGTGATGAGTCTAAGAAGAGTTGGAGGGAGTGGCTCGGGGGTGCATAGTTCTTGTAGATTAACTTGTATGCAGTGTTCCTTAATAATGAGAATGCGACTGTGCTAGAATTCAAAGCCCGCAACCATCCCTGTCACTGATATCCGAAGCCGAATCCGAAGTATAGCGGAGGGACGATGCAGCAGTGTGGCCATGCGAAATCAGCAGTGTCTTAGAGAACTGTTCTGTCGGTATAAATTATTAACATTGATATCTATAAAAGTCTAATGATCCGGAACTGTGTCTATAACGAATCTCCGCAAGCCAACACAACCCCAGCTGTATCTATTTTGGTGGAGCGGCCCTCCAGAACAACCACCCAACAGCAGCAACATACTTCATACCAGCAGCCATCCACAAAGCCGACTCCATGCCACCACTGCTGCGACTCAACCATCCACCAATGATAGCACCGATCAGCAGGAACACAACTCCACCAATACGGCGGTTGCGCTTCACATTGGTAGTGGGCTTATCAGTGATCTTAGGATCCGACGCAATATCAAAGTAAACACTGGTCAAGACGACTGTCGGGATCTCATTATAACCCAGTGACCGAGAGCAAGTCATACCACCGGCAGACTGGAAAGCCAGCAACCCAATAGGAATCAACTCAAGGAAGAGGGGACCGCCGTCGAGACCCGCGTCGGCAGAGGTGTGGGGAATGAGATCGGCTTCGATGAGGGCGACAGCGATGACGATCAGACTGGCCTGCACGAAGAAGGAGACGAAGAGGGTTCCGCGGCGCAGAGCGCCGACGCTGCGCATTGCGATCGAGAAGATCATTGCGCCGAAGAAGAAGGACGCGATTGAGACGAGGGACTTGAGCCAGCCCCAGGGCTTGGTGGCGGGCTGGTTGGACGCGCCCAGTCCGAGGAAGATGGTGTTTCCTATGCGGAAGTCAGTTTAGATTTGCGCTTGTCATGACTTGGTCGTCGGGTTTGGCTTCGCCCCTTGCGAACTCGGCCTCGGGACGCGGTGATCCATACCTGTTTGCATGCCCAGGAAACAGGACCATGCGTTGTAGGCGCTACTGTCGCATAGTCCGGTCAGGAAGCAGAGGAGCAGACAGACCAGGTCTGCGTGGGTGGTTGTGAGGTTTTGCTTCCATCGTCGAGATACACTGGACTCCTGCTTTGCGGGGACGTCGGGGGAGGACTCGAGATCGGCTGGGGGTTGTGTTGTCTTCTCCATTGTGCAGGCTACTCAATGCTGTACAATGACAACGGATGCGGGCCCCTCCCTTTATGTAGTGTATGTCGAGAGAAAGAGAGTTGAGTGAGTCAAAAGTCGGCGTTCTGGTCGGGACGAGGCGACTTCCGAGAAAAACTTAGCCGATCGCGCAATGCATACGATACATTTCCAATACCACGGCCAATACCACTGCAAATACAGCCTTGGGTTTGCAATTCTCAGCCCTATTCGAACGGTTTTACCATACAGTTCTGTTCTGTTTAGTCTGTTTAGTCCGTTCCCTCTGTTCCCTCTACTGTAATTCTGCTGCCTGCCCCCCCAGGTGGATCTCGGATAGGGCTGAATTAAAGATGTCTGACGTTCCCAATACTTCTTCATGCTCGCGTGAGATAGAAATAGACTTTCCCCTGGAATCGCTTACTTTCCATACACCCGGCCACCATGTTCGGTTTCACAGCCCGATAATAGACTATCGTGGGTTGTTCGTCGTACACCAGAGCCGCAGACACCACACCGTGGTATTTGATCTCACGTAACTGCCGATGCCAAGGTCAGAAAATGCACAAGGAACACATCCCAGCGCCTCGAATCCCTGTATCACCTTGTACTCACCGATGCACGTCCCCAGTCCTCAAAACGCACCCGCTCGCCATGCCGCGCAACCATCAGCGGAGCCACGTCGTCCATAGAATCAAATGTGTTACCGAACCAATTGAGTGTCTCGAGTTCCTCTTCAAAAGGGTGTCCCGTGGCTAGGATGTATCCATCCCATTCGCCGATCAGCTCGTCGGGGTGGACCGGCTTGAGTTCGGTGAAGATGTGGACTTGTCCGCCAAGCACTCCGGGGTGTTTTGTTAGACTGACGAATCTCTTGGCCGGGCTTGGCTGGAAATAGTCCAAGGACATGATTGGGAATTGAATAGTCATGTTGGGGTGGCGGACGTCGGTCTTGTTGGGTCGAGGGGTTGGGATTGGCTTCACCCCCCGTTGATGATTCTCGAGCTTTGCAACGTTGATTGTGGTGGACTGACTTCTTCCCTGGATCTGGGAATTTTGTTTGCTTTCATAGGAGCTGGCTGTCTTGGCTTTTACAGCTAGAATGCTGTCCATGTGGCTATGCTGGTCTGCGCTTCGAGCGCTTGAGGCAAAAAATGAAGTATGTGAGGCATCCTTCGATCTGCTGAGTCGGCCTGGGGTCTGATTCGTTTGAGGGGAGCCTCTTGAGGTTTGTCAGGAAGGGATACTCCCTGGGAAATGTCACTAGTAGCCCAGGCCCCCGAGCTCCCGCACTCTGCAATGTATCAGGTCTGGGTGGCACTTGAGATCATACCAAATGGGGAATTTAGTTATCTGATAATCGGTTACAGGAGGGACACTGATCAGCTCGTGTGATTGCCACATTCCAGTGCCGGTTCGCCCCGTCCAGTGGCTGCTTTGCCTGTCGATCATGATTGATAAAAGTGAGCTATGTATAGCTATGAGGGCTGGAATCCTCGGAAGAATCTCCTATCAAAATGAAGGTCAAACTATATCGACATGAAGAGAATTTGGGATACGCTGGAAGCTAATATGTGGCGGCTGTTCTCTTTCTATATTCCCTAGCATGCCAACGGACATCTCAGTAATTCCCCGAAGATTAGAAACCCAGTTCTCTGATTCAGTAATGCACTATTGAAACACTTTACACATTCGCCTTTCACTGCCAAAGCTATAATTCAAAGACTTGGTCAATGCCGCCACTGCATTTGCCCAAAAGAGTTGCATTCCTCGCCCCTCATCCTCCCCTTTCCTCTTCGGTTCCCTGTTTATGGCAAAAGCAAGCTCGATCACCCGGTAAAATGAAATATCGTCCTCCAGCCGGCACGGTAAGACCACGTGCTTTTTAGTGGGCTGTCATGTCTTTTGACATTTCGTCCATTGTCGAATACAGAGTGTGGATGATTCCATGGATAGTCTCTCCCAAAAGAATCAATATAACCAGGTGACTTGACTTCATAAAATTGGGCAGGGCCAGGTGATTAATGACAATGCTAATTAGTTGGAGTTGGATCCGTTGAAAAGACTATTTAGTTCTTGTAAATATTGTTAATAAGTTATATTTTCCAGCAGACACATGTCCTCTTGTCAAGATAGTCTCATTGGCTACCCACATTCGCTAGGTTGCAATGTTGGTAGTCGTCTGGTAACTTATAGATCCCTTACATTTGAGATAGTAAATAAGTGCTTTGACCACATTGTTTTGTTCAGACTGCATATATCTCAGACAACTAATGCTGAAGGCTAAGGGATGTCCTACATGATTCTTCATTGGGGTACTATGTCCAATATAACTCCTAGAACCCATGTTTGGATAATCTATGAGATGACGAAGAGAGAGGAGAACCTTGGGAGAAACCTCCAAAAAGCGACCAACAGGATCTTCCCGCTTCGGTTGCCACCATGAATCGAGCTAGAATAGTCTCAGTGGTTTGGACGGGCAATAGAGTGAAAGAGAGCTAGGTGGCAACCATGATGCTTGAACCGACATCCATGGAACCGTATCAACCCAACCATCCCCCCAAAGAGCGTCATGTTCAAACCCATCTATTGGCCTAGGATAGAGCACTTCCAGAACAGTGCAGAATTGGTGGCACTCGCTAAATATTTCTCATGGCGAGTGGGGAGAGAGCTTGGGGTAGATGTCGTCGTTATGATCCTCTCATACCGCCACCGTCACCCATAAATATGTTTCGCCCGGCCCAGTTGCTTGGACCAGAATCATGATCCAAATACCAACAATTTAACCAAATCACCACACAAGCTACTCAGTATGTCCTTTCTGAACCCTTCCACCGTGATCGGGCAAGAGCGAGGAGTTGGTGGTTGAGTGGTCCGATCTATACAGATGTGCTAACATATGCAAGACATGCCTATGCAAGACACAACGAAGAAGGGCGCCTCAAAAACCCAGACCAGGAGTGATATAGGAAAACAGGACGACAGCGGACTGGGCCCCAATCAGCTCTTGGGAGAACACATGGATGCCACCGGTAACCCTGTCGCCGATTCCACCTGGGGTACCAAACATAAGAAGCCCACCGATGTGCTCGACGATGAGGCAGACCTCTACAGCGCCATGAATGCTGAAACTGCCGACTTTGACTAGTCGTAATTGATGACAGGTTGACCATGTCATATACTTCTATTGGAAATTGAAGATATTCAGTGGAGTCTTGCAGTGTATGTGGAGTGAAGCCTCTCCCATTGCCGTGGCAACGGATACTAGACCGTGACACTTGCGTAGACACTTTGGGCACTTGTATACCGGATCTTGGTAACAGATGTTATTGTATGCCAGTTCATTTTTGTTCAATCCATTTGACTTGTGCATAGTGCAGAATGCCAGGGCTTTGAATATCAGCTTCTTGACCTGAAACAGTCCCAAGGGAAACAACGCGCAACCACAGTACCAAACCCCCCCTTTCACTCATTCTCTCTCTCTTGCCCATTCCCTGCCCTATACTCTACATTCCCTTTTCTTTTGTTCAATCCATTGCATGTACCATTCTCTGCTTGACCGACGACGCGACGCCGTCACCATTTGTGTGCAGCTATTGAGGGACAATAGGGACATGGCGCTGGATCCGCGCTTCTACCACCACATCGGCCATCCAGGCCCTGGCTCGATCTCATCAGCCGCTTCTTCCGAACTCTCTGCCGCAACGGGCATCACCTCGCCCAGCATTCTCTCCACCTCCGCCTCCGCCGCCGTCCTCCGCTCCTCCGCTTCAAGTCCATCCTTCCGCGCGCGGGAAAGCGTCGCGCTATCCGGTCGCGATGGGATGGCTAGCCCCACACCGGGTGGTAATGTGCGCGTTGTCGTACGAGTGCGAAAGTTCTTGCCTCGAGGTAGGTGACGTGTAGGATTGGGAAATGCGATTTCTTGTTTGCTGTGGAGGATGTTGTCTGACTGTTTCGCAGAAATCGAACGCAAGGCGCAATGCTTGATATCTATGGACCCGCGGACACAAATGACCTGCCTACAAGCCCCGAAGCCGAAACCGGGAGATCTTGGAAAACCGAAGTTGCAAGCCCGCGGCAAGATTCTGGAAGACAAGTCGTTCACGTTCGACAACTCGTTTTGGTCGCATGATGAGGAGGATGAACACTATGCGCATCAGGAGGATGTCTACAATTCGCTTGGTGAGGAGTTCTTGGATCATAACTTCGAAGGTTACCACACGTGCATCTTCGCCTACGGACAAACGGGTTCAGGAAAGAGTTATACAATGATGGGGACGCCGGACAGACCTGGTCTGATTCCTCGTACTTGCGAGGATTTGTTCCAGCGCATTGAGAACTCGCCTTCTCCCGATATCAGCTACAACGTTCGAGTCTCGTATTTTGAAGTATACAACGAGCACGTCCGAGATCTTCTGGTCCCCCGAACGGATCCGCCGCATTACCTCCGCATTCGTGAATCTCCATCGGAGGGTCCATATGTCAAAGATTTGACCGAGGTGACGGCGCGAAACTACACCGAGTTGATGAAGTTTATGAGAAAGGGAGACGTCTCCCGTACAACAGCCAGCACAAAGATGAACGACACCTCATCACGGTCCCACGCGGTCTTCACCATCACATTAAAGCAAATCCACCATGACTTGTCCACAGACGAAACGACTGAACGTACCGCCCGCATTAGATTGGTTGATCTGGCTGGCTCTGAGCGTGCCAAATCCACCGAAGCGACAGGCGCCCGACTTCGTGAGGGTGCCAACATTAACAAGTCCTTGACCACGCTAGGCCGTGTCATTGCGGCTCTAGCAGACCCCAAGAAACCTCGCGGGGCACGCAAAGGCAAAGAGCTGGTCCCATATCGTGACTCCATTCTCACATGGCTATTGAAAGACAGTCTAGGTGGAAACTCGAAAACAGCGATGATTGCCTGTATTGCGCCCGCGGACTATGAAGAGACACTGTCCACCCTCCGTTATGCCGACCAAGCCAAAAATATTCGAACTCGGGCGCGTGTGAATCAAGATCAACTTTCCGCGGCCGAACGTGATGCCCAAATCGCGGAGATGGCAGAGACTATCCGTACCCTTCAACTCAGTGTCAGCCAAGCAGCCGTTCACCAGAAGGCGACGGAAGCCTCAGATGAACGTCTCGAAGAATACCAACAAAAAGTCGAAAAGATGCAGCGACTTATGGAAGAGACCAAAATGGTCAGCGAATGCAAAATTCGACAATTGCAGACAGAAAATGAAGCCCTGCGTATACACCTGAAATTGGCTGTCGATAGTCTCAAAAACCCAATCCCGACTGTTCCGCTACCCTCAAGGAAACCCAGCATAGTATCAGTGCCAGAAGAGAACCAACCGCCTACACATGATTCAGAAGACGACCGCGAGTCGTCTCTATCAGATGCCGAGTCTGACGTGGATGTTTGGGAAGATGACGATGATACCGTCACCGACGATGCCAATGAACAAGAGGCTCACCGAATGCAAAACCACATGCATGACCTTCTCGGTGATTTGAGTGTTTTCAAACGAAAGTTGGCCACCGATCACGAGCGCTTCCGCCCCATCGAGGAACCAGAAACTCGGAAACGACGTGCCTTGGGACAAATTAACAACAATCGCTAATATGTGGATATGCCTTTCTTCGTCTTTTACTGCGTGTACGGGGTTTGTTTGGTGTTGGCGGCGAACTTTGTCTACTCTTTGTTTAGATTGGGACCAACACGCTCCCAGGCAACGCCTGCCTCCTTTGGGCAGCACTGGGACTTATTCTTAGCCCACGACTTCTTCCTTTGATAGCGAGACCCCTTGACATGAATAATGAGAAACCTGATGCGATGCCTGTTTCAAAGACGACCACTTTGCTCTCCCTTTGGGCATAGTTCCTCGTAGGCCATATATAGAGCGAGGGCTTTCCCCGAGACCGTGTCTTGTAAAGCATCTCTAGATCAAAGCTGTCTGAAACCTTACCATCTATCCTGCACTAAATTGTAATATTTTCCAACCAGACCGAACAACCATGAATATAAACGTCCGTCGGCGGTTAGGGCTGCGACGCTCAGTGGGCCGCTTATGGCATCACCACATTTTCCGTGAGTCAACCCTCTCCTCCCCACCAAACCCAAGCTCCAACAAGAGCAACCCCTCCAACACAATAATTGAGTCAACCATGACCGAACCCACCAACCCAGCGCTAACAGCGCCCTCATCAGCCGCAACCCCAGCAAATGAACCCCAACCCCAGACCCTTCCAATCCGCGATTCAAAACCCGCCAAGCCAGTCGCCAAAGATGCCACCGCGCCCACCGACGGCGCTGCCGACGCCGACAAAACCCTCACACCAGCCGAACTGAAGAAAAAGGCCAAGGCTGAAAAGGCTGCTCGTCGCGCGCGCGAGAAGGTTGAGAAAGACCAAGTCGGCGCTCCGGCTAGTGGTCCCGCGCCTGGTGCCGGTGGTGCTGGTCGTGGTGGTGCACCTGCCACGCCGAAGAAGGATGCTGGTGCTGGTGCTGCGCAGAAGGGTGGAAAGGCTGCCCCTCCGCGTCGGGGATCTGGGCCTGTTGGCGCGAGTGCGCCTGTTGAGCAGAAGAAAAAGAAGGACGATAAAAAGGTTGCTGTCTTTGGTCATTTGTATGGCCACCAGCGGCGGACTACTGTTGCTGGCGCTGGCAAGGAGGTTCACCCTGCGGTTCTGTCTTTGGGTTTGCAGTTGAGGGATTATGTTGTTTGTGGAAGTAGTGCGCGCTGTGTTGCTACTTTGCTTGCATTCAAGCGGGTATGTATCCTTTTCCTCTTTTTTTTTTGGGATAAGTGGATTGCTTTGATGGGTTTCTATACTGACTGGTTTTCTTCGTGTGAAGGTCGTTGAATCTTATACTACGCCTTTGGGTACTTCGCTCGCTCGCCACTTGACGACACATCTTTCCCACCAGATCACATACCTTTCGACATGTCGGCCTCTTTCAATCTCTCAGGGCAATGCTATTCGGGCTCTGAAGTTGGCTATTGCAAACGTTGATCCTTCTACCCCCGAGTCCTCCGCCAAGGCTACATTGTGCGATTTCATCGACAGCTTCATCCGCGAGAAAATTACTGTTGCTGGCCAGGTCATCGCCGACAGCGCAGCGCAAAAAGTTCAGGATGGCGATGTGATTGTGACATTTGCTGGCAGCAACGTTGTCAAGGACACGCTTCTGCTAGCACACAACCAGGGAAAACGTTTCAGAGTTTCGATCATTGACTCGAGACCCCTGTTCGAAGGCAAGAGTCTTGCCCGCGCACTCGCCAAGGCCGGATTGGATGTGCAGTATACCCTCGTCCATGCCACTACCCACGCCATCAAAGACGCCACCAAGGTCTTCCTCGGTGCCCACGCCATGACCAGTAACGGCGGCCTCTACTCTCGTGTTGGCACCGCTTTAGTCGCCATGTCTGCCAAAGAACGCGCCAGCGGTGTTGAAATCCCTGTTATCGTCTGCTGCGAGACTGTCAAATTTACCGATCGTGTAGCCCTCGACAGCATTGTCGTCAACGAAATCGCCGCTGCCGATGAGCTCGTCCCCTCCCAACCCCCTCAACAACTCACCGGCTTGCCAGACCCCGGTGCCAACTCCCCTGCCCCGATTGATAATAAGAAGGGTGGAAAACCCACCCCTGCCGCATCCACACCTGAGACACCTGTTGCATCATCCTCGACATCCCCGCTGGCCAATTGGAAGGACACGCCCAATCTGCAGCTGTTGAACATCATGTACGACGTTACCCCTGCCGACTATGTTGATATGGTTGTCACCGAGATGGGCAGTCTGCCACCTAGCGCGGTCCCCATTGTCCATCGCATTAGTACGAATCTGTGATAACGGATTGTCTGTGCCTATACTGCAAAATAAAAAGTTTCTTATGGCCTTGACTTTGTGATATCCAGGTCTGCTCCCTTGTTGGTTGGAAAGCATTAAGATCCAGCAGCTTCCAAGCTGGTGTTTTGGGATTATGAGTATCTTGTGTTTTCATCCCCATGTGATTCGCGGCATTTCTTCTGGACCGGCTGGGTAAAATGCGTCGAGTTCCTCGTTTGGCTTGGAGGGCTGGTGGTACGAATGGGCGAAATAGATCTCTTATATGTATCAATTGGACAATAAATTCTGAGTTTTACTAGAGCTATATCGAGACAAAATAGAAATCAAAAGAGCCCTGAGTTATTGCATATCGGCCACCCTGCATGCACTTCGAGAAACAAGCTTGTGGAGCCGCAAGTGTATACTAGCCGTATATAGACTAACATGGTACAAAGCGGTGTACCGATAGCGCGATATTCTGCCCATCCATAATATTGACAAGCAACAGCGAATCACAACCAATAAGCTATCTTATAATCTTCCCAAGTACAATACAACCAAACCCCCCTCAAAACTCAAGATCACAACAAGTGGTCCAAATATTCCACAATGGTACCACCAAGCCCCCCAATCTCGCTCCAAACCTCCGCTCATATCCCCCTCTACCAAATCCACTCCAACGCAAACTAACAACGCTCAGAGCAAAGACTCCTCAGCAACATACCTACACATGCACCAGCCAAAACTAGCCGACCTCTTTGAAGAATTCACTCGTCCCCACACCTCAACAGCCACGAACCCAAACAACGACCCCCACAACAGCACCAGCAACAGCCGCGACGCAAACACAGTATCCTACGGCTCAACCTCGCCCGCCACAATCCCTTCCTTCCTCCCCATCGAAGACATCTACGTCGCGCCCCAATACCAGCCCCCAAACCCGGAGGACGAAGACGACGTCGTGCCGGATCAGCATGCCGCGTTTGGCATCACGCGCGCGATGGACAGGCGGCATGAGGCTGTCTGGAGAGACCTTGGTTTGGAGGCGCTTGTGAATGGCGAGGGGCATGGGAGCTCTGGTCCTGTCAATGCTGGGGGGACGGGCGCTGCTGGTGCGACTGGGTCGGGGCCTGGTGCGACGATCCGGGGTAGTGGGGGTGGAAATGCCGTTGCTGGGGCGCCTGTTGTTCGGGTTAGAGAGGCTGGTAGGAGGATGGGTGGGAGGAGGGTTGTTGGTTTGAGATGATTCTTTCTATGTGTGGTTTTCTACGTTACAGAGGTTCGGTGGTGTTTGGCTTGATAGCTTGGCTTATTAATGATATGATGATACCCATGGTCCCTGATGGGATGGATGCTTATTTTGGTTTGTTTGGATAGTTCATTGATTCGTTTCCATTTGAGTGTCTTGAACCATTAGATTGTGAAATCAAACGGCCGCCATCTGGGTTTGTTTTGACGGCCTCGAACGCCGCGGGTAATGCGATATGATTGTGCTTGCCTCTAGATTCGGTTGATGTCGACTCTAGCGCGCTCGTACAATTTGTGGCTCAGCTGCTTTTGTTCGCGCTCATCTTCTGCTACTAGACGTGGGTGAATGGCCATTTGCGCATAGGAGCCTGCTGCGCGACGTTTTGACAGGGTACCTGGGTTGATGACAAGAACGCTGTCGACGACCTGGAAATAGCAATATTGTTAGTCAAGTCATCGAGGTTATAGTTCGTACACAGTGTATTAATGACTCACCTTCACAAAAGGAGGCAGCATACTCGGCACAATTAGAATATCTGGCCGCACGTTCCACCACTCTCCCAATTTCATATAGGGCAAATCCAGCATGGCGCCTGTGGCCATACCACCTTCTGTCCCAGGCCTGGGGAGATTCGCCCGTCCGGTTGGAGGGAACAATGGAAAGAAATGCCGTTGCTCGACAAGGTATTTGGGTAGACGGGTGAGAAGGTTGCCCTCTGTGGGCCGGCCATGAATGACTTCTTCACGGCGGAGCTCGGAAAGTACGTCATGCGAGCACATACCAATGACAGTCTCGTTGAAAGAGAGAGTGACGGGATTTGAGACCATGCGGACTTGCTTCGGTAGACCCAGTTCCTTCTTCGGAAGTTGTTCCTGGGGCCAGGAGACATGTCGACTGAGTGCATCGCGCACAGATGGAACCATCACGATCGTGATGCTGGGCACAGCTGCTGCAAGTCGTGCCAGGTGTGTTGAGATACAATGGCGGAACATGATGGACAAGGTCACTGTGTCTGGGTCGATACCTTTGATGTCCGGCAAGTCGAAATCGCCTGATGCGAGCAATGGGTGCTCGATATCTAGGAATGGACCCATAAGTACAAGACTATCGGCGAAGCTATCAGCTGCTTTTTGACAAATTTCTTGCAATGGCTCGTAGTCCAGGTTGTCATCTGAAGTGTAGGGGCCAGCCGCCATCATCACATTAAGAGGCAGACTAGAGTCTGCTTCAATTCGGTCGTTGATGTTGTCCAGTGCCACGGCCGAGGATGCGGCAGGTGGCAGAAGTGGAATCGGGAGGATCTCCTTGACGGTGAAGTATTCACCAGAAGGATTGATACCACGGAGGGCGACAATTTGACCAGGGAAGAAGTTGGCCGATGGTACCGAGTCCACTTTAAGAGGTACACGTCTACCGGCTCCGGTTCGGCGTGATGTCTCGAGGACAAGGGAAGCTGGGTTCAGCTTTCCTTCTAAACTGTCCGAAGCGATTCGTCCAACAGCAACAATCTCGCTGGTACTCTGTATAGCCGCACTTCCAAATGTGATATCATCTGAGTTGAATTGTGCCTGGAATATCGTCGTAAACTCGTCGATGCGGTCGTCTAGAATCTCCGATGCTTCTGAAAGTTTCATGCCCATTGGCTTGTAGCCAAACTTCTTCAGATCCGTGTTAGCTGTTGGCCGAATGCGTGCCTCGGAGAATGGTGCCATTGGTGTTTCGGGCAAAGATAGATGTGAATTGAGGGTCTCGACAGTCTGGCCGGGGCTGGGGCGCTCTGCGAACGAAACTGATCTGCCTATATGTTAGCATCTAGGATCAATTTATGTTCCAGAGTACATACGGCATTCCATCGCCAGGAGTGCCAGGCGTCCTTGTAACTTGTTGCGAAGGCCTTTCGGTCTTGACTCTAGGTGTAGCGGGCGAGGGGAATTCGGATTTCCGCTTGATCGATCCAATTCCACCACCGGATCTCACGTTCGAAGCAGTCGGTGTCAATTGATCCAACATCCCGAACATGTCGCCGCCGGCTGCGGCTGCGGCGCGCGGGGTTGCCGTGTTTGCGCCTCGTTTCTCTGTATGCCGACCAGCGTGGCTACGGCTTTCTCGCTCCAATGCCTCTTGAACATCCTGCTTGAAGCCTCGCACCGTCTCCATGGTTAGGGTCACCCCCTCGCCCATCTTCATGCTGTAAGATTCCCATTTGTAGAAGAGCTCCTCCGCGGTGATTGAATGCACTCGCAACATGGAGAGAAGCTCAGAGAGAATGTCTTTGGGAATTCCATTAGGAAATGAGCTGGCAAATTGCTCATTGAGCTCTGCTTCGGCGTCCATCGTTGGTGGTGAAGTAAAAGCACAACCTGACGCGGGGAGACGCGTGAAAGCGTGTCGATGACCTAAGCACCCAAAAAAGTAATTTAATTCGAGCATCGAATTGCGGTGGACCTGGGGTCAATTTGCGAGGCTCCCGCATTTTATTGCATTTCTCCAGTTTCCCCTGTATAGACCAGACTGAGTTCACAATGACAAGCACCGAAGTCCAAGATGTGCCTGTGGCCAACGGAGATGTTGCGCCCACGGAGGCTACACCGGCACCAGTGAACACTCAGATTGAGCCTACTTCCAACGCAATTGACGTCGAACTCCCTACGTCTGCCGCCGACGGTCTCGTTCAGAAGCCTTTCCCTAAGCCGCTCGACGAATCCAAGCCAACCCCACCCGCAGAGCTTACCGAAGACCAGAAATCCAAGTACGATGCCCTACTCAAGACTGCTTCATCATGGACCACAGTTGCCACCAAGGCAGAAAAGAATGCCCCCACCGAACCCATCACCGAAGACGAGCGCATGTGGTTGACTCGGGAATGCCTCCTGCGCTACCTACGTGCGACAAAGTGGAATGTTCTCGAGGCTGAGACCCGCCTCCAGAGCACGCTTACATGGCGCCGCGAGTACGGATTGGCGAAGTTGACTCCTGAATATATCTCAATTGAGAATGAGACTGGCAAGCAAGTCATTCTGGGCTTTGATATCAACGGCCGACCATGCCTTTACCTCTTGCCCTCCAACCAGAACACAGAGAAGAGCGACCGCCAGCTTGAGCATCTTGTCTTCATGCTGGAGCGAGTCATTGATATCATGCCCCCTGGTCAGGAGACCACGGCGCTTATAGTCAACTTCAAAGAGACCAAGTCTGGCCAGAACGCCAGTCTAGGACAGGCCAAGCAGACGCTCAACTTCTTGCAAAACCACTACCCCGAGCGACTTGGTCGGGCTTTGGTTCTCAATGGTTAGTTATTGCCGCCGCCGACCTATATCAATGTACTGATCTCATATAGTTCCGTTCCTCATCTCTGGCTTCTTCAAGTTGATTACACCCTTCATTGACCCCATGACTCGGGAGAAGCTCAAGTTCAATGAGGACTTGCGTCAACACGTCCCCCGGAGCCATCTCATGAAGCCTGTGGGTGGTGATGTTGAGTTCCGCTACGAGCATGACGTCTATTGGCCTGCTTTGAACAAGCTAGCTGGACAGCGCCGTGAAGCCTACCATGAACGCTGGGTCCAGGGCGGTAAGCTGGTTGGCGAATTCGAGAGCTACCTGAAGGGCGAGGATATTCCCAGCCTGTCTCAGTCCAGTGGCGAAGCCAATGGATCAGCCAAATAGGCGTGTAAATAGGCATGCTTGCCTTCCTCTACTGACATCTTTTCACTTTTCCTTTCTTGTTTAATTACCCCACCGTCAGCATTTTCTCTCCCCCTTGGGAGAATTTTTCGTCGGATTATATACACCACCCTTTTCGGCATACCTGTTTATAGACTTTATCTTTGCAAATGATTTAGCGATAGACTACCCACAATCTAAATGCCTCAATACTTTCCGGTAACATGGCTCAGAGTTTTCGTCGTAGCCTTCAAGAGTTTGCCCACTGCACGTAGAGGTCAACCTGGACGTGCTTTGGGTTGTCATGTTCATATTTACAATAGTAGGATATCGACAAACCACGAAGTGAACACATAGTTCGACTGTACACATTTCCATGGACTCAATCATCCATATCAAACTCCGGATTCACCCACGATGGCTGCGGTGCCTTTTCTCGCATCCAAGCACCAAATTTATGCAAAACAATAAACACTACAAATCCACCAACAATCGTAATAAGGCCTTGTGCAGTGAATGTCCAAGTCCAACCAGAGGAAGCTTGCCAATTAACAATGAAGAACTATTAAAAAAATAGTCAGCCAATATTCCAACCTCGGATTATCAAATTCTGAAACGTACCGGATTGATGAAAGCACTGAGGTTGAGGGCAACAGCATAGAAGGTGATCACACTAGTCGTTTGAAGGGGATAACAGTCCACAACGTAGCTGGTGGTCACAGTGTTGCCGATTTGAATACCTGCTGCGACTAGAGGATGGTCAGTCTCACTATTATGCGAATGCTTTGATCTTGAGAAGGACTTACACAAGAAAAATGCCACCTGTCCTACGATCCAATGATAATTCTTGTCAATACTGATCCCCCATAGAATCAAACCAACTATATGTCATTCAAATCGTTAGTCACAATAAGTATAAGAAAATGAATGGAGATCATGTACCAGACGTGATAAGTATAGCCGGATATGCCAACCACAAGCGCATCTCTGGCACGCGAACATTGTCATTTCGTTTCGACAATTTCTCAACAATATAGTCACTCAAGCGACCAGAGAATCCAACCTCTGCAACCAATGTTCCGAGTAACAGACCAAGGAACAACAGTCCCTGGATGAGTGGTGTATACTGTGGATATGCTGCTGGTACCATGGTGATAATGGACAAAACCCACCAGTACCAGACAAAGCTGTATCCAAGTATAGCCAACACGACTGGGGGCTGCTGGAAAGTGAGAACAAATCGAATTAAGGAGTCCCAAGGCTTAGGGTGGCGCATGCCAGGTACCGGACGCAAATTGATGAATGGGAGGTTTTTCGTCCGTCGTAGGTCTGATTGTAGAGCCTCTGATGTTGGTGATAGGGTAGTCATTGCTGTGTTGTTCTCAGTCGGTCTTTTTTCGATATCTGTTGTGAGGGCTTTGTGACCATCCAGGCGAGGCATTTGTTGGAGCATCTTATTCCGGGGATAGAGAGTCTCTGGCATGAAAAAGAGCTCGAGTAGCAACAATGCTGCGAAGAGAATTGCGGTAAACCAGTTGATCCAGGTGGCACTGACGAGGTCAAGGAAGCCGCCAACTATTTCGAGATAAATTCAGCACAGGGCCCATAACGCAGTGTGTAGACATACTTACAGGTAGGTCCAAGAAGTGCTCCAGCGTCAATTGCCAGTACCCAGAAACCCAATTTCTGACCGCGCTCATAGTCGAAAAAAAGATCGTTGACTGATATTTGCAAATCGTTAGACAAGAATTCAGGGTGATGCAATTCTAACTCACCAACAGCCATTCCAACAGTAGATGCCGGGCTTACTCCAAGTCCTTGGAAGAAACGAGCCGCCATATAGCCCGCGTAATTATCAGCGACGGCAGCACCAATAGTTGAAACCAATGCGATGAGTGTCCCAATCAAGAAAATAACTCGACGACCATATATGTCACCAAGTGAAGACCATATCAGGGGACCAACGGATAGCCCTAATGCCGGAATTGCGACCGTCCAGTTTACCTGCGAATAGCTGATTTGATATTGGTCCTGGATCTCGGTAAAAGATGGAACAGTTGTTGTGGTCAGATAAGTAAACAGGAAATATCTGTTCAATAATAGTAACATGTGTTAGTTATAGATATTGTGAGGATTCACTTTTGAGTATTATGAAATCGATTTAGAACGTACTTGAACATAACAATACCCAACATGGTATGTTTTTGAAGACTAGACCAGTTCAATGGGTCCAATGGGTCTGATGTAGGCTGTGGATGGAGCTTGATTCCATTTTTGTTGACGGCGACTTGGTATTGAATTTGGGTACCATGGTCGATAGGTGTGGTAGATATCCGGTCATTTGAAGTATCGAACGCACCGTCCTTTTCACTGTTCTTCTCCAAACTTTGCTTTTCTAACATCTCAGCTGGAGGATATAACAATCTTGTGTGGAGTAAGATGTTATGTGTTGTTAAAAGCTTGTTCGCCGAGCCTCAATGCAAATGAAACAAATGGTGATATGCAACTTGATTCTAGTATAGAGTCGAATTCATGCATGCAGAACATGGGGTAGGACTTCGAGATATATGAAGCGTACAATGTAAGTACGAGTCTCAGTAACTTTATGTAGTATGATAACACACGATCGGGTCTTATTACCAGGGCTAAGAATGTCGTAGCAAAACGGCTCTTATCAGCAAATCTAGGGGTCTTGATGATTCACGTTTCATTTAAGACGGAACTGTAAAGAAACGACGAGCCTCGTATACAATGATATACCTCACATTCTTTGGTGAACGCGTGGGGTTTTGGCTATCGGGAACTACAGAACAGTCTGTCTATTGAATATTGAACGCGCTTTGTACCCAGGAAATGCGAATTTCAACCCATTTGCCTCTCAACTGCTCTGGTTTGTCAGGCATTCTTGAACTCCGAAATCCTACAAGCATAAGGTCTATCCTTACCTTAATGAGTCTGGTCTCTACTGAAGCGACAAGGGTATATGCAAGCCATCAAAACCAGCCAATCAACTGGCCAAATGTGATGATAAGGGCAAAAAGATAAGAGACGAAGACGATCAGGGACTAACTGATCACATAATGATCAGAATAGAAGATTAAGTGCAAATTTAATATTCCGAGGTGAAGATCCCTGAGCATTGCTCTATTCTACCTTGGAGGAATCTCTGGGGTACGCACTCCACGCCAAGCATTTACCAGTAAACTAGGACACAGGGTCTGATTAGAACTGTATCCCTTCGACATAGGTTAAATGGAGATTATCATTGGAGTGGAGTGTTTTTATTCCTAGCATTGTTGTCATAACCACTACATACGATATCTTCGGGTTGCCCCTTTTGTACACGCTCTCTAAATTGTATCGGCGCATTGGAAATAGAAGATAACGCTTCATTCACAATTGTCATACTAATTACACAAATAACAGTATCGGCCGACATGAAGCGACTCTCCGATTGACAACAAATCCCCTTCGCTAGTCAACTTCCGTTTTAGGGCAAGACGTGGAGAGGGACAGCCCTCTTCCCCACTGATAAGACCCAAACAATAAAGTTGTTTCTGACATCATTCTAAACATCCAAACTAGACCGTTCTATTATTTTTTATCTATACCGAAGCAACCGAAACGTGGCTCATCTGTGAAAACTTACTCCAGAACTCGGGTACGAGTATTGGCTGTAATCCGACGTCGGACCTGGATTTCACTATGTAAAACAACAACAGCAGTGGAGCAAAATTACGACAATTAAGTATTATTAGTCCAATCGCTATTTTTGCTACAATACCTTGGTATTCAGACCTAAGCGGGACTTGCATTCCGAAAATTGAATAAAGCCTAGGGTACTAAACACCCTATCTAGTTGAGCTCTAGTAGAACTTTTGAGATGGTCTCTTATTTACTTCTTAATCCTACCGATCCTCGCTTGCCCACACTTGTCTTCTAATGCAAGCAGGCATCAATTGAATCGTTCATTGAACAAAAACTTATCAGAGTGCCAATTGAACCCCGATAGCATCTCGAGAAGTAGTTTTCTTCTCGTCCTATATTGCCATGCACGACTCCGACGTTGACAATGCCGTCTCAAACCATCCGCGACCGAACGAGTATACCTCACTTCTATCCAAACCAATTGACGACTCATCATCATGGATCGAACCCGAAGAAGAAAACCCCTACTCACGAGAGTTGCTCCTCGCCGAATTCTGGCTACTGCTCAAGGACTCAATTCCCGTGATCCTAGCATACACGCTCCAAAATAGCCTTCAAACCGTATCAGTGCTGATCATTGGCCGCTCATCACCACAGAATCTGGCAGCAAGTGCATTTTCACAGATGTTCGCCATGGTGACTGCGTGGATGATTGCACTCGGTGGTACAACGGCCCTGGATACACTTGCTTCGTCTTCATTCACAGGCAGCAGCAATAAACATGATCTGGGAATCTTGCTTCAGCGCGGATTTCTCGTGTTGGGGCTGCTCTATATACCGGTTGCTATCCTGTGGGCCTGCTCCGAGCCTGTCTTTCTTTTCCTCGGACAGGATAAGCAACTTTCGCATGATAGCGCGAGGTTTTTGACTTGTTTGATTCCTGGTGGATTGGGATATATTTACTTTGAGGTTATGAAAAAGTATTTGCAGGCGCAAGGTATTTACTCATATTCTAGGAAGTGTCATAGAGAGCAGTCATTAACTATTCTATAGGAATCATGCGGGCAGGAACATACGTGCTCCTTATTACATCGCCCCTCAATGCCGGACTCAACTATCTATTCTGCTACAAATTCGAAATTGGTCTTTTAGGGGCTCCATTGGCAACAGGCCTCTGCTACTGGCTCTCATTTGCCCTATTGGTCCTATACGCACGCTTCATCAACGGCTCCGAATGCTGGGGCGGATGGTCGCGTGAGGCCTTCCAGAACCTAGGCACATTCGCCAGACTAGCTCTCCTTGGTGTGATCCACGTCGGAACAGAATGGTGGGCTTTTGAAATTGTGGCATTGGCAGCCGGACGTCTTGGAACAACCTCCCTCGCAGCCCAGAGTGTCATTATGACAGCCGACCAAGTGCTCAATACAATCCCGTTCGGCATTGGAGTTGCCACTTCCGCCCGCATTGGCAACTTACTCGGGAGTAGAGACAGTGCTGGAGCAGCGCGGGCAGCGCATACCTCTGCCGTGCTAAGTATGATCTTTGGTGGAGTTGTGCTAGCCGTCCTTATCGGGACGCGGGACCACTTTGCGAAAATATTCAATGATGATAGGAGCGTTGTGCAGCTTACTGCTGAAGTCTTGCCTTATGTGGCGCTTTTCCAGATTGCTGATGGGCTTAATGGGAGCTGTGGTGGAAGTCTACGTGGAATGGGACGGCAGCATGTGGGTGCTTTGGTCAATTTGGTAAGTTACTACTGCGGTGCTTTGCCACTTGGTATTTGGCTTGCTTTCCATGGCTGGGGACTCCAAGGTCTGTGGGTTGGCCAGTGCATTGCGCTGTATTTGGTTGGAATTTTGGAGTGGGGGGTTGTTGCTTGTAGTTCATGGGATGTTGAAGTTCGGAAGGCGTTTTTGAGGATGGATGTACATGAGACCCTGGAAGATGGAATTGAGCAGGATTGAGGATCGCTTCACTACGGAGATATGAGTGAACCATAGACAAAAATATTTGTTTAGTTTGAAACCCTGATTTTGCCAGAAGTCTATCCACATTTCGTGTCATATTGGTTTCCTGCAGCCTGCAAGGCATAGCCAACACATTGATTGCGTACATTGCTATTAGCTGTGCCATGCATATTACACTGTTACGAACAATACTGGAAAAAATAGAATCCGATCATCAAACACCAGTTATACTTCCATTGACTTCCGTTGTCGGACAGCAAAACAATTGATAAGAATCGTATAGATCGACTCCTCCAATGATCGGCCGTTGATAAGCTGTAACGTACATCAACAGCCCTAACTGTATTCGCTATCTTCCCCAACTTTGATGCCTGGTTCATGTTCCCACTCCTCGAAACTTCCCTTTTCGGACGATGTAAATCTTGCTTTGCATGCTCATGGTGTATGTCGCCAAGTCTTGATTCCCGATTCCCCGCCAACCCATGTCCTAACGTGTTTTCCTTAATGGGAAGTTGACGGTAGAGAAGAGGCCCAGTCCTTCGAAGCGATCGTATTTTTGTCTCCGATCAACGCCAATTTCTGGTACGGAAACTTTAGATAGATAGAATTGACGGACCCTTGTAAATCGTCTCTGCTTTTGGGCAATGATGGGAGTGGTGACCGCACTGGAAAGCAAACTTGATGAAATGGGCCCACTGCATAGTATTTTTAAAGATTTGGGAGGGCTTAGTATGCTCTGGCTCAAGAACTACATATACCCCGGACAGACGGTGCGTCTTGTGTGTTTACTACCAAACTCATATTAACATTGAGCTTCTTTGTTTCTTCTTACCTTTCTAAAATTCCGAGTTCAGCTTTCTGATCTGTGTTGACTGGAACTATGCTCTCATCCATTGCAGGCGTACTCGCCCTTTCTGTCCTGGCTGCAGGGCATGGGGACCATAGCCAAACCCCAATGGCCGGTCCTCACCAAAGCCTTTGGTACAACACTCTACCAGGTGATGGTGGCACCCAAGTATGAGAGATAATCAGTCTTACCCAGATACAATTGAGTTTTGTCACTAATAATCAAAGGCTGACTCCGTCTTCTCCGGAATCTCAACCTTCGGCCGCCTCCCCTACTTCCCATGCCTGGCTAGCGAAGCCGAGAAGTACGACATCGCGTTCCTAGGTAAGACAATACCCAAAATAACATACTTCCAGCTCAATATCAGTCAATTACCTATTTAACTCGTTCATAACTCAATAGGAGCTCCCTTCGACACCGGAACCTCATACAGACCAGGTGCCCGTTTCGGACCCAGCGGCATCAGACAAGGTTCTCGCCGCCTCAATCTCTAGTATGTATTCCTTTCTAGTGAGCAGAAGGCTTACACCTGCCACCGAATGGCAATGAATATAAAGGCTCACGCAAATTGGGCTTCAGCGGTGGCTACAATGTACCGTTGCAGGCGAACCCGTTCGATAGCGACATGCGGATTTTGGATTGCGGTGACGTGCCGGTTACTTCGTCAGTTTCTTGATATCAGCAGCTTTGTGCATGAAAGCTGACATTTTGTATTTTCCTCCAGATACGACAATGCCTGGGCTATCCAGCAAATCGAGGAAGGACACAACAGTATCCTGATGCGCAAGCCCTTCACCAATGCTGATAAAATGGGTCTCTCCAAGGCTGGGAAGACTCTTCCTCGAGTCATTACATTGGGTGGCGACCATACTATTACATTGCCCCTGCTGCGGAGTATCAACAAGGCTTATGGGCCTGTGACTGTTATCCATTTCGATAGTCACTTGTGAGCGCATCATTCTGTCTGAGTGGAAGTAGATGGGCTAATTGTTTTTGCTTAGGGACTCATGGAAGCCTAAAGTCTTTGGTGGCTCCCCTAGCCAGGTTGCTGCCATTAACCACGGGACTTACTTCTACCATGCTGCGATGGAGGGACTGTTGAAGAACGACACTAACATTCACGCTGGTATCCGTACCACGCTTTCGGGTCCTTCTGACTATGAGAATGATGGATACTGTGGCTTTGAGATCGTCGAGGCCCGAGAAATTGATACCATTGGTACATTCTCTCGACCATCTTACATTTGTGGTGCTAACGCGTGATGCAGGCACGGACGGCATTATCAAGAAGATCCGCGACCGTGTCGGAACAGACAACCCAGTCTATCTTTCCATTGACATTGACACGTTGGATCCTGCCTGTAAGTTTTAGTCTTCGGAACCTGTCACGTCGAATCTAATGCTCGGACAATACAGTCGCACCGGCCACCGGGACCCCAGAGACAGGCGGATGGTCAACGCGCGAACTGCGGACGATCATTCGCGGCCTGGACGGACTGAATTTTATTGGTGCGGATATTGTCGAGGTGGCTCCGGCATATGATACCAATGCGGAATTGTCGACCATGTATGTCTCCCGATCTAGTGTTGAGGACAAAGCTGACGGGTTCTCTTTAGGGCTGCCGCCGATGTGTTGTACGAGGTACTTACGATCATGGTCAAGAAGGGTCCACTTTCTATTGAGGGCCATGAACAGCTGTGAGCGCTACGTGTGAGGGCTAAAATGGCCAGAATGGAGTAGGAATGGAGTCGCAATCGAGTTGGAATCCAGATATCATCGATCATCCCTTAACGGTCGGATTAGTTCATGTGGGTCGGTCGGTTCCAAGGAACAAAGTGCCATTTTAGGTCCCAAACAGAAACCAAAGGAGCCTTGAAAGCCTATTTTTGAGTGTTTTGCTTGTTCCGAGGGGAGCGAAGTATAGCCCCATAAGATATTGTAGACTTGATATTGTATAAGTCATTGTAGCTGATTCAAGCGAAGACTAGTCAATAGTTTCTCCCCTCCACAAGAACCAATGGTGGAACCAGGGGAAATTACCACATTGGACCGACTGGCCCGTCCCTGGACGATTTAGCCTCCATGTGGTAGTGAGTGCTCCGATCGACACTGGCTCTCTGGTTCTCTTGAAAGGCAGAGACCGCAATCTCGGATCGCTTTCTCTCAGTGGCCTTGGGTTAAGCCTAAGAAATCTGAAACGAACGGCTAGAACGTGTGGGCTGATTCCCTGCACACTTTTAAGGATCTGTGGAGACCTGGGTTCGGGCTGTATATAGCGCGTCTAATAGTGGACATTGGGTGTAAGGCACCGTAACTATTGAACCATGTGCCCGGAGTATTTATGCAGAGGACAGATCAAGCCATTTCGGTGAAGAGAACCGTTGTGGTATGCGTGAAAGAAGCCTCCTGTGTTGAGTGATAGAGTCGTAGAGTACAGTACAGTAGTAGAGTGGTAAGCCCTGGAGTCGAGATAGCAAAGACTGCCCCTGAACTGTTTGGCCCCCCCTTCATCTTACTTGAAGCTAGACTATTCTAGGTTGACTTGGTGTAATTTCTGATTATTATTTCCCTCCCTTTCAACCTGCAGTTCATCTGGGGGAGAGTTGTGATTCCTTGCCGAACTCTTATTTTTTGCCTAAAAAAATTAAGGGGCACTGACATTTCTCCACAGTATCTCCTTTTCTCGCGCCTCATGCCTACACCTTTCAATTAGCCTTTCGATTTCCTTTCTTTTCCCACCTGGTGTGGTATTCGGGGAGATGACAGTCTCACCGCCAGCATCACCGACTGGTGCACCCCCGCGACCCATCAGCGCCGTCATGCGCACGCCGCGCAGTAACAGTCGCTTGAGCATGAGCAGCAGGCAGGGAGGCAGTCGTGCCTCGGACGACGAGGGCAAAACTGCAGTCAAAGTCGGTAGGTGTGATCTCCCCTGAACACGGCCTGGAACAAAACTGACGCGCGCAGCTGTCCGTGTACGACCTCCTCTGAAACCAACAGACCCCGGTTACGAATTAATCCCCCAGCGATTCCAACGTTCGATGGTCCATGTCACCGCGCCGACTAGTCTCGCCGTCGATGTTCCCCAGGGACGCAAGCTGTTCGTCTTCGACCGCGTGTTCCCCGAGACCATTGAGCAGGAGGGTGTGTGGGAGTACGTCAGTGACAGTGTCAACTCTTTTATTCAGGGCTACAATGTCTCCATCATGGCATATGGCCAATCCGGCGCTGGAAAGTCGTTCACAATGGGTACCTCGGGCCCCGGTGAACAGAATAACATGCAGGACATGGGTGAGTTTCCAACCCTGTTGTACAACGCTTCAGACATTCTGACACTAAGTGCGTGTCATTTCAGGAATTATCCCTCGTGCAGCGCAGGCCTTGTTCGATAAATTGGACGGCCCCTCAAAACACAACCGGAATGGCTCCAACTCGACTACGGGCCTCCGCACACCGCAACGATATTCGATGAGTTCCGCTTCCAACTTTGGAAAGCCAGCCCAGGAAAAGACCTGGCAGCTAAAGGCTACATACGTGGAGGTGCGCTAAAGCTTACTGGGCTGTTTACGTGTTGCACATGCTGACCAAAACAGATCTATAACGAGCATTTGAGAGATTTGCTGCTCCCAGAGTCCACCGTCGCCAATGACCGCAGCAACGTCACAATTCGGGAAGACACCAAGGGCCGCATTATTCTGACTGGCCTACACCAAGTGAATATTAATTCTTTCGATGATCTAATTGGTGCCTTGAACTTCGGCTCGACCATCCGTCAAACAGATTCCACCGCCATCAACGCCAAATCCTCTCGGTCGCACGCCGTCTTCAGTTTAAACCTCATCCAGCGCAAACCCTCGGCTGGCCAAACAACCTCCAGCCCCGCCAGGGAGAAGCGCATGTCTATGCCAGTCGACTCGTTCTCGGGTGATTCGGTTAGCGTTGACAGCAAGCTCCACTTCGTGGATTTGGCAGGCAGCGAACGGCTCAAGAACACAGGTGCCTCTGGCGAACGCGCCAAGGAGGGTATTTCCATTAATGCTGGTCTAGCAGCTCTTGGAAAGGTCATTTCTCAACTTTCCTCGCGCCAACAGGGTTCCCACGTTTCTTACCGTGATTCCAAGCTCACTCGACTGCTTCAGGATTCACTGGGCGGAAACGCCTATACTTATATGATTGCCTGTGTGACACCGGCCGAGTTTCACTTGAGCGAGACTTTGAACACTGTTTCATACGCTCAGCGTGCCAGAGCCATCCAGAGCAAGCCCCGCATCCAGCATATTGCCGATGACGGTGATAAACAGGCTGTCATCGACCGCCTCAAGGCTGAGGTGGCTTTCTTGCGCCAACAGGTTCGCAACGCCGAAGCATCTGACCGACGGGATGGATCCTCCCCCGAGCGAAGTGCACGCAAGAATGAACGTGAGAAGCATCTACAGAACCAACTGTTGGATGTCCAGGAGAGTTATAACTCCTTGAGCCAACGACACGCCAAACTCATTTCGACCATGGCCACTGACTCGCACGATACGAACGAGACGGACGAAGCTGCCTCGGAAATCGGCAAGAGCTCAGTTGAGAGAATGCAGCGTTCCAAGTCATTTGCTGAATCTGTGGAGCAAATGGTTTTGGAGTACGAGAAGACCATTCAAAGCTTGGAATCTTCCTTGTCCGATACCCGTATTTCTCTTTCTACCACTGAAAGCGATCTTCTCGAGCGTGAGACTAAATGTGCCTACGTCGAGGCCGTTCGCGAGCAGCTGCAGTCTCGTGTCCAAAAGCTGCTAGATCGCGAGGCTAGCACTGAGACCTATCTCAATGAGCTGGAATCCAAGCTTGATGGCCAGTCTACAGGCGAGGAGCAACATGCTGCTATTGTGGCTGAGTTGCGCAAGGAGCTCAGCCGGGCCCGCGACAGTGAAGTTAGCTGTGAAGAGTATATATCCACGCTCGAAGAGCGACTTGCGGAAGGTGACCAGGACATGGAACTGATGCAGCGCGAAGTATTGAGATTGGAGCATGTAATCGAACGCCAACGCGGCATTGGAAAGCTGGATAACCTGCTCCACGAACTAGATCATTACCATGAGGCTGACAGCCATGCTGCCCCCAATGGCGTTGATCACCCTCAGATGTCTCATTCATCTCGCGGTGCATCTGCTTCTCACAGACATACGCCATCATTGGATGTCCTCGGCGAAGCCACTGAGACAGCTATCCCTGAATCGGACGAGGATCTTATCGAGTCAATTCAGGAGGCATCCGACGAATCTGCCGAGCAATCTGACCAGGACGCTGATGTTTCTGGTCAGGATTTGATGGTCTTAGAGAATGTCACCAGTAAGATGGAGGCACGCCGCTCCGTGGCACTTCTTCAGGAGCCCATTTCAAGTCCTGCTCAGTCTAAGTTCGTTGCCGACAAGCTTGAGACAGTTACCCAGGAGCTCTTCGACCTTCGTCTACAGCACGAGAACACCATGGGTGATTACGAAGTGCTTGAGTCCAAGTATGAGCAGGTCCTCAAAGTCCTTGCTGAACTCCGCCAGGACAAGCTTGACGAAGCTCGTCACCCGGCATCCAATCTCCAAATCGACAGCCCATCTCGCCCCGTGTCTTTTTTAGGAAACGGAGGCACTCCCATATCGAAGTCTGGAGCACAACACTCATTCTCGCAGTCACTCTCCTCGGAATTGTCCTCGGCCGGGGAGCCATCCACTTTGCGCGAATCCTCTGAATGTGGATCAAAGCAAATTTCCTCCACGCCTTCGACTCCTGTCGTGCCACCTGTGGACACTGAGGAGTCTGAGAGTATGCGCAAGATGTTGGCCGAACACCAGGAGAGCGCCGAGCTGATGGCTCAAAAGTACACCGAGTTGCAGACCGAGCACGAAGAGATTCTTGGCCTGGTTGAAAAGCTGAAGGCAGAGGCTCAACGTGCCAAGTCGTCCTCCCCCCTGCGACCCCCGGTTTCAAGATGATCCGACGCATGACCAGCCAGAATATTCTGTCTGGCGTGGACCGTGCCACCCGCGCGCTTACCGGGTTGCGACTGATTGCTACTGAAGAATTCGCCGAGAAGCCAGACGCTATGCACAACTTCGATTACCATTTGGATGCGACGATGCACGAACTGCAGAGCCGTATGGAGCGCCTCCAGTCCCTTGAATCTGAGAACCAGAGTGTTAAAAAGGAAATGGAAATGAAGATGACTATTATCTCTGGTCTTACCAGAGAACGATCTAGTTTGCAGGGCGCCTCACCTGTCGATATGGCCCTGGTTTCCCAATTGCGTGACCAGGTCATATCTCAGGAGATGCAAATCAATCAGCTCCGCGATGCACATGAATCCCGAGAGAAGAAGCTGCTTGGAGAGATTGAGACCTTGAACGGTCTTCTCAAGTCCCAGGAGAGCGCCACTCGCGCCATGGATGCCGGTGCCGATGAGCAAGATAAGAAGATCGGTGCCCTTGAAGGCGAGCTCTCCGAGTGGAAGGGTAAGCATCAGAGTGCGCTGGAGTCTTTGCAATCGTCAGAGACACAGCTTACTGGCACTCTTGCCGAGCTTGAGGCGGCTTTGGCTTCCGTGGAAGCGATGCGTGCTGAGCGTGCTGAGGGCAATGAGCTCACTGATAAGGACGTCACTGCTCAGGAGCTTGAGGGTGATCGTGCCCAGCAGCAGGATCTTGTTGACGGGCTCAAGAAGAACATTGAAGAGCACAAATCCACCATCGCTAGTCAGCTTGCCGCAATTGCGGGTCTGGAGAAGTCACACTCCGATGCGCAGGAGAAACTGGCCGCGCAAATCACCACCGATGAGGAGATCACTGCCGGCACTGTCGACTTGAATCTCACCGCTCGGATGGCCGAGCTTGAGAAGGAGATCTCCACACACAAATCTGCTGTTGATTCTCATCAGAGCGAGCTTGAGACCCTCACCGGTTCTCACAAGCGTGAATTGGCTGAGCTTGAGGAGCGGACTAAGGCTGCTCTCCAAGCTGAGTACGATGCACGCCTCGTTGAGAAGGATGCCGAGCATGACAATTCCATGGCTGCCTTGCAGAAAGAAATTGCCGACTCTCGTGATGAGTTGGTCAAGCTGCTCAAGGCTGTTTCAACCCTTCTCAACTCTGACGTTTCCGCCGAGTCGTTGACTGATCAAATTCAAGATGTATTGTCCCAGAAGCAGCACTTCTCCGACAAATATGCCGAGCTTATGGGTACCAATGACGACCTTCGCAAGCGACTCGAAGCTCACGGTGAATCAGAAAGCCGGTTGGATGAAATGACAAAGAAGCACACCGCCCAAGACGCTAAGGTCAACGAGCTGGCTCTCTTGGTCGCAACTTTGGAGGATACTCTTCGTCAGAAGGACGAGCAGGTCAAGAAGAAGGAAGCTCTGGTTGAAGAGATCACGATTGAGAAGCAAAAAAGTGTGCGTCTTGTTGAGGAGCTCGAGGAGCAGATCACCAACAGCTTCGATCAACACCACAACCGTCTTTCTGTCATTCAACAGGAGCGTGATCAGGCCCTGGAGGATGCCAAGGCCAAGATCGTTATCTATGAGGGAGACATTGAAACTTACCAGGTCCGGATTGAACAACTGGAGCTCCAAATCAAGAACACCGGAAACACTGAGAGTTCGCACGATCGCAGCAGCTCCCTCACTTCTAACCTCCGCAAGAGCTCATCGGCTGCTTCCCTTCCCTCGCCCCCACCGGCTATTCCTCTTCCACCCCTGCCTACCATCGCTCAGACGAATGGCTCATCCAGTGTGTCCCCTCCCAGCTCTCGGCACGCTAGCAAGGAGTTGGTGAATGCCCAGATGGTCGAGGACCAGGAAGCCCGTATCCGAACCATCGAGAAGCACCTGTACGCCGAAAAGCAACTGACCGCCACCCTGGAAGAAGCTCTCGGCGACCTTGAAGCCCAGAGCAGCAAGGTCAAGAGCGACTGCGAGGCTTGGAAAAAGAAGGCCTGGGGCTTCGAAGACGAGCTCACCTCTCTTCGCAAGGAGCGCAGCTCCGCTCGCCTGTCTCTTCAAGCTGTCGAGGAGGAGCGCAGTGCCCGTCGCGAAGCAGAGGCTGCCCGTGCCCAGCTCGAAGAGCGCATGGCTGCCCTCAACAAGAAAAAGAAGAAGAGCACCCTCAACTGCTTCTAGGTGTAACGACCACCGCCGTTATCCTTGCTTGAGATCTGCGCTTACCACAGCGGTCATCTCATTCTCGCCTAAACATACTTTTATTAACTGGATGTACACATATCTTCTTCTTCTGTTATCTCTCTTTGTTCTTTTTTTTTTCTCTTTCCTACATCTTTTGTCTCCCTTGTTTCATACCCCCTATTCTGTTCGATTTAAATCAGTTTTCCCCATTTCCCTGTATCATGAGCTTTGACGTTTCCCTTTCTTCACTTCTCTGTCGATATCTATCGACGCTCCTTGTTACGGGGAGGTTATGTGCCGTGTTCTATATCCTAGCCTGCCTCCCCCCATTTTTACGCACACATTTTTGTCCCTTGTTCTTTTCTTCTTCTTCTCTCCGCCCCCGTTTCACATATGGTCTACTTCCCCCTCTGTCATGAACTTTCATGACTGGTAGATTCTTCTATTTCTTCCTCGCTGGAATCCTCTGCTTGTACATTCAATGCTGTCGGCTGTCTCTAGATTGATTTGCGTTGATACTTATGTCGTTATGGGTGGGATCGTTAGCTACGGTGTTTCCCGTTTATTAGCTCTGTCTACCTCGAAATCCATCTGGGTGATTTACCTATCGTTCATATTAAATTAAATTATAGTTAATCATCCTTATTAAACTTCAAAATCTGCACCCTATTCCAATTAACGATCAGTATACACATCCGAAGCACTCTCTGAACCTGTCTTTCCATAATGCTGATAATCAACGTGTACTCCCTTGTCAAAACAACCCCATAAGACTCCGCTGAAACCTCTCAGATCCGTGCCCAATTGATACAGGACCCAATGATCCAGAAACACCAGCTACTCGTGCCTTTAGCAGTATTACCAGGAGCACCTCCCTCAGCTGAACTCCCGGGTTTATGTACACCTGTACTCCAACTCAAGGCAACGAACAACACAAAACCCACAACGAGGAGTCCACTTACCACCATCATACTCTTTTGCCCCTTTCTCAAAAACGAATTATAGTCACGTCTTGCTGTCGCAGATGTTGCAACCAGATGCGTCGATCTTGTTGCCGGTCCTAAGTTTCTATATTTATATGACAGTTCAGTTTCCGGCAATGCGGATGCGAGTGGGAAGGTTCTCAAGTGAGAAAGTTGTATCTTTGAAGTGAGAAGTCTGATCACAGTTGTGGAATCTTCAAGCATCGAGTTTCTCTTGCGCGAAGTTTATCAGGCCAAGAAGGAGGGACAGCTGCGCCCCGGTTATCTTCGTATCTCCATTTTCGTCTGGTGGATATTGGGCAGCTGAAACTGACGTGTCTGAAGCCCTGAACACCAAAATATATTAGCGATCATCGCGTATAGAGGACGTGCCATCAGATATTCACATGCCATTGACGTCACCGGTATCGAATGTCCGAATGAGGAAAGATTCTAGACTGTGACATCGGAGTGTGGGTCTTCGCCTTCAGCCTCTTTGAAGTATGGATATGACGCCACCAGTCTTTTCGGTTCAACTCTCTGCAATCCTAGCCTTTCTCATCTTCACTGCTATATATGAATAGCAATTATCACCTCCAAACGCCCTAATTCGAGCCTCAATCCCAGCATGGGATGCGACAACCCAATATCGGAATCTGATTCCTTTGCAGCACCAGCCAATACCTTCCTCAAAGAAGAAGTCTATCGACTCGGTTCATCCCCAGGCTTGCGCTCCCTCCCACCAGGCCCAGAACGCGATTTTCTCACTCTGACATGGGGTCCCATCGTCTACCGCACCGCCTACGCCCCAGAAACGAAACGTCTTCTCCCCATTTTTCTGCGCTCCCTGAACGATTCCGTCAGTCAGTCATTACATCGAACAATGACAGGCTCCGATGAAGAGATTCGCATTCTCGCGCAAACCTTTGCGTCCAAGGTATTCAGCGCTCGCGATATGTACGCCGATCTAGACGAGGAGGGCGTTCGAGATGTCTTTCATGAGTTCAAAGTGTCCTTGATGATCCCTGAGACAGAGCTTCCCAGCAGGCTGCGGGTCTGTTTGATGATTGACGAGGCAGTATTATCGCACTTGAAAGATGTTTTGGATTTGGCTACACTTCAGCAAAAGGATGCTGCTGTGGGTAGATGTTGGGTGAAGGTTGTTGAAGAGAACTTTCCGGATTCCAGGCTGGATGATCATCCAAATGTAGATGATGTTGATACTGGGGGCATATCGTGGTGCATGAAGAATGCTCGTGGACGTTACCATGGATGGACGATGGTGGCTCTCGATGCGTTGATTGAGGTTTTTGATGGGTTGAGGGAGTTGAGGGGCTTGGTTGAGTATCATCGGGAGGGAAGGGCCTATTTGGGATGTGGGAAATGGAGTGCTTAGAGGTTCAATTATAATATATGTATAGTATCAAATTTCTGTTCTATTCCGCTGATCTGATTCCTGTTGAACACCTAAATTATACACAGGCGATCTGATTAACCAATGGTGTAGAAGATTTCGAAATATAGTACTGAAAAGTAATATCATTGTTTTCGGCTAAAGCTCAGCGAGATTTTCTGGTTCAGCGGCTTTGGAGATCCCACTGGATCATCTTTTCCTGAACCCATTCCACTTGGCCCGTGATACAGCCAATTGCTCTAAGGCTATAAGTTACTCTACGAACTTGTTCATCCGTGCTACCTGGTCTAAAACCAAGCATATACGTCCGCTAAAGAAATCTATTTGATTTTTGTTTAACTGTTTTGCTCAGCCCTGGATCAAAGCCCCCTGTCGATTCAATCCGAAAAGTGGACAAAGCGACGATTGTCGCGATCGTGATAATTGGTTGAGCTTCTATGGCGATTTCTCCAAGTGACGAACGGCAGGATAAATTTCTCTATATTGCGGATATGAACTGAGAGTTCTAAGATGTTTGTGGCAGAGATGTATGACCGACTCCGTCCCCTCACAATTGATATCATTTGTACTCGAACTGTGACGGTCTCTATTGAACACATGCCCGGTTAAATTTGAAAGAATTTTCTTTACATATATTCCTAGTATGATAGAAATAGTGAATATGTAACAATTTTGTCAGCGTAGACCGCCGCAAAGATTGCAGTTGCCGGCTTCTCTAGCTATAACCAATCGCAATAGACTGTGTCCACATCAATATGGAGATAGTTTGAAACTTGCCAAACGAAAAGGTCAATAGAAGGCTCGGATATGAGACTATTTGACGATTTCCAGCAAGGTCATTGAAACAAAACCACTGTTGAGTAGTGAATGGGGACAGCTTGGTATACTAAGAAAGATCAGTCTTCTTCCGAATTCTTGTTTCCCTGTGGAAACTTATTAGACTAGAGTTTGCTTTCCATGGCAATATGTTTCTTAGACACTAATATGTTGGCTGGTACTTTTGCTCCTTCTCTGTTAGCCATCTATGACTGGACGATCTGATTGGTCAGTTCGGTAGCAATCATGTGAAGATAACGCTCTTATCAGTTGCTTATGAAGCATCGCTTTTCAGACATTGGAAAGCCTCAACTAGACATACGATAGCCTGTACGGGCTATAAGCAGAAATGGATGCCTTTCTTTCGAGAAAACGGCTCAGGCTCTCTAACCCAGAGCCAAAGACGAACCAAGAGTCATCACAACCCGACGACTCCACTGACATCAAGTTAGCAATATTGCTATCGCTCTTCCCGGACATCAAACAGGATCAGCTCCTCGACATTCTCGTTTCATGCGAAGGGTCAGTGGAGACTGCATCTGAGTTACTCTCGACACAGGCGAAGGCAAAAATACCCTTGACCAAGAAGCGAACAGCTCTTGCCTCGTCACTTGGCATGCAAACGTCACTCTCATCGCATGTATTGACAACAGCCGAAGATGGAACCATGAAGCCAATAAATGAAATTTCGAAGAAGAGACGACCTCCCCCAATCAAGAAGGGTCAAACACTTCATCTTTACTCACCTGAGGATATTGCAGCCTATACACCCTGCACAATCGTCCATAATTTCCTGCCAACCGAAGCAGCAAACGCACTTTTAGAAGAACTACTGGATGAATCAAAACATTTCAAGCGGTACGATTTTCAGCTGTTCAACCGTACCGTGCAAAGTCCCCACACACATTCTGTGTACGTATCATCGCCTGAGGAACACCGTCAACAAACGTCGGAATACACCTACGGCGGTACATATCGATCTAATGTGCGTCAAGTCACGCCAAAGCTCCGCTCAGTATCTAAACAGGTACAAACAGTCGTCAACGATGAAATTCAGAAACGAATCCGAGACGTCTATCCAGACGGGAAGAAGTTACAGTATCAATCATCAAAAGAGTGGAAACCAAACGCAGCATTTGTAAATTGCTACGATGGACCAACTGAGAGTGTGGGCTATCACTCAGATGAACTCACCTACTTGGGACCACATCCAGTTATAGGAAGCCTAAGCCTAGGCGTGGCCCGTGAGTTCCGTGTACGGCGCATAGTAGCCCAAGGTGAAGACGATATCAACGAAGAAGCAAACGAGAACAAAAGTACGAGTCCATCAACGAAGGTTCAAGAGAGCCAGAATGCATTAGCTACACGTGCAGATGCCCAAGGCCAGATCTCAATACACCTTCCTCACAACTCACTCCTCGTCATGCATGCCGAAATGCAAGAAGAATGGAAGCATTCTATTACGCCTGCCCAGACAATTTCTCCGCACCCTATATCCGGAAATCGTCGCATCAATATCACATATCGCTGGTATCGTGATACTCTGCACCCGCGGTACACCCCGCGCTGCCGATGTGGCCAACACGCAATCCTTCGGTGTTCACAACGCAAGCAAGAATCACGGGGCCGGTATATGTGGATGTGCTATGCGGGTTTTGCGCCAGGAAAAGAAGGTTGCACTTTCTTCCAGTGGGCCGAATTCAATGATGATGGGGACCCAGTTTGGGAAAGGAAACAGATCGGCGATGATGCGCCTGCGCTAGCGAATTTTTCGGCTTCGCAGTAAGGCGGGTCTGCTATCATCATGGGTGTTGACGATCAGGATGGAAATATAGAACCGGTCTGACTTCGACCAATGAACCCGACAGAGCTATCTGTTGTACGACCTACTAGTAGAGGGACTAGCCACGCAGAATTTTTTCCCATCTTCGGGTCTCTAAGAAGAACGGAAAAGGATCTACAGGCCGAAATGCAAGGGAGCATCAACTCGGACTTTGATTTGACAGCGCGGAACCCGAACACCACAGAATATCGGATCGGATCTGGGGAAACGCCGGAAATTAGGGTTTGCGGGGGGAGGTCGTCTATGTTCAGGCGGAAATATGGCTCGATATTCCGCTCCTTCGCTCACTTCACTGATCGATTCTGTTCATAATACTGTGGTATTTCAACTAGGCTGATTAATTGTGGAGTTACCAAAAGCAGTCTTGCATATGCAGTCGAAGAGGTTGGCTCCAATCATTCCTTGTGGATATGGAGACATCGGCAATATTGCCCTCAACCCCTCATTGGGGCTTGGGATGCGCGGAATCGGGCACCGCAGTACGCTAGTTCGAACCCCAGTTTAAGAAGACAGGGTTGTTGGGGATTTTGGTTTCCTGCGTTGAATTATTTTCTGCCATTGTCAACTGGGCTTTTATCATGGCTTCCCAGATTGAGGATACTTATGACTATATTGTCTGCGGGTATGTTGGTTGCCATGTTGAGTATTTTGGCCAAATGCTAACTTGAGTTCAGAGGTGGAACTTCAGGCTGTGTGGTTGCTGGCCGCTTAGCTGAGAACCCCGATGTCAAGATCTTATTGCTCGAAGCTGGACAGCACAACAAGGATTTGGAGAATGTTCATATGGCTGGCGGGTGAGCATCTCTGGCGCAGTGAACGTCCCAGATCGCTACTGACAGAAAAGATGGTCAAACAACTTCGATGCTGAAACTGATTGGAACCTTGTCACGCCTCCCATGGCGGGGGTTGATAACCGCCAAGTGAAATTGAGTCGAGGACGATTCCTTGGGGGATCTAGTGGCTGCAATGGCACGCTGTGCATTCGCGGCAGTAAACAAGACTACGACGATTGGGGGTTGGAGGGATGGAGCGGCGAAGAATTCTTCGAAGCCATGAGAAAGGTACTTCGCATGGATCAATCGAGGAGAACAAAAAGTGCTAATACAAGCAGTCGGAGACCTTTCACCCAAAGCCCTGGTTCAAAGCGGACAATGAGAGCCACGGCTACTCTGGGCCTCTCCACACAGAACCGCACGACCTCGCACCTATCTCTCAGCTGCTGCTAGACTCTTACGTCTCTCAGGGCATGCCTCTGCACCACGACATGTTCAGCACTGGGGATGTCGCACAAGGATGTGGCCATGTGCCTCGAACAGTATACCAAGGCCTCCGCACAACAGGTGCTGATTTCGTCACCAACAAAAACCACCGTGGTAACATTACCATCAAGACTGATACGACTGTCGACAAGATCATCTTCACTGAGCAGGGAAGTAAAACTCGTGCTTCGGGTGTAGCAACTCAGGCCTCGGACGGTACATCTCGGGTTTACTACGCACGAAAAAAAATCATTATCTCCGGAGGTGCATACTGCAGCCCTGCAATCCTGCTTCGATCTGGCATCGGACCAAAAGCAGAACTTGATAAGCACAATATCCCCTGCACGGTCGACCTACCAGGTGTAGGAAAGAACCTGATGGACCACCTAGTCAGTCACACACTCCTAGACCTGTTTCCAACCCACCTTCGAATAGTAAAACTAACCAACTCAGATCGTCTTTATGTTCTACGAAACCGAAAAGAAAGGCCTCACAACCGACTACCACGTCTACCACGGCACCAACTTCGACAAAACCTACGAAGAATGGAAAAGCAAGAAAACAGGCTTCTTGTCAACCTTCCCCTTCGGCAGCTTCGCTTTCGCTAGACTGGATGAACGCCTACAAGACGAACCGCTCTGGAAGAACGCGCCCCGCCAACCAGGCCGTGACCCAATGGGTCTCACACCTTTACAGCCAAATATCGAATTCTTCTCGACGGAATGCTACGGCGGACCGAAACAATACGACCAGTTCCCTGTTAATGATCAGCACGCATTTTCAATAATAGCAGAACTATTCGCGCCCAAATCACGTGGATCTGTGACGTTGAAGTCGGCAGATGCACTGGAGAATCCGATAGTTGATTGTAATTACCTGGCTGATCCGTTTGATTTATTGGTTTTGAGTGAGGCTTGTCGGTACGGGAATGAAGTTGTTATGAAGGGGGCTGGGACGAAGGATGTTGTGAAAGGCTCTTGGCCGTCGAATCTGAAGCATCATTCTTATACGACGAGGGAGCAGTGGGTTCCGTATGTGAAGGAGCATGCTACTACTTGTGAGTCTTCTTTCATTTTGCTTTTCGGATTTCTTTCCGGATTAACTGACCCTTTTACTCTTTTTTTCAGGTTACCATGCTGCCGGTACTTGTGCAATGGGCAAGAAGGATAGCCCGATGGCTGTGCTTGATGAGAAGCTTCGGGTTAGGGGCGTTTCTGGGCTAAGGGTTGCTGATTGTAGCGTTATGCCTACTTTGCATGGTGGACACACTCAGATGCCGGCTTATGGTATCGGTGAGAAGTGTGCAGACCTGATCAAGGAGACGTGGCGCATGGCGGGTAATATATACCCTCGTATTTGATTTGGTCGCTGCAAGCATTTGGCACATTATAGAAAGTCGTGCAAATTTTTCCCTTATGCCCATTATTGATCATTTTCTAAGATATTTTGGAATATTCATCGTTTCTTGATTGTTACCGCGTTGAAGCTGAACGGAATACATACTTGAACAGTAATAGCGAAACGACCAATGCAAGTGCGAATCCTAATATATGCGATGGGACTGTAGCAAGCTAAAACAAGCAAAACCATAACGATACTTTAAGCATATCCACAAAAGCAAAGGCTGCCTCGAATTCAGCTACTCTCACTTGCAGATCCAGAAATGATGTCGAAAGAGTCGTCGTCGTCTTCGTACGCCATTAGTGTGGAAATCTTCTGATGAGCGCTAACTGGCTTGCTAGATATGTCTGGGGTGCGGGAAATCGTGCAATGAGTCTCCAAGCATACAGTGTGCGATTTTGGTAGAAAGGAGTGTTCATATTCGAGTCCGGCGGTAAGAATCTGCTGGAGAGCCGGCTCACAGGAAAACTCTTTCAGGACATCATTGATCTGAGCAATCAACTCCCTGAATGTGGCATTATTCGGGAGCTGTGCTTCGTTGCGTTGAACCAGGGGTATGCCAATTTTCAGCTTGTATATCCAAGTCTCCCCTGGTCGCAGTTGCATCAGATGGGTATCTCCTGCTGCAGCCTCAAACCAACATCCATTGCCAGGGCCAACGGAGATTCTTAGGTCTGATATGACTCCAGGACTCATGCCAGTGCGAAGCTGTCGAACGATCTTGTTGATTTTGCGCGCAAAATGGGCATTGCTAGGGTCTGCGTCTGCCTCGTTGGTATCAGAACATATGTGCCAACCAGGTGGGTGGGCTGTCCCAACTGGGAAGTAAGTCTGGGGAGAGACTGTGTGAAACCCAACAGCCTTGTCGATGTTGGCTACCAAAAAGGACTTTGGGGAGCTTGCTGAGACAAGGACCAGATGACAGAAAGCATTTCTAGAAGAGGGACAAAAGAGTTGGGAAACCTTTTGAATCGATTTGGCCAAATCCGGGCATCTTCTTCTATGCTTCTTCATCTGCCGTATAGAAAAGACGTTCAAGGCGGCATGAACCGCCTCGGCCGAATGGAATCCCAGAGGGAGCAATGTATCAAATCCGCTCGGTGAACGCCCATTTACGCATGTCAAGGCCAGTCTATCGTAAGAGGCAATCAATTTTGAAGTGAGTGCCGTGGATGCTATAATCATGGGTGTCAAAAGGCTCGGTGAAGGTTGTTGTCTGTTACATATGAGGCAAGTTAGATGGGTGCTAGACGAAGAACGCAGATGTTCACAACTTACAACCAATCAAAGAGGATGATAATGTCAAGAGGAGCCAGTTGAGCGGTCTCAGGAAGCGCAATGGGGTTGACATCAACAGATATATTCACAGAGGTCCAAACGGACATGTAATCTGCCTCCATATATGGACGACTTGCATAAGATCGCATATTGGCGAATGCAATAGGAAGCTCCAGCGGGCACATCAAGTTGGATGCGCCTTGGTGCAAAATTTCCGACAAAGACTGGACGCGATCAGGCCTGGAATTCCGTGGTGACATGGGACTTGTGGATGCTCCAATTTCCAGGGAGACCTTTTGTGGTGTTGACATGAAACCTGGTTGCAAAGAATTCCAAGACCCTGAACTCCAGCGAACAAGCAGGCGTGGCGCAAGATGGTAGCCATTTCTTGCCATTGGTCCTTCGGTCTGGATAGGACGTCGCGAATTCTGTAAATGGATCAGCAGGTATATGAAGTTCAAAGGTACGGAAACAATCACGTTGTCAACAAATGGGTCGTCATCTGCATCTTGGCCAGGAATCAAAGTACCCCGTACTGCTGTAGTATATTTCGAACGAAGCTTCATAATCTCAATATTGTAAAGACTGTCACTCAGAGACGGGGTTCGTGTAGATGTTGTAGCCTCGTTGGAGTCATGATTCAAACCCATGGCAAGTGAAGAGCTGCGACACGGAATATGCGGGTATGCTACAGACAGCGATCTGACTTTCCGGTCGGACAAAGACCCGCGTTTAATGATTGTCAGTGGGGCAGGCAGCTCGTTCATGTTGGCGAATAATCTAAATGTGTTCTCGGTTACTGACAGGAGCCTCGAACTCGATGTGTATATCGGAGCACTCTGTTGCGCGAGTCGGCGATACGATGTTGCAACTCTCGGGATCAGAACGAATCTTCTTGCGCCTCTGCTGTTTCCTACGACAGCACGAGAAGCAGGTCTGCGTGATGGAGTGAATGCTCCAGTACTCGGAACACGCAAGCGCGATGGCAACAGCGCAGACGAGAACAACAACGGGAACAAGAATCAATGCAATCAGTAATGCTGAACTCTTAAAATCCAAGGATAGAGTATTGGTCATTTTGTGAAATATTGATATGAGTGGGAGTTGGGAAGAATGCAAGGTTGAGATATACGCAAGTAGTGGAAAGAGCGAACCAAGAAGCATTGAGACTTCCAGAATGAGTCAAGTAAGATTGGGTATCGAAACACAAAACAAGCTCTCTTCATACATTGCCGACCATGGCTGCCATACTTTCCTTAACCGCGTCTAAACTGACTTTGTCTAACCGCGAGAACCTAATCTAAGGCCATGTTAGTATCATCTGAGTAATTCGTGCAATCAAAAAAATCTTACCATGTCATCTGCGTTCCCACGAGCAGCACTTCCAAACAACATTGGGTCGGACCGAGAATTTTCGATCTCATCGTGAGCCCGCCGCGCCCAAATCCCATCCCAATGCCAATCCCCAGGAAGCCGAGCCTGCGGGCTTGCCCGTTTCCATGCTCCGCCAGCACCGCCTCGGCGATGTGCCTTCCACGCATGCCATGCTCCAGGGTTGCCAGCGACTTCAACCGGCAACGAATCCAGCACATTTTCGTCATCAAAAGTCGACCGAATATAGTCCAATATCTCTGATACTGGGACAACAGACTTTGGTTCCGCAAATTGGTCCATGGACGGGACCTGGGCCACTCGTGGTGTTTCCAAGGCACCATCACTGGTTTCCGGGTCCGTTGATGTCGCGGCGTCTGAGGCCTCATCGCTTTCCGTGGGATCTGCAGTCCTCGTTTCGCTGGCCTGTGCAGCTACTGGACTATTTCCGCTCACAGTTCGCGATGTGGTCCCCGATGCTAGACCGCTCCGCTTTGCTCTGCCAAACCAGTGGGGGAATCCATGGCGAAGACTGAACCCACCAGGTGGTAAGCGTTCCTCGTCTGTAGCACTGACTGGGTTGTCACTTGCCGAGCCAGTACTGAAAGTATAAGTCGTGAGGGGCACAATCAATGGGTGGAAGAAGTCAGTTGCGAAGGTGACCAGAGGTGGAAGGTCGGGGTAGGTGTCTGGGAAGCGAAGTTGGAAGCGGAGGATTGCGGAGGCGTAGGGGCCTACAAGATGAGTTTTAGCCTCGTTTCATTCAATCAATGGATTAGGACTAACCCGAGCGAACGAAGATCACTCCATTCCATAGTGTTGGATCTCCTGGCGCAAGGGTCACGTAAACCCCTGGTGGCGTTGCATGTTTTAAGCTCGCACTTCGGAAGTTAGTAGACTGGTTATCTTAGGAAGTGAAGAACTCACAATTCCAGATGAAGCTGCTGCTTTCGTAGCGACGGAATACAGGGTAATCTGGTGGTCGCCATTGCACAGGAGAAGTTGGAGAAGTTGAAATGCTTATCGCTTATCGATGTCAACACGGGGATTCTCATAGTTCGCAGCCTGAAATATACAACATTCTAAAGGATCTCATCTATACTATAAACTACTTTGTCTAGACATTTGCATGGAAAACCTATCAAACTCAGACTCTTTTCCAAGAAGACCAAGTTGCATCATCCCTTCTCCAACACCTTCATATATCCCGCCCGCCACACCCTCCATCCACCAAGCGGCAAAGCTCGACAATGCAGCACCTACTCTTCCTTCGCTGAGCTTGCAAACAGCCATTCCGATGTTGATACTGCTTTTCCCAAGACCGTCGGCGGTATCCAGCGTGGTGGTTAGAATGCGCTCGGTGATGCGGTGGGTCCGCTCGTATGCGTATATCTGGCGCAAAAGCAACCTGGCATATGGTAAGAGAAGTCGCAAGAGAATAAATATTTGCACAATCGTCGAGGCGAGCAGTCTGTGCAAATACGATCTCGGGTGGGCATTATATTTGCTTTTCCCGTCCGGAAGATATTGCGGTGGTTGAGGGTATGGGGTTAATGATGCTTTTACCAGCTCTGGGATGTGATGTTCGAGCATGGATGTCTCATCGGCTGATAAGTCTTGGGGTAAAGCATCAAGAAGATACACTAGCGCATTTACATAAAGCGATCGAGCCAGGCGACCGTCGGCTTGTGGTTGCTGGGCTTCGTATCCTGCATTGCGCAGAAGATTGAAAGCTTCAGTCCGATGAAGTACCCTGTCAGTGAGGGCTGGTCAATATGCAACAGTCTAGGACTCACCGGGCACCACCCGGTTCCATCGCAACCCAGACTCAGCTTCATATTTAGTCGGACTGCCCATTTCCTCGGCTGGGGGACTATGTGATTCCGGGGAGCCCATATCATCTCCAGCTGACGAGGGCCGTACTTCGGGTACCATCCGATCTGTGGATTGACTATGACACAGCAGGTGAGGCTCTGATAGGGAAGCCAGTCCCCGGCGCGGATCTCCGCTCGATTCAGCACCGATGGGCGCACGGTGGGACGAGTATAGGCGGGGTAGCCGACGTCTAATCGAGGCTGGGATGGCGGGAAACAATGGGAACCCCGAGTAGTCCATTGACATTGTATTGAGAGGGTAGATGAGAGCGTGAAGAAATAAGAATTGCAGAAACGAAAATTGACCGCGTCTGACAGAAAACGGTCTAAGCAAACGTTGAATCCACCTGCACTTTCACATGTCAGATAAGAATTTCTCTATGCTCAACTCTCTTCTCCTGGTAGTACGATGTCGGTAAGGTATATTTCGTTATCTCTAGGCTCCAGCCGTCGATTGTGTAAACTGGAAAGACATCAACATATTGGGACAGACAGGGATAGACCTACTCTTAAATTCTCATAGGAGATGATCACGGGAAGCGACATTCATAGTCAGATATGTGCATCACCCCGCCAAATCCATGGGCTTCTTAATAAACACGTTTGATACTTTAAAGGATCACAGGATCGAAAGAATCTGATGACCACTTGTTGATAAGAATCACACTTGTATGAGTTTTACTTATACGGAGTATCTAACATACGTATCTACTTGATCAGCTGGGCGGACTAGTTAGTTGGTTGATCTGTTGACGCAATAAGATCATATGAATCGAAATGCCTCGATAGTGAAATCAATTGTCCAGTAACAAATTCATAGCTTTGAATCGTTTCAGAGTGAGTGTCAGTAAAAATTACTATGATTCAAAAAAGAAACTCCGATAGGGGGAATCGAACCCCCCGGCTGTCGTGTGAGAGACGACGATGTTAGCCACTACACCATATCGGATGTTGGATGGTAAATGGAACGGAATTTGCCATTATGATCCTTTTTAGCCACTGACGGTTCCCTATGTGTCCCTGCGTGGTTCTATATAGTCCCCCCGGCGACGAACAAAGACCAGCAATCTGAAATCCAGGCAGTTTTTGAAAATACGGCAACGGTCATCTATAGTAACATAAATCCCTTCCCGCATTGGATCAAGATTCGATGTGATGATCCATCAAATATATGCCCAAAGTCCAATCAAGATGATCCGTGTAAATCCAGGTACGTACTGCCGCCCTATCTTTCTGTTGATCCGAAATAAGTATAAAGTGATATTACTGATACATTCCAGTTCATCCAAGCGTGATAGCCAGGCTAAAGCAAAGACAACACTACTTACGTATGCGACGAACGTTGACCCAGATTCTCCCAGCTATCCGATGATCAATTTATGCGAAGGCTTTTTTACTCGCAGAAGTCTGGCAGACGCAATTTCATTCGGAAATACTTACAGATACCCAGAAAAAGCAAAACTTTCAAACTATGATAACAGAGGAGCTTTACTTTAGTGAGCTAGATCAAAGGTTTTGACTCTACAAATCTGGTGAACTGACCAAAATCGATCAGCATAAGTTATCCCATTTAAATACGGCTGCCAACTCTCCAGATCCTAATCCTTCTATCCTTGACCTCAACATTAAAATCAAATTTGGCAGCAACGGAATCCTTGACACTCCGGCATACGGTCCCTTGGTTACCAAAGTACTAGCTCGTTGGCAAGGTAATTCAGCAGTGGGAACTGCTAGATTCTAGGTTCAGCGAAACGCCGACAATCTGGCATATTATGCATTGGCTAAATACGTGATGACCAAAAATGACGGCATATATCCTCATCTACCCATTGTTATATACGAAATCGACGGGCCCCCACACCCGGGTAGCCTCGCCTCATTTGTTACAGAAGGCAGCGACTTTTACTTGAACACTACGTCCGACGACGATATTACGGTCTAGAGTGGAGACTATCCAGGCTGTGATGACGATTTAGTCGTGAGCGCAACCAGCTCTACTCTAAGTATTGATGGATTTGTCCCAGCTTCCGACTACGGATTTAACACAAAAGTTTTCCACTTCAATCAAAATGTAGAGTAAAATTTGTGAGATTGTAGTATATATTGAATTTGCAAGTCCATCTATAGAATTCCAAGCTTTTTCTGTCTAATATCAAGATACGCCGCCGAAAAATAACATCAATGAACAGACACAATTATACGTTTGCTATGGTTATGCGTCTAAGCTCTTTATTCCCTTTGACATCTTTGTGTCTTTTTAATCTTCATTTCAGCCATGATACCGAAGAATTACAAGCTACTTTGCGCTGAGTTTCCCTTCCATAGACTCAGTCCCATCCAACAACATCGCACATATTCATAATGCATTGTCAATCGTCTGTCTCTTCTCGGTTCTTTGTGCCTTCTGGCTTACTGTATTCAATGTTCCCTCCCCAGAGGTCCATCAAGCAACTTGTTCAGGTCAGAAATATATAAATATATAACTGCCTCGACCCAAGGATGGAGCCACCTCCAACATTGACCATATTGCTCATTTTGATTCTTGCAACCACGCTTTCTCGCAGAAAACACTAAGCTACCAGCACATTTCTAATAGTCTCCAAAGGAGATGTTGTGGGGACCACCATTCTAAGCATGTCTCTTAGGCTTTGTTATATAATACAGTATGTTGCCCCAGGAGTGAGTTGTGACATGGGGCTGGTTCTAATCACGGGCAAAGCCACATCATTAATATTAGCTACTGTTCGTACTCTGTTTACCTTAAAACATGTGGATTGTAATCACAGTGGGCCTCATGTTGTAATCATATATTGTCGCGATCAATGAATGAAACATGTGTTTCTTCTTTATTTGACTGCCCGTCGAACAATATTTTCCACAACCTGAGAATCACACATCTCTAATGCCATAGACCGAAACAGCTTTGAATTATCCGCAGTACACCCCCTCAAATGGAAAATCATCAATGCCGTCAAATAACTGCCTCATCTCACTAGCATCTCCCATCATCATCCAGAGATCCCAAAGACACCGTGTCCAACATCTCATCCAGCCCGGAAAGGTGTCATACTGATCTGTTTCCGGAAATGCTTCAAGAACCTTTACACATCGTAGCTCATCATCGGAATGGTATGGGCTCTCATTTTCAAGGGCCTCTGCTGATGTACCTTTCAGCGTTTGCAGAGATTCTTCATCAATAATCATGCACATTCGCCATTTGGTCCAGCGGTCACGCATGCCTTGAGATTCCACCCACGCTTCAAAATGAGCGCGAATTGCCTCGAGAGACGCCCTATTGAATTCCGCGGAATCTTGCACAATAGTCGACCGGTATTTGGCGCAAGTTTCGTTGGGTTTATTTGTAGGATCTTCTTTGTGGTCTCGGAGGAATGATCTCTTAATACAGGCTTCAATGTACCTAATAGCGACTGGGAATAGAGTTTCCGATTCAGTGGAGTAGGTAGTGCGATAGATGACATATCCCCAGTCTGGGTAAGTGCTAAGGCTATTTTGGAGCTCGTCCATGTCGAACTGATGTTCGCGTGAAATTTGAGGGGAGTGGAGAAGAGAGGAGGGAAAGTCTGAGTCTCCAAACAGGGGCTGCCAAGCCAACATTTGAAACCCCAACCGAGTTTACCAAGACGATCTTTAAGCTTGCCCTAGTGTACGGAGTGCGGAGTGCGCAGTACCTCGCCAATTGTTTGGGGCTTTTTGTTGATTAGCTTTGAATTTTCTTAATGTTGTAGCGAAGTCTTCCCTTTTCTAAGGCTGAGAAACAAAAGCCAACCAGCATGCTGATATCTTCGGAAGCTTCTATTTGTTGGTTCAACTCTTTCGGTGTTTTCTGGATCTTGTTTATCCAAGAATTTACCTAGTTAATCTATTCTGTTCATTAAAGGGACCGTTAGACCCTGACTGAAGATGCTGAGATCTACTAGTGACCTTGGGGGCCTAGGGGGCACCAGAGTCGTTTGCGGGCGAATCGACTTGGCAAGGTCATAGTTATGAAAAGGAAGTGTTCGATCTGATGAGCGATAATGAGGAGGAGGAAGAGGACTACCCTGATACAACATTTGAGCGGAATCAGCTAACCGACGAGAGTGTCCTTGGCAAGAGACCAAGAATCGAACCAACAGCAACAGCCATACCTAGTACCCTGCTTATTGAACAAGACAGGATACCTCTTTCAGAGAAAAGCTGTGCCCACAGGCGTATATCTGGGCGGGTTCCGAAGCGTATACGAAGAGAGGAAGATTTATATGAATATCAAAAGTTATAGAAAAGACAGAATTTTAGTTAAATTTGATTATATTGCGTTGAATTCTGCCTAATCTGTTTGACTTCTATTTCTTCTTTCTGTGTAGTGGCGTAAGAAAAATACTTAGAACTACGAACCAAAACTGCATAAGATACGCAGGTCACGGAGCTTCCCTAGTTGCAGTGTTTGAAGAACCTCCAGAGTCGGTTCCAAGAACCCCTTTTACCACCAAAACAATGCCGATTTTCTCCGAACAAGAAGAGATCCTTCTTTGGGATGCCCTCAAAGCCTTTAAATTAGGCCAATTTAATAGTATTCAGGCCGCAGCCTCTCATTTTGGCGTGTCAAAGTGAAAGCTCCGGAGCCGGCAGCAGGGCAGGTCAAATGGAAAAGGCCGTACAGCCACCAATAAAGCACTAAGTCAGCCGCAAGAGAGATTACTGATTCGGTGAATTGAGCTACTCAATTCAGTATATACGCCACCAACTGCTTTAGATATGGATGGTGCTACAAATGGGTGAAAGATGAGAGGTTGAATTGCATGTCCCACTGCTCAAATAAATTCAGTTCATTTTTCTTCTAACTACATCTTGTATATAACTAGTCATTTGATATTTTCAATCCAGGCCATTCGGATTAATCCTCGCAGATTTAGCCTGTCTTCGCAAAGTCATAATGATCTCGAGCGTTTGCGCAACGTTATCACCAGTCCGGACTGCCCGAAACCTATACATTTGATCCCCCCAATCTTCAACAAACGTGCGAACATTCTGAGTGGCACTATATAATAAGTCAGGAACCCATTCATCCCATATGGCTTGCGACTGCGGGTTTGGATGTCCAGCATTCACCCAGTACATATCTGCTCGACCGAATTCCACGTGAGTTGTGTTAAAAGTGTCGATCATGTCAGGCTGGACTCTGAGATGGTTGAGATAGGAAATAATAGTGAGGGGCTCGCGGAGATGTATCAATGCGCGATTCGGGTCATCGGCTGAGATTGCTTTCTCCATTTTTTCATCAGCGACGAGTGTTTTTGAAAGCCAGAGCTAGAGAAAAGAAATGATAAGTAATTTAGTCATCTCCAGAAAAAGAAAATGTAAATGATCAAATACCCTGGATTTTAAGTTGTTCAAACGATCAAGCAAAAGGTTGAAATCAGCTTGGTTGTTCAGGCTACCTAAAGCATGCATAATCCGGGTCATGGGAGTCAAGGATTGGTCGGCACCAGCCATTACTGGTGGGTTGGTAAGAACTGGCGCCATCAGAGCCTGTCTAACGAAGGTCACTGAAATTCGACCGAGTCTCATCACACCACCAGACCTGAGGACCCCATTGGCTGCACCTCTCAGTAAAAAAAGGCAACGGCGTTCAACTCAACGACATGTTCGACTTGATCAATTAGTAAATTGAGTAAATTTTCAGGGTAAACAAGGTCATCAAGAACGTACCCTGATATCTTCCGATATTCGCCATCGAAACTGACATCAAAGCGATTTGAGTATTGAGGCAGTCCTCAGCGTCATCGTAGGTATAACCTTCATCCAAGATTGGATTATTTCCTCGAATGTTGCCACGTAAGATATACTGATCGTCTGATTAGCACTAAAAATACGCTGATTGGGACTTGAAGATTAATACCGTCCAAGAAGTGATCGTAGCATGCGCTCCACCGTCTGATAAATCGACATCGAACGTTCGCGAGGCTCTCTTATCTAAAACTCTTTTGCTAAGAGCAGTAGAATCATCATCATCACCGTCAAGATCCGAACAGGAATTCGGATCGTTTGCATCGCAGCAATCGCTTGTTTCGCATGCGCAGGAGACAATGCTTCTTTCTGCAAACTTGCTGTCGAAGATGCTTGGGGCGCAAAGGACCTTCTCTAGTTTATAACTCATACCTCCTTCAACATCACCCTGAAAAAGTTGAGGGTGCCCACCGTCATCTATGGTCTGCTGCATATCTCCTGAGGCACTTGCGACATAGCAGGCCACTAATGTACTACTGTCACTGGGTCCACCACTATAGGGGTTTTATTAGGTTACATAGTATAACCTAAAAACAAACCTAAAGCTAGGTTAGGTTAGGTTAGGTCCGGGTTTCATTAGGTCGTGGCGAAGTCTAAGCACTAGGGAATGCCTAAGAGGGCTGGTATATCGCCGGGTAGATTCGATAAATGTGCCAACCACAGTCCAGAGCCCGTTCTCCCTTACATGATACGCCTACCCGTTCTCTATCAATACCATAGGAATACGAGGAGTGAATGATCACGAAATATTCACGAACCATTCAAATCAAATTATTTGTCAAAATTTGAATTCTACCGTGTCAGACATCCTCCGCAGAGCATCCGACGCGTTCCATAATCGCCAGCGTCAAGTCTCGGCCGGCTCAATCGATGCACCGACGTCTCCCAACGCAGCAAAGCCTCCCGTGCAAGAGCCTATGAATCAAAAGCCCGAGTCTGCTCAGCGTGACTCCCACGCCAAGGATCCTGTTGTTGCATCAGCTAGTACGAGCTCGCCTTCTCTAGTCCGAATTACACTGATAGTATCGTATTCATGATGTTGAACATTCGAAGCATCGCCGCCATTGGGGCTGGGGATACCAACACGGGAAAAGCCCCGAAGCAAAGCAGCAACCGCAATCTAGCTAAGAGCAGAGAGATAATGATTGGATTTTTGGAATGTAAAAAAAAGATCATACTGGATGGGGTGGCTGGGGAGATGGTCTTCAATTTGACAGTGGTGTTTTTAACTAAACACGTCGACCAAACCCCCTCATACCAAATATTCCTCCCGAGATTGATTCCTCAATTAGATACATGCATAAGTCAGAGCCCATGTGTAAGCCGAGGGAAAACGACAGGGTCGCTATTCTCAAGATTTGTAAAAAACGCTCCGACCACAGCTGGAAGACCCAAATTCTCTGCTCTCTTAGCCCATTCGGCAGGGGGAGAACCTGGGCCTCAACTCCAGTCTCCCTCTCAATGTATTCCTTTAATTCCGAGAACGGAATATCAGAACCCCCAATTAGATTTGTATACTTCAGTTGCGGTTTCGAAGCAGATGGGGACAAGTGAAGTTCATTCATGATCCCGTCAACGACTGTGTCTAGTGCAACGATGTTCAAGCTACCGCGGAGTTGAGGTGAGACCGGCACTGCCTGCAACATTCGGGAGAGGCGGAGAAGGTTCGGCATCAGCTCGAGAGTTTCCGTGGCATCCTCATGAGAGATGCTGCTTGGCCGATAAATGGTAATGGGGAGCCCGAACCGATCATGAATCTTCTCAAGATATCGTTCACTCGCCCATTTGGAAGAAGTGTACCCGTCCAGCCCATCTGCAGGCGGCAGGTAAGATGACACGGACTCCTCTCCGAAGACGGCTCGCTGGGAAAAAAAGGTCACGCCTGCAGTGGAGACGAAGTGGAAGGGTATGTGGCGGCTCAAGGCCAATTGGATGAGCTTTGAAGTAGCCTCAAAATTCGCAGCTTTGAGACTGCGGTAGGACTTGAGATGAGAAACATCGGCCCCATTGTGTATGATCGCGTCTGCTGTGTTAAAAATCTTATCAGCATCCGCTTCGGAGAGTCCCAACTTAGGCTGGGTGAGATCTCCATTGAAAATGACGACCTTGCTCGAGCCCCTGGGCAGATCTCGGTCTTTGCCGCCTCTGACAGCGATGCAATAGATGGTGGTAATGCTAATGTCATTTTGCAAGGCCTGCAGCAAGCCGGTTCCAACATAGCCAGTGGCGCCGGTTAGCACCACTACTCTAGCTGGATATGTCACTGAACAAGCCGCAGAAGAGGCTTCAACCTGGATATCTGGATTTGGGTCAGATTCATGCTCCCAGTCGATGTGCTCCGGTACTTTGGGAGAGGGATTGAATTCCATTTTTGCAGCCATGAGGCGCAATGTGCTAGCTTGGAACAGTTGAATCAAAGGCAAAGTAGTCCCGAAATCATCCCGAATTCTTGCCTGCAGATGCAATAGCAATAGGGAAGAGCCTCCAACGAGGAAGAAATCTGTGTCACTGGAGATACTCTGTGGAGCAATATCTCTCGGTATCACCTTTTTCCAGGTCTGCTGCAGCTTCTGCTCTGTTGCAGTAAGCTCCACCTGGCTCGTTGGTCGCTGAGGGCAGTGACTAGCGGACAAGGGGAGAGTACTGAGATGTCTCCTGTCCATCTTCATCGACGAATTCATGGGTAGCTTGTCCATGGCAATGACCGCTGCGGGCCACATATATTGGGGCAGTGGAAGCATTGATGGAACCTTACTCAAGTATTCGTGACGTTTCTCGTCTGCGAATGCATTTGAGAACACGACATAGGCAACCAGGAAGTCCACCTCGGAGTCATTGGCTCTGCGCAAAGAAACGGCCGCATTTGTCAAAACCCCGCTTGAGACATCCAGAATTGCTCGTTCGACATCTTGGAGATCAATCCGCAGACCACGTAGTTTGATTTGGGTATCCCCAGCAATTCGGCCTTCAACAACCAGAGTTCCGTCCTCTCGCCATCTTCCGACATCACCAGTGAGATACATGCGACTTGAGGAGTTGCCGTCTGAATTGATTGAATCGACTACAAACTTTTCCCTTGTCAAGTTGTCGTCGTTGATGTATCCAGCTGAGACACCAGCTCCGCTGACTGCAATCTGCCCTGACATCCCCAAGGGAAGCGGCTGAAGATCATCGTCAAGAATGTAGACTGCAGAGTTCGGCTTAGGTTGACCAGCCGCAATTCGATTTCCACTCAGATCCATGATATCGCGTGGTGAATACGATACGTGCATCTTGTTGGAGGAACAAGTGATTTCCGTTGGCCCATAGGCATTAAATAATCGTAGGTCTGGTCGATTCAGGGCACCAAAGCGCTTCAACAGAGATTCCGTAATTTGTTCTCCGCCCGCGAGGGCGATCTTCCACTTGGAAGCTCGCAAGCAAGAGATGTCTCCGTGGCTGAGCCAGCTCAAATATTCAGAGGGTGTGGCACCAGTGAAAGAAATATCCTCATCGATGACGAGCTGGGTTAAACCGACTGCGTCACCTCGGTACCGGCGTGGTGCTATAACCAAAGTACCCCCGTAGGCAACGGCGGTGAAAACTTGTGTCAACGACATGTCAAAGCCCAGTGAGCTCTGTAGTAACACAGTTTCTCGTTCAAATCCATACACCTGTGATGAGCACTCGACTTCGTTCACAAGATTTTGATGCGTAAGCATGATCCCTTTGGGGACTCCTGTGGAACCACTCGTATGAAGAATCGCCGCCACGCAATCGGGAGATGCAGCAATTGGAAACCAGGTATTGTTGGTTGAAGTAATCTGCGATGTGTCGATAACCAGTACATCATGTGTATTGAAACTGGAGATATCCGTGATGGATTCCTCGTCTACCACAATCGCTTTCAGATCGAGGTTGGAGACCATGGCAGCCAGTCGAGACGTGTGGATGCTGCGATCGAGGGGAACATAAATCGCTCCGACATGTAGCACAGCGAGTAAGCAGCACACAGCATCAACAGTGGGCTCGTGATATACAGAGACCAGCTGTCCTTTACCAATTCCCGCACCCAGAAGTACAGCAACGATCGATATCACGCGTTGTCCCATGTCGCCATATGTGAGAACTGTGCCTCCGCCATCCTTCATGGAAAGATCCTCCGGATATTCCCCAACAATCTCCCATACACGATGGGGCAGGGTCGAACTCCAATTAGTAGGGATAATCGGGCCTGGAGTCAGGATATTTAGAATACAGACGAAACAATTGTTTAGGGGGGAGTTAAGACTGCTCACCAGTTCCAATTTCAATGGCTCTTTCAATGTCCACCTTTTTGAAGAGCTTGGGCTGGCTCAAAGTCGCATCTGGTTGGCTGGCAAAGGCCGTAAGAATCTCGACGTAGCTGTTGGTCAAGACCTCAGCCGCGTGACGGCTGTACAGATTCTTTCGGATGTAGAAAGTTAGAAGGCAGTCACCACCGGGATTGTCAATTATATCCAAGCTTATGTCATATGCAGCTTTTCCGGGTTCAAAGCGCAACAAGTCCATCTGACAATTGCCGAAGGCCTGTTTTTCACGAGCCCCCTGGCGATAGTCAACGAAGGCTTGGAATAGTGGGCTGTAAGTTACATCTCTCAGAACACCAAGTTCTTGAAGCACGATCTCGAATGGCACAGCTCCGTTCGCTAATGCCAGGTATGCTTTGCTGCGTGTGTCTCTTAATAGCTCATAGAATTTCTGCTGAGCACTGGGGTGGAAAATCAATGGAAGCAAATTGAGGAATGGGCCGATGCTCTCCATTGCGCCAGGATCATTTCTGTTTGCATCTGCAATTCCAATACAAATTGTGTCCAATCCCGCGTAGCGATGGAGAAGAGCCGTGAATGTAGCCATGTAGAAATGGAATGGTGTCGAACTATATTTGCGGCACACGGATTGCATCGTTTTACAGAAGGAGAGGTCGAGACGTACCGAGACCGCATGGACGTCGTAATTTTCTATCGGCGGTCTCGTTGTGATCTCGGTCAGGGGAAGTAATGGCAGAGCCGGGGGGATCTCCGGGAATATCTGCTTCCAGAACGCGAGCTGGGCTGACCATTTGTTGGAACTTTGGTCCTGCAGTTGACTCTTTGCATAGTTTGGGAATTGAAGAGGCTCTGGTCCCAAATTTTGACCATTGTATGCTTTCTCTAAATCACACATGAAAACTTGCTGGCTGACACCATCAAAACTGATATGATGACATCCAATTATCAAGTATTTCTCCCTGGTGAAGGGATTGAAAAGTAACAGGACACGTAGGGTTTCGCCGTCCTCAAGTCGATAGATGTGGGCCTTCACGCGTTCAACCTCCTCCCACAGGTCGGAAACCTGATTAATGCTCTTCTTCTCCAGCCCAATGACCGAGGTCTCCATAATTCCCTGGACGATATCCTGGCTCGAATTTGTGTAAAAGCAGGACCTCAAAGATTCGTGGCGCTGGGTAACGATCGCGACTGCCCGTTCTACATCATGAACTCGTAAGTCGCCGCTCAGATGAAAGACACCGGTGTGGTTCAAAGTGGTGGGATCATGGATATAATTTTTGACGAACCAAAACATGGATTGAGAAAAGGAAAGAGGCTCTTCGCGTACAATTTTAGGCTTCCTGATCATTGTTGCTGCCGGTTCTGGCTCGGGAGATGTTGTAGCGGAAGCACCGGACGAGGATTCGGCACGTTCAGACGCAGTCTCAGGCGCGGGAGTGGAGTCTGGCGTGGAATCACTTTGTCCATCAGAAGTCTCGCCGGGCGTACTTTCTGTTGAGGAGGAGTTCATCATGTTAGGGATCAACTCCACGGGGAGCTCTTGAAGTGTATGGTTCACGATATCTCCAATGGCGATTCCACTGAGAATCTGTAAAACTGGAACATTGACTTGGAGGTTCTTTAGCAGCCATGAGCGAATTTCGACTGCAACGAGAGAATCAACACCGATTTCATCGGTCCGCAGTGAAGCAACTGCTTCAACCCCCCCAGACTCGGTCACTTCCAGCTGTAGCAACGTCTCGAGTTTCTGGACCAAGCTCTCTGCAAGCCGTCAGTGGCAATATTTTTAAGCAGTGATTTCTCAGTACGTACCCAGAATAATGGAACGCGCCTCTTCAGTTCCGCTAGCTTTTGCCAGGCGTCCCTTGACAGACAATTCGGACTTGGCACCATCCGTGGCCAGGGTTGATGAGGACTCTCGGATCACCAGGTGACCGAACTTGGGATTATCAAACCAAGTAGGCTTATGAGTCACTTCTCCATTGACCGGCCGAAGGCCTGTGGTAATCTCGATGCATTGTCCCGAGTCCGCGCGGCCAGACAAAACGCCCTCCGCAAATTGTTGATGGACATCTCTCTCCGACACAAACATGAAGCCACTGCGACGAAGATCATCCTGTACGGCTTGACTTGCCTCCCGGGCAACGTAGCCTACGCCCAGAACTGGGCCAATATTAATAACGGAGGCGGCCAGACCGGCTGCTTGGCGCTGAGCGGCCAGACTAGCCAGGAATTCGTTTGCGGCGGTATAGTTGGATTGACCAAAGTTCCCAATGACTCCAGTCGTCGAAGAGAAGAAGACAAAGAAATCGAGATTCACGTTTGAGAGCACAGCCTGGAGGTTAATCGCGCCCTCCACTTTTGGTCGAACGACCTTCATGAATACTTCAAAGGACATCTCACTCGTTGTGGTATCTTCCAAAACCATGGCTCCCTGAGTGACGCCAGCAATTGGAGGGAGGCTGTTCTTGATAGTATTGTAAACTCCTTCAACGTCGATCCGGCTCGTAACATCACTAATCGATCGTCAGTTGTGGCATTGGTCACAGTGGATTACAGTTGGTGGAATGAGGGTGCGACAGGTGCGACTCACCAGGGAATCACTTTGACTGTTGCTCCCAGTTCCTTCGTACTCTGAAGCCAATTATCGCTGATCTGGGGCCGTCTGCTCGACAGGACAATATACTTTGCGCCGTGGCGAATCATCCACTGGCACAGAGAGACACCGAGAGATCCAGAAAGACCACAAAGCCAATAGGTCTTGTCGGTATCAAACTGTATGAGGGTATCTATAGGATCAACATTCACTGGGACAATATTTGTGCAAGTCCAGTCAATAACCGCTGCAAGGTGGTTGGGATTGCGCGATGGCACATCAGCAGGGGAAATGACCTCCAGTCCCTCTGTAGTGTATGCTCCGTCTTTAAATTCCTTTATGGCAGCAGACAGTATGTCGGATATGTTGGCCACCTGTCTTAGTATTGGGTTTGGCAAAAGAATGCCCTTCTGGAGAATCGAGCGTAGGTCCTCGTGTCGGTAATTCTGTGGAATGGAAGGGAATACTGATGATGTTTCTGTCAAGTCGATTAAAAGCGAACGGCCCTTTGGAAGGCGCTCCATGATTTCGCGAGTAGACAAGAGAGCGTGAATGAACCGGATGGTTGGGTCTTCCTGGCGAGTCCTTGATGTGCAAATCACCGACTTTCCGCCAGCGGCTGCGTAGCGAGAGAGCACTGCTGCTAGCATCGGGGTTGGTTCATGCACTACAAGGTTTTCCCCTGGCTCTTGGCTTGACAAGATACTTGTAGCGATCAGGTGGCTTTCCAAAGCTGAGAGCAGAGTGCTTTCCTTTCCTGTAGGGACATCGCAAGGTAGATAAAGACCCTCGTCAACTCTTGAGGTGGAGCCATTGACTGTTGCCAATCCCACAACCGAGCGAGAAGTGCCAGAAACGCTGCCCAGTACAATGTAGTACGCCGTGTAGTTAATCCTGAAGGGACGTAATGTTGAATGCGTAACGTTGACTGTTATTCCCTCTGTTGCACCCTGGACAGTGGGCAGATGTGCTTCTCGAAGAACGTTCGACGAGTCAATTCCTGATTTCCCAATGAAAACTGACTGTTTGCGCAAGTCAACGATATTGTGTATCCTTCTTCTGGATGCATTGTACCGGTCATTGCGGCTCTGATCCAAAAGCATGCGTGGTACTAGTTTCTTTCCACTCTCAAAGACCAATTCAGGTTCCAAGGGCCAGAAGACATCAGTGTTGCTTTCCGTCTCAGACCAAAGACTGGTGACAGCAAAGCGAAGAAGATTCTCGACAAGAAGTTGACTACTGCATTCGTTCAGAGTGGGGAAATCAATCAACTGCAGCGTCAGCCGCGGATTCTCGCAGAGCTGGGTCCGTCCAAACCCAACAAGCATATTCGTCCACGGCTCAAGTCGTGAATTGTGGGTAATCCATAGCACCCTGCCAGCCTCGCCGAACAGCGTCTTTAGGCCTTCGAAGGCTTCTGGTGTGAGTGATTTAAATACAGGGCTGTCAAAGTCGGCCAGAGAAAGGACGACGCTAGAAGGCGAGATAGAGTTATTGTCGATTTTCGAGACATCCTTGACCCATGTCACTTTGTCACAGTAGTGACGTAGTAGCATCCGAAGCTCGCCTACAAGACGAGATGCCTTGGTCGATTGACCACCGAGGATAACAAGCTCTGGGATTGGGAAACCAGCTGGGAGCAGGGCGGCTGGCGTGGCCAGTGGTTGACGAAGGAAGCTCACCCGATCGTCGACGGCCTGGGCGGCAATCAATGAACAAGGGAATGGGAGAGGATCAAGATCGGGAGTTAAAGTGTCAATTCCAGCAAATCCAGTTTGCCACAGCAGCGAATCCCATTCAGCGGCTGTAATGCAAGGAGACAGAACACGGCCGTCGTCCATCCCAAGCCACCAACCAGGAAGAGTACCAAAAATGGCACCCGTACGGATGGGGTCGTTGTTGGTCATTTCAAGAAGCAGCAGATATCCACCCGGCTTCAACAGACGACGAGCATTGTTCATTGTCTTTTCGAGATTGACTGTCGCATGCAGGACAAAGGACGCAATAACCAAGTCATAGGTTTGTGCCTTATATCCCTGCTGAATTGGGTCATTTTCAATATCCAGAACCTTGAACACCATTTTATCCGCATGACCAGTGAATCGTTCTTTAGCTGTATCGAAGAATCCAGAGGAAATGTCGGTGAAGGTATATGAATCGAACTTGCCAGCAATCTGCTTTAGGATGCCCTTGGTTGCACCGCCAGTACCGGCACCTAGGAGAGTAAGTCGGTTTCCGTCGTCATTGGGATCATTAGAATGGAAGAAACGGCTCACCAATTTCAAGGATGTTCAAGTGTGGATACGCATGAGCTACTTGAGATACGACTCGAGCGAGGTACTTGGTATAAGTCGGAAAGGCAAGCCCCTCCTCATAATATCGATCCAATAAATTGTCCTTCTTCAAGTGATTGAGGATTGTGGTTTCACCGCGAATCGCTGCGGCAAAGTTTTGCCCGGTAGCATGAATCATCTGTAGATCCAGACTGTCCGGATATTTTGCACTGAATTTGGAGATGACCTCCGGTGTGTCATCCAGCCACTCCTTCTTTGCGTAAGGATGCTCTCCTGCACGGACACGAGACAAAACAGTGTTTCCAAAATTGAACATGCCCTTATATGGACCCTCCGTTCGAGCGGGGTGACTGACGGGGATTTCTTCATTCCAGAGGCGGATATAGTAGAGCGACAGCCGCTCCGAAATCGTCGCGATTTCCAGTTCCTTCTCCCTAGGCTGTCCATCAAAAGTAACAATTTCTGCATTAGGATCCGCCTCTACCCACTCGACGGTAGTAAACATCGGAGTATCGTCTGCTGGGGTGACGGGGGAAAATGGCACACACTGCAGTCCTTCGACCTGGAGTGCAACATCTTCAGTTCCAGGAAATGAGAGATCAACATCACCGATGATTGTGGAATCCTCATTATCGGTGAGACCCGATGCGAACTCCATTTGTGGATTATTCGGCGATTGGGTAGTGAACAGAAGCGGATCAATGCGCAATCTTTTCATGCGGAGGGGCACATGAAGGGACCAAAGACGGCCATCATCGGGGAGACAGAAAGACAAGATGATAGATTGGAATGCAGCGTCAAGGGAGGCAGGATGAACCAAGTACGGGCCCTTGAACTCCCCGGTCTGGGCGTTTGCTACATGTCCACGAGCAGCTCCTAAACAGCGTCGCAGTGAGGAGAGAGCTCGGAAAGGTCCAGAGTATCCATATCCAATATCTGCCATAGTGGAATAGAAACGGTCCGAATCGAGAGAGTTAAGATTGGGAACATCACCTGGCTTTTGCGGAAGGATTGCACCTTGACTCTCTCCCAGGGTCGCAGTGACTCTGCCTTGAGCCAACAGCACCAAGTCCTCGCGATCATTACCCCAGGCGGCGTGATATTCCCATGAGGCATCGATTTGATGTTCATTTCGTTGAACATCGACCAAGGAGAACACAGTCTCGACTTCGGTGGTATCAGTGGCAAAGGTCAACGCTTGCCGAATTATGAAATCTTGCACTTCGATCAACTGGATGGGATTCCCCTCGGTGATGGTTCGAGCCGCCTCAATTGCAAGGACAATGTATCCAGCCGCAGGGAAGACAGATTGACCCTGAAGGCGATGTTCACTGATCCACGGAATGTCCACGGCTCGCAGTATATTGCGCCATTGGAGTTGGCGGGTGGTTCCATGAACACTCTGGCGGCCAAGTAGTTCGTGTTCGGCCCGCTTCCGTGTTCGGAGCGCCCTGGAGATCCGGGACTCATGCCAGTAAGAGCGATCATGCATCCAAGGGTAACTTGGCAGCCCTTTGACGAGCCGGTGGGTAAACTCGCCTCGTAAGCGGATTTCGTAAGATTGTAGTTCTAAAACCTCGGGGACAGAGATCCACAATTGACCAAGAGCATCTGCCATGGCCTCGATGTCGTTTTGTCCACGGCGCAGTGTCCCGGTGTAGGGAACTTGCAGCCCAGACTCTACAAGGGTCTGAGATGCAGGTCCCTTCAGAGCAGGATGAGGTCCAACCTCCACTGCGATGTCGAATCTTTCTGTGGCTGAGATGGCGGATTCGATGGCTTGCGAAAATAGAACGGGTCGCACCATATTCTCAACCCAGTAACGGGTTCCCAGCTCAGCGCTGGGCTGCATCCTTTGACCGGAATACACACTGGAATACCATGAACAACAAGACCCATCCACCTGATCGTGAACAGTGATCTTGCAGCGCTCAATAGATTCAAGATACGCTGCCGAACAAGACTCCATATGGTGCGAGTGATAAGCCTTGTCCACTACCAACCGTCGGACAAATTTCTGCTCGTCTTCTAGCACTGCTTGCACCTGGTTCACCGTCTCTTCGTCACCAGAGAGTGTGACACTAGAGGAAGAGTTGCAAGCCGCGACCTTGATCCGGCCTTGGAAGTCTGGGAGGTCACAGAGCTCCTGAGCATCTTCCATCGAAGTACCGACAGCAAGCATGGCACCTCTTTCTCCGTTCGCGCCTTGTGCATTGGATGCATGAAGTCCACGGAAATAGGCAATTCGAATGGCGTCTGTGGCTGAGATGAATCCTGCAGCATAGGCTGCGGTGATCTCACCAGATGAGTGTCCGACAACAGCAGTGAACCGAATGCCAGCGCTGCGAAGCAGTTCCACCAAGAGTAACTGCACTGCTGTGCACAATGGTTGTGAGATAAATGCCTCGCGGACTCGGCTAGTTTCGTCAGGGGCCAACATTTCGCCAACCAGCGACCAACTAGGCCGTTCAAATTCAGGAAGATCATTCAGACTTTGCTCGAGTGTGGAAATGAAGTCTCGGCAGAAGCTTGACAGTTCAATGAGATGTTTTCCCATGCCGGACCATTGGGCGCCCTGGCCTGTGAATACTCCCAAAATACGCCGTCCATCAGAGGATAAGCCGGCAGTGCGAACGCTGACTGTCGCTTCCGAGTTTACACGACTAGCCTTGATTTTTTCTTGGAGCCCCCTTTGCAGACTGTCGGTATCTCTGGCTGAAATCGCAGTCTTGAATGGAAGCTTCGTTCTTCGTGCGTGGAGAGACCAGGACAAGTCTTGCGGGTTGAGGGTTGGATTATCCTGAAGAAACGATGCGTACGAATCCAAAAGAGTCATGACGGAAGCTTCGGAACTGCCAGAGAAAACAAATGGAATAACAACGGAGCCGGGGTCAGTTTTCTGGAGTGAATGGGCCGGTACATAATTTTCGATGATTGCATGGGCATTAGTACCGCCAAAACCGAAACTGTTGACACTAGCTCGGCGAGGAACATTCTTTGCCAGGGTAGGCCAAGGAGTTCCCTGGGATGGAATGCGCAGATTACTATAGAACGGTGCCACAGTGGCGCTGAGTTCATCAAAGAGCAAATTCGCAGGAACAATGCCGTGCTGGACAGCTAAGGACGCCTTCAACAACCCAGCAAGTCCCGCTGTGCCTTCGGTGTGACCGATTACTGTTTTGATGGATCCGACAAGAAGTTCTTGTTGGATATCTCCCGGTTGTGCCTTTGGGAAGAAAGCGGTACTGATCGCCCGAGCCTCAAGGGGATCACCAGCCGGAGTTCCAGTGCCATGAGCTTCGAAGAATTGACAGCGGCCAGCGGGGTCCAAAGGATCCAGCCCAGCCCTTTCATAGGTATTGCGAATCAGGTCGACCTGCGCCATGGCACTGGGCAGAGTGATACCATTGGTCTGGCCATCCTGGTTGACGCCCGTTTCGCGAATGATGCATTCGATCTCGTCGCCATCCTCCAACGCCGCGCTGAGCGTCTTCAATACAACAGATGCGATACCTTCTCCACGCGCGTATCCATTGGCTTTTGCATCCCACATCCGGGATCGTCCATCGGGTGATAGCATGTTCAGGTTGCTCTCGCTGATATAATTCTCCGGGCCCAAAATCAAGTTTGAACCTGCCGCAACGGCCACGCGAGAAGAACCGCTTCGCAATACCTGCACCGCCTGATGAACAGCAACAAGACTTGACGAGCAGGCCGTGTCGATGGTCATAGATGGTCCGTGCCAGTCGAAAAAGTACGAGATCCGGTTGGAGATCAGACTGCGGGCAATGCCTGTAGCGTGATATTGCGGAATTTGATCCAGGTCACGCAAAAGTAGCGTTTCGTAGTCACCGCACATCAGTCCAACATAGACAGCCGTGTTAGAACCGCGCAGCTGGCTGATGGAGATGCCTGCATGTTCCATGGACTCATACACAGTTTCGAGGAGGAGGCGTTGCTGCGGATCCATGGCATCTGCTTCGATGGCCTTGATACCAAAGAACCGAGCATCAAACTTGGTAATATCTTCGGACAAGAAGTAGGAGCTTTGAGTACTGCTGCTCCCATGATGTGATCCGTTGGGGTGATAGAAGTTCTCGCTATCAAAGCGCTCTTTGGGAACTTCCTGTAGTAGATCTTTGGGTTCGACAAGTAACTCCCAGAGCTTTGAAGCTCCATTCGCTCCACCTGGAAAGCGACATCCGCTACCAACAACTGCGATGGGCTCGGAGGGCATGAAATTTGGCATTTCGAGAGACACTAAGGAAGTAAAAATGGGTGATTAGGAAAAATGAAAGTCAAGATTTTATTACAACTATTAACACAACCCGTCAAGTCGCTTTGTTGTAATATAGTGCAATATACCTTGACATAGTACCGACGCATTGGGGTCCAATTTTCCATTCTTCGAATCGTACCGCCACTAGAGGGGAAAAGGCCGAACGCGTTCGATATTCCTCATCCCAATTCTTTCAAATAATCGATAATACTAAGATTCCGCCCCCCGATCTCGTGAATACTGAGGCCGATACCACATGGTTCACTGGTGTATGTAGCCCTACTCCACAGTGGGTAGCAGTTCGTACATCTCGGCCCCGACTTGTGAGCCTCGTAGAATTTCTAGCCTATCATACTGGTGGTTTCGTATGCAGTGTCGGATATTTCGAACTTTCATCTGCACTCACAGATTGGGAATATGGACTCACCTTTTCCGGTCTCATCGCAGCATAATCTCCGGAATCCTTCACTAGCCTCAACTATCCACCACCGGCCTTATGATCGGGGAATTCTGACTCGATCTCACTCGATTAAATTAAGAGTCAAGGTAGTACTGATCGGAAGTTTCCGATCAATTGATGGGGGCTAAAACATGGGGAGTAACAAGGGGCGGTAGGAGGGGGCCGGGTTTGGGAGTCTTGTTGATATTTTCTCTACGAGTCCGAAGGGGCATATGTAGCGGCCAAGGGTCTGATGCCAGAATTATGCCTGGCTTTACACGCGGTTCGAGTCCAACCCTCAAAATCCAGACATCCGACCCCTGGCCGCTATGCCCCTCCGCATACGAGCTGACTTCGCAAACTAAAACAGGTAGATTTGCTAAATGGATAACGTAGAAGGATGTGACAAAGAACGCGAGAGATCCTAACTGCATGAATGCTCCGAGTCCGACAATCTGGCCCCGATCCATAAATGATAATATACTCTCCAGAGAATAATGAAGGGAAGGCTGCAACATATCTTGTTTCTGCGAGCGGAGAAATTCACTTTGGCATTCATAGAACCCAAATCTCTATCCAACTATCCAAGTCTAGAAGATGACCGTCGCTCAAATTTCCTCGCAGACAGCCATCGTTGAAGGAGCAGCAGGAGAGCCTGTCCTCTCTCACGATGTTTCTATTCCAACGCTCGGCCCAACTGAGATCTTGGTTGAAACAAAGGCTGTTGCTATCAACCCATCAGACTATAAGATGTCGCAAAAGTTTCCCTCGGCCGGGGCTATCATCGGCTCAGACTTTGCCGGAACCATTGTAGAGACTGGCTCGGGGGTAGCACAGCTCTCGCGCCCGCTAGCCGTTGGTGACCGTGTCTGCGGTGCCGTCCACGGCTGTAACCCGGCCGACCCTCATAGCGGTGCATTTGCTCAATACGTCAAAGCTGATGCGAGCCTTGTGATGAAGGTTCCTGCATCAATGGCTTGGGAAGATGCGGCGACGTTGGGTGTTGCTCTGGGTACTTCTTGCATCTCGTTCTGGAAGGCGCTTGCATTGACTGCAACACCAAATGAGCCTGCCGCAACCCCTTTCCCTGTCTTGGTTTACGGAGGCTCCACCGCAATGGGTACTATGGCAGTGCAGATCTTGAAGTTGTAAGCTTATATTTGAGCCCATTGTTTTAAAACAAAACCTAATAACAATGTTTTGCAGGAGCGGCCTTACCCCAATCGCGACCAGCTCACCCAAGAACTTCGACCTGGTCAAGTCTTTCGGGGCAAAGCAAGTGTTCGATTATGCCTCACCCACCTGCGCAGCCGACATCAAGTCATTTACAAACAATTCATTGAAGTATGCGCTCGACTGTATTACAGATGCTGACTCGACGCAAATCTGCCACGCTGCGATTGGTCGGGCGGGAGGGAGGTATGCCTGTCTGGAGCTTCCACAGCAGGAGCTTCTCACACGCAAGGCAGTAAATACAGAATTCGTCATGGCTCACGAACTTCATGGGAGGAAAATTGACCTGGGTCCTGAATATGGGAGGCCTGCTTCTCAGGCTGCTAAGGATCTTGGGGTTCAATTCTTTAAGGTTGCGGAGAAGCTACTGGAAGAAAACAAGATTAAAGTCCACCCTGTGTATGTTCTTTCTCATGGATGGAATGGGGTTTTGGATGGGTTCACTCTCATGAAGAGTGGACAGGTGAACGCCCGGAAGTTGGTTGTGCCACTCGGTCAGTAGCCTATGGGGGCTTGAATGTACCTGAATTCATATTCCAAGGTTCTATTTGAATACTTATTCAGCAGTTAGTACTGTCATTTAGAAATTTGCTTGTTTTGTTTGCTATGATGTCCTCGAAATCAGATTTTCACGACAATTGGCACCAGAGTCGAAGCTACTACATCAAAAATTGACGAACAAATAGACATTAGATACGTATTATAGTGGGCTTCATGGATGCATTGCTGTACGAACTGCGTTTAAGGCCTGATTTCCGGGGCTTCAACAAGGGACTGCTCATTTTGCACATGAGGCTTCTACTAAGGCTGCAGAGAATAGCATAATCCATATTTTTGTCCCAGTATCTCTGGTTGAATTACTGAGAACAATCATTTTTGCCTGTCGAGGAAGCTTGTCCTTTCCTGATACCTATGCGACGTGCATGGTGTGGTGGTTTTTGCTGCCTTGACCCCGGGGCCGTCCCTATTGCGAACTAGCGTATAATTGTCCAAATCGGCGTTATTTATCAACCGAGCCCGGGGGCCATTCTATCAACAAAGGATCCCGCGGAAGCTCATTGTTCTCCAAAATAACGTTAATGCCATAGTGGGTCTGCTTTGTGATCGATACTTCGGACCCTTGTTCGGTGTGGCTCCCGCCATAAGCATTCGGAGTAAAAGAGGCTACTCCCAAGGTTTCGGAGAATTAATGCAACGATTCAGGGAATTCGCCTATTCGCCTATTAAGTGGTTGGATAAACGTTGGATTTGATTTGCTACGAGGGATCTCAACGGAGTTAGGTAATTTCCACAAATGCCATTCCCGTTATATCCTTCATGCCTGCCATTTGAAACAGCCTTTCAGGGTGTCCAGTTCAAACAATTCGAATCATGAATAAACTTGCAGCAGATTATGGGCTGCAGCCGATCGCCACAAACCGGATCATATCCGCTCTTGATGCTGGCTTGCTACTCAGATATTCCTTGACAATTGTTGGTGATATCCGTTTTAGCATCAAATATTTTTGGACATTTCCCAAAAAGCCATGATCATACGCTAATATTCGGCCATCCCAGTTATTCATCTATGCCATCGGACGAGGCACTTATCTGTCATTCTTGCACCCTTTGGCAAAATTTCCTGGGCCAAAGCTTGCCGCCGTGTCAAATGTGTGGTATGCGTATCATTGGTATGTGCATAACTGGTAATTGAAATTGGTGCTTACCACCGGGTCAAAATGACCAGAGTGGACTCAATATGCATACCTAGAGAAAGTGAAAGAAAAGAAGATCTAGAATACTGACAGAATATGCCAGGTTTACTGGCAGGTACCCGTGGGCCCTTGAGGCCGCGTTTGAGAAATACGGTGAGTAGAAGACTACAACCGGGCTGACCAGGAATCAAACAGATCATCTAATTTCAAATAGGAGATGTTGTTCGTGTATCCCCAAACGAGCTGGCCTTTATGACCCCAAATGCAGCAAAGGGTATGTTCCCCACAAATTATTACATCCGCTGGGATTTGCTAACACAATGACGGTTCCGCATGTAGCCATATATGGAAGCGCTATCAAGAATCGGGAGATTTTTCGAAAGAACGATTTCCAGGAGATTGGTGAAAACGAACCAGGTATTACTGCTGAGAAAGACCCGGAAGTTCACCGACAGATCGCCAAGCAGCTTGTTCCTGCATTTAGTGCCAAATCTCTGAGAAAGCAAGAAGATGTGATTCATCAACATGTCGATGGCTTTGTCGCTCAGCTTCGCAAACACGCAATGACAGATGACGTAATTGAGATGAAGCAGGCATGGTTCCTAAGTTCCTACAATACTAAACAAAGACTGACATACCCACCTAGTGGCTCGACTGGCTCATATTTGATATCGCGGGTGACATGGCGTATGGTCGACAGTTTGAGCAGGTCAAAAACCGTATGTCGTCAAAGAGAGCCTCAAGAATTATGCGAGCACCCAGTCCCTTATTAACGCGTTCACTTAGTTAAATCATCCACTTTCCTATCCACGTTTGGCAAGGTTGGACTTTGGGGCACCACAAATCAAGTCACTAGGCGGTTTCGCATGCTTCGACCCTTCGTTTGGTTCCTGATTCCGCCGTCTGTGGTGCTCACTGTACCCACTCTTCTCCGTCTGAACAGACAAGAGATTCGTCGTCGGATGTCGCAGCGAGACGAGATCAAACATCCTGATTACGTTGAGCAGCTGCTTCCCAAAGATGGCAAGCCAGATCCCACCGAGGACTGGATCCTCGCCCAGGCAAATGTATTCATCGTGGCTGGATTTGACCCCATGACGAATTTGATCTCTTCTGCACTGTACTATCTCCTGACAAATACAGATAAATATGGCCATGCTCGGAAAGAGATCAGAGAAGAGTTTGCCGAGTATAATGATATCACTGGTGACCGTCTCCAGACAATGAAGTATCTTCAAGCAGTCATCGACGAGTCTTTGCGCCTTCACACCAACGCAGCATTTGGACTCCCCCGTGTGAGTCCCGGATACGATGTGGATGGCAACTTTGTTCCTCCTGGGGTATGTATTTTCAAGGAGTTCTGTTTATTTGGCTTGAAACTGGATCTGACAAGAAGAAAAAAGGTGACGGTTCAAACTTGTTCTTTCGCGACCACTCATTCCGAACGTTACTTCAATGACGCCCGTTCCTTCCACCCTGAGCGATGGCTGTCATCTTCTCATCCGCTCTACAATCCGAGATATGAGTCCGATGATCGACGAGCATTTACTCCCTTCTCACAGGGGCCTAGGGGATGCCCCGGCTCGAGCGCCGGGTATCTCCAGGGCCGAATTATCTTGGCAAAGCTCCTGTGGTCCTTCGACATGGAACTGACAAATAAAGATGCTATTGATTGGGAGAAGGATATCAAGATGTTTGCGATCTGGATTCGGCCGGATCTTCTTGTCCGAGTCCGTCCTGCGAATGGGAACAAGACTTAGATCATTGTCAAATACACGAGGCCTGAGACGGATACTAGGTATTTTGATTTCATGTAATTCAATATGTCAAGAAAATAAACCAATCATGGTGCTACATCTTCGCGTCTTTGGTACATGCCATGGGGCCGGTTCGGCGCATGTCGGATATATAGTTTGTTAAACCGACTGCGGACCAACTACCTTACGTGGCTGGCCATCGGAGCGTTTCTTTTTTTATCGGGAAGAAAGGTGCCCAGATGCCGTTACAAAATCGGAGTTGATGCCCGAAACTTTTGATTTTTATTTGAAACGTGACGCTGCTCAAAATATCACAAATTCCCAAATACTGTCCATGCAACATCTAATTCATAACACTCATTCGCAACTCGTGGCGCAGTCAAAACTAACACGGCGAATTATAATCAACGAGACAATGCAACAGCTGTGAAGATCTATAAAAAAGGGTTCAGTTCCAACATCTGCTGGATCTTTTTCATATTCTTTCTCAGCGAGGAAATATACCCAACACCCACCCCATCACTCTCCTTGTCATCCTTTTGACTCATCACCATCCGCGACAGTGCGGTAAGCTCCGAACTACTGAGGAGACCATCATTGGAGCCACTGGCAGGGTCAAGACGGAACTCCGCGGATGTTCCCAGCAAGCGCTCGATGTGAGACAGAAGATGCATGATCACCTGGACGAGAATCTTGATTTGCAGATTCCCGTACTGCACGGGAAATCCTCCAAGCTGGAGGCCCGGTACGGATTGGAGTGATGAGATGGACTGGTGCGACATTTCAGATAGAGACTCGCAGACGCGCAAGAAGAGAATGTTATAGATCTGGATAATCTGAATGTAGCATGTCAAGATCACTAGAGCAGTCGATATATCCGGGTTGGAATGGTCGGAGGGCGGGGGGATCCTTAATTCTGGAGTGTGCAGTTGGCCAAAGGGCGAAGAGCTGATATGAAGCGGCTGCACGGCGTTGTTCAGATTCGCTGCCACGCGAGAGCAGTACATGTCAGACCCCGATGATGACAGCGTGGTGGGATCCGAGTTTGGTGACTGAAACCCAGACCCCAGCTGGTCTGCAGAGGTCTTGAAAGTGATGGATTGGAGGACTTGCACAAACTCGGAGGTGCTTTGAAGGACCTCTCCGAGGGGGTTCGAATTGGCTGCCTCCTGGCCCTGGTTGGCACAGACGATATTGACTAGGGTGACACTCCAAGGTGCGGTCTTTAGTCGGTCCAGTTGCTTGCTCAGCGACTGAATCAGGGCAGACAGCCTCTGAACGGCATCAGCGCTGCTCATTGTCTTCCGTGGCTGCTTGGAAGGATCCGCAGCTCTCAGGGAGTCGGAATCCAGTCTTTGGCTGGATCCATCCCTGAAATACTGACTTTGACTACTCGATCTATGGCTGGTGTCGGCATATGCGCTCTCCGCATCGCTTGGGCTTGGGATATGCGTGCTATTCAGCGAGGGAATCCCGAAGGGGCTCTGGCTATTCGACAGCCCGGCCCCTAGGAAATCGTCGCTGACCCCCGAGAGGCCCAATAGGATTGCCGGATCAAGGCCAAAAAATGCGGGACCATTTGCGTCGAAAGCTCCTGGCCCCTCCGAAGGGACATTATATCTCCTGCTCCCGTGATGTTTCTCGGCGCCGAATAGATTGTTTGAATTTTGGGCGGGATCTATATCATATAATACGTCGATTTCATCGTCAGCGGTACTGCTTTGGCCTCTTACAGGCTTGCGTGGGCGTCGTTCCCGTCCATGGCTGTTTCCTGGGGTAATCTTCCGTGCCGGCCGTCCGAGAGGGCGCAGATTGCTTGTAATACACGAGGCACCGGCGCGCAGGCACCGCGCACAGGACTGGTCTGTCTGGTCCTCACGAGGACATCGTAATTTTTGTGCTCTGCATCTATCACATGCGAATCTTTTGGGGGGTTGCGCGTGAGTTTCTGGTGACAACATTGACATTGTGCGGGGTGGTTAGGGTGATATAGTCTGTCAAAAGGGTTATAGAGACAGATATGGAACAAAAATATGAGCGGCATTGGACATCTGATGAGCACCACGATTACTGGTGGACGTCCAGCACCCAAAGGATGCCAGTTGGAGCTAGATTGCAGTTCGCAGGCCGAGCCCTCAGATCGCAGGATGGCGGCCCCTCGAAAAAAAGCAGGGATTGTGATTAGCGCATTTAATCAGGCTGCAAGCTGCATGTAATTTTGAAAATCACTCTTCTACAACGTACTTTCTCCAAATCAAGTCATCAGATTAAATTGAATTAGTGAATTAGTGGACATGAAGTCGTAGGAAAAGGCATATTAGAGGTGTAGCCTCAATCGGCTCAATGATCCACGCCTTTCTCCGCTATTTGAACGTTGCAGCACGAAATTCACGAAATGAAGGGCACACCTGAAATCTCAGATTCAACAATTTTCAAATTATCTCACCAACTAACAATACGATGGTATTTCGTGAATTGATTTCACGCCATCAAATGCGTCAATAAGACGACGGACACTAAGCGATATTGGGCGGTGAAAGGAGTGGGAAAAAAGGCGTACGCGTGTGTTTTCACCAGGGGCGCACTCACTCCACTGCTTCGTTTCAGTTGCTGTCCTTAATAGCAGTAATAAAATAACCAAGTGTATTTTTCTCGCACTCCTTCAGACTTATAGGTTGATACTATTCAGATCGCCCGGCATCTTACCCTTCTGGCTTCATATGTAAAGGTAAACTCTTGTGTTGCCTTAGTACATATGTATCTATAAGAGCACAGAAAATCGCGCCAAGAGACCCAGGACTAGTCGGCTCCAGGGCGATTCGAGAGGTTCACGGACCCCGGACCAATAGCCCCCATTTGGCATCGTTTGACTTTCGGAACTTTCCGAACCTTACACTCTCGATCGACTCGGCCATTTATGATGCGCATCGTATTGTCTTACTATTTCTACTACGCGAAGCCTTGCGAACTCACACTCCACATGGGGCCAATGCAGTCAGCATGCAAGTAAACACATCGCTGCCGACGAGAATGCCTTGTATGCGAGTCATGAATCGGATCCGGGGATATGGCAAAATCCGAATCGGGGCCAACAAAGAAGAACTATAATGCTCCGAAAGGGTCGGCCAGATTGTCTCTCCGTCACCGAAGGCGTAGATCCAATTTCTTCGAACCAAATGTTTCTCTCTTCAGCCTCCAATCTTTTCTAGTATTCTGCATACGAAAATCATATGAGCTGACAGACCTAACGGGTATCGAAATCGTGAGAGGTACCTGACAAGCAGCCGGATACGGTGGTGGGTGAGTGAGTGAGTGACTCAAGCTCCCTGCAGAGAAAGAGCAGTGCTAATGTTTCAATCTCCTTTTCTTGTCTTTAGATATAGTATCACAGTGCTTTTGCAACTTTTCGCAACCATGGCAGTGGAAACGAAGCCCGAACTGCGAGAAGAAAATGGAATCCGACAAGAAAATGGACTCCGACTGGAAGATGGCAGTGAGGAAGCGATCGCCAAACCTCCGCCAATGAAAAGAGGGTTCAAGTTCTGGACCATTATCTTTGCACTCTGTGTAACGGGTCTCTTGGGAGCTCTTGAGAATACGGTGGTTTCGACTTCAATGCCAACAATTGTGGAGGACCTGGGCATTGGCGACAACTATATCTGGATCACGAATGCCTTCTTCCTCACCAGGTACCTTTTCCCCTACCGCCAGTCGTGGTGACCCGAGCCTGGAACTGACACTTTCTGGGAATTCTCTAGTGCAGCGGTTCAGCCCCTATTTGGCCAGCTAGCCAATGTCTTCGGTCGTCGATGGTTAACGATATTTATCGTCGCCGTCTTCACCTTAGGAAGCGGCATCTGTGGTGGCGCAACTGGCGCGAATATGCTCATTGTCGGGCGCGCTGTTCAAGGGATTGGAAGTGGTGGCATTAACATGATCGTCGATGTGATCGTCTCGGATCTCGTTCCCTTGCGTGAGCGCGGAAATTTCATCGCTATCGTGCTCACCGTATACTCTATTGGCAGCTCGATGGGCCCCTTTGTAGGTGGAATCATTGTTCAACGGACAACTTGGAGATGGGTCTTCTACATCAACCTACCTGTTGGCGGGTTTGCGCTGGTGCTTCTGTTCCTATTTCTACACACTAACTATCAGAGCAACACCACCTTTTCCCAGAAGATCAAGCGAATCGACTATATCGGCAATGTCCTCATTATGGGAGCTACGGCAGCGATACTTTGCGCATTGACATACGGGGGCTCACGCTTTCCATGGAGTTCATGGCGGATCGTTGTGCCGTTGGTGCTGGGCCTTGTTGGGCTGGTTATATTTATGGTCTTCGAACAATCCAAGTTCTGTCCCGAGCCCGTGGTGCCACCGCGCCTATTCAAAAATCGAACCTCCCTCGTGGTCTTTATCAACACATACTTGTTCACGGTTCTTCTCTACTGGGTGCTCTTCTTTATTCCGGTTTACTTCCAAGCTATTTTGGGGTCTTCGCCAGCCCGAGCAGGCGTTCAAATGCTGCCTATTACCCTCGTTGCGATTCCCGGCGCCGTGATTGCGGTCATAGTCCTCTCAAAGTTTGGAAAGTACAAAGCCCTTCATCTGGCGGGTTTTATCATCCTCACATTGGGTATGGGCCTGTTTGCCTACCTCGACCGCTACTCTTCCGATGCGGAGTGGATCGTTTTTCAAATAATTGCCGCTCTCGGATCTGGAATGATCCTGAACACCTTGCTCCCTGCCTTCCAGGCCCCACTTGCAGAGTCGGATCAGGCGGCTGCCACTGCAAGCTGGGCATTCATGCGGAGCTTCGGTAATATATGGGGCGTGGCTATTCCCGCTAGCATCTTCAACAATCAGTTTAACAAATACGCCTATCGTATTTCAGATGCTACTGTGCGACAAACACTCTCCAACGGTCACGCCTACCAGCACGCATCCAATACATTCATAAATAACCTAAGTGACCCGGTGAAGAGCGAAGTTATCGGGGTATT